AAATGTTTGGCAAAGACAGCACAACAAAAAAACGAGAAGCAAGAAAAAAAAACATTTTGTTTGTTTGAGCCTAAAGTAAAGAGGGAGCAGCAACATATTTTTCGCGGGAAAAGCAGCAAATTTTTTCTCTCTGTGCTTGGAAGCATTGTTTGTTTATACATAATTTGTGCTCGCTTTCCTTCCTCTTCTTGCTCGAACTTTGCTACATGATTAGCTAGCTAGGTAGACATAAACCCTTGGTCTCACTCTCGACATGCTTCTGAACAAAACAATATTTTTTCTTCTTAACAGAAAAAAAAGAGAAAAATATTTTCCTTTGTGAGAAGAAAAGAATAGAAACTTTTTTTTTTCTAGAATTTTTTCCCGCGCACAGCAAAAGTACAATTTTTGTTCTGGAGCTTGTGAAAAAACTTCTCATTGCTAATGACGTGGATTTTATTAAAATCTATTTGTGAAAAAGAAAAATAATGACTATGTCCAGACTTGATTAGTAGTTTCGATTTTTATTCATTGTGTGTTTCTCAATACGAAATTCACAAAATTCAAAACCCCTTTATTCGCTTAATTAGTAAGTTAGTATCAAACATGACAAATGTCATCATTTTCCCTTTTCCTCTCTCTCTCGAAAACTTTATTTCGAAAAAAAATTCAAAATAAATAAATATGTTGAGTCATTGAACGATAACAACATCAAAAACCTCAGCAAAAAAGGAGAGCAAATAAAAATATTGGCAAAAAATAAACAAACAGTTTGCTCGTTGCGCAATCATTTTGCGGTGGAATTTGATCTTTTCGTGAACCAGAAATTTATATATTTTTATATAGACAAAAATCGGAAACTATTTGATTTATCTATTATGATAACCATTTTTGAGAAAAAAAACGAAAACAGTTTGCAACATTTAATCAATCAATATTCTATCATGAAACAGGTAGAATAACATGAAAACACAGTGCCTCGGTTTCGTCATATCATCATTTTTCTTTCTACATTTTGATATACGTCAATAATGTCCTTTTCCAGGAAAATTTTTTTGATGAGTTTGATAACACAAAAATTGTTGCTTTTTAATTTTCCAAACAAATCAAACATTTTGATTTGATTCAATAGAAAAATAAAGCAAAAACAAGTAAAAACAATGTTTCGGAAATGATATTAGGTTAATTTCCGGTCTAGAAAAAATTGGATAAAGCAAAATGAATCAGTGCGTTTCCTACTGTAACTGTTTCTTTTTTTTTTGGGAAACCCAAACATTTTTTTTTTGAGAAACACTTGTAAAGTACTGTAGGTGGTTTTCGAACTTTTGGAAAAAATATATGCTCAAGTGTGCGTTTTCTTCCTATTTTCCCCAACTCGTTCAAGATGATTCCAAAACACGTTTATCTTTTTTTTTTGCCTCAAATAGAAGCGAACCAGAAAACGTAGGTAATTTTGCATAAATTATTGACGCAACAAAAATAAACAGAAGGGTCGTAATAAACGACGTAACCAGTTTCTGTCCCTCGAAATTTTTATATCCGCAAGAATTACGCTCACGTACGGAGAAGAGATGAAAAGTTACGTTTTTCCTGACGTACGTGACGCAAAAATATAAAATAAACATAATAAAAAAACCGGGTGGTAGTGTGTTTCGAAAATGTTTATTTTTTCTTCAGTACGCGCGCGTGTGTGTGTGTGTTGCCTGCATCATCGTTGTATTTTTTTGCGCCGTGTTGTCGCGCGTTTTTTTCAAGAAAACTGGTCTAGGTCTGTCAAATATTTTTTTTTCGGCAGAGAAAAATAAATCGAAAGTTGCGCGCTTATTGTTGCAACATTCTTTCTTTCGCACTCATCCTCATGTTCGTTTTTTTCCTGATATTTTTTTCAAAATTTTGAATGTTGATTGATTACATACATACATACATACATATTTTGATTTTGTTTCGTGGATTGTCTCGGCGCCACTTAGGTACCTCATTTTGCTTATCATTTTTTTTCTCTTCAAAATGTTATTTTTTTAAATACGGTACTTTTTCCTTTTGCTTTCAATGTTTTTCAAAAAAAGGCAATGACGTTCGCAATTTTAAAAATTCCCCTTTCTGCCGTCTCGTTTTTCAAGTGGTTTGTGTTCCTAACGAAATTCCTCATGTAGAAAAATTGCCATCCGATTTTGTTGAAACATTTTTTTTGTCCGAATAAGATAATATCAAAATAAGTTTTTTTTCGGCTGTGTTCTTCTCTCTTCTGTTGAAAAAGCAACTTTGCTATCCTCAATTTTCATCTTTTCGCCTTTTTTTATTCATTCGCCTATCTGAACCTGAATTTTTTGTTTATTTTGTTGTTTTTGTCATACAGTAGGCAACATTTATTGATTAAATGTATTCATAACAATAATAATAATAATCATCATCATCGAAAGATGAGACCACATAACAACAAAAAAAAACGTTTTGGTATGTATGTATACAAACAACACCGTCATCAACATTGATGCTTTTTTTGTTGTTCGTTGTTATGTATATTCACTTGGCTCCGCCTATCATGCAACTGAAAAAAAATTGTTTCGGAAGAGCACCGAAGAATTTTTGTGCTCTCCCTCCGCCTCTACAAACATTGGCAGACGAAAAAAAATTTTTTGCTGCTGGTGAAAGTGTTTGTTTTGTCGCAATATTTGTCAGCGCTGCCACTGATTCAGTATCTGCTTGTTTTTTTCCCACATGCTTCGGTTTTTTTCTCGCGCTCCTTTTTTTTGTTGAGTTATATATGTTTTTCTTGCTTCAGCCCGCTTGTTTTGTTTTTGTTTCATCGTTTAATGTCTTTGTTCTTTTTTCCGGACATCGCATTCAGTGTAAAGATGCTTTAGGACTTCTTCAAAATCAATTGCCACATTGAATCGTGTGCCCAGATGTCGTACCAAGACTGTTCGCCAACAAAATATCACTTTCATTTTTTTTTCTCATCACATTCATTGAATTGCGATAACAAAAATATTTTTGTTTCTGAAAACTTTTTGGCGCGCGAGAGAGATACTTCCTCTTATCTTGTTTTCTGATCATACCATACCTATGCTTTACAAAAAACCTTTTTCGCCATATATGTTTTGTTTCTTTTTTTCTTATTTCTCATTTCTCAAACATATAATACTTCCAAAAAAACTGAAACAGTAGAAGTTTTCTTTTACTACACCGCTTCTCCTTCATCCTTTGATGTCTAATTACTCATAAACGCTTCCGCAAAACATACTATCTCATCAGACAAAAAAGAAGATGATGATGGCAACAAAAATAGTGAACGTTGTCGAATTTTTCGGAAAGAAGAATGAAAGTTGTTTTCCTTGAGATTATTGTAATTTTATGTATGTATGTGTTGTTTTTTCTTTTATTTTTCTAAGACGGTTTGACAACGTTCTTTGGCAAAATATTTTTGTATTCTTTCAGAAAATTCAACAAAAATCGTGACGTTGAATGAGAAAGATAACACCATTTTTTTCTAAAAGCAAAAACATTTCGAAATATTCAAAAAACTAATTCCACCCGCAAAATAATTTGCTCTTTCTTTCCATTATTTTGTTCTCAACTCAACAAAAAAACATATCTATGTAATAGAAAATTCATCTGTTTTTGTTGTTTTGTGTTGCTCTTTGCCTCTTCGCGCACATGCCTTCACTTGTTCTCCTTTTTTCCAGTTTTTTTTTTGTTCATTTTCAATTTTGAAAATGAACGAGAAACGGAGGGGGGAGAAAAAAGAAACACAAAAAAATGTATGTTTTTTCTCTCGACTCATGCGTGAAATGGGCGTGGCCTTAGGGTCCATTGTTATTTTTCCACTTTTTTGCTCCCTTTTCCCATGTTTGACTACTATGTTTTTCAATTGTTTTTTTTTTCTTGTTCTACCCCCGTTTTTTCTCACTCAATCGTTTCATAGAAAAAAGAAAAAACTCAAGCTATTTAAGAATTTTTCCTTATTTCGCACTGAAAAAATGATCATCTGAAAATTAATTTAAAATAGAATATCGCAACATATTCTCAGCCCATATTTCATCTCAAGATGAATTAATATAAACGGACAACATCATATATTTTTCTGTGAAGTTGGAGATGTGGAAAAATGCGAAGCAAAAAAAATGTGGAGCACGAAAAAAAACGAGAAGAGAGTCCCTTTTTTTGGCCATGTGTTTTTGTGTTTGTTTTGCCTTCCTTTTTTCTTTTTTCTAGTTCACTTATATGTCCGCAGGCAAGCAATTTGAAACGTTTTTCGTTTCATATATGTGTTTTTTAGTCGGAATCGACTAATGGGATCTTTTCCCGTTCAAAAATCCCGAATTTTTCAGATAAAATTGACTATTTTTTATGTGCTTTTTTTTCTTTTTTGTTGATTATCAATACACTTAGTTGAACAAAATCAAATTTCCGCTGCATAAAACAAAATAGGAACTAATCCATACATATTCATTGCTGTCGCGTTCCAGATTTTTTCTAAACTAAAATGTGTTTTTTTTTCTTTGTGATAACTACTTTGAAAGTGTCACATGCATTTATGGAAAAGCAACAAATAGCAAAAATAACACACAAAAGTGTTGTTCTTCTTCTTATCATGCATGGTATGTATGAAAAACCATCCATCGAAAAACACAAAAATTGTTTCTCTTTCTCTCTTACTTTCTGCTGATAACCGATCATACGACAACTCATTTTTTGTCGGTTATCTTGTTTCTTTTTGTTTCTTTTTTTTGTCGCTCTCTACATACGTGCCTCATTTCTTGCTCCACCCCCCTACACTTTTGTACCGTACAAAAACACTATGAAATAACATCGAGCTCCGCCCATTGCGAAAAAAAAGAGTTTTTTTTGGGTGCTTTTTACCTCCTCGTGTTGTGTTTTTGTGTTGCTCTTTTTCTTCTGCTACTTCTACTTCTATTTTTTTTCTTGTTCCTCAAGTGGTTACTTTTTTCCGGACTCTATTTTTTTTCTTCTTGTTATGTTTTTTTAAATGCTCTTGAATATCTTCTTTTTTTTCAGAGATGGACTTGCTGGCGTCGAGCCTTATGATGCCGTCCACAACAACAACAGAACCATCAGTAGCAGAGCAAATAGCACATCTGACAGCCGAGAATTCGTCCCTATCACTATCATCCGGATCACAACAAGCGTCGCCAATTCAACCAACTACCACAACACCAGTGCAAACATCGGAAAATATGGAACGACCTTCACTTTCATATAAAGATCTGATAATTGAAGCCATTGAGAGTAGTCCAGATAAACGGCTAAAACTCAATGAAATATATCAGGTGAGTAGGTTTTTTTTTGCATCTCATGGGAAAAAACACAATTTTTTGATCTACCATATGATTCATGGTTGCCTTTGTTCGCAAGGAGGCAGTCAATTTTCAAAAAGTGCGTTCGTACTTTCCATAGGCTCCAAATATGTATGAATAGAAGCTCTTTCTCTCATTCCGTGTTTCTTTTCCCTCTATATTTTTTGCTTGTTCGCCGGTCCAGGGTCCGGAAAAGGTCATTTATATATGTATAGTGGAATGTTATTTTTCTGCTCGTTTTTTTTGTCAGAAAAAAAAACTTTCTGAAAAAAACACATTGCTCTTTTCAACACACAAACACAAGTTGAGAGTGTTTGGCAAAAGTCAATATGAATGGAAAAAAGCCAGAAAAAAATATATGATGAAGGGAAACAAACTATTTTGACAAAATAGCAAAACCTCATGATTCAGGAGACGGCTCTATTTGCGTTTCTACAGTATTCCAGAATGAGAGAAAGTTGGAAAATATGAGAGTTCACAGTTTATGTTTGTTTTCTGCTGACTGACGCGGCGGCAGCGAAAAACTTTGGCAAAATTTTGAAGGGGAAACTTGAAGGATAGATCAATAACAAATGAGATGTTTGCAGGTTATCAGACTTCTTCATCCGTATTATCGTCATCGACCAGATCAATGGGGATGGCAAAATTCGATTCGACACAATTTGAGTCTACATGATTGTTTTGTGAAGCTACCATTAAAGCAGACATCCGCCAGCGGTGTTGTCGGTGAGTAGACTTTATTAGACCACGTTTATTCATTAGTTTGCTCTCTCTCTCTCTCTTTCTTTTTTGATTTTTGCCGAGCAGGTGAGAAAAAAACTTTTTATTTTTTATTTTTTGTTGGCTAGCCGTATATATATATATACACATAAAGAGAAGAAGAAGAGGGCGAATAACAATTTTTATGACCCGCGCGCCTATGAATTCGGCTTGGGCATCTGATTAAAAAAATTTGTTCAGCCAGAAGGGCAATAAAATTGTGGTGGGGGGAAAGTGCGACAATAATTGAGGGCAGAAACAAAAACACGGGGTTTTTTTAACTTTTCAATTTTGCAGGACACTTCTGGACAGTGGTACCCGAATTGAGTGACAAACAGACTTTACGGAGAAGGAATCGCGCACAAGCAAGGACGAATTCCAAGAAGAGTGATGCTGGTCGAACATTGTCTCGAGATGATCGAGCAAGTTCGGGTAGCGGACAAACATCGCCCAGTCCGTCACAGCAATCAATTAGTCCACCACATGACATTGCTAAACCATTGGCCAGTTATGGTGGACTCGATATTCTCAACAGTTTCAGCTCTGAATATAAAGCGGCTATCCTTCAAGCTGTTCTATACCAACAAGGTAAACATTTTTAAAGGCGAAGCCTTTCGAAATAAAAAAAATCCATATAACATATTTTTTTATTAGCAGGCATCTTTCAAACATTACAAAATATGAATGAGCTCAATCAACAACACGGCGGAGGTGGTGTTCCAGCGAGTCCACTTCAAGCACTCACATCAACACTTCTCAATCCATTGAACCCATTATTGGCGTTGAGTCAAATTTCCAACACCCTACCCACCGGTTTACCAACCGCCAGTCCAGCACTTTCACCGATTAAAACTGAGCCGTCATCTTTTCTTCTTCAATAGGCACCAATCACTATATCATCATTCAAAAAACCATTTCTTCTAATTATCATTTTGTTACTTTGTAGACTCTCGAAACAACCATCTATCCTCCTTTATAAGCACCGATTCTTCCTGACTTTTTTCTTTATTTCTCTCTCCTTCTCATTCTTTATTGATTTTGGTTGTTGGCCTGATCTCTCACTGTTTCAAAAAAATAACTCCTTCAACTAATTTATACCCGTCTTCTATGAAATGATCATTCTTCCTTGTTTCTTATATGCACCCAATTGGTTTTTTTTTCCTTGTTCCCCTTGACTCTTAGAGTCTCATTTTTATTCAATCAATAGAAGAACCATGTACAGAACCCCCTGATCCCATTTTATTATTTTTGTGCAAGTAGCGCGCAAATACTTGTAGTCGTTCACGAGTTGATGCAATTTGGTTTTCAATCATTATTTTTTCCCCCAATTCTCTGATCAAGCTTTTTTTTGTTCACACAAAATTTTTTCCAAAATTCCCCCACCCGTCTCCAACTTCGCATCGGAGTCATAACACCGTATTTTATATTTTGATTAGACAAGATTTAGCTACCCTTCAACAACATTTCATCCTTCTATAATCTGATTCTATGAACCAATGACAAACAAAAATTTCTGTCCCCCACACCTTTTTATATTTATATGAAAAAGGCCTTTATGTGTCGATTCGAGTTACTTTTTCTATGTGCAGACAAATTGTTCGATTCTAATTAGCTCCCTTTCTTCTCTCTTGTACCCTATTTTTTTCCACAGATCACCGTTAATTTTTTGTGTCTCTCTTGTTTTTTGATTCATTTTTACATTATTTTTTTCCCCCAAACCGTGTGAACACAGTGCTACCGGTTATCATGTTGCACCCCTTCCTGACTATTTTTATTATGAAATAATGTTTTTTTGTACTTTTTTGAAATAAAAAAATCATTCTTAATTTTCGTTTTTTTCTCACGGAAAAGTTTAAAACACATGCCCAAGTTTTATACATATTTGAGAAAATGTTATCATTTTTTTTGGAGGAAAAATACATAGCAAACACAAATTTTTTATGTAAAATGTGTATTTGTCAAAACCTTTTTTTCTCTGATAAGAACTTGAATTGAAAACAAAAATCAAAAAAAAAATTTTTTTTTCTGAAAAAGGAAGAGGGATGTTGTACAATAAGATGATTCTTAGAAAACATTGAACTTATTATAAATCCAAATTTCCGATTAGAACTTCCGGTGTTCCGTTAAACATCATGAACATCGTCAGAATCTTAAAATCAAAAGCAAGAAAGTTTATATAATCTTTAAAATAGTACCATATAATTAGACATTGTTCCAATCGTTCCACATTCTTTATCAACACACAAAAAAGGTCAAAGTTTTATATCTATTTTGATTTCATTTTTTCACCTGTTTCTTCTAAATCAGATCCTACATAATTTTTGTTTTTTTTCTGCTACGTAGCATAATTTTCTAGAACGAAAACTTGCAGGTGAAGATTTATGGTCTGAAAAAAACACAAAAATTCTGCAAGGAAGTCTGCGTTCATCCATTATCAAAAAATTTGATTCAATTCTAAAAAAGGTCAAGTTTTGATGTAGCATTTTGGTCCGCTTCTCTCTCCTATTTTTTGGTCCTTTTCATGAATAGACAAATAGAGACATAGCAATTTGTTTCTCTTTTATTCATCGAACAAGGCGAAAAACACTGAAAAATACATATGACGTTTATTCAGCTTCACCTGTTTGGGAAACAATTTATATGTATGTTGTTAGACAATTTTATTGTTGTTGCAGAATGAAAAAAGTTGAATAAAAGAAAAGAGAAAACAATAAAATGTGTGTGTTTTATTTTAGTTAGGCAACTAACGATGGAGCAGTCTGAAATATTACTATGTTTTTTGATGTATAGGTAAAACAAAAAATAATTACCTGGAAAGGCACCATATTTCGACATTTCAATTCATCTTCATATGACATTATATAACCACCTGTGGATTTTGCGACTAGTGGACGGAATGAACCGAATTCACTTCCTTCTCGAACTTCAACTGATCGACCATCGAACATCATTGGAATCATCGCTTCGCATTCTTTTGATTGTGGTAGTGCATCCGAAATCTGAATAAAATTGAACTAGAAACATTTTTCTATAATATTTTTCATAAACCCGTGTAAAATTATTTTTGGATCATCCCACAAATTCTTCAAAAAAATTCAGAAGTTCAAAAACTCCTCCACTCACATTTTTCATTGTCTGATTTCTGATTCTTTCCTTTGTTTCCAAAAAAAAGCGTAAAATTTTGCATACGCAAAAAATTTATCAGTCAGAAAAAAAAATTAATTTTTTGAAAACGCTATCTCCTTACACAATACACATACATTTTTCTGTCGATTAAAAATGACGTGTATTTTTTGAGAATCGAGAAAAAACATACCACATTTCTTCGCTTATCAAGTATATGACTTCCAGCTTTCTCTTTGCTGTTCGACACAAATTGACGGGAAATGAACCCGTGTGAATCATTTGACATGCCTGGTTTCCAATCATCTTTGTACTTTACGTTGGCCGTCTGGAAAAAAAATGAGAAAATGGTTTTGGAAGGAAATATATGTGTATCTTGTTCCGATTTGGAGAATAAGTAGTTTTTCTTTGAAAAGTGTATGGGGGAGATTTTTATGGCTATGTGAAAAATTTTGAGAATTGTGACATTTTGATCTATGAAAATTGAATTTTGTATGGATCTCAGCCTTGTTTTCTAAAAAATTATTCACATACATATCACAAAAGATGTTCAACATATCAAAAACTTCAAAATAGATTTTTCAATGGTAGAAAATTTACAAGTGAATCTAACTTTTATCATAATTCTAGAAATGAAGAAAAATTTCAAACAATTTCAAGAAATTTCTAAAAAAAATAGGTGAAATATTTAGAAACCAAGTAAAATTATAAAAGAAAAACTGCTTGTGAAATCATAAATTAAATTACGCAGAACATAATTTGGATCATTGCTTCGCATTTTTTTGTGGTAGAGCAAGATTGAAAAATATCTTCTCTTGAATTAAAGATAATTCAAAAATGAAATAAATAATCAAATTTACTATACAATAAAACAGATTTGAGATAGTCACAAAAAAAACGGAAAGTTATATGCCCCTAAAAAAGAATAAAACAGCAAACTGTTAAATATTACGATAAAATAAAAATTCATTAAAAAAACATATTTATCTAAAAAAAAATAATATCTGCTGTATATCCACCACATTTTTCTTGACTCGATCAATAATTTACTTTTACAAAATATAGTACGTCTCCTTCCTCTCTCTAATTTCTCCTCATTTTCCACACTCTCTCACCTGCTCTAATATTGCATCCCCTTTTCTTCATTGCATCTATTCATTTGCGAAAAAAACCGAAAAAAATGTATTTTTTTACAATATTTTTCTATTCACCAAAATGCACGAAATAAATGTGAATCGTGACGAGACCCACACACATTTCAAGGAGAAAAAGATGCGAGAAAAAAAACAAGAAATGAAATTTTCGAAAGCATGCATTTTTCACACTCGTTGCCTTGAAATGAGTGTTGGTCTCGTCACGATTGCATGTATTTCGCGACAATTTGTGATTTTGGTGAATAGAAAAATATTGTAAAAAAATACATTATTTTCGTGTTTTTTTGCAAATGAATAGATGCACATGTTTTCGTTAATTTGTTTTATAGTTATCCAATGATTTCCTTACTATTTTTATCTATTTTTTTGTTTTCTTCGTGTAGGTTAGTTAAATTTGTTTAGTTAAGGTTAATGTTGAAACTTCGTCTCTTTGAATGTTCATTTTTATTTCTGTTTCTTAATTGTTCAGAATATTGATAACGTTCTTTCTCACATTGAAATTTTGCATTTTCACTTTCGAAATGTTCTGCAGAATGAATCAAAAATCAAAACCTAAGACCACACTACATTTGGAATTGATAACACAGTGACTCACCTGTAACCGTAGAATTCCAAAATCTCCGTGTTGATGAGATATACATCCTTTATTGATCAAAGGAATAACACATTCACTTTGATTATCCTGAAAACATTGGACTTTGCCCTTCTTTGATTTATTGCTCATGTCAACTTACATTTTTCGTTTTATAATCGTGATTATCAACAATACCCTCAACTGTCAATCGTTTTCCGCCAATTGGCGTCATTCCACAACTATTTGCACATTTGGATTCATCATTCCAAAGTGGAATAACAGTTTTTGAATCGACAGTTCCTTGCACCAATGGCTTTGCGCCAAAATCGACTCCAACGTTAGCATCTCGAGATTTACCGAAAGCACCCATTCCTTCTTGAGTAATCAATGCTGCACTTTGTTCCCAAGGAATTACGAATGGTATATTTACATCTCTAAAAAAACATATAATTTTGAAAATGATTCACTCAAAAGTTTTAGAAAACTTACAGTTGTCTTGGTTTTTTGGCATATCTTAACGTTGGCGGTATTCGTTCTTCCTTATTTCTCTCTGCGATTGTTTTTTCTTTAGGTGGCATAGGAATTGGCTCTTCTTGTGGTTTGATTGGTGCAACCCATTTGGGCATTTTCGGTTCTTCGGGTTCTTTTGGAACTTCGGGGACTGTGAATTCAGCTTCTGGCTCTGTTGGCTTCTTTTTCGGATGTTTCCTTTTCTTTGGTCGTTTTTTGTGTTTCTTTGGTTTTGTTGGTGAGTCTTCCTCTGGTTCATCTTCAGGCTCTTCGTCATCAACATCTTCATCTTCAGGTGCTTGAACTGTGAAATCAGCTTCAGGTTCCTCATCGGGGTCTTCTTCCCATGGAGGCCTGAACTTTTTCGGTTTTGCATCATTCGGTTTTTCTTCTGGTTTTGCTGGAGCTTTCTTGGCCAATTTCGGATCTTTTTTCTTCGGCCCACCTAAGGGATCTGCGGGATCTTCGGAGTCAGGTTTCTTCGGAGCAGGCATTGTGAAATCAGCTTCAGGTTCCTCATCTGGGTCATCCTCCCATGGCGGTTTGAACTTCTTTGGTTTGGTTGGTTCGTCTTTTGGTTTTTCGTCTGGTTTTGCTGGAGCTTTCTTGGCCAGTTTGGGATCTTTTTTCTTCGGTCCACCTAATGGTTCTGCGGGATCTTCGGAGTCTGGTTTCTTTGGAACAGGCATTGTGAAATCTGCTTCAGGCTCTTCGGGTTCATCAGGATCATCTTCCCATGGCGGTTTAAACTTTTTAGGTTTATCAGGTTTTGGTGGATCAGCTGCTTTTGGAGTTTCGGCTGGCTTGGTAGGTGCTTTCTTGGCCAGTTTAGGATCTTTTTTCTTCGGTCCACCTAAGGGATCTGCGGGATCTTCAGAATCTGGTTTTTTGGGTGCAGGCATGGTGAAATCGGCTTCAGGCTCTTCGGGTTCATCAGGATCGTCTTCCCATGGAGGTTTGAATTTCTTAGGTTTGTCTGATTTCGGTGGATCAGCTGCTTTTGGTGTTTCTGCTGGCTTTGTTGGTGCTTTTTTAGCAAGCTTAGGATCTTTTGGCTTTGGAGCACTAACCGGTTCTGCTGGAGAATCAGTATCTGGTTTTTTAGAAGGTGATTTCTTGGCGAGTTTCGGATCTTTTTTCTTCGGTCCACCTAAGGGATCTGCGGGATCTTCGGAGTCAGGTTTCTTTGGAGCAGGCATTGTAAAATCAGCTTCTGGCTCATCAGGATCATCTTCCCATGGAGGCTTGAACTTCTTCGGTTTGTCTGACTTTGGTGGATCAATTGGTTTTGTTGGAGCAGGCATAGTGAAATCAGCCTCAGGCTCTTCGGGTTCATCTGGGTCATCCTCCCATGGCGGTTTGAACTTTTTAGGCTTATCAGATTTCGGTGGATCAGCTGCTTTTGGAGTTTCGTCAGGCTTTGTTGGTGCTTTTTTAGCAAGCTTGGGATCTTTCGGTTTTGGAGCACTAACCGGCTCTGCTGGAGAATCAGTATCTGGTTTTTTAGAAGGTGCTTTCTTGGCGAGTTTCGGATCTTTTTTCTTCGGCCCACCTAAAGGATCTGCGGGATCTTCAGTATCTGGTTTTTTGGGAGCAGGAACAGTGAAATCAGCCTCAGGCTCATCCGGATCGTCTTCCCAAGGTGGTTTGAATTTCTTCGGCTTGTCTGATTTTGGTGGGTCAATTGGTTTTGTTGGAGCAGGCATAGTGAAATCAGCCTCAGGCTCATCTGGATCATCTTCCCATGGAGGTTTGAACTTTTTGGGCTTATCAGATTTCGGCGGGTCGGCAGCTTTCGGTGTTTCTGTCGGTTTTGTTGGTGCTTTTTTAGCCAGTTTCGGATCTTTTTTCTTTGGTCCACCTAAGGGATCTGCGGGATCTTCGGAGTCTGGTTTTTTGGGAGCAGGTACCGTGAAATCGACTTCAGGCTCATCTGGGTCATCCTCCCATGGCGGTTTGAACTTCTTGGGTTTATCAGTTTTCGGTGGTTCAACGGCTTTTGGAGTTTCGGCTGGCTTTGTTGGTGCTTTCTTGGCGAGCTTGGGATCTTTTGGTTTTGGACCGCCCAATGAATCTGCAGGATCTTCGGAGTCTGGTTTTTTGGGAGCAGGAACAGTAAAATCCGCTTCAGGCTCATCAGGATCATCTTCCCATGGTGGTTTGAACTTTTTAGGCTTATCAGATTTCGGTGGATCAGCTACTTTTGGTGTTTCGGCAGGCTTGGTAGGTGCTTTTTTAGCAAGCTTGGGATCTTTAGGTTTTGGAGCACTAACCGGCTCTGCTGGAGAGTCAGTGTCTGGTTCTTTAGCAGGTGCCTTTTTGGCGAGCTTGGGATCTTTCGGTTTCGGACCGCCCAATGAATCTGCGGGATCTTCGGAGTCTGGTTTTTTGGGAGCAGGTACCGTGAAATCGGCTTCAGGCTCATCGGGATCGTCTTCCCATGGAGGTTTGAACTTTTTTGGTTTATCAGATTTCGGTGGTTCAACAGCTTTTGGAGTTTCTGCTGGCTTGGTAGGTGCCTTTTTGGCGAGCTTGGGATCTTTTGATGTTGGAGCACTGACTTTATCTGCCGGATCATCAGAATCTGGTTTGCCAGCTGGTTTCTTGCTCAACGTAGGTTGCTTTTTCGGAACTACCGGCTCTGGAACTTCTTCAGGCTCTTCCTCATCTTCTTCCCAGGGTGGTCTCCATTTCTTTGGTGGATTTTTGATTGGAGCTGGTGACGGAGCTGGTTTTTCCTCCTCTTTCTTTGGGGCAACTTTTTTTGGAGAGGGATCTCTTGCTTTCGATTTGACAGGCTCAGTAGTTTTGGCAGGCTCCGTTTTGACTGGTGTTGGCTCTTTTTTCTTTAAAACTGGTGTTTTCTTGGGCTCAGGCTCCACAACTTTCACAGGCTCAGGTTCTTCTTCATCTTCCTCCCAAGGTGGTCTCCACTTTTTGGTCGGATTTTTCACAGGCGCAGGCGAAGGTGTTGGTTTATCTACCTGTTTCGGAGTGACCTTTTTAGGGGAAGGATCTCTAGCTTTTGGTTTGACAGGCTCATTGATCTTTGGAACTTCCTTTTTAGGCTCAGAAACTTTCGCAGGCTCAGTTTTAACTGGTGTTGGTTCTTTTTTCTTCAAGACTGGTGTTTTCTTGGGTTCCGGCTCAGAAACTTTCACAGGCTCAGGTTCTTCCTCATCTTCTTCCCATGGTGGCCTCCATTTTTTAGTCGGATTTTTGACTGGCGTTGGTGGCGGTGCAATTTTATCTGCAGGTTTTGTAGGTTCTGATTTTTTCGGTTCTTCGATCTTCGGGACTGTTTTTTTCGGAGAGGGATCTCTTGATTTAGGCTTGTCAGTTGCTGCAGGTTCTTTTTTCTTTAGCACTGGAGTTTTCTTCGGCTCAGGCTCAGAAACTTTCACGGGCTCAGGCTCTTCTTCATCTTCCTCCCAGGGTGGTCTCCATTTTTTTGTTGGATTTTTCACTGGAGCTGGAGATGGTGTTGGCTTGTCTTCAACTTTTGGAGCAACCTTTTTTGGAGAGGGATCTCTTGTCTTTGGTTTCACAGGCTCATTAATTTTTGGAACTTCTTTTTTGTTTTCTGGGATCTTGGCAGGAGTTGGATCTTTTTTCTTTAGCACTGGAGTTTTCTTCGGCTCAGGCTCCGCAACTTTCACAGGCTCAGGCTCCTCTTCATCTTCCTCCCAGGGTGGTCTCCATTTTTTCGTTGGATTTTTGACTGGCGTAGGAGGAGGTGCAGTTTTATCCGCAGGCTTGCTGGGTTCAGATTTTTTTGGTTCTTCAATCTTAGGAACAGTTTTTTTCGGAGATGGATCTCTTGGCTTGGTCTTGGTAGCTGGTTCTGCTTTGGTAGGTGTTGGCTCCTTTTTCTTTAAAACTGGTGTTTTCTTGGGCTCAGGCTCGGAAACTTTCACTGGTTCAGGCTCCTCTTCATCTTCCTCCCATGGTGGTCTCCATTTCTTTGGTGGGTTTTTGATTGGAGCTGGTGACGGAGCTGGTTTTTCCTCCTCTTTCTTCGGAGCAACTTTTTTTGGAGAGGGATCTCTAGCTTTCGGTTTGGCAGGCTCTTTCACCTTTGGAACTTCCTTTTTAGGCTCAGAAGCTTTTGCAGGCTCCGTTTTGACTGGTGCTGGTTCTTTTTTCTTCAAAACTGGTGTTTTCTTGGGCTCAGGTTCTGAAATTTTCACAGGCTCAGGTTCTTCTTCATCTTCTTCCCATGGAGGTTTCCATTTTTTAGTCGGATTTTTCACTGGCGTTGGTGGGGGTGCTATTTTATCAGCAGGTTTTGTAGGTTCAGATTTTTTCGGTTCTTCGATCTTTGGGACTGTCTTTTTCGGAGAGGGATCTCTTGATTTCGGCTTGTCTGTGGCAGCAGGTTCTTTTCTTTTGAGAACAGGAGTTTTCTTCGGCTCAGGCTCGGAAATTTTCACAGGCTCTGGTTCTTCCTCATCTTCCTCCCATGGAGGTTTCCATTTTTTAGTCGGATTTTTAACTGGGGTTGGTGGCGGTGCAGTTTTATCAGTAGGCTTGCTGGGTTCTGCTTTTTTTGTTTCTTCAATCTTAGGAACAGTTTTTTTCGGCGATGGATCTCTTGGCTTAGTCTTGGTAGCTGGTTCTGCTTTGGTTGGCTCCTTTTTCTTCAAAACTGGAGTTTTCTTCGGCTCAGGCTCAGAAACTTTCACGGGCTCAGGCTCTTCTTCATCTTCCTCCCAGGGTGGTCTCCATTTTTTTGTTGGATTTTTGACTGGAGCTGGAGATGGTGTTGGCTTGTCTTCAACTTTTGGAGCAACCTTTTTTGGAGAGGGGTCTCTTGATTTCGCTTTGACAGGTTCATTGATTTTTGGAACTTCTTTTTTGGTTTCTGGGGTCTTGGCAGGAGTCAGATCTTTTTTCTTCAAGACTGGTGTTTTCTTTGGCTCAGGCTCGGAAACTTTGACCGGCTCTGTGTCTTCTTCATCCTCTTCCCATGGAGGTTTCCATTTTTTTGTTGGATTTTTCACCGGAGCTGGAGATGGTGTTGGTTTATCAACAACTTTTTTCGGTGAAGCATCACGTGGTTCTTTTCGTTTTAAGGTTGGAGTTTTCTTAGCTTCCGGCTCTTTGACAGAATCAGTTTTTGTTGGAGCTGGCTCTTTCTTCTTCAACACTGGTGTTTTCTTCTGCTCCGGTTCAGGTGCTTTCACCGGCTCTGTCTCTTCCTCATCTTCTTCCCAAGGCGGTCTCCACTTCTTTGGTGGATTTTTGATGGGTGCAGGAGATGGTGTCGGTTTTTCCTCTTCCTTTTTCGCCACAGTTTTCTTCGGCGATGGATCTCGTGATTTCTTTTTCAAAATTGGTGTTTTCTTTTCAACTGGCTCAACCTCTTTTCGTTTCAAAGACGGGTTTGTGTTCTCGACTGAATCTACTTCCATCTCTTCTACTTCCTCTTCTACATCGTCCTCTTCCCATGGAGGTTTCCATTTTTTGACTGTATTTTTGATTGGAGTTGATGGCGGGCGACTCATTAGTATTGCATTTCAAAAAAAACCAGCAAATGAAAACTGAAAAAAATGAACTTTTTTTGGTTTTTCGGATGATGAGAGATGAAGTTAAGTAGAAACACATGTTTATTGGTAATCGGAAAGAAAAATAGGGAATTATGAAGAAAAAGGTGTTGGAAAAAAGTTGGATTTGGAAAATTCAAAAGAAAATAATCAACAAGTTTTGATAGCCTAACATTATATTGATTGAAAAACAAGAAAGAATTGAACATTTCATTTTATAAAATGATTAAAATTCTTGAAAGTTCGATAAAATGCGACATCAAAATCTAGAACTGTATGCTTGACTTGATACAAGACTCAATATAACAATTAAAAAAAAGTAATTATCAAAAATCTCCAAATTATTTTTTATCATCTCTGATTTCTAGATTTTCACAGTATATCTTTTCTAAAAAGTCCAGCCCAAGATTTCTTCGACATTTCTGAATCAGAAATAAAAACATTTTCGGATCATGAATTGAAAAAAAATCGATAAAAGTTGTTGTTTCTCTTTTCAAAAGTTCGAAAAGAGAAACAACAACATAATCTGTCATGAAAGAAGAGCATAGATGAAAAAAAAGAAAAGAAAAATCATAAGGGCGCCCCCACATACGATCAGCCATCTTCTTCTTCATCCTCAAGCAAGCTCTAGTTTACACTAGAAGAACTTGAGAATTGTTTGGAGTCGAGTCTCACAAAACATCTTCTCTCCTTCTCCATTCTTTTCATCACAGACAATGAATGATTTATCAGACAACTGAAAAAACATATGGATATTTTATTGGTATCATTATGTATATCAAAAATCTCAAATCCCCTTTTTATGCCCAACCAAATAATAGAAAATATGCATGTATGACGAAAAAACGAACGAATAAATTTAATTTATTGAGAATTGGTTGTTGATTTGGCTATTGAATCAAGACGTGTTTGAAAATTTTTGCCGGCAAACTCAATAAATTCCGAAGTTGTTTCGCATTCTTCCAGTGAGAAATCGACAGTTTCCTAAATTTTTTATTATTTTTTTGCTTAAAATACTGATAGTTGATACTCTATTTCCAGCAACAGAAATACAATAAAATAAATAAATAAATGAATTTGATTCTGCAAAAACATCTATCTATTCCATCCATAGCTGTGAAAAAAAAATATTGATGTCATTTTTTCACAACTATCAAATTTCATTAATCGAATGAGAGACTCTTGTTTTAAAAGAGAAAGTTATTAGCATTTTTGCCGAGCACTCTTTTCACTTTTCATTAATTTTCTCATCCATCTATCTTCGTTTCATTTGGATTTTTCTTTGAGAAGCAGAAAAAAGGAAAAACTTACTCCTATTTGCACATTATTTTGTACATCAATACAGTCGTATTCATAGCCATAGCAGGAGATTGATTTTCCTATAGAAAATTATTTTGTTAGGTTTTTGTGGAACTTTTTTGAGCATTTTTATTGAACAGATTGAAAATTTTCTCATTTTTTTTTAAATTTTTGGACCCCAATATAAAAAAATATAAATTCTCTTTCTTTCAATAAAACAAAACCATCCAATAAAAATTCAGCCAATCTTTTTTCATAGAAAAATGTATCATTTCCCCCTTAAAAATTGAAAATCTTTCTCCTTTTTTTTTTAAATTTCGCAAACTGTTTAACCTGTGGCATTATTGAAAACACGAGCATATGCAAAACAATAAGGTGGGCTTGCAAATCTCCGATTCTTCTTGATTACCAGTGTGACGTCATTGCTTTGAACCTGAATTCTTTCTCATCTTATGCTCTTCTTGGAGCAATATAATTATATACAATTACCTCGAGGGGAAAAATAATAAAAAGAGCAAGTGAGAGAATTAGGAAAAAGTTCATTTTTTTTTTTGAAAAAAAGCCATCTCATGAATCATTTTTCCTTTTTTTTCAAAGTTAAGCTGTTCAAATACATCAAAAAGTTCATGTTATATCCTTTTTTCTATACTTTTTTGTTCAAACAATTATTGCTACATTAAACGCGCCAACAGGTCAATGATTGACGCAAACAAAGGTGTTTTCTTTCTTTTCTTTTTTTTCCATTTGTTTCTTTTCTTATAAACCGAAAGTTTTTGTATATTTTTGCACACTTTTTGCTTTTCGAGAAAACACACGGAAAATGGGGAATTTTTCACTTTCCGCATTTTCCTCATGCAGTCTCACATCGATTTTCCCCTTTCATTTTTCTTTTTTTTTTTTTTTTGAAAAAAAGGCCCCTCCTCTCTTTGGCGAGGTCGTGAAGATGTGTGTGTGTGTGTGTGTATGTTTGTATTCAGACCCACCCGTTGTTTTTTTTTGCGCTGTCTCGGTTATTTTTCTTGTTCTAGAAAAAAAATCTTTTTACACTATACTAATTTTTTCAGCTATAAATGGATTTCAATTTCAAAAAAATTGCCAGTGAAGCGGGCGGATTTTTCACCAGAGCTAAGCAGGTTTGTTATTCATTTTTCTCAAAAAAAACGCTTTTTGTTAGTAAACAATATATTATTCATAAAAGATTTAGTAATAATACGAGAAAATTTTTATTTTTATTTCAAAAAAAAATTTTTTTGGTGTGAAAAAAGTTTGAAATGGATAAGATATTATATTACTGCTGGGCCAAAGAGCATAAAATTTTATAGCCTTTGACTTCTTCAACAACAAAAAAAAAGAGTAAGAAAAAAACCAATTTGCAGCTCACTGAAGAAACATTTTTGAAAGCTGAACGAACTGAACTCGATGCTCATTTCGACAATTTATTGCAACGCGCGGATAAAACCGAAGACCACACACGACGCCTTCTCTCTTCAATCGAGAGCTATCTTCAACCAAATCCTAGTAATATTCTTTTTTTCAATTTCTTTCATGTCCTAGTACGATTTAATTGACATGAGATTCATCTTTTTTTTTGCAGCCGTTCGAATGGAGGAAGTGTTTTATGAAAAATTGGAATTGAAAAAAGATGGAGCTGTTCGTCAGAATAATTTGGAACATTTGGCAACTTCGATGACTGAAGCTGGTGAAACTTTTGGAGAAAATACCCCATATGGTGATCATTTTATAAGGCTTAGGGTTAAATTTTAAACAATTTCTAGATAGAGAAAAAATTCCAACGCTCAACAAAATTAAAAATGTCTTTAAAAAATCATGAATTCAAATTTCTATGAAATCTCTCAGAAATAATTTTTTTGAGAAAAATATTCCCAGATTTTCGATCGAAAATTACATTAGAGGATATAGGAACGAAAAAATGTTTTATGAAATACCAAACTATACTTTCCAAAAACCAAACCCATTTATTTTCAGGAAGTGCTTTGATCAAAGTGAGTCAAACCGAACAAAGATTAGGTCAAGCGGAGCGCGAATTGTGTAATCAAGCAGCCGCCAATACACTTTTGCCGATTCGTCGATTTTTGGAAGGCGATATGAAGACAATTCAGGTAGGTTGAGATTAACATCAAATTAGAACATCTATTTTTTTATTTAAAGAATTGGAATACAATTTTTTTTCTTTCAGAAAGAGCGAAAGGTGTTGAATAGCAAACGATTGGATTTGGATGCGTGTAAAAGTCGTTTAAAGAAGGCGAAAACTATGGAAACCACAGCAAGTGTATGTTTTTTTCTTCTTCTCGATTTTAAATTTGAATTAATTGAAAACTTTTCTAAAAAAATACAATTACAGACAAATAGTAAAACTGCCGGTGGATTTACCGTTGAGCAGGTTTGTTTGACTAAAAATGTTGTTTTGTGTTAGTATGGTCCCTGGGATTTTTTAAGAGAATTCGTTGATCATCGATTTTAGGCTGAAGCTGACGTTCGTGTTGCTCAAGCGGAATTTGACAAACAAGCGGAGATCACAAAATTATTGCTCGAAGGAATTCAAACAGCACATGTGAGTTATCAAATTTCCTGGATTTTGAAATAATTAATTATTCAAAAAATTTTCCAGAATAATCAGTTGAAATGTTTGCGTGACTTTGTGGAAGCTCAAATGTCGTTCTACGCTCAAGCTCATCAATTGATGGCCGATTTGCAACGAGAGTTGAGTGGGTAGGTAACATGTTTTTTTCAAAAAAAAAACCTGGAGTTATTTTCTCGTGAAGTAGTTTGTGGCGTTTTTGTTTTACAGAAGTTTGTCCGATGAACCAATCAACCTTGGTGGGAATCTCTGATGATCTCTGAATATCAATTCAACCCTTTGTTTTTGTTTTGTTCTGTTCCGTTTGACAACCCAATTTTATGTTCATTTTACCCGCGCGGCTTTTCAAAAAAAAGTCTAGATTTATTTTAAAATCAGGAATGGTCGGTCGGAATTGCTCTTTTGAAAAACTATATATGAAAATTCCTAAATTCAAGTTTTTTGAAATTCCTAATTTTGCTTTCCCGATTCCGACCAATCTTGTTTCATACCAAATCAATCCCGTGTGAATTTTTGTATATATCGATAGATCATAATAATTTTGAAGAGCATTATTCGATTTTCATAGTCACAATATACATAAATAAATAAATATATTTAATTCTCATTTTATTGGTTCAAAATTTCTGTTTCATTTCGCGGAAGTTCGGCAACCCTTGTGAACAATAGTACAGAACCACCAAATGGTCGAACAATGGCCGCCGCTGTTGCAGCTGCCGCTTCTGCAAAACCCGCTCTATTTTTGCCAGATGACATGGGTACGAAACAAGCCAAAGTGATTCTTGATTATGATGCGGTTATGCCAAATGAGATTAGTGTCAAACAAAATGATGTGGGTTTTTCTTGGAGCTTGGAACCAAACAAAAAATCGTATTTTTTCTAGATCTTGATTGTTTATCGTTTACCTGGAATGGACCCTGAATTTGTGATGGCTGAAAAAGGAGGAGCCCGCGGAAAAATCCCAGTCACCTATCTTGAACTGATCTAATTTTATTTTATTTTATTTACTTTTTTGCCCCGGTTTTCATGTAAATGGGATATTTATTTATTTATTTTGCATTTTCGATAGATCTCATTTTTTTTCATTATTATTGATCTCGAATGTTTGTAGGTTTTTGAAGAGTGCTGAACAATAAATTATTTATACATTCGGATAATTGTTCTGAAATCGTTTCTTTTTTGTTTGGGAGAAAAGGAGGGATGAAACTAAACTAATTAGGGATGTAACGAATATAGGAAGGGGGTTTAATCTTTTCAGGAACATTTATGTATGTAGGAAGAGGGGATTAGATGCATTCGAAAGTAGGAAAAGGCTGAACTAGTAAATTATTTTTGGGATTTCTCGTAAAGTTCATTTTGTAGCTGAAAAATAATAAAGAAAAGGGAAAAAGTGTTTTTCATAGAAATAAAAATTGTAATCCAGATTTATTTTTTTCTACTTATGAAAAAAAAAATATAAAAGTTTGGGATGATAATATTTTCGGAAATTGAGTTGAAGGGGTTGTCCGACTATTAAAAAAACTTAGCCTAAATCGACAGATCTAAGGTGCCCCAGAAAAATGTTGATTTCACGAGGGAAACTGTTTCAACTTACACTCTAGATTTTGAATAAAATATATATTTTCTAGTAGTTTTCGACACGTTGATCACTAAAATTGCAGAACTCAACATGAGTGTCAAAGTTCAAAAATTTCAAAAAATCGGGACTTTGGAGAGTGAGAATTGGCCTTCAAAATGATTTTTATAATAGCATAGGGTTGTTCAGGAAAGTCGATTACATAAATTCAGAAGGTTCATACAAAAGTCGAGAATTTTGTGAGAATCTTCTGGAAATCTTCTTTGGAAAAACAGTTCTTGATGAAAAACAATTTATGTCTATATCGAAAAGTTGAAAAACCGTTTTCAAATGTACAAATAAATCAAAAAAAATCTAGAAAATATTTAAGCGATCGATCGTTTCGCTTTACGTTGAGTGTATCGGTATCTCAAACAACAAGTTTGCTCGGCACATTTCACGTATCCACGTTGGCAAACGCATTGTTGAGCATCACATGAGGTGGTCGCTTGGCTGAAAAGTTTTGAGATAAGTTTTGAACATATATATTTCCTGTAAAACTTACGAGTATTGAGTTTGTTGATTGGTGTATGAGGCAGTGCACGATGATTGGCAGGCTGGTTGGCAGGCTGGGGCACATTGGTTCATTGATGGAGCTTGGGTGGAAACAGCATATGTTGGTTGATATTGGATGGTTTGAGTTTGTTGGCACCCGCAGGATGATTGCTGTTGTTGCTGACATCCACAGTCTTGTTGAACTGGAGCTTGTTGACAGCAAGATGTGGTAGCTTGAGTTTGTTGGCACCCGCAATCTTGTTGAGTTTGGGTTTGTTGACAATCGCAAGATGGGGTAGCTTGAGTTTGTTGGCATCCGCAATCTTGTTGAACTGGGGCTTGTTGTGTTTGGCATCCACAGTCTTGTTGAGGTTGTTGCTGTTGGACTTGGGTGATTTCGATTTGGATGCAGGTCACACAGGTTGGGTTTTGTTGGCAATCACAAGCTGGTTGTTGTTGTTGAACTTGTTGGCATCCACAGTCTTGTTGAGTTTGGGTTTGCTGACAATCGCAAGATGGGGTTTGTTGGGTTTGGCATCCGCAGTCTTGTTGAACTGGAGCTTGTTGACAGCAAGATGAGGTAGTTTGTTGAGCTTGTTGGCAATCGCAAGATGGGGTTTGTTGTGTTTGGCATCCGCAATCTTGTTGAACTGGAGCTTGTTGGCAGCATGAAGGAGTAGCTTGAGCTTGCTGACAATCGCAAGCTGATTGTTGTTGCTGCTGACATCCACAATCTTGTTGAACCTGAGTTTGTTGCTGACATCCACAGTCTTGTTGAACTTGGGTTTGTTGCTGACATCCACAGTCTTGTTGAACTTGGGTTTGTTGCTGACATCCACAATCTTGAGCTGGTTGTTGTTGCTGTTGCTGAAAATTTTCGTTTTAAAAATTGTATCATGATTTTATCTTATAAGTCCACTATGTAAAATTCAGTCATTTGAAATCGAATTTTATGTAAATTCAAAAATCTGAATAGTTCCAATATTAAAAGATTGATCAGAATATTTTCTAGTAAAATATCAAACATTTTTTTTCTGAATTTTTTTCGAAAATATAACAGCTCTGAATATAGAAATCAATAGAAAATTAAAAAAAAATTACTCACCTGAACTGTAAGCTGAACATTAATGTTGTATTGTCGCTGACAACATGAGGTTTGTTGGACTGGAGCACAGGCGCATGATTGACGTTTCTGGCGATCTATGGCTGGAGCAGAAAGTACCTGAACAATTCATATATTTTTCAAAACAAGATCAATAAGAGAATGAAACTTACGAATGCAATAAGCGCGAAAAGAATAGTTGATCGGAACATGTTGTGCAGCTGACAACTAACTGACTGACAACTCAAAATTTGATCATTTTATATATACGAATATTGTCAGGGCGGGACAAGTTGCAGCAACTACTGCTCCTGTAATTTGTTCTCTCCTCCCTTTCTTTTTTTTCTTCCTGCGAGCAAGCACACTGTTTTATTTCTTATTATTATATTTGAAAGAGCAAAAAAAGCGCCTGCGGGCGCGTTTGTTCTTTTCCGCCTGCGTTTGTTTCAACACGTTGCCGATTGCTAGCACAAGAGTATGTTAAGTTGGTAGAAACAAATACAATTTTTGTGTGAACATGGAAAGGAAAAGTTTTTGAGCTTTGAGCATTGGATATTCAAATGTATGCGAAATATTTATGAGCAGCAAAGAGTGAAAAATTGTGTTGAGGTGGAATATGAAAAAAAATTGAAAGAAAGTTTCAAGAATATTTTTTGAGGGATTTTTTTTTCAAGATTTTTTATGATTTATACAAAAAAAATTTGATTAATCAAGTTTCAAGGACCTTTGAAAGTTGAACTTCAAATGTTTTTTTTTAGAAAAAAAATGAGATTCTATATTCACTCCTATGGAAAACCGCTCTGAAAACGTGACTTTTGCCAAACCAGAGATTTTGATTTTTCACATTTAACATTTCTATGTCAATATTTTCTCACAACTCTGATTCATCACATTCCATTTTCCACAAGACAATGTTCCAGAAACCAATTCAAGATCAACAATTTCCAGTTCTGATAAACGAAACCCTTCAATATTTTTTGCAAAAACGTGTGAAGTAAGTAAGATAAATATATCCTCTTCAAAAATTTTCCATAGCGATTATGTATGTATATTTTGTTCTCCTCGGGCAGGTAGTTCAAACAATTCACGCATTTTTGTTAATGTTTATTTATTCAGTTCATCTTCTCAAAATAGATTTTTCTTCACAACCAGTTAGTTAATCATCCTTTCTTCACAATGAGAGTATAGTATGAGTAATTCTACCGGTCGGGCTTGAAAGTTTTTCGAAACATCTGTTGATGGTTTGTTTACCCATATGATTAAATCGGTCATGTTGGCAAAAAAATGTGGGAAAAAATACCGGAACGACGAAATGTACACGGTACACTTGTATGTACTTGAAACTACTTTCTTTCATCTTTTTCGTTCAGGTGTTCGTTTTTTACCAGAAAAAAATTGGAAAAAATCTTGACCAAACGGATAACAATTTCTAAATCCGATTGATCAGAATTCACACTTTCAGAACCACAACAAATTTAATTTCCTCGATCGTGTATTGGCATTTTCAAACAGTTTCTCTTGGCCTGCTTAGTATAGTCGTTAGTACTCCACGTTGTGGCCGTGGCGACGCTGGTTCGATTCCAGCAGCAGGCAACTTTTTTTTTTGAAAAATCTTTCAAATTTCAAAAAGTCGTGAACATTTTTTCATAGTTTTTCTATTCTGGTCCAAAAAATGATCTCGATGTAAAGTTTTTTCCCTTAGAAAAAAGGAAAAAAACTAGTATTCATAATTTCGAAAAAAAAAAAATTTTTCGTCCAGGGGAGAAGTCAATCTAAAAAGTATACAGTTTCACATACAAATAATATAAATAAATGAAGTGGAATTCTGGATTCTGACTAGATGCAACTTCTGTTTACTTTGGCTCGCGTTATTGTTTAGGCTTTTCACACCGTTATTCATCAACGCCACAAACAACTGCTATTCAAGAAGAATTCATCAAGAAAATAATACACACTTTTTGTTCAGAAGTTCAAACTGCAAACACTTTTATTTCAAAATCTTTGAAAACAAATAAAAAGATGAACATTGATGACTAATACATGTTTTTATTTCTAAAATAATTCAATAGTTCATCAAGGAAAAAATCCAGTATGTCCAGTTATGAATTGGAATTTCTGTATGCATATCTGAAGAAGAATAAGAATGTAAATAAAAATGACCTGGATATAAAACTAAAATTTTCTGAATCCCTGCTTCATTTTATTGTATTCTGTTTTATCCACGTACCGCTTCAAAATGCTATTTTTTATTCTAATATTTTTGATTTCAACAACATTTTGTTCAGAAGAGGTTTGTTTATCTAATCAATGAACATGCTCTTCTCACGTTTTTACATAAATCGAAAAGATAGATAGATAACTGGTTGACTTGCATGTTTTTTCAAGTGGGATTTGTTTGATTCCTGCGATGTTTTTATGAATGCTGCTACTTTTTGATCTCTTGGGTTTTTTTGAAAAATTGGGAGGGTGGAAACTTGAAAGAATCTGGTGAAAAAGTTTTTTAAACTTCATTGTGTTTAGGAAAATTTCTAACTTTTTTTGAACTGTTTGAAAAAATTTGTGTTTACTTTTTATTTGAAGTTCAGAAAAGCATACGAATTTTCAGGTTAAACAACTTTACATAAAATATTTTCTGAAATCACTCAAGATTTTAAAACAAAAATTTCAAGTTTTAAAAAATCAAGATGGAGAGGGGGAATTTCACTCCGGCCTTTGTTCATTTGACAATCCAGGAAAACTGAAACTTTCCAGCTATCTTTCTATCTAGTTTCCTGTTAACACAATCTTTTTAAGTCGGTTTCAAAATCATAAAAGTTTTAATTTGCAGATTTCATCAAACACAACAGCTATCGAAATTTCAAATAGCACAGAACTAATTCACATTCGAGCAAAACGTCAATTTGGTGGTTTTGGTGGCTTTGGTGGTTTCGGAGGTTTCGGCGGGTTTGGGGGAGGAGGATGTTGTATAAGTCCAGTAATGTGCTGTGGAATGCCACTGCCTATTCCACCCCCACCAATTCCAGTACCTGTACCAGTTCCAGCACCAGTTCCCCAGCCTGTACCAATGCCAATGCCAATGCCAGTTGTGAGTTTGATTAACCATAAAAACCAGAAAAAAAACATTTTTCAGCCGGTTCCTGTACCAATTCAAAGTTGCTGTAGTTGTTGTATGCCAGTTTGTATTCAAACGTGTATGAGAAGTGGTTGCGGTGGGGGAGGCGGATATTTTATGGGCGGAGGTGGAGGCGGTGGATGTTATGGGGGATCATGTGGAGGGGGTTGTTATGGAAGTTCGTGTGGCGGCGGATGTGGCGGTTTTGGTGGAATGTATGGAAGAAAGAAGCGAGAAGCATTGATTAGAAATAAAAATCCGTTAGTTGTACGAGCTCGAAAACCAATCGATATGGTCACGAGAGATTGATTATTTATTTGAAAATATATGTAATATAAAAATTGTTATAAATAAATGTTTTTTGATATTCAAAATTATTTTTTAGTTTTCGCATATCTGAACTTTGTCTGTTTTTTCCAATCACGAATTCTAAACTTTCACGTTAGATTCTCACAAATGTATAGATTTAAAAAAAATACAAATCATCATTCCAACAATTAATTTATTTGTCCCAGTAATTTTCGCAATCCATGCACCCTTTTCCAAGCTCAAATCAATGTTCCAATTGGAATTTTCACATCTGGTCTTGGACTATTTCCAGGATTTGATGCACTTGTGTTAATTGTCATTGTTTCAGAATATCGAAATTTTTTCAAAAGTTTGTATGAAAAATGGATTTATGTAAAAAATATTAATTTTAAATAATTACAGAAGTGTTCACTGGAACAAAAAACAATGTGATATTTGTGTCTCAACGTTTTTAATTTATTTCTTACCATAAATATTTTTTCCCAGAAATAATAGTGATCATTCAAAAAAGTGTTGTTTATTCCGCATCCCACAATTCGAATTTTTTTGAACTTTTGTTCTGCTGCCGCACTCACACACTCATTTGCCGAAAGTGTCAAAAAACACTCGAGCATAGGAGCACACCGAAATCATATAATATTATTTTTATTCCCGGATATATTTGTTTATTTATTAAATAGGCAATTTGGGCGGTCACAAAACAATGCAAACTGTCGGTATATATATATAGATACATAATTTTGAGCACCAATTCCGGACATTGTATCATTGATATTAGAATTGGATTTTGAAATGAAGAGTCTGATTCTGATAGAGCTTTTCACATTTTTTCTAGTTTCTGAAACATATGAGGTAATTCTAAAGATATGAATGACAATTAATAAAAAAATTGTTTTTTCTAGTTTTCCCCAAGCTCCAATTCTTCTTTAATCGCCCGAGTTCGTTCAAAACGTCAATGTTGTGCTATGTGTCCTGCTGGAAATTGTGGTTGCGGATCTTGCACAGGGTATACGGTATGAAAACAAAACGCTTCTTGGTTTTTAATTAAAATTTGATTTTGTCTATAGGGTATCACTTGTCCTGAAAAATGTCAACCAATGTGCACTAAAGTTTGCGTCATGTCACAGGTAAATTTCTTAATGTCAGATTCTTTTTCCCTTTATTTTTTAGATTGTTGTTCAACCAAGTTGCTCTCAAAGTTGTATGCCACTTTGCCTACCAGCTTGCATTAATTCAATGCCAGTAGGTCTTTTAAATTCATATTTTCCCACGATTCCCCTTTTTCCCCGAACAAAAACCACGGATCAAAAACCATAGGGACCAACTGAATGTGCATCTCAATGTATGCCATCTTGTTCATCTTCCTGTATTCAAAACGTGATTCCAACTTGCCCCCAACAATGTCAACCAGTTTGCACACAACAGTGTATTCAATCACTTCAAGTCGCAATCCGACCAACGTGTGCGCCATCTTGTATGCCAACTTGTTCACCAACGTGTATTCAGGAATATCAAGTTAGCATTAAACAAGAGAGTTGTGTATCAGCTTGTATGCCAAGTTGCTCATCACAGTGTATTCAAGCGGTTACGTGTAGTACCTGTACTAATAATTGTCCATCAAGTTGCAGGTTAGTCAGAATTTCAGAGAAACAAATTTCAGAATATTGAAATTTAGAAAAACTTTTTCAGGATGTTCAGTATTGTGAAAAATAACCAAAAGCTGGAATTATGAATTTGAAAAAAGGGGTATTTTTTCTGAAATCTGATTGGAAAATTCCAAAAGTAAAAGTTATGACTAACAAAAATAGAGATTTTTATTTAAAATTTAGGAATTACAAAACAATGTTCCAGATAAAGAATCATATTTTGGGCTTTTCTTCCAACTTTAACTTACAAAGAAAACATCAGACAAACTTTTTCACTTTTCAAAATTCACATCATTTCAGCCAAGCCAACTGTATCAACGCTTGTATGCCACGATGTCTTCCATCCTGTATTCAGCAAGTTCAAACCGTCCAAATCGCTGTCCCAACACCTAGATGTGATTCAGCATGTATGCCAAGTTGTCAACCAAGTTGTGTTCAACAATATGCCGTGTGTCCCCAACAATGTCGACCAATGTGCACAAATGCGTGTGTTTCTCAAAAACAACACGTCGCTCGACCAATTTCCACGTGCCTTCCCTCGTGTATGCCAAGCTGTACACCATCTTGTATTCAAGCAATGTGTCCACAACAATGTTTCCCAAGTTGTGAAGTGAATTGTGTTCAACAGTGAGTTCTGGGGGAAAAATTAGAGCTGATTTTTTGTTTTTTTTTCTGAATAGGTATTCGGTTCAATTGGCTCCAACCCCCTGTGCAGCTCAATGTATGCCAACTTGTGAAAGTACTTGTTTAGCCAGGGTGAGTTTTTTTTTGGATTTTCGTATTATAACTGTTCTTTTCAGCTCTCTTGTGTGAAAAATTGTATGCCAGCTTGTAGTCCAACATGTGTCCAAACCTTTGCTCCAGCTCCAATTCAATGTGCTCAAGCTTGTATGCCACTTTGCCAACCAACATGTGTTCAACAACGTGAGTCATAAATTTGATAATGTGGTTTGATGTGTTAGATTTTCAGGTAGATATCGGTGTGGTTCTTCTTGCATGAGAAATTTTTTGAATAGCAATTAACGTGTTTTTTTTCCTTGATGACTTGTCGTGCTTTAACTTTATTTAATACGTGTGAACTTCAATTAATAAACTGGTATAATATTTATTTTATTTTGTGGGTTTTGTTCTAGATGCTGAAGTTGTTGTTGCTTGCGGGGTTCCATGCAATTGTCAACCTGGATATGTACAATGCTCACAAAATTTATGTTGCTTAAAGTAGGAATTCTTTCTGATTGTGAAACTTTTTTTTGATCTAAAAATATTGAATTTCAGATATAAAAACATGGCGGCAAAATTCCGAAAACTAGGAAATAACAATGGAAATAACAACAATAACAATATGAACAATGAAGACGAGGATGAAGGTGGAAACGATGGTGAAAGTTTTGCCGATCCTATGAATGATTCAGTTGACTACACTTCCGATAACTCTACTGACACTACGGTGAGCTTTATTTGTGTGTTCTCGAAAAAGAATTTTTTTTTTATTTTTCAGAAAACGGTTAGCAAAACGGTCGAACTTCTTCGAAAAGTTCCATATGATGCGGATACTTACAAAAAAGTCTAGAAATTGACAGTAGAATTGAAACATAACTTATTTGATGCATGTAATGTACAATAGAAATAAAACTTGCCTTTTCAAAAACATTGACACTGATTTGATTTGATTTGATATTTGTTGGGTTTAAAATTATTTTCAAACTGCCAAGGGGAAGTGAAAGAAAATTAATTTCAATTAGTTGTTTTACTGTTTCAAGGCTAGACGAAACACATTTTTCAAAAACGGAAAAGACTTTGATCTTCTGACACAATATAAATGAATAGTTCAATTTTTTATAGTTATGTACAAATTTTATGTATTTCCGGTTAATAATTGTGTCTGAGAATGAGTCATTGAATTGTTCATAAAATAAAAAAAACACATTTAGAACTGACTGAAATCGGAGAAATCTCTCAAAAAAAAATCCTGTGGGTATTGTGTGATGAAACTATAATCTATTTGAACGAGAAGGAGTCCAAGATAATTTTTTTGATTTTTTTTTAATCATGTGAAATGTAACAATACTTTTTTTCCAGAAAAATCTATGTTCATGTGAATAAAAAATTCAGACAAAACTATATTGTAGTTGAGTGAAAATCAATCTGTGATTTTGAACAAATCGTATTTCATTTTTCCAATTCAGAATCCGAAAAAAGCATATTTTTTTGATAAACTATAGTGTAGTTTTGAAACAGATACCATCCATAACGTGACAATGAAACCTATAACAATTTTTTTTTTCCGACAGCTCTTGTATTTCGTAACAGTAAATAAATACTGGGAATGAGTCATCTACATAATTTTTAGAATAAAATACTTTCACCTTGCGATTTTTTTATTTTCAAGCAATATCCATCATTCATGATATTGTCTATTATTTGAACCACACCCAAATCAAAAGAAAACTTTAACCGTTTCATTTTCAAAAAAAAAGTTTGCTTTGTGTCAAACATTATCGATCACCTTGACTGCCTCATTTGACCGGGTCTTCGAAAAGGACATGACTCACATAACTACCATTTTCTAATGCAATGTTTTTCAATTGTAAAAGTCAACAAATACACGCAAACATGACAGTTGAGAGTCGAAAACGACCTTTCTTTTACTCTTTCTCTCTCAAATTTTAGTCGAATCCAATCATCTCTTTTCGCTCTTTCAATGATGAATTTGTGTAATCTCTCTTTCTCGTCAATACCCACCCAACCGGATCACAAATAATAATAAACAACTATTGATTTTTGAAAAGCAGGCAGTAATTCGATTTATTTATTAATCAGATATTGAAAATTGATGGGCAAAAAAAAGAAAATACAAAAGACTTACAATGCAATTTTAAAAAATTAGACAGAAGGCATCAGGTGAATTGTTTTTGGTGATTTTCAAAGATTGATCGAAAATAGAAGTTGCATCTATGCTCTGAAGAAGCAATACCAGAGAGCGTGGAGAATAGCTGGAAGATAGAAGAAGAAGCACAAAATAATGTTGACAGCGACGTGAATGTTACAGTCTGAGCCATGGATGAAGATGGCGAGTGGCTAAAAAATGTTTTGTAAATTTATCAGAATATGATATCTTACCGGCAAGAAAATTGCCAAAATCAATTCGATAATTTGTTGCATTTCAATCGCCATTTTGCTCTGTAAATAAAATGAAATTGAATTTTTGGGTAGCTAGAAAAATAATAAACAAAAACGGAAAACGTATGGATATAATTACTCTTATATATAATTATTAAATGAATGAATGAGTAGATAGAAAAGGAGTATTTCATTTTCTATTTAATTTCCCAACAAAAAATGAACGATGAGTAAAAAGTAAACTAGAGGGTAGAGGAAATAATAAAAAAATGGGCGGAGTTTGCGAATTTTTGGGGGGAGAAAGAAGAAGAAGATGAAAAGAAGAAAAAAAATAAGAAGAAGATAGAACAACAAAAAATAAATGAGAAGACAACAAAAATTATTGTTATTAGGATTTCAAGGTAAATTGATTATGTTTATGATTATATTTGTTTGACCTTATCATCAAATAAAATCTAGATAAAAACGAGAAATATACAATTTTTGAGAGGGCGGGGGTTGTTGAAAAAAGAACTTGGTAGGAGCTGAGCAGAATTGAATCTTACATTAGAACGGAAGAAAAGAAATCGAGTAGTTTCCGGTCCAAAAAATAGAATGGAATGGAATGGCAGAAACGTTTCCGCTGATTGGAAAATTATTATCCCGAGGGATTTTTCAGTACATGCGACTATTTTTGATGTTGATCGACTGGATTTTTTTATTTTCAAAAAATTCCGACAAATCTTTCAAAACCAGTTTTTGAATCTTTTTTCCAAATTAGACAAGTTCTGAAAAATTTCCAGTTGATTTATATTATCAAATCAGCGCCTACTATATATATGAGAAAATCTGGAATTAGTTTTATCAAAACACAGATCATGATTAGTTTTTGTCATGGAAACCTGCAAAATTGAATTTGTCCTCCGACGAAAGAAAATATAATAATCATAATCGTAATGATTTTTGGCCGCTTTTGGGAAAACAACAATTTGCTCTTTTGAACAGTCAAACAAACATAAGACATTCATCCTCCATCCACTTGTCAACACATTTGAAGTTGTACAAATATTTTTGAAAACATCTATGAATATTTTCAAAACATATTAGGTGATTCATTTAATATAAAAATGAATGTATCATAAGCACAAACCAACAAACAACAAAAGTATTTCCGATTGTAACAAAAACTGGGAGATTAGTGACCACAGGGGAAGAGAAAATGACATTTCATTTTATACTTTTTTTGAAAAATGGGAGAGGAAAATAGAAATATGTTTGTATAATAACTGGGTATTGGTCGCCAGTTTTTAATTGTTATTCAGGAGGGATTTTCCGTTGTATTTATTTGGAAAATGTATATTTTTATTGGAATTTGTTGTATGGTTTCAATTCTATATGCAGAAAATTTGGAAAAAAAAGTATATCTCAATGTTTTGAAAAAAATAAACATCTGGTTCACATCTGAAATAGCTTCCACGAAAATGTGATGATATTTGGGAATATTGAGAAGTGTTCTTCAAAACAATGATAGGAAAATCCGTTGAAAATAACATTTTCTGGGTCTCTTAGAATTAAAATGATTATTTTTTTCAAGATCTTTTTGTTCAACCTTATATTGATAATTTTGAATTTACAATTGTTATCAACAAATTCTAATTTTTTACTAATTAATGAAAGATTTCACAAATTTTGAATGAATCATAAAAGGCTCTCTAAAACATTAAAGCTTTGTACCTAATTTCATGAAGAGGAAACATTTCAATCTGATATTTTTGTAAGTGAAAACTTTTTCGATACACTAAGAAATTTGAACAATATTCGACTAACTCACAAAATCAAAAAAAAACAAAAATTATAAAATGTTCACAAATTACGAAGCTGCTCATTTCATCCTGGTGTTTTCCATCAAGAAGCAACGTAACAAAAAAAGAAGACTAAAATGTTCTTTCTCTTCTTTATAATGTTGTTAAATCACATGTTTTTTCACTCTTCCTTCCAGAAGAAATAAGAAAAAAAAAACAAAAGTTTATAGACCGAACCTGATTAGTTATGTATGGATGAATGGAAGAAAAGATGTTTCGAAAAGAAAGAAGAGTTTAGAAAATGTAAAAAAAGAAAAGTAGAGGAATCATTTGACTGATAGTAGAAAAACAATATAATGATTCAAGTGACTGAAAAACAACAACTGAAAAAATATAAAGAGGAGGAGAATCGGGCAAACAATAACAACTGTTACCTATCTACCTGATTGTGATGGTGTGGGAGAGGATAGATTGAAAAATAACACTGACAAAAAAAACTAGTTTATTTTATGATTCTATTTTTCCGTGTTTGTGTTGTTTTGTTGAGTGACATCGAAAAAATGAAATGAGAAGAACAAAATTTTTTTGAATGGTTCTTGGAATTTTTGATTGAGAGAGAATGAAATAGAGAAAGAGGGTATGTTTTTGGGAAAAAATTATATTAATACAAAATGTATATGTGGATGAAAATTGAAATGTTTTTCGAATGATTGATCAAACCTCTGAAAAATTCAGCTTTGGAAAAAAAAACCTCCACATAAGTTTTGAAAGAAAAGGTTTGAGAAAAAGTTTGCGAACAAAAAAATCTTGGTTGAACAAAAAGTGTTTGTGAAGGATAAGGAATTTTCAGAAAGTGAGTTAAACGAAAGTCTGAAAAACCAGAGAAAATTACTTGTAAGAATTTTTGACACATAATTCAAATTTGCTTCATTTTAAATCTTCACAAAACAATTTTTCTATCAATTTTCAGTGGAGTGTTTTAATTTCATTGAAATCAATTACAATATTTTTGAAATATTCAATGTCAGAACAAAAAAGAAACAAAAAATGACGCAAATGTTTCAGAATGAGCACTGGGAATAGAAAAAGTCCATCAAAAGACCAAGTTTCCAAACCAAAAAAAAAGCTGAAAAATGTGGAACAAGCACGCAACTTGGTTTTTGAGACGCAAAACATGTCTTTATTTCACTGAAATACTTTTCTTTTTTTATTATTTCGATGTTATTCGAAGCAAAACCAGTTCTAATTCGCTTTTTTCTCAGATAAATGAATAACAAGGACGTTTTGACCTTTCACAAACTTTTATTTAGAATTTAAAATTTATTTCTTTTTATTAGGAATCTTATGTTTGAAAAATTTGTGGCTGAACAAACACATTTTGAAATCAATATAAAGCGTATTTTTAAACATACATATAAACACAAATATTTTTACGGCTGCTTGAAAATTCATAAATATTCATTCATACATTCTCAAGTTTCAAATTTCAGAAGATTCAAGAAAAAACATGTGAAACAAACGAATTTCTGAAGAAAAACCTTATTCAATTGTATTTTATTCGCAAGAACAAAAAAGCTAGACAAAACTAAAACTAAATGTAAGGAAAAATCAATAAAAACGGATAATCTTGCTTTCTTTGTGTATAATATAATAATATATTAGTTGCACTTTTAATACACAAAGTGTGTATGTGAGAAAGTTATTGAGGCGAATATAAATATAATTTTGCTAATTATTCCCTCCATTTTTTCATTTTTCTCTATTTCAATTCAATTTTTTCTTCCTTTCTCCCAATTTCCTTCATGGTTGATGGACAAATAAAAAAAAGGAATTTTGGAGCCAAAAAATGGGTAAACAATTTTTTTGGAAATGTGCCCATTGGTAATACTGTAAAAGCAAGGCACAAAGAAAAGTAAACAAAATTGGGTGGTGAAGCGAACTTCAAGAAAATGTGTGTGTGGTATTGTTTGTGCTTGTTGGAAATAGAAACATGTGATGATGATTGAACTCATGAAAATAGCAAGATGAGAAAAAAATTGAGCTTCCCATGCCGGGAATCGAACCCGGGCCGCGTGGGTGAAAACCACGAATCCTAACCACTAGACCACATGGGAGGACAATTATACCTCTCAAAAAATCTGATATAATGTGATTGACACTTTGTTGCTCGTGTTGGTTTTCAATGCATTTTATGAATAAAAAAATTTTGTGAGATAACACATTTTTCAAAAATTGTGAAAATTTTATCTGAAAAAAAGTTAGCTTCCCATGCCGGGAATCGAACCCGGGCCGCGTGGGTGAAAACCACGAATCCTAACCACTAGACCACATGGGAGGACACTTTCAACTTCTCAAATTCTCAATATGTTTTGAGTGACATTTGGAACTCAAAAAAATTTACAATGATAAGATCGAATATTTTTTAAAAATAATTCTGATTGACATCTGATACAAACATTTTTTAAAACTTTTTTTTTGATTTTTAGATTCATTGAACTAGACAAATGAAACATATATCGAATTTCTCATTAAATTTTTCTCGATATAAATTATTCATTCGCACAATCAACATTGAACACTTCTAAAAATATCACAATTTTTTCAGATTTTACGAAAAAAAGCTTCTCATGCCGGGAAGCAAGGGTTGAATTTCTGATACCATTTGATACTCAACATTCGGCAAATTGTTCTTCACACAAAATCAAACAAAAAAAATCAAGCTCAAAATACTCATTTCAAAGTTCAACGTTCCAAATGAACTCTTATTAACACTGTGCTTCGCCCTCACTGTTAAGCGAAAAAAAATAATAATCCGCCTGTTAAACAGTTTTGCCTCTCCATCTGAACGTACACACGAGGCACACCAAAAAAACCGCGCAACGATCAACAAATACAGTAGTAATTGTTTTGTGAAAAGCTTAGCGAAGGCGGAGTTCCACAATTTCATTTCGACTATAAATAAGTCAGCACGGTCATTTGTCAACTCATTCCTTCTTTTCTCAACTACAGAGCAACAAAAAAAAAAAAAATGGCGCCTCCAACAACAATTCCAAACTTATTCATGTCTGATTTCGGTCTTAATACCGATGATATCAAATACTTCCACATGGATTCGCATATCCAAGGTCGTGGGCCAAATCGACTGAAGCATTTGGATATTGAAGGACGTTGGGTTCTTTCCGGTAAATCGATTCCATTCATTTCGGCCGCATTCAATCATTTGGAACGATTAAATGATGCTCAAGTCGCTATTCGAGATATTGGAGAGGAACCAATTGATGCTATTGGAATGGTTGGATGGACAAAATCATCAGAGCCTGTTAAAGTTGAACCAACAATTGTAGAACCAGCAAAACCAAAAAGAATTGTTCTTCAACCACCAGTCTTTATTGAGGAAGAAGTTCCACCAAGTCCAAGAGAAATTGTTCCACACAGATCTGCTGGATACGGTAAGCCTGATCCTTTTTCTTGAAATTTCTTTATTTTACTTCAAAAATTATTTCAGGTCAAGCTCATCAAAAAAGAAAGCTTTCGATCCCAGATCGCTCTCGATCTGTCTCACCACTTCGCGCTGAAACTCCACCACAAGCCGTGTTCGACAAATACGCCAAATATGAGCGTCATCGTAAAGGTTCGACATCCTCTGATTCAGCATATGGTTCAGATTCAGAAAAACATGAGAAAACTTTGATAGACTGGCAAGGCCAATTGTGGATGTTGGCCGAGGAAAAAGTCACAGTCATTAGAGTAATTGAAACCGAATATTATCTCGAATGAAGATTTCTGAATCTGAATCTGAATTTGAATCATCTAGCTGTTAGAAAAGGAAAAGAACTTCTATAAAAAATGGTTTCTTGCAGATTCAATCACCAGATACGGCACCAAATGGGGAGATCTTGGATATGTTTCACACAGTCCATCGCCAACCGGTGAGATTCCTGATTATTATTCAAACTGATCCCCCTTTTTTGTTTTTCATACCACTAGTTCTGTATATAGTTTTTTTTCACCTTGCTAGCGAATCAATAAATGTTTCCCTTTTTATGTTTTTTCTCACCTTTTCCCAAAAAAAACATGTTGTTTTTTTAGGTGATGAGCCACAAAACAACCTTCCACACCGAACTCCATCCTTGTCTCGACCATCTTCAAGATCTTCTCGACAATATGATAATCAATATGATCCAGCTTATTTGAAAGGTATTGTTTGTGATTTTTGGGTTTTGATTTTTCTTGGTTTTTTCACGGGTTTTACAAATTCGTATTTTGTTTGACTTCAATGATGAAATTTTTTCTTCTTTTCTTTTTTTATTTTTTTCTCCCTACGTAATTCTACCTTAAAAAATCAAACAAAATGAACAGTCAAATATATTTAGTAACATTAGTAGAAATGCAAATAGTCCACCCAACCCAAGCCAAACATTACAGACTCATCAGCTAAACATGAACTCAAAGTTTTGACGAAAGGTGACAATGTTCCATATCGTACAACTGGTTATGGTGCTTATCATGTGAAAAGACAATATGAATTGAGCCCAAGATCAATGGGAAGTGATTATGCCACAAGCAGCGGGTAAGATTGGAGACAATCAGAAGTCATTTTTTATCATTTTCCTTTCAGCTCGGAACAATCTTCACCAATTCCACCACAACAAAAATCAGCTGATGAAATCTTGTTAACTGCTTATCATTCAACTACCAAACGAGCCAATGATTTGTCACGTAACAGACGTGATAATTGGATTCGTCAATAATTAGTACTTTTTAAAGTGACGAACGAGTCTCTGATGTACAAATCAATCAATTTTTTGTGATACATACATAATAATCTCTTATTGTTCTAGAGATGAAGTTTTTCTAACGATTTTGTTCTTCATCTCTATTGCAATTACTTTTTGGGTTCTTTCTTATTACATTTTTCAGTTTCGAATTTGAATTTGGTGATGATAATCAAAGTTAATGAATGATTCGTTTGCATTAGTTTTATTGTTAAAACACATCAGATTTATTTCGTGAAAAAATTTCAAAGATTTATAAACAAATCTATTTTTAAATATGTGTTGATTATTCGTATTTCAACAGATGTCAAATTCACATTATTACTGCAGCTGGATCAGAAAAAGAAGTTTTTTTTTAAATAGTTTTACAAAGGGACACATTTTCAAAAAAAAAACTAGACTCATTCATTTGCGCTTAACAACAGAATTAAATTTTGAAAAAGTAATATTGAAGATGATTCTGAGCATCGAATTTTGAAAAAATTCTCAAGGCGTCGGATAAATAGGCACACATAGTGGATAAAAAACATTTCCCATTCGTTGGGATCCGCCATTTTCTCAGCGCGAGAATCATCTTTGAACTCACATCAGCGCTAAAATAACTATTTTTATGGATTATTTTTTCATGTGACTGTAATTTGACATTTGACAATGATCAAATGCAATTTTATAAACCAAACTATTTTTATCCTCAAATCATAAATGAAATATGACACTATCATTATGATTTTATGAAAAATAAATAAACTATCAGTTCAAATTATGAACATGCTTCAGTGTTACTTTTTTATTATTCTGATAATTTTGATTCATAAATCGGTATCACAACCAAAAAATTCCCAAATAGCTGATCAAATTTTTTCAGAAATCAAACTTGAACCCATGTGACGATTTTCACGACTATGTTTGCAGTTCGGATGATAGAATTATTCGAAACTTTACTGTTGAGAGAGAAAATATTGTTAGAATTCCGAAAGGGTTCATCGATGATAACAAAACTTTGTGAGACTTTTTTTTTATTGAAAGCTCTTGAGCGTCGAAAAGTTGTTTTTTAGGGCTATTGAAAATGTTATGAATTTTACTTATTTTGGAAAATGGTATATTGAAATGCTCGTTTTGTATAATCGAGGGAACACAATAAAAGACTGTGCAGATATTCCCGATGACAAAAAACCAATGTGTTTGATAGGGCTTTTAGATAATATCAACACAACGGTATTATTGTTATTTTTTATGTTCGAAATTATTAATGTTATTATAGGAAATTGATGTATTCTATAATGCTCTTTTATCGAATATCAACATTTTGGAAACAATCAAACCGCCTAATGGAAAACGAAACAGATTTTTACATTGGATGTTTCAAACTTTGAAAAATGAAACGTTGAAAGAAATTCAAAGAAATGGATTTGCGAAAGATGTTTTTGGTGTCAAAAATGTTCATAGTTTCTATGCGCTTTATGATTTCAATAATGTTACAGTTTATAAAAAAGCGAGACATGCCTACGAAACAAAATTCCATCAAGTGTCAAACAACTTATCAAAAAAGTAAGGGTGAAATTTTGAAATAAAAATCAATAATCAATAATATTTTAAGAGACAAATCTATGAGAAACATCGATAAATTCATAAGATTTGCGGCGATTGACGCGGCTATGCAAGTTATTCAAGAATATCTTGATAAATATGATGCGCGATTTATGTTCCAAGCAATTATTGCAAATCCAACAAATGATGCATTCCAATATTTGGGAAATATTCATATTGCAATTATTACTCGAAATGATCTTCAACAACCAAATAAAGCGGTTAGTTTTCAATATTTTCAATAAAATCAAACCTTTTCCAGATTGCTGATACTGTTTTTGTCACACTTCATGAAATTCTTCATAAAGTTTATCCTTATGGTGAAGCTGAATTTGAAAACGATCAATATTCAAAAACATACAATTGTTCAGCAGAGAGCATCAAATATTTAGGAAAAACTGATAAAGTGGTATGACACCTCAATATTTTAGAGTTATCTTACGTCTTATTTCCAGACACCTGTTGAAAACTGGTTCACATTGTCAAATTCTCATGAAGATATTGTTAATATTATGGCTCTGCGAGTAGTTATGAGATTGATTGCTCAAAAATCGATAAATGAGGAGCAGATGAAAAAATCATTGGAAAATTTAATGGGTGGTTTATGCGTGAATCGGAAGATGAAGAATTCAGCAATCCCGCAGCATCATCCACTAGAACTTTCTTTGAATAATGCAGTTAGACAATATCCACTTTTTAATAATTTGTACAACTGCAAGAAAGGAGATCGAATGTTTGTTGATTTGGTAAGTAATTTTTGTTCGGTCCATATAATACAGTTTTTCATCAAATGTTTTTTTTTCAGAAAGATCAATGTAAACCGATTGAGAAAAACATATCGATTGACGATTTTGTCCTAGGAGATGTTACAAATCGAACTGATGTTGGTGGATTCTTCGAAGATTTATTGAGAACTGCAAAAAACATGGGATTCTATTTTGGAGAACTCTAATGTAATGTCAATAAATATTTATTTCATAAATGAATTTGCCTGAGGCCATATCAATATTATTTTTATAGACAAAAAGACAAACTAATCTTCGAGCCTTGTTTTCATCTGAATCAAATCATGTTTTTTCTTCTATCTTCTATTCAATTTCTTATCCTCTCTCCACTATAGTTGAGCCTCAAAACTTGATTGAATTTATTTATTTTTGAGAAAAGAAGAAGACAAATAAGGTTAGGTTCATCTATTTTCTCATTTCCTATCCTCAAGTTGTACCCTTGATTTTATTTCATTTCATTTCATTGGATTTCAACTTTTTTTTCGATAGTTACTGACATGAGCTTCCAAATAAAAAGTTACCAAAAGTTACACCAAAAATCAAATAGAGTGTGAAAATCTCATTTGCTTTATAACATGATCATTCAAACGTGAAGAAAAATGGTGTATTTTGGCATGCTCCGACGGATTCATTTTTTGTTGTGCTATTTTTATTCTATTCTTTTTCATTTTTTTTTTCGACGCGAGCAAATTTTTCGGTTTGAACACTAACTAACGAACTGCGCTGCTAACAAACAACAACTTCGATTATCTCTATTTTTAGATAGTTTGACAATTAGGAGAACAGAAAAAAAAAAGAAAAAAGGAAGACAAGAACTATTATTTTTTTGATCTGAAAATTATTTTCGAAAATAATCGTCTCTAATTGCGTTCTATTTTTTTCTGGTTTGAATACATGACTTTTCTGAATTGAATTATTATAACCAGGTGGTATTATTTTGTTAACATTTTGTTCGAGCGCGGTGAGTTTTTTTTCTGTTTGAGTTCGAGAACAGGAAGTTTATTTATTTATGTAAAACACATTGTTGACACAAGTTCGAGGTACTGTAGATTAATTGATTTGTAGACAACAATCAAGGTTTCATGAGTTGTTTTCTAGAATTTTGAATATCTGAAAAATATCTTCTGATAAGCTTAATGTGCACCTTTTTTGTACTATTTCGTGATTTTTTAAAGTTACAAAAACGAACATTTCAAATTTTTCTAGTTTCAGAGAAATTTATTTTCAAATAAATACAAGATATCAACAAACCCACTACACTACAGTAATCTGAAACTAACTCGTGACATTTGCAATCACAAGATAGTTCTTATTTTTATTTTTCTTCCAACCGAAGACCACCATGTCATCTTTCTTTCTCCAGAAATTTTTCTTGAAACCGATTATAAAAACCTTATCAAATCAAATGTTTTCATTGTTACAAATAAAATGGTTCCAGTTAAACCAAAACCGGATAATTTTACTGATGAAGTTCTCGTTGACGCAAAATATTATCAGCTTATTGAAAATCTCTGGAAAATTCTGTCTATAATATTTCCCTTTTATTTTTTTTATTCTAAAAAGTTATAGATTTTTGAGCTTGTGAAAAAAGTCATTGAGATGATTTCATGGAATCATCAAGAGAAAACTGAAACATCAAATTTGTGCAAAAATGGTCCATCACATGATTCGTCAACCAAACGTTTCTTTTTTTTTCATTTAAAATTGTTGTCAACATCGAAATTTGTCCATCTTTTGTCCCATTTTCCATCCATGTTCCTTTTTTGTGCCTACATAGCTTATCATCCATCCAGCCATCTTTTTTCCAAAAAATCCCTTTATTCATTCTCGTTTTTTTTTCTTCCCTGCTCTTTCTCCACATATCTGTGTGCATTACATTCCTCCGCAGTCATTTTGTCCATATATTAATGTGTAAGTGTATTATTTTTTTCGGCTCATGTTTTTTTTGTATTTTTATGGACTCTTGCTCGACTTTCTTCATATATTGATTACTTTTCAGCGTCATTTTTTCTCTAGTTTTGGAAATTATGCATCAATTAGTAGTCCGAATAAGTGTATTTGCATAAAAGAAGCCAATTTCAGAAAGAGTCCTTTGGAGAAAAGACAATTTTTTTATCAACAAAACACACTACTCTAGAATTCGTATAATTTATAATTATATATTTTTGAAAAACATGATTTCATGATATTTTTCACAAGGTAATTCTGAAATATTTTTGTTAAATATATTGTTTATATTTATTTAATTCGTCAGGAGCCCAATTCGATTATGTGGGGACCAACAAGACTTATAACTTGTTGTGGGGGAGATGAATTGACCCTTCTACAATTTGATCAAAGATTTTCTGAAATGACCAGCTTTACGCAATTCTTTAGGTGCACAAGGTGTCCAAAAATTCAATAATTACTCTCCCAAATTTTTTTTCTGTTTCAAAAACTTCTAGAAACAATCGTCCATCATTTTTCCTGTTTCGTTTTTTTTTTCATCCCAAAGTACATGACTTTGTTTTGAAAAAGAAAAATTGGTGTGATTTTTTCCGGGGAAGCAATGTTTGTACGTAATTGCTAACATTTTTCAAGAGAAAATTCTATTTTTTTTGCTTATTGTTGAAAAAATGCTCAATTTTTATTATGAGTAAATAATAAAAAAAAATAGTTGGAAAAGGAGAGGTTTTTTATTATTATTTTTTGAAATAAAATATTCTTACTCACTCATCAATTTTTAATTCGTTTTTTGGCTCTCACACAGATTAATCCGTGTATGTATGCTTTTCATAATAATTTCTGGCTTATGGACTTTAGAGACGCGATTTTTTGTCATATTTGTTATTCATAGCTTTCTTTTGGCTGATAGAAAGTTTGTTGGATTTTTCGGTTTTCACCTGAAATTGAATTAAAATAAATCTACAGTAAGATTAGATTTCCTATAAAACTTTTTTAATGAAATTCAAAACCAAACATTGAAATGTATTTTCTTCTCCCTTCTCGTTTATCCAATTTCCTCCCGCAAAAAATAGAATCATCTCTTCTTTTTTTCGAGCCGACGGAACAAAATAAAATAAAAAAATAAAAAAAACATATATTTTCCATATATGTGACACTTGAGAAGAATTTGACACCTTTCTTTTCATTCAATTTTTTTCTTCAAATATTTTTTTTGAGTTGTGTTTTTCTTTTTCAAAAATGCTTACCGTTTGAACTAGTCAGTTGGGAATTGTTATGTGTGTGTATGTGTTTGCTCCTAAAAACATACGTTTATTTTTTCCGTTTTGCTCTTTTTCCCACTTTTTTTTCCTTTTTTCTTTCACTTGTTGGATTTGACATTGGTGTGGGTGGGGATTTTTTTTCTTTTCTAAACATTTTGTATGAGAAAATAGTTATGGAAATTTTTATGCATAGTTCATTGAATGCAAAAATGAGCTTGATTAATTATTCGTTGTGGACATGTGAATCTAAAATTCTGATAAACTTCCGTTATCTCTTCCTACGCTGGAATTATTCTATCTTCATAGATAATTTGTCATTTTTTTCGAACAACTGTGAGAAAAGCAGATTTTAAGTCAACATATTTCAAGCTGTATTGATTTTGATAAACATTTTTTGTTGTGTGAGAAATAATGCATCAGGAGAAAAATCGGGGCCAATTAGACTTTTCTAAGAAACATACACATAGAATACTTGTGGGAATTTCAGCATAACGATTATTTCTCAATAATTGTTATTATATATTTTTTGCAGTTCCAAATCAATGCCATATTTTGAACCATTTTTCATTGAAAAAAATGTTTTAGGTCTCTTCAATACCAAATTTTTTTTATCACGATTTACAGCATCTCAAAACTAAGCTTTCCACCAGATTATTTGTAACATACATAAGTCTGCCAAAAGTATATTTACATGTTTTGAAGGTCTTCCTTCTTTTTTTTCCAAGATTTTTGATCAATTTTGGTTCACATGACTCAATTTTCAAAAGAAAAAATGATTACGCAAAGATCTATAACTATTTTTCCACCACCATCATCATCATCAAAATTGTTTTTCATTTTTTCCCCGTTATAAGCTAATTTCCGTTCGATTTCCGTTGTTTTTATCAGGTGTTGTGTTGATTTCAATTTCTCACTTTCCCCCGTTCTTTTGGATATTATTTTTTTTTCTTATCGTTGGATTAGACTATGCACTTTTTCTAAATACCTTTTTCCTTCGTTATTTTTTTCTTTTTCTTTTTAATATTCTTATTTTTCATCGCGATTTTATATGTAAATCCCTTGTTATTACTTCGCAAAAAAACGCTGAACAACAATTATTATTTGAAAAAAAAAAGGAATTTTCAGAAAATGTGGCAGAGAATTGCATGTTTTCTAATATTTCTGAAAGTTTTCGAATGCTACCAAAAGGCTACGCCAACAGAGGTGAGTTTTCCTCTTGAAAAAAATCTTCTGAAAATTATCTTTTCTAGCTGCAAAATTATTTGAATTTATTCAAATTACGGGATATATTCATTTCTACCAGTGTGAATCAAAAGTCAAAAGGCATATTTTTTGAAGCTAAAGATGGTCAACATAATCTTCAAATTAGTGTTGATGAATGTTTGGTGAGATTTTCCCTTCAAATTCCAAAAAAACAAATTTTATTTTTTTCAGCTAACAATGATGTTCCCAGAGAAAAACTCATGGCACAAAAGGATAGGTGTATTTTTAGGAGAAAAATGTGAAACAGACTTGATGATTTGCTTAAATGAGAATAGTTTATTAGTTTTTGATGGATGTCATCAAATATTCTCTGATCAATTGCATGAATTAGAGTTCTCGTAAGTTCATCAAAATCATTTTTTCAAAACTTATTAGTTTTTCTTTAGATTCGGAAATCCAGAAATGAAATTGTTACCAAACTGGAAAATTCAACCAAAGACATTTGAGATTGGTTCAGGGTTTCCAATTAGCCAGAAATGTAAAATTATTGTTAGCAATCCGAAAAATTACACTGTGGAAAGTGTTGAATCATTATATAAATCGGTTAGTTTCGAGGAAAATCAGAAATCATTTTTTAAATTTCAACATTGTAACATTTCAGAGATCGCACCCAGTTCTCCATTCAACTGTATTCTCTGAAAATGTTCTAGAACCACCAGATGATTTTGATGGATGTATGGTAAGACCTCAAAACTTCCGATTCATTTTTGTAATCACTCTCACATCTCCCTTTTCAGATCAATAATGAGTTGGTGAAAATCGGGGAAAACAATATGGTAAATTGTCAGAAATGCACTTGCATGGCCAGGTAGAAAAAATGGAAAAAGAAAAAATGTCTCTTTAATTTTTTGCAGAGATGAAGTGTTTTGTCAAGTTCAAGAATGTCCGCATGTGAAATGTGAACATCCAGTAATTCGAGATGGAGAATGTTGTGCGACTTGTGGAAAACAGGTATTTTTTTGAAAACCTTGTGAAAAAGTAGCAAGTAAAATTCTTTGATTTAGTGCAACTTTGAACAACGATTAACCAAACATGCACACGGTGAAATATTTTGGCCAGAAGATTGTTATCGATGCGAATGTTGGGATGGTGAAGTGAATTGTGAGAAAAAGTGAGTAATTTTTTTTCATTCAATAAAACATTTATATATATTTCATTTTTTTTCAGAAACATAACATGTCAAACACCTTTATGCCCAGCTAAAGATTGGGTTATTGAAAATGACTATCAATGTTGTCCAAAATGTAAAGATGACGCGAATTTTTGCGAAACTTCGCCATGTCATAAATATGCTGATTGTTACAATGAAAAACGTGGAGCAAAATGTATTTGCAAAGAGGTTCATTGAAACACTAAAAATCTTTTTATTCCTTGAATTATTCTATCGTTTTTAGGGATTCCACGGAAATGGCACGTTTTGTTTGGATATTGATGAATGTAAATTTTCACAAGATGCGAGAGCACAGGTAGAGAAATTTATGCGCATATAAATAAAAAGAAAATCACGAGAAAAAAAAACAAGACATTTTTCAGCTTGGTGGATGTATGGATGGAACGAGATGTAAAAATACATTGGGAAGTTTCGAATGCCCATGCCTTCCAGGATATCAACGTTTGACTGAACAGATGTGTATGCCACTATTGCGTGTTTAAATTATTGTCATTTTTCGTTAAGGTTTTTGAAATTGGATTCACTGTTTTCAAAATATTCCTCATAGTTTTCTTAAAGAATCCCTAAATTAACCAAAATTTTAAATTTTGGGAAAAACGGGTGCATTTTATTTATTTTTCTAAAAAATAATAGAAAACCTTGTGTCCAAATATTTTGACAAAACAGTAATCCGATTTTACCCTGTGCCAATTATCATTTTTTTTTGTTCTACTTTTCAGGCTTTTATTTGTTCTTTTTTATGGAAAATAATGAATATTGTTTATACAAAATTGAGAAGATAGTTATTGAAAAACATCAGAGAAGTATGAGTTGGAAGGTCAAATGATTCATGATTTTTTATTTTCAATTACCTAATTTTTTCTTGCTATTCTCCTTCTAATGAAAATGAAGAATCTTTATGTGAAATTACGAGTATTGGAAAGAATAAATGAAAAATGACAATACAGAAAAACATAGCTACCACGCATCATAATTAAAATTAAAAATCGTTAAAAATAAGTAAGAATCGAGAAATAAAAATTGCTCAATATAGAAAGCTCATAATATATTACACTTGATTGTGTGAAAGAACAATACTGACTTAAAATGAAATAATTTAAGGCGAAGTGGCACAAAAAGAGCATATTCAATTGTGAATTTGGAGCTTTGAAATAAGAGTAAATAGAAGGCAAAATTTAAGAGTACATGAATAAATACAAAATTGTTTTTAAATATCATCAAAGTCATCGCCTTTGGCAAGTGGTGGAGCGGCTCTCAAAAGATCAGCCACATCGAATCCATCATCAGAATCGGCAGCTTGTTGATCTCCATTTTGTTGCATTTCTGGAGAGATGACACGTTTCGCTTGATTTTGTTTTTTCTTCATTGCTTCAAGCAATTGTTTTTTAGTTTTTGTCACAAAAAGATCCATATCTTCTTCTTCTCCAAGCGAATCCATTTCAGACGACTCACGATAAACATCATCACCATTAACTGCACGTTCGAAATTTTTCAATTGTCCAGAACTTGTCGGAATTGGAATTTCATATTCTTTTCCAGGAGTTTCTCTGTAATACAAAGATTGATAAATGTTTTGTTATTTTGTTTTCAAACTCACGGTGCACTTGATTTTGGAAGAACTGCAGCAAGTTCACGTTTTTTGCCCAAATCACTTCTCTTCTTCTTTTTGAATACTTGTTTTCTAGCATAACTTGCATTAAAACTTTCATCGCCAGATTCATCACCAGAATAGATTGATTGTTGATCAGCCGACGAGTTTTCATCTAAAATTCAATTATATATTTGTACGAAAAAAAATGTTGGTAAAATGTATCTTACCGACAAAAATTCTGCGACATTCAGAATGATGTTTACTTGTAGTCAAAGCTTTGGCACTTTGATACATATGCGAAACTGAATGTGGTTTTCCAAACATTGCAGCATTCACAGCTTCCATTCTTTCTCTCTCAAATCTATCTGGCTGCAAAATTCGATTTCACATTACACATTATTCTGAAAAAAATGCGGAACAAATTTTAAAACTAACCACTTTTTGAAATGCGCCAGTGACTGGAATATCAAAACCGTTTGGAATAGATGAATGTTTCTCGTCAAATGCTATCAATGCAAGAGAAACTCGATAAGAAACAATGTCAGCGGGAGATTCGATATCTGCGACTGCAGTTACTGTCTGAAAAAAAACGCACATTTCAAATGATTAATGAAAATAATAAATGAGATGAAATGAAAAATATTTTCTTGTGGATGGAATTTATAATTTTATAAACATAATTTGTTTATATATTTTTTCGAAAACCAAAACAAAATGAAGATGTTTGAAATGTATATATATAAATTTTTGAACGCCAATTTTGACAGCCTGCTTTTGTTTGATCAAACAAAAATGACCAAAAAGTGTACATATGCTCAAACAAAAAACAATATATGAAAATGAATACGTTTTTGCTCACCTTCCAATCCTCATCGTTCAATAAAACATGCACCATAACACATTCATTCTCGTTTAGTTTGCTCTCGAGTTTCTGAAAAAAATGATTGTTTGACTTGGCAACTTATTGTAACTTACTTTAACTTGCTCATCGTCTAATTGCGAAAACTCGCGGATCGAATGGCTCAACAAATCAGGACGCTCTTTAGCAATATATGCTAAAGATGATGGTAGATTCACACTAGTTCGATGCATTCCAAAATCTATCATTGCTGCGTGATCAAGTTTCTGGAAAATTTGGATTCTTTAAGAAAGTCTGGAATCTTTGATCATTATTTTGCCAAACCAATTTTCAGAAAATTACAAACTACAAAAAAAAACAGAAAGTTTGACTAAACTATAGAAAGTGAGATCAATAATCTTCAAAAAAGGTGGAAGAATTGTTTGAAGATGACCCATGGGATTCAAAAAGTTTCTGAAGTGGCTCTAATTTTTTTCCAACATGAGAGAGGTTCTTTGAGTTCTAGTGCTAAGCTTTTTTTAACATTTTCTGGAAGTTGAAATCAATTTCTGTTTTACGATTAATTTCACAAATTGTGAAGATGTTTTGAAAAAAGTTGGCAGAACTTTTGGTTTTGACCAGAAAAATCATAAGGAATTTTGGAAAAACTCCCAATTTCATGATGAATTTCTGCCAGCTATTCAAAAATTTCTAGCTAACCAAAACATAAATTCCGGAAAATCTCTTCCGTAAAGAAATCAGATCCCTTCATAAATTTTCTTTCCAAAAAAAAAATACTTTTTTGGACTTTCAGATCTCTGTGTCGAAAAAAAGTGCAAGAACAAACGAAGGTAATTTATTATTATTCAAAAAGAGAGGCTCAAAAAAACTGACAGGAAAGAGTAATGTTATTTTTTCCATCTCACATTCAGAAAAGAACTACAAATTGAGACACATCTGTCTATTATATCATCAATAAATCATTTTTGAACCGTGATACTTGACAGCTGCCCATAATAAACTCACTTTTTGTTTTTTCTGACGTTTCCAACAAAACATTACCAAAATTTGAGTAAAGTAAAGTAAAATGAGGTAAACTTTTTACAATATAGGTGAGGTAAATATGGAAATGATCATGAAGGACTGGTTTAACAAAGAGGGGAAAAGTGGCTGTTTTTTTTGTGGCTGTCATTTTTTTATAAATAATGTATACACACTCTTACCTGCCAAATTGATTCGGTTACCAAAATATTTCTAGTTTTTGCAAATTCCTTGCGAATAATATTCACTTTACTTTCACTTGGATACTTGCTCGAAATCTCTGGAGTTATAAGATGTAGAACACCAGCAAATCCGAAAATCTGCAAAAAAAATTTTGGTTTTTTTCCGGAAGCTTGGAAAAGATCGTGCACTTTGATAATGTTCAACTTGAAGTCAATGTGATTTTTTATATTCTTTTGAAGTTGGGAAAAAAACCAAAAACCTGCTGTTCTTTTCTTTTGAATTGCTAATAAAATTTAATCGAATTATAAAATAAATTGTACTAAACTTCCATTGTATATAACTGAACGAAAAAGTGTACAACTTTAACCAAAAAAAAAATGTGGACAAAAAGGAAAAAAGTGACTAAATACGTTTTCTCCCAGTCAGTGAGTCAGTCCAAAAGTTCACTTGCTCTCAAAAATCCCTAAAGTGCAAAATTGTGTCTCTTTTTTCTCCCCATTGAACATTTCCGAAACGTAATGGCAACATTCTTTTTTTTGATGTGATGTGGTCAGTGAGAGATAAAGATTGCTGTGAAGAAAAAAAACGAAACATGATATGAGAAAGAAAGAAGAGAGCAAAAAAAAATCGACAGAAAAAAAAACGAAAATGCAGTTAGGTATGTATGAGAAATGCAATAAATATCGAAATGAGTTGCTGTCGGTTGACTTTTTATTTCATTTTTTTTTCGTCGTTTTTAGGATGAGGGAGGTCGGAATAATGGAAAAAAGAATGTTTAATTAAAATTTGAATATATTTTCTAGTTGAATGATTTTTCATAAGAAACCTGGTTTGTAGTTTGAAGAATCAAAAGATTTCAATGAAATTTCGAATTTTCGCGAAAACAATTTTCCTCATCATTTTAAAAAATAAAATGATCACAGGAAAATAACATGTGATATAATTGTTTTTGAAGAAATATCCACGTGACAAACTTTTTTTCTCAAGATCATGAAATTATTTTAAAATTTTTCAAGAAATCTTCTCGTCAAGCAAATCAATTTCCTTCAAACCCCTAAATTTCCCCTTCCCCCAAAAAATCTCTTTCCGATTCTCTAAAAAAGAAGTGCAAGCACTTTCTATTTTTAGAAAAACTATACAATCTACAATTTTCAGATTATACAGCTTATGTATATAACTATAAATTTTTCTTTACTACGGTATCTTGGTTCCACTTCTTTTTTTCCGTACTATACTAATAATGCAAAAAATGCTGAATCCCCATAAAAGTGCTCACATTATTTGTAAAATCCTCATTCGTTGTTGCCCATTTCGGTACAACATCATTTTTCAGCGACTCGACATAAAATGGGTTTTTCGAATTATTTTGTGTTTCAATTCTGCAAAAAAAACGGGGAGAGAGGAGAAAATTTAATTAGAAAGAACCGACACCAAATCCAATTTCTCCCCACATTTTTCCGTCTTCACCCACCTGAAAATTAATCCCTCTAATTCCATTGACAAGCGGAATAACACATTTAGCACTTTATAAATTTCGTCATGTGATGATTCTAAATCAATTTGTCCGACCAACGGAATTCCAGAATATCCTGAAAAATTATCAGCTTTTTTTTTTAAATATTTTTTATTTTTTATTTTTCAACCTACCTTGAGATGACAATGAAATACCAGTCGAAGAAAAAACAAAATTTTTAATTTGATCTACTAATGCTCGAACCAATTGATCTGACGTCGTTCCAGAATCTCTATACAAATAAAAGCACAATTTTTCGGTCATCACCTGGAAAATTCAAATATATTGATTTTGTTTTTTGCTGGAAAAAAATCTGCAGAACTTTTGAGAGAAAGAAAAATGAGAAAAGCCCAGATTATCCATGCACTATGAGAAATGAAAATGACTGATTTTTTTGGGAGAAAAAAAGAGAGTGGAGAATTGAAAAATGAAAAATAAAAATGTCACATTGAATTTTTTTGATTTTTGGCAGGTGAAATATTTTTCTATCAAAGGAACTTTTACAGCAAAATTGGAAAAATCAATACATTTTTTGAAGTTAGTCAAACTTGCATCATTTGTGGCACCAGAAGATTTTTATCAACGCTTCAATTTCAGAAAATCGCCTATTTTTTCCAGAAGTATTCAAAATACATGAAAAATCAATAGAAAAATAAAGCAATTATATACAATTTTTTGTCACATTCTGGATGACACTTTCTTTCACTTTTTCAATTATTTGTACGTGAACATCTATAAAGCAAGAAAAAAAAACATTACTCAAGTCAAGACTGCAGAAAAAAAACGCAAGAATTTTAGAACAACGAGAAAATTTGGGGAAAGAAAAAAGGCGAACCAAAATATATATGTGTGTATATATATATATAAAGTTGTTGTATGGGTTTTGTGGGCCGTTGAATAACAACAATTGTTTGGTTGTTTTCAAACTGGTCCAAACTTTTTTCGCCATTCAACATTTTTTTCAAGAATATGTAAGAACAAAGGAAATGTTGCGGAAAAAACATGGCATAAAACTGGCCAAAATGAATGAATCATAATTTTTTCCAATATTTATTTATTTATATTTTTTATCGTACACAAGAAATGGGAAAAAGAATGAGTCAGGCCTCGAAAATTAACGCATTTTTGAATTCAGACCATATGTTAGCACATTTCTTCATTTGAAAATAAAACAAAAGACAAATTAATGAGAGACAACAAATTGATTGAATTTTTCATTAAATGTGGGATCTTACATAATGTTAGATGAAAAAGGTTATTACATTTTTGTGAAGATCTTATCAACTAGGATATGACAGGGATAATATACTAATTTTTGTGATGAATTAATTAGATGTAAAAATTGTCAAGAACGTTCATTAGGGTGATTTGAGAGCTCTCTCTGCTAAAATGAAAGAATTTTGTTAAAGGTTCTGGATTTACTTATTATTTTTTAATAAAGTTTGGAAAAAAGTTGCAACCTAAAAAGAATATTTTATTTTTTCACAATTGGTTCAACTTTCCATAGTCAGAAACTGTTTTTTTTTTAGAAAAAAAAAATAGAAATCCAGATCTTCAGCAATATTTTTCCCTTTGTTTCTTGATATTTCATATTACCTAAACTTTCGATCCACTTTCAGAAAAAACAAGTCTCTATATCAATGACTCATAAGTAAAACAGATAATATTACAAAAACCCATGAAATTGTTCTCTGTTTATTTTCTCTAGAAAAGGAAATGGAAAAGGTCAAAGCTGCTTATTTAAGAAAAAATAAAAGTCAAAAAATCTTTTGATACTTCCCAATCGCATTAAAAATTGATAAAATTTGAGCTTTGTGCTCAACATTCTTCATTTCCATTAAAAAATACATCAAAAAATGAGAAATGTTCTATAGGTTCTACTAATATAAGTCTGAAGAAATAAGAAAACGTGAAACCACGCCAAAAAATCAAAAAAAAATCGCCAAAGCAAAAAAAAAAGTATGCTTGTACTCTATGACCAGTCTTTCAATGTCTGTCAACTCTCTCATTTTGAATCGATCTATATGCACCAAAGAAGAAACGAGAGAATCGCAAAGAAGAGCAGTGAACATAGAGTAACTGGCTTGCTTGCTTTGCGTTTGTTGCCATCCTATCCCGTAGCAAAACCTCGAAAAAACTGGCATACTTTCCTTTTCCCCTCTTTTTCTTGTGTTTGTCTGGTTGTCTGTTCTTGTTCAAAAATTTTTTTGCCACTACTAGTAGTCTTCATCTTCTCCTTTTTTTTCCTTCTTCTATCCATTTTTTGCATCCTTCTTCTTCTCGCTCGTGTTTTTTCTCCTTCTCCTTCTTCTTCTTCAGTGAGGTGAGGGGCCCAAGCAGCAGCAGCTCTGAGAGCACAGCTCCAACTACATTCCGCTGTGTGCTGACACCCGCCCTAGGCTCCTCCCTATCCAGTTAGTCACTTCTTCTTCATCTTCTTCTTTTTCTCCTTCATCGTCTTCTGTTTCTCTGGTATACATACATCTATATTTATTATTTATTTATTCATTCTGAAAGAGTTACAGTTATTATTAGGAAGGATTGTTGCGTGTTTGAAATTAATTGGTTTTTTTTTCCTTCTTCTGTCCTTGTTCTCTTTTTTTTTCATACGACCCGCTTATGTTCAAACAATGTTTGCATGCTTGCAATAAAAATGTCTCTTTTTCTCATTATTTTTTTTTTCAATATTTGTCATTTGCTTGAATTCCATTTCAAACCGAATTTTGTTTTTTTTATTTTTTCGAAAGAAAAAAATCACATTTTTCTCAAACATAAAAATTGATATACTGTGAAAAAACTTCATTTTTCAAATGTTGAAATTGGTTTCGCTTTTAGTTTTGCTCCGCCGTCCGCGTCCCCAAACACGAGAAAAAATGTTGTATGTAATAAATCATCGTGTCATTCATTTTTCTTCTTGTTGTTTTTTTCTACTTGATTTGTGGTTACTCAAAACCTCTTTTTTAACAGGATTTGGATTTATTTCCAGAATTGTTAATCTTTAACATTTTTTTGCTATAAATATGTGAAACATTTCTATTTTTCCTCCCCTCTGTTTTGCATATTTGCAAAATTCAAACAGTTCTCCTGCGCTCTCTCCCCTCTCTTTCTTCGCCACACTATCTCGCGCATAATGTTGCAAACACGCTCGAGGGAACTTGTAAGGTCACCTATATTTTGATCAGTTTTCCTTCCTGATCAGAACTTTTTTTAAAAATAAATAGGTAGAAATAATTAAAAATTCACAAAGAAAATATAATCTTTGGGCATTAAATATTTTGTTACTGCTATGTAAATTTCTACTACTTCTTCTTCTTTTTCTTCTTCATCGAGAAGTAGAAGAAGCAAAAAATCATTTACATTTTTGCTTGATATGTATTTCTTTTCATTTTTCCATCGGCATTATATATCCGATGTCATTGCATTGCATTTTTGCGTCGTTATATTTCCAGCTGCAGTGATTTATAATAGTACACTTTTTTTTGCTCGAGAAAATTGATGTTTTTCGGAAATTATGCGTTTTGGGTTGCACCCGAAATGAATAATCTTCTTCATCCCTCTTGCCCTAGCTAGCCACCAAAAAAAGTCATATTTCTAATTCTAATTTCCCGGAAGATACCCATTATTTTATTTCTTTTTTTTTTCTCTTTTTTTCCTTTCTATTATTTTTGTTGTCTTTTTTCCTGTATGTATCATAAAACATTAGCGAAAGTCTGTCGAATGATTCATCAGCGAATTTGATTTATAAAAAAGTCCAATCATTATTTTTGGAAAATTGCGTCTTATCTTTTTTTCTTAAAAGTTTCCGGCAATTTTCCTCCTCCTTTATCACTTTTTTTCGTAAATTTTTTTGTTGTCTTTTTCTTTTTTCTAATGTCATCTCTTTGATTTTTCTTCTTTTTTTTCCTATCTTTTATTATTATTCTTTCCATGTTTTATATATTTCAGACACCTTCTCCCGTCTCTTGGTTTCAATTTGTTTCGTAGTAGCAGTGTATTGTTCATATTTTATATATTCGTTGTTGTTTATCGAAAAATTATGGAGATTGAAAATATTGTCGCAAATACGGTGTACATCAAAGCGAGAGAAAGTATGTTCTTCAGCATTTTCTTGTGGTTTCGAAACACATTGCAAAAAAAAAAGTTAGACAAACAAAACAATTTAAACAAACTACCCCCCAATTTTTGTTCTTTATTTTGTCAAGTGGTCCCTGAATGATTTGTGATTACTACGGGGGAGGGAAATATTGGGGGGAGACACGTAGTACATACAAACTAACTAACAGCAAAACAATCAATTTTTTGTTTATTGGTTAGTTTGACACTGCATTCTTGGAAATAGTAGAAAATCTAAATTGAGAAATAAATTTTTTTGCAGGTGGTGGACAAAAGAAAGGAAAAAGTAAAAAGTGGAAGAATTATCTGCAATTTCCACATTATACCGAATGTCTTCCACTCAAATCGGAAATTGATGTCAGTTTTGCGTACATTGTTGAGAAACAACCCATCGGAAAACTCCTCTTCCACGAATTTTGCGAAAGCAGCAGTGAGCAATATCATGCTTGCTGCACATTTTTGACAAAAGTTGAGGAGTATGAAACATCGGATGATGATATACAATCAAGACGGGATTTGGCGACCGCTATTATTGCATTATTAGCCCCGAAAAATTCGGAAGACAAACCATCGGTAAACCTTTTCATCTTTTTTTATTATTTCTGTTTTCAAACCATTTTTTTCAGTCATCACAAGATGAACAAACCTCTTGGAGTTCATTTTTACCTGATGAAGTGATATCAAAATGTTTATCATCGGCTGATTCGGCAACCCATCAAAATGATCCGGCTAGCGACATTTTCTCGGAAGCTTATAGGTGAGCATACTTTGGTCTCGAAAAAATTGAAACAAACACATGAACAAAAAAAAAAAGACAAATTAGTCTCATTATAATCAAGTTGAAACACTCTCATACGTTTCATTTGATTGGCTTTTTGAAAATGGAAAAAACGTTGAGAGATTCTTTTTGAACAAAATTGTGAATTGATCTACGGATTCAAACCTGGCGTTGCATTTTGAAAAAAAAACAGTTTGGAAACTGTTGAATTAATGGTTTTCAAATAAGAAATTGCTTGTTTTGAACAGAATCAAGGGTCATAGAACAATTTAATCACAGTGAAATAAATTACCAAAACCAGAGCTCAAACTGCAAGCTCTCAAAAATATTTATGTGATCCTATTTCAGATTGGCAAGAGAGTTTCTCACCGAAAAACCATTTCAAGAATTTGTCGACTCAATGTATTTCCATCGATATCTTCAATGGAAATTCCTTGAAAAACGACCCGTCGACAAACACACATTTCGATTATATCGGGTATTGGGCAAAGGTGGATTTGGAGAAGTTTGCGCGTGCCAGGTGAGTAATTTCTCTCTCATAAAAGTGCATATCACAAATTGGCCCAACTAAAAAATTCGTAATAGGCTTGGTTAGTCCGGACTTGGTTTGCACCCAAAAAACAAAGACTTTTTCCGTATGCAAAAAATCACAAGAACACATCTATTTTTGGAAAAATTGAATTTCCCCCCGGAGGATTTTCTCTCAACTCTGTCCTTTTTTGGGAAAGAAAAAATAAAAAAAAAAAAAGAAGAAAAAGTACATTTGCAGGTTCGTGCCTCTGGAAAAATGTATGCATTGAAAAAACTGGAGAAAAAACGAGTCAAGAAGCGTCATGCGGAGATTTTGAGTCTGAACGAGAAGCAAATTCTACAGAAAATCAACTCGCCGTTTGTGGTAAGCATATTCATTCATTTATTATTTCAAAATAAATAAATATATCTCAAAAAGATATATTTATTTATATATATATATATGTATGGCCTGTGTTTGTCGTTCAACGTCTTCTTTTTCTTTTTGCCACCAACACCATCTCTTTTACATAGAAAAAAACCGAAAAGTAGAGGGAGGACGAAAAGGGCATGAATAAGAAAAATACATTTCCGAAATTTGGATTAGCACTTCTTTCTCACTCGAAAATGAGATCAAATGAGCAAAATGTTGTGTGTTTACAGGTCAGTCTTGCATATGCTTACGAGACAAAAGATGCGTTATGTTTGGTGTTAACATTGATGAATGGCGGTGATTTGAAGTTTCATTTGTATAATCTGATGCCTGGCGGGTTTGATGAGAAAAGGGTACAATTCTACGCGGCTGAAATCACACTCGGCCTTCAACATTTGCATAATGAAAAAATTTTATATCGTGATCTCAAACCGGAAAATATTTTGCTTGATGATAATGGACATGTTCGAATATCTGACTTGGGATTGGCTGTTGAATTGAAAGATAATGAAGCTATCAAAGGTCGTGTTGGAACTGTTGGTTACATGGGTATGTTTGAAAAAACATTTTTAAATTTGAAAAAAAAAGTCAGTTTCTTCTGAATTATCATCTACAATACTGTGCTTCTGTAAAACCTCCCAACACATCCAAAATCCAAAATATTTCAAATTGATTTCAGCTCCGGAGATAGTGAAAAACGAACGATATGCATATGGTGTTGATTGGTGGGGTGTCGGATGTTTGATCTATGAAATGATTGAAGGAAAAGTAAGTTGTCCTAACAAATTGAATAATGTGTTTTCTCCACATTACTTTTTGCAGGCGCCGTTCCGTCAGCGAAAAGAGAAAGTGAAGCGAGAAGAAGTTGAACGACGTGTACGAGAAGACCAAGAGAAGTACTCTGAAAAGTTCAGCGAAGCAGCACGAACACTTTGTCGGTTAGTGTGTTTTTTTATTGAGTTTCGCTTTTTTTGTTGCTTCCTCCTTGCTCAAAGAATGAATGTGGACTGATTATATTTCAGCGGATTGTTACACAAAGAGCCATCATTTCGGTTGGGATGTCGACGCGTTGGAAAACCGGAAGAAGGGGCTGAAGAGATTCGAGCTCATCCGTTCTTCAATTTGGCCGATGCAGCAACAAGTCGCGAAGCTGTTCCGTGGAAAAAGATGGAAGCTGGAAAGGTACATCTCGTTTTTGAGAAGCAAAGACAGAATTTAAAAAAAAAACATTTTTAAAAAATTTTAGTCTGTTTTTTAGAAAAACTTTAGAAGATTCAAGTCAAGTGAGTTTTGGATTTAATAGAGAGTAGTGTTTTCTTAATTGTGCCTAAACCTTTTATTCAGTCAATTTTTTTCTTTACATACGTAGATCGCTTCAAAACAATTTTAACAACCAACATTCACTGAAAAACCATTCTTCAGGTTTCACCACCATTCTGCCCTGATCCACGAGCTGTTTATGCAAAAGATGTGCTCGATATCGAACAATTCAGTACGGTAAAAGGTGTTCGTTTGGATGCAACTGACACTCAATTCTATGGAAAATTCAACACGGGTTCAGTCAGTATTCCATGGCAAAATGAGGTGAGTAAACAACTCGTTTTTTGTCGCTATTTCTGACTAATCCGAATGTCGAAAAAAAACGTTCATTAGGACAAGAGTATCATATTTATTAACGATCAGAGCGTTCAGTTTCCGATGAAATTTGAGCGATTATTCTGGATCGTTTTCACAGTGGGAGGGATGACGCTCAATGTGTTTGTGTTTAAAGCAAAGATGAAGAATTCGCTAGGGGGTTTTGGTCTGATTGGATAGTAAAATCTAGAAAACAATTATTTTTGGAATCAGTGGGAAAGGGATCAAATTATGCAAATGTGATTAGACGGATACTGAAAGTGTACAAAAATTCTTGAAAAATTAAAATAAAGTTAACGTTTTGAATTTCAATAGAAATGATTATTGACCTAAAAATTGATTATTTCAAATTCGAGAATTTCCCAGTTAAAAACCATCAGACCAATAAAATCGATTTCATTGTTTCAAATTCCTGTTTACCCAAATGTTCGATTTTTTGAGCTTTGGATTGATTCAGACAATTTTTCAAATCTGAAATATTCTCGGGAAAAATACGGCGCCAAGGCTACATCCTGGGGCGCTAAGGCGACATTCTGGGGCGCCGAGGCGGGAAGTGCTCTCGCCTCGGCGCTAAAAAGGTGCGCAGAGAGAACGCACCGGCGCTAAAACGGCGCGCGAAGAGACGCACCGGCGCTAAAATGGTGCGCCAGTGAGACGAAAAAATAAAAAAGGTGCGGAAAAGGGCATCGAACTTGGGTCAAAACAATGACAACCCATCCTCTTATCCACTCGGACACGCTTGCTACATTTTTAGTGCGGAAAATTTCGATGAAAAGAGAACAAGAGTCATTTGTATGGTAAAATAATGGATTTTTCATGAAAATGTCGCCTTGGCGCTAAAAAGGTGCCGTAATTTCGGCACCTTTTCAGCACCGGGGCGGCCAAAATTCCTCGACAATTTTTGTCGCCTCGGTGCTAAAAAGGTGCCGTATTTTTCCCGAGTTTGAGTTGGTTATGAAATTGTATCCAAATATTCTAAGCTCACTTCAACTGCTCACTACTGAAAAATTCAAAACATTTTTTTTTCAGATGATTGAAACCGAATGTTTCGCCGAACTCAATCAATACAAAGACGAAGAAGGCAATCTTTATTGGAACCTTCGTCCAGACGGTATGAATGCTGAAGAACGTCGTAACGGCACCACCAAGCAAGGCTTCTTTGCCAGATTGTTTCGTAGAAAGGTATTTCATTTTTTCCTCCCACATTTTTTGCTGTGTGCTTACCAACAACAACAACAACAATCATAAGCATGTTTTGTTTTTTATCATCTTTTTTCATTTTGCAGGATTCAAGTTCTGCTGCAAGAAGTTGAATGTATGTGCCCTTTTATGCGCTGATATTATTTATTCTATGATTATTAAAATTATTATTGATATTGATATGATGTGATTGTGATGGTCTATTCAACTCTTCCATAATGTTTTCTCAGAATCCCTTCAAGTGCCTTGTCGTATAAGCAATTTGTTTTTTTTTTTGATTTTTTTTTTCAATATTTATTCACTCATTCCAACCCCAATGATCTCCACACATGCGCAGCTTCTTTGTTTTTTGTTCGAAATTCTTTCAATTATACGTGAGTTTATTTTTTTTTCATTTTTTGAATGCAAACTATCCTTGTAAAGTGATCACGAACTTCTATTGAATGCTCACCACTTTTGAAAAAAATATATAATTTTCCCAGAAAAAAATAATTCTTCTCATAGAAATGTAGATTTTTCAGACTCTTGTTGTTGCCAAATCATTGCACGATATATCAAAATTTGATTCGGAACAACTTCATCCAGCTACCCCAACTGCAGTTCGATCGAATCGTGCAGCTTCAGCTAGTGGTCGTACATCAATGATTTAGTAGTGTGTGTTTATCTCAAAAAAATCTACAACTGTTTTTCTCTGTACTTTGATCTTTCGCTAGTTTCCCCTTACCCTTTTCTCCTTCTTTAGGTTTAGATTTTTTTCATTTCCAGTTTTTGCCCAAATCTTGCGGAAATTGCCCTCAAAAATTACAATTATTTATTTATTTTTCTATATTTATTTAAATTTTTCTCAATTTATGTTTCCTATTTTTGGCCCTTGTTTTATTTTTTATTAAAAATCAACGAACGAAATAATGCTGTAAAAATTTTCACAGTTCCGAAAAACCTTTTTTTTTTATCTTGTCCTGAATTGTTTTCAAACAAAACAACAAAAGATAAAATTATACTTTCCAAATGGCTTTATTTTTCTTCAAAAAATGTTAGTTGAATCCATTTTTTTTCTTCTCAATTTGTCATTTTTATCAAAATTCTGGTAAGTAAAAGTACAACACAATATCTGAATTCCCCCCAAAATGATTGTTTTCTTTCAGTTGTTCGAACAGTTTTAACTCTAGTCGAATGTCTTTCTCCCTATTTTTTTGCTTAAAATATATGATTTTTCTTCTGTTTTTTTTTGTTGTTTAAAGACATTTGAAAATTATAGATATGAAATCGCGGCGGAAAATCATACGTGAGTTGTGATGACCTCATCGAGTGCAAGATTCAAATCGATTTGTATTTTACACCGGGTCATTTTTTGAGCGAAAAATTGAAATTCGTTCATCAAATTGATTATATATCTTATAATTAACATAGTTTGAGTGTAATTATCACAAAAAGATTCTGTAAATTATTTCGAAAAATCGGGTGATGACCTCATGCAGTACAAGATTCAAATCGATTTGTATTTTACACTAGGTCATTTTTTGAGCGAAAAATTAAATTTTGTTTATCAAATTCATTATACATCTTGTAATTAATATAGTTAATTATCCCAAAAAAACTAGAGATTCTGTAAATTATTTCGAAAAATTGGGTGATGACTTCATCCAGTGCAAGATTCAAATCGATTTGTATTTTACACCGGGCAATTTTTTGAGCAAGAAATTGAAATTTGTTTATCAAAATGAATATATATCTTGTAATTAACATCGTTTGAGTATAAATATCACAACAAACTAGAGATTCTGTAAATTATTTCGAAAAACTGGGTGGTGACCTCATCCAGTGCAAGATTCAAAGCGATTTGTATTTTACATCTAGTCATTTTTGGGCAAAAAATTGAAATTTGTTTATCTTCCATTTCAACTATAGCAAAGTTTGAATTTGGAGTTCATTGCTAGAAATTTTCAGCTGTAAGTTTGAGAAAAATTTTGAAAACAAATAACGCCTTTATCAATTTTCATATAATTTTGACTGATAGATCAATACTTTTTCAGTCATTTAATTTTTAGCAAATCTAAAAACCTTTTCGGGTTAATGTTGTTTTTCCGTTAAAATTATTCCATTATTCAATTATCTCTTTGAACTTTTTATTTTTCAAACTTCTGTGTTTTATCAAGTTTTGAGTTGAAGTTCCAATATTTTACACATCATAAAAACCCGCAGATGGATCATCCATGCATTTCATTTTTTTATTTGTCATCTAACGAACCAGATTATCGAGCAGGTGTTGAGTTCAATACACTTATTACCTTTTTTTAATTATGTCTATCTCTTTCATTTTATCCCCATTTGGAATATACCAAATAACCGAAAAACAGAAAATAATCCGCTTTCTTTCTTTTCATGCATGCTCAAAAACAAACCTTGTAATTATTTTGCGATGTGCTCGGTTAAAATTGATGTCTCTAATAAATCTAGCATCTTTTCGTTTTTGCTGCCAATTTCGCCAACCAAAATTTCGGATTTTTTTTTGGTATGCGTATATATGAATAAATTTTAAGAAGAACAAAAGAATTGGAAGAAAATCAAAATGAATAAATTTTGTAAAAAAAATGACGTCAATTTGAATCTGACCTGGATTGACAATGAAAAATCTGATTCTGGAAATTTTTGTATGGAACTCACAATCAGTGGAATCATTTTAAAAACAATTGTGAAAATATTTGATAAAGAGATTCTTTTGGAAGAAATTTTCGAAAAATATGAGATTTTACAGATTCGTTTAAGTTTATGAAATAATTTTTTATGGAATTTCGGAAAATTATAATTCATGTTGAACGCGATATTTTTTAAAATTTGTGAACTAATTTCATCCTGTACAAAAATGGAAATATTTTAGGAGTAAACTTTGAATTTCCCTCCGGAATTCATGGTTGTTTGTGTTTCACTGTAAAAAATATTATTTTATTTACAATTTTAATTTTACGATCAAATTTATTAACACGGTTTTTTGTTTATCAGTGACGTGACTTTTTGCTGATCAGAACACGGGTCTTGAAATTATTGGAATTTTTTCCCAATTTTAGTTTTATACGACTTTTCAACAATATTTTTTCCAGTCTAACAAATCCATTATTGCATCCTTCCTCATCTCTCCAACATAATGCTATCGGAAAATCTTCACCTTTCATCCACATATTGTTCACCTAATGAGCAAAACAAGCAGCTGACTGACATATGGAAAACTATCACTATGGTTACCGGAAAACATGCTTTATGCATCATGTGAAATTCTTGAAATTCTCTTTTCTTGATGTCATCGTTTTTCCCTTTCACTCTACGTCAATTTTTTTAAGATGGATAATCCATGCACTTCAGATTGTTTTTTTTCTTTACTGGCGATTTTCTTTATTTTGGTTGGTTTACAAAAACGAATAAAAATAAAAATAGGTAAAGATACCACGAGCAGCTTTACGTGGTGCTTCGTCGATTTTTCAGGGTTCGCGGAGCACTTACGAAAACTGCGCATGGAAACTTCACATTTTTAGAATAAGAATAGGGAATAGAAACAGGATTAGAATATGATTGATAAAAAGCACATTTCCAAACATTGATGAATCAAAAAAATATCACACGTTTGATGATGATCGGCAAAAATAAGGGGAGGAGAAAAAGAAAACCAAGAAGGAAAAGGAAAAGACACACACAAACATACACACCTTCTATACACAATGTGCCGATCGGCCAAAAATTTGTGAGATGGGCGGAGCTTTATAACAAAAACACAGACAAATATGTATGACAGAGAAAAATATTGGAATTGTGGAAGAGAGAGAGAGACAGAGAGAGAGACAGAGAGAGACAGAGATGGATGAATGTAAATACCATCTGAAATAACACTGTATGCGCTTTTGTGCGATTTGAAGCTTTGGTAGAATTTATTAGGAAAAATGAGAGAGCATTTGGATACAACGTTCGAAAAAATATATAGTTGATGCTCTGATATTTTTAAATTTAAATGGGCTCTTTTGGTTTTTCTTAAAATTCTGATTTAAAAACAATTCACTTCAGAAAAACCTTCAGGATAGTGCGATGTTAAATATAAAAATGGATCTGTGAACTTGACTCGAAATTGGTCCACATGGAAATTTTTCATAAAAATGTCTTTTTGAAGCAATCAAATTTCAAACTGTTCAAATATAATCAGTTATTTTCTTGAAAAATTGAAAATTCTCTTATTTTTCCGTCACCCGTTTCATGATTTTCAAATTGAAGAAAATATTTTTCAAAACTCGTCTCGACAAACAAATTAAAAAAAAATTCTGGTTGTCTATCTAAAAAATGTCTTTATCCATGAAATCTTGAAAGCAATTCAAACTGAACAAAGTATAACATTTTCAGACAGTGTTATGCACTTTTCACAAAAAAAAAACTGAAATAATAAAATTTCACCTGCTCAACTTGAACCATATCTCATCCACAAATTCAAATTCATTCCAAAAATATATGTAGAAATAAATGCGAACATTCAACACAAAAATCTATCTTGTATCGCCATCAAATGGCGCTAATATCAGCTTGTCGAATCTTTCTTTTTTTAAGAGAAGAGATGACCTCTCCCTCCGTTTTCTCATCTATATTTCTCCGTTTTTGGTAGGTGTTCTCGGTTACGCGTACGGTTGTTAAAAATATACATGTATTTATTTATCTATCTATTTATTTATTTGTTCTTCCATTTTTTTTGGTACAGAAAAGATATGTATCAGATGAACATTTTTAGAGGTATAAGAATAAATTGTTTACTTTGATTGATAAAAAAGAAACTGATGATAACACATTTTGAGCATAACAAAATGTGTTGATTAAGATTAGAAAATGGGGAATTTTCGAGAATAACAACACAAAAAAATGTGGTTAAAACTACAAAAAAAAAACTTTAGTAAACCTCCAATTTACGAAAAAAAGACGGGAGTACACTCAAACAAAATTAGAATAAGATGAATATAAATAATAATAATGTTGGAGTGAATGAATACAATAGACGAGGTTCATCCAAGGACGAGTGAACTAACAAATATTAAAAAAGAAAAACGGATGAGTTGGATGAACATAATACCCGGCTGGTAATAAAATATGGGTTTTTCAAATTGTTTTCTCGTCGATGTATATTAAAAGTATTATTCATGAAAAATGACAGGTTTCCGATGAAGTTTTTCTTGTTTCGAAAAAATAGGGAAAACGAGAGAAGGGTTTTTGTTTAAAAAAAACTAGGGTGAAGTTCATACTTTCGATGATTAAAAAACATTTTGCTTGTCTTTTGACGCTTTTTGCGATGAGAAAGAGCATGAATGTCTAGAAAAATTTCAAGTCTAGAAAAATTTCAGCTCTAGAAGTCTAGAAAAATTTCAGCTCTAGAAGTCTAGAAAAATTTCAGCTCTAGAAGTCTAGAAAAATTTCAGCTCTAGAAGTCTAGAAAAATTTCAGCTCTAGAAGTCTAGAAAAATTTCAGCTCTAGAAGTCTAGAAAAATTTCAAGTCTAGAAGTCTAGAAAAATTTTAGCTCTAGAAGTCTAGAACAATTTTAGCTCTAGAAGTCTAGAAAAATTTTAGCTCTAGAAGTCTTGAAAAATTTCAAGTCTAGAAGTCTAGAAAAATTTTAGCTCTAGAAGTCTAGAAAAATTTTAGCTCTAGAAGTCTAGAAAAATTTCAAGTCCAGAAGTCTAGAAAAATTTTAGCTCTAGAAGTCTAGAAGTCTAGAACAATTTCAGCTCTACTCGGGGAAACGCTGGCGTAGAACGCCGCGTGTATGCGGCGTACACGCCTATTTTTAAAAGGCTCGCACGCTGTGTTCACGCCGATTAAACGCCGACTCACGCGGCAGACACGCCGAATTGCGGCGTTTGCGCCGATTCAAGCGCGGCGTTCGCGCCTTCTCATTTCTCTTTTCCCAGCTGCCCCGGCTTTTCGAAACATTCTACTAATCATTTGACAATTTATTAACAAAATAAGCAGAACAATAAACAATTGAAAATGTTGTGGTCTGTTTTGAAGTCTTGATTTCGATTGAGCGGAAGAAGCCATGAAGTGGCGAAGTGATGTAGCATAGAGATAGTTGATTCCTGAAAATTGATAATGAAAAAATGGGTTTGCATGAATTGTCAAAAAAAAAAAAAATAAAAATAAAAAAAAAATCAATTTTGGCAGGCAACTAATTGAGAATCTTTCAAATATGTACAATTGGGATTTCCAAGTCCGACAATTCTAGTTATGTCACAGCCCACTTTCCTGCACAAAAGTACAGCCTCACCCTCAAAATTTTCAAAAATACAAAAAAATTTTTTAGAACACTCTAAAAGTTTAGTCTCCCAATGGACCTCCGAGCCAAGTTCTGGACTCTCAAAATTTCAAAAATTGTCAATATTGGCTCGTCATCATAACTAAAATTTCTTTGATTTTTGTGAAAAAAACTGAGTAGCAGATAATCAGCATGGTCGATTTATCCAAAAAGCATGAATAAACTGAGGTTTCAGAAAACTTTTTGATTTTTGAAAAAGTATGAGTAGAGTTTGAAGTTTCAGCCGAAAAAGAAAAAAAATTCAGAATTTTTCGAAAAAATGATTTTTATTGATGAAGTTTCAATAAACCGACTATGCTGATCAATATTTGAAACTTTTTCTGGCGAAAAATTTTTTGAAATGGATGTAAGGCCTTTTTTGAGTTCTTGAGAGCTCAGAATTTGGCTCCAAGGTCGATTGGGAGAAAAATAAAAGCCGAACCGGTTTTCCCATCCAAAAAGCTTGCTATTCTCAAAATTTAATAATCTTTTTAAGTGTTGAGTAAAAAAGGTTTCCTTGTTACGTAAGATGTTGTTCAGAATGGTAGATTGGGTAAAATCATCAATTTTTGTGAAAATTTTCCGAAAATGTTCAATTTTGTAATCCAATATCTAGCGCCAATAAAAGTTTGTCTGCCATTGTTAAATGACTTTATCAAATCGACCCTCCTCGACAGCGTAATGTTATTAGATTTTCAACAAATCGACTTCAAAATTCCCCAAGCCTTTCAAAAAACTTACTTGATTGTACCGACAAGCAGTCGCAGTTTTTCGTAGAAATCACATTGCTTCAAACATATCCCAAGCCATTGATTCGCCTGAAAATGGACATGTATAAATTTTTAATCGAAAATTACGAAAAACTCACATAATACATTGCATTTCTCGAAAACAATCGAATGTGGCTACAGTAACGTCACCATTGTATCACTGTTGCCAGTTTGCAACCTTATACACCTGTTGTAATTGAAATTATAGATAAATTTAGGCCAAGAAAAAAAAGAAAATGAAAATAAAAATGAAAATAAACTGCGGGCGGGCGGAGTGTCGTTTGTGAAAACTTGGAAAATCAAGGCGTATACGCAGCGTGTGCGCGGCGTGAGCGCCATTGTGATCTCTGACCGCCGCATACACGCCGAACGTCTCTAAACGCGGCGTTCTACGCCGACGATTTCCCGAGTAGAAGTCTAGAAAAATTTCAGCTCTAGAAGTCTAGAAAAATTTCAGCTCTAGAAGTCTAGAAAAATTTTAGCTCTAGAAGTCTAGAACAATTTTAGCTCTAGAAGTCTAGAAAAATTTCAGCTCTAGAAGTCTAGAAAAATTTCAGCTCTAGAAGTCTAGAACAATTTTAGCTCTAGAAGTCTAGAAAAATTTCAGCTCTAGAAGTCTAGAAAAATTTTAGCTCTAGAAGTCTAGAAAAATTTCAGCTCTAGAAGTCTAGAACAATTTTCAGCTCTAGAAGTCTAGAAAAATTTTAGCTCTAGAAGTCTAGAAAAATTTCAAGTCTAGAAGTCTAGAAAAATTTCAGCTCTAGAAGTCTAGAACAATTTTAGCTCTAGAAGTCTAGAACAATTTTAGCTCTAGAAGTCTAGAAAAATTTCAGCTCTAGAAGTCTAGAAAAATTTTAGCTCTAGAAGTCTAGAAAAATTTTAGCTCTAGAAGTCTAGAAAAATTTCAAGTCTAGAAGTCTAGAAAAATTTTAGCTCTAGAAGTCTAGAAAAATTTTAGCTCCAGAAGTCTAGAAAAATTTCAAGTCTAGAAGTCTAGAAAAATTTTAGCTCTAGAAGTCTAGAAAAATTTTAGCTCTAGAAGTCTAGAAAAATTTTAGCTCTAGAAGTCTAGAAAAATTTTAGCTCCAGAAGTCTAGAAAAATTTCAAGTCTAGAAGTCTAGAAAAATTTTAGCTCTAGAAGTCTAGAAAAATTTTAGCTCCAGAAGTCTAGAAAAATTTCAAGTCTAGAAGTCTAGAAAAATTTTAGCTCTAGAAGTCTAGAAAAATTTTAGCTCTAGAAGTCTAGAAAAATTTCAAGTCTAGAAGTCTAGAAAAATTTCAAGTCTAGAAGTCTAGAAAAATTTTAGCTCTAGAAGTCTAGAAAAATTTTAGCTCCAGAAGTCTAGAAAAATTTCAAGTCTAGAAGTCTAGAAAAATTTTAGCTCTAGAAGTCTAGAAAAATTTCAAGTCTAGAAGTCTAGAAAAATTTCAAGTCTAGAAGTCTAGAAAAATTTTAGCTCTAGAAGTCTAGAAAAATTTTAGCTCTAGAAGTCTAGAAAAATTTTAGCTCTAGAAGTCTAGAAAAATTTTAGCTCTAGAAGTCTAGAAAAATTTTAGCTCTAGAAGTCTAGAAAAATTTTAGCTCTAGAAGTCTAGAAAAATTTCAAGTCTAGAAGTCTAGAAAAATTTTAGCTCTAGAAGTCTAGAAAAATTTTAGCTCTAGAAGTCTAGAAAAATTTTAGCTCTAGAAGTCTAGAAAAATTTTAGCTCCAGAAGTCTAGAAAAATTTTAGCTCTAGAAGTCTAGAAAAATTTTAGCTCTAGAAGTCTAGAAAAATTTTAGCTCTAGAAGTCTAGAAAAATTTTAGCTCTAGAAGTCTAGAAAAATTTTAGCTCTAGAAGTCTAGAAAAATTTTAGCTCCAGAAGTCTAGAAATTTTCAAGTCTAGAAGTCTAGAAAAATTTTAGCTCTAGAAGTCTAGAAAAATTTTAGCTCTAGAAGTCTAGAAAAATTTTAGCTCTAGAAGTCTAGAAAAATTTTAGCTCCAGAAGTCTAGAAAAATTTCAAGTCTAGAAGTCTAGAAAAATTTTAGCTCTAGAAGTCTAGAAAAATTTTAGCTCCAGAAGTCTAGAAAAATTTCAAGTCTAGAAGTCTAGAAAAATTTTAGCTCTAGAAGTCTAGAAAAATTTTAGCTCTAGAAGTCTAGAAAAATTTCAAGTCTAGAAGTCTAGAAAAATTTCAAGTCTAGAAGTCTAGAAAAATTTTAGCTCTAGAAGTCTAGAAAAATTTTAGCTCTAGAAGTCTAGAAAAATTTTAGCTCTAGAAGTCTAGAAAAATTTTAGCTCCAGAAGTCTAGAAAAATTTCAAGTCTAGAAGTCTAGAAAAATTTTAGCTCTAGAAGTCTAGAAAAATTTTAGCTCTAGAAGTCTAGAAAAATTTTAGCTCTAGAAGTCTAGAAAAAATTTTAGCTCCAGAAGTCTAGAAAAATTTCAAGTCTAGAAGTCTAGAAAAATTTTAGCTCTAGAAGTCTAGAAAAATTTTAGCTCCAGAAGTCTAGAAAAATTTCAAGTCTAGAAGTCTAGAAAAATTTTAGCTCTAGAAGTCTAGAAAAATTTTAGCTCTAGAAGTCTAGAAAAATTTCAAGTCTAGAAGTCTAGAAAAATTTCAAGTCTAGAAGTCTAGAAAAATTTTAGCTCTAGAAGTCTAGAAAAATTTTAGCTCTAGAAGTCTAGAAAAATTTTAGCTCTAGAAGTCTAGAAAAATTTTAGCTCTAGAAGTCTAGAAAAATTTTAGCTCTAGAAGTCTAGAAAAATTTCAAGTCTAGAAGTCTAGAAAAATTTTAGCTCTAGAAGTCTAGAAAAATTTTAGCTCTAGAAGTCTAGAAAAATTTTAGCTCTAGAAGTCTAGAAAAATTTCAAGTCTAGAAGTCTAGAAAAATTTTAGCTCTAGAAGTCTAGAAAAATTTCAAGTCTAGAAGTCTAGAAAAATTTCAAGTCTAGAAGTCTAGAAAAATTTTAGCTTTAGAAGTCTAGAAAAATTTTAGCTCTAGAAGTCTAGAAAAATTTTAGCTCTAGAAGTCTAGAAAAATTTCAAGTCTAGAAGTCTAGAAAAATTTTAGCTCTAGAAGTCTAGAAAAATTTTAGCTCTAGAAGTCTAGAAAAATTTTAGCTCTAGAAGTCTAGAAAAATTTCAAGTCTAGAAGTCTAGAAAAATTTTAGCTCTAGAAGTCTAGAAAAATTTTAGCTCTAGAAGTCTAGAAAAATGTCAAGTCTAGAAGTTTTCTGATCTAGAACATTTCTAGGTCTAGAAAAATTCCATCTAATGCAAACACATTTATTACCGTTTCATGAAAATGATCGATTCTACAGTAGTCTCGATTCCCACACATAAAAAGTGCATTTCTTGTGATATTTTCCAAACGCCGACGTATGTATATTTTATTGTATGTAAATTGTGCTAATAAAAATTTGCCTTTTTCTCTTGCGTCCAAAAATATATAATATTTTTCATGTGCTGTTCTTTTTTTCGTTGAAGGGAATCGAATCGACATTATGATAATGATAAAATCCGAGCAAAGAAGATTATCAGAAAAATAAGGGAAGATGAATAAAAAACGACAAAAAAAAATAATAATATTAATGTCAATATCGTTCTGTGGCTGCTGTCAAAATACATATTAAAGATAAGATAATTGAGCCTCCCAAAAAACTAAAAAAAAATATTAAGAAGAGAAAAGTATTGTTGTTCTTATCACTTAGTTTTTTGGCTCAATTGTATTATTTCGTGTACTTTTTCTATTATTTTTTATTTTGCAAGGAAACATGACTATTGATGGAGAATCTGGTGAAGATTCAATTTTGATATCAAGGTTTGTGTTATTTGATTTTATTCAATTATTTGTTGAAAAAATCAAACATAATCATATCATAAATTTTTATCGAATTTTCATCTTAATGTGAAAAATAATTGTATGTGTTTCTGATGCAAAAATATATACATACATTCATGTATTTTGTGATGCGAGGGGAAAATCATAACTGATATACAAAGATAAACAAATAACATATGATGTGACTTATGCTCAGCCTTATTGATACCAAAAAAAAACATAATGATACTTGATTTTATCAATTAGTTTTGCTAGTCTATTTTTTAGGTTGCTATTTTTTTGGTTTCTCGTGTTTGTAAAAAATTTAAAAGTTTTTAGAGTTTCGTTTTTTTCAAGTACGTAAAAAATAAAACTGAATAAACAGCAATCAAAAAGTAGCAATTTTTCACATAAATTTTGCCGAAGCCTATTATTTTTGTTCTAAATTTGGAAATCTGTTTTCAAAAATTGAAAAAAAAACGTTGCCACTTGATGAAATGTTTTCAAAAAACTAGATATTGTTTTTTGATAGGAACCAGTGATTTTTGAAAATCAATATTTCAGATTTTGGAACAGTCTAGGAAAAACTTGATTTCGATGATATTCTGAAAAACCCGGAACATTAAAAAAATGTTGTTCTTTAGACGTAAGAATCTGATTAATCTGCTATTTTTTCCATTTGATAAAACTATGAAAATTTAATATCGAATCTTGCTGCTCTCATTTTTATATACATCTGTATAGAAAAGTTTTGTGCTCAAAAAAAGAAGGCGATTTTTTTGTATTCAAAACTACTTTTTCTTTCAGAAATTCAGAAAGGTTTTCCTTTCAAAGACTATACATATACCTATTTTTAGGGTTCAAATGGAGGATAACATGTTCAGTCCCACGAGGCAACAAGTCCCAAGAATACGAATCGAATCAACACATTCTACATATCGGTAGGCCTTTATTCAGATTTTCAGAACAAATATTTTTTTTTAGCCCTGGAAAAATCGAAAAACTCAACGGAATTTACACACTCGCCATTGTCATAGCCCAGGTGAAATCTTTTATTTTGATTTGAAATTGCAAAATAAATTTCACTTTTACAGATTGTTATGGGAGTTTTGGGAAATAGTCTAACATTGATTGCTGATGCGACAAGGGTGTTTGCGGATCATTTGGAGCAATATCGATTTGATCGATCAGCAACACCTGGAAAGAGATTGACAGGTGGGAAAAAAGAGTGAACAAGTTGATAATGATATTTTTCAGAAATCATATCAGTTGGAATTACAGTAATAGTTTTATTCGTGCTGTTTGTTGCATATATTTTATCAGCATCAGCCAGAGCTGCAACTCTAACTTATGATGTAAGTTTGATTCTTGGGTTTCTGAAGTGTTGATTCAAACACTCTTGATTTTTATCGCAACGTTTCGAGTTTAGATTCATAATCTACCCCCTCAAATATGTTTTTTGTTCTCTATTCAACATTTTATGCCATTCATCATTCTTAAATCCCAAATCCTTATTTTTTCATTATCCAATTTGCAGATAAACCGAGTATATTTGATCATTGGAACTGGATTAGCAATGACCGCCAACACACTTCAAACATTATGTCATTTCAAAAGTAAGACTAAATCTAATTAGAGGGATTAATAAGACAAAATTTTAGCCTGGCGACGTGATCATACGTACACTATTACGTTATACTCATTTTCAAAACGTAATCAATTGATTCATGGATATGGATATCATTTTATTGCGTCTTTTGTGCTCGTTTCGTCGTTTCTTATCATAGTTGATGTAAGTACAAGTATAATGATATATAATTAACAGTGAACTTTTTCTTTCACAGAAAAATTATCTGATTGCCGATGTAATTACAACGTATATCACGTCTTTGCTTCTTCTTTGCAATCTTTCTTCAACCGGATATCGACTTTATCATGAATACTTTTCATTAGAACATCCACAAGATGAGTATGAATCTATCTAACTCATAGTTGAATACAAAAATGTATGTAAATCGATCTCAAATCATTATATTTCTCACCCATAAAAATTTGCATACTTTTTTTCTTATTTTTTCTTTTGGAATACATACTTCTCGTATGAGTTTCGTTTTTCGATTGTGTTAATTAACATGGAGTTATTAGCTCAATCTTTTTTCAAAAACGACATCAAGCTACTCCCCAAAAGGAGAAGTAAAAAAGAAAGAAAAAAGTATATAAGATTTTGTTCATATTCTTTCAAAAAAAAAAGAAACGACGAAGGGAGAGACAAAAATTCTCGAACCAATTTTGTGTGGACGGACACGTGTATCCTCGGTACATGTTTCCTTTTCCTGCAACTACATCATATTTTGTTCTACCCTCAGATTTTGATGTTTTACCTCATGTCTTGTTTAGCTGTCAATCTTTGATGATTTGTTTTGAATGGGTATTCGAAATGAAATGTCTGGGAATTTTCGGAAAATTATTCAAAGTTTCTAGCCTTCCCATGTATGCATTTCTGTAGCTATAATTTTTAATGTTTGTTCTGGAAATTTGAAACTTTTCCGTAAGGTCCAGAGTTCCAGATCTCAAAAAAAAATCAAATATTTTTGCTGAGCCTCGTATTTTGTACTTCCCAAATTATTGTATTTTGCTGCAACTTTATCTTTGCTCCTAAAAAGTTACAAGGTTATATTTCTCGATTTTTCTATAAGGATTTATAATGTCAGAGATTAGTAAAAGGAGACATGAACTATTGTGTGTTTTCATCGTTATCTTCTGGAAAAATTAATATTTTTTCTGGTTTTGCAATTTTATGAACCGAATGGTCAAGCTTTTTGTATTTGCTTTGGTACATTTTTGAAGTTTGTTTTTTTTGTGAAGCAAGCAAAACATGAAAAGTGCAAAATTCAACTATTGGTGTTGATTTTCTCACTTTTTATATTCATTCATTCAAGCGTGATTGTTGCGATTTTCTTTTCTTTTTAGTATAAATTAATAATTAGATGAGTCTACTTTTATTTCTCATGTTGAATTTTGATTTCCTAAAAAACCTTATTGGATTAAAAAACATGACTCGGTTAAAAACTGAATAATGACTCGATAAAAAAGAAAAAAGTGCAAAAATGAACACAATGGCTTCCGGAAGTGTGTATAATAATAATAATCTTGAAAAAAAATATTGCTCAAATTCAACCAAGTGCAACAACCCATGCCCAGTTTTTCGTGAAAATCAGATAATTTTATTCTGGCCCACTTTTTTCTTCCTTTGCTTTTTCTTACTTTTTTGGATTTGCATAACATTGAAAGTGCCATCTTGTGTTGCTTTTTTGACTACGAATAAGAAAAAAAAACGAGAAAAAAGACACAAAGAGTTAAGTGAGTTTACCGGATTTTTGACTAGGTCAATTTTTTGAGAAATCTTTTTTTCCTTATCCCTATTTTTTTCTGTTAGTTGTCGAATTTTCTAGACGTTGTACTTCATTTCTACAAAAAATATTTTTTGAGGATGCTAATAAAATGCTAATGTGAACTTCAGTCTTCATTTTGATTTATCCATTGTAGTAGGCAAGTGTCAGATGCATTATTTTGAAGTTGGAATTGCGAAAAAAACACTTTTTTCGTATAGTAAATGAGAAAAATGTAGTTATAATTTTGTAGCAAATTCATAATAAAATTTGGAATTCAACATTTTTTTTCATATAGCGCACCAGAGTTCATTTAATGTGAGAAAGACAAAGAAAACACGCAACTATAAATGTTTTTTCTTCTTTTCTCCATTTTTCTCACCAATCCTCAAATATTTCTTTGTCCATGTCCAAAAATACTATTTTGCCAAAAAATTTTCCTTGTTCAAAATTATTATGCACATCATTTTTTTCTCGTCTAATTTGTTCTATTTGTGTGTTTTGTTGATGAATTCTGAAATCTGTGAAAATCTCCAGAGATTTTTTTTGATTATACAAAATTCACACAATTCATAAATCAACTTTTTTTGAGTCTTTCTTGAAGTATTGAAAAAAAAACATTATTTTATCCTGATAGAAATCCAAAATAATTTGATTTTCTAGTGAGCCCGTTATTAAATTGAATTATCCCAGTTTATCAGAAGAATTTCTCTGAAAAAACAAGGAAATTTAAAAAAATAAACTTATAAAAATAAAATAAAATATATGTTTTTGTCTTTTGCTGTCCACGACACTTTAATTATTCACGATAGTTAAGTTAAACTACACAAAAAAAGTCTTCAATTAGTTTTTTTTTCCTTTTTTGTGTGATGCTCTTTTTTCGTGATTTATTTCGTGGTAGTCAACGAACGTTATACAATGAATTTGCGTTCTTTTTTCTTAATGGAAAATTGTGGTGTTTTTGGGAAGATTTATTGGGGTTCTTCTCGTTTTAATCCATGGAACTATCTTCATATAAAATGAAATAGCCATATAAACAACTCTTTATTCGAATACGCTCTGATTTGTGGGTATTGTTGAAAATAATCTTTTGATTCTATATGTTCCAATTTTTCCACCTTTACGATTTTATTCCCAGGAGAGTATAACATAGTATTTTGCCATATGGAACATTTTTCAATCCCTAGAATTTCGAATTTTTTCTAATCTCAAGAAAACTATAATTTTAATAATAGTACAATTCTAAATTATTAGTTTCTATTACAAAATTGACTCATGAATTTTTTTTTTTTTGCAAAATGGGTTCAAAAACCATTTTTTTGTAGTCTGTAACAAATCCAATCTCAAAATTTTATTGATAAATTTATCTTCTGTGTGAAAACCTGATTACACCTTTAGGTTGAAGTTTTTTTAAAATTTTTATTAAAAAAACTTCAAAACTTCAAAAAATTATATTTGATGCACAGATTTCAACTCCAGAATTTTTTTAAAATTTTCTGAAACATTCCGGAAATGCTTGATTGTTATTTCAGATTCAAAACTTCTTGTAGACTTCAAGTAACTCTTTCAAAGTTCAAATTCCAAAAAACTTTTTTTTCGACACCGGAAATACCAAGTATTTCTCTCAAGTTTTTGACATTACACCGATTCTATTCATTTTTTTAAAAAAGTGTAGCAAATTTGAATCAATCTCCCACAATTTGATTTCTCCACCACATTCCAATGTGAATATTCACATGACGACATTTTCATGAAAAAAAATGCTCTATTCAAAAATAGGAGCAAAACTCCAAAGTAAAGTAGGTGCTTTCGTTCTTCTTCTCTCATGTTTGGCTTATATTCTTTTTAGTTAGCAGATTATATTTCATTGTCCTTTTTCGCCTCCTATAATTTATGTTGCTTTTTAATTGAGAAATTCAAAACCATTCTTTTTTCTTCTTTCCTTCCATATTTCAAAGTTCATGTTTTTTCTTATTCCCTTCTCTTCTCAATTTCTTCTAGGTTCTTTTTTCCAGTTCACCACCTCCAAAATAATGATGTATACATTTTATATCTGGAAAAATGTATTTTTTCAAGGGAAAACTAGACTTGATTCTGAAAATCAAGTGATTCAAGACTTTAAGCTAAAGGTTTCATAGAAATCGATGAGCAGGAAAGTGATCTAGAAAATTTAAGCCTAGGCTCCAACTTTATAAAAATCTACAAATTTTCAGAAAGAAGAAAATGATTTATTTTCTAGAAATTTATTTTGAATCCGGAACATCTGTAAAATTTGAAAGCTATGAAACATTGCGTAATTTTTTTTCAGAACTCAAAAAGATGAGGCCTGAAAAAACCTTGAGATATTTTTTTTCGAAAATTGAAATAATTGAAAAAAAACAAAATATTTTTTTTGTGAAAAAACTACAGTATGCCTGAAATTGGACACTTTATAAAGTCAGTCATAGTTTTTGACGTATACACATCGTGTGAGATAATTTTTGCATAAATATTTGTTTTGTTATTTTGCATCCGTCGTTTTTTCCTCGTTTGACCCACGATATTTTCCAGTCATTTGTAACGTACAAAGAAAATGAATGGATGAGCCACAAAATAATTAAAACCAACCATATTTTTTGTGTGTTCAGATATTTTTTCTTTGTGATTTTCTCGTATCCTATCGTTTTTTTTGCGACGATTTTTCGGTTTCTTCTCTTTTTTCTTGCCCCATCATTAATAAGTTTACTCAATTTTTTCACATCTTTTATTACTTCCCACTTATCAATTGAAAATTGAGGTTTTTACAAGTGAAAAAAGTGCATCTAAAAATAATTATTCTTATACTACTTTTTTCACGAAAAAAGAATAGATAGAAATAATTATATCTTTATTCCAACAAATTTTAGAGTTTTTTCCACGAATTTTTTCTTGAGTATAACCCATTATTATTTCATTATTTTGCTCACGAATAGCGTTTTTGTTGTCTTATTTTTTAAGCTCTTAATTTATCAAAAAAAAAAACACATTTACACCCTCTCTTTCTTTGAAAAGATATGGTTTCAAGATGAAAAATCATTTTTGCAGGGTTTCGAAAAGAGGAAAGTACATTGGACTTTTTTGAATGGATATTTGAGCACTGAGAAAGGTTAGTTTGATATATTGATATGACAGAAGTTAAAGAAAGTGAAAAAAAATGTTTTGAAATTTTTCGTTTTTTTTATTTTCCTCTCCGAGTCGTGAGATTTTTTGAAATTAATCTGTCTCTCAACGTGAAATTGAAATTTAAAACTTTTTTCCAAGTCTAGTCTAATTACATTTCGAAGCATGTTGTACTTCCAAAGTTTTGCTTGTCTACATTCATAAAAACCATACGATTTGAAAATGGAGGAACACGAAATATGTGCAAATCTAATTTGTTCAAAATTATGCAAAAAAGAGGGTCCACAGACGGATGAATGTGGGCGTGGTCAAGTTTGTATTCTTCTTCTTAAGATGGAGAAAATGACGAGGTAGAGGAAAACAAGAGGAGTAGACAGCAGATGGATCTAAAAACGGCTGTTCTTCATATTCTTCAACTTATTCTTCTGACAACATCTTTTTTCTTCTTCATAGTGCTCTCAAATACTTGTGCTCATTAGATTCGCGCACGTAACTCGACGGATCGTATTTCTTTTTTTTTGCCGCCACCGCCGTCTTCTCCTTTTTTGAATACGTCGTCGTTTTTCTTTAGTTTTCTACGAATTATTCGAAGATGATACTTTTGAAACTTTTTATACTACTGTATTTCAATTCGGTAAGGTTCTAGAAGCAAAAACAGAGAGAAATATTACGATAGATTTTGGAAAATACTTATCCCCTATACAGTTCAAATTTAGTTTCTAAACTGAGTCTCTGACTCACGGGTTATATTTAGTTTTTTGATTCAGAATATTGTTTGGTTTATCCACTAATCGGATCTTAAAATGTACGTATTTTTCTGGTATTAACTTTTGAAAATATCATAGTTCAAAATTATTATTTTTTGTTTCAATTTTGGGTTGTTTTTTCCTTCACAAAATCCGATAAGAATTAAAAAAATTTCAAAGAAGTTTTTTCAAACATTAAAGTTTTCTGGTTTCAAATCTTTTTCAGTTGGTCCTCCAAGACTACCAATTTTAAAAAAATCAAATTCTCTTTCCTTGTCACAAAATTTTGATCAAAAGTCAAAAGACCACTTTAAAAGTTTTTTGGAATTCGATACTTTTTGGAACAAACTTTTATTTTTCTGGCAAAAAATGTTTTTAGAGTGATCGCTCTCACACAAACAACAAAACAGAAAAATCAAAGTAAAAACTTTTTGATGGCTGTTATTCTATTTTGAGCGTGGGAATTTGGAACAATTAGTTAGCATTAGTTGACATCTGGAAAAAAAAGTGAGGAAGAAATAGGAAAGAAATGTACATACATCCAAACTAAAAACCAATATCAAATTAAAAATAATTTTCAGAACAACCAAGTCAACAAATATTGTCAACGACACATGTTCTCAGTGCTCGCTATTGCGACCCAAATTTTGGCAAATGTTAATGCTGCCACCACTCCGGTATAAATATTACCAAACAATTTTTTTTTCAAAAAAAAAATATGTATTTCAGGCACCAGATTTTTCAAATGACACTCTCACTACTCCTGTAACTCCTATCAATGCTCCACAAAAATTAACCTATATTCGAATACCTGGTGATATTATAATAGGCGGTGTTTTTCCAGTTCATTCCAAATCTTCGAATGGTGATGATTGTGGAGAAATTGCTGAAACTAGGTCGGTTTTAATTTGAAAAAAAAATTATATAAATTAAAAATTTCAGGGGTGTTCATCGGGTGGAAGCAATGTTATATGCACTAGATATGATAAATGCTCAAAAAGATTTTTTACGCGGGTTGAAACTGGTAAATACATACATAATTTAGAGGATAAATTAATAAATTGAAAAATATATTAATTTAGGGTGCACTGATTCTTGATTCGTGTTCGAATCCAGCATTTGCATTAAATCAGAGTTTGGAATTTGTTCGTGATATGATCGGATCGTCAGATGCAAAGGATTATACCTGCAGGTTTGTTTTGTGAAAAAGTTAGAACCTAAATTCAATTTTGAAATCTTAAGGGAATTTAATAATTGTAATTTTTGAAGCAGACAAGTTTTTTTTCTCAAGCATGTTATTAGAACACATTTCTTGAGAATTGCTGCATCTCTGACGAACCTTATAATTTTGATTGTGATCGCATAAACTTTCTTTCAGTGATGGTAAAACACCCCAAATTTCTGCAAAACATCGAGATAAGAAAAGTGTGGCTGCGGTAGTTGGTGGAAGTTATAGTTCAGTATCCGTACAATTGGCGAATTTATTACGACTATTTCGAATTGCTCAAGTTAGTCCGGCAAGTACAAATGCTGATCTTTCCGATAAATCAAGATTTGAATATTTTGCCAGGTAATTTTGTTTTTTTTTTCTTTAAATAAAAATATATTTATTTCAGAACTGTACCATCAGATAACTATCAAGCAATGGCGATGGTTTCAATTGCCAAAAAATTCAATTGGACATATGTTTCATTGGTGTTTTCAGCTGATGAATATGGTGAATTAGGAGCTGATGCTTTCAAACAAGAAGCGAGAAAACACGAAATTTGTATTGCGATTGAAGCAAGAATAACCCTCAAAGATTTTGGTGATAAAATTGATGCTGTTGTTGATAAGTAAGATTTTTCCTATTCAAATACTAATCTTAAACATTTCCAAAAAAAAATATTTTTCAAGGCTTCAACCTGATAAAGAATATGGTGCAAGAGTTGTTGTATTATTCGTTGGAACAGAATATATCCCAATAATTTTGAGCCAAACTGCCACGCGTATGAAACTATCAAATGTTCAATCAAAGAAAAAAATTATATGGTTGGCATCAGAAAGTTGGGATCGGAATAATGAAAAATACACAGCTGGTGATAATCGTTGGGCGGCTGAAAATGCGATTGTTTTGATGTTGGCTTCGCAAAAAGTTCCACCATTTGAAGAGGTAAATCCACACAAAATGAAAAATAATTGAAAACAAAAATGTTTCAGTATTTCAAAAGTCTAAACCCTGGGACACCGAAATTCAAGAGAAATGGTTGGCTTCGTGAACTTTGGCAAGTTAAACATGGATGTCAATTCGATTTGCCAGAGAAACCTTTTGCATCGGATGGAGAAACACCGAAACGATGCGAAGAATTTGTGCAAATTCCTGAAGAGTTTAAAGCAGATGATAAAGTTCAATTTGTTATAGATGCTGTTTATGCAATTGCTCACGGACTTGAAGTAGAATTTTCAAAATTTTTAAAATAATTTAAACTTTGCGGACTCTTTTGTAGAAATTGAGCTTTTTTTTTACAGAAAATGAGAAGTGAATTATGTCCACCAGATGAGATGGATAAATGGTTTTCACGTAATAGTGCTCCACCAACTCAATGTCAGGCGATGCAAACTATTGATGGTCGAGTATTCTATAGGGATTATCTGACAAAGGTCAAATTCAAGAGTGAGTATTAATTTGAAATAACTTCTAACATGAGTTATCGTTTTTATTAGATATCGTTGGTAGAGATTTTGAGTTTAAAAAGAATGGAGATGGTCCTGGTAGTTATACAATTTTAACATATCGACCAAGAGACAAACGAAAAAGAGGATCAGCTGACAATAATTCTGATTATGTTGAAATTGGAAATTGGACATATAAGGGTGAAAATCCAGACGGTACTCATAACTATGAGGTGAGTCATAAAAACGATATATGTATGAAAAATTTGTGAATTGTATTTCAGATAAAAATTTACGATGATAAACTTTTCTGGAATAATTCGAGTAAGCCTCCACTTTCAGTTTGCTCTTTACCATGTGAAAGAGGATATAAAAAACAATTGATCAAAGTGAGTTTATCACTACAATATCCAGATCAACAAGAAAACCCCGTTTTTAGGATGAGCAATGTTGTTGGGCTTGCAGTAAATGTGATGACAATGAGTTTCTTGTCGGCGAAACGCATTGTGAAAAATGTGCACTGGGATGGTGGCCAAATAAAACTAGAACTGGATGTTATGATATTGCTAAAAAAGATTTGCAGCATATGGAATGGAGCTCTTGGAATTCGATTATACCCACAATATTAGCTGTGATTGGAATATGCGCTACATTATTTGTGATTGTAGTTTATGTTATGTACAACGAAACACCGGTTGTCAAAGCATCTGGAAGAGAATTGAGCTATGTTTTGCTGATAGCGATGGTTATGTGTTATACAATGACATTTATTTTGTTGTCAAAACCAACTGCAACAATTTGTGCCATTAAAAGAACTGGAATTGGTTTCGCATTTTCTTGTTTATATTCTGCCATGTTTGTGAAAACAAATCGTATTTATCGGATTTTCAATAATAAAACAGCACAAAGACCAAGATATATCTCACCAATTTCACAGGTTCACTTATTTTCTGATTAAGGATTTTTCCAATATATGAAATTTTTAGGTTGTTATGACAAGCATGTTAGCTGGATTGCAACTATTCGGAAGCTTTGTTTGGCTAATAATTGTGCCACCAGGTTTGTTCATTTCCTCTACAATCTTTTTTTTCAAAAAATAATTTCTAGCAACACGCCATAGTTATCCCACAATAAGACAAGTTGTGCTAACTTGTAATGTTCCTGATCATCATTTCTTATATTCACTTGCCTATGATGGTGTGCTTATTGTTTTATGCACAGTTTATGCTGTAAAAACTAGAAAAGTACCAGAAAATTTTAATGAGACCAAATTCATCGGATTTTCAATGTATACAACTTGTGTTGTATGGCTTAGTTGGATATTCTTCTTTTTCGGAACAACCAGCAATTTCCAGGTGAGATTATTATTTTCTGATAAACTAATGACTCTGAAAAAACAAAAAAAAATATTGTTAAGATTCAAACTGCCTCTTTATGTGTCTCAATTTCAATGTCAGCCAATGTTGCACTTGTTTGTATATTCTCTCCAAAATTGTGGATCATTTTATTCGAAAAACACAAAAATGTTAGAAAACAGGAAGGTGAAAGTATGCTTAACAAAAGGTTTGTGCTAAATTTCAATGTTGTGATATACATACATACATATATCAAAATTAATTCAGAAAAGAAACAGAAATTGCGAAATTCTAAAAAAGGTTATTTAGAGTTTTCATTTATCTCTAACCAGATTTTTTTGAATTTTAAATCCATAACATTTTTTTCTTACATTACAACGCATGAAGCATGTTTTTTGCCCAGAATTGATAATGCACTTTCAAATAGTTTTTCAAATTTTCAGCAGCAGATCTCTTGGAAATTGTAGTACTCGATTATGTGCCAATAGTATCGATGAGCCAAATCAATATACAGCTCTATTATCAGATAGTACAAGACGAAGAGCATCGCGTAAAACTTCGCAACCGACGAGTACGAGTTCGGCACAAGATACGTTTTTGTAACTCTTTCTTCTTTTCACTCTCATTTTTTATCATGTTTTCTTTTCTGCATTCCTTGTATCATAGATAAATGTTCTATTTTTTTTTGGATATGAAACTTATGATGACTAGACCTCCCAGAATGTCTCTTATTTCGGATGTGAACGAGAAAGAAATATGAGTTGGTTAGACTAATTGATCCCAATCAAAAAATGTGACTTTTTGAAAAGCGCATGTGTTCTTCATCAAAACTTTTTGGATTCACATTTCTTACAAGAAAATGTGATACTTCTGATCTTCAACATAAATAAAAATTGTGGCTGAAAATTTCAGGGGGTTTTGGAGTTGTATTTCATTGCGGCAATGTGGCCTGGCTCAGGCCACCTTCTCACACACACTAGTCGCTCCGGAGACTCTCGAATTTACCCCTTTCGAAAAAATAACCCCCTAACCCATTTTTTGCTGATTTTTTATCACAAAAAGCATAAAATACCCTAAAATTTTCAAAATTTAAGCACCCTACCTCTAAAAATCCACCAGAAGTTAACCCCCTCCCTCCGAATTCGGAGTCCCAGTTCATGTATGTTTTCACATAGCAATCGAGAAAATTTCTAGAAATTTGTCTGAAAATTAACACTTTGTCAGTTATTGTTATCAACAAAAGTGCATTTTTGAAATCCGAACCCTAACATGTGCTTTTTCTTCCCTTCTTGTTTCCACGATTCAAAAAATTTTTTTTCTTCATTCCCGTTTAAAAATCTCACTGAAATTCATAAATATCAACATATGAATTCTAAAAAACATGTGTACTTTTTGCCGCTCATATTTCATAGTTGTAATTTCACCACATTTTGTTTCTCAAAACCCGTCATTCATTTTGATACCGTAATCCATCAAAATATCAGGAAAAAATGAGAGAATGTCTCAAGTTTCACGTTTCATTTTCATTTTTTTTCCTCGCTGAGTTTACAAAAACTGAACTGATTTCTTCAAAAAAGAAGATGAAAGAAGAAAGTCTAAACGCTACTAATATACACACGCTTCTCATTTTCTCAGGATATAATAGCGACGCCGCCCAGTGATAGAGCATATGTGCCGTTGCAAACAAACAGCTGTGTTCTTCATTTTTTTTTTGCTCCACTTCAATTTTCATTCTGAAATTTAGTGTTTTAGTGTTTGTTTTTTTTCCAGACACCTCTAGAATATGCGATGTATTGCATTTCTATTATTCTTCATTTTTTCAACGCTAGGAAATGCTGATTTAACACCCCATGGTTAGTTATTTGTTTTTTTTTTTGATATCAGAATCAAAATAATACCAATTTCAGAACTTGATATGTTTGATTGGTCATCCACAATTCGATTTGGATATTGTTTAGATCGACCTTTGCCAGATCTTATGATACCATTCCGCAAATACATGTCAAAATATATTAATATTTATTGTAAAAACTCCACAGCTTGTGGTCTAAATTACACGTATGCAAATTATTTTTTTTTGTTGAACATGGTGTATTTTTCCAGAGTGACATGGGGGCCTCGAGATATTGCAATTCTCGATGGTTTTCCGAAGCGTGAAGCAGTCGCAATTGTGGTCAAATTCTCTGCGGTAATTCCGTTGAATGGCTTACCGAATGAAAAACCGGAAAGACCTTTGCTCAAAAAACAAGTTTTATCAGGTATGGCGGATTTTTAAAAAAACGATAAATGACAAATTTAAAAAATATATTCCAAAAATTACGAAAATTGCATTTTCAGATATTCTCAAAAAATACAACGACAGTTTACGCGATGATCTCGGCTGGGAGATTCTTTCATATGAAAAATATCCAAGATTTGATGCGATGACTGAATTTATGAACATCGCAATTATTCCCATCGTCATAATCTCCCTTCCCCTCATGATTTGTCTAGCTTATTGGGTATCAACTCTTCGACCCAATTCTGGATCGGAAACTTGGATGGTAACTGGTTCAGCGGGCGGTAAAAATGCTGCACTACGTCGTACTATGGAGATTATTGCCGAGCAGAATGAAGAGTATGAAAGACAGCAAAGATATGCGCTTACGAAAAATGTTGCGGTAACTAGTGGTCATGAAGGTATCACAACTACTGGAGAACTTTTACTCAATGTTGCCAGGTGGGTTGTGTGAAAATTGTGGATAATCAAGCAAAATATATATGTAGATAGACAATAATAATTACCATTAGTATAAAGAAACAGGTAAACTCAAAATAATTACAGTTTGAGATCAAGTGATTATTATCATCATCATCATGAAGAAAATTCGAATGAGGTTCCACAGAATAAGTTACTCTTCTATCAACCTTTCGCTTCTTTTCACTTTCAGACTCTTTTCGTGTGACTTTTCAGCTTCTTCTCTGTCATTATTCATAGATTCTTCACATAGAAAATGATTCGTTACAAAAAAGAATCGCAACATTTTACAGATTATCAATGGCGTCGTCACAACCTACCTCCGTTCAATCCCCTCAAATATTTATTCAAGCCGGTAGTTCTAGTTCATCATCTCATCCAAGAACTTCAATTGTATCACTTTCACATGGCAAAGAGCTTTTACACGTTAAACCCAAGTATGTTTGATTTTCTTTAACGCTTTTTGAAGCCTCTAAAATTCTTCATCAGAATATCTGATTCTGTATTGTGTCTCTTCAAATTGTCGATTTGATAAATTAATCGAAGTTGAAAAAGAGCAAAACAATAAATCAGCAAATGACACGAACACATTTGTTTTATCGACACCCACCACATTGTGTCAAAAAATTTTTTGTTCATTTTCCATTCTTCAGACATTCTCGTCGTCCCTCATCTGTAGAAGAAATAAAGAAAGCGCGTCGTTTACGCGGACATCGAAGATCAGATGCGAAACAATGGAAATCGGGTAGTCTTATGTTGGCTGGTTTTCGACGAACTTAACTTTTTTCTCTCTCTCTCATTCTCGTACCAATCATATATATATTTTTCTTTCAGAACACGTGTATTTTGTAAATAAATATTTGGGATTTAACGAAAACCTGCTGTTTTTTTCTTGGTTCTGTTTTAAAATTGATCTAACATGTGTTTTGGTCCAAAACTTTTTTTTCGAACAACACAAGATTAATTTATTGCTTCAAGTAAATTGTGATTGACTGGGGTGTAATGAGATTTCCGACTAATTTGTGAACTGTTTTTTTTTGAAAATGAATCTAGAAAATATGAAATTTTGGGAAATTTCTATTTAAAGTGCAGACAAAAAAGTATTAACTTCAAAAATATATGTTTTTTGAGAAAACAAAGTGTTTCCAATTTCGAAAAAGGTAGGTCCTCGCCGGGTTCGAACCGGCGACCTTCTGCGTGTGAAGCAGACGTGATAACCACTACACCAGAGGACCGCTTGTTGTTTATCGGTCATATTTGCAAAGAGAAAAGAACACGAGCTATTGAAATGAAGAAAAATGGAAAAAGAGAGAGAAAAAGAACACATTTATTCTTGTTGTCAAAGGAACCATGTACATTATTATTGTTATTATAAGTTTTTGTTAATTATTTGAGATAAAATTAATTCTTTTTGTAGCATGAGCCAACAAGAATATTTATTTCCTCGCAAGTTGCTCCTGGAACATACATTTTTGCGAATGAGCAATTTCCTCGAACCCATTTCAAAACATCTTTCACTCCGTACATCTTTGAATAATGTTCAACCTGAAATTATTTTTTAATTGAAGTAAGGAATACTCTAATTTGAAATTTACCTGTTTACAATGTTCTGGTGACAAGATCAATGGTCTTCCTTTTGAATCTCTTTGAACATCCGAAACAGTTGGCTCGGTAACACTAACAACTTCAGCACTTGGCACAATTCTTTGGGTGTTCAATTTAAGATTCTGGAAAACAATTTGTTAGGTTTTTTCTCAATTTCAAAAAAACCAACCTTCTTGGCGAGTGGCATTTCGATGCTTTCAGCTGATCTTCCCTCATTTCTACGTGAAACTTTTTCTTCTTCAGCTTTCCATGGATATTTCGAGGCTGGAGACTTCTAAATAATATTCATCATAAAAAATTGTAATTAATATATTAAAAAATTACCTTTTTTGGAACTACAATGATCTCTTCATCGTCTGAAACTTCAATACACTTGTATTTTTTAGTTTTCATTGGTCCATTTGAGGATTTATAAGCGGCATCGGTTAAAACAAAGAGCAAAGCAAGACCAATGAAAATGTATTTCATTTTCAAAATAATATAATAATAAAAAATGGGAGCTTATGAATGGAATAAATGTGTGATCGGTCTGATTGCGTTTTGACCTACATTTTATAAGCTTCTTCTGGCTGCGCGAGGCGTTTCTTTTGTTCGAAACGTGTTGTTAGTTGCAACTGGATACAATTCGTTTTTTCTCCTTTTTTTCAAATCGAAATCGAATCGAATCGAGAAAACGAAAATACCTTATCATTTATCCCATTCCTTTTTTAGTGAATGATTGCTTATTTTCATCAAGCTTATATTGAGACCGGTTTTATGTTTTCAAAATTCATCAGTTTTGTAACATTCCGGTTTTTTTGGAATTATCGAGAGAATGTGCTAATGGATAACATGAATTTGAAAATGGCAAAAAACAAAACTAATTAATGAGAAGTATTCGAGAATATGAGAAAACTGGTTCGACCAAAAAAACGTCATTCCGATGTGAATTGGAGATAAGAAAGGCTATCAAGAAAGATATGAATGAACTTTAAAATTTTTTATACAAAGTTCATTTGGCAGGAAAGGTTTAAAATTGACCAGCTTCTATTCTGAAACCCAAAACACTGAAAATCTCATAATTTGTGAAATATTCAAAAAAGAAAAATTATGATGAATATCAACTGGAACTTGAACCTATGCAAAATCTTTCGAGCAATCTGATAATTCAAGATCAGCGTCGGTTTTAGAATATTCAAGGTTTCAAGATTTCAAAACTGAATAGTTTTATCTTCAAAAAAAATATTTCAAATAAAAATGTTCACATTTTTTGTTCGAAAAACAGTGTCAAAATATTTTTTATTATTTTTTATTGGAACAATATTTCAAAATATTTTTTAATTTCATGATTTGTAGGGACAATACAATTTCACAAACTCAAATATTTATTTGCACGAAAACTACGGTTGCAATATTTCTCATAGACACATTAGTTATTTATCAGTAGCTGTTCAGTTCATTCTTTAATAATGAATAATCTTTCAAGTTTTCTAAAAAAAATCAAACTTCCACATGAACTTTTTGTTATCAGTTCCCTCTGCAAAACCTATTCCATAAAAAAGCAATAAATTTTTGAAAAAGCAGAAAAATATCAAATGTTTCAAAGTATCAAATTTTCTGTTTCAAAACTCAACGCATTGTTTCACTATAGTTTGTGCTTTCATGAGTCACGAAATTAAATAAATCCTCTATTGATTTGCACACCTGGATTAATATGTATATATGAATATAATATTTGCTGTCACCACACTTTCATTTCATTATTTTTCGAAAATCAAAAAATTTTTTCCCAATGACCAACAACATTAGTCATTTTTGTTTGCTGTTACTGTGTATTTGTGCCACCACATTTCTCTGTTACTTTCTCAGTTTTGATTTGCTCTAACAATAAAAACCAGTTAAAAACCACGATAGATCAAATATTACTCTTCTTCAATTTGTTTTATCAATTTTTGATTTTTGCTACAATAGTTATTTTTATATTATAAAATGCCATCAAAAACTCACGTGATGAAATATTTTCGAAAGAAAATAAAATAAAATAAAATAAAGTATACTCGAAATTTGAGTAAATAAAAATAGCTTATCCAAATAAAAATTCTCTTTTTTTCAGTCTTTTTCCACAAACAATGATGACTTGTATTTTTTGAGAAGAAAATAAGAATACTGTTTTTACGGGAACAATATTTTTCTGTACATTTATATGTACATAGAAATATTGATAAGAATATGAAAAGAATTTTTACATCACCCCCTTGTTTATTGAGTCATATTTTTCAATGCATTTTTTTGAAAAATAAAAATACCTTTTGTGATATGGTTTTTTTTTCACAGAAAATGTGAACATTTGATAAAAAATTAGAAATATGTCAGAAATTTTTGATTGGTTTTTGTGAAATTTTTTGTTTAAACAGATGATTTCTTAAAACCATTAAGATATTTGTTTAAACCACAAAACTTCTCTGAAAATATTTTCGAACAGAAATCACTTCACCTCAACTTTATCAAACTCAAAAATTTCTCGTTCAAAATGTTTTACTTCAAAAAGTACACATCTAACCCTCTTGTTTGCCACCAAATGATATTTACCTCCTCGGAAGATTTTTTTTTTGACTTTTCCAAATTTTTTATTTACTCATTGGAACAAATCACATTTAGGTCTCTCTTTAAATATTTCTTTTCATTTTTATTTCTCATAAAACTATCGCAAATGTTTCAGATGAATTTCGAATTTTTGAGAACCTTACACGGATTTATTAACTTTTTACAAGTTTGCCTTGGATTTGCTGCACTTTTCGCGTGCTCTTTTATCTGGAGAGATACTGATTTATATTTTCAATTCATCTACAAAGTGAGTTTCTCAATAGAAAAAATTTTAAAAAATTATGTATTCAATAATTTTCTAGGGTTTCGGATGGCAATCTGTAATCTTGGCTATTTTATTCTTCACATGGCTTTTTGCTTTAATGATTTTCTTGTCAAATTTATTCGATCGTGATGTTGTTGGAACTGTTGGAAAATTCAAGGTAAATTTTTTTCTACATGTTTTCCAAAAAAATTATACACAATTTTTCTTCAGCTTCTCATCCTCTATGTCATTTGCTTAGTTTTCCTTGTAATCTCCGCTGCTTTGGAATCTTGGTATATTTCAAGGTCTGGAACTCAAGGAAAATATCCTGATACCGTTTATCATCCAAGATTTATTGCTGTCACGGTATGTTTTGCTTAGATCGAACCTAAAACAATTGAAAAATCCATTGCAGATTTTCAATTGGATTCTCGTTGTGTCATACATTGTGCAGATATTGGTAACATTTTTCTTTGTTTGAGCTCTGCTCATCAAATTCATCTTCATTTTTCAATCAAACATAATGCCCAACTTTTCTCTGGAATCTCTCATTCTTTTTTTCTCGATTTTTTATTCAAGAATATATTTTTCAATGATAATAAAGTGTGAATATTTCATTTCATTTCATTTAGTGTAGCTGAACAACAATCTCTACCCGGCACCAAAGTTGTTTGGTGGATATGTTTAGCAAAAAAAAACAAAAAGCTAGGGGGCACCCGGATTTGAACCGGGGACCTCTCGATCTGCAGTCGAATGCTCTGCCACTGAGCTATACCCCCTGATGTTGTTATCGGCGAACATTTCTGTGATAAATGTTCTTCGGAAAGGGATAGGAACTGGTTTTTCGCCGCTTTTCCTTTAGTGTTTGTCTATCTCCCGATGGGAATTTTTCTTGGAAATCGGGTAAAAATAACACCGGATTATAAAAGTTTAAATATAAAAGTATAAAAAAACTTGTGTGGATTTATTTTCTAGGGCTCTGAATTAATCTTAATTTTAAAAAACTATGGAAAACACTGATGTTTCCCACTCTAAAAAATGATCATTGAGTTGGAAACATTACTCATAATATGTTTGGCATGTTTAAAATTACTCATAGGCTAGAAATTTTGACTGAAACCCACGAAAGTTTTGAAATTTATGAAAAATCTAGATAAAAAACTCTCACCAAGTTCTGAAATTACAAGCTTGTCAAAGAACTGATAATAAAGATAAGGTGAGGTTTACAGATGTGAGGAATATGTTTTAACAGAACTCCCGGCTCAATTGTAGAGCCAGAACTCAAACAATCCGAGATAGTTTTCAGCTTCAAAGCGTCGAATCAACCTACAAATATATGTGGGAAGCATTTGGTCTTCCACTTCTTTTCGTACTTCTTGGTTTAAAATTCGATGGCTCAAATGTTGGTTTTTTCAAAAGAACTGAAATAGAAAAAATCTCACTAATTTTCAGTTAACTTGGGATATATTTTTCCTTTGCTTCGGAGTTATCTCAATCGGATTATTTGTTCGATTCATTGTGGTGATCTTTATCACTTTACCTACACATATAAATTTCAAAGAGCAAATCGTTGTTGCTTTGAGTTTATTACCCAGAGCTACTTTTCAGGTTGGTCGAAAAAAATTCTCAAATTTTCTTTTAAAAAATTAACAGGCTGATTTGGCTCCAACTCTTGTTGTAATTGCAACTCGAGTCCCTGATTATGTTCAAGATGCTGAATTAGTTTTGAAAGTATGTATTCTCTCTGTTCTCGTAACAGCTCCTATATTTGATGTTTTGTTGAACATTTTTGGCTTGAAATTTTTGGATGTGCATACACCACAGGTAAATAAATTAAGATTATTTCTTCTTCGCATAAATTTGATTTTTTTTAGAAACAGCATCAACAACGAGAGCAACAATTATTACAGCCACTTGAAAAATCTTCACATTTTGACGATGATAAAGTTGATGAGAAATCATTGAATGTTCGAACAACTTCACCTTGGAAAATGGTTCATCTCACTCCGAAAAAACGCCTTATTTTCCTAATACATTACTTCGTTGATTTTAATAAATATTGCTTTTCTGCATAAAATGTACTCGAAAGATGTTAATCAAAGGAATCACAATCAATTTCATAGAAAATGTCAAGTTTTTCGTTCAAAAAATGAGTCGTGGCAAAATCAGGAATGCTTCCTAATTTTGCCATGGATGACGTCATCGATCAATTTTTCAAAAAACTTATGGAATCTCTTGTTTTTTATATAGAATATACTCAAAAGGTGTTAAAAACTAGAATTACAATCAATTTCATAGAAAATGTCAAGTTTTTCGTTCAAAAAATGAGTCGTGGCAAAATCAGGAATGCTTCCTAATTTTTCCATGGATGACGTCATCGATCAATTTTTCAAAAAAACTTATGGAATCTCTTGTTTTTTATATAGAATATACTCAAAAGGTGTTAAAAACTAGAATTACAATCAATTTCATAGAAAATTTCAAGTTTTTCGTTCAAAAAATGAGTCGTGGCAAAATCAGGAATGCTTCCTAATTGCTCACTAAATGAATTCCAATCATTTCAAGCCTAAAATCTTGAAATGTGTCTCCTTAGCTACCCGCCCGAATCGAAATTTTCATTCGGGCGGGCATTTTTTCAAGTTTTTAGGCTTAAAATGATGACAAATTCAACCCGAGTTTTTTCAAAAAAAAAATCGACCCGCGTTTTTTCAAAAAAAATCGGCCCGAGTTTTTTCAAAAAAAAAATCGACCCGCGTTTTTCAAAAAAAAATCGGCCCGAGTTTTTTTCAAAAAAAAAAATCGACCCGCGTTTTTTCAAAAAAAAAATCGGCCCGAGTTTTTTCAAAAAAAAAATCGACCCGAGTTTTTTTTGTTGGATGAACAACATTTTTGAGGTCACGTGAGGATATTTCGAAACTAGGTCGACACGTTTTTTCACGTTTCATTTTTCTGAATTTATTTTAATTATTTTTGAGGTCACGTGAGCATATTTCGAATCTAGGTCGACACGTTTTTTCACGTTTCATTTTTCTGAATTTATTTTAATTATTTTTGAGGTCACGTGAGCATATTTCGAATCTAGGTCGACACGTTTTTTCACGTTTCATTTTTCTGAATTTATTTTAATTATTTTTGAGGTCACGTGAGGACATTTCGAAATTAGGTCGACACGTTTGTTCACGTTTCATTTTTCTGAATTCATTTTAATTATTTTTGAGGTCACGTGAGCATATTTCGAATCTAGGTCGACACGTTTGTTCACGTTTCATTTTTCTGAATTTATTTCAATTATTTTTGAGGTCACGTGAGCATATTTCGAATCTAGGTCGACACGTTTGTTCACGTTTCATTTTTCTGAATTTATTTTAATTATTTTTGAGGTCACGTGAGCATATTTTGAAATTAGGTCGACACGTTTGTTCACGTTTCATTTTTCTGAATTTATTTTAATTATTTTTGAGGTCACGTGAGCATATTTCGAATCTAGGTCGACACGTTTGTTCACGTTTCATTTTTCTGAATTCATTTTAATTATTTTTGAGGTCACGTGAGGACATTACGAAATTAGGTCGACACGTTTGTTCACATTTCATTTTTCTGAATTTATTTTAATTATTTTTGAGGTCACGTGAGGACATTTCGAAATTAGGTCGACACGTTTGTTCACGTTTCATTTTTCTGAATTTATTTTAATTATTTTTGAGGTCACGTGAGGACATTTCGAAATTAGGTCGACACGTTTGTTCACGTTTCATTTTTCTGAATTTATTTTAAATATTTTTGAGGTCACGTGAGCATATTTCGAATCTAGGTCGACACGTTTGTTCACGTTTCATTTTTCTGAATTCATTTTAATTATTTTTGAGGTCACGTGAGGACATTACGAAATTAGGTCGACACGTTTGTTCACATTTCATTTTTCTGAATTTATTTTAATTATTTTTGAGGTCACGTGAGGACATTTCGAAATTAGGTCGACACGTTTGTTCACGTTTCATTTTTCTGAATTTATTTTAAATATTTTTGAGGTCACGTGAGCATATTTCGAATCTAGGTCGACACGTTTTTTCACGTTTCATTTTTCTGAATTTATTTTAATTATTTTTGAGGTCACGTGAGCATATTTTGAAATTAGGTCGACACGTTTGTTCACGTTTCATTTTTCTGAATTTATTTTAATTATTTTTGAGGTCACGTGAGGACATTACGAAATTAGGTCGACACGTTTGTTCACATTTCATTTTTCTGAATTTATTTTAATTATTTTTGAGGTCACGTGAGCATATTTTGAAATTAGGTCGACACGTTTGTTCACGTTTCATTTTTCTGAATTTATTTTAATTATTTTTGAGGTCACGTGAGGACATTACGAAATTAGGTCGACACGTTTGTTCACGTTTCATTTTTCTGAATTTATTTTAAATATTTTTGAGGTCACGTGAGCATATTTCGAATCTAGGTCGACACGTTTTTTCACGTTTCATTTTTCTGAATTTATTTTAAATATTTTTGAGGTCACGTGAGCATATTTCGAATCTAGGTCGACACGTTTTTTCACGTTTCATTTTTCTGAATTTATTTTAAATATTTTTGAGGTCACGTGAGCATATTTCGAATCTAGGTCGACACGTTTTTTCACGTTTCATTTTTCTGAATTTATTTTAATTATTTTTGAGGTCACGTGAGCATATTTTTGAAATTAGGTCGACACGTTTGTTCACGTTTCATTTTTCTGAATTTATTTTAATTATTTTTGAGGTCACGTGAGGACATTACGAAATTAGGTCGACACGTTTGTTCACGTTTCATTTTTCTGAATTTATTTTAAATATTTTTGAGGTCACGTGAGCATATTTCGAATCTAGGTCGACACGTTTTTTCACGTTTCATTTTTCTGAATTTATTTTAAATATTTTTGAGGTCACGTGAGCATATTTCGAATCTAGGTCGACACGTTTTTTCACGTTTCATTTTTCTGAATTTATTTTAATTATTTTTGAGGTCACGTGAGCATATTTTGAAATTAGGTCGACACGTTTGTTCACGTTTCATTTTTCTGAATTCATTTTAATTATTTTTGAGGTCACGTGAGGACATTACGAAATTAGGTCGACACGTTTGTTCACATTTCATTTTTCTGAATTTATTTTAATTATTTTTGAGGTCACGTGAGGACATTTCGAAATTAGGTCGACACGTTTGTTCACGTTTCATTTTTCTGAATTTATTTTAAATATTTTTGAGGTCACGTGAGCTTATTTCGAAATTAGGTCGACACGTTTTTTCACGTTTCATTTTTCTGAATTTATTTTAAATATTTTTGAGGTCACGTGAGCATATTTTGAAATTAGGTCGACACGTTTGTTCACGTTTCATTTTTCTGAATTTATTTTAATTATTTTTGATCGCGTGCATAAAACTATGAAAAAACTAATCTACCTATGAAATAGTTCATCGTTTGTTTTTCAATAAAATCTGGAAGCTGATCCTATAGCTTCAAGTGTAATTCAAAGCTTCATCTTATCATTCAAACATAGTAATCTATAAACAACTTTCCTTCAACATCAATAATATTTATGAATAAAAAACTTTACCCAATATTTTTCAATGAAGCTCAAATCTCACCTGTCTATTTTGTTCCTTCCCCCCCCCCTTCCCAAACCTTAAAATAAACTAACTTGACTGGCCCGCTTCCGTGAGAAGTTGTTGGTTTCTTTGAATGTCCTGTCCAAACGAAACATCTTCTTGATCGGAAGCCTGAAACTTCTACATTCTTTTTCTCAAAATTTTGGCCTATTTTTAAACTTACATCAGAAAATCACAATTGTGGTATTCATGGGACCGCTGCATTCTGTGACGGTTGTCTCTGAAAAAAATAAGAAATTCAAAAAATATACCAAACCACCGCTTTAAACAGTTTTTCTACTCTGAAAAAAACCAGAAAAATGATTCAGTTAAAAAAAAGAACGTTCAATCAATAGTTTCTTTTCAAATAAAAACATCTCTCTCCCTCTCTAACCCTCTCTCTATTTCCCACACTCTCTCATCTATCCTGTAAAAAAACAACAAACTAAATACGCTAAACAACGCGCACGCGGAGTATCGTTGTTTTTGTTTTATTTTGTTGCATGACATTTTAATTTTTTTCTGGTTTTTGAGTGGTTTTTTCACCGCAGAAAAAGTTATTAATGGGGTGGTTCGGTACATTTTTTTGATTTTCTTATTTTTTTCAGAGAGAACCGTCACAGAATGCACCTATAAAATCCACAATTGTCATTTTCTGATGTAAGTTTTATAATAGGCAAAAATTTCGAAAAAAAAAAGAATGTAGAAGTTTCAGGCTTCCGAACAAGATGATGTTTCGTTTAGACAGGAGATTCAAAGAGATCAACAACTTTTCACGGAACAGGCCAGTCAAGTTAGTTTATTTTGAGGTTTGGGGGGGGCAAAACTAATAGGTCAGATTTGAGCTTCATTGAAAAATATTGGGTAAAGTGTTTTATTCATAATTACACTTGAAGCTATAGGATCAGCTTCCAGATTTTATTGAAAAAACAAACCATAATCATCAGGAATGCTTCCTAATTTTGCCAAGGATGACGTCATCGATCAATTTTTCAAAAAAATTTATGGAATCTCTTGTTTTTCTAATTTTGTTAAGGATTCCAAATATTTTCAGTAAAATCACGGTATTACAATGATAATCATAGTTCAACCGTCTATACTTTTCATATCTCGTGGTTTTCTAAAAAAAAACCAGTTTGAATTGGTCTTGAATTCAAAAAAAATTATATGTTTCATGATATGACGTGATGATCAATTTAACAACATTTTTAGACTATTTCAATTTTTTTTATTTATAATCAATCGACTCTTTCAATGTTATAAAAATAATCGAAAATACTGTTTTTCTCATCAGAAAATTGTTAGTTCAGTGAATAAATTAACATATTGCCAATCCAAAAATTCTCACATTCAAAAGCATTTTGTTATGTTAGTGTGTTTTAGAACTGTGTTTTTCTCTTTTTTTTTTCTTTGAAAAAAAAACAAAATTCAATTTCCTGTATTGATAGCAACATAAAAAGTTTGTTTGTTCAAAATATATCGAAAATAACACAATATCCGTGATTTTTTTGACAGCTGGTCATTTTTTGGCTATCTAATTAAATCAGTCTTAATGAAATCACATGGAAGTTTTCCAATTTTTGTACTTTTTTTTAACTGACTGACTCATTGTTAATGTTTCGAAACAAAAAAATTTGCATAAACACGTAAGTAAGTCAAAAACTGGTAGAAAGATTTGCATTTTTTGTCTCTTTTTCTGTATAACTATGTATATTATGCAAAAAGTCAATTCAAGTGTGAAAAAGATTAACAGTTTATACTATTATACATATTTGTCTCCTCCCGAAGCGTGTCATTTGCAAATATATTATTATACGCACACACACATTTACTTTTGATTGTCCACCATCAATTTTTTGACACTTTTTGCTTCACATTCTTATTGACTTTATATCCTACTTACTTTTTTCAATGACTTTTTTCTTGACCGATTTGTGTTATAATTTTGTGTGTTTTTTTTTGCAGGCCGGACCTCGCTAGTTGAGTTCAATAAATTTAGAGCGATGCATTGTGTTGCTCGATTAAATAACACGTTACATAATTTTTTCAACAATCGAGAGGTTTGCTTTGTTTTGATGTTAAGTTTGAAAACATGTTATATTTTTTAGATCAACTCAATTGTCACAACATTATTGATTATTGTTTCACTCTACATCAGTTTGATCACACTTTTGGGTGAAAATTTCTGTAAGTTTTTGAAAAAAGTTGAGAGTTTGACTTGTAAACAGGCATGTTAATTTGGCAAAAACCAAAACAGTTTCGCTAACCTTTAAAATTTTCGATCACATAAAAATCTCGAAGAATAAATTAATATTCTAGTGCAACCATTGGCTGATCACGTCACAACAACACAAAACGATGACGTCACAGTTCGCTCGATTTTTTGTCATTTTTCTCCTACTCATCGCATCTGTAATCGCTGGAAGAATCACTAAATTGCTCCGACTTCCCCCACTTTTTGGATCATTAGCGCTCGGAATTCTCATCAGAAATGTTGGAATTTTCGGAAACTTTTTCGTTCTTCCCCCATTTTTGGAGACAATTATCAGAAAATTGTCATTGGTTAATATTGTTATTCGATGGGGTTTGGCGACAGATGCACAATTTTTATACGAGAATTCGGTGAGTTCAGACAACTATTTAAGACTTGATTTTTAATTCGGCCATTTTCAGGTTCTTCCGGTAACGATTGGATTAGTCAGCGCGGTCGCTGAAATTATTGCAGTCACAATTGCCTCATACTTCATTTTGAATATCTCATTTGTAATGGCTATTTTCTGTGGATTGATTTTGACAACAGTTTCACCAGCTGTCACAGTTCCAGCAATGATCAATTTCAAAGAAGAAAATAAGGGTGCTCTCAAACAAATTCCAGATAATATTCTTGCTATTTGCTGCGTTGACAACCTTTTCTGCGTTATTGTATTCATGATTCTTTCATCTATCATGTTCACTGATGGTGAGTTGAAAAAATTTTTTTTTTGAAGATTGGCTTTTTTTTCAGCTCCAATCGCAACAACTATTTTATTGAATGCTGGAACTGTAGTTTTTGGTGTAGTTGGAGGACTCATTCTTGGTGAGTAATATTTTGCCAGAAGACTCTTTGTAAATAAAAAAAATTGTTCTAGGCTGGATTCTTTGGAGATTCCCAAGATCCGATGCTCCACACACCCAATTTTCACGAATTTTGCTCCTGGGAACAATCTCCATCTCACTTCTTATTGGAACTTTCCTCATCAAATATTCATGTTCTGGATTTTTGGCTTGTTTGATTCTCAGCGCAATGTGTGCTATTCAATGGAAAGCTGATAATAAAGATAAGGTGAGCTTTTTGAGCCCTACAATTTATGATAAAATTTCAATTTTTCTCATATGAACATTCGAAAAACAATATTTCCAGCTTCAAAGCGTTGAATCAACCTACAAGTATATTTGGGATGCGTTTGGACTTCCACTTCTCTTCGTACTTCTTGGTATGAAATTTGATTGTACGAATGTGAGTTTGAATCCAGTTGTTTAATTTTCATATTCCTATTTTTTTCAAATTCCAGTTAACTTGGGATATTGTTTTCCTCTGTATTGGAGTTATCGCAACTGGGTTATTGATTCGTGTTATTATGGTGACTCTTGTCACATTATCTTCACATATCAATGTCAAAGAGCAAATCGTGGTTGCTTTGAGTTTGCTACCCAGAGCAACTTTCCAGGTATGTCCAATTTCTGATCACATTTCCACAATTAAATTTTCAGGCTGATTTGGCGCCAACTCTCGTTGTTCTTGCGACACCCTTCCCAGAATATGTTCAAGATGCTGCATTGGTTTTGAAAGTCTGTATTCTCTCGGTTCTCCTTACAGCCCCCTTATTTGATGTTTTATTGAACATTGTTGGCTCAAAATTCTTGGATGTTCATACACCACAGGTAATTTAATATTTCCGTTAATTCATATGTGTATGATATTTTCAAATAGCATCAACAACCACATCAACAGCAACAATTATCGCCGCCACCAATTGAAAAATCGTCATATTTTAACGGTGATAATATTGATGACACAACATCGAATGTTTACACATCTCGACCAAAAACATATTCTGAATATCGCACTGAAACAGTCATTGAACGATATTAATTTATGATAACTCAGAATTTCACATATACATTCACATATACATATTTTATTATTGATTGATATTGATATGATTTTAAATTATAATCTGTATTTTCCTTGATTTTGGAAAAGTTACGCTGTTGTTATATTTTACTTCTATGTATGTCATTTTATTGAACAACTTTTCCTAAAAGTTATATGATCTTTCAAACCATTCCAAGTATAATTGATGAAAATATTTATAAATATTTATTTTGAAATTGATAAATAAAATGTTAAAAATTGAATTTCAAAAAAAATATTGAGTCTCTGATTTGTTTTTAGAAAGATCAAAGTTTGTGCAAAATTTGCAGCTATTTTTGAACATCAAAAAATTTTGCTAATAATTAACGAGAAAATGTCTGAATTTTCCCTCATTTCTAAAATTATCAAAAAACCTTTCCATATATATTCAAAAGATTTATTATCATTATTTTCCAAAAGCAGCGATGCATAATTTACAGTAGGCAAGAAACAAGAGGCAAGCAAACATAAACATAATAGGTACATAAATATTATCAGACGTTTTTTTTTTTCGAAACGTCCAGGAAAATGGTCCCATATATCACACACAAACACAAACAGAAACATTTGGAGAGAAAAAAAAGTGAGAAAAATAAATTAAACATTTCACAACAATAATGATTGACAACTAGATGAGTTTTCTTGTTCTTCTAACATGACTATACTCCGTTTTTGATCTCCAACCAATCCAGTGGTCTCTTCTCGTTTTATTGATGGTTTACGTTCTAAAAAATTCCATTTTAAAATTCATTTTAATTAAAATTTTTATATCAAACTCACCGTTATCTTTCAAAACATTGTTATTATTTCCCTGTTTAACAGTTGTAAATGTTGTATCCCTTTCTGAAACCACTCGAACTCTTCCAGATGAAGCTTCAGCTTTTCTCAAAAATGGAACAGCTTTTGCAAATTCCTCTCTGAAAGCAAGTAAATATTTTGGTGGAAATCTAAGCCTTTTATCTTACCTGAATGATTCATTCATCCATGCATATAGAATAGGATTCCAGCAAGTAGCCGTCATACTAATCAAATGAGCTATCAAAAATAATGAATTGAAGTATTGTTTAATGAATGAATCCCATTTAAGATCTCGCAATATGTTCCTGTAATTGGAAAATTTAACAAAATCTAGAAAAAAATTGTTTTGAGAAAACTCACAACAAATTAAATGGGAACCAGCAAACCGCAAAAATGACCACCATAATAATTAACATTCTCAACAATCGTTTTTTTCTAGCTGTCTCATTTTTTCGCTCTGTCATTCTTTGTCGTTTATATAAGAAAAACCAAATGCAAGAATAACTGATGCCAATTAATATGAACGGGAAAATGAACTGTAAAAAATTCGTTTTTTGGGATTCCTGGGGTTTTTGCCTACTTGAAGACTCATTACGATTACACCAAATGTTTTCCGGAAACTTTGACTGCTCCATTCCTCTCCGCAAACCATAAAATTGCACGGCGCACTTATGAAATTCAGTTTCATATTCACCGCGTATGGTATAACCAAGAGCAATGAGACCGTCCAAATCAACACAATAATCACGAGACAGGTCTGAAATTAGGGCTTAAATTTTTTCTAATCTATTCTCAAACTCACTTTCATTGACATTCGATCATTTATATTGATATTGCTTGAATTGTGAACAATCACAATATATCGATCGATGGCAATTGAAGTCAAGGTCCACGTTGAGATGAAAATACTGGTCCCTACAATACAACTTTTTGCAATTCATGCAACAAGAAAAATTTATAGAAAAACAAGGCACTTGAAAAACTGCTCACCCTGGAACAATGGAAGACCGTGACAAAGACCACCCCCGAAAACCCAATGACCAATATATAAATACATTGGTGTAAGCCAGAGAGACCTGAACGTTTTTCTATGAAATCTATGTCTGAAAAATGAAATAAATATACTTACGTGAAGTTCACAAGTATATCTGAAACAGCCAAGTTTGTGATGAAAATATTGGTGACAGTTTGCATTTTCTTGTTAGTCATCACAACGTAAACGACAAGAAAGTTTCCAGAAACGGCGACGATGAAGACTGATACATAAAGGACGAAAAGTAAAAGTCGAATTGGTATCACATCCATCAAATTCTGAAAATTTTCGCACTCTTTCTCTATTTTTTTTCGTTTTTAAATTAATGCCCTTCAAAAGTCCTCAAATGAAATTCAATCATCAAAAAATATCATTTTCTCATGAATCTTTGACCCCCCAGAAAAGATCAAACTATGAATTTATTTATTTTTGGTTTTAAAATAATTCTCACATCTTTCATAACACAAACATCCTGGAAAGTAACATTCCGTGCAACAGCCGATACGTTCATCTGAATCTGCAAAAATGAAATGAGCCAAGTAGTTATTTTTTTTTATGGAAGCGCGGAGAAAATGATGAGAAAAATGAAGAAAATAAATGGCATTATTCGAAATTGCGATTCATTCATCAATCTTAAAGAGAAACGTAAAATAAAAAGAATATATATTTTTGGCCACCGAGAAAAAAAATATTTTTGGCTGTATATTCAGAAGAGCCACCTGGTTAGATTATTCCGGAAATTCACATTTCCCATTGATTTTTTCGGGAACTATTATTTACAGATTATGATGATCATGCCTATTTTAGAACGAAGAACAAAAAAGCAGATTTTGTTCCTCTGATCTCTGATGAGTTTTTTTGCATATCAATTTCTAGAGATCAAAACGAAGAATTGAACATAAGTAGGTTATAATTCAAAATCTCACAGATTCAAATAGATCAGACGAGGCTATGTGATGAATATTTCAGATTTTTTTAATCAAACAAAAAGGGTCAGACATTTTCTGAAACATGTAACAAACAAAACACACATATAATATTTCTAGACTTGAATCATAAAATATCACATGAAATGTTGAAATTTGATTCTGAAGAACGAGAAGGAAACGGATTTTGAGGATCAAAAAAAGGATCGAGAAAAAAAACGAAAAAAAAAGAAAAAGATGATGACTAGAAGGTATGAAAGAACTAGCAAAAGTAAACATGGCTTTGGAGAAGAAAGAAGAAGAAGGCGTTGATTTTTTGTAATCCAAGCCGAAAAAAATCTTTGATTCTTCTTTTTTTCTGCTATTTTTTCCTTATTCGCCGAAAAAAAACTAGGAAAAACTATAATTTTCTGTCTACGCTCATCAAAAATATGAATTATCAAAAATTCTTGAGCAAAACAACAAAGGGCATTTTTCGAAAAAATGTCCTACAAGTGGTTTCTCTTTCTTTAAAAGTGTGAAAGTCCAAAGAACAAATTTTTTATGAATTTTCTTGGAAAAATCATCAAAGCGTGGAAAAATTACTTCCAAAAAAATTCGGTTTACACCCAATCATTTTTATGTTTTTTTTTTCCAAAATCTTTTCTTCCTGGAAAAAATAAAGTTGTTTCAGGAAAAAACATGCTAACGTATGCAAATAACTCGAGTTCACACGATTTTTTTGAATCAAGGAAACATGGAGGGAGAATTTTAATTTGTGGAATGCGGAAGAGAATTTTTTGGAAAAAGATGTTGCATTTCTTGGTTGTAAAATAAATTAACATTTTTGGGGTAGAGTAAAAATCAACCGTTTCTGAAATTATGAAGGTGAAAAAATTACTTCTCCCATAATTAGAAAAGTCCGTAGACAAATTTTCTCAATATTTGCTTATACTTTCTCTCCTCTCTGAAAATAAGCACGGGCTCATTTTCTGTAGGAAGAACCAGAAAGATTTTAAAAATACAACATTCTAGTCAAAAAAAATAAAGAACAGTTGAAAGAAAACAAAAGAAAAGCGGCATTTTCACACTTTTCCTTTTTTCAAGATTCTGAATAATTCAAAGTTCGACACCACAAGAAAGCAAGCAAAAAAAAACTGAAACAAGTCTTGGTTAAACAAAAGTTATAAATTATTTAAAGATTCTACGCACTATGAGTAGGTTTTTCTTATTCTTCATTCTTTTTCACTAATTAAAAAAAACCCACAACCTTTCTTGGTTTTTCTCAACAAAAAAATATACATAGAATAGAATAGAATATGTTTTTGTAGTATGAGTGGGAATAAATGAAGAGAGAGAGAAAAAGTGGGCGGCGTTTCATTTCAGCTAAAATTTTCGGGAGAAATACCACAAAAATACATAAGGAAGAAAAAAGAAAATGAAACGAATAAATTTTTTTGCAATGGGATACTGTAGGCTTTACTTAATGAGTTTTATATAAGATTTGTGTTTTTCTCATTGTGCTATGCTGAATTGGAGGAATTCATTATGACTTCGTATAAATCAAGGAAAAAACAGTTATCAAATATCCTGCGGAAATTGAAAAAATTCCAAAATCTCACGAAAAAAGTGATGTTTTCTGCATTTGAAAGAGTTTCTCACACGCCAGATATTCTGAGAACATTTTTCTAAACAAGTTATCAAAACAAAATGGATAAAAATGGATATAATTTGATCAAAAATGTAATTTTTTTCGAGAGAAGATTTATCACTAATCCTTATTGTAATAGTTTAGAATAAAATCTTATTATTATCACGCCCAGATTTTTTTCCTGAACAAAAAAAAATGAATCAAGCATACATCAACTTGAAACAAGTTCAAATGTGAGGATTACTTATTTATTTATAATTTTTTTGCTTTAAAAAAACTAGACACGGATTAGTAATATGATTGTGATTGATATATATGATTTCATGTCGGACGCATATTTTATTAATTGTGAGAAACTCGGAGAGGATTCTTAAAATAATGGAGTACAATTCACAATAGAATAGATGAAAACAACGTTTTTCGATCTTCATACTTTGTGCCAAGGAGATTAAAATTTGAATAGAATCAAAATAGCCAAAATTATGAAAACATGAAAATTGAGATTTCACGTCAACAAAAAGTTCTTGGACAAGATTTTTTGTCATTAAAAAATTATTGAAAATGAACATTGCTCATTTCCAGGTTTTGGACAATTTTGAAAATCTGAAAATTCGTGGAAATATTAGAAACTATTAATTGGGATTATCCACTTGAATTTTGAGAAATTTCTTGGAAAATGAGGATTTCTTTGCCTTGTTTACAAATATACTGTATTCTGAACTCTTTTGTTGATCGAAAATTGGATTTTTCAAAATCATCTCGAACTTCTAAATTTTGAGAACTTTCAGTTAAAAAAAACCAGTATTTCTATTCATATTATGATTCACAGAACCGAGTTCTGACTTGATTTCTGAATAGCAAAAATAAAAAGATTTGGCTTATGAAAATTAATTTATCTTTTGTAAAGTTATTTTTGTTGAAAAAATAATTATCAGAAAATTATCACTCTGCCAAATTGACTGAAAGTGCATTAATAAAAATAAGTTCTCGATATTTTTGGAAAATAAAAGTAATTTGTGCTATTTCTATGAACGATTTCAAATTAAAAATAGCATTTTAGTTTTCAAGAGATTAAGGATACAGTAACCATTTTCAAAAAAATGTAGGATACAGTATCCATATTAAAGAAAGTGAAAAATTTTGCAAATAACACTACAAATTCTCATGAAAAATTCAAGACCAAAAAAAGAGAAGATTCTTGAACACTTGAAACTTTTTTTTCACTCTCAACCCACTGATCTTCTAGTCAACGTTTTTCGGGGAGATTTATGGATTTACAGAAAATTCATCCGTATTTCAAACAAAAATCGGAATTGCAACAATAAATTTTTTACCGTTCATGTGCTTTCATTTAATTTCAAACAGATAAATCTGGAAAGCGGGAATTACAAAGCTTCATGTGATTTTCCTCGAAAAAAAATCATCAATCTTTTTTATGTTGAAAATTTATGTGTGGTGAAATCATGACTAGATTCTAGTTATAGAATACGCAAGAATTTTAATGTGCATTCAAAAAAAATCCAATTTTTCTTCTTCCCACTCAAAATCCACAGTATTGCTCATTTTATGTGAATTGGATTACTTGGAAAAAAAATCATTGGATTTTTTCTAATCTCATTTTTTGTGGCATTTTGAACCTTGGCAAATGAAAGGTTCCGGAATCATGTTCATTTCCAGGAAATAGTCTAATCTTATCTATCCGAACAAAAGCAAAATGACGTTTTTTTTTTCAATTTTCCTCCACTCATTTCCATCATTTCCATTACAAATGCACTTCCTTCATTAATTGGCTCATTTGAAAAAAAAATAGCAAAAACAACCTCAAAAAAAGTTGTGTGCAAAAAAATACAAAAACAAAACAATAGGAAGAAAATAAATGTGTTTTTCTTTTCCAAAGAAAAGGAAAAAAGCGAAGAAAAATTACAGAAAGGATTACTGGATTTTTTGTGTTTTTTTTTTTGGAAAGATGCAACTGGAAAATATAGGATGTTTGGTTGTTTTCATATGATTAGTTGTTGGCAGACAAATGAAAATCATAATTATTTGGATTTTTGAGAGAGAAAATGGGAAAACAAAAATTGATGTTTTTGTATTTTTTATTTATCAAAAACTGATGAATAATAATACCACTTTTTTCTAGTTGTATAGTTACAGTAACTTTGAAAATGTATTTATTATATATTTAAAATACAAAAAAAAATGGGATTTTATTCGAAAACATTCTCAAGTTTTCGCAAAATTTTCATGGGGGATTTTTTTTTGAAAATTCGGATTTCACAGATTTCAACAGGGGAATTGATAACGTAATGACTATGATTTTCGATTCAACAAAATAATGATCTACATAAATTCCAAATTTGTGCGACTTTTCTAGAAAAAAGCCAAAAATCCAGAGCACTTCCAACATCAAAAACTCAACGTGGTCAATTACCTGAGAAAAATATGTAAAGTTCCATTCTCATCACCTTGAAATGATATCAATTTGAACAAAGTTAGTCCCCTTTATTAGTAATTCCAGAGATTAGTACCGTAATCAGTAAAATGTATTTAGTATAGATTTGAAATACAAAAAAACTAAAATTTTCTGAAAACATTTTCAAGGTTTTTTTGGAAAAATTCAGGGACTTTTCAATTTCATAAAAAAATTCATAAAAAATTCAAAAGTCTGGAGATATTTTCAGAGAGTGGAAGAATTATTCAAAATGAAAAATGTTTTGCAAAAATAAAACAGATTTTTAAAAAAAATAATCACAGCATCCAGAAAATCATCTCAATCTGCAGACTAGAAATAAATTTTAAAAAATCAGCAATTCTTTGGCCTTAAACCCCGTGATAAGGCCTACAGTAACCATAAAATTGTGTTTATAATCTTTTTTAACTACAAAAAAAAATGCAATTTTTCCTGCAAAAAAACATTTTCAAGTTTGAAGAGGGACTTGGACTTTCAAAGTTATCAAAGATTCCATAAAAAATTCAGAAGTCTGAACATGTTAGTTATGAGAGCAAGAATCATTCGTAGTAGAATATTTTTGCAGATAATGTGATTTTCTAAAAAAAAAATTATCATAACATCCGGAAAAATATCTCAATCTGCAAATGAGTTAGCAAAAGTTTTTTGAAAATTATATCCAAAAACAAAAATTAATTGATAATTAAACTACACTTTTTTTTTTCGAAACATAAAATTTTGCAACTAGCAGTGTCCAGAGAAAATCAAACATCAAAAAAAATTCTTCGGAAATCGGGCCTAATTTTCTAAAATGAACAAAAAATCAGAACGAAAAAAAAGTGATTTTGCGTCACACCGTTTCAAGTGCCAAATTGACGCATTATCCATCTCAAAACTATCTATCAATGGCCATTTTTTCTTCCAAATCAACAAAAAACGCCTCAAGTGACTTGAAAATAACAAATCTCAAGAGTGTGAGTAATCATTTACGCCCTATTAAAAACTGTTTTTTTTTCTATAATTTATTTTTTTTGGTTCAAATTTTCAGCATAAAAAATAGATAACCTATAAATAGAAGGTCAAAAAAATAAATATATATATTTGGTGCAAAATATTAGAAGAAGAGTAGTAGAGTAGATAAAATAAATTTCAGACAAAATTTTTTATTAGTTTGGACAAAAAAGGGGGAATATTGAATGTCTGGAAATGTGTGTTTTTATTCATTCATTTTCATTGGTGTGAGTGCGAAATGAGAGGAAAAGAGAGAGAAAATTTAACACAAAAAAAGGTCATTCGTTTTTTCGAACAATGAAGTTAGTCAAGCTTGAGCATGTTTTCGCAACATTTTTCTTTATCAAGGAAGTCACTGAATTTTGTTTTATCAAAAACAACAAAAGGTCATTTCTGAATTTACATATTCAACCTTTTTACATTTTACATCCTTTTTTTTCCTCTTTCTCTTTATTTGTAATTCTACTAACTAGATTTATTCATTAAAAAGACATTGAAATCGCATTTTGCATCAGAAACCATTTGGTTAAACCAAACTAAAAACCAAAAAATAAAAATCTTGGAGGAGCTGACTGAAAAACATTTTTTTTTTTCTCCATGATAAGGAAATAGAGTTATTTCGGGTTTTTGAATTCTACCTATTCAAAAATCTGAGCATTTTTAAAATGTGTATACGAGTTTTTTTATTTTTGACTGGTAAGATTTGATGTTTTTTAGATTCATCAAGTGGTTTTTTATAAGACAAACATCATGTGATGCTGAATGTTTTGCTAAATTGAAGAAGCGTGGATTTATGGTCTGAAAATTAAAAATCAATTGAAAAACCAAATAAATTTCAATAAAAGTTACAAAACCCAGACAAAAGATTTTGCAAGTTTTTTCATTTCATCATAATTTCAAAAAGTTCTGAGAACTTGCTCATTGAATAGCTTCATTACACAAAAAATTTTAAAATACACGTTTTTGGCTTTTCTGTTTTTTTGATCTACTTAAAGAACTGAAACAAAAACCACTCTAGAGAAAACTTCAAGTATTTGAAAAAAAAGTCTGAAGCTACGTATTTTTTCACCAAGGTTCTAGACTTTTTTGACAAGAATACATATGTATTAAGTTAATGACCAAAGTTTTTTTCTATAAAAGCAGGAGCAGAAAAAGTGCGTCTATCTGTTTTTACTGGTAAAAAGCAGAAGGAAAAAAGAAAAGTACAACTCAATAAACAAGAAAAAAAGCATTGACTTCAAGGAAGTCTGGAAAAAACAAATTTCGAATAATTTCAGAAAATGACTGGAAATCACGCATAGTCGGAGTCTGAGTCTGGGTTATTCAGATTCTTTAGAAAGGAAAAAAATAGAAACAGAATAAAAAATTGGAATGAAACTGAAACGAGACCAACACTTGATATCACCAGCCAGAAAATTACGAATATCGAGATGCACTTGAGTTTTTCTCTATTTGTTTTTTTGTAGTCTTGCTTTCTCTGATCTCCTTCATCTTTTGCTTTGTTACTCCATTAATTTTATTGATGATTAGAACATAAATGTTTAAAAAAACGAGACAAAAACTAGCGATTAGTGAGATCAAATGGGGATCAATTGAAAAAGCAAAATACAAATATTATTAATATGATTAATGTTGGGACAGGAAAAGATTAGTGAGAAATGACGAACTGGAAAAAAGTCTAGAGATTTGAGAATTTGGCAAGAACATTTTTCTATGAATTAATAACTTTGTGTGATTCAAAAACCGACACAGACAGTGCGTGATTAGGGCCAATTTTCCAAATGATTTTTGATTTCTTGAAATATTATAAAATGTTTCAAATTTGTTTTTTTTCATTCTTGAAGTGTGGAAATGTGCAAAAAATGACAGCTGGTCAAATATAAAATGCGCAATGCTCTCTGAAGTGAAATTTGAAAATTTCCGCACCCTTTTCAAAAATTGATAATCAGTTATGTTTAATCAAATGTTAAAATTTTTGGGTTCAAAATCTACAGATAAATTTTTGTAATAATTCAGAACGTATCAATAAATTTACAATCCTTTTTCAGTTTTTGCTTCAAAAATTATTAGCGCCAAATCAAAAGAAAAATGATCTACCAGGGTTTTTGATTAATAAATTGTGTTATCAAGAAAACAACTACTGAATTCAGCATGAGAACATGCACTCTATCATTGTTCTTATCTCACATATCCTAACTCACTCACAAAAATCAAAAATCCTAAGATACGTGTCCACAAGGTGTTTTTTGTTAGTACAGCTATAAGTAGTTCTCATGTTTTCCAGCTTGATGAGATTTATTATGTGAAATGTTTTTTTTTCGAAAAAAAATTAGAAAAACATATATATGTGGTTGCCCACGGTGAATTTTATGTTGTTTCTCTTTTTCCCAAGAAAATATTTTTGGAATATTATTTATATGTGATTCCGGAATGGATTTTTGATGACATGTTTTTTCGAAGGGGGACTTTGTAGTATCAAGAAATAAATCTAAATCTAGAGAATATCGGAAAAGATAAGATTTACTTCCTTCTTGAAGTTATCTAGGTCAAATAGCTTATCAAAAATATCCTGCTTTTTCAATAGAATTTTAAATATGTTTACATTGAAAAAAGTACAGTGAAATAAATACCCATCACAAGTGCATTCTAATCCATTTTAACCAACCCAAAAAAAAAATAGAAAAAAAAGTTGGTGAAAATAGAATTAGAGCACTATTATAGTAAATATAAGAGAACAGTATAATAACTTTTCTCGTTTTTTTTCTTTCTGCATATCAAATTAAATGCGATGTTCATATTTTCAGCCAGCCATCCATTTATATGTGTGGCAGCAAAAAGGGAATGTGCAAAAACAACATTATATATTTCGAGAAAAAAAACTTTTCTTTAATTTTTTAAAACGCCTAGTTTCCCCCCCCTCCATTTTCTGTTCAAAAGATCGATTTCAATTCTTCTTTTATAGGTTTTTAGTTTGCGTTGATTAGAATTCGTTGCGCGAAACAATGTTATCAATGACAATGATCAAAAGATCTTTACCAATTCGATTTGATGTTTTATCTTTATATTCACAGATTCAAAAAAGGGTATAAATATGAGGAAAACTTGATGAGAAATCACAACGAAAAATGAATATTTTCTTAACACTGATCTTTGCTATTCTAGCTGCTTGCGTTTTGTAAGTTTTTTTTTCATGAATGTGAGAAAATTTGCAAAATTTTTTGCTGAAAACTACAAAAATTTCAGTGCAAAAATATTCAATATATTATTCCAGATCTGCTCCACAACGTATAATCGAAAAGACAACGATTATCCGTGGTGGTCCACCACCTCGCCATTTCCATCCTCCACCTCCACCACCTCCACGTCGCCCAATTTTCCGACCACCAGTTACAGTTGTCAAGCAAACCGTCATTCACGGTTGAAAATTCTTCTCCTATCTTCAAAATTGTTTCTTCTTTCACAAAAATTTACACTTTGTTATATTTGTTTCTGATGCAATAATGTCCCTGAAAAAATGAAGATAAAACATTTCTTTGACCATTGAAATTTTTATTGACTTTACCAACAAAGTTCATTGGAATTTGGAATGGAATGAGATTTTGAGGAAAATAATCATGATGTGAATATTTTTTGTGTTGAGCTTTGATTGCGTGAGAATATCAGAAAATATGAGAATGCACAAGTTCTTTGAACTCGTAGTCAGACAAAAAATTGAATGATTCTGGAGAACCGGGGTTTTTTGAACTATTGATTTTTTGATGAACAGATAATGAAAATCTTATTTTCTGCCTTGTGATTTGCCGGATTCAAGATGATCGGAGTACTATTTTCGAGAAACAAAAATATGAAATCATGACGTTTTGATGGTTTTAATTTTATAAATGTTTGACTTCAGAATCATTTTCAGATTGGTTGAATTGGTATGATTCAACATTTTGTTAAACAAAAGCTGGATTTAAGCCATTACTGTAGTTCTTCACTGAAACTGATGTTTGAAATACATTCATATCACAAAGCCTGAAATTTAATTAAATCAATAAAATGTATTCCTCTAATTTTTTCCAAAAACTAAAGAAATTTTGATTTTTGATCAAGCAAATTCTGAGTTTTTACTGACGGACAATAAACGTTAACATGAGAAACAGGGTTATTGAACTGTGAAGGTCAAAACACGATAAAAGATATCAATAATCAAGTTTGAGTACATTCCGGTACAAAATTATAAACTTCTCAAACAAACATCAATATCAGAAAATTGCCGAAAACATAACATCACTATTTGCCAAAAATGTGTTTGTCGAACGCTTTCTGAGTAATCCTCATTGACGAATTCTCGTGTTATGAACTTCGGTTATACAGAAAAACGCTTCCGTGATTTTCCAGTATCAATAAATAACTGTCAATCACGCCTCTCATGAAAACAAAAACCATTTCCCAAAAATCGATGCTGATCTTAGTTTAAATAGCGACCAATTTTTTGATTTCGGTCATCTTTCGGTGAAAATGAACTGTCTTTCTGTTGCAATCCTTGCCTTGATCGCTGTTGTTGCGTTGTAAGTTTACTGAATCTCTGAAATTTCAACTCATAAAAATTATTTCTAGCGCTCGCCCACAAGGCAGAGTTGTTGAGCAAACAACAATCATTCGCAACGGTGGTGGTGGATTTGGTGGACCTGGAAACAACTTTGGTGGGCCAGGAGGAAGCTTTGGAGGACAAGGTGGATTCAACAATGGAGGATTCAACCGTGGACCAGGTGGAAACTATGGGCCAGGAAACAACTTCGGAGGGCCAGGTGGAAACTTTGGAGGACAAGGTGGATTCAACAATGGAGGTGGTTTCAACAGAGGACCAGGAGGAAACTTCGGAGGACCAGGAAGATTCGGAGGACCAGGAGGACAAACCACTTTCATCAAGGAGACTGTCATCAATGGTTAATTTATCAAAAAAAAAACATTTTGATTTTTTAATAATTTTTTTTTCTATTTTTCAACGCCGCGAAATGAAATTTTTTCGTCTGACTTTGTAAATTTTAAGATCAAAGATTTTTGCATAGACGCAGTACGCAATTGTGGATCATATCAAGGTCACAATCGTGATGATTATTAATGATTGATGATGGTTCTTTAGATAAAGGGTGTAGTTTGCACCTATGTATAGGACAATGGGAATGAAAAAAGACACAAAGATCATTTGAGAATATTGATTTTGTTTTTGTGAAATGATTTCAGTTATCATAAAAGTTGCTTTGCAATTCACATTAATGGATTTTGATAGAATTGCTCACATCAGCGTTTTTTCTAAAGTATTTTGAAAAAAGAGCGCCTTTCAACTATGATCACTTCAGGATTTTGTTAAAAAATGTGAAAATTCTCAATGTGAAATATAATGGATGAACAAATAGGCATCAGATTTCTAAACTTTGTGCTAATGTATTTCTGTTTTCAAAATTTCAATTTTCATTACTAACATTTTAACGAAGGCAAAAAATAATAGCAACTAAACAGAACACAAATAATTTCAAAATTCAGCAATTTCAAAAAATTTCAAATTTTCAAAAAAAAAAAAACTTTGAAACTTAACCCTGCTGAATAACACTGTAAAATCAGAAGTGAAAATATAGTTCTGAAATGAATCACAGGGGTCAAAATATCTGGGTTTGGCAAGAATTTTTCCACACGTTATAACTATGTTTAGGGCAAGTTGAGTAGTGAAATAATTTTCAGAAAATCTCTTAAAGTGTAATTTTAACGGTCAAAATTGCAGATTATTTACAAATTACCTTCTCAGGATCATCAAAATTGAAAAGCTCATGAGTCATCTCAAAATTTCAACTAAACAATAGGGGTGTTAGGATCACTGAAAATATTTCTATGAAAAATCCTGGATCCTCTCTTCAAATACTTCTTCAAGTCTATTTTATTTCCGTGTTTAGAACAAAAATCCCTGCTGTTTTCGTCTCACAGAATGGTGTTTGATTTCTTCTTTGATATTTGGGCAAGCTTTGGAATTACGATCTCTAAAAGATTGATTTCATAAATCTTTAAAGACGATTTCTCACCATGCGTCAGATAAATCTCTCTCTGGAAATGTTTTGATTTCAGGATGCATTAGATTTATTACCTAATGTTAATATACTTCTAAAAAAAGACATTTGTTGGTTGACCTTCAAAAATAAAGATATGACGTCAGTTCTAAAGATAATGATTAGTTTCCAGAACGATTTTTATCAAAAAAAGACGTATCATGAAATGTATTGAGAATCAGAATATCAAACAAAAAGTCAGCGTTTCGCTTTTACAGTTTCCGAATTATTTTTTTGGAAAAAACTCGAAATTTTCAAAAAAAAAATTATGAATCATAAAAATTTGTCAAATGATGTGATATGTGATTCAGATGAATTCAGAGAATAATAATAGTTACACCATGTGTTGATAATTCGTCAAAAAAGGAAATGATCAAAACGAAAAATTACGATTAGGATCAAGTCTCCACCCACAACTTTCTCGATCGAATGATAACAATTGGTGACTATATAAACCCACAAAATTCTTATTTGATCAGATTTGTTCAACTAAATCAATATGAACTTCTACACAATCGCCATTTTTGCTATTCTCGCCGTTGTTGCTCTGTAAGTTTATTTTCATATTTTTTATAGTAAATTATTTTCATGATTTTATTTTATAAATAATTTTTTCTAGTGCCATGCCACAAAGAGTCATCGAAAAGACCACAATCATCCGAAACGGACCAGGATTCGGAGGACACGGAGGTTTCAATAACGGACCAGGAAGATTCGGTGGACCAGGACAATTCAACAATGGTTTCAATGGTGGATTCAACAATGGTTTCAACAGAGGACCAGGAGGAAACTTTGGAGGACCAGGATTCGGAGGACGTGGAGGACCAACCACTGTTATCAGAGAGACTGTTATCCGCCCTGGATAATTTCTAGTCAATAATTGAATGATCTCTTTAATAAAATTGTCTTCTGACTGATTTTCTGTATTATGTTCTCATTAAATTTAAAAAATTTGAAAAAAACATGTAGAAGCAGTAGAGCGGAAAATAAGAACCACTAAACTTTCAAGAGTTTTAGATTGTGTTTTTTGTGATTATTTTTCAATCATGAAAACTAATTCGAAGAACTTTTTTGTCAAAAATGTTCAAAAAAACATGTAAGTGCATTGAATTAGAAAATGAGAACGTGCAAGTTTTCGGTAAGTCAAAAAAACATTATATTTCCAGTTCATAACTTGTTGACAAGATATTATTCGATAGTGAAAATGAAGTTATCTGAAAAGCTTTCTCTTTCTATTTTTTTCCAATAAATTTGGACTTTGAACACTTTTACAGTCAAATTTTGACTACAATTTTTGAAAGTTTTTTCAATGAGATCAAAAGCTTTTTTCATTCTCTGATGAAGTAAATTTTGAATATGTTTTTATTTTCAAAAAATGATAATATTATCAAAAAAGCTCAACAGGTTCTAACACAATCTGGATATTCAATAATTATAGTTCTATATGTGGATTATTGAGTTTAAACTCAAAAACCTCTTTCAGTTTTTCACAGTTTAACTCAAATAAAGATAATTATTATTTGGATACGCTCTCAGTAGAAACAAAAGTTCTAAACTCCACATTAGTTTTCAAAAAAAAAAGAATCATTTTATTTTTAGATTATTGATACATTTCAAAATATTTGCAAATAATATTCATTAAAGAGTTGTATTGTGTGAAATAGTTTCCTCTTCCGTGTCTGAGACTAAAAAAGTTTCAATTAAACAATATTCTAATCACGAACTCAATTTGAACTTCCTGCAAAACAATTTCATGACACAAAGGATTATCTATTCAAAATAGTCCATCACATCATGTAATCCTCAATCTAAAATCTCACCCAGACATTTCAGTCAATATAAAAACAAATGTTCCTAGAATTTTGTTCATTTTTGAATATTGGTTCATTATAAAAACAGATTAATTGGTTTTTGTTTGTTTTTTTTTGTTAATTCAATTGAGTGAAAAATTTTATATGTATACGAAAATATTTATTTCTGTTCGTTTTCAAATTCTGATGTTCCGTTTTTGCAAGAAAAAAATGAACTCTTGAGTGATGACGATCACAGCTTTTGTTGAGAACAATGAAATATCCTAATCACCTCTTTTATTTCACACAATTGTATGTCCAATTTCCGCCATATTGTTCTCAACTCAGCTTCAAGTATATATAAATGTCTAATTCTGAATATTACCGATGTTTTAAGTTTCACAAATCAGAATCACTTTTTTTTTCCTTATTTTGAATGTATATTGAGAGAACTTTCTTCAACCATTAGAATTAGAATTCTATGAATGACTAATTTTTTATCTTGTTTTGTTTTTCTTGTCGTATTTTTCATCTTAAAAGATTTCTAAGCATCCAAAAACATTTCTATATCCAGGCGTTCGACTTCTAAAACAATGCAATTCAAATATCTCTTCTTGATCTTTGCGATGTTGTGTGCTGTGTCAGGGTAAGATAAACATTGAATGGTTTTTTATTACATAAAAACTAATTTCAAAATTCAAATTTCAGCGCACATGGTGGATTTGGCTATAACTACTATCTCCGAAGAATGGGCAGAACTTTTAACTCGTTTGCAGGTTCAGTTTCACAACCAATGTTCATCAAGAGAAATGTGGTTTACGACGAAATCCCGTGGAATGAATAAATAATCTGTGCCATTTTGTGTAAAATTCTTCCATGAAAGTTTACATTTTGTTTGTTCATTTTAATACTTTTCTTAATTTTTTGTCCAGGCAAATGTGAACTTCAAACTACAACTTCAGATGTAATCATAGTTTTATCTTATTGAAAATAACAAGGTTGAATCAGGAAAACGAAGCTCAAAAACACCACTTCGAGAAATTCAATGTCATACCTTTTCAGATTCTAGGTAATGACAGAGAAAATCTGGAAAAGGTGAATAAGCTAAGACAAAAATAAAAATAGTGGTGTTGAAGCAAAAAAAAATAATGTGAGCTCAAAAGCCACCTCTTCCAAACAATTTAAGTCATACCATTTCAAATTTCAGGTATTGACATCGAATGTTTAGAAAAGGTAGCCGAGCAAAAAATGTGGATTCAAAACCACCATTTTTGATTCTTGAAATATGCTATCGTTCTTCAATTGTTGATAATATACTACAAGAACCAGAAATTGTAGTTGAATCAGTTTGAAATGAGCTCGAGAAGCCACAATAAAATATTTACAAAAAAATATGGTAGTTGAATCATGTAAATGTAGCTCAAGAACTACCACTTCCAGATTTTTTATGTCATACCTTTTCATATTCCAGGTACTGACAAAGAAAGTCCAAAAATGGTCGAAAAGCTAAAAGTGGATGAGCTCAGAGAGCCACCTCTTCCAAACAATTTGAGTCATACCATTTCAAATTTCAGGTATTGACATCGAATGTTCAGAAAAGGTAGAGCCGAGCAGAAAACGTGGATTTCAAAACCACCATTTTTGATTCTTGAAATATGCTATCATTCTGTAATTGTTGATAATATACTAAAAGAACCAGAAATGGTAGTTGAATCAGTTTGAAGTGAGCTCAACAGCCACCCCTTCTTGGTTTGAATGTCATACCATTTCAAATTCCAGGTATTGGCAATAAAAACCAAGAAAAGGCGGGTTAGCCATGAAATTCAGATCGAAGAACTGAATGATAATTTCGTTCCACCGTCTGCTTTTATACGGTTTGTAAAAAGGCGGAGCATTGCGAATTCAAAAACATCTGTTAAATTTGTCACATTTCAAAGTATGGGAAACACGAGGTGTCAAAAGTTATCAACGTTTTGTAATATAGGTGTGAAAATTTTAATGATGGGAACTTTGGGTGATGGGAATATTCCTTTTTTCACAAATTTTTGATTGATACTCCAATTTTTCTACCTTATTAATAAAGAGAAATAATAAAAAGTGTTTAGTTTATTCCGTGAATTATATTCAAAATAAGTTAATAACAAGATATCCAAGCCATTCTATTAACAAATTTCAATGTTTTGTTAAAAAAATGATCTGGTGTAAAATACAAATCGATTTGAATCTTGCACTGGATGAGGTCACCAACCAATTTTTTTAAAATAATTTATAAAATTTTCAGTTTTTTCTTTGAATTATGCTTGAAAGATGTTTATAACAAGATATACAAGGCATTTTTTTTTCAAAAAATGTCCCGGTGTAAAATACAATTCGATTTGAATCTTGCTCTGGATGAGGTCACCAACCAATTTTTTAAAAAATAATTTTTAAAATGTTCAGTTTTTTCTGTTAATTATTCTCAAAATATGTTTATAACAAAATACACAAGCCAGTTCATAGACAAATGTTGATTTTTGTTTTCAAAAAATGATCTGGTGTAAAATTTAAAACGACTCCTTATTTTTCACTGGCCATCAATTTTTCAAAATAATTTATAAAATGTTTAGTTTTTACTGTAAATTATTATTCGTGGTCTTCGTCCTTTAACAAATCTAAATCCAAATTGCACAAATCGAATCAATCAATTTTGCAAAAATATTGTGTTTCATGATGTTTTATTCATTTTTTCCCAACATAAATGCTCAATTTCTTGCTAGTCATAAATATTTTCGCCCATGCCAATCAATTCTCATGTGATATTAGTTTCCCAAATTGAAAACTATAAATTTGGCCGCTCAGAAATATGGCGAAATATCAAACAATAAAAAAAAATCTTTTTCTCCCTCTTCTCTCCAATTTTCCCGTAGTCTTTCTCTGGCATCACAGGGACAAACAAAAACGCGCCAAGTGTCAACCACTGACGCGTTTCGTGTCTCGTTTTGTATGACATAATTTTTGCTGCTCGCCTTCGCCATTTCCAAATTATTCAGAGCACGTCTTCTTCCTATTGAAAAGAATACATCATTTTGTATACTTGAGAAAGTAATTAGATGCTATTTTTGACACGGATTTTCTTCTCATGAGCTCTCTCATTTTTTGTGTTTTCCTTGGCATAAAGTAAATGGGATCCTCCAAAATTAGGTTGTTTTTTGTTTTTTTTTCGGAAAAGAGGTCGTTTTGCGTAGGTTTTTGGGTGGTACTTGTATGACCTGAATTACAGAGGACCCAACTTCAGATTAACGTAAGGTAGGAGCTATATTTTTTCTGACAGGTGAAATTTTATTTGGTCTAAAGGCTTGAGTTGTCATTATGAAAAACAAGGAAGTACCCAAATCCCACCTATACGATTTCAAAAGCCTTTTTAGTTTCCAGATTCACCCGGAACACTTTCTCATTGACCTTTATCAAACTAGACATGCATCATTCCCTTTTCCCTTGTTGAAGAAAAAAAAAATAATTGTGGTCATGTCTAATAAACAAACTCTCCATCTGCCATATATATATTTTTTGTCTTCCATCTGCTCATCTCTGCGCGAATAACATTTTTTTTCCCGGCCGAGCATCATTTTTTCCGCCTATATTTCTCTAATTTTGATGCCAACTTTTTTGCGGATTTTTTGTTGGTGCCTCAAAAATTCTCCCGCATTTTATGAGACTGCTAGGCCATGTTTATTTTATTCATTGTGTTCGAAATTCTCCCCGCTGGCTGCTGGCTGCTGCCTCTTTTGGGTTGTTGTTGTTGTAATTTTTTTGTGGTCGTTCGAAAATGAAATATGTACATAAAAATGTAGATACATAACGTTTTTCAGGCAGTACTTATTTTTATAGCAACGATATTTTGTACACAACCTACAAATTATTGATCTCTCATGTTGTTTCCTTTTATTTTTGAGTGTCTTTGTACTCTCTCGCCTTTTCACACTCTCTTATTTACTTCCCAAAAGTATATGTTTTGTTTCACTTCTCTTTGATACCCTTTTCTATCAATCAGTCTTCTGTTTTTTCTCTCGAACGTTTCGATTCGTCACTATTTAAACAAATATATTTTATTTTTAATTTTTTTTCCAGCGCTGACACAAACTCTCGATTTCGCAATGGCTGCATATGAACCAACACAAGGTGAGTGACTCATTATTATTATCAGTGCACACAGAAAACAAAGTGTAATGTTTCGCGCGCATTAATTAGAAGTAGGCAAAAAAAAAGAGTTATATTATTATTGATCGATCGATTTATTTGATGTGTGAGCGACTGGAGGACACCACGTCGCATCGCAGTATTTGTCTCTTTTTCTCTCACACTGTTCACATTTTCCCTTATTCTGCCTTATCGTTTTCTTGTTGTTATTATTATTTTTATTCATTCATTATTCATTAGCAACTTTTTTCTTACTTTTTTTTTCTTTTCCTTTTTTTTAATACATATACTTTCTAATTAATGATTCTTCTTCTGTCTCAGAATGGCAAAAGGCACTAAAAAATCTAAGCAGCAAGAGCAGAAGCCAGAGGCGAATCTCGATAATTTTGCAAAAGAGCTTGAAGGAAGCGATTCTGAAGAGGATGCGGTAGTTATTGACAAACCACCACAAACACCACCAGCTTCACCAAAAACTAATAAAAATACCAAAAGTAGATTGTTTTGCAGCTTTTTTTTTTTGAAATATGAAAATGTTTGCAGAAACTGGCGAAGTTTTGAGCGAGACAGAGAAGGAGCTTCTTCGCGAAGAATTGATCAAAACTGAAGACGAAATCTCAACATTGAAACAAGTTTTGGCTTCAAGACAAAAGGTTAGTCAAATGGTATAGTAGAAATGCGGAAAAATTTCCTGCATTTTGCTGATGAGATGAGCTCAGCTTTTCTCAAAACTGAAGGTCCTCAATCAACCCAAAAATCAATAATTTTTTAGCATGCCAGCGAACTCAAGAGAAAATTAGGATTGTCACCATTCGCTGAACTCTCACAAGACATCAATCGAAGCTTCAAAGTTGTCACCGATACTGAAGCGTAAGTTGTTTTCCTCTTTCTTTAGTTTGGATTTTCCTAATCTTGTTGGAAGATCTTTGCAAACATACTTTTTCCAGTTTCCAAAAAACTGCTGAAGTCGCTGCTGCTACATCAGACACCGTTAAAGAGAAATGGGCTGATATGAGAAATTCGTCACTTTTCAAATCATTCGAATCAAAGTTGGGAACTGCTTACAATTCGGTGAGTAATTACTAGGATTTTCAATAAAAATAATACATGATTATGAAAAACTTTCAGGCAAAAATGGCTGCATCAACATCGATTGATCATCTCGCTGGCGCTGCTCGTGGTAATAGCACCGTCGCAACTCCAGTCGCCGAAGAAGCCAAACCAATCTCCTAAACAATTTGTTGACCCTCCAAAAAAAACTAACAATGTTGTGGTGTTTTCTGTCCATTTTCTCTGGTGATATCCCATTTCCCACTTCTTCTTTTTCCCACTGTTCTATTCTATTTTATTTCACGTTTTTTTTGTAAATTGCTTACCCGAACCGGCGTCGATATTTTGGTACCCTATCACTATTTATGGAAATAACAATAATCTATCTATGAGATATACATACATAAATACAAATAAACTTGTATAATTTTGAAAAATGTTGTTTATGAATAGCAAGACATTGGGAAGGGAGAGAAAAAGTCATTCATCATTTTTTGGAGAACAATGATGCACAAAAAGATATGAACAGAATTATGATGAAGTAGAAATGAAGATTCGAGAAAAAATGGGTAGCAAGTGGGAAAATCAGCAAGAACATGAAATGGTGAACAAAAGATTATTCCGAAAATTTCATTTTTTTTTTCGAGAAATTTCCAGAATTATAACCAAAAATCATAAATTAAATTAGGCAGTGGGCGGCGAAATCATTCCGATCGGTTTTTTTTATTTCAATTAAAAATTGATTCTTGTTTTCATTTATGATTTGCAAAACTCTGCGATTCCAAGAAAGGGTATAACTAACAACTTTGTAATAATTAGATAGTGGGCGTGGGTTCAGATTATTCAAATCAAATTTATTTTTTACATAGGGGCTTTTGATTTTTCTCACAAAATATTTTTGTAAAAACTTAGTTAGCCACTTAATTTTATGTTTTCGGCTCACTTAAAAACAAGATTAGAAAATTTGAAATATAATTTTCATAATAGTTTGAATTTTCTATATCGAACTATATTTTTCCAATTCACTTCCGTTCAAATTTTATATCAGAAAAAAAATAATGTATAAGGAAGTTGTTGCGAATCATCGAGATCAAGTTTTTCATAATCAAAAAAAATCCCAAGCTTGCAAATTTGTTAGTCATATTACGCTAAAACCAATTTTTTGTATTTTCTTTTATCTTTATTATCTGTCATTTTTTTTGATAATTTTGAAGATTAACTTTTTTGTTAATATGTAGTACTCGATTAAAACACTTATTGGATTATAAATACTGTAATCTAATACGTTTTGTAATAAAGTTGAAAAATCTTTGATCTAAAAATTTTTTTTCAATCAGATAAATATTATTTACTTTTCAAAATATAATTTTAAAATTAAACTCCCAAATGCTCCAAAATTTTTTTTTCGAAAAATCACTCTATTGCACTGAATGTTGTAATATGCTTATAGATGTGTCGCATAATACGCAATAAACCGGAAAATCGAATATCCGGTGATTTTCAAATTTGTGTCAACTCTTTCGAACATTTTTCATTTCATTATTGATGTCTACTAATATGAATGAAGCGAGATATATATTTTCTTTTCGGATTTTTTTTCGTAATAATCGTATAGTTACTACAAAATTTTTTGTTATCTCTTGAATAGCCGGAAAATTAATCCTAATTCTAAGACTCACACTTTTTTTTCATCGAGTTGAATAATATAATAAGAAAGACTTACACACTATGTATATGTATATATATGAATATACACCGCCCTCGTTGCTCAGGCAACATAATCCGTCGTTATCTTATTTGCTGCATTTTTTGTTTGATCACCGGTTTTCTCAAACTTTTTTCCCATTTTCAGATTAGTGGATACTTTGTTGGAAATATACATATACATATATATATTATATACTATACTCTTGAGTGAAAGTTTGAAAACAATTCGAAGTTCTCTGAATTTTTGGGAACAATGAGTGGGCCTGATGCTAAATATTGGCTGCAAGATCACAGGATCCCGCAATTGTTTGAAGTGAGTTCACATTCAAAAAGAATGATAATTTATGAAAAAAATTTATTTTTAACAATTCCCACAATGATTTTGAAGGTTTTAAATTAGAGTCCATATTGAATCACTCTTCTGAAATGTCATCAAAAGAGAGTTCTTCTCTGAAAGTTAAAAAAAATTTGTTTCTTATTCATTTGAATGAAATTATGAAAGAAACTGCAAGGTTTTCAATAAAAAAAAACAAAATCTGAGAGAAAAAACCAGAGTTCAATAAAATTTTTAATTTTTTAGAAGCTTAAAATTAGGTTTTTTTTTCATAATTAAGTTGATAGAATTTCGTGACTTCTATTTTTATGTATTATTTGGTAACTGTACTGACCTCCCTCAGCCACCTTTAAAAATTTCAATTAGAAAATTAAAGACATTATATGGTTTCTTGAAAATGTCTAATGCACACAGACAAATGAGAAATTGTAGTTTGATTTGTGCTCTACGTGATATTCTAAATTGAATCCTTATTTCTCTCTTCAAAAAAATCTTGGCTATAGCAAATTGACATTAATAAATTTTTCCTACGAAAAAAGAAAAGTGCAAAGGTTATAGTTCAATGAAAATAGAGTGCTTCCGCTTCATAACGAAAATAGAATATTTTGCGTGTTTAAATCAAATTATATTGTATATTCATTGCAGGGTCTCATGACAGGATTGATCTATATTCGACCAGAAGATCCGTTAGATTTTATGGAAGCTGCTTTGAAAAAAGTTCGAGCAAAACCTGATATGATTATGTCATGGGATATGTTTATCAATGATTCAACAGGTTTGTTTTTTTTTAAATATTTATTATGAATGAATCAACAAAATCTTTTGAATTGTCCAAGAAGAATAAGTGAAAACAAATTTGAATAGCGTCAAAAATAGCAATAAAAAAGGAAAAAAAAGAATAAGAATAAAAAAAGGTGAGCAGTGAGGTGAGCAATTATTATGTCGATATAGGTTTTTGGAGAGGCATAGTTTTTTATGCTCACCGATTTTCTTGTTCTAGTCTTTATTCTTTTTTTCTGTCTGTTCATACTTTCAAACATTATATTATGTATTTTATATTTATGTTTGTACTATTTCTTGTTCATTTTCAGCCGCTCGGGTAGCTCGTGATTATCCAAATAGATCGTTACTTCAATCAACTTCTTCATCATCTGGCAAACTTGCGAAAGCAAGGATAACAACAAATGCAATCGATGAATCAATGTGATTTTGATTCAAAAAATCTATCTAAATAGAATTTTTTCAGAGAAAATTCGATTGACGAAGGAGATCTAACTCGTGAACCTTCTCGTTCAAATACTGTTGAACATCGAAGTCCAGAACCCCGATTACCATCAGTTGAATCACAATCTCAAGAAGAAATGGTTGCTCAAAGAGTCGCCTCGGTTACCCGAGCTGCTGAAGTTGCAAAAATTCCAGATGTTCCTGTGATTTTATTCATGGGTGGTCCGGGTGGCGGAAAAACTAGACATGCGGCAAGAGTGGCGGATTCATTGGTAGACAACGGTTTAGTACATATTTGTATGCCGGATATTATTCGATCAGCTTTGGCAAAATATAAGGATAAATATCCGGAATGGAAAGAGGCCAATGAGCATTATGTTAGAGGTATTTGAATTGGATTGAAATGAATGGGGAAGAAATGTTGAATAGGGATTAGACGTCAATGATTTTCTGACGTCTGTGGATTTTTTGATTTTGTTGAAAATATTTAAAACGCAATTGTAATAGGGAAAATCAAAAAATCATCTCTATTGTGAAGTTTCAGATTTACGAAACCTGTCAAATTTTAGGAAAAACATCCATAGATAAGGATGTTTTTCGAGAAATCCATCTGCTTCTAATGATTCATTAAGTGTCTGAAATTCGAAGATCAGAACACGATAATACGAAGATCAAAAATTCATCTTTCGAAAATACTCCGGATATCCGGAAAACATAATTTCTGGGCCAATGCTCGACGAAACTTCAAAACTTCAAAAATCAACACAAATAATAATTTTCAGGAGAGCTGATACCAAACCAACTTGCATTAATGCTCCTAAAGGTAATCCTTAAACAAGAAATTTTTCATTCTTAACTATGTTTTTTAAAAAAATTCAGGCTGAAATGGGAAGACATCCATCTGCTTTGGGTTTCTTCCTTGAAGGTTATCCCAGAGAAGCTCGACAAGTTGAAGATTTTGAAAGACAAGTAAAATCAGTAAACATGGCTTTAATTCTTGATTATGATGAAAGAACCTTGAGAGATCATATGGAAAGAAGAGGTTTAGGAATGGAGATTATTGATCAGAAAATCAAAGAATTCAAACAAAAAACTTTGCCATCTGCAAAATATTTCGATGATCAAAAATTATTGCATTTGGTTGGTTTTGTTGTCTGGAAATCAAAATAATAAGAAAACTTGTTTAGATTCCTGGAGAAAAAGATGATAATACAATTTATGAGAAAATGAAAGGTTTGGTAATCAAGGCATTAGAAACTGGTGTTCCAGTATTGAATAGCACACCATCTAGTAGTCAAGCAACCCAGCCACAGAAACCTAGAACACCTTCTCCAACACCAATTGATTCTGAAGTGAAAAATAATGCCATTGAAACAAATGTGGCGCACATTGAAAATATTGAATCAAATCAACAATCTTCAACAATTCGTTCACCCAAAGGAAAACCACCCTCTCCCCCTTCACCACCAAAAACCGAAGAATCTGTGAGAGATGAGATTCCACCAACACCCTCAATTCAAACACCAGATGAAAGTCGAATAAATACGACTGCTACTACACAAAATGGTAAGTTTTATTGAAAATTATTGCAGAGATTTTTGAAAAATGATATACATAGAACCAGCTCGATTGCAAAGTCCTCCCCAATTACAAACTCAAATAATTGTACCACAATTGAACTTACCAAGAGAAAATGGTGAATGTTTTGAAATGTAGTGAATGTGTTTTTTATTTTTTTTGTCATGCTTTTTATGTTCGTTTGGGATTCTAGGAGTCACTGGATTTTAAAAAAATTATTATTTCAAAAGGAATTTATATCTTTTTCACCCAGTGACTCCAAAAATTCCCTATCGTTTCTCTCCGAAAAATTCTCAATTTCTAGGAACTGCCGATTCTGCAGCTGTAGAAACCCCATCGACACCAGTAGTCGCGGCGAGCACAACAGTTGGCTCATCGGAGCCAATAAATCTAACAAATAATGCGCCAGTTATACTTGTTCTTGGTGCACCTGGATCGCAGAAAAATGATATTGGACGACGAATTGCTCAAAAATATGATGGTTTCACATTGCTTTCAATGGGTGATATTTTGAGGAAAAAAGTGGCGAGCGAGAAAAATGATCAACTTTGGGAGAAAGTTGGCACAAAAATGGATAATGGAGAAAGTATTGCAACTGTAAGTTGTAAGAAATTGGGTAAAATGTCTAAATTTGATAATTTTTAAGAAAGTTTGTCGATCTGTGTTATTCGAGGAGCTCGAATCTCGAGGGAATTCTTGGGGATATGTGATTGAGGGCTATCCAAAAACTCCAGATCAACTAACTGATGTAGAAATGACACTTCAAAGAATAGATCTTGCACTTCTGATTGATTGTACTGAACAGTTTTGTTTGAGTGTGATTGAGCAGAGAAATCCAGATAATAGACGACCAGGTAGGTCAAAAAGCCCTAAAACTCAAGATCTTATGAATTTCCTGTTTTTTTTATTTGAAAATAATTCACTTTCCCATTTCTCAAGTTGAGAATGAATCAAAATCATTCAAATTCCAGATGATACAACTGAACATGTGAAATCACGAATGGAATTTTTCAAAAAGAATACACTTCCTATGCTGAAATCTCTTGATGAACGCGGAAAACTTCGAGTGGTGAGAGTTGCGCATGATACGGTATGCTTTGTTGTCATTCTATCTGTGATTTCATTCTTTGATTCAATATTTTTGAAAATTTTCTAGGTTTTTCTAGTAGAAGTTTTTCAAAATTCAACCATTAGATCGACTATATCGAAAAAAAATTCCTCATGTTCATTTTGGAAACTGTTTCCTTCAGATTTCAAAACTCTAGTTGATAGCCTCTTCAAATTGATTGTATTTATTCCAACTTTTAGCATGATTTTTCATTGTGAATCTGTGATTTTACTTCTTTTTTTAAACCATTTTTCAAATCACTTTTCAAAATTACGCACGATGTTTTGTTGTTCTTCACACTTCTGCTCTTAAAACCAAAAAAAACCCTGAAATTTTTCTTCAATTTCTATATTCCCAGGTTGATGGAGATTCCGATCCGGATACAGTTTTCAAGGAAGTCACACAAGTAATCGATACTGTTTTGTATATTGAAGGTATTTTTTGATTTTAAAAGTAGCAATCATATCGATAAGTTTTTTTGTAGATGATGGAGAAGGTGCAAGTCTTGGAGAGTCGAAAAAAGGAGCATTAGAATCGTCAACAAATTCATCATCAGTAAATTAAAATAAATCAGATAATTAAAAATAAAATAAAATAAAATACGTAACAAAAACAAAAAAAAATAAAGAAAAAATATTATTCTTATAATTATTATTATGATTCCTGAATAAATGATTGATTTCATCGCGAATTCATGCTAACCATATCAGATGCTTCAAAATCTGGATTTGCGTCCCCAATTCGATCCAATTCATGCATTCTGAGTTCCTCATTAGCTATATCAATTTGTTGACGGCGGTTATTCCTAAAAAAAAATGTGTGTTTTTTTTCGAAAAATAAAAATCGAATTAATGTTTTTATTTTCATCAAAAAAATTTTTGTGTATAATTTATTCATAAACATCTTCTTTCTAGCTTTATTTGCTTCAAAAATTTTCTTTTTATGTATTTTTCAAACTTTTTTTTAATACATACTAACCTCAAATTTTTGCCATGTTCATTTTTTCTGGTTTGAAGAATTACAACGACTGAAGCGGTTAGGACAGCAATCTGAAAAGTTTTGAAATTTGAATATTCAAAAATTTTTTTTAGTTAATTTACCTCCGCAATTAGTAGAAGTGAAGTTACCCAATTAACAAGAATCACATGATGACTCAAATATTCGCTGAACTTTTTGTGGCATCCCTGAAACATTATTTTAATTTTAAATATGTTATATTTATTTTTTTAAATTCCACATTTTTGATTTCATTGTTTTTTTTTCAACAAAATTATCAAGAGATATATTTTCTTATCATTTTATCTTATTGATTCATGTTTTCTCCTCTCTTCCGTTATTTCATTTCTCCACAAAAATTTTTCTCAAAAGCAAAAAAAAATCATATTTTACTCACATCTTGGTAAAATATTTCTGGCTGATCGGCCATTTTCCCACAATTTTCAATGCTATGATCGTCGTCGTTGAAATGTTTTTCGGTGTCACAACAACTGTCGGGCACAAATTTGTTGGATGGCCATTGAACCGAATAGAACCAATCTGATAATGAATCGACGCCACAACATTTGAGCTGCAAAATGTTTGATTTTTGGTTGGTTTTTGAGAGTTTCGTGGTTATCAAAACAAAGGTACAGTATATTTATCTTTTTTTAGTGAATCGAGGTGTGACTGATTTTTTTTTGCTTTAGGGGATTGTTGATCTTAAGACTTGGGGTTTGATATGATTCTGGAATTCATTTCTGGACATCATGCAGTATTTGTTTCTTGTTATTTCAGGTATTGTGAAAATATTTTAATTTCTAATTGTTATGTACATATGTTTTTATACTAAAAATTCATTTATAGAAATTTGATTCAAAACAAGACCTTTCAAATTATTTTTCATAAATTGTTTTTGAAAAAAATTTTCTCAATTCAAATTCTCTTTTAGTTCTCGAAAACCTGAAAATCTTCTTTTTCGTAAAATGTTCGAATCGTTTCATTTTTAAACAACTTTTCAGAATTTCAATTACAAAAAGTGATTTTTCCATTTCTTGTTTCCAAAAGAATCATCTAATGTTTATTTTCTTCGAGCAAATGCTCAACATATCTTCATGATTCTTATGTATCCATTAATCAAACCGCCAGTAAATTTGCACATTACTTTGAGTGATATTTCAAATGAGCTTGAAAAAAATTTGTAGCTCAAAAAAAACTCACTTCAGATTGCAAATGATCCCATGTGAATTTCAATTGAATTTGTTTTCCGATTTTTGTCACAACATGAGTTGTATTTATATTGCGTAATAAATCTAACCGTAAGTGCTCTTTGGCGTTTTCCTGAAAACGTAAAAAAACGTTTATTGTCGAAAAAAAGTGGGTTAGAACTCACATTATGAAATAGACCAGTGATTCGAGTAGCTCCATGAATAAATATCAATAAGGCGACAAATGCAACAAACTGTTTTGGAAAAAAAATTGAATTAGGTTTGTTGGAAAATAGAAGAAAAATTATATGAATTTCGAAATTTGGACGCTTAGCGTAACTCCAAAAATGATGTGATAGTGGTTTTCAATCAATATTTTGACCTCAACATTCTAAAATAAACTCACTGAATACAAGAGGTATTTATTTCTCCAGCCAACGGCAAAAAATCCAATAAGTGAAATTATGAAAATCGAGGTACCCGTAAAAACACATAATCCTGCGGCTGATAAAGCTGAGTAAGAGGCTGGTGTAAGTTCGATGAAATCGTTTCGAGAAAGGTATAACCATAAACCGACGACTAATGACGCGGCTCCAAATGCCTATAAAAATACATATATTTTATTTCAGAACACTTAGAAAAAAGCAACTTACCAAAAATATTATGTTAGTTATATAAAAAACGATGAGATGTTTTTGTTCATTTTGCAACCCAGGAATGCAAATGTGCATTTTTCTTTACATTAGGCAATCTGAAAAAAATAATATTTTAGAACTCTATAGACCCCCTTAAAAAACGAAAAAGAAAAATTTCTCAATAAAAGAATTTCACAAAAAAGTGTCTAATTCACCAGGGACTTATTCCAACTTTCTTTTCTTGTTTTTTTCTATCATTTCAGACCTAAAATTCGCATCTCATTTCTTTTCTCAAAACCCCAACAAAAAAATGGCATATACTCTGCGTGTCTATCGTGCGGTTTTTGTTGTACATGAAACTCTTCTTCTCTGTGTACTAGTGTGCGAGATACCGTACTCTCTTGATTCATTGTGCTATTTCTTTCCGATATGTCGATTGGTTGAATGGGAGAGTTGAAACGGGGTGTTGTAGAGTAGAGAAAAGAAAGATATAAAGATGATGATGATGATGAGTGTGGAAAAAAGGGGAAGATGGAGGAGGGTGAGGACGGCCAAAAACTCACCAAAATACACACAACACACATACACTCACATACAAGAAAGACGACGCGTTTTTTCTCGCGAAAAACGCTCTTTTCTGGTAATATAGTGAGAAGAGTTTGGAGGGTACGATAGAAAAAGAGACACAAAACGATGAAGAAGAACAAGAAGATGGAAGAGAACAGAACAGGGAAAAGAAAAACGAAGAAGAAGAAGAAAAATAGAAAGAAGAAGAAGAAGAACGGGTGGGTGACATAGGCGATTACCTCACATATATACACACTGTTCATCTTTTAATTATTTTCCCAATAAATATATATGTATATGTTTTTATTTTCATTTCCATAAGTCACATGTGTCTTTTTCGGAAACTCCAACTCTTCTAAAAATCAAAAAATCTCTTTTTTCACAGTATGTAATTTACCACCCCAAATCTCTTTCTGAAGTTTTTTTCTGGTAGATCAAAAATATTTCTCTCTTTTTTTATTGATGTTCATAAATTTCAGTTTTAACTCCGATATACACAGTGTGTAATTTACTATCCCAAATCTCTTGACCCCTGAATTTTTGAAATTTCTTCTGGTAGATCAAAAATTTTACTCTCTAATTTCGTTGATGTTTGTCAATTTCATTTTCAACTCCAAGCTAGACCTCAAACTATTCTAAAATTTTTCTGGTAGATCAAAAATATTTTTCTCTCAATTTTTAAGTGTGACGTTAAATTTTGTTGATTTCAACTCATTTCCTGAAATTGTTCAGGTTTGAAAAAGTGCGGGACAATTTTTGGCTAGTAAATGACACACTGTGTTCCTCGAAATTTAGTGTCTCATTCTGAAAAGGACTTTGCATATATCCTCAAGAGGTCACTTTTTTGGATTCATTCAAAACAGGACCCGGAAATAGCTTTTTTCTCAATTTTTTATAATATTTAAGTGCCTCAAATCTCTGAAAAAAAAATGCTCGTTTTTTTCACTGTAGAAAATTTCATTTTAATTTTCGAGATCCTCCTTTGAAAAAAAAATTCCAGCTTTCCCTCATTTATTTTCCAAATTTTCAAAAATTTATATCTGATTATTTTTTGTTATAATCCGTTAAGAATTTTCGGGACATTTCCACTGTTGTTGATTATATTTTATTGCTATTTTTTGTGGAAAAAAGCTTATATATTTTATGCGAGGATTAGGTCTTCAAACTTTTTTTTCCTTCTTTCTTTCCCCTTTTTCTTGCTCATTTTCAGTCTGTCTGAAAATTGATGCTTTTCGCATTTTTTGACTAACTAAATTTGAGAAAAAGGCCATCATTTTTATGTGTTTCTATGTACAAAAGCTGGATGCTTTCAGAAAGCTTTTTTATTTACTATGTAGGTTTTTTTGGTACAATTTTTCGATTCTCTTGAGATTTTTTGTTTTGAGAATTCTTACCAATTAAACTTTAAGTTCAGCATAATATTTATCAAATATCAAATACCGTAGTTCAGAGAATTTTGCTTTCTGTTCGTACTATATAAAAAAATTGTATTCAACAAAATTTGAATTGAACATAAATCTTGAGCCTCGTTTCTCTTTTTTGTGTAAATTAGTCGACATTCATTAGAATCTTTTTTAGTTAAACTAATTGTTTCAACTATGAATGCACTTTTTTTCGAAAATATATGAGACAGCGTGTTTTTTGAATTTAAAAATATATTCATATTATTTTTTAATTTTCTAGTGTATGCTTTTTTCCAAATGCAAGAATTGGAGATCTATGAAATATTTCGTCAACAAAAATTGAACTCTTGATGATTTTCAAAAGCTGATGAATTCACCAAAAATTGAGATAAGAAATGTGTTCATAGGGAACTTTTTTTGAACAAACTTGAAAACTTGCAGACATTTCCTATTCATAGTAAATTTTTTGGTGAAAAATTTGCACTTTTTCATAAAAAAAATTCAGGAAGTTCAAAAAAGAAGTTGTTGATTTTTAAAAATGAATTTTTTAGGTTATTATTTCGATGTTTCGAATTAATTCAAAAAACATTTTCATTTTTTGCAAAAAAAATATTATTTCTTAATTTTATTAAACCAAGTTATAAATTGTACATCTCTGGATATTCAAGTTTAGTCTTCTTCTTTGAGTTATGAAATTATATGTTTGAGATATTTCGAAATATAGCCATTTTAGGAAAGCTCAAACATCTCAAGTTGAACAGCCTAACACAAAGAAATATAAAGTGCACAATGTTCGTTTTTTATTAATTTCCGATTTTCGAAAATCATTATTTTATATCTGATAATATCTTTTTGTTAAAAATTCCTCAATAATATTATTTTTTTCTAAATAACCGAAACCTTTCTTTTTTCTCGCTAAAAGTCGAAATAAAACGAAAAAAGGGTGTTATAATTTTGGTCATAAAATTTTATTTCCTTTTCCACTACACAGTAGTGCGGTGCGATTTGGATTTTTCTCCTTTCTTTTTGTTCCTTCGGTTTTGAAAAAATAGGAAAAAAAAATTAAATGAGAATTCAACCAAGCACTTTCTAATTCCCCCAAAAAAGACAAAAATGTTGGAAAGAATGTTCATGAATTTTTGATGAAATCCGAATAGTCGAATTGTGTTCATGCAAAAAATGAACATAGAAAAAGTGGTCGTGTTATCTGTTCTCTGAAGCTTTTTGATTTATGTTTCCACTAAAATATTTCTTCACATTACGGATTCAAAAAATTTACGATTTATGTTTTATCTTTTTTCTTATGAGTTGAAAAATGATGAAATATTTCAATATTATTTCCCATTCTTTTATTTTTCACGAAGTCAAATCCCCTTTTGGCTTTGATATTTTTCCTGACTTTTTTTTTGAAACTTTGTACTTTTGGAGAACAAAAGAAAGTATTTTTGACAACTATTGTAAATCACTCATGAGTCAGTTCTTTGGCAGAAGTCTGTTTTTCGGCGATGGAAAAATTTGAAATATCGGTTTTTAAATTTATCTATGGTTACTCACATGCATTGAATGTGAATAAAAATTAGATGATCCGAAATTTCGAGCCTATAAGAATATAACACAAATTTCCAGCCAACTGAGATGTAAATTTTTTGTACGTGACTATAATAGTTCATGTATTCTTTGAACATATAATCGGATTTCAAAACGTTGGGCTCCTAAATTAAATTAACAAATTAATGAATCTTCAAAAAATCCATTTCAGATTAAATACTTTGAAACGTTGTCACTTATTATCTTTGATAACTTTTGATCTTTTGAGAAAATCAATGATTTTTTTACATGTACCTTTTTAATGAATTTTAACAAGTTTGGTTAACATCCAAGAACTTTTTTCACTTTAAATTTCTAAATTAATTGCTACTGAAAACTTAACAGGAAAATCTGATTCGAGATTGATCAAAAATCAAACAAAATTCTGAAAAAGTCTGAGCATTAGTCTAAAATGATTTTAAAATTCAAGCAAATAGGTTTCCTCCAGTCTTCATTTGAATTTTTTGAAATCAAGAATTATCCAAGTTTTGAAATAGTCAAGATCTTTCGAGCATTCATAATTTTAAATTTTTATAGTTCCTGTCCTATTAACACTTTTCTGGGCTGTAAAAGTTTCAAACTATGGATTTCTGGAATTTTGATTACTATTGAAAACAAATCTTCAGCCTTTGAACAAGTTGTTTAATCAACTTTTTCGATAAAAACTATTTTTTCCCACCTTACATTAGAAAGCGAAAAAATCCAAGTTTTCAAAAAAGCTTGAAAAACAGTGAGTCCTCAAAATTTTCTTTTTTTTTACAAAGTCAAAGTTGATCTTGCTAATTTGCAACAATACCATACAATACAAAATATCCAGTTACATATTAGAACAGAAGTTTGTTCCTCAAATCTGCTAAATAGGCTGAATAGCAGAAGGGAGTGCGATTGCGCAATTTTTGTCTGTGACCTTGTGCGAATAGGCTCACTATTCTTTCTTTTTCGATATTTCTACTTATTCACGCCAAATAATTTGTTGATAAATATCATTTTTAGAAATTTTGAAATTATTTTGGAACAAAAATTCTATTAAAAAAGAAGGTCCCCCTTTGCAGAAGAGCAAACAATTTGCAAGTTTGTACTATGCGCTTTGAGACAAATTGACCATTGATTTAGTTGTCATAAGACAAAGTGTACGGTAGGTTTTCTTTTTCTTTTTTATTTTTCTTCTATCCCTTTCTTCTACATATTATACATATATATTTTATTTTTATTTTAGTTTTTTCTTCTTCTTCCTTTCCAAAATACTGTAAATTCAGTGGTGATATCTATCAATCTAAAACCATTTTCTGTTGTGTTCGTGTTCGAAACTCGTTTTGTTGTCCAGAATAGAATAGAATAGAACAACTTGTCGAATTAACACACACGAAAAAATAATAGTTTCGCCAATTATTGATTTCTGTGTCTCTATATTCTATGTGTATATGTGTGTGTGTGTGTCCGAGAAAAAATCTGTAGAGCGGGCAAGACACGGGCGATATATAAATATAATATTTATTTTGCGACTTGGTCGAGTTTGTTTGGAGTTTGAATCTTTTAGAAATTTGCTTTCCTTTTATTTTTCGCCATGAATTTGTATATATTTATTATTGAAGTCTCCAGAAATCATATTTCAACATTATACCGCCGTGTGTGTGTGCTTTATCTTTTTTATTGAAAAAAAGTTGTTATCTTTTTTTGTGCCGGAATTTTTTCTTATTTTTCGCTTTTGTTTCAATTGTTTCTATCTTGCCTATGGTTAGTTTACATTTATTTTCTCCAAAAAAAACTTGGCTTTCGTCGAAAAATAAAACAAAACATATGCTAGAAAAAACATGAAAAAATATTTTTTTTCATAGTTCATTCAAAACCAGGTCATGCGTAAACGTTCTTCTCTTTTTCAACTGTCTCTCCGCTGTTTCATGCACGCCACTTGAAAAATGAAATCACACACACACACACACACACACACACACACACACACACACACACACACATATTTTCCTCGCGCGTATACATAAAACCGCACAAAAATATCATAATTTCTGTGCGGATAGTTTGGCCCTTGTTGGTTGGATTGGTGTGAAACACCCAGGTGTTTGTTTGTCGACGTATCGATTTTTTTTGTGTGTGTGTTGTCTTGTGCTGTTGGGAAGGAGAAGGGAAGAGGAGGGAGAAGAGAGCGGGCGAACAAGAAGACGACGCTTATAATTTTCGGTAATTGCCTTTTTTTTTTTGACTGGAGGATGGAGAAAAGAAGACGATTTTGCTGGGTTTTTAGGATTTTCTGCTCTTTTCTCTTTTTGTTTTATACTTTTTCTTTTTTTTATTATGACTTATTTCACTTCAAATCAAATTATGAACATGAACTTTAGACTTTTTCCTTTTCCTTTTCCTCTTGTCCGATGAAAAAAAAGTTTATACCCTCTATATTTTTTTGTGTCAGAAATACGATATGATATGTATAATAATATTATATCAAATTTCAATACATGATATTTTTGAAAAAGTTTTATTTTTTTAAAGCAAAATTTCTCGGGTATCAAAAAAATCAAAACCGTTTTCTACATATAATTTTTGTCATATTTTTATTGTATATATATTTCTTACCGATGGGGGGAAAACTGGATGCGCAGCAAGAATGAAGACGTTTTGACAATCTCTCGTATTTCTCTCTTGCATTTCCTCAATCCCTCGACTTTTGTATTATTTCTTCTTTCCATCTTCTTCTCCTCCTTCTCCCCCATTTTTCCTTCTTTTTTCTTCTTTCTTCTTCTCCTTTTCTTTTTTTTTTTGTTATATTCCTTGCTTCCCTCATTTTGATTGATTTTTTCGTCGTTTTTAACAAAACAAATAGGATGATTATTAATATCATTTTGTTGCAGTTGGGACCCAAAGAACCATGTCTACGAGTTATCCAACTTCAACAAATGGCGTGCCTTCAATGCCTTCTCCCTATTCTTCAGCCGGACCTTCTTATCATCCACCGTATGGCGGTTTTCAGCAAATGGATCAGTTCCAGGTATGTTTTTTTGGGAAAAAAGTTTTTCATAAATGCTTTTTTCGAGGATTAGTGCAATATTGAATTATTAATCCTTTTATTATTCATGAATTTTCAAAGGGCATCACATTTTTTCTTGTTTTTTTTTGAGATAGACATTTTTTAATAACAAAAAAATGTTTCAGGGTATGTATCCACCAACGTCGAATTCCTCATTCAATAATTCTATGAATGGAGTTCCACCGCTTGGCGGTCCACATCAATCAATGCATCAACCGCAACCACAGCAAAATCAACAGCAACCTCATCCTTCCCAGCAACAGCAAATGAATGGAAATGCAAAACATCCATCACAAATGAATCCCTATGATAATCGTATTCCAAATAATTATATGAGTTATCCCCCTCGATCGCAGCCACAAGCAGCTTCACAGATTCCACCTCAACAACATCAGCAACAACAAATGCAGCAACATCCTAATCAACATCAACAAATGAATAATAGTATGATATCATCTTCCAACGGACATCCAAATATGATGGGTTTCCCCGGCCCACCAAATTCGCAACTCTCTTCTGGCACATATCCCCCACCAAATGATCAATATCGAATGCAGCCGATTGGTGCGCCTATGCAGCCACCAATGCAACCGCCGCATAATCCATCTCAACAATCTCTGCAACAACAGCAAAGTTTGCAAAATCATCAGCAAATGGGACATCCTTCGCAAATGCAGCAACAACATCCTGGACAACCATATCCAAATCAGCAACAACAGCAATCACAACAAAAGCAAATGTTGCCACCGCAACAACCAATGCGAACACCTTCGCAACAACCAATGACACCGCAACAACATCAATTGAATATTTCTAGTCCGATGCAGCAACAAACTATGCGACCTCCATCGAATTCTCAACAGCAACAAGCTCAACAGGTAAAACTTACACATTTATTTCAGACGCTAGGGATCACTAAACCTCACAGCTTCAATTAACTTTTCTCTAGATTTATTTCCCCCAAAAATTGAGCTTCTCGCTCCACTGCGCAACCTTTTTTCTACAAAGCTAATTTTCTTGAAAAATAATTTTTCACTCAAGATTTTTTACATTTCCCGCAGAGCTGGTTGAATATTTGGAATCTCTGGAGTTCCAATTTCATTTTCGATTTTATTTTTTGGAATTTAGAAATTCCTGAATAATTTTTCGATAGTTCGGAATTTGGGAAAGTTTAGATTTCGGAAGCGCTTCCTAAAAACCTCGATTTTCGAAATTCCGATAGTCCGACTTTCAACAACCCTCCAAATTTTCAGTCATATCATCAACCGGGAAGTATGCCACCGCCAATGATGCCCGCTCCCAATTCCCAACTGAACATGTTCCAAAAACAAAACTCACTTCAAAATCAACACCAACCACATCCGAATCAGCAACATCCACATCCAATGCCTTCACCATCTTTCGCGGTTCCCAGAGAATTTACGCCAATTCCATCGCCAAGATTTGTCGAAAAAGTGCCGTCACCTCCAAGATTGGATACACCCTTCACAACTGTGACGCATTATGATATGCCAGCGGCTATGGTGCATATGAGAGATCAATTTAAAGTGAGTTTGTCTGAAAATATGCTGAAATTCTTTATAAAATAATTCAAAACTAACCTTGTTTTTTTCAGCGCATCAATCCGTCCGTGGAAAGGTATTATGGGCGAAGCAAGCAAAAATTACGAATGGCATATCCGGCTGGAAAATCGGTAAGGTTTTGTTATATTTTCGAAGAAAAAAAAAAAGAGAAATTGTGAAAAATAACGCTAATTTTATTGAAAAAGTGTGTTTTTATCAGCCATGTATCCATAGTAACAAGTTTTTCAACATAACAATACCTAATTATAAAATACCGAATTTCAGACGTCAGCAGCTGTTGAGCCAGCCACATTTGGATTTTTGCGAGAGACAAAATATTATCATGAAAGATTTGAACGACGACCACTTCAACAAATGGTTCCGCCATCGTTGAATCGATCGCAGTCGATGCAAATGAGCTCGACAATGTCGCCATCGTTTCCAATGCATCAACCATCCACGTCGTCAGGAAAACCACCTGCCAAAAAAGCAAGAAGTGGTGAGTTTTTGTTTTGTTTTTGGAAATCTGGAGATGTATTCAAAAAAAGCGTGGGAAAAAATTCAAAAATAAATATCGTAAAGTCATCTAGTAAACTATCAATATAAAAAACAAAAGTAGAATCAATTGTGTTTTTGAATAGAAAAATCTTCAAAATTCAAAAAATTCCCGCTAGGTTAAAATTTCTAAAGAATTTGAAAAGCCTTCTTTTTTTGAGCCAAAATTCTCGATTTTAATTTGAAAATGATAATATTTTATATGTTGAGCCTTTATTGATTACTGTATTCAAATTATACTACATATTTTTTGAGCCAACTTTTTTTTCAGTCAAGTATTTGTAAAACTGGAAAATCTTCCAGTTTTACAAATCCTTCTTTTACGAGCCAAAATTCTTGAACATGATGAAAGATTTTTATAATACAATTTTCAGCTTCGGATGCTCACGACGAGAGCTCATCATTCATGAACTCGATGCAACACCAACAAATGATGCATCAAAAACCACCAAACGGTATGCAACAAATGAGATATCCAGACATGGACCATCCAATGCATCAACTCCCACATTCTTCCAATCAACAACCTCCCCACCCACAAATGCAACAGAATCCTCAGCAACAAAATCCACAACAAATGAACACACCACATTTCAATGTTCCAATGCATTCAGCTCCCTCAACTAGCCAAGGTGGACGAGGTCGTCAACAAGCGCAACATCAGATGCAAGCACCTCAAATGCAACCGCCGCAAATGCATCCGCCTCAAATGCAGCCACCTCAAATGACAGCTCAACAGCAGCAGCATATGCAGCAACATCGAATGCCGCCACCTCAAGTTCCACAAACATCTCAACAATCTCAACATCCGCAGCAACAACAACATATTCCGAATATGATGATGATGAATATTAATGATGGTTAGTTTTTTGAGACTTCAATTTTCAGTTCTTAAAAGCGTTGACATAATTTTTATTGAAGAGAACTACGGTTTCAAAGTTAATAGACTATTTTTTCATATATTAAATTTTAGGCTTTCAAAAAAAAACAAAAAAAACTAACGCAAAGATCTTTGAACCCTTAATTTTTCTGCACTTTTATACAGCATCTTTGTGCTATTTTTAGACACAAATCCAACCCCAATTAAAAAATTACACAAAAAGCGTTTTGAAAAATAAATAAAATGAACGTCTTACAATTCATTGATAAATACAAGCCTGTAAAAATCAATCAATTTTATGGGAAATATTTGTTATCTTTTGGTTTTTTTCCAGAATATTTTCAAGAACCATAAATTTTTTTAGACATTTTTCTAAAAGAAAGTTTTTTCCAGGCCGGTATCTCCCACAAAACGGACATTCGATGGATCATCAACATCTTCCACAGCAACAGCAACAACAAGCACAACCCCCACAACATCAGCCACAAAACCATATGCATGTGAGTTTTTTATCAAAAGCTAAATTTTTAAAATCACTTTCAAAAAAAAGCAAAAATAAATTCTGATTTTTCAGCACATGCCAAATTTGGGAGGCGATCAATCGATGGGAATGTTGAGAAATGATTATCCAATGGCACAGCTGGATTCGATTTGTCCAGGATGTTCACGTCCAGTTATGCCAAGCTCTCAAACTCTTAGCTGCATGTACAGTGAATGCAAGCACGTTTATCATAAGGTTAGTTAGCGAGATTCTGAAATTTTCATAATTTTCATTCAAACCTGTTTCCAGGAATGCACCGGATTGTCGCCAACTGCTCTCAGCCATTTGGAGCAAGAAGCTGGAGCTGCTCGATGGGTGTGTCCACCGTGTGCACCAATGATGAAACAACGCGAAAACAACGTGTTCAATAACATCTAATTTTACTAAATCAAAATGATTCATATTTTCAAGTGTCATGATTGCTGAATACTATTTTCTTTTTTTTGTCTGAAATCTTTACAATAGTTCATTTTTGCCTTTCTAGAAAAACCTTGTCTGTGTTGATGTTTTCATCCCATTTTTATTATTATCATAATGTTGCTGTTTGATATAACCATTTGCTTCCAGAAAATTATAGTTATTGTTTTTGGTAGGCATGATTTATCCATATACAAAAAAAATGTTGAGACCATAAAACGTACAAAATTACTTATTAGTTTGCTCTCCTTGTTCTCTAGTTTACCCCCATATAAATTACTTGCTTTTTTATTTATTATTATCATTATTATTATCATTACGATTGTTTTTAACTGAAATCGGAAAATTTCAACAACAAAATCGTTTCTTCTGTAAAGCAATCATTATTGTCTTCTTCTTCTCCCCTAACATTTTGACCCGTTTTTGATATGTGTCTTTTTGTTTTCAGTGGCAATACTGACTCACTACCAGTAACGTGTAAATTTTTTGTTAGATTGTGAAAAATATCAATTCGACTCTTTTTTTTTCAAATTTCATTTTTTTCCTTCAATTATTTTTTGTCTTGAAATACACATAAAAATTATTATGATTTGCCCGTTTTATCAAAAATCAATTGCAAAAGGGAAAAATATATATAATGTGAAAATGACAAAACGCATCAATGATTTGTGATTGAGATAATATGGTTCAAAAACTTTTTGTTTTCATTTTGTTTTTCTTCTAAACTTTTTTCAGTTTCAGCAAATAAGAAAAACAAATCTCACATGATCCCTGGAAATAAATAAACCTTGAAGATTAGAACTACAAAAAATTGTGACTTATCAAAAAAAATCCCTTTTTTATTTATTTTTCGTTCTAGAAATTTCCCCCAAATTTTTTTTATGATAATAGTTTTTTTTCTCAATCTCCAAAACATCTTTCGCAATAATATTCAAATTTCTTTTTTTTTATAAAATCGAACAGATGTAGAATGAGAGACAATATCATTTTTTGTCCACATTGGCCACGTTTTTCCTATTTTTCTGTTCAAAATATATTTATTTTTTATATATATATATATGTTTTTTTCTGTCTGTTGCACGGATGTTTATCCACCTCAAACCATAAGCTGCTTTTCGATAAAAAAATATTTTCAAATTATTTTAATTAGTGTTTTTGTTGCCCTTGACTACTAAAACCCATTGTCATCCTAGATATTTGTTAATATCATTCATTCTCCACTTTTTTTTCGACTCTGATTCATAATTTTAGGTTTTCGAATATATATATATACATATATATATGTAGTACATAATTTTTTTCAGTATTTTTTCTGCAGAAAAATGGATACTCCAGTGTTGAAAAAGGAGCGAACAGCAAAACGAGTGCGCTTTGAGGACAATTCAAATTGGGATCATTTGGTGAGTTTTTTTTGTTTTGAAAAAAAACGTGACTGTTTGCTAGAGGGAAAGATGATCAAAAATCTAGGATTTTCAAAGTGATTATTATGATTTTCTGAAAATCAGAAAATTGTTTTTTTTCCGAATGAATTAATTTTTGGTCTACTAAAAAAACTTTTTTTTTGTTAATTTATACATAATGTATCTTTGATAAATCAAAGAATTTATTTGTGCCATTTCATTTTATTTTTCAAATAATTGTTAGTTTCATTAAAGTTTGAAAAACGTGACTAACATTAAGTTTTGTTTTTTTAAAGCTTAAATTAGTTATAAAATTTTCGAAAGAGGAATTTTTATTTTTTATGAAAACTTGAACTCATAAAAAATTTTTCTTGACAAATTGAATTATTCACATTCAGAAAGAGTATGAAAATCAACCAAAGCGAAATCACAAGCGTTACCGGCAAGAAAGCAAACCTGAAAACATCACTCTCTCCGAGCAACCAGAAAACAACAACACCACAAAGACAACAGTTGAGAAAAACGAAGAACCAATTAATGAAAAATTTAAAGACATGAAAATCAATCAATAGGTTTTTCTAAATATTATATTCAAAATTGTTTATGTATATAAATTGTGATTGTTTAATGAACTTTTAATTTTTGGATTGAACTTTTGGACGATTCTCAATCTCAATTTGTTTTCCATCATTGATTTCTGGATTCTTCTTGGTTTCATGAACGGCATCTGTGTTTCTTTTGAAACGAATTTCGATTGTCTGAAATTTGTGTGGAAAATAAAGAATCAAAAGAAGACTATTTGAATTACCCCATCACTTTTTTCTTTTTGTTGGGATGTTTGAGATGGTCTATTTGGAAGTGGAAGTTTTGCACCATCATTGATCTCATTTGATTTTTTAATTTCTTGCAAGTCTCCTTGACGTTTGGCACGCAAGAGCTAAAATTAAATTTTTTTTAAAAAGTTTTTATTGATACATAAAAACACACTTGTGTTACAGCTACTTGCCCATCAGCCATTCGCTTTGCCTGAAAATTTTTGTGAAAGGAATGTTTGAAAATATTTTGATTACCCGTGGAATATGAATTTCAGTTCCAAGTGTCATATTCTTCTTGTCATTTTCTTCATCCTTCTCATCGCTTTTTTCTTCGCTACTTTCCTCATCACGTTCCTTTTTCTTTTCTTCTTGTCTTTCAACCAAAGCATGAACTGAAAACTTTCCAGAATTTTATGTAGAAAAAACATTATTTACCTTCAGAAAACATTTTCACTTTAGACAACATGAAATAAAAATAATTGCCTTTCAAAAATCTCACCTCTTTCCTGTTTTTCCTTTTCACGTTCCTTTTGATCGTCAAGTTTTCCACCTTCATTTTCACGCTCTTCTAAAGGTGAATCTTCTTGACGTTGCTTCTTTTTCTTGCGATCTCTGGCAGCATCCGATGGTGAGAAGAAGCTCACCAATAAAATGGTGATCAATAATATGGAGAGAACTTTCATTTCAGCGACAGAATCGATGAAAATGAAGTTGTTGGCAAAAGATTGTTGGATAACAACAGTTGTTTCGGACTGACATTTGATGTGACGATGATAAAATAACATGAGAATATTGACTCATTTCAGAAAACAAACACAAAGAAAAGAGCGATGAAGTTTGGTTTTTTGATATTAATTTTTTAGGTATTTGAAGATTGGATTAGAAACTTCAACATCAAGAACGAACATTTTATCGAGTTAGAAAAGTTTCGAAATATCATAACGTTATAAATTTGCCAGGTAACGTCGGAACTATAATAGGAGGTTATAATGAAGGAATTTCACTTTCAAAAAATCAGGAACCTCGATTACATAAGTAAACTTCATGTTTTCAATTTGTGATCAACTTTGAAATTTTTAAAGTCATGGCTTGCAGATTTCAATTTTTCGAAAAATCTCCTGAAATTTTGCACGAACCTTGTAATCGACCTTCCTGAACCACCCTATGCTACTAAATTGTCATGAAAATTATTTTGAAAGTGAATTCTGACCGTCCAAAATCCCGATTTTCTGAAATGATCGAACTTTGACACGTCATAGCTTATGTTAGGAGTTGAGTTCTGCAATTTTAGACGACAAACTACTGGAAAACTACTAGAAAACGTATATTTTTTTCAAATCTAGAGTGAAAGCTGAAACAGTTCCCTTGCAAAACCTAAGACGTTATTACAATCTTTTTGTCAAGAAGTATTAATTTTTCTAACAAGTTTCATTTAAATTCAAATATTTTTCATGTTTTGATATTTGGTTAGAATATAAGAAATTCTAGGTTTTTTTAATCTTGAGAGAACATTTCTGGAGTCAGAGAATTGAATTGTGATGTTCTTCCAGAGTTTTGTTGCGTTTCCTAACTTTTTTAATCTTCTGATTCTAAAAGAGAACATATATATATTCTATTCTTACATGTTTTGTTTGTTTACCATTCAAAATTTCGAAATTCACAAAAAGTTCCAGAATATCAGATACACAAAAATTAGCAGTTTGCTTGATTTTCAGACATTCCTTTTTCAATATTAGGGGTCCCCAATTTATCACAACTTATTTTCCATTCAATTATATATCATCTCATAACCCATCAACATCAATAAAAAAGTGCGTATTCTTTTTCATTACACCACAACGAAGAAAAAAATCCTGCAAGTAAAACAAAAATTGTGTCAACGGTTCACAATTCACCAGATGCTGTCCCCTTCTATCTTTATATTATTCTACATACATATATCCACGAACAAGGCCAGCGAAACAGAATGCAAATAAGATAAACGCAGACAAATCGTTGCAAGACCAATAGGAACAGCAAGTTTGCTGTGTTGAGAAACGAAATAGACGCAGAGAAAAAAAGAAGAAGAAAACGAACAGAAGAAAAGTGTGTGACGTGGACGATTGTGTGGTTTAGTTGGAGAACAAGAGTAGTTTTTTGGCTTATTATTATTTGTGATTATTATTTTATTTGTGGCATTGTTTCGCGCAATTAGTCAGCAGCTATGAATATCTTCCGTCTTTCGGCTGATTTGGCACATTTGGTGGCTATTGTTGTGTTGATGCTCAAAATATGGAAATCGAGAAGCTGTGAAGGTTAGCTTTTGAATAAAAATTTTAGAATGAAAAAAATCGTTTTTCAGGAATTTCTGGAAAATCGCAAATCCTTTTTGCGACTGTTTTCATTGCTAGATATTTGGATCTCTTCACCAATTTCTACTCACTTTACAACACTGCAATGAAGGTTAGTAAATTATTGATTTTCTTGACAAGAGAAAATGCGCCAAATTGCAGGTGTTTTTCCTCGCTTCATCAATCGGAACCGTCTACCTTATGTGGCACAAATTCAAGGCAACTTATGACAAAAACAATGACTCGCTTCGTATCGAATTCCTTGTCATCCCATGTTTGGTTCTTGCTTTGATCATTAATCACGAATTCTTGTTCATGGAGGTTTGTTGATTTTTAAAATATTCAAAAAAAAAATCAAAAGGCAGCCGAAAACAGAATTATAGTTCAGAGGGACGTGATTGTTTGTGATATGGAGAATTAAAAAAAACTTCTCAATTAAATTCTGAAGAAAATCAGAAACTCCTTTCATACAAGTTTTTGAAAATCTATATATTTTCAGAATTTAGCATACGAAGAAAAACATTTCATTCAGTTGCCCTAGTAACTAAATGTATATATATACAGTGCTGGCCAAAATTCTATTTAAAATGAGTTTTTAGTGGAAAACACCTAAAAAATTTTGAATTTTTACCCAAAAAGTTGAATAGGTTATTTTTCACGACGATTATGATGGTAACTACCAATTTGATAGATATCATTTGATTTATTGATGTCTTCCAGGCTGAAAATCGGAATGAGCGAAAATCATAGATTTTGACTTTTGGGAAAACCTTGAACATTTTTTCTCGGTTTCAGTTTCAAAACTTTGTTTGGGTTATTTTTCAAGTAGAAGAGTGTTCAGGCTTTTGATTCCGACCTTAACTTTGATATAATCTCGATTCCGAAGTCCACACCATTGGCTTCAGTGAGATCATTACAGAATGTTTATAACAGTATTTTGCTGCTTTTTCCGTGACGTATTGAAGTCAGAAATTGTTCAAAATTTGTTTATCGGTCATTTCAAACATCATGAAATAAAATCCGAACAAAAACTAGAACTTTCGGGCTGATTTGGACATTGATGGATTTAGATGTTCATCTAGAACATCAGATCTCAACATCGTAGACCATCAAAAGTGGCAATTCGATTAAGAAACCATCAGCCCAGATAGTCTTAAACATGATCACAAATGTTAAAAACACTCAGAAGACAGAAATTTAGATCTGCAACTATTATTATTCAGATGTTTCAATTTTACACTGTTTTCCCTTATAAAAATGACTTGTACCTTAAAATTCAAGAGAACGATGTTGTAGTTCATCAAATGTGAATTTAAAGATATTAATATGAATTCACAACACGAGTTGACCATCTGGAGATAAAATTTTAACTGTGGTTTTGCAGTATTGGTGGTCTACGATGTTGAGATCTGATGTTCTAGATGAACATCTAAATCCATCAATGTCCAAATCAGCCCGAAAGTTCTAGTTTTTGTTCGGATTTTATTTCATGATGTTTGAAATGACCGATAAACAAATTTTGAACAATTTCTGACTTCAATACGTCACGGAAAAAGCAGCAAAATACTGTTATAAACATTCTGTAATGATCTCACTGAAGCCAATGGTGTGGACTTCGGAATCGAGATTATATCAAAGTTAAGGTCGGAATCAAAAGCCTGAACACTCTTCTACTTGAAAAATAACCCAAACAAAGTTTTAAAACTGAAACCGAGAAAAAATGTTCAAGGTTTTCCCAAAAGTCAAAATCTATGATTTTCGCTCATTCCGATTTTCAGCCTGGTAGACATCAATAAATCAAATGATATCTATCAAATTGGTAGTTACCATCATAATCGTCGTGAAAAATAACCTATTCAAGTTTTTGGGTAAAAATTCACAATTTTTTAGGTGTTTTCCACGAAAAACTCATTTTAAATAGAATTTTGGCCAGCACTGTATATATCTGAAATTCAAAGTTCCCATTTTTCTAATCGGGAAAATTATTCCCAATCAGAATAATAAAAATCTCGGCGCTATAGTTATGCAAATTCACATTGGCTATTAAAAAACAGAGAATTAGAAACGAAGAATTCTAGTTTGTTAACATTATTTTCAAAAAAAAAACAAACAATGTTCAGAAAATCGAAATCTTTACAGAATTTACCTCAAAAAATCAATCAATAATTTCAGGTTTTGTGGACTTTCTCGATCTACCTTGAAGCCGTCGCCATTATGCCCCAACTTTTCATGCTCTCAAGAACTGGAAACGCCGAAACTATCACTGCTCATTATTTGTTCGCTTTGGGATCATACCGTGCTCTCTACATTGTCAACTGGATCTACAGATATTACACTGAAAACTTCTTTGACCCAATCGCCGTTGTTGCCGGAATTGTTCAAACTGTCTTATACGCTGACTTCTTCTATCTCTACATTACTCGTGGTATGTTTTTCAATTCTGAAACTATAATCGCCAATAAAATATTGAATAATTTTACAGTTCTTCAATCGAATCGTCCATTCGAGATGTCTGCATAAGAAAAAAATTAGCATCATCTTCAGAATACCAAAAATACACACATTTTTAACGATACGAAGGGTTTTTTAGCGAGTGACTTTTTACAGTCGGATATTCTTCTTTTGTTTTTTATATCAATTTTTTGCAGTTATGTGTTAATTTATTTTCCATAATCTCTTCTTTTTCTTCATTATTTATTATTTATTTCGAAATAAATGTTTCATTTCTTATGGTTTTTGAACATTTATCGCAAATTGTCCAGCTCGATTGTTGTTTCCAGCTGGACGATAAAATGCAACAATGATTTTGTCGCCTTCGGCTGCCAGTTTTCCATTGCTACTGCTATAAAAATGTTATATTTTCTCAATTTTCCAATCTAGTTCCGCTTTTGTCATCGTTTCAAAGACAAACTGTGAAACAGAACAAGTTCTAAAGGCTGTTTTGATTTATTTCATCCCGAAAATGTTATTGCAAGAGAACTGCATGAGAGACGCAGAGACAATGTATTCAAGTGGAGCGCATTTTAATGTTTAGCTTTTGCTGTCCCTGTGGTGAAAGGATGAGAGAGTGAAGAAAAGGGAGATGAAAAGAGAAAAAAGACATTTGTTTGTTTATAAATTTTTGGAGAGTCAGGGAAAAATGAAGTGGAATTGAACTAATTTTCAAAGGGGCTTGTGAAAAAAAGAACTTGTGTATCAGAAAAATATTTTAAATTTTAGATAACAAATATTGTGAGGGACTTTTATTGATTCCAGAAGCCAAAAAAACATTAATTTTCAAGCTCGCATATCTACTGTTGTTTTTTTCTCGAACAACTTATAGAACCTTCCTAAAATTATACCAAAATGTTTGTTTTACAACAATGTTTTTCGATATTCAAAAAATTAATCTCATTATACTTTTTTTTTTTGAAAAATGTAAACGATTTTCCGAGCTCCTAGAGAAAAATTAAAAGTATCAAAAACAAACATATGTTTTTCCACGTTTCTGAAATTTCATCATCCCCAAACCCACTCGAATTTCTATGTAGTTCAAACTTTGTGTTTTGATTTTTAAAAACAACCCCTCCCTGTAGTTGTATCTCTCACCTTAATGAAGTCATTGACTTGGTAATACTACCACATGAAATATTATCCTCATCCGGTTTTTTGACGATGGCATATCCGATTCCAATCTCAAGAAAAAACGGATTTTTCTCAATTTCACTCATAATAATAATCTATGACCCTTCCCTACTACCTCTTTTGTGGCTCTCCAAACAACTTGTGTGAAATAATTTGTTCCAGTTTGCCATCCTGGTGTCTCATATTCATATTTTTCGTGTTCAGAATACCAATGTTCAACAACTGAAAATTTGTACTTTGTGTCACCCATTTCTTGTTGGAAATTGAATTTATATGTATGTATTGAGGAGCAAAAAAGTTCAGTTGATTTTGAAGAAAAAAAAGTATTGTGCGTTCACTGGAAGAAGAAGAGAGCTAATTTAATCAGGAGAAATTCAAGCCTCAACTTTTTTTCTAGACATGGAACAGGTTTTTGAAGAGAAAAATTTAGAGTGTGCAGAAATAAAGTTGAGCTAACTAGGAACGGTGTTGTAGATATCTAGAATAACATTGAATGAAATTGTCTGAAAATACTTATGCTGAAAATTAAGCCGACGTAAAAATCAAGATGAACAGTTCTGATGTCGTATCGGGATCAGGTTTTTTTTTTAGAAAATCTCTATAGGGTGCCTTGTTTTTGAGCTGATGTAAGAAATCGCAAATTCAAACTCTTCACAAAGAAAATAAGTTCAAGTTCAACCTTTTAAAATTCCAACAAAGATTTCATACAAGATAGAACCAATTTCCGTCTGATTTGAGATTATTCAAAAATTCAGATTAAAAGATCAAGAATTACTCATGATCATCGTGGCTCCAGGAAAAAATTGCTCATAGAAAAACATCTCACCTGCATCTGGCTCAATATCCGGTGGAAAAAATGTGATATTTTCACCAACACCACTTATTTCGCTATACGAAATGTATGCCTAGAAAAAACAACAATCTCAAACCAACCAAACAAAATCTGTTACCTGTCTAGCCAACTTATTTGCCCAAGTTTGTGCAAGTTTTGTGAGCTCATCCGAATGAGTTAAATCAGCAGCGTTGTGCTGGAAAATGGCTCATTTATCTTCTATCTGTTCCACTAGAAACAATGAACTCACCTTATGTCGTCTCGAATTATGTTCCTCAATAATGTTCTCAATAAATTGGTCATTATCCGATGTCATGGTTAGAGTATGTATCTAATATATTGGAATAGAAAAAAGTGCAAAACAAAATAAAAATTGAATTGGATTCAGAAGCTGGTCCACATTTGGTTGTGACTGACTAGAAAAACGACAAAAAAAAGTAGGAGGAGAAGAAGACGGGCAAAAAAAGAAGAGCAAAACGAAGAGAAATACGAAGGAGAAAAAAGAATGAAGAAAGGACCAACCAGTGCAGCTCATTATTCCGATTTGTTGTTTTTTTTACTTATCTGAACTTTTTTGGGAAGATTTTTGAAGCGGATCAGAGATATTTCGAAATTCAAGGATGAATTAAACTAGTTTCTCGATGCTCTCCAACTCAGACATGAAAATATCTGACTTGAAAATGTTGGAAATCCTGGCCCGTTAAAACTTGCCATTATTTTGACAAGTGTTTTTTCTGTTTTCTCAAAGTGTTTTTGTTCTTGTTCTTATTTTTTTAAGAAAAAAAAAACACGAATAGCAAAAAACAAGATGATTTCAATTCGATCAGATTAGAATTTGATGTGTCTATCTTCTATCTATATATGTATGTCAAAACATGTTTGTTTGTTGTCACATGCTCAATTTGGTCCCAAAAATTTCTTCAAGCGGAAGGAAATTTTCAAAAATCCCTCATTTAGAGAGTGCAAACAAAGAAATTTGCTTGCTTGCTTTAAAAAAAAAGTTTCAAAAAACTCTCCGCTAACAAATAAACAAACAAACACAATTTTTTTTGCGGAAAGCAACGCAGTTTATTAATAGTTCCAAAAAAATCAAAACCAATTATCAAACAAATACAAAGTATAATAAAAAGTTATCCTAATTTCTAATTTTTTTCAATTAGTCAGCAATAAAGGCTCAATAAAGACACAATAAAGAAGAAAAAAAGTATATTTGTGGGGCCCGGCAAAAATTTTAATGAAGAAGAAGAAATAAAAAGCAAGAGCAAGATGCCAGGTTAGGCAACATGTGACAAAAATACCGAAAAAAAGCTAGCTGTTAGTAAAAATAAGAAAAATTATTAAATATTAGTTATTATTTTTCAAGATACAACATGCTGTATACTATGCAATAAATGCTCTGAATTGAAAAGACAAGAGAGAGAAAGATATCGGAGAAAAATTAATGACTAGTTGTAATTATTAAATAACATCGTGAAGTTTTTTTTGGAAGGATTGGGGATTTTTTTTTGATTAGTTAGTAGGGTTCAATATAATATAATCAGTGCATAATGACAAATAAAAAATCACAAAAAAGCACCTATTATGCTGTATGAAAATTTAAAATTTAAAATTTAAAAATAATAATAATACTATACGCGTTTTCGGAGTGGTGGGTAATAAATCCTATAAATTGAAGAAATTGTAATTGTGTCCTTGTTTTTTGTGAAAACCAATAAAAAACCGCGTCGAGAGTGTGTTTTAGAAGAGTTTGTGCTTTCGTTTCAAATTGATTCGTTTCCATTCAGGAAGTTTGTAGAATTCAATTGGTGACATTTTGAAGAGCTCCTCAAATGTGTCGCGTTTCAAGTGTCGTTCCAAATGTTGTCTGAAAATAATGGATTTCAAAAAATTCTTTTAAATAATTAATTAATTAATTACCTATCAACATCCTCTGGCAAATCTTTGTTGGTAGTTTGAAGAATAACAAGATCATATTGTTTCACAGGTTTGCTCATGTCTGGAAGAGATGATCGGAGAGCAGCTCCGCCAACAGATCGTGGTCCACCAGTTGTTCCGGATTCAGTCATCGAATCTGAAAAACATTTTTTTTTCATAGATGTGTTTTGAAGAAAAAAAAACAATAAATTGCAACAATTCCCCAAAGAGTCTTAAATTTTCTTCAAGAAAATAAATTTCTTACGTTCTGAATAATGGCTGCTAATTGTGGTGTCCAAATTATCCAATGATAAATTCTGGCCGAATTCTGTTGGAAGTGTGGCGGCTCTCAATGTGTTGGCTCGACTGTCTGGAATGTGGAAGCATGGCAAAGTGTTGAGGCCTTGTTCACGTTCACCGCCTTGCCAAACAACCCATGGTCGTGGTCGATTCAAATGACGAGATGGAGCTGGAAAAATATATATAGTTGGATATGATTTAAAATTTTTCGCGTTAGGAAAAATAGGGTTTTGGAAAAGGATAATCGATGCTAAAAAGAAATTTTCAGATGTTCGAATCAATATTTTTCATTCAAGAAATCTGGAATATTCATTGAAATGATTATCGGAAATCGGAACACTTTTCAATTTGAAAAATAGAAATTTAAAATTAGGATGATTTCTTTCTTTGAACCTTAATTGTTTTCAGAAAATATTTGAAGAGTTTCGGATTTTCAACGTTTTCTTTTTCATTCAACTTCAGAGTTCTCGATCACTCCAATTTTCTGCTCAACTTTTCTTTCTTCCTTTTCAAAAAAAATACATTGTCTATCTATTTTTAGGGTGTCAGTATACATATCCGGAAAGAACGAACAAGTTGTTCAATTTGCCGTCGTTTCCCAAATTTTCCCATTCTTTTTTGCCCGGCTCATTCAACAAAATGCACTTTTCAAAAGAACAACAATTTGATTAAAGAGGAGCAGATTTTGGGGGTCTGCAGAATGTGCTCATTTGAACCCTTGAAATGTCGAGAAAAAAGAGGGGGACCAACATTTCTCTGTTAAACAAACGACAAAACTCACATGCATTAATTGGCACATCATAACGGAACTTTAAGTGCGGCATCTTTTTGCCAGATGGTGTGCGACTCGCATTACGTGGATCCCAATGAAGTGGTAATCTGGAAATTTGAGATTTTTCAAAATTTCGAAATGAATATGAATATACCTTTGCTTCTTGTGACTGTCTTCAATGTTTTGTTTAATAACATGAGCAAGTGATGAATCATTATATTTTTCAAGTGTTTCAACGGTTTTCTTCAATTTATCCTCATCATACTTGTCACTTTCAGACAAATCATCATCTGAAATCTCATTTTCAATTGACGATGTTGACAATCTTCTTTTCAATTCTTCAACAGCATATGGATATGGTGGAGCTGGGAAATCTTCGCGCTCAATTGCCGGAAGCTGCAAGAAAAAAAATAATTTAATTAGAAGAATAATCTAAAAATAACCCAAACCTTATCTGGATCTGGTACTTGCGCAGCTGGATAATGCGCTAATTCAATCGGCTCCTCATTGTCCATATGTGGCGATTTTGGTCGTGGAACATTTTTCTCCAAATCCTCAGCTGGAAAAAAGCATGTTCATATAATTAACCTAATTTCTTTACTAACTCAGCCGTTGCATTCCAGTTTTCAACATGGATAATCGAGATTTTCTGATTTTGATGGGTCCTTGTGGCACATGATATTGTGGAGCATTTGGCTCTTTCACATTTGACGCAGGGTGCCGCAAATAAGTTTGCTCAACTTCAGGAAGAAGATACATATATGCCAAATGTTGTCCGAATGTTGTTTGATATTTCGGCTCATTTCGAGATAATGTGGCAGCACGTCCAGTCGGCTGGAAATTCATTTTTGATTAATTTATGACTTCTTCTAAAAATGACAATATTTCTCTCGATATTCAGAAAACTTACAGCAATATTTTCAGTTGTTCTCGCATGTTCACAACTTGGATGCCAAATCTCGTCACCTTGCATATACATTTCTTCACCGTCTCCAAAATGAGTACCACATCTTGAGCAACGAGCACACGTTGGATGGAATTTGTAGCCACCGGCCTGAGAGAATGAAAATGTTTCTTTCAACGAAAAAAAAGGCGTAAAAAATGTTTTCGGAAAAATTGAATTTTTCCTTGCTTTTCGAGAATTGAATTTGGTTACGCAGAGGAAGTTATTATTACTCTTGGTCACTGATTTTTCATTTCTCTTCTTTTTTATTCACGTTTTTTCTCAACTTCATCACAAATCTATTGCTGTAAAAAACAAAAATCAAATATATATTTACCTGAAGCACTTTGCCGGCGATGAACTTCTCACACTCGTAACATTTGACACCGAATTTTTCATTATAATCGCGAAGACACAATGGTTTACCGTTGTGCGACATGTATTCACCGTGTAAAACGGCCGAACATTCTGTGCATTTGAAACAGTACACGTGCCAGGAAAGACCTAATGCCAGTAATACTTGACCCGAATGAAGCGCTTGATCGCAAGCGGCACATGCTGCAAAAATTTCAATTTTGAATCTACAATATTGATTTTTTGTTATTTATCTAGAAAATTTGAAAGGGATTATTGTGGTTTAAAATTTTCCTGATTAAAAAGTATTTTTAAAAAAGTGACAGCTATCAGTCATTTTTTGTGTTTTCTATTTTTGATCAAGATTGTGAATCTACGAAACATCAAATTCATCACCAATTAGTGCATGGCTTCTCACATTCAGAATAAATTAGAATATCTCAATGTTCAAAAATTTCTAGATTTGGAGTTTGATCTACAAAAAATATTATTTTCAAAAGAAAAATCGATATTATTTTCAATAGAAAAATCGATATTTTTTGAATAAAAAAAATGAATTTGAAAATATTTACCAAATAACTTCATTTTTAGCGAAAAACCACAGTAAATGACTAATTATAAAATAAAATTACTTTTAAGTTGCTTTTAAGTTCTTAAAAGGATTCGGTTTGAACCCCTAATCGAATAAATAATTAGCAGTTTACTACTTTTGGAACCGGGTTACTGTAGACTTATTACTCTAGACAATTTCTGATTTCTGGGAGTTGAGAAATATTTTTTGTAGATCAGTTTTCTAAAAAAAAACATATTTTCAAAATTCTCAAAAATCATTTCTCTCGATTTTTTTCAAAATGTTCCCACAACCCCTAACTCAAAAATTTTCAGATTGCATTTTGAACCGTCTAGAAATTGAAAAAAACATGTTGGTTGTCAATTTTTTCTTATCATATCATAAAATTTCCCTCAATCATAATTGAAAACAATAAAAAAATCAACAATAAATATTTTTCTCTTTTCCCAAACCAAGGTCAAATCAAAACCAATCATCGTCATTTTTCCAGAACTGAATGGGGTTTTTTTTTCAATACCAAAAAAATACTTTTTGGGAGAAAAAGAAACAAACTTGTAGGTGATCCAAGTGGTGAAATTTGTTGGAGTGTTGTATTGATCGCCATACTCGATGAAATATTGTCAGTTGTGCCATTTGATCGTTCAGGCGATTTTGGCGTTGCTGACGATGACGTGGCAGCGTGAAGTGGTTGCGTCGTCTTTACTGTCAGCTCTTTTGAGACAGCCCGGAAATCGTCGGGACATAGATAGGCATTATCTGCGGTGGTGTAGAATCCCGTTTCTCCTAGATTTCTTCCACATTCTGAAAAAAATGGGGTTGAGAGAGAAAGAACATGAATTTTTTTCTGAATGTTTGTTTCGATATTATAGTTTGAAGTTAAACTAGAATCAGGGAAGTGATTTTTCATAATTTTCATAGGATTAGAAGATCTGACCTCTCAGAAATTTTAACTCTTTGTTCAGAATTTGAAAAAAAAACTTGTGTTCAACAAATCAATATTCTAAACTTTTTTCTGTTATCTGAAATTGAATTTCTACCGAGTCCAAACATTTTAGAAATATCTTTTCTACTTTCAAAATTATGTATTTCAGAGATCTTATCTTCATCTGAATCATAATAATTCAACTGCCCAGTTACAGATCTTTTTTATCCATAACCTATCAAAAAATATAGGTTCTATAATTTTGAAACCAATTTCCTGATACCCTTATAAAATAATAAATAAGTGAATGTAGGTATGTACATTTTGAAAATGTCAATATTTGGAATGTTTGCCCTATTTTTCCGAAAAACAAATACACACACTAACATATGTAATAGATTGTTTGTTTGAATTATATCATCTATCTCGCATAATTTTTGCTCTATTTGATTTTCCAAAATTGCTGCTCAAGTTCAAGTTCAGAGAAACACCACAACCCATAAAAACTTCCCCCCAAAGCAAAAAAATTCATCCTCTTCCCCGCTTTTTTGTTGCTCCAAAAATTTTCAACAAAACTCTTCTCTTCTTCTCCTTTTTTGTGTGTTACAAATCCCTTTTTCAACTAATCCCAAATTGTCAAAGTGAACTAGTTGGTTTTTGTTTTGTTTTGAGGAGTTTTGGGGCGGTAAAACTTACTTTTACATTGAAAACAATTGATGTGAAAATATTTGTCATTTGCCTTCAAGACGTCTCCGGAGCATTTCTTGCGACACACGTCGCATTTTTTGCCTGAAAAAAATCGGTAAAAAAAATTTTCTAGTTTTTTCTGACATTTTCTTATCTTTCCGAGTCATTGGGTAAATATGTCAACAAATTTTCTTCTGGAAAATTTTCTCTCTCGAAAAAGTGTTCTCGAAAAAAAAAGAAAATTGCCTCTAAATCATAGTAAAAGGAGCTTTTTGAGCGTCCGGAACGTCTAGAGTTTCTCACAAAGATTTTGTTTTCATTGTGAATTTCGTAATAGTAAAGTTTTCCGAAAAATTTTCCAGGAAGATCAGAAAAACGCAATTATTTTGAACTCTGATTTCGAAATCTTCTGATCTTCTGAACAGTTGTAAAAATATCAAATTTTGTTATCATTTATCAAAATATAACGAACAACATTATATCAAGCAAAGAAAAAACAAACTAACCCATGGCAGTGGGACAAGAACGCGCAGCACTGCTTTGCCTAGAGAATCGTCAATGGTTGTGGTATTGAGGAGAAGACAAAACTAGGGACAGACACACACAAAAAACGAGTGGAGAGGGAAAAGACAACGAGATAGGCAGCGAGTTGTCCGTCGCTCAACATCAACCACTATTCGAAATGAAGAGAGACGTCAGACATTTACAAAATGCGAACGGAATAGTACAAAGTATTTGGAGAGCGCAGACAAACTGATCGATATTTGGCCCAGCTGCGCGCTCTCTCTTTTTCCCTCTTTTTTTCTTGCAATTCGAATTGAAGAATATATACACAGAGACACACGCACAAACATATACATTGGTGAGGGGTGGAGTTTTTGGGGGTGAAGAAGAACAATAAAACACCAAGGCAAAAACTTTAGCATGAATTATTAAATCAACATTGTTTGACCTTTTTTTGAGCAATGGGAAAACTATAAAAAGTTGACGGCAAAATGTTGCGAATAAGAATAATTTATGGGGAATTGGAAAGCATGAACATTTCTGTAAATGAAGATTTTCCATGTCTTGCTCAGTTCCGTGTCTTGCTCTTTCACAAAAAATTAAAATAACATAAACGGTGATAATTTCGAAATCTTCGAATTTTTTTTTTCAAATTTCCAGTTCTGAAGATCCTTGTAATTTGAACACATGGTTAGATATCATATGGCTGGCGCTTCTTGTTTGTTTAAAATTTTCAGGTTAACAATGATTACAGTTTTTTGGGAGTTTTCTCAAACTCAACAAATTTAAGATAGAAGTTTCTTTTTTTCCAAAACAAATGTGCATCTCAAAAATATTAAATTTCAAATTTGCTGAAAGATTAACTTTTTATTTCTGTATCTTTATGAGAATTTGAAAATGAAAAATATAAATTCTATTCTCATTTGTGAATTTTTAGTGTTTTTTCCAGAAGTACAACCAACCCAAAAACCAAAAATTTATTCAGAAAATTCTCAACAATTACGCCCTAATTTCAAATTCCAATTTGGCGCCGCTCTTTGCCTTGTCGCCCGCCGTCTGTCCTCCGGTCACAACAAAATATACATACATTGTCGTAAAATGAATGATTCCTTTTTTTTCGCCTTCTATTCTTATTCAATTGAGACACACATATATGAAAAAAATAAAATATTCAAAAATAAAATATATGTAGATACTATCTATGAATCATGAGAACAATTATTGTAATAGGGGCTTTTTGCACAATCATCATTTTTTTTTGTTGAATAATGGTTTTTTGGAAAACAATTTCTGAACTGAATTCCGGGTGAACATTAACAATAAAAAATGAATGGCGATGAAAATGATTTCAATCAAAATATAATTAATATCAAATGTCTAACATTTTCTTGCAAATTATTTCTTGAAAAATCATAATGTTTCTCGAATTGTCTGATGAATGAAGTTTTCATTAAAAAAAACAACTCGAAAAATATCGGAATTACTCCTTTGGTTAATTTTTCAAAAGTGAAATCCCAATATTTAACGGATTTCCAGCTTCACAATTTTTTTTGAAGTTCTACGATAATTATGAAACCCAAACTTTCTTTAAAAATGTGAAAAAATACAAAAAATGGAGTTGATTTTCAATAACATGCAAACAATTTTATTCAGATAATATTGAAACACTTTCCAAATCTACTCCGTTTCAAGCTTGATTTTTGTGGTTGGATATAGTTGATCATCACCGAAGACTTCGTTAATGAAATCATACTTTTGAAAAATTTCATGTATCATGTATCATGTTCAATTCCGTTTTGTTATTCGTTCTGGTGTGAGCTCAAAACTCGACCGCGAGCTGAAACAGTTCCCTTGTGAAATCTGGAAAAATAACTAATGTCTTCCAATATCCACAAAGAGAATTATGTCTCAAATTTCCACGTCCACAAAAATTCGAATAATAACCTCATCAACAATTCCACGCGATAATTTCTCAAGGAAATTCAAATCAAAAGTGCTTCAAATTTTTTTTCAAAACCAAGCAATATATTGTTTTTTCAATAGTTCCATCCAAGAATTGTCAATAAATCTTCCGAATAGTTTCCCCATTCCATCTCAAATTATCCAAATTCCATTCCAACTAATTATACGGAAATCTCAACCAAAAACTATGTGTGACCCATTGGAACAAAGATTGCGTGTACACAACGTTATTAGGCATTCGGACAAAATATTCTTTTTTTTGGGTGTATCTGTGTTTTTTCTTCTTCTGATGGTGTTGCCAAAATGTCATTATTCTTATTTGTCACACACCAAAACTAGGCAAAAAAAGCATGTTTTGCAATAACCCCATGGGTGATTATTGTTCGCAAAAATCTTTTTTTTGCTTCCTCGTGACATATACTTCTTCCCATAATCAAATTTCTTGTATCTTGATCTTTTCACCACAAAACATAAATATGTCTGGTTTTTTCTCCCATCTCTTTTTTTTCTTTTCCTTCATAACCTGCCTTTATATCACAGAAAATTGAAGGAGAGAAACCATGTCGCGTTCGTGGTGTAATGGTCAGCATGGATGCCTTCCAAGCATTCGACGGGGGTTCGATTCCCCCCGAACGCAGAACTTTTTTGTTTTTTCAATTTTGGGAAGAAACAACATATTTTGTGTGCAAATTCAATGTGAAAAATATTTTTGGAATATGTTTTGAAAATTCAAAAAAAAAAAAAATCAAACACGAAAAAACATCCGGTTGCAACAATAAAGTGTTGATTGACCACAAACATCTTTAGTTTCAGTTTCAAAACGCAAAATAAATCCCAGAAGACCAATCAACATTTTTGAAGAGATGCTTTTATGATAAGGTGTCGTTTTTTTTGCTGCCTTCCCGCTTTCTAGTAAAAGCTCTCCTGCAAAGTTAAACCCTCTTATTTACGCCTAAAAAATGGCATGTCTAGCTAGCTAGATGGCAGAAAAACATTGACCTTTTCAATTTCTGAAATTGACGAAACTTCAGTCTCTCTTGATGAAATGCAAAAAGAGATGATATTTTTTTGGTGTTGGTGGTGTGACGAGAAAAAAAGAAGCGCCGGATTTTTTTTGAGCTGATTCCAAGAAAATGTTTGTTGTTGTGGATTATCCACGCTTCAGGAAACTCCTCATTTCAACACTATTCTTGAAGAAGATTTTGACCGGATAACAACATTTTTGTTGTTTGAGTTTTTTCTAGATTTTGCTTTTTTTTCTTTGGTTGCAGTTATAAGGTGTTTTTTTTAATGCGAATAATTCCAGAAAGATTCAGCATAAGACTTTTCGAGCCTGAAAATTAATGAAGATTTTTACTCAAATATCTACATTGTTTTCATGAATCAAAGTACATACTCACATTCAAAAATAAACCCATATAGTAGAAAACCCCAAGAGATTTCAGACTTTTTGACCTTTTACAAAATGACAGCTCTGATCAATTAAACTACTCGAAAAATGTTTCTTTTTGACATGAGCCTTCTCTCCAAAATATTTTTTTTCTGCCCTTTTCCTTGTCCACTGAAAGAAAAAACAAAACCAATTCATCTTCACAACTTGTCCCAAAAAATAAATCCTCAAAAATGTCAAGAGTTGTCAAATTAGCAAACCAACAAAAAACTTTGAAATGTCAGTCTGTTCGCCAATTTCCACCTCTTCTTTTTTCTCTTCTTCTTCTTCCATCTCCAGAAATCCAATCCGTCATTTTTTACAGACAAAAAAAAAGTTCGTCTTCTTTTTCGCCTTTTTTTCGTGGTTTTTTTGTTGTGTGTTGCAAAAATGTATACGTTTTCTTTGCACGGAAATTAGAAAGACCGAATTTCAATTAAAGTTTTTTGTTTTCAGAGTTGGAGGTCTTTTGTTTGTTGGATTCGATCGATGGTTTTTCCACAGGTTGGTGATTTTTTTTGGAATTTTTTGAAATCTTTGTGGGAATAGATTTTTATAGATTTTTACAAATCCTTTTCGAATTAAATTTATTATAACAAAATAAAAAACTGTGATAATTTATTTAGATTTTTGAATTGGCAGTCCATAAACTATTCAGAACCGAATTAAAAAAAATCAGTATCAGATCTTTCCAAAAATGTTGATCATAGCTAGATCTATGATTAATTTTTGAATAAATTAAATTCAAAATAAAATTAAAAACCCGCAGGTACCGAAAGATCCACCAAAAGACAAAGAAACTCAAAAAGAAAAAGAAGCACACGCCAAAAGATTACACAGTCAAGCTAATATCCATCAACATGTTCAACACGGACAACATTCTCAACAGGTAAGTTATCTTAAAAAACAAAACTGGGTCAATAATTCAGGGCCGTGTCACTTCAATCCATTAAATTTACAGCCGGTGCTCGTTTCCCCTTTAGTCGTTTCTCATTATGCTCAAAATGTATGTACAGAGCTGCAACTTGGTCTGGCTCCACCAACATCCGGTGGAGGTGGTTTTTTTGCATCGGTATGTCTTTAATGCTTACGCTTCATCAAATGTTTTGAATACCTGAACACTTCCTTTTTTCACTAGAATATTGTTTTGGCTAACTCAAAATAATACATATATATGCTCTTTTTTTTGTTGCTCCACTCACTCGATTCATCAAAGCAACCAACCCTATCCTATTTTGACCTTGGACCTCCGCCAAGAACAAAAAAAAAAAGAATATTTTTTGTGCAGTGTTTCAAATAACGCAAAACTTGACTTAATTTTATGTGGTTTTGGTTCAAGCCCACATATATTTCTATCCGTTTTTTTTTTATTTTTCCATAATTCAATTACTTTGCTTGTTTTCTTATTCCAACTGAGACCACTAACAAAAATTATTGTTTTTTTTTTCTGGTTATGTTTTTCTAGATTGACCTTTTAAAAAAATATTCTTAATTTTTGAAAGATTCTTTTGAGGATTCTCAATTCCAAAATTTGAGATTTTCAAAAAAAAATGTTTCCGATTCCGGAAAACGTGGAGAAGTCGCGAACTTTTTTTTGGAAATACTGTGAAATTTTTTGACTCGAAATATTTTCCAAATGAAAAAAAAATCATTTTCCGAAACTGAATATGAAAAAAAAAAGTTTTTTTTCGATCGGACAACTGTTGAACTTTGAAGTCCTGTAACTTTCAGTTTTAGAATTTTTTTAAAAATGGAAATCTAAATTCTAAAATTATCAAATTCTGTAAATTTTTGATTCTTTGATCATTTTCTGAATCATGCGACAAAAAATGAAACATCCGATTCCTGATATCTAATTTCAGACAACATTTCCGAACATCATTCTCTTTGAAACCTCAACATTTTTCATTTTCATTTTTCTAATTTTTTCGAACCCTGACCTCAACTAATCCCATTTCAATCATTTGAAAACTTCGAATCCTGACAGTAATTTTTCATGCCTAATCCTGCTCTTCAAAAAGTTCACCATATTTTTTGTTTTGAACTAAAAAAAGAACACCTTTGACATGTCAACATATTCCCTCATCATTTTCCTTCAAACAGTTGCACTTTTTCCCAAACCCATGTGTTTTTTGTTATGTATGTATGTTCTGAAATTTGAGAAAAATCGGAATCTCGTTTCATTTCTCCATAAGGTTTCATTCCATCATTATTTCTCATATGTTTTTTTTATAAATTCAATCAAAGAAAAGCAAAAAATAGCCACCTCGCATATGTTAAATGAAAAAATTCAACAAAAAACAATGATGACCCACATTAAATTTGATGAGCCTTGAAATATATATTTTCTCATAGTGAACAGCTTGTAGATTAATTTGATTTTTTATTTTTTGCCTATGAGATGAAATAAACAAAAAACAACAATTTCTGCGGGAAAATACATAACTTTTCTCATTTTTTTTCAGGGTCTTTTTCGAACACGTCAACCAAGTAGGCCTCGAGCCTATTCGATGCTTCCATTGACAAATTCAACAAGTCAAGAAGAAGTTTTTCAAGATTCAGGGGTCAGTGTTTGTCAATTCTTTGGAATTTTTTCTAGATATTTTTTTTTCAGCAAAAATCTCAAAATTCACTTAACCCCAAAAAACATAGCAATCGATCATACAAACAACGATATTACCCATTATCCCAAGAAGATACGTTGGAACTTCTACTTCTACTAAATCAGGGTCAGTGTTTTGTTGAATGGGAGGGGTTTTTTAGTTTGGTTTCAAGTGGATTTACTATAAACTAAATGGAGTGCAACACTTACTCATTATGTTATTTTTTCTTATTTTATTTTATTATTATCAAAAGTGCTTTATGTTGATGATTGGTTTTTATTCTATTTTCTTGTTGTTTTTGTTGCCGAGGACAATTTTTTGGAATTTTGGGATTTTTTGGGGATTTTTTCATGTTGAAATGTGATTATGCTTTCATAGCTAAGATTTCTGGATCTTTTGAATTTAATTGTAAAATAATTCAGGAATCAAAATTTTAAGGTCATTCACAAATTAAAAAAAAACTTATCCGGTGCTGAATTTTATTTTTTAAAACACCTACAGAATTTAGAACTTCTAGACTTCAGCATTTTTCTCATTTCTTCATTTTTTTTGAACTCTTGCTCCCAAATGTTCCAAATAATATGTTATGTTATTCTTTTTGCAAGAAAAGATCATATTTTCTCTTATTATATACTTTTGCTCTTCTTTTTCTTGAAAAAAAAGAAGAACAAGCAAAAAGAAAATGAAAATGTCGAAAAAAAAGGAAAATGTTGATTTTTTGGTGAGAATGTCAGTGTTTATCGCAAGCGATGTCGACATTATGCGACGAGTGGCAACAGCAACGCGTGGCGTCTGTCCGCCACCACCAACACCAACACAACGTCTGCATCATCGTCGTAGTCGTGAAAATCATCGGCATTATTCTCGATCTGTGTGCGAACAACTTTTCGACTCGTCAATTTGTTCGATGGCACCGATTAATGTTAGTCGAAGTCATCATCAATCAATTAATCGCAGATATTCGACATTGGTCAGTGTTTCGGAACGAGTTGTGCTCAGAGCTGGTTTGTTTTGCTTTTGTTTTGTTTATTTATTTTCGAAAAAAAAAGAAGAAACTATTATTAACAACTTTTTGGTAGTACATGGATTTTTCTGTTGAAAAATTTTATAAGGTTTTGAAATCAAACCAAAATTTCAAAGTGTTATCTAATTATCACTAATCAAGTATTTTTGAATAGGAATAATTTTCTGGTTCACAAAATTCTATGGTTTTATGAGACCATGCTGTTTTTTAAAATCTGAAATGAACTCTTATCACTTATCATGAACATTATTTTGTTGAAAATTTCTGAATTCATTTTAAATTTTTTTTAGTTTTTCCAAAGTGCCCTTGGGTTTGTTATATTTATTTGATTCATGTGTTTTTTTTTCAATTTTTTAAAATAATTTTTCCGTTGACCAAAATATTTCAATTTATTTGTTGTGAACGTCTACTTGCCTTCAACTTCACAAAAAATCAGAATCACACTTTTTTTTCTGAAAATCAGTTGTCAGACTGCTATAACTATTTGAAAAATTTCAACTATGAGATTGAATTCTTACCACATCTCAGAAATCAGGATTGATTCGTACTGTCGAACACTCGAGAAAAAATTGGAATATCTTTTTATATTCATTTTTATATCCTCTCTCTCTTTCTCTGTTTCAAAAAACCCCATATACATATATAAGAAACAATTTTCGAACTCACATCAAAACTATCAAATTTCACCTTCCGAAAATCATTGATCTCTAAAAAGCCAATTTATTATTAATTGTCACCGGAAAAAAGTTGACCACTTACCAACCGCCAAAAGAAAAACACACACACAAAACTAAACCTTTTTCTCCATTGGAACTAATCCTTCCTGGGTTGAGGGTTTTTTTTTCCCAACACACCGCCATTTTTTGCCGTGTGTGTGCTTTTTCTATTGCCATACTTGCAATTTGGCCCGTCTATTATTACTATTTTCGAATCCGGTTAAAATTCGCAACGGGAGATTTTTCTTCAACGTTTGCTCTTTTTTTCCGGCTTGGCACTTTTAGTCAGTGCAGTCTAGTTGAAGGCGAATGTGTTTTCTCATTAAGGTGAGCTATTTTTTTTTTGTAAGATTGTGGGACAAAACTGAATGTGAGATTTTTTCTGAAACCGGCTGAAAATTTTGAAATCGTAAGCTTCTGAAAAAACAAGTTCATTTCTGGACTTCTTTTTTGAAACATCATTACTGTATTTTTTTTTAAAGTTTGATACTGAGAGGAACTTAAGTTTTCAATCAATAAAATCCTAAATTTTTGCAAAAAAAAACGGAGTTCGACTTCTTTCAAAAAACTTTTGCAAATAAAAAACCTGTTCCATGAATCTGAAGCCCACAATTCCTAAATTTCCTTAGCCGGTTTTCAAGAAAAACTCTTGTTAGAACATCGGGTTGCTGCAGAAATGTATTTATATAAACAAAGTCCTTATTCATCCACTTTTAGTTTTTTTCTGCAATTTTTTGTGGGTGGCACAACATTCATAACTATGTATGCCAAAAAAAAGGAGAAAAAAAAGAATAAGTAAGTAAGTGGTCGAGAGTTTTGAATTAGTAGAAAGAGGACAGCCAGCAGCATCCGAATTGAATACACAATTGATTCTAGTGCCAAATCATTCAGCCGAATAATATTCATAATTTCTCTTGTTTCTCCTTTTCTTTTTTGCATTCACCGGTCAAAACTTTTCTTTCGTTTTCTTATGGCACCAATAAATATTCGAAGAAATTCAAATTCTAAAACTAAAACTAATAAAATTGGACGACAGAAAAAACAAAACAAGCAGCAACCTGATGTAAGATCTTATTTATTGTTTGACAACCCAACCATTAATTAATTCATTAAAGTCAACTGTATTCGTCTCATGGGCTTTGAGAAGTGTGCGAGAGTCATTGATTCAAGTCGATCCTTTGGCTGCTGCCTTGGCTCATCAGGCAAGAAAAGCCAATTCGACAGTTCCCTCAGTATCTCGGACTCCGCTCCTTCTTCAGTTCACACCTTTCGGACCTCCACCAGGTGCATGTGAGTTTTCAGACGATTTGGTTATTGTGTTGTTAGGAGTGTGACAGTTTGTGAAATTTCAATAACATATAATTTCATAGAATATCTTAATTTGTGCATATTGATCTTCGAAACTTTTTTGTACCGTGTTTTTAGATTTGATGAAGGGCAAAATATTTTTTCTGAGAATATTAAAAAAAAATTAAAAAATTGGAATAAACCAAAAATTCTTCGATATTAGCCACGTTTGATAAAATTTTCTGATTTTCAAACGATGCTTGAAGTGAATCTGATTCATAAATAATTTTCCGCGAAAAATTTATTTCAAAATTGAAAATCTTATGATACAATTTTTACGTTTCATATGAGTAAAAATCAATCGATACATAAATAACTGTAATTCATTACTGTAGTTATGTAATGACTTGATAATAATTTTTGTTGAAGATTTTTTTTCCTGAAAACCTCCAAGAATTAATAAATACGAAAATTCTCCCCTACTTTTGCCAATATCAATTATTTAAAGTTCTATCCTTTTTATCTCCATTCGTGTTCAATATCTCACCCCCAGTATCTTCCACCAAGAAAAAAAACCATCAGTTTCAAAAAAAAAACTAACAACTCCCTGGTGATATGATAAATGTTGATAGTTGATGTGTAAAATGTTTTGTTTCCAACCACTTCCTTCAACTCTTTTTGTGCCTCAAATCCACTCACTAAGTCAAGAATATTATGAAGAGAATGCACATTTGAGCAACAACGATCGTCGAGGGAGTTATAAGAAGAAGAAGAAGAAGAAGTTGGTTGAGATGAAGAAGTTAGAAAAAAGAAGGTCAGAAGAGATCTAAACACAAAACAAAACAAGAAAAAAAGAGAGAAGAAAGCAACATCATAAACGAGCCAAAATGTGGCATTACTCGAATACTTATATTCACACTTTTTCACATTTATCAATCGCATAGCCCTCAAAAAAAAACCCGAAGAACTAGAGAGATACATAGAGAGAAAAGAAAGCCGATTGGTGGTTATTTTTGAGCGGTTTTGTCTTTGGCGCGATTTTTGAAAAACTCATCATTCTTAACGACATCATCTACTACAAATTTGAATTAAGAAGCTCAAAATGCTGCAATCAGTTAGTGCTCACCTTATGGATGAACGTCGAAGTTCATATCGACGAAGAAGCACATTTGTACCATCAATCGATTCTCCCCATCATTCTCATTCACATCATAATTTTCTAATTCCTCCACCAACTGTTAACTGGGTAGGCACCCAAATCATTGCGGATTTTCACCCCGTTACTATTGATCCTGCTGAAAATCCAATTGGTTGGGCGATTTTCAACCCGTTGCCTATAAAAGCACCAGCACTTCGACCAAGACTTCGACAAATTCAAGTGACACCTGGTGAGTTTTTAGGGGGTTGACTATTTTTGTTTTGTTTTAAAAATTCAGTTAGCAGAAAAATATGATTAGCCTGCAAATTTTTTTCAAATCTGATAAAAATCTTGAAAGTTTCTTAATATTTTGTTTTGATCTACTGTTTTTCTTAAAAATTGATCTACCAGGAATTTTGTATTGTGATCTACCTATTGATTAGTTAGATATTGCTTTATCAAGAAGACTCTGATTTCCCTCTAGTTTATTCGAAAAATGTTTTTTTCAATTCTGTTCACGAAAATTGGAATCCTATTGTTTTTCATTCAAGTTTACTAACTAAATCTACGCCGAATTCTCAGATCTCAATAAAAAAAATCAAAGTTTTCACTCCCCTTTTGTCATTTCCATTTATTCGGAAGTCTGAACCGGATATGTTCCGAATAAAAATTCGGAAATTTTTTTATTGTTTTTTTCCTGACTTCATATTTTTCCCATAGATTCTGAATTTTCTAAAAATAGTTGATAACAAATGCTATGAAACTCGAAAAAACACAATTGTATCGAATTTCAGATTTTTGTGATTTTTTCCAACAATTTTCAAACATCTTTGCTCATCTTTCTCTTTTTTTCTTTCTTTTTTCTTCAGTTTCTTCTTATCCAGTTTGAAACCTGAGATCAGACACATTTGTAAAAAGAATCCCACACAATTTTATTCTACATTTTTTGGTGTTTTACTCATCTTGATTTTAGTAGTTACCCAAAATTTATTTCATTATTTTTTCTTTCCGGCAACATTTTTTATTTTACAATTAGGTGTAAAAATGATAGATGACAAGTGATAAATATCTCTTTTTTTCAATTATTATTTTTTGTTTCACTGTTTCTCTGGTTTTCCTGGTTTTCTTTTGGTTTTTTGTCCGAAAAAATAAAAACAATAAAGTTACTTGAAAAAACACTAAAATGACAATTTTTAATGAGATTCTTCCGCTTTCTTCAACTTTTTTTTGTTGTTTTCATAACTCCTAGTTTTTATTATTTGGGATTAAAATTCCCTGTTCGAAATATGTCTGTCAGTTGCACTTTTCTAGCACAGCAAAAATATGAGTGAAATGTTTATAAAGAAAAAGGTCAGCTGAAAAAGCAACAAATTCCTTTTTTTGCTTTTTCTCGTTGTCATTTTGTTTCTTTGAAAATCTGAATCTTCTTGTTGAAATTCAAAACCGGAAATTGCCATATTTGTCCAGTATGTTTTGATCTATTGTTCCCCTTTTCGATATTTCGGATTTCTTGTTTTCATGGATGAGTTAGGAAGGTTTTTTGCAGGATCATTTGACCAATTTTTTGACGTCACATGTGTCACTTTCTGCGATTTTTAAATCGTTGAACTTTTCAAATGATGATTTCGAATTTTTTACTGAAAAAAAGAGTATTGAAAAAGTACAGTCTACAACTGATTTTGGAAGTTCAACTAGATAGAAAATGATATAGTTAATTTCGAATCCATAGATTTCAGAGTTGAGATTTTTTTGAATTTTTTCACAGAACTTTTGACTTCAAAGGATACCTCTAATTATTCATCAAATTTTAATTTTTTCAATTAAAACAAATTTACATTCCAAAACTTTTAGTTGTCATCCCATACACCTCTATAAATTTGTTTTTTGAAAGCTTAGAATTCATTTTTTTTAATTTTCAAAAATATATCTCAAATCATCAAAAACAATTTTATGATGTGGATTCATTTTTTGATTTACAAATTTAGTATACACAGTGTGTATCTGACAATTTTTCTCGAAATCCAAATTCAATAATATTTTCTATTCTTCTTTCCGAACACCTTTTTTATCGCAACAAAAAACATCTAAACATTTTAGTGTCTGTGACATTTCCTACTCTCACAGCTTGAAGGCGGGTTGATGGTAGATATACATATATACATGAAGAAGCAACACCAACACCACCACCACCAAAAAAAACTCTCTCTTTTTGCTCCGTTTTTTTGTGTTGCTTCTCAAAAAAGTTTAATTTATGTTTACGAGCATATGTTTCGTTTTTGGTCAATGCCACCACCACCAACACCAAGAGAGGCGAAAAAAAACTTGAGATGGATTTGTTTTTTTTTTGTGTGCTTCTTCATTCTCTCTTCCGTTTTTTTCATTTTTTATGAAATTTTTTTTCGAGAAGCGACAAGATTGTTATAATTGAGTGCACTTGTAGGAATTTTCTCGGGAGGCCAAAAAAATCAAAAAAAAAACTTCTAGTGTTGCAAAATTGTGGTGGCGGATGCGCTAAACAAAAAAAAAACTTTTTTCTTGACATTTTCACGCCCTTGTTGTGCTGCTGATATACACACAAACACACAAAAAAACTCGCATTTTTTTCCCTGCAGTCGCAGTTTTGATTCTGGCCTTTGTTCGTTTTCAGCCAAAAACAGCTCCACCCCCACCCTAACACCAACAAAAATGTATGTTTGTGTGGTGTGTCTAGATATATCTCTATTTCATATTTCAACTTTTTTTGTGTTCCTTTTGTTGTTCCAACAACAAGAGAAGATTTTGCGAGAAAGCGAACAAAAAAAGTTGAGGAGACTATACATTTTTCTGACAGTAGATTTTTTTGGCGAGAAGATTAATGGAAAATGCTCATCTCTTCTTCCTGTTTCAGTTTCAAGATTTCCACTTTTTCAGCTCAAAAAACTCCAAAGATTTTTGAAACACTATGGAGTTGTAAATTATGCGCATTTCCAATTTTTTCTTGCCTTTTTACTCTACAAAGATTTTTTTTGGCAACATTTGCTCTTTTTACCAAAAAAAGGAAAAAACTTTGTAATTGAGATCTCGGAAGTTTGTGCTCTTTGCACTGTTTGCAAAAAAATTGACATATTTTTTGCAACTAACTAACAAAATTGCATTTTGAGTTTTGCCACTGCATTCTATTTTATTTTATTTTATCTGAAAAGTAGATGAGAAAAAAGTGCAATTAGAACAAAATGAAGTGCGAATTTCAATATTGAGAATGAGAAGATGAAAAAATTCCAAATTTTTCTTTTACGAATTTCAAAAAAAAATTTCGAAAAGATATGAACAAATGTCTGAAATTCGAATAAAGACCAATTTATCAAAGTACAACACGAAATTTGTCAATTTCCAATCTTTTCTGCTTCATTTTCTTTGCTTTTCCTTTTTTGTCCCCCGTTTCTTAGCTCATCCATGAAAATTGCTCTTTGTAAAGGGTGTGTGTGTGTTTTTTCGAGCATTGTTCATTTTGAATTAGAGAGTCCGTAGATTTCAAATTATAGTCTCTTTTTTTGAGATGTTCTCAAGTGACGGAACATCGTTTTTTTTGGGAGTTCATAGCCAAAAAAAAAATTACATGAGAGATTCCACTATTTTTCTTTTTCAAAAATACTGTGCAATTTACTACCTCCAACCACAAGGTAAATTTTTTGATGGATTTGGCTTTTCTGTAGAATTTCATCGATGTTCTTGAAACCCTTGAGAAGTTTAACTAACTTCACATTAGAAATTTCATTGAAACATCATTTTTCAAATTTTTAATTTTTCAAAAATTAAACAATTTTTGCATCGAATTCTGTGAAAATAACAGTTTAATACAAAAAAAATTATTCTCAAAATTTTAATTTTCAAAAAAAACTGTTTCAAGTTATATTTTTAAACATTTGTAATCCATCAAAATAACACCGTTTGGTTTTAAATTTTCACCTTACAAATCAGGATATTTAGGTTATTTTTATAAACATTAATGGTAGAAATGTTGGAAATTCTTGAATTTTTTTCTTCAAATTCATAAAAGCTCAAATGTTCAACCAACTCCAAATTCTAGAACCCATTGAAACAAAAGTACATAGACATAACTATACCCAAAAATTTCAAAAATTCATAACTCACTTGTTCGCATTCTCTCTCTCTCTGTCTTTTATTTTTGTCTATTATTGCTCATCTTTCCGTCACGCGTCAATTGAGTTGACCTGACCAAGTTCCATAATTTCAAATGCTATATGTCTTTGCACTATATGTTTTCTGTTTTGTTTTTACTTCTTTTTTTGGCTCTCATCAACAAATTAATTTCATTTCATTTCATACAAAATAAGATATCTTTCCTTTCGTATTTTTTTTTGAAAAAAATTTTGTGAATTCAGAAAATTCGGTGGCACATTTCTAGTTTCCATCATCATCATTTATAATTTCATGAAATATTTTTGATCAAAATAATTGAAAACAAAAGACACAGTGACATCAACATATCGCGCTTTAAATCAGTTTTTCCGATTCCGGAATGTTCCTTCGGAAATTCTGGAATCAATGGACTTTGGAGGAAAATGCACGTCGTATGACAATAACTGTATTGCCTTCGGGTACCAAAAAAGTTCATTTAAAAGAGCCCAACGAGTTAGCCGAATTATATCCGGATCGTGCAAATGATAAAGGTTTGTTTTGATTTTTTTTTGTTGAAAACATAAACCAGATTAAAATTGTACACATTTTTTATTATTTGATAAATACATGTCTATCTAGCTAAAAAATCTATAAAAAAAATCAGAGGGACTAACACTTTCTAACTAACTCATGTATTTCTCCACGTTTTTCTTGCCTTTTTTTGGCTCAAGAATATGTGCTCTCAAATTGATAAATGACTGTGTGTGTGTGTATCCTTATATATCCTCTCCCCCTCTTTTTCTCTTTATTTTTGTTTAGTTTGGTGAAGAAGACAAAAAATTGTGGCGTGGCGGTGTAAAAGAGGAAAAAGGCCAAACAACTTTTTTTTCGGCTCAAAAAATTTTGGAATTTAGGGAAAATTCTAATGGTGACCTGAAGTGGGAAAACTTGATGGAAGAGGAAATGTGAAATGACAAGGTTCTGAAAAATCTGGAAATGGGGAATTTATAAATTTTTCGAGTCCAGGTTCTGTAATCCAAGTATTTTGACTGAAGAAACTTCCCCGTTTTTGACATCAAAATCTATTTCAAAATTTTTTGTAAAAGCTGGAAATTGAAAAAAAAAACACATCCAGAAAAAGTTTTCGTATTCTCATCAAAGTTCAGATTTATAAAATTACCTCGAAATGGAAAATTCTGAACGTTCTCATGTTTCATAATTAATTTTGAATGAATACTATGATGCTTTAAAAGTTTCTTCATTTTTGCCAATTTTCAAAGTTCAATGAACGATTTGAAAATGAGAGTTGTCATATTTTTTGTTGAAATCTAGATTTTTGAGACCCGATCACATAGCTTTCAAAATCAAATTTCCAATTCTCACAGATCCACAAAAACAATAACATCAAATCTTTTCCCATGTTTTCTTCTAAATATATATGTATACATCATAAATGAATCTAAAAAACCCTATAAAAACTGCATTAGCATCTCTGATTAATGCACATAAAACCTTCTTCATTATGGTCTCCTCATTTTTCATCAAATCTCACTATACTTTTTAGTAGATCAAAAACATTTATTTCAATCATTCAGTTTTTCACTTACACCTAATTCATCAAACAAATATTTTGTCAAACAACTGTTTCATTGTGGGTTGAAATGAGTTCTAATTTTATATATTTTATGAGGGATTTTCAGAAAAACAGGAAAAACTATTAATTTTTACTGCTTATAAAACTCATTTCTTTTGAAAATTGTTTTCAATAAATAATGATGACAGCAAAAGTTGACTTCTTTTTTCATTATTTTTTTTTTCACATTGGCAAAAAAAATCCATCTACCCAATGTGAGATGAACCCAAATTTCATAAATTTTTCAATAGGAGTCAGTTTTAATTAGGTCCATCCCTTTTCAACTACCCGAATCGGCCACTTCCTTTTTCTTATATGTTTCTTTTCTCATTTTTTTGCCAGTTGGCCTTTTTTTGTTGTAAGCTACATGTAGTTAGTTATTTCATAAATGAGGTTGTTGTATAACTAATATATCAAATATGAAGGAAAATGTAGATTAATCAAAAATATTTTCATATTTGTGTGTTTTTAAGGCTTGCAACTCAAAATATTGCACACCCAAAAATATGTATTTATGTGTATATAATTTAGTTTTGAAAACGAAAAAAAACAGAACGACACCACTAACTAGACCCAGTTGAAACAGACTCCTTTTTCCTTTTGCGTTTTTTTTAGAATATTATTTTCTACATCAAACATAAATAAATCTTGCTCCACAATAGATTTATTTTCTTATCCAAGTTCCTGTTCTTTTATTTAGTTTGTTTTGTCTGAAAATTAATTCACATAAGATCTAATTTTAGATATCTTTCCTTTTCCCAAAGAATTTTCTAACAAAAAAGGTCCCTTGTCACCAAAACTATTTGAGCTCAAAAAAAGCCGCCGAAAATTGTTTTTTCTCATTTTTTTTTGAAAAATATTATATTCTTTGAAGCTTTGACAATATGTTGCGATGATATTTTCGCAAGCATTTCGTAACGAACAATTCAGTCCAGCTGTTGCGCTTTTTAGCGCAGCAGGTCTTATTAAAACTACTGCTGGAATAAAAGAGGACGAAGCGAAGAATGATGAACAGAAGAAAGGTTTGTTTGAAGTTTATTCTAATTTTTTGGATGGTGCCAGGAAAATCCTGATGGAAAAATACCAAAATTAAAATTTGTGATTTTCTCTATTTTCTCTCAACAATCTTCCCTTTCTTTAAAAATGTAGCTTCTTATGCTTGAAATATTCAAGAAAATCTGAAATTAAATTAGGTTTTTTTTTTCATGCAATGTTTTTTAATTCATAAAAATTTCATAGGATCTTTCGGTTTTGGAGCATTCAACTGACAACCTAGTATTTTTCAGAAAGTGGAAGATTAAGTTAAGATTTTCCCTATCTCTAGATTTAGGTTTGGAATGGTCTTTTCACTTTTTTTCCAAAATTCAAATTTCTAGAACAAAATTTTTCAGATATCTTAAATATCTATGAATAATTACAACCACCCGCAAAACAAAAATAACCGAAACCCCAAAAAAATGGTTTTTGAACGTTTTTATTTATTTTCAAACTACATTTTTTGTGCATTTGATTAGTTTTTTCTCACTCATTTCACTCTTTCATTTACTCACTCACTCGAAAAAAAACCCAAAACTAACTCAGTTCAGAGACCCATTTCATTGCTCAAAAACCTATAAAAACAACATCATATTTTGATAAATTTATCCATGTATATCAAATATGAATAGGGTTTTTTTGTGAGTGAGAGGATTATATATTTTTTGGCTGGCGAGCTGTTCTTTCAGCCAACCAGAGAGAAATTGAGAAGCAGTGTTTTAATATTTTCGATTGCTATTTTATTGGTCTCTAAGGATTGTTTCTTATAGACTAATTTATTTCTTCAAATGTTCTGAATATTCCATTTTTCCTACTGTATTCTATTTTGTTCTTTATGGGTGTTGTTACTCAATTGGATGCTGAACAATTACTCAAAAAATTGGATAAGATAAGAGGTTTATTTTTTCCCTTTGACTGAACTCTTCAATTTCCTTGTAGAAAAACGAATTATCTTCAAGGGTCTCGTTTTTTTTCGGAACAAAAATGATGTGTTCGCTACAAAATTCATAACTTTTCTTCATCGTGTTCTCGTTGAGAAGATTCCAAAAGGGCAAGAAAAATTTTCAAGAGAACATTTGGAACATTTGAAAGTTCAGGAGCCAGAAACAAGTTCCGAACGTTTTCTGAACTTCTAAAAAAGAGTTTCCTAAATTGTCATCCAAAAAAATTCATAGCAGATTTTTTGTTTCAAACTAGACAACAAAACAAATTTGCATATATGTTTTTTTCCGGTTCAAACAAACTTACTAACAAAATAAAGCAAAAAGAATAAGTTTTTTTTGCTGTGGTTAGACGTTTTTCGACTCCTCCCTCTCCTCCCCCTTATTCTACATATTTCCATATTGTTTCCCAAACAACAGAGTAGTGCCCCCTATTTTTTCTAACTAACTACTTAACATCTCTATTCTTTTGAAAAATGCGTTAAACGATGTTTTTCTACTCACCAAATGTTCAACCATCTACAAGTACAAATACCCATCGTCGACCAACTCTTACTCATCAACATCATCTTCATGTTGGTCATTTGGACACCAGGCTTTCTGTGCAAATTCCTGAGATTTTGAGTCGAAGTTTTTGTGAAGTTGATGGTGTTCGAGTTTTACCGGATCAATTAAGATTGGCTTTAGATGATAGTCAAGAACACACGCAAGCTGCGTCGATTCTGGAAATTTGTGCATCTCCTGTCTCTTCGGTATTTTCAACATCGGAAAATCGACGACAATCTCGACACAAATTGATACTTCGAAGGCCGACGATTTCAATTCAAGAAGATGGAAAAATTGTTATCGGTTACTAGAAAAGTCCACTTGAAACCCATTCAGAAATTATTCAAAATATTCCCAAAAAAATGATTCTCTACTCTAAAAACATTGGTTTTTTCAGATCATGTGACAGCTCGATGGGAAGGTGCTCCAATCAATTCTCAATCCGCATTATTAGACGCCGATGATGGTGCAACAGTGGTCACCGATACAATAAAAGAGGATCAGGAAGATAAAGAGCCAAAAAGTTGTCCTCAACAAACTGTTAAGGTTGGTGGAGCGGAAATTTGAAGAATTTTTGAACTTTTGAGTGAATGTCTGATGAAGATTTTCAGAAATTTTAAAAAGTTCAAATTGCATTTCTCCTGTTTTTATAACTTCCCAGGATGAAATTTCTACTGCCAAATTTTGAAAATGTTTCCACTTAACTTCCTCATCACTTAACTCTCGCTTCAAAACAAAACCGGAAAAAAAATTGAAATCTGAACATGGTCATAAATACGTGTCAACATTTTTCTTCTTCTTTTTTTGTGCGTGTGCTTCTTGCTTCTTGAAAGCAAAAAAATGTAGAGAACAAAAATATTTTCTAAAGTCTCTAGACATTTACTTGTTGCCATTGTGGCACCGTCGATAATTTATCGCCGGTGGGATTTTCTGGTCTCTGATTTGATTTAATTATTTTTGATAAAAATTGTTTTTAATTTGATGATCGAATTTATTCAATGTTTTGAAAAATACAATACTTCAAATGAAAAAAATCTATTTTTTCAAAAATAAAAAAGTTACTATTTTAAGTTAAAAAAAAAAGAAAAACATCATAATGGAATCTCTAGAGACATTTCGTTGCGTAAAACTCGAAAATCTTTGAGTTTGTATTTTTTCTGATGAATTGTTGCAAAATGACTGATGACCTAGTTGAAAAAAACGCTGTTTTGTTGCGAATCCAACAAGTTTTTTTCTTTCCAGTATATCAAAATATTAACACCTCATGTGATATTGGTATCAGTATTGATTGGCTATTTATGTCTGGGTGCTTGGATATTAATGTTACTCGAAACAAAAACCGAACTTCTTGCAAGGTCTCGAAAACTTGTCAAGTTAACTAATGTGATGGCAAATTACACTAGCACAAGTTATAATATGATACAAAACCAACACGTGAATCCGATAACTGATGCTGAATGGGCGGCGCAGTTTAGAGAATGGATGGTTAGTGTTTCGGAAATTGTGGATGATCGGAGGCCGATTCGACAGGAATTGAATAGAGCTGATGATTTATCGAATATGCACAATAAATGGACGTTTCCAACTGCACTTTTATATGTTTTGACTGTTCTAACAACTTGTGGTAAGTCATGGTTAGATAAGGGATGATTTATTGTGATCCCCCCAAAAAAATAATGCTGAACCCTCTCCAAACAATCAAATTTTTCCAGGTTATGGAGAAGTTTCTGTTGACACAGACGTCGGAAAAGTATTTTCCGTGGCTTTTGCTCTCGTTGGTATCCCATTGATGTTCATCACAGCTGCCGATATTGGAAAATTCCTCTCTGAAACATTGCTGAAATTTGTAAGCTTTTGGAATCGAAGTGTTCGAAAAGTGAAACAATGGATAAGTCGAACAAGACACGGACGACGAAAATCATTGCAATCAACGGGTGGACAAAATGATGCACTTGATATTTTGGGAGTCGATGGGACTGAAGAAAAATTATGGTTTCCTATAGGTATTTTTTAGTTTTTTTCTATTTTTTTTTGAAACGCACCAATTTGTTTTTATTGTGAAACATCCTATTTCAAAACCTTCAGAAACTTAATTTCAATTTAAAGAAAAGGTAAATTATAGTTCCAAATGGTGAAACAACAAAACTATGGTTTCCAATCGGTAAGAATTGTAACCTCCTAATATGTTGAAACATCTTGTGTGTTCTAAATATTGATATGATTCCCCCTCCTTCTATCGATTCGAAACTTCTCACTCACTTTCATATTGTAACAATACTTCTCTCTCTCTCTCTCACTGTTTTACCCTATGTATGACTTGACTTGACTTGACTTGAATTGAATCTAAATATTCAAAATGGAATGCGTGAATAACTCCAACCAACCAATGTTTTATATATAATTTCATTTTCAATTCTCAAACAAAAAAAAACAGTTTTATTTTCCAGGTGCCTATGTCTCATGTATATGCTTATACTGCTCAATGGGTTCAGCAATGTTCATTACTTGGGAAAGGTAATTTTAATTTTAAATTATACTCTCACACAAATAAATTGGAATGTTTCAGAGACTGGTCTTTCATTCATGCATTTCACTTTGGTTTCAATTTGATTGTGACTGTTGGATTAGGAGATATTGTGGTCGATGATTATATTTTCTTATCATTGATTGTTGCGTTTGTTATTGTTGGTGAGTTTGAAAAAATTTAGTATTTCAGAAAAAAAACTTGAAAATCCAATATTTTATCTAAAAGTTATTTTTTCTGAATTTACTAGTTAACATTAAAATGTATTTTTATTTTTTTATAAATTACCCACAAATATTAAAATTAACTTTAATCATAATTTTTTCACATATTTTTATCACAGGTCTATCGGTGGTAACAATGTGCGTTGATTTGGCATCAACTCATCTCAAAGCCTACTTCACTCGAATTCATTATTTCGGAAGAGCTAAAAGATTCCTTGGAATGAGTGAAGAATTGAAAGAAATTGTAGCATTGTTGGGTGCGATGCGAAGGAAGAAGGGTGGAAAGGTATGGCATGTTTTTATATAAAAAATTAATTAATTAATTAATTATTTGAAGGTAACTTGGAATGATGTTCGAGATTTCCTTGACAATGAATTACGAGATCGGCCGTTTGAGCCGCATGAGTTGTTAATGAAATTGCGGTTTTATTGATGAGACATCATCAGGTATAGGTTAGCGTTTTGTAATTTTGTAGTGTTGTAGCTCTTTCCTATTTTGAACTGAGTTTAATTTGAGCTTAAACTATTGATAAAAAAATAAAAAAAAATTTAGGAATGTCAACAATCCGTCACAATTCATTCCAATCCGATTTCTTCCGTGAATCCGAGTATATTCGACGTGTTGCCGCTTTGCGACCAGAACAACCAGCATATTTGTGATGATTTTTCAATCATTTTAATTTTAGGACATTTTTCCCATTCATTTTTTGTCTCTCTTCTCTTTCAAAATATCTACTGAATATGCACATACTGGTACCATCAAGCTTTTCTTCACAAATTTTTAAACATTTTGAAATGTAATCTGCTTTTTCAGTGTCATTGTCAAAGAATCTGAAAACTTCAAAAAAAACTTGACCCGATCTTTCAGCAAAAAGATTATCATCACAAAATCTATTATTTTCTCTTTCTATGTAAAAATTCAATTTACGTCAAAAAATAAAGCATTTTTGGTTTTTGAAATTTTTATTGTGTCTGGGCAAAGATATAAAAAGGCAACTACAAAATAATACAAATACTCAATATAATTATGACGAGGAAAAAATAAGGAATAAAATACTGGAGAACAAAAAAAAACAAAATAAATTTAAATAGCACTTTTATGTTGAATATTTGAGGTGACAATTCCTCCCGGACCAGCCAATGTGGTTTTGCCCATAAGATATTCATCAACTTGTCGAGCAGCTTGACGTCCTTCATGAATAGCCCAAACAACCAACGATTGTCCACGACGACAATCTCCAGCTGCAAACACTTTGGCAACAGCCGAATCATATTTATCCTTTGGTGTAAGAATGTTGGATCTTGGATCAGTCTTCAAATTGAGTTGTTCGATAACAGTCTTTTCTGGTCCAACGAAACCCATCGCAAGGATACACAAATCAGCTTCAATCACACGAAGTGTATCAGCTTTTTCAATCAATTTCCAAGCGCCCTTCTCATCCTTCTCCCATTCAACATTCACAATTTCCAATCCGGTCAAGATCTTGGTTCCCGATGAATTTGTTGTTGTCAAGAATCGCTTGGTTGACACTGAATATGTTCGTGGATCAGATCCAGTCAATTCCTTGGCTTCTTCATGTCCATAATCGGTTCTGAAGATGAGTGGCCATTCTGGCCATGGATTTTCTGGTTTGCGACCTTCGGTGGGTTGTGGGAGGATCTCAAATGCTCCAACAGTTTGGCAACCCTGAAAATTGTATGGTTCTAGATTGAAATTTTGTAGTGCTATCAAAAACTCACCAATCTGTTACTTGTTGCAATACAATCAGTTGCAGTATCACCACCACCAAGAATGATAACCTTCTTTCCAGCAGGATCCAAACCTTCCCAAGCAATCTCATCACCAGCGCGTCTTCTTTGACTCTTCTCCAAGAATTCCATAGCAAAGCAAATTCCTTTGGCATCACGTCCATCGACAGTCAAATCACGAGCTGTTGTCGAACCAGTGCACACGATAATCGCGTCATTTTCTTTGAGCAAAAAGTCGGCTGGCACGTGTTTCCCAATTTCAGTGTTGGTGAGGAATCGAACTCCTTCTTGCTCCAACAATGTCAATCGGCGATCAACGACAAATTTGTCGAGTTTCATTGTTGGAATACCGTAGCGAAGAAGACCACCGCAACGATTCTTACGTTCGTAGACACAAACATTGTGTCCAACTTTGATGAGTTGCGCGGCAGCTGCCAAACCAGATGGTCCAGATCCAATAATTGCGATTCTCTTTCCAGTGTTGAAGTTTGGCTTGTGTGGCTTCATCCATCCTTGCATAAACGCATAATCAATGATGGCGCATTCAATCGATTTGATGGTCACTGCTGGAGATCCAATACCAAGACAACAAGCACCCTAGAACATTATAATATATTTTTTTTGAACTCTGATTCTCAAGATCAACAACTAACCTCACAAGGCGCTGGACAAACTCTTCCGGTGAATTCTGGGAAGTTGTTCGTTTGCAAAAGTTGCTCGAGAGCTTGTCGCCAATTCTTCTTGAACACATAATCATTCCATTTTGGAATAATATTACCAAGTGGACAACCGGAATGTCCTTGACAGAATGGAACACCACAATCCATACAACGAGCTGCTTGTTCGCGAATGTTGCTGCGAATCGCTTCAAAATCGTACACCTCGTCCCAATCACCCAAACGTTCTTTGGCATTGCGGTAAATCTTCTTTTGACGGTTGTATTTGACGAATCCTCTGGAAATTTTTTTTTGATGATCAATATATTTTTTTGGGTCCAGATCTTCATATTTCCATTGAGACGTATCTCCAACTCACCTCAATTTATCGAGTGGTTCCTTCTTTTGAAGATGTGCTGGAACACCCAACGATTCAATATCAGTCGACATTTTCTTCGTTGGTTGGAATTCCTCCTCATCTGAATGATCTTCAATATCAGACTTCGTTTCATTTTCCTCCTCTTCGAAATCAGCACTTTCTTGCAAATCCTCCTCATTTTCGAATCCAGCCAAATCCTGTGGTCTCAAACTCTTGGACAGTTTTCGACGACGATTGTCAATGAGCTGGAAATGAATTATTAATTTTTTTTTGAATTTTTTTACTGAACTCTAGTTCTCTTTACATGCCGGGCGGTTTTTTTTTCTCAATTTCTATCACAATCACAATCTACTCTAAACAATACCTTGGGGACGTGTAAATGATTAACATCTTCCTGTGAAACAACAATTCAGTAATGAAATTACAATTTTCCCATACAAAATTAAAAAAAAACACTCACAATACTCTTCTTTCTTTGCGAATCACGTTTCTTGGCAGGTCTGAGAGTTGGAGCAATTTGCATATCCATGGATAATGTACGAGTTCTTGGGTGTGATTCAACAGACAACAAAGCCGATTCTTGATTCGATTTCTCAATTTCAGCTTGACGTTTCTCCTCCTCTTTCTTCTCGAGAAGTACACGTTTATAATCTCTTGGGAAGACTTTGATAATGTTGGATTTTTCCTTTGACCAGTTATCAATGATTCGTTGGGCGAGTTCGGAACCAGTGATTTTTGCGAATGAGCTGATTTGTTGGTAGATGTAATCAATGTCTTCAGCGTCAGGCGAATCAAGATCAACGGTAGCCGCATTTACCAAGCTGGTGAAGTTGTTTCCTCTGAAATTATAGATTTTTTTTGAAAAAAATAAAATAGAGAATAAATGGAACTTACTGATTGAACAAGTAGGCAATTCCACCACTCATGGCAGCTGCGAAATTTCTACCAATGGTTCCAAGAACAATAACTCTTCCACCAGTCATATATTCACAACCATGATCACCAACCGCTTCAACAATCGCATTTGCTCCCGAATTTCTGACAGCAAAACGTTCACCAGCCACACCACGGAACATACAATCACCAGACGTTGCACCATACAACGCAACATTTCCGATAATCGAATTCTCTTCCGACTTGTATCCAGCATTCTTTGGTGGGAAGACATGAATTGTACCTCCGGACAAACATTTTCCAACATAATCGTTAGCATCTCCTTCAAGTGAAACATGAACACCTTTGGCAAGGAATGCGCAAAATGATTGACCAGCGTGTCCGATCAAATTGATGGTAAGCCCTCGTTTTCCTTCGAGACCGGTTTCACCATATCTTTTCGAGATTTCATATGAAATTCGAGTTCCGAATGCTCGATCCAAATTGGTGATTGCTTGATTGTTGAAAATCTTGTGTTCACCTTCACCTTCAAAAATTGGATCAAGTTGTGGCAAAAGACCAGTTTCCAAAGCTCCCAGCTCAATTCGTTGTTTAACAGATCCACCCTTGATCGAAACATTTGGATACATGTGTTGAGCATTTTTCAAAATTGATCCGAATTCGAGAAGTGTTGCCTTCTTGTTAACTGGATTTGGAGATGCATACAACAAATCAGTTCGTCCAATTGCTTCTTCAAGTTTACGAAGTCCAAGTTTTGCCAAGAAATATCGAACTTCTTCAGCAACCATAAACATATAATTGACAACATGCTCAGCTTTTCCCTCGAATTTGGCGCGAAGAACCGGATCTTGTGTGGCGACTCCAACTGGACAAGTGTTCAAATGACACTTTCTCATCATTGTGCAACCCAAAACAATCAATGGTGCAGTCGACATTCCAAATTCATCGGCTCCAAGAAGTGCGGCAATCATCACATCACGACCAGTTCGAATTTGTCCATCGGCTTGAAGTACGATTCTTGAACGAAGATTGTTCATTGTAAGCACTTGATGAGTTTCAGCAACTCCAAGTTCCCATGGAAGACCAGCGTGTTTGATTCCAGTCCAGCTGAAAATGTTTATTTTTGTACAATTCTTGTTTTTTTCACATACCTTGATGCTCCAGTACCACCATCGTGTCCAGAAACAGTGATATGATCAGCATTTCCTTTCGCAACTCCTGACGCAATAATTCCAACACCAGCTTCTGACACGAGTTTGACACTAACACGAGCCACTGGGTTAGCGCATTTCAAATCGTAAATGAGCTGAAAAATTATTCCAATTCCTAACAGTAATTTTTTTCTCGAGACAGAGATTATGTATTTTCAAAAATTCTTTTTCTACTTTAAAAATTTCGTATTCATACATCGTGTGAAAAAATATTAGTGTTTTTTCAACCACTTTTTTTTCCTATTGTTTTCTAACGATGTTTTGTTTTGAAAATTTCATTTCTGTCTTACCTGAGCAAGATCCTCAATACTGTAAATATCATGATGTGGTGGTGGTGAGATCAATCCGACACCAGGTGTTGATTTTCTGGTATCAGCAATATCCTTGCTGACTTTGTGTCCTGGCAATTCTCCACCTTCTCCAGGCTTTGCACCTTGTGCCATCTTGATTTGCAACTCATCAGCGTTCGCCAAATACGATGAGGTAACACCGAAACGTGCTGATGCGACTTGTTTGATAGCCGATCGAAGGTTCTGATTCGGATCTTGATCTTTGCGATATCTCTCTGGTTTTTCACCACCTTCACCAGTATTCGATTTTGCGCCAATGCGATTCATCGCAATAGCCAAAGTTGTATGAGCTTCCCATGAAATCGAACCGAATGACATAGCTCCAGTCACAAATCGCTTGACAATTTCACTAGCCGGCTCGACTTCTTCAATTGCAATCTGAATCTTCTTGCTGGTTTTGATCTCCAATTGTCCACGAAGACTGCACCATCTTTGAGCCAAATTCGATGCATCCGAATATTCGTGGAATGTTTTCGGATTGTTCAATCTGGTGGCAGCTTGAAGTTTGGCAATTGCAAGTGGCTCATTGATATGTTTTTCTCCACCAGCTCTCCAATGGAAAGTTCCACTTGCAACAAGTGTTTTTGAATCACCTAGAAAATCAATAATTTTTTATCTTGAACCACCTTTTTCTGCCTCTACAAAACAACTCTATTTCAAAAAAGCCTAAAATCATGCACACAACACACACATATTAGGTTAAAACTACACTCTAGTCTTGTTAACAAGCCTCTTACCATATTGAAGTCCATGTTTTGGTGTGTCTAAAAAAGGACACTCAAAAATATGTTTTTTTTTTGTTTGACAATTAGAAAAATGGTATGAGAATAGGTAAAAGAAGAACTGTGAGACCCTCCACCTCCGGTGATGTAGAAGTTATTTTTCTAGTATTGTTTTGCTTACCAAAAGTAGCCTCTTCAAGTGTCGGATAGGCAGATTTGTGGCGTTTCAGCGCTTCGGCGGCGAGAATCTCGAAGGTTGCTCCACCTAGGCGGGATACGGTATTTTTGAAGCACATATCGACAACTTCTTGAGCCAATCCAACAATTTCAAAAATTTGAGCGTGCTGTAAAAGGGTGAATGTTTGAACGTTGAAGTTCAGAAATTCTTTACCTTGTATGAGTGAAGTGTAGAAATTCCCATTTTGGCCATAACTTTGAAAATACCACGTTCAACTCCTTGTCGATAACCAGTATAAACTTGATCATCATTCAAATCCTTATCCAAAAGTCCCAAATTGCGAAGACGGAACATTGTCTCATAAACCATATACGGACAAATGGCATCGGCTCCAAAACCAAGAAGCACACAAAAATCGTGTACAACACGCGCTTCACCAGTCTCAACAATAATTGCAACTTTCATACGAAGACGATGTTTGATGAGGCATTGGTGGATTGCACCAACTGCCAATAAAGATGGAATCGGCACATTTTCACCGCTCGCATTTCTGTCGGATAACACCAAAAGTTGATAGCCATCAAGAGCAGCGGTGCAAGCTTCACAGCACATTTTATCGAGTCCCGGAACAAGACCTGAAAATACATATGTGTTATCTGTTATTTTTTCATTGAATAGAAAGTACTTTTCCAAAGATCTCATCTTATTTTTCTTTTTTCTAGTAGATGTGTTTTCTTTGTTAGGAGGTGAGGTGAGAAAATAATTAGAATCGAATCCATTCTCACGTCTTTCTTGTTTATCTACGGGTTTTTCTAGGAAACACTAGCAAATTATGAGAACAAGTTGCCAAAATTAGGCTGGCTAACTTTCATTATGCAACAAAAATATTCTACTGGGACCTAGAACAACTTTGTCAAATTATGTTGACTTCCTCATTATTTTTTTTTCGTGTTGTTGTTTCGCCCCATCAAACTCATTCTCCACTATTTTCTTACTACTTGTTTTTTTTTTCATCATCATTATGTTTCCTTATTCTGCTGTTTTCAACCCACATTTCCAGAAAAAACAAACCTTTAACTCCATATTTGACTGGGAAAGTGATATCAATAACTTTTGCTTTCCATCCCTTGTACATTGTGCGTTTGATAACCTGCAAATTTCAAAATCATTATTACTCATGTCTAGTAATCTTGATTAGCCAAATCCGTGACGTATGTATGTGCACTTTTCTGTGTTGCTCACCTCAATATCAACCATCGACAAAATTGGTTGTTCCAAGATGAGACGACTTGCAAGTTCCGCATCCGGTTCCAATATATTTGATTCTGGTCCAACAGGGCATCTTAATGACATCACAATTTGCTCGCGGAATGGATCAATTGGCGGATTGGTGACCTAAAGACAGATTGTTTGTGTTGTTTTTTGTTAGGACTTTTTACACTCCGGAAATATCTTAGGTTTTTTTTTTCGAAAATAGGATTCTTGAACTATCAAAGTTCTGATCTCTGGGGTTTTTTTTTTCAACATTTTTTGATATTCCGAACAAAATTCAAAAATGTTTTGTTCCCCAATTCAAAATATTGGCAATTTTTAGGATGCGGGGGCTATTTTACATCACTTCCAAAATTTTTTTGCTGATTTTAATGAATCATGAAACATTAATCAAGTTTGAATTACTTTGAAAGTTTCTGACGTGTTTTTCATATTTTTAGAGAATTGTGTCTAATATTTTCAACTTATGAAAAACGTTCTGCGAGAAACATCAATTTTTATCCCAAAAAATTCATGTTAAAGAGTACTTTGTTGTTCAAACACCAAACTTTTTGTATAAACTATCTCAATTCTATCTAGCTTCTTCTCTTCATCTAATTCATTGGGGGCTCTTGTTTTTCAGCATTTTCAAAATGCTTTTGCTGATTTTAATGAATCACTCGACGCTAATCCAATTTAGAAATATTATCGTTTCCCAGAAATCACGTGAGCAAACCAATAATCACATTACTCACAACTTCCCAGAGGAGCACACTAATGATAAATTTACCTGTGCAAAAAGTTGTTGGAAGTAACTGAAAAGCAATGGACTGTAATCCGAAAGGCAAGCAAGAGCAGCATCATTTCCCATAGATCCAAGAGCTTCTTTTCTGTAAAAAAAACAATTGGTTTGGACTAGATTATTATAGTTTCATACTTCTCTTTGATCATTGGTACAAGCAACAAACTGAAAGTGTCATGTGTATAAGCATATAATGCCAATCGACGATCCGAATCCAAATGAATATCCTTCTTTTTCGTCAATGATCCACTAACTTGTTCCAAATGCCAACGAATGAGATAATCATTTGTGACAGCACCATGCGATAGCTATAATTTTTTTGTACATGTACTTATCAAAACAAAAAGAGCACGTAATTTTTCATTTTTCCTTGTCAAGAAAACCCAAATTATCGCTCTCTACATAACTCGTTATTATTTTTTCTTGTTTTCCGGGATGACATACATGCCATATTTTATCGAATTTCTTTCTTCATTCTCGGAAAATTTTTTGTAGGATATTTTTTTTGAGCAATCCCTCTTTTTTATGAAAAATGGATTTTCTTATTTTTTCTCCAAAACAAAAATTATAGGCCTTTCATTATATTGTCACACTCTCTTCGGCTCGTTAATTTTGTGACGCTAGAGAGAAATTACTGTACTTCTAATTTTAGCATTGAAATAAAATGAGTTATGTATGAGGAAATAAGGAAACTATTAATTGATTAATTAATCAACTATGAAATGAATAAATTAAACTTACAACATCATCTTTTCGCAAAAGATCCAAATAGATACGTTTTGATGAAAGAGCTTTATGTGGTCTTGACAAAGCGATACGTTTTTTCAAATCCTCGTCAAGTTCAATTTTCTTGAGTTGTGTATCAACCAAAAGCATACGACCAGGTCGAAGACGATCCTAAAAAACAACATTTTTTAAATTTTTTTTTTAATGTATAGGGCTTTTTTCTATTCTTTCTTATATCTGAATGTTTCATTCTTTCAACAACAGAAAAAGTACAAAGTATATCTCATTTGCCCCCAAAAAATTGCATTCCCAAGAGATATGATTAATTCTTCAACTAATTTTTCTCCGCCTCCTCTTTTTTTTTCTGATAATTATTCATCATCATTTTTTGTCCAGAGCTTGTTATTCATTTTTGAAATTTGAAACTTTTGCTGTCGACGTTGAGAAAGAAGTCTCAATTAGTCAGCGACGAGTAAAAAAACTTCTCACTTTTGCCTCTTTGCAGGTACTCCCCCGCCGGCTTCACAGCAAAAACTACTCTGAATCAACCATGACATTTTTGCACAATGTTTTGTTAGTTATTCTATTCGCTGCCGTTATTGTCAGTCCATTTCAATTGATGCAACCAAAACGGATATTGCATGCGGACAAAAATGATTTATTTCGTCGACAAGCAACCTTCTTAAGTGGAGGTAAATCGGTTGCTAAACCAATTCAGCCAGAAGAACCAGTTCAACCAGAAAAAGAAGAGCAAAAAGATGAGCCAAGTTTCCTTCAACAACTCGAACAAGCTTCCTATTTCGAACCGTATGAGAGTGCAATTGTTGCCAAACGTTTGCGTGGAGAACCAATCCGTTTTGGAAAACGATCACCCCGCGAACCAATTCGGTAGGTTTCAGAACGCATATTTTTGGATATGAAATAAACCATATTTCATTTCACCAATTCGTCATTCCCGTTCCACCAATTTGCGCATTTCCAACATATATTTTTTCATTCAAAATCCGAAAAATTCCCCCCAAAAACAAAGAGCAATTAATCATCTAACTCTTCAAATTTTCAGTTTCGGCAAACGCTCAAACGACTACGATTTCCAATAGATTCTTCATTCAACCAACACGTTCCTCATCTTCTTTTGTAAATGTTCATTTTTGTGATGCTTTGATTTTTCACACTTTCTATGATTTTTCTTTGCTTGTGTGGTTAATAAATGTGGTTGAATTCCGCGAGGAATCGACATAGATCCGTTAAATCTTCTTGATTGTTTAATTGAGAAAATACTCAATGATCCGAAACGTGTGGGTGTCTTCAAAACTAATAAAATGTGCTGCATCAAAATGAAAAAACTGTATTCCAAGAATAATCCAAGTTTTCCAAAAACTATCAAATTTCAAATCTATTTTCCTTCCAATTCAGAATAAAAATCCAAGCCGAATAAAAAAATATTCCTTCGTTTTTTCTAAATTCTTTTCAATAGGTTGCTCTTTTTTTGTTGCACCAATTATTGCTCCAACACAAAATGACGCATAAAATGGCGCGAAAAAAGCAATGAAAAAAAAGTTGCCTACACAATACGTGAAACACTTTTGAACCTCAACCTCAATTGTTGTCACCCCTCCCCCTCCTCCAAACAAAGAGAGGTGCCAAGAAAAAACTTATATAAATATAGCGAAATAAAATTGGTCCCAACTACTTTGGCAATTAGAAAGCCAAGACGAAAATGTCGAACTTTTCTTCCATTTCATCTTTCATTTTCATTTCGATTCACCTCATAAATATATATTATTTTTTCCGTTATATTTTTAAACCACCATAAAATTTATAGCATGCTTGCTCAGTCAAGCAATGAATTATAGGTATAAAAACATCCAAACTTTTATTTTGACACATTATTTTTTACCTACAACAAATTTCGAAACTGGTTCCTATATCTTTTTTCCAAAATTCAAATCCAACAATACATAAATTTTCAGGTCTTGTCGGTAATTTCAACAAAATGAGTTCTAATCTCTTCATTATTCTTCCAGTTTTATTCGTTATTGTTGTATCAGCACAAGAAAGTGAGTTAGAATAACTAAACTTCTTTTTCAAACTTCTAAACCTCAGATGACAAAGAGCTATCGGGAAAACGAGCTCCGTTGGGAACAATGAGATGGGGAAAACGATCGGTCGATTTGGACGACGACCAAGTTGGTTTCAATCTTTATGAACGTGATGTTCGCTCGCCATTGGGAACTATGAGGTTCGGTAAAAGATCAGGTGAGCCTAGAGTTCAAGTGGGGACCTCTTAAAAATATGTTTTTTTGTCTAGATGGACCACTTGGAACAATGAGATTCGGCAAAAGATCAGGTAACTAGAAAAATTGAAGTTTTCTTGATGAAAAAATTCAACAAATGATTTTAGATGTGCCATTGGGAACAATGCGATTCGGAAAACGATCAGGTAAATAGGATCCTAGGTTTGGTAAGGTTAGACAATTTTTATAGACGAGCCATTTGGAACAATGAGATTCGGAAAACGATCAGGTAAATTAGTCCGGAAGAATTCAAAAAATAATTTTTGCTAAATTTCAGACGAACCATTCGGAACCATGAGATTTGGAAAACGTTCAGGTAAGCTAAATATTGATAAGTGACATTGATTATGAGATTATTGAATTTCAGATGAGCCGTTTGGAACCATGAGATTCGGAAAACGATCAGGTAAATTTCTAAAACCTAATTCCTCCTCCTAACTTTATTTTTTCTAGATGAACCATTCGGAACAATGCGTTTTGGCAAAAGAGATCCATTGGGAACAATGCGATTCGGAAAGTAAATCGTCAAAATCCATTTGTATTCACATGTCATTTTCTTCTTGCAAAACACACACACACAAACAATTTTTCTGTCTTTTTTTGATGATTTTTTCCTAAAAATGTGCGAATAGATCGTGGAATGAATTAATGTTATTTAACGTTTTCTTACATTTTTTTTGTTGGGTGAAAAAAAATTACACGCATCGTTCAATCCCCGTCAAAACTTCCGGTGTTTTGACTTTTCCAAAAAAAAAACCGGTGGGAAAAAAACATAAAGTTCCCGGATTTTTCTCAATGACATCAAAAAAGTGTGAATTAATTATAAAAAAGAAGAAAAATCTAAATCTAGCGGACCATAAGGGCTAAAATAAATTGGTAAATTATTCAAGAATATTATAATGTGGGGTGTTGAAATATGACGTTTTTTGAATCGAAAGCTGTTATTTTCTAAAATCTAATTTTAGAAGTATCAATTTCAAATATCCAGACATAAATTGTTGTTTTCATTCTTCTAAAAAATAAAACTAGAAAATCTTCTCTTCTATTTTTTGAGACAAAAAACGTCCCATCCCTTTCTCTGATTTATTTTGGACAAGACAAAAAAAAATAAAATTTGTTTTCAAGTGCATAGTTTAGTCAAATTGTAGGACTTCACTTTACAAATTTTAGCCTCTGTCTTGTTTTGAAAAACTATTCTATTTTTGTGAAATACTGATTCTCTGAAATCCTCATTTGATCTATGAACTTGGCGGAAATACCCGTGCGATAAACAATGAAGAACACGATACGAAATCAAATTTCAACTCAGATTTCTGAACGTTTTTCGATGTCATTTCTAGCTATTTGTATAAGTTTCTGGTGTTTTTTTGTTCAAAAATTTATTGATTTTTCTAAATTAAAATTGAAATTGAAACCAGAGAGCATGAAATTATATTTTTCAGTACTGTGCCAATATGTTTCCTTATAGATACAAAATATGTATTTCTTCATTTTCTGAAAAGCTAGAATTCTTTTCCTAGCTTCTGTTATTTTGCCAAAAACATCAGTTCGAGTTACAAGCCTAATACAAAAAAATCAGCTGTGATTTTCCCGAATCAGATTCTTAATTTTCCAATCTCAAGAAGACATGTGTTTTTATTTACAAATCTATGATTATTCTACAAAAGAATCCCGTAGATCACCAAAAATCAAACCATAGATGAATTCTTCACATCATATTTCTTCTTCTCAATTCCCACTTATTTTTCCCTATTCATAAATGCACTTCGTATTAATAATAAAAATAACGAAAAAAATTGGGAGGATCTTATAAGAAAAAGAGTGATTTGTCATTTTCCAATTTCTCGTCAATCTTATATTGTTTTTAATTGCCAAATATTTATGAGCAATATATATGTATATATATATGGGATACTGTCATCAATGAATAGCAGAGGGAAAATATAATTATATTGTTTTCTTGTACTTAACGTTCAATTCTCACAAGTCAAATTGTTTTCGCTTCTTTTTATTTTCATTCAATTGTACACATTTTTTTTGGTGACACCGATATCTGGCTACCCCTAACAAGAAAAAAAACAGCTGATTTTGTTGCTTCTCGTAAAAATACCTAGAAGATTCATTTTTTTGCCAATTTAATAGTAAGAAATGGACAAAATTTGGGAAATGTTCTCTTGTAGAATATCAATGAGTCAAAAAATGATGAAATTGAAACGAGAAGGCGTATGATGACAAGAAAACCTACATACATCATTTTTTCTCCAAAATTCTTATTTTTGTTCTGTTCTGTTCTCAAATGTTATTTATAGTTAGTTAGTTGTCCGGCTTTCATCTCTTGTTATTGTTTTCAATTTGTGTTTTCTATGTATTGAATAATTTCCCATATAGGTATGAGAGAATTTGTGACTTTTTTCTGTTGTTGAGTTCTGGTCTGCTCTCCTCTGGTTTTGTTTTGTTTTCAAACCCAAATAATTATAGGTTTACCTTCTTCAGAAAACCTACAGTATACCAATTCTTGTTTTTGTTATTTGATTTGAAAGATTTTGAATAAATGAATAATAAAAAGATACTAAAAATTTCATCAGAAACCAGACCAGAACCTCATTTTCTCACTTCCGTTTTCCGTTGCAGAAAAAACATAGAACTAACTAAAGCGATTAATTTGTCTTACTCAAATCATTCGGGGGAAAAAAAACACATGTGGAATTGAAATTGAAAAAAACGCGAAAATTTGCATCTTGTTTTTCAGCAAACCATTGTTTTGATTCTCAATGAAAATCGTTTGAATTGCTCGAAAAAACAGCTATTCTTCTCAAGACTAAATGTAAGGAGTATGTATAAAAATATCATACTAGAATGACGTGTTTTAAGTGCAGTCTCCAGAATCAATCTATTTCAAGTAGTCCATCTAAAATTGCTTCAAATCCCCCACAAAAAAACCACCAAATATATCATTAACATTGTTTTTTCTCAATAGCTCTTGCAACCCACATTTCATTTTCTTAAGGGTTCCCCCCAAAAAAAAAGCACACACACTTAACACATCTTCCTACTCCTCCTACTCCTACTGTATATAAAAGCAAGCACATATACGCCTTTCTTTTCAAAAACAAAGCTCCGCCCACTAGCTCCCAACATGGCGCGCACCTTACATATATATTCATTCCTCATTCTTGTGTCTTCCTCAATTTTTCTTTTTTTCGAGAAAAAAATTGGGTGATTTTTCTAGGTATGTTCTCCGCTAAAAGCATCTTGGCTTTCTTGTGCATCATGCTCGTTGCATTTGTTTCGGCGGCACCAAACCGTGTCTTGATGCGTTTTGGTAAACGTGCGGCACAATCGGCACCACTTGGCTATCGATTTGTACCAGAATCGGTTCCACTCATGGAATATTATGAGTAAGTTACCCGCCCTCTCATCTATACCATTCTATATTTTCAGATCTCTTGCTCCACAAGACAACTTCTAGAATACAATCTACCAAAGTGTGTATGTGAGCGTGTGTGTGTGTGTGTAAAAAAATTCCATCAATAAATCGAGAGAGATGCATTTTGTGTAATCGTGCTTTTTTGGAGATAAATAATTTTGCCTGTGTTTTTCAACTGTACATACCTTTTTGACAATTCTCTCATCCGGAATATCGTTGACACCAACTTCAGACGAAAGATACAAATGATTGTCGTCGGTCAAATAATATCTGGCTGGTCTGAGGCCATTTCGATCAAGAATCGCTCCAATGTAACGTCCATCCGAGAAGGCGAGCAAAGCTGAAAGATTTTGCATTTGATTTTTGTTTTTCGCCCTCTGACATTTGAAACACTACGCCTATTTGCTTACAACATATAAAATTTCAATCTTCCTCTTAGTCCTCGATTTAACATGAGAGAAAAAAATCACTCCAATTTCACATTATTCTCCCACTCGTCATCTCATTTTTCTAGCCCAATTTATTCTCTAGAAGGAACAAAGAAGTCTCTAGAATCAACAATACACATATTTTAGACGAAAATTAAATTGGCGAAGAATATTGTTATCCTAAAATAAGATGAAAAATTGAGAGGAAAACGGCAATATTTTATTATATGGTCAGTGGGATGATTCTATTGTTTCATGGAATTTTAAATGAATTTCGCTTTTTCAATTTTTCACGAACACACTTTTCTCGAACAATAACATTTTGAGACTTTCAAAAGTGATGTCTGAAGAAAAAAATGTTTTACCTGGTCCATCCCACGGTTCCATACTCATTGCGGCCCATCGATAGAAATGTTTCTTCTCTGATGTCATATCCTCATCCTTTTCCCAAGCTTCTGGAACCATTGTCATGGCTGCTTCCGGAAGTGTTCTGTTTCCAGCGTGAACGAGGAATTCCATCACATTATCCAAGCATCCGGAATCAGTCAAACCCTGGAAAAAAAACGTCATTATTTTACAATTCTGATCAAAATTAGGTTTTGTGTGTGTATTTTGAGGTCCTGGACCTTTCAGTTCCTATTTTCCTAGCTTCTGGCTCATCTAAACCAGGAAATGTTTTCTACATTGATAAATGACGTGGCAAATGTCCAAAAGTGTACTATTCTCTGTTATTCATATTATTCACGCAGCTAATTATTTTTTCTTCTTTCAATAGACTTCCTTCCGTTCAAAAAAAATAATAATAATGATTGTGAATTTTTTTTCGCTTCTCCATCTTCTCCAAAACAAAAATACTACTCACCTCTTCAACAATTGGGAACAATTTTTGCAAATCATCTCGATAGAATTTGCTTTTCATGACACCTTCACGAGCACGCATCAAATTGATATTTCCGCGAAGTGTGTTGATTTCACCATTGTGAGCCAAAATTCTGTTGGGTTGCGCACGATTCCAACTTGGGAAGGTGTTAGTAGAGAATCTTGAGTGAACCAATGCCAAATGAGTTTCAAAATTTGGGTTAGTCAAATCATCGTAATATTTGAATAATTGATGAGTATTGAATTGTCCTTTATATACAATTGTTGATGTGCTCAATGAGCAAACATAACATTCCAATGATTGTTTCAACATTTGAACCGTTTGCTTTCTCAAAAGATAAACACTCCGCTCAAATTTGGCTGGATCGCTTTCAACGTAATCGGCAGTGACGAAAACTTGACGAATCAGCGGTTCAGTCTTCTTGGCTTCTTCACCAATACACTCACGGTTGGTGCCAAGTTTTCTCCAAGCGAAAACCCGAAGATTACAGGATCTTGCGAGATCTTGAAACGCTTCTTTGGCTTGTTTGTAGGAATCTTCCTCGAGGAATAAAATTCCTGTGGCGTATTGTCCGAATGGTGGAAGATCAATTCCATCAGTCCTGAAAAACATTTTGATTTTTGAACATTCCTGAATAAACTTTCGAACTGTTTTTTTTTCTAAATTAGGATAGTTGAAAGCTAAAAATCCATACTAATTAGAACAATTTTCCCTCGGGGGTCATACTGAAAGAAAAAATAATGATTTTATGGAAATATGCTTTTGAACCTAACTTGGAGAAAGATTTTTTCTTTAAAAAACTCATGTTTATGATGTAGGGAACTCAGCTTTTTTCAAAAATCATGATTTTCAAATTTTTGTTAAATGATTGAAATTGAGACAGCGATATTTGACCAACGTTCTGAAGTCCCAATCTACGTGACTTTTTATATCTTTAGAAAACATTATTGGGATCAAAGTATTGTGATATCATACCAAAGAACACTTTTTTCACTTGTCTCGTATAAAATATTTATCCGGTCTTTTCTTTTCTCCGAAACCAAAACTCACTCTTTAACTGCTGCACGATAAAAAGCGTCTGGAATTGCAGCCAAAACACCGGCACCATCACCCGAATCATTGTCACAACCGCACGCTCCTCGATGAGCCATTCTCTCGAGCATTGTTCGCGATTCAGCCAAAATCTTGTGCGACTTGGTTCCTTCGATCGAGCAAATGAAGCCGACTCCACAAGCATCGCGTTCCAATTGTGGAAGCCAAAGTCCAGTTTCGGCGGCTTCTTGCTGCTGCTCTTTCGACAAAATGACCATTATCGATGATAAATCACAAAAAGTTTTCTCCCTGAAAAATAGAATCTTTGAAAGATATTTGTTTTTTAGAAAGCGGATCAAAACGAATAAACGATTTATAAGATGGTTTCCCGAAAAACATAGCCCGCCCCTTTAATATTTTCAACATGATAAATTGGAAAGTTTATCTAAACTTGGGTAAACCATGTGATCAGCAAAGAACATATGGGAAACAAGAAGAATAAACTGTTCTTGCACACACACACTTAAACGACCTGCCAAATCAACCAACAATAAAAGAAAATAACTTCACTAAATATTTAGTTCGCTAGAGCATACTTGCCTCACTTAAAAAAGAAGGAGGGACAAACTAAACTATTAGCGCGCGTTTCCATCATCAGACAAAAACTATTTCTGCAACAAAAAAAAATAATAAAGAAGGTGAATCTGCAGAAATTCAATAAAGCAACAATATCTACTATACATTTCTAATAAATGTCTGAAAAAGTTCATCTAAACCAAAATTATCATTAGAAACCTTATGATTCAAAGTGTTTTTCGTTTTTCCTAGAAAACTCTCATAATTTGTGTTAACTAAAATTAGATGAAATGTACTGTTAAAAAACTGATTTGCTAATGTTCAAAAAACAATCTTGAAACAAAAAAAGGTAAACATATTTTTAGAAAAACGAAAATAAATGAAGACCACATGTTTATGATAGCGTCATTACTATAAATAAACACACAGCAATAATAACAACCTATAAAGAACAACAAGTCCACGTCGCATAGTCTTTGCTCATTTGAATGTTTGGTCTTTGAAAGGTCAAAAGGGGAAGGTAAGACTACACTTTAGTTGTGGGAAGAAAAGGGAAGCGGGAAGAAAAAACTGATGTGAGGAAAGGGGGAAGGATGGATATATTGATTATTTATGAAGGATTTGTATTTGGGAATATAGATAATGAATAGAATTGTTAGAAAAGAAAATGCTACAGGATAGTTTAGCATACTGTAGAATATTTTGAGAAGTATACTGTATGTAATAAAACATTGAATTTTGAAGGAGTAAAAGTCAGATTGTGAGATTAATGTCTGATGAAAAATAATCCAGGATGATGAGACTTTTGAACATTTTGAAGAGTTAAAAATAAAATCCTAAATTTTTTCTGAAGTTTTGAAACCATTGAAGAAAACCTGATTGTGTTGAAAAATGTTTTTAGAAATTATTCTAGATTCGTAGATTGATTTATCGGGTGTCACTATTTCACAGATCACATTTGAAACTGCAAAAAACTGTTTACGGAAAAAATTAACACGTTTTCTTGCAAATTTTCAAAACTAAAGAACAGATATCAGAATTTATGGAAATCACATTTCTGAATCATTTTCTTAGGTTACTAGAAGTTTTGGAAAATATCTGTTTAGTGAAAATTTGAATTTTATTTTCATCTTCATCAATTTTCACCGATACAAATGTGATTTCAATCAGAAACTAGCAAAAATTCAATCAAAACTGGAAAACCCCGATGTTAGTGTTTTTCAGATATAAGAAAAACCGTGTATTAATTAATTCAAAGCGACACAAAATGAACACGTTCCCGAAATCTGCTATCTTTTTCTCTCCAAAAACACACAGAAAAAAAACAACAGGTTGGATGAACAAGATGTACTATGATAGCACGAGAGAAAATGTTGATCGAAATGACCCGAGATTCGGGGAGAATCGACAGAAAAACTCTCAAAGAAACTTATCAAGTCACGCGGTCATCACGTGGAAGAATGCAAAACAAAACAAGATAACATTTTGTGACTATGGGAACAATGAATAAAATGTAAACATGGGTTTGAGATCTGGGATGTTTGGGGTCAATTTTTCATTGGAGTGATGAAAAATCTTTCAACAACAAAAATGAATTAAGAATTTTTATAAGAAGAATATAAAGAAGACGATTTTGCCACCATGAAAAACCTATTTTTGGACGGTGAAAATACAAAAATACAAAAATTTTATGAAAAACAACGTACTTATTCTATTTTGCAAACAAAAGTTCATATATAAAAAAAACAGACAACTCAATAAAAAAACTCTTTACCGCTTGAAAGAGCAATAAGTTAGCTCGATATGACGCAGGAATATTGAATCTTTTTTTCTCCTAAAACAAATAAAGAAGTTTTCAAAAATCTGAAAGGTTCGCACAAACAAAAAAAAATGCTCTCTAAACTATTTTTCCTTTTTTTCTCATGCTTGCTCCGCTTTTGCCTCGTTTGCGTTTGCCACATTTTTTTTTGAATGACGAATCAAAATAAAACAATTGTAAAATGGTCATTTTGCAAATAAATGTTGTTTTTTGTGTCTAATCTAAAGAACAACTATAGATAAATCATTTGAGACAGTGAAAAACATGGCGCCGAGAAGAAAATAGTTAGATAGATAGATACTGGTACATAGATAGCATATACTACTAGCAGCACGGAAAAATGGAGGTTATTTGCACAGTATAGCACTTTGAGAAACAAAAAACATGAGACTCTTTTTTTTTTGGAAAAAGAAAAAGGAATTATTGATGATAGGTGAAATGAAATTGATGTATTGTAATTGAATTTGTCAATGTTTTCAAATTTCGAATATGTTTCATTCGAATATGTGAGGAAAAACAAATTTCATGATTTCAGAGGATCTACCAAATTTAAAGACAGTCGTAATTTTGGATCAGAATTATGAATTCAATTTTATTTTTGAAAATTTTTCAAAAGCAATTGTTATGTCCAATTTAAAAAAGTTCACTTAATTTACATTAAACTTTAACCAGGAAAAATCCCGTTTTTATATTTCAAAACAGAATTTCAAAACAAATCCAATTTTCATGACTAATTTGAAAAAAAAATAGAATAAGCTGCTAAAATCAAAAGAAAACCCGAGAATGCCATGCCACACATCAAAATAATATATTAATGAGATCTTTTGGACAAAAAAAAACCTAAAAATAAAAAAAAAAGCATTCTCTAAAGACACAGAAAAGAAAAAAGAAAAAGAGAATAAACGCATCAATTTTTCAAAAGGTAATTCTTGTGAGATTAAATATGCCTAAGGCAAAAAACTTCCTGTGTTTAGACACAAGATGTGCCAGCACACACAAAACTGACAAATCGTCCATCTTTTTCTCTTTTTTTTCACAAGGAATGAGTGAGTAGAAAAGTAATTTCAGCAGTAATTTGAAAAAAGAGCAGAAATAAATATATTTTTTCTAGAAGAAAATGCAAATAGACTTTTTTTTCTAACAGGGTAGATCTATCTAATAAAAACAATTTTCTCAAGTTCAATAACACGGAGAAAAGTTTTTGAAATATGAGGAAAAGCTTTTAGTAAACCCCATTCATGGCATGGCGTAAGCACTTGTGTCAGGCATAAAAACACATTTTTTTTGCACGAGATTTTTTTGTACATAATGGTTGGGAGTGAGAATAGAGTGGGATAGAAAATAAATAAAGTTTATATTATTATCAACAAAAAAATCAGACAGTGTTGTTATTATTAGTTGCGTGACAAAGTGCACAGTTCCATTGGACTGCTGTTTTTTTATTGTTTGGAATTTAGTCTGAAATTGATAGGAGTTTTTGAAAAAGATTACCTTTTAAGAAAATTTATGGGAAAAAAATTTTAGAGTTTATTTTTGAATAATGAAATTAATTTCCCTATAATTTTCTGCAAAAAACTTCTAACAGAACTTGCTTAAATATATGTAATAACATTTTTTGGTATCAAAAAAGAAAGAAAAATTCCAGAACTACGGGGATTTATTCTTTGTATTTTAAATTTTCCGAATTTTTGTAGTTCATTTCAACAAAATGTTTTTCAAAATAAAATATACAACATCGAATTGAAAATTTCAACTGAAATAATTATGTTTCAAAAAAGAAAAAAACTTCAAGAAAAACATAATTTAGAACCGTTTTGAAAAAAAAAATTAAATCAATGAAAAATGTTTGTTTCTTTGGAAATTTTCCAACAGAAAATTCATTCATTTTCTGAAAAAAATATAAACTTTGTCATGAAAAGGTTGCAAGTCTTTTTTTTTCAAATTTTTTTTTTCAAAATCTAAGAAATGTTGAAAAAATATTAATAAAATATATGTATTCTTCGAAAAATGTTCACCAGCTTTAAAAATCAACAAAACCAAACTGTTTCTCAAGGGATTTCTTCGAAAATATTCAAGCACATCTTTTTATCTTGAACGGAAATTGATATCCTCTACACTACACTAAATAAGAACATTTTTTTTTCAAAAAAAAAAAAAACACACACAAACTGAATTGTGTTTATTTTCACATTTCAACCATCTGTCCCTCAGGTCCCACAAAGCGATTGAAATAACAAGGTTTTGTTTGTGAGAAAAACAGAACGGCTAGTGAGTTGAAAAAACCCTGGTCGGGATAAATAAAAAAACGGAGCAGCAGAGCAGACACGGCGGGTGGACAACAAGGAAAAGAGAGTGGACAACGTGGGGTGGTGGAAAAAAACACTATGAAAATCGATAGGATCCAGTTAGCAGAAACAAAAAAAAAGAAGAAGAAGGACTCTGTTGGAGCATTAATTCATTCATCTCCCGCCTTCATAATCACAACTGTTCTGTCAGGTTTTGGTTGAATAAGAAATGAAGATGGACGAAAGGAAAAAAGGAAGAAGAAGATGAAATAGAAGAACCTCTATGTACGTCATCATATGATATTTACAACTGCTGGGATGACCCCTCGTTGTTGTTGTTTTTTTGAAAGAGCAGAATGAAAAATATGCTCGTTTGATGGACAACAGAACAATATTAATAAATATATATTTGGTCACATTCCACCCAGCAAAATTTAATTTAGCTGAATGGTGAGATATCTAAAAATTTATTCCGAAGATTTCATTGAAAAATATTTACCAAATTTTTCAGGAATACTTTTTTTTAACATTTTCCAAAACTTGACAGTTATCCAAATTCTGAATATTTGAAATTCACTACATTTCTGTTCCCAAAAAACTTTTTCAGCAAAAAAATATGAAAAGTTTTATGTGTTTATTCAGAGATATTTTCAACCATATGTCAAAAAATTCATTTTTCTTTGAAAAAAATTGAACAATTCTTGATTTTTCCTGACGTGAGAATAAATATTTTTCTTTTTTTTAAAGCAAATCTCCAAAGTTGTACATACAAGATAAAAATCTAAATGAAAATAATAACTTTAAAAAAATCTAGGAAATTTAGAAAATTCTCGAGGCAAATATCAAAAGCTATCCTACCTATAAAGCATATCTTATTATACTAACAAGATTTTTTCTTGAAAAACCAAATCTATTATTTATGATATATATATATTTTGGGTGAAAATATATATATCGCTAATTAGAATAACAAAACAAAATTTTAATCCGCATGTCGCAATGAAAAATGGCTGAGTTCTTCGTTCCTTCTTGTTTTTTCGTCTATCACTTTACACAAATTGGCCGACTGAAAGTGCACGTAGCAAAATAACATATTTTTTGGCTATTTTAAAATTACTATGTGTTGTTTTTTTTTCTGAAAATCATGAAAAATTTGGATTAAGAAAATTTGAATAATTTTTTTCTCTGAGCTAGATCACTGAAAAAATGAACTTTGGATTTTGTAAACTACAGGGCTTTCAGAGACTAGTTTTCAGATTTTTCAAAACTAATTATTCAATGATAAAAATCTGGAATACCCTAGATTGTGAATAAGTTCAGGAGAGAATTTTTTTCAAAATAAAAACAATTTTTGGGTATGCAAAAGTTTATTGAGTATGATAAAATTAAGAAAATTAATGACGGGAGACAAAGACAGCGGATCTTGGTGGGCAGGCGCAATAAGCGGCGTCTGGTCCTGGAAGTCCTGGTCCTCCTGAGGTTCCTGGATGTCCATCGGATCCACGGTTTCCTGGTTGTCCTGGTTGTCCGGCTGGTCCAGCTGGTCCTGGTGTTCCGTTTCCTCCGCGGTTTCCTGGTTGTCCGTTTGGTCCGGCTGGTCCTGGTTTTCCTGGGGCTCCTGGGGCTCCTGGAGCTCCTTGTCCACGACGTCCGTCTTTTCCTGGTGCTCCTGGTCGTCCAGCTTGTCCTGGGGCTCCTGGGGTTCCAGCGTCTCCCTTTGGTCCTGGGCCTCCTGGGGCTCCGTTGTTTCCGCGGTTTCCTGGTTGTCCTGGGCGTCCGGCTGGCCCGGCTGGTCCGGCTGGTCCTGATGGTCCAGCTGGTCCTGGAGCTCCTGGTGGGCACTTGACGCAATCAGATGATGGTCGTGGGCAAGCAATTGGTGCGTAGGTAGTTTGGCTGTCTGCTCCACGTGGTCCTGGAAGTCCTGGGGTTCCTGAAAAAAAGATTTTATTGAGATTGTTGAAAATTAAAAAAAAAGAAAGATACAAACCTGGTTGTCCAGCTGGTCCTGGTGGTCCTGGTGGTCCTGGTGGGCAGGTTGGCTTGGTTGGTTCACATTGGCACCAAGCTGGAAGTCCAGAGAATGTTTGACGTTTTTGACGGAAGACAGAGTTGAATGGATTGACACGTGGCTTAGATGGTGGAGTGACTGTGATTTGAATATCCATCATCTCATTCCAAGCCGAATCGGTTTCAACACGGAAAACTTGAACGCCATCAAGAACCTCCTCGTGAACCTCGTTGATGGTATTGTACAACGATGGAATAACAACAAGACAAGCAACGACAGCAATTGTCGAGAAAGTCGATGCAATACCAACAAGAAGTTTCTCCTCAAACATTTTCTTAGAAGATGCCAAGATGTTTTCAACTAATTTTCTTCGGCCTTTTATACCTTGTTGTTGTGTAGTTGAGAAAACTTACACCGCAATGGGCGGAGATTTGAGAGACTTTGATTTTGATTGTTTGCGGGTGTGTGTGTGGTATGAACGAGGAAACTGTTTTTTTATCGAATTACATATTTACTGTTTGATATATGGTATGGTTAAGTGAAATGGCATTTTGAACGTTTTTGAATTAAAAGAAATGGAATCGCTTTCTCTTATCTATGCCGATTCAGCAAAAGCGGTGTTTTTTGAGGTATATGGGATCAGAAATTAGGAAAATCGGAATAATTTTCCAAAATCTAACAGGCAATGAAGACAACTATCTTTTATTCAGCTTAAAATTCATGAAAGCTCAAATCTGATTTTGTTAAAAATTATCAATTTCAAATATAAAACAAAATGTTTCCAGAAATTCCATATCAAGTTTTTTCAATGCTTCTGAGGAATAAAAAAATATTAAAATAAAATATATTTTTTGAAGTTTTTGAAACTCTGAGATTCAACACATTTTTCTTGTATTTTTTTTATACGGTGACTTCTTTAATGAATCTCCTTGTTACTATTTTCAAAAGAACTTTTCAATTTCTCACTCGTTTTTTTCAATTTATGTCATTTCAATTTCGAAACAAGCAAAACAACAACATAATTGATGGAAAGCCCTTTCAAATTTGATAAAAAGTTCCAATTCAACAAAAATAATGTCCTCTTGTTTTTCCGATCCTCCATTTTTCTCATTTCAACGCAAAACCTGAAGGCCAAAAAGTGTGAACTCAAAATATTTTGACCACCAAGTTCTCATCATATATCAAATAAATAATTGCAATTTTTGTGTAGTAAACCATTCATTTTCAATTATTCTTTTTTTTTATATTCTTGGGAAAAAAAGAAGAAAGAATAGTTTAACAATTTGTTTCCCTCTTCAATTTGTAACCTTTTCGCAATAACAAGGAAACCATAATAAGAATTGAATAATAATTAGAGAAGGCAGGCTTCTTTTCTTGTTTACTGGTTTTTGATTCTCACATCAACCTACTTTTCCGAGAGTAACCTTGCCAAGGTAGAAAAAAATAGCAAAAAAAAAAAGAACTTCCCGTTTCAAAACCATCCAAAAGCTCAAGGTCAGCAAAAGGCAGAAGGACATTATTTTCCTGTTAATCTTGAAGGAAGAAATAAACCAACTTTTTATTATCATTCATTAACAAGATCAGATCAAAGTATTGCACACTCATACACATACACAACAACAAAATTTTGTCGAAACATTCAAAAAAAAATTATAACTGGTTTGAAAAAATATTTCTGAAAATTTTGATAGCTTTTTCTTTTTGAATTACACCTCTTTCACCATAACTATGCCAATTAACATTATAAGGATCATATGAAGATGGGGATAAATATCCACCAGATAGACTTCGATGATATCCTCCAGATGATCCTGAAATTTGAAAACTAGATACAACTAGATGTTTGAAAATTGAAATCTTTATTCTACAGACAGATGAATTTTGAAAACATGAATGAAATTCGAAATCAAAAATTATCGATGAAAATTAGTGTTTTGGTTTTGCTGCACCGCTTGACTTACCATGAATGTCAAGTCCTTGGAGCATTTGAACTGTGGCTTTTGGGTTGGCCTCAAAGTGCTCTGAAAATTTGACAGTTGTTAGAGTTTTTGAACTGAACTTTTCTCACCTTGGATGGTTTTTGGGGCTTGTTTCTTCAAGTTTTTCAAAGCGATTTTCTCAACTTCGTCCTTGCTCAAGTTTCCATCCTTATCGAATTTTGGGTTTGGGGTTGTAGATTTGCTCAGAACATCATCTTGAATCAATGGAACACCAGTTGGTTCAAAACCTGAACCAGATCCATCAATATCTCCCGATCCTTCTCCTGAACTTTCTCCCGATCCTTCTCCACTTCCACTACCTTCAACATCAACTTTCACAACGTTTTCTTCTTCACCAGATGCCTCTCGAATGTTGATTCGACTATGAGCTTCTTCTCTTTCCAAAAGTCGAGCGCGAATTTCGCGAAGCAAAACATCGACAGCAGCTGGATCAATATCACTGATAGCATTCGTCGATGAAATAACAGCCGTAACAAGCAAAAAAATGGATAACAAACGAATCGCCATGATTATTGGATCTATCTCAAAAACTGCATCCAGCATCTGTCTTATAAAGCATCAGTTTTTTTTTCGATTGGGGTTGTCTGAAACTTCATCATCTTGTTATCAAATGCCTGTTCTGTTGTGGCAACGAGACTTACGCAAGCTGAAAAAAAGTGCATAACTGGATCGAAAATCTTTTTTTTTTCTTGCCGTTTTCTTAGAGAGAACATGTATGGTTTCAGAGATACATAGATTCACATGCAATCATTGCGCGATTTTATTGATAATTCTCGGCACTTTTTTGTTTTGTTTTGTTTTTCATTCATCTTTTCATTCAGGTATTTTCATCGGCCACATAAATGATGATTATACGATTTAATCTACTAAAGATTCCGAAAGTGCCAGGGCAGATAAATTTGAAAATAAACACAAGGAAGTGATGTGTTCGACCTTGATGGAATAAAAAAAAAAGAGAAAAACGGTTTTGCCAATCCAATCCATCTAATCGTGTTAAAAGTATTTAAAAGTAAAAATATTAGAAAATTAGTTTGGAGGGAAAGATTTGGAAATTGAAATGTGTTGATTGGGAAAGTGTTTCAGCGAAATTCAATTTTAATTAAAAATTTTGAACGGGCAGGGAAACATTCGAAGTTTGTTGGAGATTTATCGAAGCAAATTAATAATTTTTGTTTTTCAAAGGGTGACAACTAAACAAAAATCCCAAAAAGTTTCACCCAAGTTTTTTTTTGAACAAAAAACTTCTCAAATTTCAGTTTTTTCATTTGAATAATGTTGAGAGAATAAATGGATATTATAAAACAAAAAGTTTTCAGATGGTTAATGAACAAACTCGTTCATATTATTTTTATTTTTTTAGAAACGCAACTCCAGGTCATTTACTTGTGCTCACATATCAGAATGAAGCAGCAGAATTTCTGATGTGTTTACAAAGTATTTTCAAACTCAAATCAAATATTTTTCCCTGAAAAAAACAGAAATAATTACTGATTATCAGAAAAAGCGTGTGAATAGCTATTTTATTTTTCAAAAATAAAATATTATTTTTCGAAAATCCTCTTGTAATTTTTGTAGCATTATGAATTTGGATTATGTATTATATTATACAGAAAAGTGTAATATACAACTACATATTTGTTTTATTCGTGTATTGATCAATAAAACACACACGTAAACATCAATTTATTTTCCCACCAGAAAGAACAATCGTTTTTTGTCCTTTTCCTAAAATTCATATGTCATTTTTTCGTTATTTTTCAAAATATTCCATGAATTTTAAATTTTCTTTTGAAGTATTGCGAAATCCAGTTTTTTCATTTTTTCTAACCGTTGTCCCTGTGAAAAAGAAGAAAAGTGACAATATATAACGGAAAAAGAGGAGGGCGTAGGCATTTAGAGAAAAATGAAAAAAGAATGCTCTGTTTAACTCAAATATAACATTATCTGTACTTTTATTAGTTATTATTGAACATCAAAATGGTCTTTAGTTTTCTTTTTGTTTTTGATACGCAGATTGGCAAGGTTTTTCTTACAGAATTGTATATGCCAGAGTTCACAGAGGATTCAAATTTTCAAGAATTGTCTGCTGAGCGATTCGGAGCACACAATGATGAAGGGGTATGTTCGAATGTTTTTTTCAATTTTCAAATTTCAAATGTTCAGCCAATGACACTCGAAATCTTCACACAATTAATGAAACAATTTTATGATCTTGGGTGGATGAGAGGATCGGGAGGTGCATTGGGTTGTGTTTCAGGAAAACAATTGATGATTTCACCATCCGCTTTGCAGAAGGAGAGAATAAAACCGTAAGTTTTTCTATTTTTCGCATATTAAGATTCTGTATTGGGACGTCCAAAAATCAAAAAATGAAAATTTCACACCTGTCCAATTTCTGTTCAAATTAAAATTTTTTAATTCAAAGTTGTATTATAATGATCAGAATTCAGTTAGCTACAAGTAGATCATATTTTCATCAAAATTGGACAGGCAAAAACACAAATTGGACAGGTGTGAAATTTCATTTTTTGATTTTTGGACGCCCCATGTCGGAAATTTTTCTTAAAAATATTTGTTCGGATTTGCAAAATCCTTTTTAATAAAACAATTTTTCAAATTTTTCACTTTTAATTATATCAAAAATATAGAAAATTCAACTATATAAAATCAGTATTTACAGAGCTGATGTGTTTCTCTATGACCTCGTATCAAAAACTGAAATTCAACGACCAATCAACAAAAAAATCACCGTCTCATCATGCTCTGTTCTATTTTCACTAATCATGAATCAAACAGGTAAGCAACATTCTAATTTAGAAAAAAACCCCAACAATTCCTGAATTCAGGAAGCGAATGTGTGATTCATACCCATTCAAAAGCAGCAAATCTAATCACTCAATTGATTTCCGGAGATACCTTTGAAATTTCTCACCAAGAATATATCAAGGGAATTTATAACCCATTTTCTGGCCATGCTTTGAAATATAATGACACATTGATTATTCCAATTATCAATAATCGACCAAGTGAAAGTCTTCTACTGGTAAACATATAATTTTTTTTTGAATTTTTAATCATAAAAATGTTTTTTTCAGAACCCGATCGAAGGTGTGATTCAAGCATATCCACAAGCAATCGCAGTTCTTGTTAGAAACCATGGACTTTTTGTTTGGGGTCCAACTTGGGAATCGGCAAAAATTATGGTTGAATGTATCGATTATCTTCTTGAATTATCCCTCGACATGCTCAAAAATAATATTCCTCTAGTCAAAGAAGATGTTCAACCAGAAAGACAAGATAGTGTTGATTATTTAGAAACTGTTTTTAGCCCCTGATTATTCCATTCTTTTTTGGCCTCCGTTTTGTATATTATGTTGTTTTTGCATTTACGGTTGCTTTTGTGATGTTTTGATGACTGTGTTGATAAAAATGTGAACATTTATGTCACGAGCATTTTTATTATTATTCATTTTTGATATGTCTTTGAAATGAATGAATGATCAAAATGACATTTGATTTTTGTGGATTTTTTAAGTACAATCGAAAATCCTAAAAATTTTCTCTCGCATATATTATCATTAGAGCGCACATTCTCTACTCCTATTTTCTGCGGGAGGGGAAGAAGAACACAACATTGTATTTTTCTCGCCGTGCTTTGGTAAATTTTGTCAAGACTTTTTTTTTGATCGCTCTCTGTTTTTGATAAAATATTTTCTAACATTAGTTACGGGTTCTCAAAAACTCGGTTTTCAGAAAATTCTCAATATATCTCAAAACCCTTATTGAAAAAATAAGAAAAATTCCAACTTATGTAAATTGAACCCACAAATACTACTACTTTTCTAGCCAATTATTTTCTTCCAATCATACATACTTCCATGTAAAATTGTACATATTTCCGGGAAAACAACCTCCTCCTAATTCATCGAAATTTTTTCATGCGAGAAACTAATTTTCTCTCAAAAATTCACGTTTTCTCCCAAATTTTCTGTGCTTTCGTCACATAATATTTTCTCCTCACATCGTTCGTTCGACCAGGTGATGATCTGTTGTGTTCTCATTCATTGATCCATTTATCCCACATGTTCTGAGAAAAAAGAAAAGATGGATAATAATGAGTAAAAGAGAAACAAAGAAAGAAAAAAAGTGTGAGCTTTTCGTGTGGCTGCTCTCGGGAGCGATTTTGTGCCTTGCTTTCTATCTTCATCCGCTCTAACTTTTTCTAATAAACCTCTAACTATTGATCATTTTTTCTCCTTTTTATTTTGTGATGTTGAGAAATAAAAACGAAAATTTCTGATTTTTCTCAAATGGCAAATGTTTTGATATACACATATTATTTTTTCGGCGCGCTTCTCAAAATATTTCACTTTTTGACGCGTGATTCATTTTCCTCCTTCTCCATATTTTTTTCGTCTTGAAAGAAACGAAAATCTGGAATGTGTATGTATTTATATTTTCTAAATGATTATGGAAGCCATAAAATTTTTACATTATCACGTAAAAACTTTTAAAAGAGCACCTGACTTCTATTTGTTATTTTGTCGTTCAAAACCAATTCACTCTCACTTTTTAATTGCCTTCTCAACAAAAAAATTCCGATTGGTATTATCTTAAACATTATCTACTTATTTAAAAAAAGAAAAAACTTGGTTTACCCTATTTTCCTCAAATGCCTGTGTTCAAATTCTTTTTCTAAAAAAAAGGAAGAGCAAATCTCAAAATAGACACAAAGACACAGTTAAACAACAAGTATTTTGTTTAGAAGTTGGCTTAACTTGTAAAAATTGTGCGAAAAACTTGTTGTCTTTTGTTGTGTTTGTCTAATTTTAGACGGGGGCACGGAGGTCTAGGCGCAAGAGCAAAATGTGTGAAGAAAGAAAATGAAAAGGCGGCCTCTGCTCGACAGAAAAAAAAGTTTGCTTTTTTTCCGATCGGTAAAACAGTTATTTGGTTTTTGATGTTCTTGGATCACATCCAAACCACTTGTTAACCACGAACTTTCAAGTGTTACTTCATTTTTGCTCATAATGTATTTTTCCTTAACAAATTTCATAATAAAAAAGTTTTTTGTCTCTTCTCTCAAAAATAACATTCCTCCCTCACTGATAAATAAATAACAAAAAATTCCTTCATTACATCACTTCAACTTTTTTTTTTTTTGATTTTTTTATATTATAACAATTGAACCTATTTTTCTTGTTATTATTATTAATTTTTATTTGACATCAGTCAGTTCCTTTCCTCATTCTCATTCTCAGAAAATATCTATTTATATGTTTTTGCTTGCCTGTACAAATGTTTTTTGTGTTGAAAACACCGTGTTTATCTTTGCTTTGCCTCGTTTTTGTTCCATTTTATTGAGGTGTTCGGAAAAATATGTTTTCTCACATTTTTCTTCCAGTTTCTTCTGGTCAATACATAATGTAGATCTATTTTGTGTGCCAATGCTTTTAAGTGCTCACTGAAATTTGAAACAACTTCGGTTTATTCTGAAATTTTTTTATTATGAGCAAAAATGACTTTTCAAACGTTTGATCTGTAATTTCTGAAGAGTTTCTATAGATTCTGTGCCTTTTCTCCTCAGAATTCAAATATAAATTTCACAAGTTTTTCTCATTATTTCAGAGATACTTATAGTATCTTCCAAAAAACTTTGATCTATTGTTTGTACCGGATTGTACTCTACAATGACCTTGTTTTCTTTCTCAACTATTGTTTTTTTTTACAAAACTAATCTCTTTGAACTCAACTTTTGTGTGGGAGAATAAATATCACAAATTCTAGACCGATAATTATCGTGTGAAAAATATATGTAGTTTAGTTTTAGACACAGAAAAAATTGGAGATTATAAAGAAATATAGAGCTCTTGTTCTACGAAATATGAAAACTGAAAATTCCCGAAGAAATAAATTAAGTTTTATTTCAGAACAACCCATTTCACATTTTACTTTATCTCAAAAAATAATTCCATTTTCACGAAAATTACAAAAATACTAATTAGGTTAATTAGTATAAGTTACCAAATTGAATTTTTCTCTTTTTGATTCTTTGTTTCAAGTGAATAACGAAAACGTTAATCATCATTTTTCTTTTTCCCATTCCAATCGTTGACTTGGTCGCCTTCCATTTTTTCTTCATTATTTTTATTGCTATTATTAAAAAAAACTGTTACAATGTCATTCCGTACTCGCAGATTTTCACTTCAAGTCCCAATGGGGACAGAACCAAGTGGTAGCGGAAAAATCAAAGTTGATGAACATTATCCATCAGGTTGGTTATATTTTTTTTCTGGATACTTAAAAAATTATTCAAATTGTTTTAGAACTCGATGAGCCACCACCATTTGATGTGCGGAAGATTGAAAATATACGAGCTAATGTGAAATTTGACACACTTTATCAAGTCACCAAATTGCTTGGAGAGTAAGTTATTGGATCGGAATGTGAGAATTTTAATTTTAAAAAATTTCAGCGGAAAATTCGGAAAAGTTTATTGTGTTATTGAAAAAGCGACAGGTCATGAATTTGCGGCAAAGTTTATCAAAATTCGAAAGGTAATTTTATATTCGGGGCTTTTTAATGAAACAAAGCGACTAAAGAATTTTTAAAAATAATTTTGATTTCTAAAATTAAACGCGTGGGGTTTTGCTAAAAATAGCTATTGTCACAAAATAATTGGAAAAATTCCAAAAATATTTTGAAAAGCATTCAAAGAACAGTTCAATAATTTCTAGAATTTTTTACAATTTGGGCTCATTCTAGGTCTAAAAAACTATATCATTAGCTAAAAAAATTGCCACCAAGTTCCAAAAAAAATTCAAAATTTCAGGAGGCTGATAGAGCTGAAGTTGAGAGAGAAGTCTCGATATTGACGCAATTACGACATCCAAGAATTGCTCAAATCTACGATGCCTTTTATACCACAACAAATGATGTGGTTCTAATCATGGAAATGTGAGTCATTTTCAACACAAAACAAAAGAAAAAAAGGTTTTTTTAGTGTTCGTGGTGGTGAATTGTTTGACCGAGTTGCTGAAGAATCGTATGAATTATCGGAATTGGCTGTGGTTATGATTGTTTGTCAACTTTGTGAAGCGATTGATTATATTCATAAGCAAAATATATTGCATCTTGATGTCAAGGTGAGTTTTTCGATTTCCGGTAATTTGAAATTCGTGATTTCTGATGTGAGAAAAAACAGCTGACATCATTTTTCTTGGGATGTTCTTTTTTCGTTCTCATAAGAGAGTGGGAGGAAATGGATAAAAAAGAGATGCTCAGAAAACTTTTTGATGAAAAGTCGGAGAGAGAGAGATCAGAGAAAAATGTGACAGAGGTTTTTTTTCGAAATTTATTTTGAGATTGGAATTTGGAGAATGGGAAACTGAAAAGTGAAAAAACATTGGATCTAGAAATTAAAATGAAGTTTTTTTGGACACAATTCTCATGATCTCTGAATTTTAATTATGAGATAATCAGGAAAATTCCACATTTTTCAGCCTGAAAATATCATGTGCGTTTCGTTAACTGGAAATCGCATCAAATTGATTGATTTTGGTTTGGCTCGACATTATGATGGAAAACAGGTACCTAAAAATATACTTTCAAAAAATTTCGAAAACAACCTATACACATGTACATATATTAATTTCCTGTTATTTCTAGGAGCTCAAATACATGGCCGGAACTCCTGAATTCGCCGCGCCGGAAGTGATAAAGTTTGAAAAACTCGACTATCATACGGATATGTGGAGTATCGGTGTGATCACTTATATTTTGTATGTTTCTATTTTTATTTTTCTGTGCTCCTCCCGCTTACCAAAAAAAAAACACGAGACCTCGTCTCAATGAATACAAAATGTTCATCCTTTTTTATTATTCATTTGTAGATTGTCCGGATATTCGCCATTTTTGGGTGATACACTTGGTGACACTTATTGCAACGTTGAGAAAGGTGTTTGGGAATTCACTGAAGAATTTGATACTGTTAGTGCGGAAGCAAAGGATTTTGTTGAAAAACTTCTCATTTATGATCAAAGGTATGTTGTTGATTTTCAAAGTAACCAAAGTCTTTATGAATTTTTCAGCAAACGTATGCTCCCACATGAATGTCTAAATCATCCCTGGATTGCGAAACATCGACAAAAAGCAGCTTGTAACGCAGTTTTAGAAAAACCACTCAACGCTCCTCCTCTTGATAAGGAACAGTATATGAAATATACCAGAAGACGAAAATTGAGGGTTAGTCTGGAAAGGCCACCATGTTTTTTAAGGGAAATTTGATTATTTTTCGAATGGAACGCAGATGTGTATTTCTTTCTCTAGAACATGGTTCATGTCTGATCATTTTTTATGAATCATAAAAAGGTTTCAAAAAAATTTCAGTATTTTGTCTGGAATTCTTTTTTTTATAACAATTTCATATTCACCTTATGATGACAATTAATGTGTCAAAAATAACTATTACTCACACAATGATTTCAAAAAAAACCAAAAATCGTTTTTTTCATTTTTCAGAGTTTGATAATCTACGTGAAATTTGTTATCGAAATGAACCGTCTCCGTCAAAAATTGAGTGTGAATGCTGTCAAATTCTTCGACCCACTTATCAAGAAAACACAAACCGACGAGCAACGAGTCACCGATGTTTGTAATTCAACAGCTCCATCCACGTCTGCATCTTCGGTTCTAGCCAAGGTAACAAAACTGGATTTGTTTTCAAGTCTATCTGTTTTTCTAGGTTATCGAAATGAAGAGGAAAGGAAGTGAGGCGAGTCATTTGAGTCAAATCAAAGAAGAAAATGGGTCACCAGAAAAGAAACCCGAGAAGAAAATGGTAATTTTTCAAAAAATTTCCTTTAGAATAAATAATCAGTGTTTTTTTTTTCAGTCTACAACCAGTGTCGATAAACCAAAGAAAAAGAAGAAAATTGTTCATGAAAGTGTTAAACCAGCAACTCCAGAGATCGCTATAACAAATGTCCAAATTGAAGCATCAGAAAAAGCAGAATCTGAAAATGGAAAAATTATTGAAAAGAAATTGGCATTGCCAGAAAAACGAAAGGAGAGCACAAAATCAGAATCTGATTTGATTAATAAGAAAAAGAAGGAGAAAATCAGCAAAGCGGTTAAGGAATCAGAAGTCTTGAAGTCAATAACGCCAAAGAAATCCACTGAATCGGAGAAATCAAGTGTTCTCAAAAACATTGAGATTGGTTCTGATAAGAATTCTGTGGAGAAGGAGAAGAAATCAGTGACATCGGAAAATATTATTGAAAAACCAAAAGTTGAGCCGAAATTAGTGAAAGCAAAAACCGAAAGTGGAGATAGCACCAAGGAAAATCAACAGGAGGTGAAAAAACCAGCAAGACAGGTTAGTTTTAGTAATTCAAAAAATATCACATGTTAAAATTAAAAACATAGTTTTTTATTAATATAACTTGGTATCTAACCGTTTTGATAAAAATCTCAAAATCAGCCCTCCAAATAAACAGAAAATTTCAGGGAGCTCTTCGCAAGCGAGACAAATCAATAGAAAATGTCCTGAACTCTGCTCCTGTCCCCACAACTCTGTCAAAGCAAGGATCAACAACATCATCTTTAACTCATACGCTCGTTGAAACTGTCAAACCTAATGGTGAAATTGCAAAATCTGAGAAACTTATTGTCAAGAAAAAGAGTTTGAAGTTGAAATCGGATGATGTGAAATCCATAGATGAGAAAGCACCAGTGAAAACAGTTGAGCAACATGAACCTCTTCCGGTTAGTTGTGTGCTCCATTTTTTCAAGCTCTCAATCTTATTGTTTCAGAAAATCACAACAAGTATTGTTCATTTGGAGAAATCTGATCGTGACAAAATCAGAAAACGGTTGAGTGAAAAAGGGAAAGATACGCCAGAAAGAAAACCAGTGACAAAAATGACGTTGACTGAAGATAAAAAAGAAACAACGACTGTTCAAACTACAACCAGTTGCAAGCGAACAACAAAATCGTCAGAGAAAAAATTGGAACACAATTCCGATGGAAAAAGTGTTGAATTGACGCATAAGAAGAATTCACAACACGATGATTGTAAAGTTAGTCAAATCACTACCAAAAAAGAGGAGACACCTGCGATGGAAGCACCAAAAACAATTGTGAATAAAAAAGTTGTGAAACAAGCATTGGTGAAAAGCACATCAGAAAAAGAGAAAACAACAAAAGACGGGGAGAATACGGAGAAAACTTTGAAGAAAACTGACAAGGATTCAAAAATTGTTAGCATTGAAGAGAAACAATTGGTGAATGGAGATAAAGTGGATCATACAAAAGTCACTGGAACAAAAACTGTTACTAATAAATTGGAGGTTGAGGAAATGCCAAGAAAATCATCGCTCAAGAAAACAACTGAGGTTTTGAAAAAAGTTGACATCACGAAAAATGATAAAATCGGAACTATTAAATCAAAAGACAAGACATCGGTGAGTAAAACTTTGTTTTTTCGATGATACTTCAACAAATTCTTTTTTTCACTGTAAATTTCCAAAATTTCTATATACTGAAATTTTTTTAAATCTGAAGCTAGTATTGATATTTTTCAGAAATTTGAAGAAACCCTCGAAATCTGGTCTAATAGGCTAAGTTACAGGTTTATCCATAACATAGAAAATTTAAGAACTGATATAGTTAGAAAAATTAATTTTTGAATTTTCCTTAAAAAATATGTCTGCCCATTTTTCAACCTCATTATCAGTTCCGCTTATTTTTCAGGTCAAAATAACTCCAGACAGTGGTAGTGAAACATCATCCAACAAAAGTGTTCGTATAAATTTATCAAGTGAAAGCTCCCTAAAATCCAGTGTCAAATCAAATTCATCAAAAATGAGCACAAGAGACAGCTCAGAGGAGCGCAAAAAAGTTCGATTTGCTGGGGAAACCGAATCTGAAGCATCATCTTCAGTGGCAGAATTGAAACCCTCGCCAGGTCCACTTTTTGGGCCAGGTTTGCAGAAAATGCGATCAGAAAGTTCGTTGCATAATAGAGCGCCAAACTCAAACAATACAGCATTTTTGAATCGTGTTGGATCAATTCATGTTGATATTGATGACTATCGGACTTCTAATGAATTTGAATATAGTAATCTGAAAGATGTATTAGCTCGAAGAATAAGTGAAGGTTATGCCGATTTTGATAAACGTCCAAGAAAACCTGTAACTATTCCACAAACATATTCAGTTGAAGCTCGACGAAAATTATTTGAGAGCCGATTGCAAAATTGATTTCTTTCTATTGATATTTTTTATTTGCCCCCTGTCCATTTTCTATCTGCATATCTGAATATTTTCTACTGGTTTTCCTATATTTCTCCTATATTTTTTTACGATTATTTATATAATTTGATAGAATTTTTTTTGTGTCTCCGGTGATGGTTGTAGAGCTTTATGATTATTGTTTTGCTTTTCCTTGCTTTTTTCTTGCCCCGGTTTAGTGTATTTTTGATCCAAATATGTTTTGGAGTTTGTATTTTCTGTATCTACTGAATTCAGTTGAATTTTCGAAATGAATCCATTTTATTAAAATAAAAATTCTTGTTTTTTATGCTTTTCGAATAACTAAAAATAATTTTTGTCATTGAGCAGCAATTATAATCAAAAAGTCTATGTTTTTCACGCTCTGTTTTTCATTTTTTTCCATCCTAACCAAATGAAAATTACAAAAAAATTTGCAAGCTAATCCGGATGTATATGCACTTGACAAGCCGGGGGCCCTTTTAACACTAGTTTTGACATGTTTTGGAAATATAAATAAATATTAAAAATTATGAACTAAAAGATGTCATGTGAATATTTTGAAGAAAAAAATGAGCACCGAATTTGTCATATTTTAGGAAGATGATTTCCGGAAAATAATTCGGAAATCTACACTTTAAGATATTATCTCGAATTTCCTGCAACATTTCTGATCAACATAGATCTCTTAAATGTTATGCGGTTGAAAACCAAATGTTTTTTGATTAGTCAGAAGTTTTTTTACAAAATGTTTTTAAAAAAGTTTGGGCTAATGCTTTACTGAAATCGTCAATTCAATTTTTTTTTATTTTTTTTTTGAATCGTTGTGACTAATTCTGAGTCAATGATAGCTTGCTTTAAAGGTGAATTCTGAACGAAAAATAAGTTATGCTCATTTGAATATTAGTCCGATCCTCAAAAGATTTTATTGAAAAATTTTTTGAAACACCGTGTAAAATGGCTGTCCATATTGGAGCTGTGTTTCATGGTTTTTTAACCAGGAGACCGACTTCTGAATTAACATTGATTAAAATGAATCGATTTTCATATCCAACTCCACCTTTAACTTTGAATTTTCGGATTTTCTCGAAGAAATCGAGAAATCTCGCATGTTTTGTTGGAAAATCAAAGTTTTTTTCGCCACTACTATGATCTTTCAGAATTCTCATCAAGTCCCTTTATTCTGTATATATTAACCCAACTCAATTTTACCATGAGCCATAAACCAATTAATATAAATTATGCAACAAATCTTAAAAGTGTATAATGAATGCCGCTTCTCCTACTCCTTCTTCATATCAGATTTTGCTTCTTCTACCTTTGCCGTCTTCTAAAAGCGTCATGCCCCCGAAAAAATTAGCATTTTCATCTTTCTCCTCATTCCATTCCAAGTCGGCACACCTCCCATATATGTAACCCGAAATCTTTATCTTCTTCTTCTCCTCTTCTTTCGTTTTTTTTCACATTTCATTTCTCGTGCACACATTTTGATGAGAATAAAAAGAGGAGAAGAAATGTGTGAGAGCATGAGCCTTTCACATTAATGAGTATTAATTATTAATGAGTTTTGGCAAGTATATTACATAAAGATAAAAATTTTTTGAAACTATTTTTTGAGTTTTTCGTTAGTTGTGTTTGTTGTGTTTTTGGCAGAATTGTCATTTTCATTTTCATTCTCAATTTTCAGTTTTATTCCTTAAAACATTTTTTATCTTGGTTTTGCTAGGGAATATAAAACGGAAATGCAATCAGAAAGGTTAATAAAAATAGAAAATGAAAATGTAATCCAAATTATATGAACCCTGGAGGGATTAGTCGTATTTTAGAATTGAATCAAATAAATGAATGAATGAATGGCAGATAAAATAAGAATGAAAGTGGGTGGATGAAGAAAAAATGTTGAATGTATGTATTACCTATATATATTTATAAATTCGTGAGTATTTATGAATATTTTTAGAAACATTAATCCGGTGGATTGAGTATTTTTGGTTTGAATACATTTTATGTTTCAAATGATTCATGAATGCGTATGTTGAGATTTTTATAGATCTGTTCTGTGAAATAATGATTGTGGTTTTTGGAGATGAGTTTTTTCTAACATTTTATTTTGTCGAACATTTTTTATGCTGAAAATGTGTTTCCCTTTTTCTTTGTTGTATGAATACATAAAACTAATAGGCAAAAGCACTGATTTCTGGTATAGTTCATTATGAAGATCGTATCCTCCGTTGAAAATGATTCTTGATAAAAAAAATTTGATTTTTTTGTTACTCTGAAATTTTTAGTTGAAACAATTTTAAAAGTTTTGAAAAAGCGTTTCAACATTTTTGGTTTTTTCAAAGATATTCAGATGCCTATTTTTTAAATGTTTCTGAAGACTTCTATGATGTTTGATTTTCAAATTGATGTTTGATTAGAAATTAGTCTTTAGATTATTGTATCCACATTGAAAGTATGTCTCACAAAATCCTGAATTTTTCTAAAACTGTTTTTTCTCTCTTGGAAGTCTAGGTTATCAATTAGGTTCAATAAGAAGTTAGATTTTCCACCTATGTTTCTAGAAAACCAAAAATGAAAGTTCTCACAATTAATCTCTGAAAAATTGTTCCAAAAAAGTCACCTGAAAATATATTTTTAGTGAACTTCAAGAAAAAGGTTCCCACAATTAGTCTCGTTTTTTTTCCGTTCAAGTAACTTTACCAAAATTCAACTCCCTCTCCAAATATTATATTTCTAAAACCCAACTCATTTTTTCATCTCCATTTTTGTCGCTCCCAAAAACATGGGCGGAGTTTTGCGAATTCTTGTGATTGGCCGCCCCTCCTGGTGTCGTCCTCTTCTTTTTTTCTTCCTTTTTCATTTTTGAAAAGGTTTCAATTTCGTGAACAATTTTTTTTTGATTATTCTATTGAATATACATTTTCCTATTATATAAATGTTTTAGTGCAATCAAACTACCTATTCATTTTGAGTTTTTGAGCAAAATTATCAAGTATTGTTATTGAAACTTGATTCTTCTCACGCACTTGTGCGTTTTTTTTTTGTAAAAATCTTAATATTTCTTTTTAAAAATGGGGTATTTGAATTGAATATCCATTCCAGGGACCATTTAGAACTTGGATATGATTTTTTTATTTTGAGGCAATATTCAGAATTGTTTCACAATTCCTAGACACAGTTAACAATTATGAATTGTTTTCTGTTCAAATAAAAATCTAAAAAAAAAAGAAGAACACATTGAAAAACTTCCGGTTTTGCACTTTCATCATATCTCTCACAAGATTTGAATTTCCGCTAAATTGATGTTTAACCTAACAAGTTCTGCACATGTCATTTCCAGCAAAAACGATCAAAGTTTCTACAGATCCTCAAAAAAAATCTCAAAAAAATGTGAGAAAAAACAATTAGAGTATGTATTGCGTTGCTGCGATTAACATCACCACCCTAATAGAAAATGGAGTTAAATTCGGAATTAATTAGAAAAGATTAACAACCAAACAAAATTCGTATTTTCGTTTTCGTTTTCGTTTTCATTAACCCCACCATTTTTTTTTTGATACAGTATTTTTTTTTTCAAAACCTTCTCAAAAATTTCCTAGTTTTTTACATTCATAATATTTTTGTGTTGTTGATGAAATAAGTAAGTGACAATGGGATGGGTGGGTATATATTAATTATTCAGCAATTCGTATACGAGGCAAAAGCAAAGGCATCTTTCTTGTTTTTTTCGATGGTCCCAAAACTTTTTGCGTTTTGATTAAATTTTGTTTTTTTTTCTCTTTCGCCTGAAGATTACTGTAGTTTTCAGAGAAAATTCGATGAAACGGAAACTGAGTCTTGTTTTGAATTAGGAAATTTTTTTAGTGATCAAAGAGGACACTTTTCTCAAGATTTATTATTGTTTTCATGGTTAGGTTACTGTAGAATTTCAAAGAAAAACTTTCTTGGAACCACGAGCGGCAATTGTTTGCTCAAAAAACACAGTGCATCAAAAAATTTCTTCCAGTCAGAACATCGAAATTAACGTTTCATTTAATTTGCATCCGGAATGTTTTCCGACAAAAACTACAGTATCCCTCCCAATTTTAGTTCCCCTATCATTCTAACGTCTCCTAAAAAACAACAAAAAATTTTATCTATTTTTTTCGATCTGCATTTCGATTGTTTTTCTCAAATTATCCCCCAGTATTCATTTATTTTTGTCTCCGAAAATTGAAATTTTGTGTGTGTTTTTTGTCGCTTGCTTCTAGCTCAAATTATAATACTTTTTCCCTCCATTTTTTCATCCCACCAAGTTTTTTTGTCTCCTTTTTAATGACAATTAATTGATGATGGTGGCAATTTTTCGGGTTTCCTTCCTTCCTCATTTTTCCGAAACAATTATATATATAATTTTTCATCGTCTCATCTCATTTCATTTTTCCATCCATTCAAATTGTGCCCAAAAACTTTACAATTTTCTCACTCCGATGCACACACATAAGGCTACGGCTTCTAATTAAAACCCTCCGCTCCTGAAAAAAATTTTTTGACGGTTTTTCGGGGTGCCGGATGTTGCTTGATTGGATTTGATGAAAAACCAAAAACAAATTTTTTTAAAGAAGGGAAAGGAATAATTAGGTTTTTTAGTCAAAATACGCCCACAACAAAATTGTTACCTACAGTACTCATAATGTTTGTTTACTCACAAAAATGTTGAAACGGAGATGATACAGTATGACTCAACTAACATCAATTTCCGATTTAGACTCAAAAAAAAGAGTTCCGACTTTGGGAAAACAATAGAAATGAGTAATCATTGCAAAAGTCAAATGACTAATTAGTTATATTTTATTGTTGAAGAAAGAGGAAGGGCACAAAAAATGGGGGGAAAATCTCTGTAAATGACACATCGTTATTTTTTGGATGAATTTGAATTTGTTATACTTTTCTTGCACTAAATCTTTTTCATATTATTATTATTATTCTCTCATTTTAAATGTGTGAAAATTTAGAGAGTTTGATGAGCATTTCAAACATGTTGAACAACGGCAATCCAACTAATAATTTATCCGCAGAATGGCCAAAACCATTTATAGGTGGGTAGATTTTCTTTCAATCTCTATATGTATCTCAATGAATACACGTATTATTTAGACCCGAATAATCTGCTTGCAATGATGCAAAATCCATTCGCATTGAACTTATTTTTACAAATGCAAAGTCATAGTTTACTTCCACAGCAAGCAGCTCTTTTGAACTTACGGCAACTTGGATTCGAGAACCCGCTCGATTTGACTGCTGTCAAGCCAGATCTTTTCCAGCATCTCAATATTTCTCTAAATTCTCTTTCAAAACCAGAAAAGGTTGAGGAGCCTTCTTCAACCTCGAAAAATTCGGTGAGAAGAAATTATACTGCAGAAGATCTTACACAAGCAGTTGAAGATATTCGTCAAGGAAAACTTGGGACTAGAAGGTTGGTTGATTCAAAAATTCAGAAAAAAAACTCAGAATTTGTTGCAGAGCTTCGGTTGTCTATGGAATTCCTCGTTCCACACTTCGCAATAAAATATACAAACTCGAAGCTGAAGGTGCAATGCCATCTAAAAATCGTAGAGGAGTTGGTCAAAAAACAGCTCCACTAATCAAGCCTACAGAAACAGTCACAAAATCGCATTCATCTTCATCTTCACCAAGACCTTCTTTGTATCCAAGTTCACCTGATAGCACAAATAGTAGTTTAGAAAGTTCACATTTCACAATTGATAATCTTACCAAGGTAAATTCCTATATCAGAAGTTTGTTGACTTTGAATAAATAAAATATTTCAGCTTCGTGCCACATCAGCATCCAGTGAAGATATTTCAAATGGATCTTGGGTCGAAGCATTGTGGCAGAATCTTTTTAAAAATCAGAATACCGATCTGACCTCAGCAATGATGAAAATTGCTAGTAAAGCAGCAGAAATGCCAAAAGTTGATAGATGTACTGAAGAATGGAAAAGAAGTCGACCGAAAAGAGGACAATATCGAAAATATGACAAAAATGCGTTAGATGAGGCTGTGAGAAGTGTTCGACGAGGGGAAATGAGTGTTCATAGAGCTGGAAGTTATTTTGGTGTTCCACATTCAACACTTGAATATAAGGTTTGTTCACAATTAATTATTATAGGCATTGTTTTTCATAGATTTCTCCACTGAAACCATCAGAAATATTTTTTTTGCAGGTCAAGGAACGTAACTTGATGAGAAAGAAAAAAGAGTCAAGCACTTCGAACAACTCTGATATTCCAACCATCACTCTTGGTGATGATCCATTTGTTAGTTCAACAGATTTTGAAAAACAAGATGATGAAGATGACGATGATGATGATCAAATGTGCCATATCATTCCAGTATTAACACCCTCCTCGCCAATTTAATTTCCATATTTCTGATATTTTTTATTTTTTTGGTACATAGTTTTCTCTCCTCTTCTATTTTTCCCTGAAAATCAAACATATATTTTGTCCCGGCGAGCGGTCATTCGATTCTAAAATATTCCCTCCTCTCGAAAATTAATTTAATTTTTGAAAAACATTTTGTAATTGATAATTGGAAACATTTGTGAATACCCGTGAATAAATACATTTTCTGAAAAAAAGTAGAATTTTTTTTTGCAAAATAAATGTTTGAAATTTGGAAAGTTGCATGTCAAACTGTTTTTTTTGGAGACTTTACTTTGTCGAAATATTCCCAGTGGAAAAATATGTCACCACTTTTTTCATAGGTGAAAAGTTAGTTTTCCTAAAATTTTCCGAAAAAAATATTTTCCATTTAAAATATTTCAATTGCCGCTATGTATTGTGTTATGAACTGGAACCACATCAAAAAATGAACACTCGAAAAATTCCAAAGTCTCATGAGATTCTGAAAAAAGAAAAATTGAAATGGAAACTTGTCAAACCTACGCGTTACTCAAACAAAAAAGTTGGACAGATATAACTTTTCGGTTTTCGCTCTAAAAAAATGTGAATTAACAAATCCCAGTGGAAATGTTTCAGAATACATATTTTCTATGTTTTTTTTTCTGAAGAAGAAGTAGGAAACCACAATTTTGTTTGAACATTCTTTGTTTCCTTTATGAAATTCCAGGAATAAAAAGTTCCAACAAAAATAACATGTTTTTCGTTTTTTCCTTGAAATTCTATTTTTATTTTGTGTTTTTTTTCTGTTTTCCTGCCTTCCTGTTAAAAAATAAATAAATAAATAACACATGCTATCAAAATCTTTGTGTTCTGTTCTTTTTGATTTTTTTTGTAAGTTTTCATATGATATAAAATTGTTTGGTCATCAAATAACATTTTCACACCAGAATGGACAATTGGAATGAACTCATAAAAAATGTTGGATAACATGTGAGCCTTGAGCAGCCAACAAATGTTTTCTATCTAATTGAACCATTCAAGCACAAAATAGCTCAAAAGCTTTTTTTGTGTTGCCATTTTTTGGGTTGGTTTTTTTTTTCTGGGATAATGTGATGAAAGAATATGAGTCATTTGCATTTTCAGAATAATATTTGAATAGTGAGTACTGTAAATATTTTGGTTCTTTATTTTCACAAAATTTGTTTTCATAATTCTCTCAAATCTAAGTTTATTCAATTTTGCGACCTGTGTTCAAACTGGAAATTGAAGAAACCGCCAAGTTTAGGTTTTTTGAAAATGAAAAAATGTTTAAAAATCATTTTTCGGTGAAATAAAACCTTCGAAGTTTTTTTCAGAATTCAAAACATTTTCAGATAAATCATAAAAACCTTTCCAAAAATCAGTTCATTTTGTTCTCTTGTTTTTTTTTCAATATTCCCATTGGGGAGTCATCGTGGCTTTTAATGGTTTCCTTGCCTCTCATCCATCGACTTTGCCATTAAAACTAAACCCTTTCTCAAAAAGTGAAATGTTACATTTTTCATTTTCTTCTTCTTCCTATTTTTGTTCTTCTGTTTGTCTAAAAATAGTTTTTGTTTTTTTTCTCCACCAAAAAAATCACATTTTTACTATATAATACATATATGATTTCTGATTCTTTCAAAATTTCATTAAATCTAGAGACCTTTTTTGTATGTTTTTGTCCATCCACAACCAACGCGGAAAAAATGGCAGCTTGTTAGTCAGTCATGTGTAACTTCTAACCAAATTTGACACCAAAAAACCGCCAGATTTTATCATGTATGTATGTGGCTTTTTTTTTCTTTTCATTTTTTTTCACCCAGTAAGTCAGACCACCCCTATTCCTTTGGGATGTGTTTTTTTTTTGCTTCTTGTTTAGTTATATCTCATCTCACACTTTTGGTTTTGGTTTTGGACACACGTCGCGCAGTTCGTTTTTTGACTTCTTTCTTTTCATTTTTCAAAAGTCACTTGTTTCAAAAAAAAAAGTTTTGGAAATTTTTGTTTCAAATGCTAAAAACTTTTCTTAAGTTTCCAATGGAAAAATATTTTCTTGCTGAGCCTTTTTTTACATTTTTGTATTTGACATTGTATTAAAGTAATTTAAAAAAATTTACCAACGTTCGGAAAAATGAGTAATAATAATAATAAAAATTAAACACCAAAAAACCCTGTATAAAACTAAAACTCTAAAAAAAATAAGTGTCAAACCGCCACGATGAAAAAAAAAGCATATCAAATTTCTTGAAATATATACCGACTGACTGACTGACTGGTTCAGCTGTTTTATCCAATACTCTCTATTTTATCCTCCTCATCACCTCTACCACTTCTCTCTTTTACATTTTTCCTGGTCCTAGAAATCCTCTTCAATTCTCTAGAGTTTTCACGATTTTTGAAACGATACTATTTTTGGATACTTTTTTCTGAAAATATGCAGTTCAAAAGTTTTTTTTCCAGACAAGACAAAAACAACAAAATGACGATGACCGAAGTGAAACATTGTTTTTTGGATGACGATGAACATGAATGTTGTATTGATATGTTGCACGAAACCAAAAAAGATAACACATTACCTTTAATTACAATGACACCACAAATGCCAGCTACTGTAAGTTCCTTTAAAACTTCAATCTAATTGTTTTTGATTGTGGAATTATTGTTTGCAGATAAAAACTCAAGATCGGCCAGTTGTATTGTATATGGCTCCGGTCGCCAAACAAGCCAGTAATTGTATTTGCCCAAAACCTGATGAGGATTTATCGTCTGGTGTTCGAAATGTGCATATTTGATATAATTTCTTCATATTTTCGTCAATAATTTTCTTCTTAACCGTGGTACATATTTTTCACTGCTGTTCATAATTTTTCAAAAGCTTCAGCTTTTTTTTCAATAAATATTTTTTGGTTTCAAGGAACTTTCGGTTGAATGAATCTGAAACAATTGAAAATGGAAAACAATAGAAGTTTACTTTCATGAGTTAGAGCAAAAGTCAGAATCCAAGCTTTTATAGGAAAAAAATAGGAGTTTGATTGAAAAGGTGAATGGGATACGATTAAAATGCGCTTGATTGATATAAGTTCACTTGGCCCATGAACTTATCGGAAGTCTGTTTGAAATAATTTGTTGGGCTGCAAAAAGTTTCTCAGAAATGGTGAAAAAATATCAATTCAAAATTATCTAAAAAATCAATTTTCATGAAGAAAAATTCCGGAATCTGCAAACAAAATCAGATATTTTTCAATTTGTTCACATACAAAATTAACTTTTTTCTGATTCATCTTTTTTTGTGATACAAAATTCAGTCTAACCTGATCAATCAGATCTTTGGCCATTGTGCAATACAGGGTGACCAGAAATTATCCGTGCAAACTCAACCGGCCGTAAAATATTTAAAAACATGATATTTTCCACAAATTTTTTGATTGAGCACCAATCAATAGATAACTATTTTAAAATTATCACAAAAAATCGTGATCAAAATGAAATCTTACTTGGACCTTGAGCGCCTGATGTTGATGCGTCAAAAATTGGGCAAAGAGCCGCGGCTAGTGGTGTTAACAATGTTGCCCCATTTTTCGCTTCAACAACTGTGTAAATTCTCAAAACTATTTTCACTTGTTCCTAAAAGGATCTTAGACGACTTCTTCTGTCTTTGCCAAAATGAAATTAAATTTTCCGACTTTGGGAATGGTTTGGGCGGTCATGACTCCCTCGGCCCCTTGTTTTTTACTGATAAAAGTGTCAAAACCAACAACGATTCACAACAAACGATCATATTTGAACATTTTCATGTTTTCTCAGTCTAATCTAACTTAAAAATATTCATAAGGCCATTAAAGCTGATGAAGACCTAACATTTGAACCAAAACCAAAAATTTACTTTCGCGAAAAAAAAATTTTTCTTTTTTTTTTCAATTTATTTGGGCCTCTGAAGCTCATCGAATCTCAGTCTGCAAGGTTACTTGGAGTGGTAATTTTTGAAAAATAACATCATTAGAAGATATCTTACTCATTTTATAGTTGTAAAAATACAATTGGAGTTTTCCACGTACTAAACAAAGTCAAAACTCCACGCGGCCTTTCTCACTATTTTAGAAATCTGGTCAAAGGCCCAGAAAGCCCTGAAAAAATCCTAAATTCAACATTCGTGATAATTTTGGAATTATTATGCATTTATTATTGTTAACAAAAAATTTCTTTGAAAAATATCAAATTTTGAAGTTTTTATGACCGGTTGAGTTTGCACGGATAATTTCTGGTCACCCTGTAGAATAATTTAGGAATTATTCTCACGGTCAGAAATAATTTTTTTTTAGTTTTTTAAATTGAAATCATTTTTTAAATTAATTTCAAAATAAAATTGATATTTCTCTGGAACATTCACCGCTGAATGTTCAGAAAATTTGAAGCTAGTTTTGAAATTTAAATTTACGAAGAAAAAAATCGAAAAAAATTTGTTTCCTTTTGGAAGTATTTTTCAATCGACATCGTACACGTTTTTCCAATAATTGAAACTTTTTTTGACACTAAATCGAATTAGTTCATAATTTTACACATATAAATTTAAGTTTTTGCTTCTCTTCCCATTTTTGATCTTTGTATATATCAATTTTTGTGACGTAAAAAAGGCAATACCAACATAATTCATCCAAAAAATATGGTAGCATTGTTTCAATAAAAAAGCCAATAAAAAACCGCAGCACCAAACAAACCCCATATTTATGTTATAATAATGCATTCATTCACACATGATTCATAATATTTCTGTCCTCATTTGGTCAAACAAATAACACACATCAAAAAGGCACCGAATAAATATATAGTGTCCCATTTGATGTGAAAAGGCTATAAACTGAACCCATTTTAGTATGTCAATCGCAAACTTCAATCTCTCTATTTCTATTTTGCGAGAAAAAAGAAAGAATCCTTGACTTGAATGTATTCAGGACGCACTTGTTCCGGTTTATTCATTCACCCACCACCAAACACAACTACACCATCACCCAAATACATTTCAATCTCTAACTTTATTTTTTTCGAACACATTTCATCTTTTCAAGAAAAAATTGTCAAAATTAAAATTATCAAAAAGTCTTGACATTTGAAATTCAATCTGTGAATTTTTGGTGGGCTTTATTTTTTCCGAGTGTTTTGGAACAGAATATATGAGTGATTCCGATGACGTAGAATTTTGCTATTTTTGGATTTCACTAATTCTATTTTTGGACTTTTTGTTTTGGGCTTGAATTTTCATTATTAAGCGTTTCACTCTTTGATTCTTCGTTTTCGAAATTCAGATGAGAATATCTTTTCGAACTACAAAAGTGTCCTAGAAGGATTTGCATCTTCTGAAAAACATCTGTCACTTATCCCAATTTTTCCCTAACTAAAAGCTAATCGAAATTGTAACCTTTTCTCTGCAAAAAAGTAAAATTAAGGCGATATAAAGATATATGAAACCTGATCTTATTGTCCAGTTTCCAGACTAACGTTTTCTTTCTTCTTCTTGATGCATTTTTGAGAAATTGAGATTTTTCCTATTTATTTTTCACAGCTTTTTGACCTGTGATTTTTGGCTCAAAATACGTCTTGTTGATTTTTGATTTTTTTGTTTCAAGAAGGCAGATGTTGGGAACGTCTGAATTCAAAAAGCTTATAATTTTTTTATGTTTCACAACTTTAAAAATGTTTATTTTACCAAAATCTTGATTTTTTAAGGCTTCAAATTACAATTTTGTCTCTGCAAATGATTTTAATCTAAATTTGAATAGATTTTGCATGATTCGCCTCTAAATTTCAAAATGTCTGAACTTGCTATGTTTTATAAAAAAATTAATGAAAAATATTTCTAAACAATATTTTTTTCAATTCGAAATGTTTGATTTTTCCTGAAAATCCCAGATGTTCAGGATTGTTTATAAACATAAGTGTTCCTCATGAAAATCACAATCCTGGAATAAACAACTGGATTTGTTTGAATTGAACATTTCAGAATTTTCTTTGGGAGAACATAGTTTTTTTGAAAACTTTACTTGATTTGCTCTCGGAAAAAAATTCGATTAGTTAATGATAAAACTAACTTTTTCTCATATCACGCAATGTTTCATCAATCGCCTTCAAATTTCGAAACAGTAACTAACCATAATCATATTTCTATATAAATAGTTGAACCTTAAAATTATCTCATTTTCTCAATTTCGTTTTTTTTTTTCCGCTCAAAAAATAGTTAAAGCTAAAGCCGACTTTGTTGAAAAATAAAAGACCAAGTTCAAAGAGCTTTTTGAAATCCAATAGAACACCCATCTCTGTTATCTGCTCAAAAAATCTAAGAGTTCTATAAACGTCAAAATTGATACATTATTTTTGGAAGAACAATCAAACAAGTCGGCAATGGGCTTGTTTTCTTTTTTATATTCGTCCTTCTCCATTTCGTTTTGGTGTCTATTTGGGATGTCGAAGGCCTCATTGTCGAAAGCTTCTCCTTCTTCTACTTCTTGTATTCCCAACGGCAACTTTAGCGTGTGAATTCTCCTCTCAAAAATGAGAAGCAAAATTTCTCCATCTAACACACTTCTGCTTATTTTTTTGTTGCTTGTTTTGTTTTTTTCCTGTTTCAGTTTCAGTTTATCATCAATCTTGTGACAGTTTTTTCATTAATTGTAAGAAGCAAAGTTTTTTTTCAAAACTATTTTTTGTTGTCTTTCACTTCAGAAAACATCTCATAAATCATAGTTTTTCCCAGGAAAAACAACACGTTTTTGTCTCGCGTTTTTTCATGTTGGCAAAAAGTCAAAAACCAAGCCGAAAATGCCCCAAGGCACTGTTTCATCTTGTTGCACTTGATTTTTCCAGAAAATTGCAACATTTTTCCCCTGCTTTTTCTTTTTGATTCTCTGTAAAAAATATGTGATTTTTTCGATTTATTATTCTGAAAAAATGAAAGAACAATGTGTTTTCATTTTGAAAATTAATTTCTTTTTGATCTCATTTTTCATTCTGTGGGTGTGTTTTTTCCTGAAAAAAATTTGGGAAAATGGAGGAGCGGCGGGGGTGGAAAAAAGACTCTAGGCAGTGTTCAAAAAATCTTTGGTGCTGATCAGAAATGTTTTTTTCTACTCTTCAACTTTTTTTCAGTTTTGAATAAATAGAGATTATGAAAACCAGAATCTAATTTTTTTTAAAATAAAAATCCTAAAATTGACCCAATTTATCCACTACAAATCGGATTATTTTTCGTACTTTTTCTAATAACATTCAAAAGATTCTGGATAATTATGGAAACTTTGAAGTCTAATTCTGATTTTTCTCAATTTTTTTGTACTACTCATAAAATATGATTTTCTGATTTTTAGACCTCAATTTTCCTTGAATTTTTTTCACAGCCATTCATCATATTGAAAATATTTTCTTTCCTCGTAATCAAAATATACATACATACATTTTCATTTCCCCATTGTTTCGAATTTTTTGTATAACTTCAAATTGCACTTTTCACCTCGCTTTCTCACACCACACCACACATTTTCTAGATTCGGTGGATGCGTTCATACGAGTTTGTCACAAATACACCAATCAAGCTTGATCGTCACAAAAGTCTTTTAGTCGATGATGTGGCGGTTGTTCGACGGACACCAAGTGTCGCATCATTGTCGCCGCCATCAACTACAGGTTTGTTCATATTTGAGTTTATACTAATTTCACCCCATTTCACTTCACTCTTTCACAAAAAAAAGTAAAAAGAAAATAGTCAAGAATAAAGTTATATTCCCATGGGTCATATTGCTCTTTTTTGTGTGTTCTTGATAGGAGGTCTGTTTTGTTGTGACATACATACATAAACCAAATTTTCGAATATGTATGTATGTACATGGAAAATTGTAAAACGAAAAGTTTTTGAAGAATCTCAAAGATTGATGTGTATATGTATTGAGTTGAGAACGTGGGTTGTTTTTGACGAGTTCTCTTCAACATCATATTTATTTTTGAAGATGTTGTGGATTTTATGTTTGAATCTTCTCACAGAAAAATGACCGTTTACTAGAAGTGTAGATTAGATAAAACCAGAATTTTCATCAGGTTTTTTTCAAACTGATTTTAACAAACCTATAATGAAGTGAATTATCTCGTGTTTGAATTGGCAAAAATTTGAACCCTAAAATATTTTTGCTGTTTCAGTTACCATGATTTGAAAAAAGTTATAATTCCCAGAAAATGGAAAATTTCCACAAAAAGTTATCAGAACTCGATTCCAGTGGTTACTGAAATTTTCAGAATATTTTGTGAAATTGCTTCCGCAGGGACAAGCAAATCAACTAGTTCTCATAACCTGCAGAATAAAACCCAAAACATAGAAATAAAATAAAAATGAAACGAAAGTTGACGTTGTTCCAATTCATTTTCTTCATTTCAATCATCCCCCACTAAAACTAATCAACGCGCCGGAATATGTAAATGAATAAGTGGATTTTTTTCTGTCTCTAGTATCCGATAAGTACCACTACTATCCGCCTTATTGTTTTTATATAAATAAATAAATAAATAAACATTGAAAATTGCAGAACAAAAAGTGTTCGTTTATAAACTTGTTAACTTTTGAAAAAGAAAGAACTTCCGGAAAGAAATTCGATTGTTTTATTTCATTTCATTTCAAACTGAATTTTGAGTCAAAGAGTGAGAGAGAGTGCAAAAGTTGATTGAATTTATTTTTCATTTTTGAATGTGGATTTAGAACAATTTGAAGTTTAAATGATTATCTTTTATTTCCCGCGAGACAAAATGAAAAAAAAAGTGTTTAACCTCATTTTTTGCGAGGAAAAGAAAATAGTAATTCGGATTAGGTTGTGAAAACGCCGCACAATAGAATAGAAAAACAACATGATGAAAACTGTTTTTCTCGCTCGCTCGCTCGCTTTGCTAACCCCAAACCGTCCTTGACTTGTTACGCTTTTCCTTTTCATCTTCTTATCCTTCCATTTTTTTCCTTCTTGTTTTTTTGCGCATTAGTTTAGAATGAATAAATATTTTATTTTATTTTATTCGATTCATTTTTTGATAGTCATATTTCTTTTAATTGCTTGTTTAGACGATTTTCTGCCTTGTAAATGAGTTTTTTTGGTTTTGGAAAACATAAGTCTCAAGGGGTATGAATTTTGAGTTCAGTTGAAAAAATTGACAAGTTTCAAACAATATATTTTTCTATATATTCTTTGTACATTTTTCGAGGCTGAGCAAGTTGAAAAAAGACTTCTAGTGATTTCAATTTAAAAAAAACTGGATTGTTTTTACAAAAAATTTTTTTTTTTAAAGAATATTTATCAAAGTTTAAAAATGATCTACATTTTTGGTAAATTCATAATTAATAAATATGATACTGAATTTAAAAATTATACTTTTTTTGAGATACCAACACTGCACTTTACTAGATCCAAGAGAATAGTTGATTTATTTGTCACTAACTAACCACACTGATTTTTGATGCTTCTGTTTTTGTCGAAAAATCTTTGCAACATCGTTTGTTGCCGGATTATACACCTTCCTTCAAAAAAAATACAGCCAAAACCACTCGATCTAAATACTTGTTCACTCATTTTTTTTTCTTCAATGTCAATTTCATCTTCATTTTTTTCATCTTTCATTCATGCTAGTACTTTTGCCTGCCAACTTTATACCAAAGAGTTGTTGAGTTGACAAAAATCGAGCTTGTGTTGATGTTGATTAATTTATTAGAATTTCCCGGAAAATCCCATTAGTACTGGCAGCAGCGATTTATTTCGAAAATGAGTTGGGACAACAGAAAAAAAAGAACATTTTGCTTGTGTGATTTCCGAACTTGGGCACACGACAGGAAAAAGCCGCTTATCCGGCCACAAAAGTTCCATTTTGTACACGATATCTGCCAAGTTTTTGTTTTATTTTTGAAACTTGACTTGACTTGATTCGCCTTCATTTTTGAAATTTCAAAGTTTGCGGAATTTTTTATACTTTTGATTATTTTAATCATGTACACTCTCTGCCTATTTTTATTTTACAAGTCTGCTTTGACAGCTACCCACGTTCTAGGATCAGTTTTTATTGAAGATTTCCGGATTCACTAATCCTGCCATAAACCTACACTTCCTATTTTCGTCAGAAAACGATTTTTCTGAGATGATCTATAGTTTTTTAGTGAAAATATGAAGAATTTCCGGGCTTTTTTGCGAACTAAATCAACTTTGCTGTTTCTCAAATTTCGTCCCTCCAATTTCGTATTTTTTGTCACTCTATCTCATCCCCCATTTTTCCTAGTTTTTTTGCTCTGCTATTTGTAGGAAGCAATAAATGTTCGCTTCCTTTTTTGAATTGAAACCAAACCCGCAAAAAAATCAAATAACAAGAAACAAAATGTGCATGTTTTCAGCTTCATCGAGTATAGCAATGATTGAAAGATGTGTTGTTGTTCAAAGACAAACTGATGGGTTCGGACTTGTGGTTAGTGAGGAATATCCGGTTTTTGTGAGAGAAATCAAGACGGATGGAGCTGCTTATTGTGCTGGTGTTCGACAGGGTGATCGGATTATAAAGGTGAGCGGGGGGTTTTTTTTTTAAATTTAATTGGAATGTTACATTAAAAATGTGAAAGATTTATTTATCCTTGAATATTTACGGTCGTTGAAATCAAACAATGGTTTTGATTGTGACATGAATAAAAATACTTTTTCAAGTGTATTTGGGTTGTTCAGAAAACAGAGAAGGATGAGGAAATAAATAATTTTAAATATAGAATTTCGATAGAAAAAGAAGAAGAACCTGAATTTCACAATTTTGAGTATGAAAAACTAATAAAAAACATTAAAAAACAAAATTTTCCTATGCAGAAAAACGTCGAAAAAACAAAATATTTATTATTATTATTATTTTTCAGTAGAGACAAAATTGAGAGAGTGCAGACAGACAAAATGATGAAAAAAAATGATTTCGCACAAAAAATACAAAACACTAATTTTTCTGTCTGCGCTCTCTCAATTTCATGTTCTCTCCACTCAAAAATAATAAACAGTATATTTTGTTTTTTGACGTTTTTCTGCATAGGAAAAATATGTTTTTCTTTATAATTAATAATTTTCTGTTCATATAATGTCTGCTTATTTGCGTTTGAAGTAAAAAAAAATAAAAATTTTGATTTTTTTACTCAAATCATAATTGTTTCATTAACGAGTTTTTTTAATCACAAAACAGCTTCATAAAAATTTTTCAGGTGAATGGTATGACAGTGACAATGAACAATCACACTGAAGTTATCCGGATGATATCAAGTAAGTTTTTTCTTCAATTTCATTTTACCAAATCCCTATTTGTCATTTTCAGATGGTCAAAATGTTGCATTGACATTACTCGGAAAACCTCCTGATCCACTACCCCCAATATCCATATCAAATTCAAAGTTCGAACAGAAAATTCATATTAATGATCCGGTTTTGATCGAGGTTTGTTTTTTTTATTTTTTATTTGAATTATTCACTTTTTCAATTTTTCTAGGCTTCTTCAAAAGATTGGCGATTGCGTCGGAAAGAATTGTTAGGTGAAATGATGGATGAGGAAAAACGACACATTGAGGTGAGTGGTTTTTTATCAAATGTTTATGGATTTCTGAATGGATCTATCTATATAGCTTTTTGTATTCTAACAAATTTGAATGATGGTACTGGCTGACAAGAAGAATGATACATTTTGTGAATTTTTTGGACTTCGCAACAGAACATCGTGTTTAATTGAATAGATCTGAAAATCCGAATGAACTTGAGCTAATTTTATTAAAATCATGCACTTTTTGTCGAATATTGAGAAATCGTCGGAGATGTTGAAGTCTGGGCAAACAAGAAATTCTACGTTTTGAGAAAAAAATGTTTTTGAATGATAAATAAGTAATTAGTGACTTATTGTTAGTGAAATTAAGATTTATTCCCTTAAAATTCAAATATCTCATTGGACTTGGATTGATTAAAAGCGACATTTGAATCTCTTCAATTTTTTTGGCAGAGTTTCAAATTATTTAGATTAATCTTCAAATTACAATTCGACTGATAATTGAGATTTTTTTCTGGAAATTAGATCATTTTAGAAATAGAAAAAAATGAGGATGAGAAATTTACCCCTTCTTCAAAACTCTCGAGTTTATCTGAACCCATCTTAACGAGTTTTTCACTCGAGATTTCAGAATAAAACAAATTTTGAAATCAGAAGTCAATAAAAAGTTTCGATAACTCTCTTCTGAATATGTGCTGATTCAATTTTTCAAGTGTCACTAATTTGGAAAATGTGAATCAAAAATTAGATTTGAATATATATTTTTCTAAAAAACTGTCGATTATATTCTGCAAAGTTTTTTCTTCCAAAAAAAAACATCGGCCACCATTCTCAATTTCCGAAAAAAAACACAACTGCCCAAAACTTTTGCAATAAACATTTGGATACAGTAATCCATCTAACGTTCGTTTTTTGTCAATTTTTCTCCACATTCTTCCTCTTCCTCTTATTTTTCATCCAAAAAAAAAACAAGTGTCCCAAAACGTCTTGTTCAGTAGAATTGGCGCAAGAAAAAAAATAAACATTTGTCTATGTCTTTTCAAGTTGGGAGCAATGTCTATCTATCTATCTATCTATCCCTATTGAGAAAGAAAAAAGGCGAGGAAAAGATTTGTTCAGCTCCTTTTATATTGTTGTTCTTCAACTTGTTCTTCTTCTTTCTTCGTCACCATTGCTGACCCCTTTTTAGCTCTTTTTGTCTTTTTTTGTGTGTGTTGCATATTCGACTCACCCCACACCAAAAACATCACCAACACCACTATGACAAAAGAAGAAGTTTATCTCTCACTTCGATTTTTCTTCGTCTTCTTCTTCTTCTTGTTATTCCTCAGTTTGTCGTCCCGATGCTTGCAATCACACAGATTCTTCTTTTTTCCTCAAGTTTTCCCCTTTTCCCTCTGATTCCACAAAACGAGATTTTATTCAATTTTGCTGGTTGTAAAATATATACTTTTTTGATGACTTGACTTGTGACTTTACTAGGATCTCTGTTTTTTTTGTTGAAAACTTCTGGATATTCATTTGTTTGTGAAAGAGGAAGGATTTAGAATGTAGTATGATGTGAGCATTATTTCTAAAACAATTATACTCTTTTATATTGAGATAATAGGATTACCATTATTTGTATGGATGTTTGGATTTCTCTTGGTTGTGTTTCATTTTTTTTCTGATAAATTTCTTTCTGATGAGAGAATTTGAAGTTTGACTAGATTGAATGTAAACGTTTCTTGAATGGTAGAAAAATTTGAGTTTTAAGTTTTGAATCAAATTTATTTCAATTGTAGAAATCACAAAATTTCAGAACCAGCGTTGAATTTTTGATATATTCAGAACATATTAAAAAAAATTCTGAAAGTGTTCTGTTTTTCTTTTTGGAAACTCACAATTTCTTCATATTTGGATATATCAAATATTATGAAATATGTGAACGTTTATTCAGTGGTAGAATCCAGAATTTCCACTTCTTTGAAAAATAATTTCAGTTTTAATTTTTGAATTGAATTTATATTGAATCCAGAAATCGGTAAATTTAAGAACTAGTGTTGAACTTTAAATATTTTCAGAACATTTTGAAAAAAATTATATCAAATTCTGAACATTTTTTATTTTTTTGGAAACACACAAGTTCTCTATATTTTTTTAAAATCAAATATTACGAAATGTTTTCCCAGTTCTTAAAAAAACCAAACTTCACATCCTTCCACCCATGATGTGACCTTTTTCAGACTTATTGAATATTCAATTTTCAAGAAACCAAAAAAAAAACCTCTTTGTATGTTTTAACAAAATTAAATTCATTTCCATTCTCTTGTAGCCTTTCATCTTTTCTTATATTTCTCAGAATTTCGTTTCCATTCCCATGAGACATTTGTTGTATGTTTGGTGGTTGTGACACAAAGTTTTCAGGGTCTTCGCGAATCGTCGCAAAATGTGGACAAAATTGATCGAGCACTGAAACGGATTGTATCATTGCAGTCACAATTGAAACATATTAAACCGATCACAAACGAGTATCATAAAACTTTGGTTGGTTTGATTTTTAGGGAGAATGGGAATGCATTTTTTCGAAAGCATGAACACTAACACAAAAAATCATACTTGGAAATGAATTTTTTGAAAAAGCAAAAAATTTCAGACAAATTTGCCGATGGATATTGATAGCGATGAAGATGAAAACGATGTATATTTAGTGAGTTTGCAAATTAAAAAAATATAATTTGACAATAAAAATGAATATTATAGCCCGAGACACAGGGAGGACCATTTTCCAACTTGGCCGAACTCAAAACTCATCCTGCTCATCTAGCAGTGTTTATCAATTATCTATTATCCAACGGAAATCCTAGTAGCTTGGTAGGGTTTTTTCTCAAAAGAAAAATTTGTCCATAAATAAAATTTTTTTCAGTTTTTCTATTTGATCACCGACGCATATCAATCCGCTTATGGAACGGCAAAAGAATTTCGCCGTTGGGCATTTGAAATTTTCTCAACGTTTATCATTCCAAATTCGCCAATGTGTATACCAAACTCAGATCAGAGTATTATTCAACCAATTGATAAGGTAAATTTAAGAAAATAAAATTATGTAGGTTTCAAATATAAAAATAATGAGAAAGTATGGTTTTTATAGTTTTCATGTATAATTTCTATCAATTTTCTATTCCCAATTCAAAATCTTGTTCTTTTTCAATAATTTTTCTCCGCTACCACACACACTTCAAAAAACCAACACATAGAAAAATTGCGAGAGAAAAAGAGAAGAGACATTCTTGTCACTAGCCTCTTTTTCTTTGGCAAATGTGTCCTCGGTAGTATAGTGGTGAGTATCCGCGTCTGTCACATGCGAGACCCGGGTTCAATTCCCGGCCGGGGAGAAATTTTTTTGCTTTTTCTTTGCTCTCATTATTATTTTTTTCCGGAATGAGGAAAAAATGACAGCGGAAGCAATATTTTATATGATATGAATGTAGAGGGAAACCAACAAAACCAAAAAAAAAATAATTGCTCAATTATTCTTTTTCTGCAGATAATGTGCATCACCGCCGATCATATTGGGGATAGTGATGCCGATACATTAAAACGGGTTTTTGTTCCGGGAAGGCAGCGAGCAGTTGCTGATATTAATATGTATTTGAATGATTTTCGACAGAAAAAACAACTCGGTGGACAGATTTCGGAATCTGCTAACCAGTTAACACATATGGTTAGAGGTGATATGGCTATGGAACATAGAGTAAGAACATATACCTTCAAATCTTACAATTTAAAATATTGGTGTTGTTTTAGGTTGGAGAACAGATGTTATTTCGAGCTTTGGAACAATACAGTTCCCCAACAGATTTTGATAACTGTGAAATCAAAACTCAAGCAATTATTAGTAGTTTAACAACAGTTATTAAAATTGTGCTTGGCAAAACATCCACGTCGACTTATGAAAAGCTTCTCGATAAATTTCCGCAATTTATAGCTAGAGATAAACCGCAAAGTAAAACTCGAAAGCTCCCAGCAAACATGAAAAATCGAACTCAAGTGAAAGGTCATACATTTTCAATAAATTCAGTAAACACAGTGCATTATTGTTATCAATGTCGAGATGCGATTTGGGGAATGCAGCCGTGGATTTATTTTTGTTCAAGTAAACAAAACCTAATTTAACTTCAGAATCTATATATTATTTTAGATTGTGATGTCAAAGTTCATCCACAATGTACAAGTTCTTTGACTGATGCGTGTTATCCGATGACACAAACCAAAACAAAAGTGACAAAATCTAGGCTTTCTGGATTGATTGGAAGATCGGATAATACTGAAGAAGATGAGCCCTCATCAAACACATATAAACACGATCCATCAAATGTGAAATCGACAAGTTCGGATAGTGGAATTGGCAACGATTCGCACAATCATGATAGAAATATTATAGCTAGATCAAATAGTATGAGATATAGAATGGTAAGAGAAAAAAAGAGATTTAAATTTTTTTTCAATTTCAAGAATTCTAAACATAGGGCGTTTCCATTTTCTAATCAAACATTCAACCAATTTTGGTATTTTCCAAAACTCTTGTTTCAATTTAACTCCATATGTTTTCAGTCAACGATTCCGCAATCAGTATCCGAAGATAAAGTGACAGTTCCAAAACGAGATCGATCTTCGAATTGGCAAAGCCGAACACCCGGACATGACCTCACTCCAGCAGATGAAACCGATGAGGAAGCAATTCGAGAAAGAAGGATGAAAATAATTGAAAATAGGTGAGAACAATGTGAAAATAAATCAAACATGAGAAAAAAAACACACAAAGAAAACAAATATACTGTAGAAATCTTATTAAATTTGAACAAAAATCATAAATTTTGAGCTTCTTTTGGAGCATATAAAAGAGCATTCTTGAATCATCTTGAATTCATATTGAAAATTTCTAACATTCTAACTAACTATGAAATTGCTGAAACGAATAAGAAAACGATTACGCAAGTGTTTTAGCACTTCTCGATCTGTGGAAAGTTCAAATCGGATGGCAATCGATTTGCAAAGTGTGAGTGGGGCGTCTAGTTGTTCACATCATAGTCATCCAACCGATGATGAGGTGACTTTCAATTTATTTTTTTCTCAAAAATTCATTTTTACCTAAAAAACTAACTGTAGATATATACAAAGAAAACAACGACTCTTCAGTTTTCCACTTTTATGGATGGCGATAGTGATTTTGAGCTGGAAACTGAGGCAACTCCATTGGAACAACTTATTGGATGGGATGTTATTCGACATTTGAAACCAAAAGAAAAAAAGAGACAAGAAGTTATCAATGAGTTATTTCACACTGAAAGAACTCATGTTAGGAATTTGAAAATCCTTTATCATGTTTTCTACAAACCTTTGGCGAATAATAATAAATTGATGTCTGATGAAGTGACAAAGCTTCTTTTTGCAAATCTGGAAGATTTGCTAAATCTTCACAAGAAAATGTCAGATGCTATGAGAGCAGAAGTTCAGAAGGTATGGTAAAAAATATTTTCTTTTTTGAAGCTTCAGTCCTCCAAGTTCAATAATTCACTCTAATTTTTTTTCAGTGGCGTACTGGTCCACCACGACCAAATGGTGGAATATATGGAAATATTGGGGATCTGATGGAAAGTATGTTTGATGGTGAAGCTGCTGCAGAGCTTATGGAAATCACATCCACATTTTGTCAACATCAACAACATGCTCTGGAGTTTCTTCGCTCTCGATGCAAAAGAGACAAGGACGATTATTTTGTCAGATTTTTGAGTGAAGCTGAATCGAATCCAGTGTGTCGAAAACTTCAACTCAAAGATATGATTCCAGTTGAAATGCAGAGATTAGTCAAGTATCCATTGCTTTTGGAAACTATTGCGAAATATACCACTGAGCCAAGCGAGGTAGACAAAATTACCAATATATTTTTTTAAATTGGAAAACAAATAAATATTTTTCAGGAGCAAGACAAACTTTTGAAAACCGTCACATCTGCCAAGAAAATTCTGAGCGCTGTAAATACAGCAAAACGAAATGCTGAAAATTACAGACGACTAGAAGAGCTGCAAAGAAGAATTGATACAACACCATTCGACAAAGAATTCAGTGGACACGATTACGCATCGTTGAATCTGACAAAATATCGATTAGTTCACGATGGTCCTTTGACTTGTAGATTTAATCGTGGAAAAATGGTTGAGTTGCATGTAGTTCTTTTGGAAAATATGCTGGTTTTATTGACAAGACATAGTGATGGAAATAAATTACAGCTAAAGGTAGCCCTCGCGGAATTTAAGTTTATTAAAATTTCTAATTTCAGACATTGGAACCTTCCAAAGAAACCAAATGGTCACCAATTTTTCCATTATCACCATTAATTGCCAAAGAGAAGGCGAATGATAAGCGTGCATTCTTCTTGATTTTCAACAGTCAATACGGTGCCCAAATTTATGAATTAGTTGCTGGAACAGCAACCGAAAGAAAAACGTGGTTCAAATTAATGAGCGATCAAATTGAGCAAGAAAAGAAGCACCAAACAATTGGAATTGAGCCAAACTTTGAAGTTGGTCAAACAACTTTGGATTCTGATGGAATTGCAAAAGTGAATGTTTCAACTCATCCAAGACTTGTGAATGCAAATGAGATAACAATTCAACAACCGACTATTTTGGAGCATGCACAACCGGTGTTAACACCTGCCGAGAAATTGAAAAGATCTGATGAGATTATTCTTCAAACTCTTCTCGCGAAACAAACTATTTTGTCACAATTTCTTCTTTCAGATGATGCCGTAAGTTTTTTATTGTTATCAATTTCATGTATGTCCTTTGCAAATTTTTTTTTTCAGAAAGGAAAACCCGAGGAGCTTGAAAAGTTAGCTGAATTATTGAGCGGATTAGCAGTTACTGATTTAAAACAACGAGATGGAAGAGAACTCGCAATGTCAGCAATCGTTCATGGAAATCGGCTTCTTGATAGTATTAATCAGAGTTTGAATATTCGAAGAGATTATAGTGATGATGGCCGGAGTATTGTTGTTTTGGAGAATCAGGAGCCCAATGTGCCATCGGTACCATCATATAAGGTGGGTTAAGGAAAAAGCAAGAAGAAGAAGGCAACTTTATTTTCAATTAATTCCAGTTAACCACCATCGCTGCACCTTTGATGAATCACTTAAAAGCACTAATGCAAGTTATTCAAGATCAACAAAATGAGTTGAATGTTGTCAAACAACAATTGTTACATTATAAAGTGAGTTTGAACCTACAGATTTTTTAAGAGTTTTTTTTAATTTTCTCATATTTTCAGAAAATCGCAACCGAAAACGAAAATCGATCAGTGAGTGAAGAAACTTTGACAGATTGTGTTGATGAACGAAAATTGATGACAAAACGTCAAAGACTTCCATCGATTCAACCAATGACTTGAAAACTTTGAATAATTACCAAATAATGTATATCTCAGGAATAGGTATTTTCACAGCTGCTATCCACCAAATTCCGCTAATTTTTTTCAAAAAAAAAAACCACTATTGTTAGGGGTGACATCGCGTGACGTGTCAATTTATCATTATGTATGTTCTGCAAAAAATCTCAAATCAGTCGCAAAAGCTATTAATCAACAACTATGAATATTTATTTTTATTTTTTATTTCATTTCTACTGCATTGTCGATAAACCTTGAATAAAAATAAAAAATTTTGCATCACAAATTTTGAAAAATAATACCAGTATTATGATGACAAACAAATAAGGAAATTCTAAAAAAAATTATTGGGATTTGTCAGCTTTTGGTTGAGCCAATTCACGAGATTCATAAATTTGAGAAGTTGTTGTCCATGAGCGATAAAAAGCTGGGAGAATACATGCGAACGCAAGAATCGTTCCACCAAGAACATCAGTTGGGAAATGCCAATTATCAGTGACTCGTGTGACAGCAGTAAACAATGTCCAGATTGTGTAAAGTGGAACAAGGAAATTGCGAATTGAGAAGACGTGGACAATTCCAGTTCGTGATGCCATTCTGGAACAGTGTTTTGATAAAAATGTGTTCCATCATTTGAAATAGAAGAAATCAAGCTCATTTTTTTTGAATAAAAAACCAACCTTGTAAGATAAATCACAACAAAAAGCCAAGCATGAACAGCTGCGGCAGTATGTCCGGATGGGAATGATGTTCTAGCGGTTCGAATCTTTCTCAACTCTGGATTAGTGCATACCAATTGATCAACAGTGATCTCATTTTCTGGATTCGAACAATCAACTTTTGTCCAATCTGGTTGACAAATAGACACAAAATGTGGGCGAAGTCTTCCAATATAACATTTGAGAAATTCCATAGCAAATGTGCATGTTGCATAAATCAATAAATATTTGAGATAAATTATTGTTGTTGTTTTGAAATAGTTGGATAAACGATTTTCACCCTGGAACGAATATAAGTTTGTGATTTTGTGGTTCACGGTTTTTTTATTAACATTTTTCAACCCTTGCTCCCTTATTAGGCTTTTCAAGTTTTTTCGAGCCAGACATGATTGTCACTAAATTGTGTTTACATAGACTTTTAAGCACTTTACGACCAAAACGAGAGATTTTTGATCTTTCGAATTTTATTTCGTTTTGCACAAGAGAAAATAGCTTTTGGAGTTGAAAATACAATTTTCCAGCAAAATTTGAAAAACCCAGATTTTTAAAAAATTTGGTTAGTTTCATTTTCAAGAAAATTTGAAAGCTGAATTTTCAGCCCATGTTTTCTAATCTGCTAATTTCAATTCAAATCCCGCAAAAATCACTAACCCTCGAATAAAAAAAGACAATCGCTTCAACCAATGCAACAACAAAAAATGGCGATCCAAGTGAGACGGCGAGAAGATGTTTTAGTCCGACTGTATTTTGTTTGAAAGGTTGTCGAATCGATTCATCGCCACATGGAAATGGACGTTCATATGGAGAGATTCCTTGTCTGAAATAAATTGATTAAATTTCCAGATTTATAGAATAGGGTTTAGATATTCAAATGTTTTGGTATTCTGAGCACAAAATTATCATTTTTAAAATAATTATATAGAAATTTATCATTTTTGATCACCAAAAATAAACCTTTTTTGTACTGAACGTGAACATTAATGTTTTGATTTTCTAATGTTTTCAAAAAAAATTATCATATCATTTGAAAAAACCCGTGATAAGTAAACCCCAAACAAATTCATAAAACTCACCCAGCAAACCAGAAGAACAACATGCTAGAAACAAACAGAACAATAACAATATCCAAAACCATAAAAAATAATCCTTTTCCTATCACTTTTTTCACATCATCTTCCGAATTATGATCATTCAATCTTCCACTGAAAGTTGTTCGACGTAAAACTTTTTCAGACATCTGAAAAATGCAATCTAAATTCATACAGAAATATACAAAAAAAGAATAAAAACCAACGAAAAAAAATAAAATGTGGCAGAAAGTATAAACGCGTCATAGGAAACGCGCCAGTCTTCTACCTGCTTGGCGTGTTTTCTGTAGATGTGTGTGAAAAAACATTATTTCATCATCATTTATTTATTCATTCTTACATAAAAGGCACTAGGATAAGAAAAACGGTGAGCAAATACAACTCTATCACATTTGATTCTTTTTGGGGTTTTTTTCAAGATGAGGATTGAGAACTGGCAAAAAATGGGTTTGGAAAAAAAATATTGAAAAAAAAACATAAAGCGAGAATAAAATAAATTAGAAAAACGCATTTCTAAAACATTTTTTTTTCGATGCTTCGAAAAAATCACAATTTTCTCTCTGATAACAAGAAAAAAATCAATCGAGTAGATATGAATTTGGTTGATGATAGATTAAATGACGAAAAAAATGAAGAAATTTTCAAAAAACAGACAGTGAAAGCATATGACATAAAGACTTGTTTCCAAAATTTGGAAAGGAAATCACTAAAAATTGCTCATTTTTCTTTTGGGGGGAGCACATTGTTTTTCGTTTTGACTAGGATTGAATTCATATGCAAAATGCTACATGATATACACATTTTTGACAAAAAAATAAACAGAAATTATCACAGTATGATACAAAACTCAGTTGTGTTGCAATTATTATTGTTTTTATTGATAATGAACCATTGATTCGTTGCGATTGTTTCCATCACTTATTTGTAAATATTGATCAAATTCACGGGGATTCAAATCCTGCAAAAAATTTTATTTAACAGAAGGGATTTTGAGTTATCGAAGTTAAGTCTTACCCCACTGAAATCTAATCCATATGGCATATTATGTGCTCGTTGATGATGTGTTGGTGTGTGAGAATAATCAATCTCCATAGCGATATCATTACTTACAAGTCGCTGAAAATTTTCTATTTTATTTTTGTTAAAATTAACATACATTTAAAAAAAACCCTACGTTAGAATACTGATTTTGTGCCTGATTTTGAGGGTTTTGTGACTGTGGTTGTGGAGTGGTTGATTGTTGTTGTTGAGATCCTTGTTGTAGCATATAATTGGAATCGTTTTGAGAGTGATGCTGAAAAAAAAACAAACATCAAGTTTCTAGAAAAAAATAATATAATTACTAACCATGCTCATTGGTGAAATAGCTTGATATTGTTGTTGTTGTGGACTATCGAGAAGACCCTGCAAAAATTTATTATTTCTGTTGGATTTTTGAAGATGAAACTGTTGATGAACCCTTTAGAAATGTTTTTCTAAACTTTGGAAATTTGTGTGTTCGTTGTAGCTAGACTTATTTGTAGTGTGTGTCTAAATTAGATAGACACTTCAAAAATAATTTGATGGAACATTCAGGAGAAAAAAATTCCAAAAACATTTAGCATATTTTTATTTAAAAAAAATGTTTTTTTCGAAGTAAAACACTGCATTTTTCCTTTTTTTAAAGCTTGAAATTTCGAAAATCCATCTAAAATTTCCATAATAACCCCACAAAAGTTTAAATTCTGATCATTTCAGTTTCATCGAACTCATTGACAGGTGAACATTATCAACACTTTCTTATCAGGTGTGATGTCAATACTCTTTCGAAGATCAAAACTTCATTTCCTTTTGTGGTTTGATATCATCTGGGTTTCTGATCCCCCGGAAAATGTTCACTAACCGATTGCATAAGTTGCATATTTTTCTCTTGAATCATCATTCGTTCATTTTGCAATTGTTGAATATAGTCCGTTTGAGGTTGAGATCCATATTGACTTGGATCAGCTCCAATTAATTGTGGATGTTGATGAATGGCTGGCATTGATCTGGACGAATTCCCAGTCTCATAATAATTACTGTAGCTTTGTCCGAGATTATCGCTAAGAATGTGTTCACTTGCTGAAAAATCTTATTGATTTTCTGGGAATTTGAGAAAAAGTTTTACTCACAAATAGATCTTGGATCACTCCAAGTTGTCGATTTTGTATTGTGATCTTTGAAGTATCGATTACCCTCTGAATCATAACATTCCTCCCAACCTGGCGGTAATTGGGGTTGTGCGATTTCTTGTGACAAAAATGTTCTTCTCATTGGATCCAGCGACAGACTTTTCTCTCTATGACTTGTAGAAAATAGCTGAACAGAAGGTGTTCTGGAAAAATAAAAACTGAAATTTGAAGATTAATTTTAAGAAAAATAAACAAACGTTGGAAATCCTCCATAGGAGTAATTCGGTTCATGTGAAACTGATTTGACGTGATGTGGTTGAGGCGGGTATTCGACTGGAGGAAGAGCCGATACACTTTTGGAATGTTGATTACTGACAAATGGTTGATGGTTCATTGGAGCTGGCGTTCGTCTAAAATGAGAAGGTTTTTTTTTTGAAATGAATGAAATTCTTATGCAGATTTTTCACAGGAAGAATTATTTTCTGGAAAAAAATCTATTGTTGGAAAAATGTGGGAAAACATTCCGGATTTTCCGGTTTTTTTACAACTTTCAAAAAATCTTCCGGAATTTTGGAGAAAACAGTTTCAGACTGCAAAATTTTGAAAAAGGAAATTTAAAAAAAAACAACAATAAATTGTAACTTACTCGATGGTATAATCCGGATGTAATTCAGGAGCACTGATTTGTCTTTTATGAAACACTTGTTGAGGCATCATACCTAATGCTGGGCTAGGTATTGTGCGACTACTTGATGCAAATTCATCCATACTTCCCTGAAATTATGTTCAAAATTCATTTTGGAACAAAATTTCAAAAAAAAAGAGATAAAACCAACCTGTGGCGAGTGTCCAGCACTGCTACCTCTGGGTCGTTTTTGATGAATAAATGATGATGGAAGTTGTGTATGTTGAGGTGGTTTTTTGGGATTCGGATTCTTCTCATACTTTTTTTCTGGTCTTATTAACTCTTTAATACTTTGATCCGGATCCTGATATTGTGTTATCATAATCTTTTTATTTATTTTGGTCCGAGACGCCATTGAGACCTGAAGAAAAATAATAATAATATTATTAAAGAGCACACACCCAAAATTATATTTTTGTGTGTGCGTGTGTGATAACAAAAAATTTTTGAAAAAAAAATGAAAATGATAGAAATGACTCAGCGGCGACGAAACAAAAGCAAAATCATCATAAAAATGTTTTTTTTATGTATTCTGTTCTGATGTCAATGACATGGATAACTTATTTTTTTTTGTCAAACAATTCTGCCATAAGTCATGACTCAACTCAAATGAATGAAAAGATGTAGGAGGATGAGAAAAAAATAATAATAAGCAAGAAAAAGAAGAAAACAATAAAGCTGGCGTTTGACAATGTGTGAAGAAAAAAACACACATAAAAATAATACAAGGGAAGAAGTGATAATAGGAGGTCATAAATAATCAGCTGATTAGTGGAGAAGTCATGTGAAATGAAATGAGAAGAAATCAAATGAAATGTAATGAAATGGAGAACAAGAAGAAAAAAAGAAGTTGAAGAATAAGGAGAAAAAAAAGAAGTCGAACGGGAACTGCGAATTGATAACACTACAAAGTTTTATTTTTGGAACAGTGAATTTTCTTGAAAACAATTGAAAGTTTTATTTTTGATCTTGAAGATCAATCGGGTAAAAATCGAATAAGCTAGATGGGATTGAACTGTTCGTTCTGAGAATATCAAGTGAATATCTGAGTTTTTGAATGAGAAGAACTGACAAATCTTGATGAATTTAAGTTTGTCATTTGGAACTCTCAAAGTTCAAATATCCTATTTTTCTTCATAATCTTTCGAACTGAAGTGACATATAATTTTTCGGAGTCGATTTTCAGGATATTCAAACTCGAAAAAAAAATTAACAAGATTTCCATAATTTTATGTTTTTTTTGCTGAAAATCTCTGGCTGGAAATGATTTTCCCAATTCAACTGTGAGATCATGAAGTATTAAAAATTGGACCAAGGTTTTTTGTGAGCTTTGAAAATTATTTCACCAAAAAAATTAAATTTTCCAATCACTAACAAATAAAATCTAAACGACACTTATAAGGCAAAATCATAGGGTTTAAAATTTGACTTATCAATCAATCGATTAAAACTGATAAAAATAAAAACAAACTAATGCGAAATAAAATTAAAAATTATTATTATACGCTTTTCGTTCGAAAATCATCATGAAAAGAGGGCAAAAATGGTCAAGAGAAGGAGAAAAGACACAAAAAAAAAGTGTCGTTTCGCCTTTTTCCTCCCACCCGCCGGCCGCCGCCGCTCTTGTTGTTCCCGTTGTTTTCTTGCGACCGACGGCCGTAGGGAGGAGAAGTGTTCTCGACAAGGTCACTTGTCGCTCGATTTGTGTTAACTTATAACAATTAACTCGTCTTGTCCTCAAAGATAACGCGCAAAAACACCATACTATTTTTATATCCGAATGTTTTGCGCGAAAAATATGTATATATACTATATTTATTTGTATGTTATGAAATAGGAAGGAAGATACTTTGATCAATATTTCTGATTTTTGGAAAAATAACTTTTCCAAAGCTCAGGAGGGAAATGACCAGTCCCCGAAAATTTTCAAAGAGATACATGTTTCTGTACAATTTTTCAAAAAAACATTATATGGAAACAATTTTTTATCAGATACATATTTTGAAAATCAAATTCTTGAACCCTAGATCAAATCTTCACAAAAAACTAAATTTCAAACACTAAAAAATCTGAGAATCCCAGAAATCAACGAAAAAATATCTCAAAAACCAGCAAAACAAATGAATTATAATCTAACTTGAAAAGTGACAAAAGACGAAGATAAAGATGAGAAATAAAAGAACAAGAACTAACAATATCTAAATAGGTCTAAACTTGTTATTGATAAGATTTGATTTCGTAAGTTTTCGCAATTTACAATTTACAAATGAAAAAAAACACCTTTTCCGGTCTTTACAAAAATTTCCAATTTCAAACAAAAAAGTGTGTAAATAATTTGAAGTTGGCCAAACAGAATTTTTTTTCAAAAAAAAAGAAGAAAAGGGTGACAAAATGTATGCGTTTTGGTTTTTGAAATGAACCGTAACGATTTATCAAATAATAAAAATACTAATAATAAGAATAATCCACATAAATGTTTGTACTAACATAACATAAATACAAGTTGCAACAAAAAGGAAAAAGAAGACAAATGCGGGACTGACTGCGCTTCATCATCATCATCATCATCATCATTTGCCTTTTTAAACGTATACAAACACAAATACACGTTCCTTTTCTTGTGGGTGGTAAACAATTAGTATTATAAAAATAAAATAATACCCATCTATCTGTTTGTTTGTTTGTAAACCAACTTTTTTGTGGAATTTTTAAAAACCCCAACCACGCAACAAAAATTCCAATGAAATTCTTATCTTAAAAAATGTATTTGTGTATTTACATATTTTTATTCAAAATGAAATATATATCTATAGAATGAATGAAAGAAAACACAAATATGTTTTTGTTCGATTTGGAAAAATATCATTCTCTTGTAAACATCGGAACATTCTGTTTATTGAAATTTTGAGAGATGAACTCGCGAAAAAAAAAATTTCCAGAAATTTTGGATTTTGAGGTTTTTATGTGGATTAATGGAATCTCAAAACGTGTTGAAAAAACCCAGAGAAAATTTAAAAAAAAAATCTTCAAAACTTCCAACCTCACTCACAATAACAAAAAAAAACCAATCTCAAAAGTCAGTTCATTCAAAATCAAAAAGTGCACAAAATCACAATGTTGCACTTGAAACAAAATGACGTTTTGTGAAAAACGACGGCGAAATAAATAATATTGAAGAAATCTTTCCGGATGGGGGTGAAAAATAGTGTAAAACAGAGCGTTATCACTTTTATGAGAGATTTATATCGAATAGTTTTATATTTATCAAATGGAACAAAAAACGATCGGATAAAAGTCTGACTTTTTTTCTCATCTCAATCAAAAAATAATCTTGCAAAATAATTTGAAGAACCCGGGAATTTGTTTTTTTTTTTGGAAAAAAAGTCACAGGTCATATGGGTACAAGGATTTTTTTTGTTGAAATAATGATAAGATTTGAAAATGTGGTTTTCATCCCGGAAAAAAAACAACGACTAATAATAATGACAATTATTGAACAAGAAAAAACAGAGAATGATTTCTGGGAAGAGAATTTCCGAATGAGGTAAAATTTAACATTCGCAAAATTCATGGGCCAATATATTATTTGAAAATTAAGATCAAACTGATCTACGTTCCACATAAAAATCTACTGTTTTATCTCAAAGTGTTTGATTAAAAAATACTAGTTATAACAAAAATAAAATAAGTACACGTTGCCTTAAAGAAACCACCCTGTTTTCATCTATTTCAACATCGAAACGTACAAAAACATATTAAAAAACCACGTGTTTTTTCAACTGATTGAGTTTTCTTTGAAAACTGAAACATCCATGTGACATGAAACAACAAATCAAATGACAACAGAAAGCAGCCGCACCCAAATCAAAAATAAAACTGATAAAAATATGTAATTCCAAAATTGATGAGGCAAAATTGGAATCAAAATCAAAATCAAACGAAAAAAGGTGCCTGAAGGGTAGAAAAGGAAAAGAAAAGAAAGAAAGACCTTTTTCTTATTCCCGTGTGTTCTTTTCTCTTCTTGTTCCCTCAAGATGTATTTCTCTCATTTCTTCCATTCTATCGTCCTGTTTTTTCCTTGTTCTTCTTCTCGTTTACCTGTGTGTGTGTGTGTGTGCCTCCTGCTTCTTCACTCACTAACTTTCTGCGCGTACTACTATTCTTTTTTTTCTTGATCGATTTGTGTATGTCTGGTGTATCTATCAGTTGTTTTGTCTCTTTTAGTTTTCTTCTATTTTTTGCCTGATGGCCTATATGTTTTTGTTCACCATCAGTTAGTTCTCTCTTCTCCTTCGTTTTCGATCGCAAGAGATATGAGATGAGGTAAATTCAAGGAGGAGTGAATGAGGGAAATAACATGCATTTGACAATTGTGTCTGTGTGTGTGTGTGTTGTTTTCTGATTTGAGGTAGCTAGGCTCTCAGTTTTGACATTTTCGATTGGAAGTGTCAGTTATTTTGATCAACTTGAATGAGTGGAGAAATTTTGGAGGTCTAAAGATGAAAAAGCACTGATGTTTTGTGATGAGATGAAGAAAAGCGAGTCCCAACAAAATTCAATTTAAAAAACTGCCACAAATTTTCATGATTCTGTTAGAATAAAAATACTGAAAATAACACAAATTAAAAAAAATTACGAAAGGAAATCTTGAAATGTTAAGATGAAAAACACACCGGAAACTTTTTTATTGGGGAGTTAAGATAACTAAAAAGGGGAGAAGCTAGAATAAAAAATACAATCAGATAAAAAATTCTGGAAAACATAAAAGAATGTTACAAAAATTTGCGGGTTTTTTAACGGGCTTATAAATTAAAAAGAAAATATTAGCTTTAAACTGATGAAATTGGATTTTATAAACTGAAAAAGTCATATTGTTAACTAACCTAGCAAGAGAATGAACTCTCTTTCATTAAAAACCCACCAAAAAACCAACAAGGAACTTCCGATCTACAGTCTCTAAAGAAGAACACCAAAAATCGGACACACTTCAAAAACTCCACTCACTTTACACGATGCAACTTTTTTTTCAAAATGTTTCTCTAGCAAAAATACAAAACTCAAAAATCACAAGTCACATATTTTTTCTAAATAATGATTAGAGCACAAATGTTTCATGGAAACGGAAAAAGGTTATCTATCATATATTGGGCACATACATTCCAATGATGTGACCACATTCCAATCTTGTGAACTCTTTTTTTCCTCTATTTTCACTGTGTTTTGCTAATTCGAATGAATCAAGTGGTTTCGCCCAATAAAATCAACAAACATTGCAACACTTTTCATTTTTTTCATTGATGTTTCTCTATTCGGACAAATAAATGAACATACTATAAAGATCGCGATGAAATTGGGAGAAAAAATGATCGAAAATTGTGTACATAAAACAAACATGAATGAAAATTAGATCTTTGAACCAATAATGATTTTTTGTAAAAATAAGAAAGCTGATTCCAAATTTTGACAGAAAGTTGGAATATCTGTTTCATCGTTGGCCAGAGCAGTTATGGTGAAGGTGAAGCTGGAAAAGATTTGTGGAATTTTTTGATTTATTTAAGGGGAAAAGTTGCACTTTCTCTAGTTCAAACCTCTCTGAATTGATTCGATAAAATGCTCCATATCCACCTTTACACATTGGTGTAACACATCCAAAAGTTCCATTTTCAACATATCCTAACAAACTTGTCGATAATTTGAAGTTTCCATTGCCACCACTTTCAGAAAATGAAACATCATCCAAGAATGAGATTTCGGTTGGTTTTCCAAGGTTTGCGAGATTTTCCTGCGCTTTTCTCAACCCGAAGAAATGTCTATCAAATCCTTTTCCATCCCGTGCCAATTCTAAAAATCTACAATGAGTGTTATAAGCATCGAAAAATAATGTTCGAACAGCATCGCTCTGAAAGTTTTTTTTTGCTTTAATTGAGCATAATTGGTTTTGGTGTTTTTTGTTCCCTCAAACTTAAAGAAAGAAGAAAAAACTCACGGTTGCTCCATTTTCAATTGCTCTGAAAAATAGAGCAATTTCACTGGTTAGACTTCGAACGGTTTCTGTTCTGCCGTGATAGAATTTTCGACTTGATGCGGTTTCATAAGTTGGTGCCAATCTACAAAAAATGTGTTTTTTTCCTGGTAAAAAAATGAGTGGGAAAAAATGTTAATTAAACTTTTTATGTGTTTTGAAGTATGCAAGTTGTAAAGCAATTTGGATGATTGTGTCAGCATAGAATTTCCCATTTGTTTTGCAGAATTTGGAGCCGAAGTTTTTAAAATTGTAAATTTCAAAATTAAAACTCTCGGCCTAAAAAAATTCAGTAATTTTCTTTTTTAGTTTTTTTTCTAGTTACTCACCAAGTCCTTGAAGTTTTTTTCAGCGTAATTGACAAGATTTGCAAGATCAGCAGTACTTTGAAATTCTAGTTTTTCCACCACACAAAAATCATCAACCACTTGTGTTGTCTGTGGATTCTTGAAAAAATGAAATTATGTTGGAAGAAAGAAGTGGATTTTTTTGAGAAAAACCTTGTTCATGTTGTCTGCTGCATAATCACAAGGCGCGAAGAGTGAAATAGCATCGACGTTTCCGTGCTGTAATTTTCAGAATTGAAAAATTTGTAACGTTTTGTGGCCCAACTCACTTCTGCTTGTAGACAAGCTTTTCCATCTCTCATAACAATCAGATTCAAATTTTTATCACAATAACAATTGTAGGCAGATCCAAAAAGTGAATATTTCATAAGTTTTGATTCATCTTCAACAAAATCATCCACCATTGTTAGAGAAAAAACAGAACTATCAATCAGCTCAAAGTTTCCAGTATTATGCGCTGAATTTTCGATCAAAGAATGACGAATCTATAATAATTCAAGTTCACTAGACTGCTTATATTTTTATAACGTATTACCTTTGCCCATTCATCTCTTCCAAGAGAAGTTAGCGGAACTACAGATCTTGTGTCAACTCTTGATGATTTACTTTTGATGAGCTCTAAAGCTTTCTCAATAGCATTTACTGATTTCAAACTATTATCTGGATTTGTAACACAAAATTTCCATATAGATCCATTGCAAATAATTATGATATGAGATGGGCAATCACCCTCCGATTCTACAATTTTATTGGGAAAAAAACTTTTTTGATTTTTGAAAATGTATATGTACATACCAGTTCTGAAATATCTTGAAATTTTATCCTTTGGAAAATCTGCAATTCGACTTGCGTTGAATAGATTGTAAACTTGGGACATGTCCCATTTTATTCCACCACTCACAGTAATATCAACTTTTTCTCTGGAAAAAGGTTTTCTCAAAAATCTGATACATTTTTTTATGAATATTACTGTCTGACGAGATTCCAATAACTCATAACATGATAAATCAACCTCGCGGCTACAGTAATCTGACTTTCTTTTTCAACGCCAATTTTCGGAATAATTCCTCCCATATTTTGTGTGAGTAATGTTTCACGGTTCATTGTATATGCGTCATACCACCAATTCTCTAGCTGAAAAGAAATTTCAGAATTTCAAATTCAATTCATCAAAAATTCTTTGTTCTAAACCCAATTCCGTTCATTTTTTGCTTTTGTCAACAAAAAATTTTGTAGTAATTTGGCATCTGAAGATTCGACGAAGGTTTTTGCTGATTTCTCGATGACTGCATGTTTTGAATCATCAAACACATTTTTCACTGGAAAAATGAATTTTTTATTTTTGGAACATTTTTTTATGATCTGCAAAAAACTTTCTGAGTTCACGAGACTAGGTTTTTGTAATATAACATTCTAGAGACATTCTTAAAATAATTATTTTTAGATATATTTTCAGATATTTTTAAAGTTCTCGATCCACAACTTATGTAAAGTATATTATTCTTTAAACATACTATTTTGAGTTTCTGGAAAAACAATGCGAAAAAACTTCCGGGATATTAAAGGAGTATTTAGCAATTTAGCTCGCATGAATGCTCAAAAAAGGGCGAAAAACTCACAAGACTTCAAATATCGATCAATTGATTCATTCAAGCCAGGAATTGGCAAACTTGGCAAAAATTGTTGAGCAGAAAATGTGCCGTTTTGCATTTTGTTGAACTTCCACCAAACTCTTCCGATATTTATACATGTTTTCATACCTGTTGAAATTGCCCACAATTTTCTACTTTTTCTTCGGAAATTTTTTTGTGTGGGAAGAGAAAAGTTTGAAAAAAGAGCAATTTTCTAATTTGTCAAGTGTTTTGACACTTTTTTCTTATTTTCTCCTGTTTCCTTGAATATATATATACAAAATATTTTTAGATTTTTGGGATTCTGAAGAATTGTTTACATGTATTCTGAATAAACGAAGCCTATTATAGTTTTCTGATTTTTTTTTCGAAGTCACACATTTTCTCAAAATTCATTCTGTTTGATGTTCCTTTAGTTTTTTTTCACCCATGTAAGAAAAAGTGTGAAAAAACGCATAACGAGATAAATCAAGTCAAAGTGGGCGGAGCTTGTTTTCAGTCAGGAAAAAAGGCAGGAAGGAGAAAAAGTGACATTTTCGTTTTTCATTTACTCTTCTTTCCCCCCAAAAATTTCGCCATTTCTCCAATTTTTTTCAGAAAGAATGCAATTCGTTTCCTCAATTATTGTCCTTCTTCTTATCTTGGTTGCTACTGTATCATCGTTCCGTGGTGGACATGGACGCCCACTTTATGGTATAGCTTTTTCATTCTCAAAAACGTTAGGGTTGAAAAATTACACCCCTGTAGGAAATCTGTGTTGTTTTTGTATTACAGTTAGAGGTGGGCACGTGATAGCAGATATTTCGATGATCAATGAATTGCCAGAAGCAATATTATTTGAAAATATATTGGATCAGTCTGAAAAGTTATTTTATTTGATTTTATTTCATCTTATTTTATATACAAAACTAATTTTCTCAATTAACCAGCACTCTTCTATCACCCCTTTTTCTATCATTTTAAATGCGAATGTCAAGTTTCAAACAATCTAAAAACCAAAATTCATCCCCAAAAACCAATATTTTTCAGGAATAATCGGGGACGTTCAATCAGTCGAGGGGTCACTTCCACTTCGTGGTTTCGTCAATCACGGTGGACGCGGAGCGGTCCGAGGATACGACCAATGGTAGCTATCACAAGAAAACGGCGATTATATGACAAAGTTAAAAAATAAATGATTATCGCCTCGATTTTCTGAATGTCAATAAATGTAATTATTGTTGATGTTTGTGGTTTTTATTTGGAAACGGACAGAGATTTTGTTTTTTTTTAGTTCCTACATAAACTTCAGAGAATCTCACTAAATTTCCAGAAAAATTAAGAACATTATTTCGCGAGTTTTTCAGTCAAGTATTTAGCGTGGTTTTTTTCTGATTCAAAACTTCTTTACCTTCCGAAAAAATTTATTTTCGAGCACACTCTAAAATTTGAGCTCTCAAGACATAAATTCACAAGTTTTGCACTTTTCAGTTAGTGAGAACTTGAATATGATATTTGATCCGTATTTTGTGTCAGATTCTCATAACTGACATCACGAAAGTGTTCAGATTTCTTTCGAAAATCGAATTATTTTTCTGAAAAGAAAAACTTTATTCACAATCAGAACGAACTCGAAAGTTCAAATATTTTTTGACATCTCTTAAAGTTTCAAAAACCTTAAAAAAATATTTGTTATGCACTAATTGTAAATGCAGTTGGTGCTTTATGCTTGGCTGAAGACCTTTTAGGTTGCTCGATTTCTGATTCATTTTCATTAGCAATTGTTCGAATGGAATTGCGTGTTTGGGTTGTTCTTGATGATGGGCGACTCGTATTGGTTTGTTGCTCAGAATTGCTCCTGAAAATTCATTCTCACATAGTTTAAAATAGAAAAAAACATGATGAATTCTTTTACCTCTGACTATCTGGAACTGCAGGTGGTTTACCACGCAATGTTGGAATCACTGCACTTTTACGTTCACCTGTTTGCTGCAAAATACATATTTCGAATTTTTTTGCTCTAGAAATTTGGAGAGATAATCTTACCCTTTCTTGATTTGTTGGTTTCTTTTCCCACCATTCGATTTCTCTTGGTTGACTGGAATCTGGACGAGATTGATTTGCTGATGTTTGTTGAGGAGGGGTGTGTGATTCTTGGCGAATCGGGCGAGATGGTGGTTTTGCAATGTATTCTGAAAAAGAACTTTATATGAACTTTTACTGATGCATAACATTTTGCAAAATAATGTTTTATTCAAAATTGGATGGAACGAGGAGTGTCTGAATAATTTTCGATATAAAAATATGTTTGAAATTGAAATTTGGAAAAAATTCAATTTTCGATAATTCAAACAGGAAGCTCTTTGAATTTCCATCAAATTTCCCTTATATTCTAAATCACCTGAATTTGAATATCGTCTCTCCTGCGTACCTCCATCTTCACTCTGTCTCTGCGCTCTTATGGGTTCCTCGTCAAAACTATTCTGACTTCTATAATTGTTTTGCTGTTGTGGTTTTGCATATGATTGTCTCCGATGTTCCCGCTTTCGATTCTCTGATTCAATCTGAATAAATAACAAAAGTTTGTTTTCGGCAAATTCAATCTAACCCTTTGTTGCTCATAAATCTGTTCGTTTCTTCGTTCCATTGCCATCGCTTTTTCTTTTACAGCACGTCTATCACGTTCTTCTTCGTCACGAATTTTTGCTTGATATTCTTCCCATCTGAAAAATGATAATTAGAATTATTATTTGTAATGTTATGTACAATATTACCTCCTAATTTCTCGTTGTTCCAGCTCATATTCTTTTTGTTTTTCAGCTTCTCTTCGCCTCTTATTATCCTCAATTTGCTTGGCGAGATCTAACTTGTGTTGATCTTGTAGTGACAAAACTCTGGAAAAATCTACAATTCTGTGAAAAATTCAAAAAACTGACGGTTTTTGCTGTTGAGAAAGATTGGGTAAACTTCCTGAATTTCGGCCATTTACAATTGAGTTTTTCCGATTATCTGTGTAATTATCATTCCAATCAGTTTTCATAGATTGTTGTTGATGCTGCTGATTCTGATGAATTTGATAATCATCTCGAAATTGCGGTTGTTGAAATTGTTGAATTGGTGGCAAGGAAGTTGTCTGAAAAATAGGTTGCTCTGGGAATTATTGAAAAAAATGAAATTTGGAAAATATAGAATAACTCCTAAAAATTGGAATCAAAAAACAATGAGTGTGAAAATAAAGTCTGTCAATTCCCAATAACATCAGGATCTAAAACTCTGATGTACAGAAAACGAATTACAAAATTTTGAAAGCGCTCGAAAACATTCTTACCATTGGATTCGGAAGTTGTGGCATAACTGGCAATTGATTTGAAGATCCAAAATGTTTATTAATCAAAAAATTGAGCTGAGGTTCCACCGGCACATACACCAATTGCCCATCCATATATATCAATCGCAATCCAACAATAGAACCAATTGGATCAATCATTGAAGAATGGAAAGATGATTGATAAATATTTGATTGGTTAATTGGTGGGAAATTCACATTGTTTGAATGTGAATTTGTGTTTACGTTTGAGTTTTGATAATTTTGGTTGCTGTTGGCTTGCAAAGGTGATTCATTATTTTTTATTCTGAAAAAATTATGGGTAAGATGGAAAATTCAAGTACAGTAGTGACCAAAAAGCTATCACCTATTGCTTTTTCTTCACTTTTACTTTATCGGATTGGGTTATGTTAGTCACTAGTGGAAAATTGAAAATTTTCAGAATCCTAAAAATTTTCAGTTCAAGTAATCTGAACATCCACCAAGAAAACATTTTTTGACAAATACTTTCGAAATATTCACTAGTGACTAACATAGCTCAAAAACTTTGAGCTTAATCCGATGAAGTTAAAGTGATTTATAGAGAAAAATCAAGGTGATAGCTCTTTGGCCATTAGGAAAATTTTAGAAAAAAAAAACCTGGAATCCGAATAACTTGGAGATATTGTATCTTGTGATCTTCTTGAATATCCACCATTATTTTGATGAAGAGGTGTTGAAGCTGTATGTTTGTATTGTTCAAACTGAAAAAAAAGAATATCCGGAAATAAATTATGGTATCATAAACGGAGTATGCCCAAACCAATAAAGTGGTTTTCACGGTACATAGATCCGGATAAAATTCTGAATTTCAGTTTCTTAACATACCACATCGGAACGACTTGAGGCGTTAAAGGCATATGTTCTAACCATGTTTTCCTGTTGAATCTGTAAAAATAATTTTTATCACAATCGATAACAAAGTGAGAGAATAATAATGAGAATAATAAAAAAAAAATGCGACAAAAGAATACAAATTCGTATAGTGAGCTCAAATCGCGAAAAAAAAATATTCGTAAATATAATAATTTTCTTCCAAAAAAGGAAACAAGTGTAGTGCATACCACAAAATTGCGATAAATGTATGTCCACTCTTCTTGTTTTTTTTTTTGTCATTCTTGACCCACCAGACTACTTTTCTATGCTATTCTTTTCTTTTCATCGCACACAAAAAATGTTCCATAGTTGTTATGGAAACGTTTCATAAAGCAGCCAACAAAAACAAGTGTTAGATTCTTCTGCTCTTTTTTTTTTGGTTTATATGGGAGAGATATTTAATGAAAAAGTGCATATGAGTCAGTGAACAATTATTTTCTTGGGAATTTTTGAATAAACTTGGACAATGGGAAAAAATAGAATATGGGTGGTTTTGAAAAAAAGTACATGTTTTCATATTTTTATAGGAATGTAGTTCAGACAGACAAATGGGAAATGAGTACAAAGGTGTCTGTGAAATAATTGGAATACATCATTCTGAAAATTCGAGATAATTTCTCAAAAAATAATGAGAAAAAACAAAACATCATCATATTTTTATTGAGAAACCATAAAATATTTTTGGAAAAGATTTGCTGAAGAAGACAGAACGGCTGGAAAAAATGTTATTGAATGTTGATTACCAATAAAAAAGAAGAAGCACAAAAAAGTACCATAGAAAATTTTCCAGAGGTTAATTATAGTACAACTAGTTAGTAAAAATTGTGAAGTTATTTAGATATTTGGAAACTTTTTTAATGTGTAACAACTATGAAAACCAAAAAAATCCGTTGAAAAATAAAAAACAAAACAAAACAAAAAACAAAAATGACATTTATGCTAAACAACAGGCATGACGGGGTGTCGTTGTAAGTTGTCTGGGTTTGTGATGTTGTTTTGTTTTATTTTGTTTTGAAATTTATTAAGAATTTTATGGATTTTTTAGTGAAGTTAAACATCCATCTCATAGAAACTAAATGAATTCGTTCATTTATAAAAAAATTTTACGTGATTTTCCAAATATTTCCAAATTTCTAAATAAGATTCATGTTACGAGTTTCCCATTTTTTCTACAATCCTAAAAACTTTATTCGAAAAATTATAATTTTAACAATCCATTCTTTCCTAATTTGATAAGCATATTCCATCGTTTGAGTAGGCCGCAATCATACTTGATAATGCCAAACCCATCCAACATTCCAGTTTCCAGAAAACTTGAGATGACTCACAATATCAAGTTTTTTATCTTTTTATCCCTCCTCAAATACAAACCTCCATTTTTCCAGATAGTTAGTTATTATCACTCCCTTCTACATCTATCTTCAAATGAGATATAAATATTTCTAAATACATATTTCTTTATTTAAAATCCTCGAAATATCCATCGAACTAGTCTTGTAACAGCACTTTTTGAAAATTTTCAATGAAACTGTCGGAATGACCTAATTCCGTTTAAACGACTAGCTATTATGCAAACACTTCGTATTATTATTTTTGTCCCAAACTGTTGCTTGGTAAATTCATTGAAAGAAAGAAAGACAGTTCAGCTTCATCATCATCATCTCTCTTATTATTTCTTCAGAACAATTCGGGAGAAAAAAAGGGGAGAAGAATGAATAATAAAAGAAAAAGCTAAAAAGCCTATGATGCGACCCACATAATCGAAGATAACCGCTGCGCGGATATAGTCAATTCTTTTTGTCCATCTCACTTTCTTCATTCTCATCACTTTCACCCATTATTTGACCGTTCTTGCCCCCCATCTCATCTCATCTCATTTCCCACTTTCTCATTCATTTTTTTCTTTCACTTTTCGCTCTCGAGATTTGCCCGTTGTTTTTTGGCATCAATTTTTTCATTCCAGATGAGGGTGTTGATCTATTTCACCGTCTCACTGATTGCTATCAGCAATGCTCAATTTTTCTCGTCCGGACCATCGCCGTCCGATTATATTGATCAGTTTGGAATGAAAAATGCGATTGGTGTTTGGAGTGATGCACTTCGGAAAATTGCGTTGAGAAATAATCCAAAATAGTGAGTGAAAAAGAATTTCGAGGGAAAAATAGAAGATCATTTTTCAAAATTTTGAAAAAATAACCAAAACTCACTCAATCTGTAGATGTATCATTATTTTTCTTTAGCTATCAACCTTCCAATATCCGAGCTTTTACATTGGAACCGCCAACTGTCAACACAAATGAGCTTGATTTGAACAAACTTAAAAAAGGAAAAGGAGATTCAATTATCAATGAGAAATTGTTGAATCTTCTCTTACCAAGAATCAAAGGTCAAAATATGTTCACCACAACAACCACGACTACAACAACTCCGAAACCAAAACCAACCACAATCAAATCTACAACTTCAACTACCCAAGCACCAACAACAACCACAGAGGAGATTGTGAAAAATACACATGCTGGAAGATTGGTGCAACCTGATAATGATAGTGAAGAAGAGGAAGTTCTCACACCATCCACCACTTCAACCACTGAAATTCCCACAACTACTCCTGAACCAGAACCAGAGACAACTTCTAAACCAGAACCAAAAATATCGAAGAAATCCGAAGATTCTATTGAATTTACAAATGATGATAATAATTTGTCAGAAGACAAAAATGAATCAACTACACCAAAAGCATCTGAACCAGAAGGAACTCATCTTTCTGTTAAAATCCGAACAGCCGGTGATGAGGAAGTTGAAGGATCGGGAAATGATGAGAAACCATCATATATCAAGAAACTTGAAGAAATCTATAGAAAAGAGGAAGAATTGGTGGAAAAGGAGTTGACTGAGATGTCAGTCGCTGAACTTTTTGACACTAAATCTACCAAGAAAGTCAAATCTACAACCACAACAACAACAACAACAACAACAACCACTGAAGCGCCAACCACAACTTCTACTGAAAATCCACTGATCAAAGAAGAAGCGCTAGAAAAAGAGGCTATTGAGGTAGAACAGTTTTCAAATAGTAAAAAAAATCAAACATATTTTTCAGGTCCTCAAATCACTTGACGCTGAAGAAAATCAAGACAAACGAAAACATGAAGAAGTCCAAAAACGAAAAAATGAACGAGAAGAAGCTCGTAAAAAGATCAACAATTTCCTGAAAACAATGAGTTAGTTACCTTTTTCTTGATGTATTTATACATAGCATCATAATTTGCAGAGACAATTCGAGCAAATCGCGAGAAAAAAGTGACTGCCGAGGTCGAAGTTGTTGATACCACCCTGGCTCCAACTGAAGAGCCAACATCGACCACAGAAGAGGAATCAACTACTGTAACGACTACTACTGAAGAGCCGACAACCAAAAAAGCTCGAAAAACTACGAAGATTCCAGAGGCTGAGGAAGAGGAAGAAGAGACAACTACAGAATTATCGACTACAGAATCGACTACCACGAAAAAAGCAAAAACTACTACTACTACGACAGAAACACCAGAAACATCTACTGATTCAGAAGTTCCGAGTGAGTATGAGTGGTGGTTTTTGAAATAAAGTTTGAACTAAATTTTTTGAGCAAGACGTGAAAAACTCCTCAAAAATTTTTTTTTGAATTATAATTTTTCAGCCAAAACTTTGAGTACTGAAGAAATTGAAGATGTTGTCGCCAACACCACCGACGTTCCCGACACAACCGAAAATCCAGACGATGTTGAAGCAACCACAAAAGAGATTCCACAAATCCAACTACCACGATTATCTCCTCAGCAGCTCGCTCAAATGATGACCCCAGTTTCAGGAATCATTGAAGATATTCGACCAATTTTGAGCAGTATTTTGACTGGACAAGCAGCAGCTAGATCGAGGGTTCGTTTACTGAACGATTTTTGATTTCAAAAAACATCTAAATTTTCAGGCCGCGGCTGTTAGAACATATGAGAGTACAAAAACACCAAACTACACACCTCGAGATATTTTAGAGCATGGTTATTCTGAAAATTCATTGGTTGGATTTGGATCGCAAATTGCTAGAGAAATTTTGAATCCAGGAATTCTTCGCAGAGATAAAGCCAACAGAGAGCGTGTTATGGCTGCAAAAATCGAGGAGGCTAAACAGCGAAAAGTCGCGGCGGTACGGGAAACCAAAATGTTTTGAGATCTCACAACATAAATTTATAGGTTGAAGCATTCGGAACTGGCGCACCATTAGATTTGTCCTCTCAACAAAAACCACTCCCATACTTTGTGCCACCGCCTCCAGGATATGTTGGGCCATTGCCACCAGCCCCACCCCCGCCACCATCCGCGTTCACTGTTGGGGCAACGAGACCGTTACCGATGGTTCAAACTGAGGCACCGACTCGACCACCTACACCAATGACAACTCCACTTCCAATTGTACCAAAAACTCGTAAGTTAATCCATTTTTGAAAGCCTAAAATCTAGAACATGTTTTCAGCCCGAACCAACGATGAAGGTTACGAACAAGGTAGAGATGATGTGAAGACAACATTTGAAGGTGATTCTGGAGTGATGACCGGCGGACGTCGACCAGTCCCAGTTCCTGATTTCGAATCAATGCCAAGTGGTGAATCATTTGGACTCTCCCCTGTCGCACAACCTCCAAAAGCTCTCCCAGCACCATCTTCCCAATCACCTGTAAATAGACCATCCTCTGGATTTGGAGGCGGATCATTTGGTGGTGGAAGCGGGGGATCAAGTGGCTTCGGCGGAGGGCATGGACCATCAGTTCCATTTGAAGAAGTTGAACGAAACTCAAAAACTGACTTCTCATTCTTCACCTCAAACCGAAAATGGTAAAAGTGTCATCATTATAGGGCCATAATAATAATTTCTCATAATAATACAATAATAATAATTGAACGATCTTTATTCATCATTTGTTCTACTGGTATTGAATAAAAACATTATACTATTTTGTACAAGAAAAATTAAAATACTCGTCTGTCCCAGTAAATTTTGTCATTGGTTTTTGAATTATTCAACTTTTATGTGATCTTCGTGTTTGTCAGAGAGCCCCTTAAGGTCAGAGATCTGAAAAAAAAATGCTTACATAAATTGAAAAGAAAATTCAAAAATCACCTTTCTAATAATAATTTCATCGTCATCTTGTTCATCAATATTTTTCAATAACTCATCCCTTTCTTCTTCCGATATTCCTTGCATAATATCCAAAATCTCCGATCCAGCCCCATCTTCTTTGTCAAAACTGTTCAAAGTGGTAGTTCTTGCCAAACGTTCATAATACAATTTTTGTTGCAAAGTGACAAGTTTATCCGAAACTTTTTCCCGTTTCAACGCTCCATCCCATTCCAAATCCACTAATCCGCCTTTTTTCGCAATCGCTTTTTTCACTCGTTTTGCAAATGAAATCGAATCTTCGCCTTCTTGACGTGTCATTGGTGGAAGGTACCAAACATCGCAAATAATTGCCCACGATGTCATCATACTCCATAAATATCTACCGTATGATTCAGCGCTTGAATTCCAGAATGCGTCGGTTAACCGAGTATCATATTTCATGGCTATTGGATAAATTGTACTACCAATCTACAAAAAAAAGTTTCAAGGGGGAAAGAAGGTAGATGGTTACCTCAAACGATCCTTTTTTGAACATCATAACTGAAGTATTATTGATACATGTGCCTTCTGGGAAAATGATAATTGGAAGTTTGTTCTCATCATTAACATGTTCACGCATTCTGAATGAGAAAGAATCATTGAAAATATAATTTAAAAAAAATTCTACTCACCTTTCCATAACCTTCTTGCGATCTCCAGCTTCTCCTCTCTCGAACCAAATATGATGTTCTGATCGGCTCAAAGTGGTTTGCAAGAATCCCAAAAATCCACCTTGTCTTTGCCCAATCATTGCATAACAGTTATCGCAACTCAAAACCATTACATCGATTGGAGAAGTGTGATTTGCAACACAGATACCACCTTTGTTAGCGCGATTTTCTCTGAAAAGCTTGTCTTTTTTTTCTTGAAATTCTAAATAATTCGAAAACTCACTTATCGTGGAATCTGATGACACTGGAAAATGCTCTTGAGAAAATACGCATACTCATTAACATAACACGACGATTCAACCATTTTCGAACTCTGAAATTCATACTTTTTTACTGGAAAATTAAGATAAATGAATCATCAAACTCACTTTGCATTTGGAACATAGCCAATAAATGTTGTGAAAGTGCACATTTGAATGATAGCAATTAAAAATAATGCAATTCTGAATGGGACCAGAATATAGTATCGGACCATAAATCCAAGAATCCAAAGAATAGTTAATTGCCAGCTGAAAATGTATTATCAGTTGATGTAAGTCGAAAATAAACTGACTTGAAGTAGTGGAAAGAAAATTTAGTGCGACTGAGCAAGTTCCACGATGGAAGTTGAGCCGCGGAAAATCGATTTGTCACTTGATCTTCTATTATAGCTTCCATGCCAGCCTACAAGAAAATATGATTTTTTATCTGAATTATTTTTCTGTAAACCTCAAAGAATTTTTTCACTTCAAAATGTTCAAAAACTCACAGTAATAAAATCCAGAGTGTCATCAACCAACACACTAACTGTTGTTTTCTTGGATGTTGGAACATCTGTGGCGTGAAGTTTTGCATCAATAACATCCGATTTTTCACGATGAATGATTCCTGAATAAAATAAAATTATTGTACGTAGAGTCTGGTGTTTGCAGATTTTTTTTCCAAACAGAGAAAGAAATTTCAACTCACCTAAATCACTAGACGAAGATGTTCTTCTAGGTTTTCGTTCAAGTGGAGCTGGATTTGTAGGCTCTTCAATTAAAGCTTGCTCATATTCAGTATCGTCATAAGCTGCACATACAGTGGCTCCCCACTGAAAAATATTTATTCAAAAAATTTCAAATCAAAATTGTTTACCTCAAAAAATTCGATCCAAGGTATTCACATATAATTCTCGTAAACCCAAAGTTTTACCGGTTACTGCTAAATACATCAAAATTAGAACTAATATAGGAAATATAAGCAAAATCATTGTTGTTTTCTGGAAAAAAATAAACGTGAGATTATGAAAAACGGACAGCTAATGTATTGTAAAAGAAGAGAAGATGATTGATTTTTTCTGGTCAAAACAACAAAATATACTTGGTAAACAATGAGAAACTAACACAAGTAAAAAAAAGGAAAATCAAAACACACGTTTTTTTCTTTGAAACATTTTTTGAAACAAACAAAAAATGGGAATGAACAAAAAAAAACGATAAGAGTTTATATAATCGATCGGTAATGAAATAAAAAAAAGAGGGGAGAATATCCAATACATAGTACACTACATTATACTCGTCATCCTTTTCCTTTTCTTTTTCTTGTTTTGATGATCAAAAAGTTATTGATTACCTATCTTTTCTTGTGTGGAAAAAATTTAAAGAAATGAAGAAAAAAGTGCTTGTGAAGAGTTTTTGTTTATCTTTTTTATTTTATTTTTCCTCTATGGTTTTTATGCACTATCTGTTCGAAGTGCACTTTGTAACAAACGGTAAAAAAATTGTTTAATAGCACGTTTTTTTGCTAATTTGATTATGGTTCTTCAAGGTTTGATTTTTGGAATTTTTTTGAAATTTCTTTAGAATTTTGACTAACAAAAATATACAGCATTTCTAAAAAAAATCTTCCCCATAAAAAATCCGGAAATTGAGCAATAAATATTCATGAGAATCTGAAAATTCAAAAATATCTGAAAACAGGTTTGAAAAGCTTGTTATGGAACGTGAAAACCTTTTTCACTATATTTTGATTGATGAATTTATTTTTCAAAACCTTCTAGGAATCTAACCTAATTAAATTTTTTCAAGTATAAAATCTTGAATTTTACAATTGTTTTTTCTTCCAATTCACTAAATATAAAACTCAAATGTTTATTTCAATATGAAATACATATGACAATAAATTAATTATTATGAATTTCATCACATATATTTTGAAAACTCATAATAAAATGTGATAATTAAGGCACCACCAGTTGAGCGTAATGAATTGGTCAAAGCACCGCGATAGAAACCATTTACTCCGTCTTGTCTAAAAAAATTATATATATTTTTAAAGTTTCTATTATAAAAATTTCACTCACTTATAAATCTTTTTCCAACAATCTTTTGTACTCGTATATTTCTTGACTTTTTTACCCGATTGCATCATCATACTTCGACGAACTGTGTCCAGTGGATAGCACATCATTCCACTTGTAACAATTGCTACCTGCGCGATAGCCCAGCAAGCAGCGAAATTCAATGATTTTGGATCATCCACACTTGTTCGTATACTATCAAATATTCCGAAAAATATTGCACGAGATGCAATCACGAATTGCATAGCGGAAGATAGGCCTCTGAAATTAGATATGGTTAGGAATTTTGATTAGGATTTTCCTAAAATAATTACTTACTTGAACCATCCTCCAAATCCTTCAGCAACTCGTATCTTTTTCAAACAATCCACCATTCCTGCATATTTCTTTGACCCATCTTTTTTTGCATCAATAGCTAATCTCGTTCTAGCAAAATCAAATGGATATAACAAAAATAATGTTGTTGCTCCACCCAAGCCACCAGACACAAAAGTGCCAGCTAGGAATTTGGTGAAATCTCGATTGCGATTCACATTTTTCAAAATTCGATTTCGATAAATATCGCGGAATGCGAAATTTAATGTGTGATTTGGTAGACATCTTGCGACACCAGCACCATTTCCTCTCCAAAGTGCAAGTGCACCCTGAAATTTTGTTTGATTGATTGACAAGTTTGAAATGATAAATACCTGTTCTAATCGAATTTTGGTTAAACAATCTTTGATACCATTATACTCAACCATCGCAACTTCTCCATGTCTTTGTAACTGGAAAATTTGGATTTGATATGGTTGAAAATTTCAAGGAAATTTTTATTGGGGGTTTTTGATACAAGGCAACTTCAAAGGAATATCCGGAAAACACTAAAATGTACCCAAACTTTGTTTTCAACATAGGTTTATTGCGTCAGACTTGACATTTTTGATAAGGATTTTTGCAACCAATAAAACAAAAACTCATTTTGGTCTTTTGATTTCTGTTTTTTTGTGAAATTCTGAATGTTTCTAAATTTCAGAACCTGAAATTGTTAGAAAGGACAATTATTTTTTGTGTTTAGAAATTCAGAACATCAAAAAATTTCAGTATAAATAAAAAATCTCTTACAATTAGATCTTCCTTACTTATTTGGTAGATCAAAGATGTTGTGATACTGTCCTATGTTATATGATTTTTGTGTAAGAAAGTTATGATATCTCCGAAATTTTTTTTTGATTGTTTGATCTTCTATCAGTTCCACATAATGATTTCTAAAGGTTTGAAACTTGAAACCGAATAGTAGCCCCTATATAGAGGACATATAGTATCTTTCCCTCTCAAACTCTCACCTGAAGAACAAGTTTAACTCTGTCAAACGGCGCCGTCGTTGTTTTGCTGATAGCTGCCGCCACACTTCCAGCCAAACATTTCTTACAAGTCTCGAACGCTTCTGCCGTTGACGTCGAAGCCATTCCGCCAAGCGGATGACAAGCTTGAAAAAGCTAAAAGAATGGGGTAAAAATAATCTTCAAAAGTGGAAAAAAGGCAAGGAAACGACGACGATAACTATGTAGACTGATAAATATTTCGATGACAAACTATGTTGGTTTTAATCATACCACCACCCTCTCGTACCACATGTGAAACGGAGATTTTCAGAAAAAAACTGGACAAAAAATAATGAACAGTTGCTATTATTTATAGGACAATCTTATTTTTTTACAGCAAAGTAGAATAGAAAGTACAGTAGACTAGACAATGAGCAGAAAACTCAGGTGATATATGTAAAACAAATTTGAAAAATCAATTTTTTGCAACTCAATAACGCGCGACGTATTGTTTTGCGTTAAAGATTGCGAAAAATAGCGGGGGAGTTTAGGAGCCTGTTAGAGAAATGGGTCTATCCCAAATGTTCAAATAGCAAGAGAATTGCACGGGGAACAACATGTGAATGACATGTGAAAAATGTATACACTAGAAGGAATAATGTTGAACAGAAATAAAAAGAAAAATATATATGTATGATGAAATTGTGTAGCTTTGTGGTCCAATGATTTATGATGCTTTTTTGTAGGATATGATAGGGGTGATTAAATTTCAGGTTGAAGAAAGAATGAAGGGCTGATTTTTTTCAAATGGTAAAAATTTCATTAAATTTTGTCACATGAACTGTGGGCGTTTGAAAAATTTCACATTAGTTTTTTCTTTTTTCTATCGGAAGAATGATGAATAGCCAGTTTTATGTCAATATTTCCTTGACATTTTTAGAATTTCCGAGTGTTGTAGGATTGTAGTTTAGAGATCAGAACAAATTGAGATCTGATTTCAAGAAAAAAATTACCCTTCCTAATTCCCCTCTCTGAAATTTATCGTTACAAAAATCCCAAGAAAAATGTATTTCAAACTCCAAAAAATCGCATTTTTTGTACTAATAAAAGTACAGTAAGGCTCCAATATTGCCTACGAAAAAAATGAAAAGCTTTTTAAATGTAAACAACTTTAAGAAAAAATCGTTGAAAAAAACCGGTTTTCAATGAATCATTATAAAAATGGGATAAAAACTGTCCAATTCATTAAATAAAAGTGAATGAAAAAAGGAAACTTAACACATATTAGATGATATTGCACTTGCGAAATAAAGTAAATTAAAATAAATTAAAAAATTAGGATAATACATACTTAAGTGGTAAATTATTATAAGTTATTATAGGAGAGTTGATTGAATTTTATCAGGTTTTCTGATGCAACAAACATGAAGAATGGCAACAATTGAAATGATGAAAATTGCCGCATTCAAAACAACCAAAATCGTTGTTCCAATTGCAGTCATACAAATCTCATTCTGAAAAAAAAAACAATTAATTGTTTTTTTTGTCCATACTTGGGTTATCTTACAATTCTCATATCAAAATTCATTTGAAGCCAGCTCAATGAAATGATATCATCACTTGGAATAATATAGTCGCTCACGATTTCTTCATCATCTGAAAAAAAAACAATTATTTGAAAATTTTCCCGTGCTATTCACATGACATTTCACCCCGAGAAAAATGTAAAGTTCGGAGAAAAAAACATACCACTTTGCTGATAATCAAAAGATGCTGCAGAGGTGGTGTTATCAAATGATCTTCGTCTTCTTGGAGGGTCAGGGCAAGATGGAACCTGCAAAATATTTTTTATTCGATACAAAGTTCGAAAAAAAATCTTACATCACAATAATCTAATCCAGGTTCTTTAACGGTTATGGAAATTTGACAATCGAAATACATGTTATCACGATCTGCATATTTGTAAACATGAGCTTCTCGACCAGCCATTAGATCTGTTGGATATTCGAGATTTGTTAGGAGGTATTTATCCAAGGCGCAGCTGGAAAAATGGGATTTGGGAAATTTCTAAGGCAGGGTGATTTTAAAAGCAATATTTTCTGATTTTTGAAGTTTTCAAGAAAAATATTGAAAAAAATTATTTATTTTTAAAACTCTCCAGCAATCAAAACTCATAATCATTGATCTGATAATTCAGCTATTTTTTTCCAATGATATCTTCAAAAATCTCTGTGATATCATTATTCTCAAAACTAATATCCAAAAGTTCATTCAGCATTTCTCGGAAAACCTCGTCATTTTCGTATAGTTTTCTAACAAACAACTACCGTATACCAATTTTCCTACATTTTTTTCATCGAAAAAAAGTTAAGCCAAGTACAAACTACTACTATACGATTTTAGTCAGTCAGTATTCGTTTTCATTTTCATTTCCAGCTCTCATTTTCAGCTCCTACTTTTATTTATTTCTTAATTTTTCTATCGTTACCCTTTCTCATTCAATAGTTGAACTCTTTGCCCATTTCCATCATCAACAAAGCAAGAATGTACCAGCATACAAAAAGTATTCTCATGTTCAGTGTCACATGTCCATTTGTGATATACCTGAATTTTTTTTTGAAAAAAAATGAGTCTTGTTTGATCAAAAATCATTAGAAATTTCTTTTGAAGAAAGATCAGAATGAAATTGATAAGCAAATAAAGAAAAACTAACCATCTGACCAACGGTGGCAAAATAAACAGGAGGTCCAGTCGGAGAACCGTCTAAAACTTCATATTTGCATACAGGCATATTCAATTGTTTTGAGTGCATTGTAGGTGGTGGCATCCTTTAAATTTCAAGAAATTTCTCGAAAAAAAAACATGGAAACAATTAAAACTAACGAAATCTGTATCTCCTTTTGAATTCGTCTCTCCATTTCCATATAGAAACACTGAACTTTAAAAATTCGATCATTTTTTGTCAAAAAATCTGGATTGAAAGCGACTACGATATTTGTTGAGAGAAACAATCCACGAGGAGATGTCTGAAAAAAAATTTTTTTTTTTTTTTGAAACAAAAAAAAACGTGACACACGCAATATGGCTTCAAATTTCACATTTGTCGCGGCTCAAAAGCACCTTTTTATGGTTTTTTCAATGTCTCTTGATATTTTTTTTCGCCTAGTCGTGTGAAAAACCTAGCTTTTTTTAGATGGTGTTGTGTTTTTTTTATAATGAAAATTTTTTTTTGGTTTTTGTGAGAATAATATTCTGGAAGAATATTATTTTTTTCAAACATTTGAATGTAAATTTTCTAGCTCTAATTTGTACCTCTTAGAAAAAAAATTCAAAGATCATCTCTGATCAACCAAAAAGACCACCCACATTGAAAAAGTGTAAGAAAAACAAACATTCCGGAACTCAACTCTAATAAACAACCGGAAAAATGTTCCCTACTAAATCGGCCAAAAAAGTTGCTCAAAATGTTCCTGTTTCGATTCAGATATCATCAATGTATGTATGTTTATTTGATATTGATATGATCATAATCAATAGTTTGCTCAGCCGATTTTGACGCGGTGTCCGGTTTTTGTCTTTGTTGCTTGGTCGCAGCCGTTCGTGAGGCGGTTCTTCTCACCAGCCATCAAAATTTCATATAAAAGCTCTCACTCAATTCATTTCGCATAAATCATATATTATTTATTTACTTATTCATCTCATTTTTTTTTGAAAACAATAGAGATTTCTTAACAATATTCAATATTTTTCCAGAGATGCGTCGTTCGGTTCTCATTTTATCAACATGTGCTCTTTTGGCTCTTGGACAAGATTGGGGAGGCGGTGGTTATGGAGGTGGTGACGGTGGATACGGAGGTGGCGGTGATATGGGAGGAGGCTACGGAGGTGGCGGAGATATGGGAGGAGGTTACGGTGGAGGTGACGGAGGATACGGAGGCGGCGGCGATATGGGAGGTGGCTACGGAGGATATGGTGGAAATGGAGGTGGAGATATGGGAGGTGGTTACGGAGGCAACGGTGGATATGGCGGAGATAATGGATACAATGGCGGCGGCTATAACGGAGGAATGGGTGGAAACGGCGGAATGGGAGGATATGGAGGTTATCAAGGAGGACAAGGCGGTCAACCACAAGGTGGTGGTGGATATGGAGCTTATGGAGGCTCAGCTGGCGGTTGGCCACCAATGCCAAACTAAACAACATCTGGATCAGATTCATATAATTCCCTTTATCATTATTATTTATCTATTTATGTGTGTGTGTATCCCATTTTCCCCCAACTTTAATTATTGACTGAATTTTTTGTGATAATAAACCTTATTCAAAACAATCGATAATTTCAATCATCAATCATCAGTTTCCCATGAATAATGAAATCTCATAATAAGGAGAAATAGATCAAACATGAGATAATTTGAAAAAATTAGAGAGAAAACCGGAAACAACTAACCGAGAGTCGTTTGTCGATTGCGCATTGATCAAATGATAGCCGGAGACTTGAATTTTTGCCAATGTTATTGTTGTCGCGTTGAACAAAACTTCGACAATCTGGATTGTCGAGATGGTTTTGAACAAATGCTATTCCGTGAAATTGTGTGCGAGTTTCAAATTTGACCTGGAAATTTAGGAGGTTTTTGGATGAGTTTGAAATTCACAATGTTAAAGAAAAGTTTTTGTTACTCAAAATTAAATAATATTAATTTAAAAACCCATTTTTACGAGACATCGGAATTTAATAGTTAAATTTTGATATCCAGTAAATTTCGAAAATAATCAAAAAAATTTCCTCAAATTTCCTAATTTTTCACATGCATGCATAGTTTAAATAAAAAATTAATTTTCTTTCGAAGAAAATCACAGGATCAGTCACAGTGCGTGCCAAAAAAATTCAAGTCAGTCTATTTTTTATGTTTTCGGCTCAATGCAAAAAAATATTGGCTCATTTTTCATCAAGAGAATTTCGAGCGCGTTTATCCGAAAATTGAAAATTTAAAAAAAGTTATTTCACGAGCTTACAAATTTCAAGGCATTTCCAAAAAAAATATGTCAGGTTAGCTTGGCTCATTTTTTTTGGCTGACAGAAACATTATTCCGATAGAGGTTCACTATGTTCCATGTTTCCATAGTCCCTTTGAAAATTGAAAATATATCTAATTTTTTTCACATAGAAACTATAAATGATGAAATATTGCTCATGTTATTTTCTATAAAACATTACAAAAAATTGAAAAAAAATTTCCTTCTAGACGATCTCACAGAAATGTTATTTTTTCCGAAAAAAATCTTTTTTAGATCTTACCGCTTAATCAAAACATTTTTCCCTCTCATTTTTGCTATCTTCAATTTTTTGTACAATGAGGAAAAAAACTACAGCCCAATTAGTGTCACATTTATTTCCCCCAAAAAAAATAAATGACGAATTTTTAGGAAGAGTGCTAATTGCTCATTGTTTACATTGCTACCAAATGTCACATACCTCGAAAAAATCATCACCACAATCAACGGTTGGATCTCCAACTATAGCATTATCGATTTCTCCGGCGACAAAGTTCTGAAATTTTCAGATTTCATAGAAAAAAATTATCTTTTCAAAAATTTACCGGTAGGAGAAGAATAAAAATAATAAGTAAAATGATCATGTGAAATCCACGATGAAGATCTGAAAAATATATTTATATGATGAGAAAAAAGAAAGAAAAAACAAATAAAGATTGAAATTAGCTTCCGTTATTAGACCTGATTGTACTTATAAAAGCTAGATAGATCTAGAGAGAAAAAATCGATTAAATGTATATTTATGACTAAAAAAAATAACTATCTTGGAAAGACTCTTGAAAAGATGTTTGAATTGCGAAACAAAACAAGTGGAAGAATGAAAAGAATCCAAATATGCATAGATTAACATCTGTATGAACAAAACTTTCAATTGTTTCCTCTTTTTTCTCGATATTCAAATTAAAATTATTGCAAAATCAAGATTGTTGTATATCGTGATGAATAAGGGGGAAAATATGTTGATTTTTTTGTTGTTTTGGTGGATAAAAAACTGCTGGATGTTTTGAAACATGGATTAGTCATCATATCAATGAATAAAAAATAATGGGATTTTTCTCAAAATATTTGGATGAAACAATTTTTATTTGATAACGATGTTTTGTGCTGACTCAATTTCTAAAAAAAAAATTATCAAAATTATTACAATTTCAAAATCGAAAAAAACTATTTTTCTTTATTATTTTCTAGATTTCCCATCAGAATTTCCAATCCCCTCTTTTATTCGAAGTTTCTTAAAAAAATATTCCAATGTTTTGAAATTTGATAAACACCACCTGCGTGACCTTGAAACATTTGAAGCCCAAAAAATCCAACAAAATGCATTCTCGCAATTCCTATGACCTTGTTTGTTTTGTTTAAAAAATTGAGTAATGCACTTTTTTTTGAAATAAACAATGGCGTGAAAAATTGGTGAAGGACAAATGTTGAGTTAGCATAAGCCTAAGGCCCAACAAACTATTTACATATCATTAGTGAATTGAAAATTATTGGATGGAGCAATGAGAGAAATGAATGATGATACATAATTGTAGAATCACACTAGGCTACTGTAGTTTGAAAATCTTTAGGCGAATTTATGAAATGGAGTTTGCACTTTTTTTTGTGAAAAATCATACATCGAACTACTTTTTGAGAATTGTTCATTTCAGCCACTCAAAATCTAAAATTCTCTGAAAAAGTGATCTGATTTTTTTGGCGCCGATTTAGAAATTTTCAAACACTTCTTAAAACTTTTAAATTTCAATTTACATAACAGAAAAATGATATCTGCCAATTCGAAACTCTCCAATTATCATCATAATAATTTATACCCCATTTAGATTTTATTTCAATCCAGTATTATCAAGGTAAAAATCCCAATTTATCCAAATACGGTATTCCTCTGTATCACTAACACCGTTTTGGGACGCATATTGGTCTAGCACCGATTGGCAGAAACAAATATCTAGCCTCTCTTTATTTTGCCAAATTTTTTTATCCCAAAATTCTATTCAATTTATTCCGTTAGATCCAGTAACCTTATAGCTCATTTTGTTTATAATAAAACCATCTCTCATAAAACCTCCTTCCTAACTTCCCAAGTTTTACAACCTTTTGATCATCATCTGTTTATACTCTAAAAGCATATGTATGTATATTCCCCCATTTCTTTTCAAAGTTCGGCACTTTTATACAGATGAAAGAAATCTCAAAAAAAAAAGTTACCATTTCTCTTTTACTCTCTATGCACATAATAGTTCGGTCAAACACCTATGTATGTAAAAGCTGCTGGCTTATTTTCTCTCTCGCGCTACCACCAAAATTAGATAAAGTGCATTTTCAACACTGTTCATGTGGCGCCACCAAAGCGCGAAACTCTTTCTCCGTCTCCTCATTTTCATTATATTTGTATCTATCGCTCATATTAGTCATCGTTTTCTTGAAAAAGTGCAATGTTTTCCCTGTTCCCTGCCATGTTTTTGTGTCTGACTGTCACGAGTTGGCGCATTCGCCTTGTGTTTTGGGGAAAAATGGGCGGAGCTTAGAGAGGCGAGCCAGATATTTGTAACCAATCGTCAGTTTCATTTCTCATTTTTGCCCATTTCTCATCATTTATTATTTCTGTTTTATTCCAGATCTTACTTTCTGCGTTTGACGGCTCGAATTTCGTAGAATGTTTTTTGATCGCAGACATCCTTATTATAAAAGTTATAAAGATTGGTGGTATTGGAACACAAATGTTAAAGGTGTGTTATTTTGAAGAGGGGACTTTTTTCCTTTTGAATATTTTGGAAAATTTTTTGCATTTTTTTATACCACCCACGATGCTTCTACATAATTTTAAGAGGATGATATTTTCCGACCTTCTAACCCCTATGAATCAATTCATTTGATCAATTCACGATACCCCCACAAAAAACATAAATATTGTAAAGAAAAATCAAAGGCACAAAGAATCGCTACAAGACCCGATACACGAAAAAATTCCTTGTTATTTGAATTTCTCGGGAAGATATTCGCGAATTCAGCGAATATCTGAAATAAATAACCAAATTTATCACCAATCTCTAGAATTAAATAATACGGTGAAATATAAAAATGATGTACAATGTCTAGATTTTTCCTTAATTTCCTTTTATAAAATATATTATTTTGAATATACGTCTCCTTCCTCTCTCTCTCTAATTCTCTCTTTTTTCCACACTCTCTCATCTACTCTACTTCTCTAACATTGTGTTTTCATGTTTTCTTCAATTTTATCAATCTTAAGAATTCTTCATTATGTTTTCTTCCTTTTTTCGCGCGTAGTTAGGATTAGGCTTTATACTTAAGGTCCAGTAAAGAGGTATCACTGATAAGACCTAACTCTTCCCAGCCAAGGCGCCCGGCACCTTTTAAGCAAATTTCTCGACATTTTTGCCGCCCTGGTGCTGAAAAGGTGCCATATTAGCGCCAAGGATGCAACATTTTTCCCGAGTTGTTGTGTTGTTTCGTGAACTGTAATTTTGCGGCGAAAATGTTTCGAAATTGATTTATATTTTTCAAATTAATTGATCCACAACAAGACGAATTGCTACAAAATTTCCAATACGATATCCCTGCGCAAGTGTTAGCAATCAAACCCTAAAACTCAAATCACCCTGATTTTCAGCACATGCTGTAAAATTAGTAACTTTCAACATGGACGACACCTATAATCGTGTAATGATGAAACTGCAAACACTTACGGATAAACAAGCAGTCAATATAATCAAGGAGTATTATGAAAGCCACCCAAAAACTGCAGAGTATTTCTTGAATATCATCGACAATCCCAAATAGTAAGAATGTTCTCATCAAATCTTTTGATCACAAATCATATTAATTTTCAGCGAATGGCCACCAAGAGACGAAACAAATAGTGATGTTCCTGCTCCGCCACCACATTCAGATCAGTACATGAATACTAATCAACAATTGGTGTTTCATCCGCAACAACAAAATGTTATGCCACAGACACAATATGTGCAGAATCCTGGATTTCAAGGTCAACAACAAATCTTGCCAACTCATTTGATTCACAATCAAGACGGAAGCTTTCATAACCATCAACAAATGATTCATTATGGTCAACAACCGTGTTATCAACCAAATCAACAAATGCAGTTCCATCAACAAAATCAACAAATGCAGTTCCATCCACAAAATCAACAATTTCAACCACAAGGTCCTGGTTCCTCTTATCATTCCCAATTGCCTCCAATGAACTATCCTCAAAAATTCGATCATCAACAATATTCAAATCAAAATCAACAAGCTATGAACGACTATCAATATGGATCTTATCAGAATCAAAACTTCCAATCATATCCAATAGATCAATCTGTTCAAGCTTCACAACAATATCAACAGTCAGTTTATTTTCAATTTATTCAGAAAGAATCTAATCAATACAAAAATCGATAATAAACATACAAAAAACCATATTAGTGAGAAAAACACTAGATGGAAGAGAAAATATATGGCCTAAAAAGCCAATTTTTCCTAGACAGGTTATTTATTCAGTTTTTTTTCACCGCTAGATTTCTGAGCCTAGAATTTGATGAGTTAGCCTAACTTTTTTCAATTCATGAAGATTTTTCAAATTTTACAGAATTTTTTATCGATTTTTTCAATTTTTCCAAAATCTCTCCCCGAAAAACTCACTAATCGTTTCTATTTCTTAAAGCACACAAAAATCATTGAAAATTCGAGAATCCCAATCAAAATCCTTGAGAAATCCAATGAAATCCATTTGTTGATCAATATTTCAAGCTGAAAATCAGAAAATTTGAATTTTTCATGTACCATTTTTCAATCGAAACATTTTTTGTTTCTCAAGAAAAAACCTACTTTTCTTCGATAATCCTCGGATTTTCCGTTGGAAGCGATAATTCCAGCCTTGTAGAACATCTAAAAATTCAATTTTTGTTTGAAATCCACTGATTTCCCCCGGAAACCTGCAAACCCAGCGAAAAAAAAAACGAAAAATGAAAATATTCTCGTGTTGCGCTAAACAGCGGGCAAGTGCACTTCTTGGAGTGTCGTTGTGTTTGCACATATAGAAACATTTTATGTTTATTCTATAGATATTCATTGGAAGCATTTGAAATTATCAATATATACATTTTAGACAACCGATTCACTATCCTGCACCTGTGTATAATCAACAGTTCCAAACATCACCGCAGAATCCACCACAACAATTCTATCAGCAACAACAGCCACAGCAATTCTATCAGCAACAGCAACCACAACATAATTGGAACCAAAATCGGTAACTAAAATCACATGTTCAAAAATTATAACTTCTAATCTTCATATTTTCAGCGCGGAACAACAGCAATATCAGCAAAATTGGACACCAAGATCATATAATCAAAAAAATTATAATTTCCAACCAAGAAATCACAATTATCGAGGGAATCAATTTGTTGGAAACTCAAATGCACCTCTGGCTAGAACTGCGAATAGTCCATCTCATACGGAAACTACTACATCTCGAAGAGATTCTGACTCAACGACAAATGATCAAGAAGTATTGCAAAGTGTTGAATTGAATTCTGAACCGATCAAACCATCGGCAAACAATGATGAAAAACCAAAAGATGAACAGATTCCATCAAAGTCTTCAGAAAATTCTGGCGATGACACAACATCTTCAATTGAACAGCTTGAAATTGTGGTGAAACCGGATGAGTCGCCGAAGAATGTTGAATCGATTCCAATTTCAAAATCTGCAAATTCAAAAGAAGAAAAAGAAAAAGATGTGAAAAAGCTAAATCAATCGCCAAATAATATTGAAAATTTGAAAAAGGTTGAATTTTCTTCAAATTCTAAAGTTACAATTCTCAAAAGAGAACCAAAAATCGAGCAAAAAACAAATCAATCCTGCTTCGAAAAACTCGGAATTGTAACACAACCAAATGCGACAAGTATCAAGAGAACCGAAAAAGTTGAACCTTTGCAAGCTTCGAAAACAGAAGCAGTCAAAGAAAAATCGAACAAGGATCAATGTGAAAATAATCGAGTGTTTTTTGAGAAGAAGTTTGCTCCAAAATCCAAAAAAAATTGCGAATCACAAAGCATCGTGCAAACGTGAGTTTATTTTTTTTGTTTTATCAAACAAAATAAAACGTTTCCAGAAAGCCAAAAATGAATGATCAATCACCTTCCAAGCAACAAAATCCTGACATCACCAGGCCTAGTAAAGAAAATTCATCAGCGAAATCTGCTAATTTGAAAAACATTGGCAAGGCGGCAGAAAATGAAGAATCTTCAAAACAACCAAGTTTTGAGATCAAAGAAGTTTCTAAAACTTTGGAAGCGGAGTAAGTTTAGATTTTTGTGGTTCGATTTTCGAGTGGGAGCCACAGAGCGAGGTGTTTGCATAAATTTGTGCATTCAGAATATCCCCAATCACCTTCTCAAAAACAACTTTTTTCAGAGAACCAAAATCTGGAGGACAAAAAATCTGCGACTCAATCAAAACAAACCACCAACAAGATTCGTGAAAGTCAAAAACAAGAGTACGTTTTTTTTCACAATGGGAAATAAAAAAAAAATTTACAATTATTGATTTTGCAGAGATCATAAAAATGAAAAAGTTGGTCTATCGTATTCCGATGCTTTGAAAAAAAAGTCAGAAAACCCAATGGAAATTGTCAAAAAACCACCAAAACATGATCCAGTGACCAAACAACAAGATCGATATCAAAGCAGTTCTAAAGCTCACAAACCTATTCAATATTTCGAAAATTCATGGCTTAATTTATTCGGGTATGTGAGAAAAGTGGGGCCATTTTGTTAGATAAAAAACTTGTTTTTCAGTGATATGATTACTGATGCCGAACGCCTTGACAAATTCTTATCATCACGTGAAGAAAGTAATCAAAATGAGTCAAACAAAAACCAGTCAAAACAAGAGTCGAAGAAATGGGTAGAATCTTCGAGAAAAAATCAATTTCAAGAAAATGAACAAAAATCATCAATTAATTTGGAAAAAAGTAGTAATTCGAAGAAAAATGCAATTGTGGAAACACCAATCTTGCAATCAAAACCGAAAAATGTTCAAATTGAAGTTGAAAAGAAATCAGAAAAATCTCTCGAAGAAAATCCGAATGATGATGAAGAAAAACAAGAAATTGATTCAATTGAGGAGACTTCATCCGATGAATCAGAAAATGAAGATGAAGAAGGACCTAGCACTTCAACAAACCAGGTAACACGACGAAAAAATCGATCATCAAGAAGAAACAAAAAGAAGCGGGAACAGCAAAAATTGGAAGAAGAACGGAAGAAAAAAATTCCGAAATCTTTTGTTGTGGAATATCGTGGTGCTAGACGAAAATTTGATTTTTCGGAAAACGCGGATGGTTTGGTTGTGATGGAAGACAATGATGTGGTGGAAATTCGAGAAATTATGGAAGTCGCTGAAAACAAACCAAAAAAGAAGAACTCGAAAAAATCGAAGAAAAATAAGAATAAGAAATCAAAAAAATCTGGAGTACGAGGAAAGCAAACATGTGGAAATGTTGTTGTTCTTCAAGATTCATCTACCGATCTTGAAGAAGATGATCAGTTTGAAGAAATTTTCGATGATTTTGGTGGAAATAACGAGCAACCAAAAATATTTTCATTGGTAGGTTCAACTAATTTCTGTCGCTTTCACAAATTTTAATTAAAATTACAAATAAACTTTCAGGATAAAAACTCCACCTGGGTAATTTACGAAATTAGCGTATTGCTGAATAAGAAAACGTGTGGAATCCACCCGGATACTTTTGAAACTTATTGCGTCATTTTCGAAAACTGGCACTCAAAAGAATCTCGAGCACTAAATCTTTGCTTTAAATGTACAGAACCGTTGGACTGTTTGATTGATGATTTTGATTTGGATATATTCAAAGCATTGGCCATCCAAACGGTGGTGGTAAGTTTTTTGGGAAGAGCAGATTGTACATTTCAAATCTATCAAAATATCATAAAGAAAATAACATTTTCAAATTTTGAGAATTTTCAGCGTCTACTTTTATATCTTTAGAAAATTGAGAGCCTTTTGCAATTTTGATTTTTTGCTCTCTATACTAGTTCATGTTCACAAACAATTTCGAACTTGCCTGAATTTCCTGATTTATTCCCAACAAAAAAAATTTCAGCAAGAAAAATGTCCTCAAATGACGATTGGCCACGTTGAGAAAATTTCTCCATATTTGGAGGCTTCCAGGTAAACTTTTCTCATTTATTTTTGAGAACAGCGTAAAATGGTATTTTTCAGAGCTGCCGCATTGTCTTATGCTTTCGGCAAACATTTGAATTTTAGTGAAACTCGAAGATATTTGTCAACAAAACATTTGTATCCGCAATTCCAAAGCAAAATCAAATGTGAGTGTCAATCCTACTTACTTAATAAAAAATATGATGTGTTTTCAGTGCGTGAAGGTGAGCTTCAGTTCGAGTCAGTTACGAATTTCTTGGATGATTTTGAAAAACTCAAAGATGTTTGGACACCGATTGGGTTATTAGTCGCAAGAGTCAAATTTGTTCATACCTGTATCCTCAAATTCAAACAAAACATGCAGAATGTAATATTCAATATACATTTTCATAATGAAAAAAAACAAAAACAATTTTTTTTCAGAAAACAGCCAAGGAGCGATTTGTTCGAATGGTGTGGGATCGAGTCAATGCAGATAGAACAATTCGAGAAGAAGTTCAATTTTTGGCATTGCACTCAGCTCGCCCAGGATCTTGTATCGATATGTTTTTCGTCACTTTGTTTGAAGAATATTGTGCGCAACAAAGTCCACCAGATCCAAAATAATTCAAATATTTTTTGCACCAGTCATTTTTCTTTGTTGATCTTGTGAAAGTTACGGTTTTTTCCGATCTTGTCCGGTAATAATAAATATTTTTTGAGATGACTGTTTAAAACTACTGATATTTGTAAGAAGACAGAGACAGAGATCAGCAACGAAATTTCAACAACAGAAAAGATGATACATTTTCTCACAGTTTCCAATAATAATATGTGATGATTTTTGATGTCTCATTGATTTTGAAGATAACTAGAACATTTTTGAATTGATCCGGAAATTGAAACATAAAGGATTTGCAAATCTTGAAGATCTTCCAGCTTTACAAATACTCGACCGAAAAAAATTTGATTTAAAAAAATGATATTTTCTTAAGAGAGTGCTCTAAAGATGTCGAATTCCAATAAATTCAAGACTGAAATCATGAATTATGGCTCGAGGTTTTTAGAAAAATGAACCCGAACGCCAACATGTTTTTGGATTTTCTTTTCCAATCTCAAAATTGGTTGATTATTATTATTGTTCGATGATAATTACAAAACTTTATTAAAATAAATTGAGAATCATTATTCGGTTTATCCTCTGGGTCCTCCGAATCCTCCGCGTCCACCTGATCCCCCATGTCCTCCATGTGATCCACCGTGTCCACCCTGACCTCCTCTGCCACCGTTACCTCCGTGTGGTCCACCGCCGCCGCCTCCCCTTTGGGCACTGAAAAATAGAATTAAAATTAAAAAACAATATATCAAAAATAGCTTACACAGTAGCAATAGCCAAAATAAGAAGAGTGAAGAAGAATAAGAAATTCATAGTTGAACCTATTTTCTTTTGCCAAAACCAAATTCCTTTTATAGTCAAATGAGATGTTGATGTTTATGAAGGTCACCCTTTTTTCAAGACATTTAGTTAGTTAAACTGTTCAAGATCAGCATCAATTTGTTGTTTTTTGTGTCTTCTTATCAAACTATAGAGAAATAAGTACAGACATCCCCCAAAATTTGTGTGATACGCGTGGTTTTTGAATATCACAAATCTGTGAACAAAAATTCCACCAGCGTTTTGAACTTGCCAAAATGACACTTCGCACATTTTAGGAAGAATTAGCACATTTTGCAGTTAATGTGTTAACTGACCTCATTAAAAATTAGAGTACCTATAAAATATAGTAAGCATCTAAATGTGTGAACAGAAGGCAGGAAGATATTGAAAATCATAAATTTTTGAAATTCAAAATTTTCAAATCTATTAAAAATAAGAAAAATCCCAAATGTTTCATATTAAAAAACTAAAAAAACAACATCTGTGATTCAATATGTTTGTTCCTTTTTTAGAATAACATATAAACAATACAGTATTCCAAAAAACAACAATTTGTTGTGTAAACAAATGTGTGAATATTAACAGATTCGTGTTGATAGGTTGCACGTGGAGTGTTGAAGTGTTAATGGTACAAAATGCATTTTTTAAGAGAGAGAGAGAGGGGGAGATGAATTTTTTGGATACTGTGAAAAAAGGACTTTTGATTAATGTGTAGAGGTCTATGGTTTTTGTAAGTTTTTTATCAGATTCTTATTTATTTTTGGTGCATTTTTGATTTTCCTGACATGAGATCAGGATTTTAGAATAATCAGAAAACTTTCAATGAGTACATTCCTTAAAAGATTTTTGATATAAGCTTTTCAAAAATTAGTAAAACAAGTTCAAAGTTCTCAAAAAACTGTGAAACACTGTATAAAATGCCTTGAGAAAATTCAAAAATTCAAATTTCCAAGTAGTTTAGCGATATCTTTCTATTTCCGTACCGATTTCCATTTAAAAAATACCTTCTCTTTCAATTTAGCCTAACTTATTTTTATCTCGCACTCCACCTTTTTTTCCAAAATTCATTTCTGATTTCCCCTATCCAAATTCAGAAAATAAGCATCATTCTCTTGAAGTTTTTTTTTGTTTCAATTAGATCCAATAAGGTGGATCAAAATGAGAATCCGAACTCAAAAATGAACATTAAAAAATTGTACAAAAATCCAGCTTGATCTTTGTTTTCCAAGAAAATGTTTTTCCAACCCCCGTAATTTATCCAAGACACGTGTGCATTTTTTTGGAGTGTGAAATAACACTGTGGCATTTTTGAAATGCCACTTTCTTGATTTGTGTATGTCAACAAAAGTGTGAAATTTCACAAATAGCTGATGACAGATCACACGTGAATTTTGAAAAGTGTTACATCAAATCTCACAAAACTGTTATAATTTCTCTATTCTCAACAAAAACTATATACAAATCCAATCCATTTTCTAATCCTTCCCTCGAAATCCGTCAATCAAATGTATTGTTCCACATTTTAACACCCTTCACATATCACTTCCCAAAATACGCAAAACCTACGAATTTTTATGGAACCATCTGCAATGCACACATGTGCAATGACTTGCTTTTGGCATAGTTTAATTCTAATTCCAGGTGTAAATGCGATTTGTTGCCAAAAGCGAGTTAATCAAAAAGTAATTCCATTATATAATACAATAGACATGTCAAGTGTGGACAATAACCAGATTGACCAAATATTTTAGAGCGAGCGAGAGCAAGAGAAAATGGAGAACAAGGATGATACATACATACATAAATGCATATGAAATATGAGTCAGGTGTCCTTTTTTCACGTGGTTTTCTTGTATTATTTTTTTGAAGTAGACAAATGTTGCGTAAGATGCAAAAATGAAGGCTTTATTAGTTTTCATTATATTTTAGTGGTGTTTTTTTTTCGAAAAATCAGATAAAGGGAAAAATGACGTAGTGAAAACAAAATAATATGTAACTGCAGGATTTTGGTAGAAATCCTTTTTTTAAGTCGAAAAACCATTTGAATTTTTTTTTGAAATAATGATGTTCTTCAAAATTTCTGATTATAAAATAAAATAAAATATTTTAAAAGTATTTTTTTACTTCACAACTTTCATAATAGTTTTCGGAAGATTCCTTGAATTTGATAATTTGAGAATTTCAATCCTAAATTAGATTCACGAGAAGTTCAAATCATCCCCTGTCCCTCTCAATTTCTTAACCATCACTTTCATCTTTTCATTCGGTGTATCGCCATTTTCAAAAGTTCAAAATAATTCCCTTTCTCGGTTGCAAATACAAATGCAATTCAAGGTCTTCAAAAAGAAAATACGATGAGTCTAGTCGCGTGCCTCAAATCACTATAATAATCCATCAACTTCACACATTTTCTCTAATCTCTCTCATCTTTCTGCACTCTCTCAACCCTATTATCATTTATCAACATTTTTCGCGCACTTTTAAAACGGTTTGCGAAAAAAAAGGGTACTGTATCTAGAAATGTGTTATTGATTTCGCATAGTTACGAAAATGAACAGAACAAGAAAAAAACAGAAATGAAAAATAGCCTAAACAACAACAACATTCGAGAAGAGGTTGACAAAAATTGATTGATTTGGCCTCAATGTGAGAAAAAATCGAGAATATTTTCTTGCGATGCTGGATACCTTTTTGATGATGAGCCGATATTGTTACCACCGTAGTGATATCTGTAAGCCGCCAAAAGAATATTTCATTTGGGTGGCAACTATCACACTTTTTTGTTTTTGTTGTTGTTTTGGTGTAAACATGGTGTGAACAAGATATGTTTTTGATTTGACCGTCGACAAGGTGTGAATAGCTTATAACCTTTCGCTGTCCTTGTTTACTATTTTTTTTTCTAACATAAGTGATTCAGAATAAAATAACCTATCATCAAACAAAGATACGATCAGTTATGATTTCTGAATTGACATGTTTATTGTAGGGGATCACAACACCTTCCCGACAGTCTGCAGAAGAAGATAAGACCGAATTACCTCATTATTTTTTTGGTAGCTATTATCTATTGGGGTGGCGAAAGAAAATTTGGCCTCTGATGATTAATGATTCTCCCGATTTATACATAATTATGTTATATATATTTCTATTTTTCTCGCATTTATGTGTTGCGAAAATCTTTTCAATTATTATTTTTATACTGTTAATTTTCAAAGTAGTTAGGCTGAAAATGGATTAGTTTGTTTCAGAAAAGCGAAAATTTTCACTCTATTAGCTTACAAAAATCTTTGATCAAGCTTTTGACTGAACATTTTTTTGTGGTTAGATTTATTCTTCTTTTTTCAGCAAACGTCCTGGTATAATTTTTAGTGTATAGCAGCAAAAACTTGAAAAAGTTCCTTAATAAACTAAATTTCAAACAAAACTTTTACCTTACCCAATGTAGAAATATTTGATCTGCCCAAAATAATATTCTTGTAAAAAAACTATATTTTTTTATGAAATAATCAAGATGTTGTACTTAATCTAAACCAGAAGCCTTCACAGGATAAAAATCTGAGACCTCTGAAAATTGTAGGTTCATTTTTGATACTACAATTTGAGTTAGGATTTTTTTATCAGTAAAGAACGTTTTTCAAATATTCTTATTTCTATTTTAGTCATATTTTCCAGAAGAAACTTTTTCAATTATGATCATTAAAAATCTCGATTGATTCTATAGTTGATATTGTTTTTGATCTTTTTAATTCTGGAACCATCAAAATTCCCTAAAAATCCCTTCAAGCAATTATATCCAACCAATTTTCTACTCCATTCTATTCAATTTCCATGCGTGTACACTTTCACAAAGCAGCAACTTCGAAAAAAAACGAGGGGTGGAAAATTTGTCTTTTTTTCCCGTCAAAAAGAAAGAAACATTTGAAACAGCCAAAACCAATAAAAAATTCCACATAAATCTCGTCAATATCAACCACACCGGTGTCATTCCTTTTTTTGTTGCATCTCTCCCCCACAGACACACACCTTTCCCATACAAAACTACAACTCCGCCCATATGATCCAATAGTGTTGCGCCAAATGGGCGGGGCATTGAAATTTCTTGACACTGGTAGCTATCCGATGCAATAAGGCAACACAATATCTTCAGTGTGCTCTTTTCTTGATTTTGATTTCCATCTTGATCTGAATTAATTATTTCAATTTATTTTTTTTAATCCCATAATTAATTTTTTGCAGTTAGTTATCATGATTAGCGAAGTGTATTATCCGCAACGATGTAATCTTGATGAGCCGAAACAAAATGATTGGACAACACAACAGCCATATCCTGGTGAGTTTTTTTCATTGTTAAAATATTATTTGATGTTTATTGTTAAAAAATGATTGAAAAAATCAAATATATTTGCAGATCCAGCGACATATTCACCAAACTTTTATATGGATCAGTCGGCGCCTCGATATTTTCCAGGACAAACAGATGCTTTTGGATATGCAAGGTTAGTTTAGTTATTATTTTTTAATTAGAACTTCAGAGGGGCTTTTTAGAAAATGTAATTTTCTGATAGTTTTTTTTTCAAAAGTGTTTTTGTTTGATTCGAGTTGCTGAACTAATATAGATCTGCAGAAATTTAAACCGGAATTCGAATTCAAAAAAAGCTATTAAAGTTATGAATCTAGTCGTTTTTTCCGAAAACGTGATGCATTTTTTCAATTTTTCAGTTATCTTTTTTAGTTTCAAAATTAAAAATCCATTTTTTTGCAACGTTTTAGTACCCCTACTAAAATCTGACTATTTTTTCACCAAATGGTGCAACATTATTTGGGTGTCACATTTTGGTGTCATTCTCATCAGATCAAATAGTCACTTATTTTTTCCAATATTCAATTTATTCTCCTCAATCCTTGAAAAATTGACCAACTACAGTACTCCCTATTCAAATAATATAAATAATTTTCCAGACCGAATGCATCGAATTTTTATAACAATTTTCCAACAAGCAAAGCATCGCCCTCTTCGTTATTATTTTGCAAATGGGTGGAGGTAAGAATTTTATATTTTTTTCAGAAAACTGAAAACAAATCTTTCATTTTTTGTAGAATGGCGAAGAATGCGGAATGATGTTCGATTCGCCGCAAGCAATCTCCTCACATTTGAGTGATTTTCACATTCCTCGAGGCGATCAAAACAATCATGTTTGTCGATGGAAAAGTTGTAACAGAAATGGTAAAATATTCAAGGTGAGTGAGTTAGAAAAAAACAAATGTATTAAAAAATATATAATAGAGATTGAGACAATTGTCATTATTACGCAACAATTTCTTTTTAATTGCTCCTTGTTTTTTTGTACATAAATTGTTGAGCTTGACTGGCTCCATCCTCCAATTAATCCCTTGCGCGATATATTCACACCTTTGCGTAATTTTTTTTTAGAATATATGTACATTTTTTATTCAAAAAATCAGAAAAGTCAAATTTTCAATTCACAAATTTTTTCAGGCCAAATACAAATTGGTGAATCATGCGCGTGTGCATACTGGAGAACGACCATTCACTTGTCCAATCGAGCATTGTAGAAAAGAGTTTGCCAGATCCGAGAATCTCAAAATCCACGTCAGAACGCATACTGGTAAGTTTCAAAAATTTCTCAAATTTCGTTACACCATCATTTTTATAACACTCATATAAGGTGTCAAGTACGCGCCAGGTGAAATAATTTTTATCCAACATATATCTGCTGCTCAAGACACTTGACTATTCCCAAAATCAAGTGATCCTCCTCAACATATATTTTATATATATATCCAGAATTTTTATTAGAATATCAATGACCAGATGAAGTCATAAATTAATATTAGTTTTTATGACCAACCTCTTTTGTTAACCAAATCACTTTTTGTTCGAACCAACTACAAAAAAAAGAGGAGAGGTGAGAGAATATAAAAAGTCATCACCCTCTTGAGAATACTGTGTTTACAAAAAGCCAAATGATAATTAGGCATCAAAACAAGCCGTGGATGTGCTTGAAATGATTGCATAATATTGTTGTTGTACAAGATTATGCTTGCGTTTTCAAAGATTTTGTTTTTGAACAACACCGACTACCGTAATCAACACATTTACATAAACATCTGCATACATACCAACATAGGAAAAAAACGTTTTTCATTTGGTCATAATGAGTTGACACATTTTTTTCTATTTGAATTAAATAAATCAGAAATCATCTGCTTTTTTATGTTGGTATATGTATTAGTTATTCAAAAAACACTAATGAGATATTTTTCGATCTGGATTTGAATTTTCATGTCTCATTCCTTGTGAATAATATGCACTTTGAGATATTTTTTGTATTGTGCACTTTGCTATAAATTATGGAATATTACGAAGAATACAATTATTTTCCAGGTGAAAAACCGTTTCAATGTCTACATGAGGGATGCAGCAAATTCTTTGCCAATTCATCAGATCGTAAAAAGCATATGCATGTTCATTCAACACAAAAACCATATCGATGCAGATATCCACACTGTGATAAAACTTATACACATCCAAGTTCTCTTCGTAAACATTTGAAGGTAAGTTGCCAAAAAGAAAACGATTAGCGAGGATTAGCACCTCCAATTTCTTGTCAATTATTGATTTTATCTAGATTACTGTAGTTGAGAAGACCAACTAGTTTAGTAAGATTTTACAAAAAAGAGAAGACAAAGATGCGATTTGAGAGGCACACCTCTGAATTTGCATCACATCAACTAAAGAAAAAATGGGTTGAAAAAGTGAAAAGAATTAAGATGATATTTCATGAATATTAGAGACATTTTGGAGGGATTAGTGTGTGGATTTTGATTTCGATTTCACGGGGAATGAATTTATAATGAAACAGTTCGAGATGAATGGGATTTTTTGGCGGGAATTGAATATATTATTTTCGTTTTCCTGGGAAACTTTATTTCGAATTTTGTAAATTTCACGAGGGGGATTCGACTCCTGATAAAATTAAAATTTAATTTTTCTGACATCGTTATAATTTTCTAGACTGATAGCTGTACGCTCACATGGATATCAAATTATAATATCAAAAAATATTTAAAATGTTATCAACATCTCAAACAACTCTTTTCAGGCTCACGAGAAAGACGAAAACTGCAAAACCCCTGAACACGACGAGAGCAGCGACTCGGGCCACGCATCTGTTGGATCACCGCCAACTGATGAAAGTGCATTCTCCCCAGAAGTTATCAAAAATATCGATTACGAGCAAAAATGCATCATTCAACCGACACCAATGCAATCCGCCTTCCACAATATTCAACCACCAGAGCTTCAAAATTTCTATCCAACACATCCACAAGTTCACCCACAAATGTATCCAATGTTAGGCCAAATTGACTTCTTCTCTGGGTATCCACATTAATTCACTTGTTTTTTTTTAAAGAAAATCAGTTATATAGAGAACCCATAAGACTTTTAAAGTAAGAATTATCAGAAAAAAAACATCAGAATTATTCTTGAATCTGATTTTCGAATTTTTTTTCTTGTTCTCGTATATGTTTCCGGGTACCCTTTTGTTGCTTGTCGCATTTATAGTTGTTGGTTTCCTCTCAACATCCGCTCATTATCCAATTGGCTTTTGTGAGAAAAATGAGGGTAGTAGTGTGAATTGGGCTTTTTCTTCTTCTTCTTTTTTTATACGGGGACATTCTAAAAACATATGAGAAGACTTTTTTTGAAACATTCTATTATAATAAGCGTGTAATATTTGAATTTTTATTGTCATGCATTGTATATTTATTATTTTTATATTTTATTGTTTGTTGATTGATTGATTGAGTATGATAAATAAATTCGAGAAAGAATCCAGATTTTTATTCACATCAGACAGAAAAAGCTATCAAAACCAAATTGAATTAATGAGAATCGACGAGTGTTTCCCGTCATGTCAACTGATTTATTCGAAAAAATTCATCAATAAGAGTAATCGAAATGGGTTTGCTATACAATCTGGTTTTTTTCTGTTTCCTTTTTTAAAATGTTCACATAATTAACAATATATTTCGAGAAGGAGTTTGAACCTAATTACAGTTCACCCCAAAAAATATTACATCACAAAGGAAAAAAAACTGGTAGCAAAAGTACTTGTTGCAAGTTTGCATGTGCCTTTATTTGTCGATCAATTCGAGTTGGTATTGTTGCGTATATAACAACAAATATTATATTTTTTTTGGGGAGGACCAGGAAAAAATAACATGACATATATTAAAGTACACATTTCCTGTTCGTTTCAAAAAATAACCGGATGGTGTTACTGTAGATGACTGGCAACAATTAATTATTCGATAGGCAGCACGCGACAACATCAAAGACACCGCCACCTACATGATTGCTTACTGTTTTGTTCTAGATTTGGAAACAAATAGGTGAAAAAAGAATTTTGTTGAATTCGAAACATTTCGGGAATTTGCAGGAAATTGGGAATCAGGGGTTGGAAAATGATTTTCAGAACTTGATTACGTTAAAAATTTCAAAGCTTCAACTTGAATTTTTACAGTTTTTTTCTCGAATTTCTAGGAATTCTTTCTTTATGTATTTGAGATTTTCCGTAATGATGAAGATTTCGAAAATTCATAAAGTTTGGAATGCAAAAAAGAAATTGTTTGACGAATAGTTTTCTAAAACAACTTGAAAAATTCACGAACTGAATGTTTTTCCAAAAAATTAAAAAATTTCACATAAATCAGCCAATATTTTTTTGAAAATCTGACTCATTTTAAATTCCTCAAAAAAATTCACACGATTTAGAACAACATGCGCGACTTGTAACAAATGAGATCAGAATGAAATATGTGGGAAAGATTGTGATTTTCAAATCATCATTCAATGTATACATACAAAACAATAAAATCTGGATTACGTTTTGTAAGGGAGAAAAACTTTAATATTCATTGAATTTTCACATATTATTTTCACTCTCTGACCTTGCAAAAAAGGTCCAAGTTTATTATTTTTTGGAACAGAAAATACAGCCGCAAGCTATTTTTTATTCAATTATAAATATCTTGTTTGGTTTGTTCGGAAACACACATTTCGAACCTCATAAAATCATATATTCCATGAATTTTTGAAAAACAAGGAAATGTGATTTTTCCGGAGAATGAACTTTATTTTGTAAATCTCTTTGCTTATTCGCTGCAAATCCACTAAAACAAACATTCATAAATCATTTTACACCTTTTGTTTTTGGTCCCAAACACCTCCTTTTAATCCACTTATATCGAGACCCATAATTTATCCAAAACATTGTTTTGTGTAGGTCCAAGCTAATTAGTCTTCTGAGGCACCTGCCTGACACAAAGATATTTTTGTAAACTAAAAATGCACGGCGAGAAAAATGAAGAGATACCATTTTGTAAGTTGTTTTTGTTAAATTTATTTTTAAAAAAATTCAATGTTTTTCTCATCTTTGAACATAATATTTTAAATAATTCAAAAGTTTGCACTTCCCTTCATTTTCGAGAGTTTTCCCAAGTTCAGATGTTTACGTTTTTTCTATTTTTTATAGTTGTCGAACATGTTTTTTTTTTCAACTAATTCCATTTCAGAAATTGCTTTCGTTCTATTTCAATTTTTTTTGGTTTGTTTATGTGTTTCAAAAAAAAATAAATTGAGAAACAAAAAAAATAGCAACAACGCGAAAAATAGTAGTAGTAGAAAAAATCTTTTGTAAGTGGAAGAAAAAAACGGAAATGTGAATTCTTTGGGAGAGGCATCAACAAAAGAGACTTCATTAACCTTTTTCCCAACTTCCAAAAAAACTTTTTTTCACTCAAGAGTTCTAACTTGATTATATATAGCTTCTGCTACTAACTGTTCCTAGTTTTTTACTCTAATTTTTCTTGGTCAATGTGAAAAAATATTGCTGAAAACAACACGTTTTCTTTCAAAATAGTAAAAATTGTTTTTTTTTCAGTGAACACCAACAAGATGGGAATAACCAAAGGCCCAAAAACTGTGAGTTAAGATTAAAAAAAATCCAAATTCATTGTCAGAAACTTTTCCAGATATCTGATGCGATCAATCGCTTCTTGAACAATACCACAGCGCATGGTTTGCCAAGAATTTCGAATGCTAGAAATCATGAAGGAAAAGTGTTTTGGGTTATTGTTTGGGTTGTGTTTTTCAGCGTTTTTGGAATACAGGTGAGACACGTTTTTTTTATTTTTTGGGTAGTTTGTGAGAAATCTTGACTTGAAAATAATACAGAAATGTTTTATTCGAAAATATTGAGAAAACTTTTACATTTTTGGTTTAAAAAAACAATGTTTTAACTTCAGAAACTAATAAATTTTTTCCTGAAAAAGTATCTATCAGCTCTAAAATTGTTCAAATTCAAAAGTTTCGTGGAAAATGGAAATTAGTTTGTAGAATTTTTTAGAAAAGTACATTATTTAACTTCAGACTGGTACATTTTTAACTTATAAAAATGGTATCTTCTGATAATTTTTAGTCAGATGACAAAGAATTGTTTGACCCCTCCCTTTCTTGAAAATCTCAAATTCATTTTTCAAAAAAACAATTTCAATGCACTATTCTCCTAGATCCAAGAAATGAGAGATGTTTGTTTCTGGTAGAAAAAACTGAATTATCTGACTTCAAAGAAAAATATGTACTTAAGGTCAGGCAACAGAAATCGAACCGCTGACATTATAAGAAAAACAACCGTTGTTGTTTTGAACTCTACAGTAACCCAAGACATAAGAAATATTTTCAGGCAATCCTTCTCTACACCAAGTTTCAACAAAAACATCCATCAACAAATGTTAAGGTTAGTGCACAATTTCAGAATCTTCCATTTTCCCGAAATATCCGTTCCATTTTCAATTTGTTTTTTGTTCATGAGCCTGAAAAACCGAGAAAGAAAACAAGAAAAAGGTCGGTGGGATAATTGAAGCAGACCTATTCACAAAAGTATGTCGTTACTGCAAAAAAAGCACGAAAAAAAAGATGATGAGTTGTTTAAGGGTATTCTATTTTTTCTTTCTTTGAAGAAAGAAAATTGGAAACATTTCCAATTTCACGGCTTTGTTTCTTTTTGAGTTTAGAAGAGTAATTTGATTACTATGGACTACTTTTTTTTCTATTTTTAAATGACCCTTTGACATTTTTATCGCGCTTACTTTTTCTTCGTATTCAAAAAAAGCATATCTATATTTTCGATCATTTATTTTTTTTTCCAAAAATACATATGCACATAATAATAGTTGAGTAATACGGGACAATGAAACATTGAAAAATGTTTGTCATAAATCTATTCTTTTTTTCTAACAACTCAATTGGAGGTGCGAGGTCTTTGATGTTTCAAGCATCCCAGAAAAAACTTTTTGTTCGTTTTGGTTCTAAAATAATCTGTCTATATTTTTTGCAGTGAAAACCATTTTAAAGGATTAGACAAAAGGCGTTTGTTTCACCTGACTTATTTTTGTTGTTGTTTGGATGATGTTTGTTTTAGAAAAAGGACCATGTTAATCCATGTCTAAAACAAACGAAAACATTGTTTTCAACAAAAAACGAAACAAGATAAATAATCTGGTTTATATTGTTTTTCTAAAAAACTTCTCAGATCTGTTTCAGTATTTTGTCGGGAATCTTTGAAATTTTCTATTTTTCCGCATTTTCGTTTCCAAAACCAGAAAAAATTCAGAATTGTCGGGTTTCACTGTTTCTGATTTTTGGGTTCTATCTCTCAGAAATAGTGATATTTCTGTAGAAGCTTTCGATCATCCGAACAATTTTTGATGACTCATGAACTCATTCAGCCATAAACGAACACTTTTCTGAATGTGAGTCACAAATAAATAAAAATATAGGCTTAATAAAATCTTAGCCCTCTATGTATTCCCGAAAAAATGTTGTTTTTTATTTGACCATGCGTTGTTCCGGTGTCAAAAATATCTTTTCTCGACTTTTTTTTCGTGAGGAACTATATAAAATGCAAGACAATAAAAAAGATGACGCTTGTCTTTTTTTGAACTTTGATATATATTTTTTCAAATTTCTTCTCGAAACTTCCCGTCTTAACATTCTCATCGGTCAAAAGCCGCCCACTTTTTCTCATCTTTTCTCTCTCAACTTTTTTTTTTTCAAAAATTAACGTGTTTTTTGTGGTCGCTTAACTTAACAGCTGATATCACTTCTTTTTGTATGTGGAAACAATTATCCGAATTTTTTCTACAGGCTTTTTTTGAGTTGAAAGATGTTACACTATAGACTTCTGACACTCTTCATAATATTAGCTGTTTGCACACATGATGTTTTCTGATGTTTTTTTGGTATTTTAGATTTATGGGATTCTGCTAAAGTGGTGAATTTCTATACAATTCTTGCTAATTTTTGTTGATAGATTTGAAAAAAAAAACTTCTCTATATCAGCTGAATAAGCTTATTATGCAATTTCTAGTAAGAATAACAATCTAAAATTTTGTAGTCTTTTTTTGAATTTTGATTTTCTGTAAAATAAAATATGAACATATGATTTTTCAAATGAGGATACGTGTCATTTTCAAAATATTATTCAGGTGAAATATGACTCTCTTAAAACATATCTAATGATTCAGATAGGATGATCATTTTTTGAAAAATCGATTTCTGAAAACATTTTTGATCACATATACTATTAGATTTCTAGTTTCATTTTTTGGGTTTAGGGGCTTTTGATACTGAAATTTTATCAGTTTCCATGAATTTTTTGAAAAATTCATTGAAATATCAATCAACTCAAACTTGAAATGTAGATTTTTCATTAAATCAAACTAATTTGTCTGGTTTTTGAGCTCCTGGCTCAGTTCACCTAGACCCAAGATTTCATTCATCGAAAAAAATCTTATGAATTTTTCATCTGTTTTTTTGTGCCCAGAAAACAAATCAAATACTCCGAAATTACGAATAGTTCAATTTTTCTGAAAACAAGTATTTTATTTTTAGTTTTCAAAACCATTAGTCACTTTTTCTTCAATTCCTGATCTTTTTTTTTACAAAAAAAAAACACTTGCACACACGAACATATCATAATTTCAAGCGTTCAAAAAACTAAAGATATTCGATCCTCCGTGCAACACCTAACAATTTCGTCTTCCGGAAAAGCGTTATTCTAGACATTCGGAATCTAACAAAACTAGTACAGAACAATCGAATATTCCACATTTTGTCATACATTTCAAATTGCAACATGTACATATTTTTTGACACGTTCATTTTTCAGCGCTTCATCCTTTTTCTTTTTCATTTTTTCTCACAAAAGCTTTTCAAAAAATTTCTTCTTCTAATTGACATGTATACGTACCTTGATCACTTGTTTTTGGTCCAAGATTAATATTTTTCTTCCTCTCCGAGTCTCAAATGATATCAAAAAATCAAGAAAAAATTACACTCTCTGGTCTGTGTGACCTTTTTACATACATACGTGCCAAAATAATATTCCCAGGAGAAATTCACCTTAAAACGTAGGAAAGCGCTAAAGTGAATGACTTTTTCCATTCATTTTTAATGGTGCTCATTTGATTTGGTAAAGTAAAACAAAACAAAAGTTGTTTTCCCTTTTTTTTTCATTTTCTGTTCCTTTGACCTAATTTGTACTGCTAGTTTTTAAGCTCTTCAAGTTGTTCTAACTTAATCAGCTTTTTTTATTTCTACTGTTTCTAAATGACATATTTAACTGGTATAAATAACAATAATGGAAACAGGTTTGGTTGAAACATTTTTGATCCGATTCTTATTGATATCTCTTTTTATTCTTGATTTTCTTTGAAATTTATTTTGAAAAAAATTCAGCTGGATGTCAATAAGAAAAGGAAAAAAAGAGGTTGTACCTCGGTATGAAGACTATATTTATAGTCGCGATATGCCGGTGGAAAAGGAGAAAACGATTGAGGAAAAAGAGAATGATGATAATTTGGTTGCTGAAAAATTCCGCGATTTTGCCGATAAAACAACAGCTCATGGAGCTAAACGGATTCTGATAGCACACAATTCATGTAGTGCATTTTTATGGACAATGATTATTGCGATGTTTTTGTTGATGTTTGTGTATCAGGCTGCAAAACTTATTGTTAAATATAATGCTCATGAAAAAATCACGGATATTTCGGTAGGGAGAAACTAGAAAAAATAAAACGCAAAAAATGTTGTCTTGTATCAAACTAGCCTAAATTCAGGAAAAATATGATCAAAAATTGAAAAACCCATGATGGAAGAATCCAAAATTTTTATTTCAGCTCAAATTCGATCAGGTTGAATTCCCTGCAATCACATTTTGCAATCTCAACCCTTATAAGAAAAGTCTTGTTATGATGGTACCATCCATTCGTGATACGGTATTATTCCTAAAAATTTTCAAAACTTCCTTGACACTTTTTATTTTATAGATGGATGTATATGACAATGCAAAAACACACAGTAAATCAGATGACGAGAAAAAGAAATCCAAATTTTCTCGAAAGCAACATTCCGATGCGAGTCAACAAATGGTTCGAGAACTTTTTGCAAAAGAAATTGAAGAGGGAATGATAGAACTTCGAAAAAATGCGAGTTTGCTGAAAATGCAATCAGGAAGAAGAGTCAAAAAATCGGTAAGCCAAAGATAAATGACATACATAACTCGGAAATATTCTACATATGTAGATTGATGATCGAACTGTCGAAGCAATTGAGGCACATTGTAAATGTATTGGAAGTAATGATATGGAATGTATCAGATTTGAATCTCCTCCGGGAACTCCGACTTCGAAATGTATTTGCACATATGATAAGATTCAACAAGTTGCATGGCCATGTTACAATTCGAGGTGAGAATGAAATAAACACAGGAGCATTCAAAAATTTTCCAGCGTTTGGTACAACCAAATCTGCCCCCTTTGTCATAAAGACGGATATTGTGAAGCTAGTTTACCTGAAGGACAAACATCCACCGACAAATGGCCGTGTGTTTGTAGAGATAATCTTGAAGATCCAAGTATTGAGGTTAGTTTGAACTTTCTTTAAAATTTGTAAAAATATTTGAATTGTTGTCTAATTATTTTTGGTATTGTGTGTCATTGCTTACAGCTGATAGATGACGACAAGGGTGGATTTCGAAAGGTATTCACAATTTTTTTTCATTAATCAAAGTACTATGTTGGAGGGTTGACTTTTTTTTTCTTTTGTTCGTTTTCTTCATTTTTGGATAGTTCTAACGACTTGTAGTGAACATAGATTTTTTTTTTTCAAACACAGGATTTTTAGTAACAGTTTGGCTTTCTACAAACTTCACCGTTATTAATTTTGAAGAATACAAAACAAAAATAATTGTATTCAGAAACCTTATTGTATTGGAAAAGCTGGGGAAGGCAAAATTGAAATGCGAAAACTTTGGCTGGAAAATAATGCGACCACAACATCCACCACAACCACGACGACTACCACAATGCCACCTCCGACCACAACAAGTGAGTTTTTTGAAATTCTGTTAGCTAACTAGAATTTTTTGCACTCAATCCTATGTTATTTGCATGTGAAACAATTTACAGCCACCACAACTCCAAGACCAACGACAACAACATCTACAACAACTACAACCACGACCACAACGACTCCAGTTCCAACCACAACTACAACAACGACGACGACGACACGTGAGTCGAAAGAAATGCTTTTTTTTTCAATCTGAAAAAATTTTGAATGCTTGGCATGTTTTCTTCTATCTTCACTATCTATTTAGCACGACCAACAACAACGACGACGACCACTCGGAAACCAACCACGACTAGACCTACGACAACAACAACTGAAGAACCAACCACTACAAAAAGACGTAATTTTGCATGATTTTTCACAGAACGTGATATGAGAACACATTTTTGAAACAAAGGCTTCAAGAACTTTTGAGTGCCTTCTTCTATTTTTCTTGATGAACTTCTATGCTTAAAAGTTAAAAGAGTTAGAGAAAACGTTTTGAAAAATTGTTTCACTTTTTTATTTTTGAAAGTTCCAATAAAAAAAATACAGTTTGAAAATTCCTATAAGTAATTCAACGAATGGATGACTTCCGAATTTTCTCCCATTTTCAGATGAATCAAAAAAAATGAAAACTTACAAGAAATTCCTTATATTTTCAGATTCACAAAAATCTAACATGTTCAATAATTATTCCAAATTTTTCCAGCACCACCACCACCAAAAAAAGGTCAACGCCCAATTGTCAGCAACCCGGAAACACTCAAAGCTATGGGTTTTGAGGTAACTATACGTTCACCGTTTTTTTCTTTATTTTCTGTCAATTTTTCAGGGAATGACTGATGGTGTTGCAATGTTAACTAGGGCTAAAGAAAATTTGATGTTCACAATGGCTGCACTTTCTGATAAACAAAGAATTGCGTTGAGTCAATCGAAACACGAATTTATTGAAATGTGCTCTTTCAATGGAAAAGAATGTGATATTGATAAGTGAGTAGGCTTTTCAGTGTCACCAAAGAATCATTGAATTTCAGGGATTTCAAATTACACGTTGATCCAGAATTTGGTAACTGCTTCACTTTTAATTACGATGTCACCAATAATTATACAAGTAGTCGAGCTGGTCCCATGTATGGAATTCGTGTTTTACTTTTTGTAAACACTTCGGATTATATGTCAACTTCTGAATCATCAGGTGTTAGACTTGCAATTCACCCGCCGACAGAATTCCCATTCCCGGATACTTTTGGATATTCAGCACCAGTTGGATTTGCAAGTAGTTTTGGAATTAAGAAAAAGATTATGCAACGTTTACCAGCTCCTTATGGAGAATGTGTTGAAGTGAAGAATATGACAAATAAGAATTATATTTATGAAGGATATGATTATCATCCAGAAGGTTGTCATAGAAGTTGCTTTCAAAACGGGTTAATCGATGATTGCTCTTGTGGAGATCCACGATTCCCAGTCCCTAAAGGTTTCAAACATTGCTCCGCATTCAATGCAACAGCTCGTGAATGCTTGGAAAAGAATATTGGATCAGTTGGAGATTTTCATCATATCACTGAAAAAATGGATAAATGTGTTTGCAAACAATCGTGCACTGAAATATTACACGAAGTCACATATTCCTGCTCCAAATGGCCTTCTGGTGCAACTGATGTGAGTTGATTCCCTGGTTTTTTTCAATGAATCTTGTGACCAAAGCAAAAAAAATTAAAAAAAAATAATTTTTAGGCAGAACGAGTGAGTTTATTGGACATACAGGTTTTTAGTATCCCATTTAGTTCTTCTCCTAACCCTTTGTTCAAAAAATATATAAGTTCTAGACACCAGGCACATAATTTTCTTGCACCACACATCCTTAACAACCCTTTAGTTCAAAGTTTTTGTTTGAGTTCTTTGGAAAATTTATCATTTTGCAGCTCGGAGATTGCGAAGGTATGACTGAAGGTGAATGCGAGCAATATTATCGATTGAATGCAGCAATGGTAGAGGTGAGAAAAATTAAAATCTTAAAAATTATCCAAAAATGTGAGCAGCAAAAGATTTCGCTCCCGGGTGGGCTCGAACCACCAACCTTTCGGTTAACAGCCGAACGCGCTGCCTATTGCGCCACGGAAGCAGATGAGAGAGTCTAGAGCAATGCTATATTTACACAACCTTGACGATGAAAAACTGCAGACAGAGAAAGAATGTGAAGGAAAATAGAGAAATGAAAAAGAGAAAAAGAGAAATAGTGTGTGGTTTTTTCCTCTGTGCCATATTCTACTTTTTTTCGAACCAAAAATTTTTTTTTCTAATTTTAAAAACTTTTTTTTTGAATTCCAGGTTTTCTATGAACAATTGAATTATGAATTATTGCAAGAATCAGAAGCTTATGGATTAGTCAACCTAATTGCCGATTTTGGTGGACATCTTGGACTTTGGCTGGGTAAACGTTCTACCTCTTAAAAAAAATGTAATCCAGATTTTTTTCAGGATTTTCCGTCATTACTGTGATGGAAGTTTTGGTTCTTGGAGCTGATGTATTATCGATTTGCTTCAAACGACGACACGAACAAAAATTGCTTCGCGAAAGCACGCGTAGATCAGAAAAAGCGGCAAAAGAGGAGAAGAAACAATCAACTGTTGCGACATGTGCGGATAAATCAGATGCATTTGTGCAAATTTGAGCGGTTTTTGGGTGAATTTGTGGGTATCAATGATTACTTTTTCTGATCTCATGTGTATATATTTTATATTTGATTTGCCTGAAAATAAATTTTTAATTGCAAAAGCCATTTTTCAAGTTTTGGAGTTTAAAATTCATAAAGATCTCGGTACCTTCCAATTTTCTGTAAGATCAAGAACAAATTTTTCAGCATCCCTCAAGACAAATTGTTTCACTGATTCAGAAAAAAAAACATTACAAAAAGTAGTTTTAGCAGACTTGAAACCCTTCTCATTAATTATCGAAATTACAACTTCGCATCATATTAAACAAAACATTATCATAAATCATATCATTATTTTATGGCATGACAGCCAAAACGTTTTGGAGACAAAATATTTATTGACAGAAAAAATACCAATTTAGCAGCAAGCAAAGCGAATGAATGCAAATAACAATTAATCGATTTTTTTTGAAACTTAATTTTGTGTTCTTGATGTTCTTGGGGTCTATTCTTGATCGAATGCTTCGGCTGCATCCTCGTCAGCAGCAGCTTCCTAGAAAAATAAGATTATAAGATGAAAATTCAGAAATTTTTACCTGGTATTGTTGATATTCGGAGACCAAGTCATTCATGTTGCTTTCGGCTTCAGTGAATTCCATTTCATCCATACCTTCTCCAGTGTACCAATGGAGGAAAGCTTTGCGACGGAACATAGCTAAATATCGAAAAAAGTAAGAAATTTTCAAAACAAACAAATTTCGACAAACCTGTGAATTGTTCACTGATTCTCTTGAAAAGCTCTTGAATAGCAGTAGAGTTTCCAATAAATGTTGCCGACATTTTCAAACCTCTTGGTGGAATATCACAGACTGCAGTCTTGACATTGTTTGGAATCCAATCAACGAAATAGGAAGAGTTCTTGTTTTGAATATTGAGCATTTGCTCATCGACTTCTTTCATACTCATTCTTCCTCTGAAGATTGCAGCAGCTGTCAAATATCGACCGTGTCTTGGATCACAAGCAGCCATCATGTTTTTGGCATCGAAGCATTGTTGGGTGAGTTCAGGAACGGTGACGGCTCGGTACTAGAAAAATTGTGTTTTTTTCAACATTTCGAAGTCTCTTAAAAAATCTAAAGGACATATACTTGAATAATCAGAAAAAATAATTCTGTAAAATACTCACTTGTTGATTGCTTCTGCTAGTGAGCGGTGCAAAACCTGGCATAAAGAAGTGAAGTCTTGGGAATGGCACCATATTAACCGCCAATTTTCTCAAATCGGCATTCAATTGTCCAGGGAATCGCAAACATGTTGTGACTCCGCTCATTGTGGCACTAACCAAATGGTTCAAATCACCATATGTTGGTGTGGTCAATTTCAAAGTGCGGAAACAGATGTCGTACAATGCTTCGTTATCAATGCAGAATGTTTCGTCGGTATTCTCAACCAGCTGGTGAACAGACAGTGTTGCATTGTATGGTTCGACAACAGTATCTGACACTTTTGGACTTGGAACAACTGAGAAAGTATTCATAATTCGATCAGGATATTCTTCACGAATTTTTGAGATTAAAAGGGTTCCCATTCCCGATCCGGTTCCACCGCCGAGTGAATGAGTTAATTGAAAACCTTGCAAACAATCGCAACTCTCAGCTTCTTTTCGAACAACATCAAGAACATTGTCAACCAATTCAGCACCTTCTGTGTAGTGTCCCTTGGCCCAATTGTTACCAGCTCCACTTTGCCCAAAAACAAAGTTATCTGGTCTGAACAACTGTCCGAATGGTCCAGATCTGACGGAATCCATGGTTCCTGGCTCAAGATCCACTAACACTGCTCTGCAAAATTTTTTGTATTATTTTTTAAAATGAGTGACCCAAAAATGTGGTACCTTGGAACATATTTGTTGCCTCCAGCTTCGTTGTAGTAGACATTGATGCGTTCCAATTGCAAATCAGAGTCTCCAACATATTGTCCAGTTGGGTCGATTCCATGTTCATCAGAGATCACTTCCCAGAACTTGAAAAAAATCATATTGATTTTAAACATATTAAAAATTTTTGTAGAAACGTATCCTATTTTTTTTGAAAAATAGTAGCACTTATGCTTGTTCCTATTATTATCTTACTTTGATAGAAAAAAGTCCACTTGAATTTCCTCACCATAAAAAATAATTAAAACATTTTTAGAAACATAAAAATACAAACCTTCGAACCAATTTGGTTACCACACTGGCCAGCTTGAATATGAACAATCTCGCGCATCTTGTCACTCACCCAAAAATGAAAGAAAGAATACGACTGACAAGCAATAAGAAAAAAGAAGAAGAGCGAGAGATGGCGAGAGCGAGAGGACCATCCCACAACATAAATAATTCATTGAACACCAACCATATAATGCATGAAACAACGCCACATTTTGAACCAAAAAGTCCAATGAATGGCATATTATCATCGCAATGTACTTATGCATTTCATATATCGTTTTCACATTTTCGTTGAATACAAGAACATATTGGTTTTTTTGGTCTTCTTCTTCAGTTTTTATTTTTAAAATATATATGGATAAATATATGACACCCGGAAAAAATAGAGACATCGAAACTGTTGCGAACGAAATCAATTGAATTAGTGTGTTATCACAATGGATTACTATGAGGGTTAATGGTTAGAAAATATTATCGAGAATCATGAAAAAAACAAAAGATATGTAGTCAGGCTTAATTTCAGGATAATCAGTGAAATATATGTTGGGAAAGAAAATTTGAAAATGATTTAGAGAGAGAGAGAAAATATATTTTTTTAAAAAATATTTTACTTCTTATTGATTTTGAATTAATTTTTGAAATAACAGGAAAAGTTGAATTCAGAATGCTCAAATCTGACAATCAACTCAAAATAAAACTTTTCAACACTATATTTTTCACAATGATCCTTCCAAAATTAAACCCGACAGATACACCTTCCATCCCCGTATAAACAACAAAAAGCTATCTACAAAATATGAGAGTTTGCTGGTTGATTCATTTTCTTCTCATAAAGCCGTTTCTCGTGTTCCATTTGACGTTGCTTGTTTTGTTCATCGCGATGCTGAAAATTCACATATGTAGAGAAATAAAAAACAACCAAAGATTATACCTCTTTCAAAGTGGAATCCAAATCATCTCCCCAAGCCATTAGATCATCGTCCATTTCTTCAAGTGTGGAAGTGGCACCCTGTAATAAAATAATTAATTAGTTTTTTTCCTAGACATTTTGGAACATATAAAAGAAGTAGGGTAATTAAGTGACCATTCTTTTTTCTTTTTCTGTCGAACGTGAAGTTTTTTTTTGTTTGAATGAAGCTAGATGTTTTTTTCTTGTATATCTTGAACTATACATATATCATGAAATATTCCGACTTTCACTGGAATGCAAGTGAAAGACTGGAATAAAGTGTATTGATACAAACAAAACACACAAAGAGAATATCACCTTATCTCATTGTTTTTTTTGCTAAAACTCTCGCTTGTTAACATTTATTCAAGACGACCGAAAAAAAAAGTTAGTCGGCAAACCAGACTTAATCTTGATATTGTCATCAATTTATCTTTTTTTTTATTTTGAGAAACAAAACAAGTATCGTCATTTGATTAATTCAGACAATTGTGTTTTTCATGCAAATCAGATAAGCTTAAATAAACATTTAGTACGAATTAAAATTGTAGATGACCTTCATAATAGTAGTGAACACTTTCAAAAAAATCCGGTTATCTTTTAAACTTTTATGAAATGAAAATTTACACACATTTGCTAAATTTACGCATCGTATCATATACTTCATTTGCCTATATCTTTTCTTTTCCTATTTTTATTATTTATTCACAGAAACAATTTTGGATTTACACACACAAAAACGTGGGGGCGGGTCTTCTAAACAGGTTCTAAGGTTTACCCGCCCGTTTTGAATAGCTTCTCACTTTTACGCATTCTCGTCCTATCAAAAGCCTATTTGATAGCAGCTTATAACAACCAGTTACAATATTTCTCTTGTCGCTTTCAAAAAATATTCAAACACTTTTCCAGATGATGTTGAAACTTGTGATAGCTCTCATTTTGCCAACTCTTGCCTATTCAGCTGTTCAATGTTATGTTGGACAAAAACTTTTTTCTTATGAATCAACAAATGTGAGTTAATGAAAATAAGAATAGTTGCTGATTTTCAATAAATTTTCAGGCAATTTGCGCTAAATTCATTCCCTACACTTGCGCTGTTCAATGTGAATGGAGAAAACAATGTAACGAACATAGCTCGTTCAGTGCTTTCAGAGGGCGTAGAACTTTCGTCTCTGGCCTTCTTCTCAACGCTAAATCCTTGATGGTTTTATGCTGTGCCTCAATGGCTACCAGAGTTGAGACAGGTACCTCATTGGTTTCATCACGAAATTTTTTGAATAATCTCTTTCAGATAACAGTGGACGCGAAAAATGTATCTGGAGAGAAACTGAATCAATCTCAGTTTTAGGCCCATCAATTAGAACTAACCCAGTTCTTGCTCCAAATCATTATATTAGGTGAGAAATTCTGATCATTTTCAAAAATAATTTACTGTTTCAGAGATGTCAAAATGGAAAGAGATGGAAATGCTCGTGTTGATGTAACAATCGAAGTTTGTCAATATCAAACCGAAAGAGATCATTGTAAAATCGATGAGATGAATGAATTCGAAAAGAAACGATTCAATGTCATCAAGGGAAAACTTGACAAAGCTAACAGTAATGCTAAGCCAAATCCAAGTAATGAAATTGATATCAAGCCAGATGATGACTTTTCGAAAAACAAATTGAGAAACTAAATCTTCGAAATGTTTTGTAATAATTTTTGTATATGAGATATTTATTAATAAAAATATTTACTCACCATTGATTCTTCATTGAACTCGAATAAACTGCGTTTTTGTTGTTGAGCTGATTGTTGGAATCCTTTTGGTTTCAACACAACTTTTCGAGCTGATGTAATTGTTGGCTCCAAAGTGCTAAACAAATCATCCTCAGCGGGCGCAGAATGATCAGCTTTCTGAACAAAATTATGCTAATTTAAAATATGAGAATATGAGAAAGAAACTAACCGGCTGGTTTGTTTGTCTCCATTGTTCAATTTTATCATTTACTTCTTCTTTTTTGTCCCAATCTGCATCATCCCAAGAATCGGCATTTTGAAGAAGTGATGCTCTTTCTTCGCCTTTATGCGCTCCAAAATTATCCACAACCACTGAAAACATTTTCTATAGTTAGAATTATTTTTCAGAATAATTCATAATTTGGAGAAACGTCATCACATATCTTGGAGTAATTCACATTTCGATCTATCAAAAATCAGAGTTCTAGTCAAGTCATGCGTTCAAAACGGTGGAAAAATTAGAATCCAGCTCTGTCTGACAATTCTTCACATTATTTTTGTTGTGAAAAATATCTAGATGGAGTCACAGACCTAGTCCGAAAAAACAAATTTCTGAAGCACGCAAAACGATTTCACAGATCTTCAAAAATCTCAGAGATTGTTTTACAGCTCTCAATTCTTCTCTAACCCACATCTAAAGCTCAAATTTGAAGCAAACGCTCACCTTCAAATGGTATTTCATTCATATCAACCCGTTTGTTTGCTCGATTTCCGCCACATAAACTGCGAATGAAGCTCAAAATTGTTTGAAACAGCGGCATAATCGAAACGTAGCAGGCACGAGCTATTGACATCGGCTACAACAAATATAGATTTTTATCGAAGCAACGTCCACAAAAAATCGAAACGAAAATAGTCTAAAGAAATGAGAGACGAGCAGGTGGTTATAATATGAAATGTCGTCGTTTGTGGTGTTTTTCTGTCCGCATTGGTTTGAGCAGTGTGAGTGTGTGTGTGTTAGAAAAAAAGAGTGTTAGAGATAAAAACAATAATATTTTTCGTCTAAATTCTTTCAACAATTTATATTCAGCAATGTACATTTATCGCGGCAAAAATAGAAATAGACATTAAAAAAATAAGAGATTTGTGATAAAATTTGTGGGGAAAATAGAAAATTTAAATGATTAGATTCAAAAAAATATGACCATTGCGAAAAAGGGTCAAATTACAAAATATGGAAACAATAACATGTTGAATTTAATCAACAGTGGTTTCCTCAACCTCAAAAACATCGTCGTCGTCGATCTCGACATCGTTCATCGGGTTGTGTGACTCGTAACTGTCGTGCTGAAAAAAAAAACTTTTGAATTTGAAAAGATAACTTTTTTGATTATAAAAAAACTACCTCAGAAGCAAAATCCTCGGTCTCCTCCTCATTGTCCTCAATAACATCTCCATCGTTTGCATCCGAATTCGCGTCGGTTTTCGGAAGCTCACTCCACTCCACATCTTCCTCTTCTTGCTCTGGCTCCAGTTCATCATCAAGCAAACTTTCGGGCTTTGCTTCTTCCTTGAGCTTCTCCTCAACATCATCAATCACCTCTTGTGAATAAATCTTCTTTCGTGATTCGGGCATTTCCATAAGAGAGTTCAAAATATAATCAGGGTCATAGGATCGATCGTTGGCTCTGTTGATTGTTGGTGGAAGATGTCTTTTAATGGCATAATCGGGTTCCAAGATTTTACGAATTGCCCGGAAGGTTTGGCATCCTTTGCGAAGACATCGGTATGCGGGATATTCTCGGATTTCTCCACGATACTTTGATTTTCGCATACAAAGACGCATTGCCATTCCACAAAGATGGCAATTGATTTCGTCCGGAACTTCTTGGGTGATTCCATTGAAAGTGACGCGAACAGTTTTGCGATCTAGAAAATTTGAATATTTTCTTGATATAAATGTTTTCTTGTAAACTCACTTGAATTATTCAACGCATCGGTCAAACTGGGCTCAAAATTGATCATGCTCGATTTGTCAACAGCAACAGGACCACTTGGACGAGCATCATCAGTATTCTGCAAAAAAATCAATAATTTTGAAGAAAAAAAATCAAACAAACACTCACTGAATCGTAGGGAACGAATTGCATAGCTCTTCTTGCGAAAGCTGTTGGATTGTCTGAAATCGGACGAAGAATTTCTGGAAATTCATCACCATACTTGACTTCTGGCTTTGGTTTCGCTGGTGGCTTCTTGAAATTCTGAAGAAAAATAATCGATGAAATATATTTAAAAATATGGAGACTTACAACGATTTGAGCAAGACGAGCAAAAAGAACAGGATTGGAAACTGACAATTTTTCATTTTCATAAATTTTAGTCACATCTCCTTTCATAGGAACTGAAATTTTGAATTTATAAATGACAACCAAAGAATTGTGTAAAGCTTACCTCCAGCATATTTCTTCCCGAAAACACTTTGAAATGTGACAGGTTCATCTTTATCAGGCTTGAGTGGATATGGAATTTCTCCCGGCTCCAATTTGATACGTTTTTCTGGTGGTTCAAATGATAAGTTGGGCAATCTTGGCACAACAGTTTTGACATTGAGATCATACACAAATTTAGGGCGGACCACTAATTTTGTTGGATAAAGTGGCAAAGTTTTTTGTTGAGATGGTCCTATTGGAGGACGGAAAACATTTGGTTTAGCGATCGGAGCATTGCTCGCTTTCCCGTAATTTGCAATCTTCTGATACGTCAATCTTCCGATTCCAGCATCCGAAGCTGAAGCTACTGGTTTACCTTGCTGCTCATTGATCTTGCCAACAATGTCTTCAGGACGAACCATTTTCAAATCTGAAAAGGAAATATTGATCGATTTTCACTTGGTTAATTGGGAAAACTCACTAATTGGAGGGCGAGAATTGAAAAGGGGTTTGATAACAACTTTTCGCAAAACAGGATTACGTTGTGCTTGACTCCCACGACTCAAAAGTGGATCATTTGTGCCGAATGTGTTTCGCAAGCCAGTGTGAATAGCAATTTTGGATGGAACACGGCGAATCATATCAGTTTCCTGGAAAGATTTACTATAAAAATGTTTCGAGAAGGAAAATTGAGAAAAAACTAACCTCATACTCTTGCTCTTGCTCTGGCTCTTCATTTTTTACAATTATACACGGTTCGATTTTTGGAGCAATAAACTCCTCGACATCAGTTTCAGTGTCAGGTTTCACTGCCTTGAATCTTGGTGCACCGCCTTCTTTAGCTTCTACATCGCTCATGATTTTCTTAATCATCGCATTCGTAGGTTGCAAATTTGGTGTCGCCGATTTCATGGCTCGCAATTTTTGTACAGCAACACTTGGTGTGTACTTTTGTGGCTTCGCTGAAACCTGAGGAAAGACATCAGCCAATTCCTTGGATCCCTCTTCGATTTTGACAATCTTTTTGAGCATTGCCGTTTTCTGAGAAGCCTGAAATCGTATGAATAAAGATAAAATCTAAAAAATTTTCAACAACTCACTTTTACTTGTGGTGCACTTGTGCTTGGCTGAGGAACTTCAGGAACAAATAAATTTGGAACATCCTTTTCTTCCTCTTTGATCACAGCTTCAACCACTTTAGCTTTTTTATTTTTCTTCCGCGGCACACTTGGTGGAACGTATTCATCACGAAACACTTTTGGCACCGGTTTACGAGAAGATTTTCTCACTTGTGAATCAGTTGTCGATTTACCCATCTGGAACTATTTACATATGTTTCAAATTTTGATAATAGCAAAATAATGATATAAAAGAAAAAAATCAACAAAGTTTTAATATTATAACAATAAAACCATATTCAAACAATCAATGCAAACCTATTTTTGCAAAAAAATGAGACAACAACAAGAAAAAAGTTGGATGCCAAAACATACACACCGTGCGCACTATTTACGCGGCATTTTATTAGAGCGCACTTTCTCCCCCTTCCCTGCCAATCATGTGGGAGGGGGAGAAGGGACCTTGTTTTGTTGCGTTGTTTTTTGAGTGGAAGAGAACAAAAGAAACATTGAAAAATTATTGTTGGGGATAGAAAAGAGTTGAAAAATTGTTTTGAAATTGAAAAGGATAACACTTGAGCAGCGAAAAATACGTTAATTTTTAAGTTGAAAAAGTTCCCTATGATTGAACTAAAAATAATAACTGTATTATTGGAAAGTGAATGCAAACTAGTAAAGAAAAAACAAAATACATTTGTTTTCTCACAAGGGAAGTGCATGAGGTAAACTTTAAAAAATTGTTCTTGAAGCTATAATTTTGTAGCTATAATAGTTTTGAAACACTACACTTGTAAAATAAAGTAAAAACACAAAAAAGAGACAGTGAATGCCAACAAAACCTTTCCCTTCATTGCCAAACATTTGAGAAACTATAAACAACAACATTTTCGCGGGTAGGTCAAATTTTACCAAACAACCCACAATAATAAAACAAGAGAGTTGAGAAAATATAATCATGACATTATTCAAAATTTTGTGATGAGGATTGTTAACAATTTGATAGAACTCCATATTTTGAGAGAAAAAAATATTTTGAAATATGAGAAGCGGGATTGAATAATCTCTAGTTTTTGTGATAATTATACTCAAAATATGTTAATTACAAGATATATAATGAATTTGATAAACAAATTTCAATTTTTTGCTCTAAAAATGACCCGGTGTAAAATACAAATCGATTTGAGACTTGCACTCGATCAGGTAATCATCCAATTTTTCGAAATAATTTATAGAATCTATAGCTTTTTGTGATATATATACTCAAAATATGTAACTTACACGATATTTAATGAATTTGATAAACACATTTCAATTTTTTGCTCTAAAAATGATCCGGTGTAAAATACAAATCTGTTTGAGACTTGCACTCGATCAGGTAATCATCCAATTTTTCGAAATAATTTATAGAATCTATAGTTTTTGTGATAATTATACTCAACTCTCTTGTTCTATTATTGTGAATGTTAATCACAATTTACATAATGAATTTGATAAACAAAGTTCAATGAAATTTTTTGAAAATCTCAAAATATCGAAAATATATCATTTTTTGTGAAAAGCATTTATTCAGTCGTGAAATAATAATAATAATAATAAAAAACAAATTATAACTTCAAAAAAAAATTGGTAAGATGGCTTTATACACCCGTACATTTTGCACAGTTTACATGAGGGGTCTAACTACGAAGTTCATTGTAATTTAGAGAAAAAACCGGTGAATGAGATCGATCAAACTTTGGCAATAAGTGGCGGAGCTGATGGATAGGCCACATTATTATCCGGCTCATTTCTTCCACTTCTTCCAGCTTGACGTGCTCGATAACCTTTGTAGATTATTGCACAACAGCAACAAGGAGCAAAGAAGCATAGGACACCACAACATGTTGTGATGAGGATGACGAAGAGAAGGGTCAAAATGACCATCCTGAAAATATTTCATGTTATTTCTTATATCAGTGAATATAGTTTTTAATGATTTTTTCCTTTCAAAGTTTTCAGTTTCCCAGCCTCCAATTACAAATTTCAAAAAAAATTACCAAATATAAGATTTGATTTCAAACGGTAATCGATCATACACCCACACCATTACCGCCCAAACATCAAGCATCATCACCGACTCCCAAATTGGTCTTTCTTCCGACATTTTTACTAAAATTCGAATTTTTCTTCACCGGAAAAGAAAAAAAGCGCAACACCAATAGAAAAAAAGATGAAATGAAAATAGCCTGTTTTTTTCTCTTCAGCCGAACATGGGCTCTTCTCATAGTATCGATTTTAGGAGCCAAGAATGAAGGAGAGAAGAGATAGACAGAGAGTAACTATGGAAATTTGCTATCAACAGAAAGGTTTGATTTTTTTTTCATTAGGCTGGAAAGTAAGTGTGTCAATAATCTCTAACTCAAGATGAACATTGGAAAAAATGGAGCTTCTTTCAAAAATTGTGTTTTTTTTTCGAAAAAAAAAACGAAAGAGAAAAAATTTAGCCAATAAAAAAGTTTACCAGCAAAAAATGAAAGGTGTGCAAATAATAATGAGCTCTTCAAAACATTGTTCTACTTTCTATGAAATATAAAAAAATCTATCAGAAAAGGTGAACTTCAGGATTCTATTTCTAAAAAAATTCAGAAAAATCGATCTCAAATTTGGCGAAAAGAAAAAAACACAATTTTTTTCTGCGAGGAGCGAATAATTATTTCACAACCTCCTCAATGACATTCGAGTAAAAATACTATTTGAAAAAACCACTCAACCAAAAACAGAAACAGACAATAGGCGGAGTTTGTCAATTCCATCTCATTTTTCTAGGAAAAACATGACTCATTTTTCTAACCGCAGAGCTCAGAGAAAAAGAGCACACAAAAAAAACAGATAGAGAGTAGTAAAAAGTTATTGCGAAATCGTCGATGACTCAAAAAAGGCTCAAAAATCGCGTGTTTTTTTCAAATTTATTTGAACAAACTTTGACTCATGATAAAAGAAAATGACAATTTCTTGGAACTTACATCCAATCAACATCCCCACACAAATCTTGATAATCAGTTGACCATTCATAAATCTTTCTAGCCGTTCCCATTCTCTCGAGAATACAGTCAATTCCAGATAATAAAACTTTTTCAGAAACTTTATTAATTGTCGGATCTTCCATTTTTTAGGAATAAGGTGGCTAGCCGGTGAGAAAGGAAGAGTGAGAATGAAGTGAATTCGGGGAGGTTGTAATGTTTACTTTACGAATGAGCAAGTTTTGTTTCAATGACTCATGTTAACTTTTTTTTCTAATTTTGATGTTACCGTTTCATATTAAAAAAAGAATTATTACAGTTCCGTTGTGTATTTTTCCCAGATAACTTACTGTGTGAGTCCTGGAGCACAAGCCACCATATCTGGCTCATCGTTGCATAAATCGGTGATATAACAACTCATATAACATGCTTCCAAACAATTTTCCATTGAAGTGTGACAAGTTACGGAAATTCCTGGAAAATGTTTCCGGTTGCAAGAGATTTGATTAAGCCAAAAGCTTATATTTTCAATGTAGACTTTTAAGAACCGTTTTCAGAGGATTTATTGATTTTTTCAAAACTACTTGCTTGGAATATTTATGGACCATTTCCAGGCATAAATTTTCAGAAAATAAACCTCGTGTTCCCCACAAAAAAAAGTTCACTGTTTATGAAATTTGATCTTTTGAGAAGCTAAAAATCTAACCAACCGGATTTTTACTTAAAAAAACGGTTCCTAATCCCCTCAACCCCTAAAACTCCAATATTTACCTGAAATTGATGATTTTCCCATTGCAGATTCCGTTGACGTAACATTTGGAGAATATGCATATGCGATTTGCACCAAAACTGAGAAAAAATACATTTTAATTGAAAACTAACAGAAAAAACTAACCGAAAACACAACAAATTCGATAAAAAATCATTGATGAACGAGTTTTGAAAATGAAAAGAATTGTGAAAAATGAGAGGGAGGGCAAAAATGTTGTCTGTCACGTGGAGACGCAGAGAAATCATGTTAGTTTTCTCCCCTTTTCTCTCTTGTTTGTTGGGAAATATATTTTTCGCTTCTTATTGATCCCGAAAACAGAACATTTCAAAATATTTCATATCATTGTATATTTTATTTTCAAAAAAACATATGCATAATAAGTAAGTGAAAAAACATCAATTAATAAATTCACACGTAATAATTAAAAATGCTCGTAATATTATTAAGATATCCTGGAATTTTGAGGGAAAGAATCCTAAAATGTTTTCTTCTTCTCTATGACACCTTCTATGTATTTTTCCTGAAAAAATGTTTTATTTTATAATTTAATCCCTTACAATAAGTAGATAAAAACTAACCCGCATAGTAAAAACAAAAACAATACCGCCATAACAAATTGTGACTATGAAAACAACAATAATAACCAAATTTGATTTGACAAGTTTACCTGGAAAAATCAATTGTTTGGAAAATATCTGAAATTCAGAAACTAACCAAATTTCATTCCATTTTCGAAAGATGTTGCGAAATAGTTTCGAACATGATCGATTTGCTGATATACACATCGATTCTGAAATTTCATACATATTTAGTTTTGAAGTATTCAAAAAAAAAAAACAATTTACCTTCCGGCAAACTCCATGAATACAAGCTGTTCCATCTTGTAGATACATACTTCCGAATTCTGGAATGCAGTTTCCATTTGCACCAACACAACATCTACGACACGATAGCTCGGCTGAAAAATTCTGTTTTTTTTTTGAAGTTTTAAAGGTGAAAAATAAAACTCACGCTCTCTACAGATACAACTTTTCTTTCCTAATGTTTCACAATAGGATAGACAAACACCATCTCGACATTTTCCGAAATCGAAACATTCTTTGCCATTTTCAATTGGAGGACCACGTGGACAATCTCCGGAAACACCACTGAAAATATTTTTTTAAAATTATGTCAGTTTCTTTGAAGATTCATAATCTTACTCACTCGCAAAACGCTTCCTTTTCGCAAAACTTCGGATCACTTTCTCGACAAACATGTGATGAATTATGAAACATACAAAAATCAGTGCAACATCCGTGATTAACTGGAGAGCATTGTGCATTCTCGTGAAGCAGACAATTTTTGTCACAACATTTTGATTCTTGATTATAAACACCATTATCACATTGTTCACCTTCGTCGATTATTCCATTTCCACACAATTTCGAGATTCCTTTTTCAAAACACGTTTGTGCTTTTTTCTTTAGAATTTTTCGAATATTATTTTTTGAGCAAGGTGAAAAGAATACATTGTTTGGATAATGACCAGTCTGCGCGGTTGGATGCATTAAATACGATCCTCCAGATTCCAAATCTGGAGCGCAGTTTTTTGTATCTTCGTCGGTGTTAAGGTTCGCTGGATCGTGATTTGCACCCCATGAATGACCGTATTCTGAAACAGTGCTTTTTGAAAAGAATTTTACAAAATTTTAACTTACCGTGAGCAACAACAATATCAATTTCTTTAGTTGTTAATGGATAACTTGAATCAATTGAACCTTTGTAAACTGATGTCATTGCAACATTCATAGGTGTATTTTGATTTCCGATCTGAAAAATGAATAAAAAATTATTAATATTAAAATCAGACAACCACAAACCTTTGCTGTTTCTGAACATATTCCACCGGGATCTCTGTAAACTGTTGCAACGTAAGCTAATCCAAGTACATCGCTCATAAATGTTCGACCGGAAACTAAATGAACAAGGCAGAAATCGGAAGATCCTTCGAATTTTGCAAAATTTTCTAGAATTGAGCTAGGTGGTCGGGATTTGTCAGCAAATGAATTGTAATGAGTTTCGGTCTCATTTTCGGAATATTGAATTTTGATTTCTTTGATGGAAAATCCTAGATTGACTAATCGGGTTTCGCCAATATCATCACTATCTTCATCCCAATCAACACGTGTGAATATTTCATTTGTTCGTGCAATCATATTCACCTATAGAAATATTTTATCAGAGGTATAAACATTTTTTTCAAAAAAAAACTCACCAAATATCTTGTCACATCAACACTGCTATTTTTCATAAACTTTGAATAAAATGCATAATCGGCCACAATTTTCAAAGTGCATCTATTCTTCTCAATATTTGCTATTTGACTATTTCTAATCTGTCGTTTTTTGCGCGGAAGATATTTTTTGAACGGATTTGCTTTTGGATACGAGAATCCCAATATTGGTAAAACATAATCGATTGAAGGAGTGTTATGTGGATAAATATCATGTTTGGTGTCAGACGCAGAATAGCATATGACTTCACTGAAAGAATAACATTTTGGAATTCAAAAATGAAAATGACATTCCAAAGATAACTCACCTATCTTCTGCCAACTCGTGAATACTCGAATGTTCCAAATATATCGTATCATTTAGAAATGACAATGCGCCTACATAACTAGTTCCAATTTTTGAGAGAGTAGCTATCCCATAAACTGGTTCTGCAAAAAAAAATAAAATTTTTGAATTATGGTCAGAAAATATTAACCTCTAATAATTCCTTTATATTCGCTATGTTTGAGATCTAAATCTGGATGAATAATATCGTTGTTTGGTTCAATGTTTATCGAATATTCGACGCCTGAAAATTTTCGAATATTTTCGAAAATGTTTTTTTACTGGTTGTTTTCTTTACACTTACCCATGCAATGAAATTGAATAAAATTGCTACGACTATTATAAAATGATACTTTTCCATATTTGTTTACCCGTGAATTGAAGTGATCTGAAAAAATAGAGGATTATTAAATTTTCAGAAAAAAAAGAACTCACTTTCTGTGCTAGGATATATAATATACGCCAAGATGATTAATAGAACATGGCGCATTTCTGAAAGAAAAAAAAAAAAGAAAAAAGAAAAAGATGAGTAAAATTAGAATAATGAGAAAGAGAGATACAAAGAGAAAAAAAGGAAAGTGAAACAAAATTGAAAGAGCCTCTCTCCTCCCAAGAGAAAATTATCAATAGAGCGACATTTCTATCAATAATAAAACAAACAAACAGGCATATAAAAATGTTATTATTATTAATATAATACCGCACCACAAAAAAAAAGAAAAAAGAAAAGGAAAAGAGCAACAAGTATATATTGTTATCATTGAGAAATGATGAAAGTAAAGAAAAATGTTTGTATATTTTCACTATGTTTGTCTACTCTCTCACTCCCTCGTTTGATGTGTGAATAAAAAGAAGAGACACAGACGAGTTCAATTTCGAAAAAAATGGTGAATTCACTTTCAATTGTATTTCTAACAACCACAAAAAAACAAATAAAAATAGAAGATCTTTTAACATTTATTGTGAACTTTTCGAAATATATAATTAGTGATTTGCAAAAAATGAAATTGAGGTTTTACAGAATTTTATTTGTGTTTATAAACAAATAATGTTACTATTATTCTTACTTTTGTTGTCAATGTTGGTGAAATTTCAAGGTCAGAAATGATTTGAAAAATAACAAGAAAGTTTTATTGAGGAGAAAATTTCAGGAATTTCTTTATATTTCTCAAGCTTAACGATTTCATAAAACGTTAATCCAAAAACTGTTGACCTTATATTCTTGTTTTTAATTTAGCGAAAGATGAACGGAGTTTCAGGTTGTTTGGATTGTACATTCATTTCGGATGTATCTGAGTTGGCTGATAATTGTACTGAAATTCATGGATTTTTGAAATTAGATCAGACAACAAACACATCTATTTTTGATCTATTATCCAAAAAAATTCTACAAGTCGAAATTATTTATGGAAGTATCATCGTTACTAATACAACTTTCACACGTCTAGATTTTCTTCCAAATCTTCGAAAAATAATTTACACACCTAAATTCAGCCATTCATCAGGAGGTAATGCAACAGAAAAATGTATTATTTCAATTAAAAATTCTTTCAGTGGAACAATATGCGTTTTATGTGGCTTACAATCCACGATTAGAGCACATTTTTATTCCAAATATAGAAGTTATATACACCGATGTTTTGAAGATTGATGAAGATTTTATTGGGTAATAGTTCTTGAGAATATTTTTTTTTGAAAAATAATGATTTTTAGAATGCTAATCATAGATAATCCAGCTCTCTGTTTTGATTATGATATTTTGATGAAACTAATAACTTTTCCAAGAGCAAGAATTCAACGAAATGTATTATGCAATCGGCAAATAATCGAAAAAAGTGATAAATTCATAAAATATACAGATATCAATCATACAAGTTAGTTGAAAATTTCTATTAATTCTATTCATTGTTAGAATTAATTTCAGAGATTTTCTGCAATATGGCATGGTTTAATTATTCGATGCCGGAAGGTTGTCAAATTATTGATTATGGAATAATAGTTTATGAACCAAGTGATGTTAGTTTGATAAAAGAATGTATTCTTGAAATGTATTCATTTTAGGGATCAGAACTACAAAAACAATTTGAAAGCGCTATTCAAAGTGTTGAAATAATTTTGGGACCAATTTTGATATATAGCACATCATTGACTTCACTCAATTTTAGTAGTTTATATTTCGTTAACAATATGCATTTTGATATTGGTGACCAAGACTAATCCTAAGGATGTGTATTTTAAACAATAATATTTTTAGAACGTGTGAGTTGGATGAAATATGGTATCAGCTTATTTAACAATTCGAAACTGACGCATTTGAGTTTTCCTCTTCATCCTAACTTTCTTCATTATGGAGTAACTCCATATATTCAAACAGAACTCAATGATGCAATTATTTTGGATGATTCTTTATGTGATTATGTCAAAAGTTTTTATAATTTTGAGTTCAAGGATAAATTTCAATCTTGCGGTAACCATTTTTTCCATATCCATCAAGCATTTTCTTTAATTTGAGGCGTTTTCCCAACCATCTTAACGAATTATAAAATATTGCTTCCAATGATTTTGGAAACTGTTTTATGTGCTGTTTTCACAATATCACTTTACATATCTATGTGGGTAGTGATAATTGAGAAGACCAAACACATTGTTAGTCAGTTTCAATATGCAATCATAATTTATATAATAATATGTTCTGCTGAAGCAGTTTATGTGGTGTTGAACTATGTTCAGGTAATTAGACTAGATCAGCATCAGAATCAGAGAATAATAAATTCAATTATAGTTTTATGATGAAGAGGAAAAGTTTGCAATAATGGTTGGAATACAGTTTTTGTTCATTTCAAATAAAGAACAATATTTTTATCAAACACTGAATATTATTTATACAAATCGATTAGCTTTGTTATGTTCATGTTGTATTTATAGAACTGTTGCGTTCATGAGGTATGAAAACGTGGAAGTGAAGATTCCGTTCAAAATTTAAAAAAAAATTATTTTTAGATAAAAATTCAGAAACACATCTCATTTTTTTAGCATGAGCAATGGGAAACTAGCAATATTCATAGCTTTCATGATTTTTGTAATTTCAAACGTGACAAGCCTCGGAGGTTTAGCTGGACAGGTCTGATATATACCGAATTCCTTGCATCACAATACATATACTTTTTAGGGAAGTCAGTATAGTTATGTCATTTGCCCACTGAATTGGCTAACCTTCTTTATAGCAATAACAACATCAATCATATTAACTATTTATATCCCCAAAATACTGTATGATCACCCGAAAATCATTGCTCATCAGAAAAAATTGTCATTCACATTTATCACACAGGTTTGAAAATTGATCAATCCTTCTCCTAAAGTCATTGTTATTCTTCAGGCTGGATTAGCATTCATTGTTTGTGGATTTCCTGAAGCATTTTTTCAAACATTTTTATATGAGAAAAGTAGATCTCAATTACGAGTTTATGGAGAATCAGATTTAGCGAATTTTATCAGATCTCAAAGTGTTTGGAGTTATCATGTAAGATTTTTTATTTTCAATACAAGGAATATAATTTTGCAAATTTAGTATCAATCTATTATTTCAAGATGGCATTATTTGATCTCGGCGATTATTTTGAGGTTCTTTTAAGAATCAAAATGTGGGAAAAAACAAAGATAAATTATATTTTTTCAGGATTTCCATCAGAGACATGTTGAAGCGAATTTCTACAAAAGCTGAGAAGAAAACAAATATTGCTACACCAAAAAACTTCTAAAGTTTGATTGATTTTTGTATATAAATAAATAAATGTTTTTTTTGTAATCCCCCCAAGTCTTAGGAACAATTCACATAGCTATTAAGAATTTTTGGCATATTAAAGCTATCAATCAGCTTAACACATTTGGTTGCTAATCTATAATTATGAGATGAGGAACTCCATTTTTTTATATTCACCAAAAAAAAATATAATTCATATGATTCATCTCTTCATTGTTTTATTGTTTTTTGAAACATACGGTTTGTTAAATAAATCAAGGAATAAATGAAAAATATTCCAAATTTTTTCAGATTGTTTGATATGTAGTTTTACATCAGATATATCAGAACTTGATGATGGATGTACAACAATAGATGGGATTGTCATTCTAGACCAAACATCGAATGATACAACATATCAACTTTTCAAGAAAAAATTAACAAAAGTAGAACATATTATTGGTAGTGTAGTTGTTACCAATTCAACTTTCAAACATTTAGATTTTCTACCAGAACTTCGAACAATTGTTTATACTCCAACATACTTTCATTATATATACGGTAACTTCTGGAACTTGTTTTCAAAAATCTAATAATTCTTTTTCTGCAGTTCGTCAGTTTGCACTTTATATTGTTAACAATCCCGAGCTTGAAACTTTCAGAATACCAAAGATTGAGATGGTTTATGACAATGTGATGCCAACAGATGTCAGCTTTATTGGGTGAGATTTTTCAAAAAAAACATTTCTGTATTTTTTTATTTTTTTAGAACTCGCATACAAGAAAACCCAGTAATTTGTTTCCATTATGAAACATTGATTAGAATCTACACATTTCCAAGACTCCAAATTCAACCCAGAACACTATGCAATAAAAAAATTATTGATGAAACTTTTGTTTATACAAAATATACAGATCAGAATGAGACAAGTGGGTTGAGAGAGACTTTGAAAAATTCAGGAAGATTTTTTTTTTTCAGAAATTTTCTGCGATATGAAGTATTTCAATTATTCTGCACCATTGGGATGTCACATTTTTGAATATGGAATCATTGTGAATGAACTTTATGATGTATACAGTGTTTTTTCGAAAGAAAATGGTATATTTCAAGGAGATGTGGGCTTGAATACATTTCAAAAAGCTATTGAAAGTGTGGAGATTATTTTGGGACCAATTTATATTCAAAATTCAAAAGCTGTTGTTTTGAACTTTTCCAATTTGAGAATGATTAATAATATGTTTTTTGATTTGGGTAAGTATGAATAAATACGCGCTTTTGATTTACCATAATTCATAATGAATAAATGAATTTTAATTAAAATTGTCAGAACAATATATGAGATTGATGCATGCAGTTTATTTTTTCAACAATAGCAACCTTGTCACTGTCAGTTTCCCACGTCAACCAAAAATTTATCATTATGGAATTACCCAGTTTATATATACTGATCTTAATGAAAACGTTATACTTGACGATAATCTATGCTCATATGTCAGAAGATTTTATATGTTTGAATTCAATGATGTTTTTTCAAAGTGTGGTAATTTTTTTTTGTTTTTGATAAAATATTGATTGTTTTACATCAATTCTCATGATTCAGGAACAATACCAATTTTTACTCCAATTTCAACTGCATATATAACTTATATTGAATCAGTGTTTTGTATAATTTTAACATTTTCTTTATACATTTCTTTGTTTTGGACAATTCTAAAAACTGAACACATAGTCAGTTATTTTCAATACTCCATTATAGTTTATATAGTGATATGTTCATTGGAAGCGTTTTATGCAGTTTTGAACTATATTGAAGTTAGTTGAATGTTAGAAAATCTTCAATTTCAAGATTACTTCAGGTATTTGATGATAACAATTATGGACATCTTCTTGGAATTCAATTCTTATTATTTTCCAACAAGCGTTCATATTTTTACCAGATTTTCAATATGTTTTACACAAATCGTTTGGCTTTGTTATGTTCATGCTGTCTTTATAGAACTGTTGCGTTTATTAGTTTGAATAATGGAAAATTAGCAATGTTTTTTGCATTCCTTATATTCGTGATTTCAAATGTATCAAGTTTTGGAGATCTTTCAGGAGCGGTCTGTCATTTGTTTGATGAAATTGTAGAATAATATCAATTATGAAAATAATATTATCATAATTTTTAGAGTAGACAATACAGTTATGTGCTTTACCCATTCACTTGGTTTACATTCGGTCTAGCCTATCTGACATCAATAATTTTGAGTTTATATTTAGCAATGACTTTCAAAAATTACAAAGCTATTCGAGCTCATCAATTAAAATTATCAACAATTTTTTGCTCACAGGTAAACCTTAATTTGAGTTTTTTCTAAAATATAATTCCCAGGCAACACTGGCATTTTGTATCTGTGGATTTCCGGACGCATTTTTCGAGACGTATTTATATACTTTGGGAAGAACTCAATTGAGAACTAGAGAGAGTGATGGATTGTGGAAGATTGTTAGAAGTCACACTGTTTTCAGTTATAATGTGAGTTAATATTGATTAAATGAAAAATTCAAAGACATTTTTGCAGTATGCTTCAATAATTGTCCGTTGGCACTACCCAATATATGCATTCATGTTACGACTATCCATTCGATCCATGTTGAAAAAGGTGTCAACGAAAATAGAAACCGTTAAACGTATAAAAAATAATGGTTTCTTGTAGTAGTGCCCTTTCATTTTGAATGAATCTTCCCCCGCTTTTTTTGCTGTTTGAATTTTCTTCTTGATCATACTACAAACAAAACTTGATCAGTAATTACTGTAACATGTGATTTTTTTCAAAAACAAAATGAAGTTCAGCCATTTTACTCTTTAATTTTTTTTGACATTTGATTCGAGAAAAGATATATAATTTTTTTTTGAAAAAAAAAACCAAAAACTAATTGAATAGGGTGGATAAGTCAGCGTATTGCTAGCTGTATTGATTATTAGCTGTCGCGTCATGTAATAAAGATCGGTACAAACATTAAACACAGGTGCTGGGAGCCTGACCAAAAATTGGTGCATTTTTGACCAAAAAAAATTTAGTCAAAATTCGGCCATTTTTTGACCAATTTTTGATCAAATTACTGTTTTGGCCAAATTATGATCAAAATTTAGTCAAAAAATTGGTCAGAAATTCGCCAAAAATTGACCAAAATTACCGATTGACCAATATTTGGTCAATTTTTGACCAAAAAACGAATTGGTGCATTTTTGGTCAAAAATTGGTCAACCTCCCACCACCAGTGAATCAAACCCCTGCGACATAGCTTTTCTCTCAAGATTTGGTAATTCTCAATGAATAAGTGTTGTAGAAAAAAATGAAGTTTAGTCTCTTCACCCTTCAATTTTTCGGCATTTTCTTCGAAAAGGATATATAATTTTTTCGAAACAAACAAAAAAATTAATTAATAGTTAACACCTACCTAAAAAATCAAATTACTTTCAATTAATTTTTGCAAGGTTTGGAAAATGCTTCTTCTTTTCTTGTTGATTTTTGGAGTTTTCGAAAGATCAGGTAAAATATTTGTTAATATGGTATTTATTAATCACAAATTTTTAAAGGTGCTTTGGATTGTTATATAAGTTACCCGATTTCGGCGCTACCGAACAACTGCACCACAATGTATGGCTCATTTGAAACTAATGCGTCAGTGGATATCACTTACGAGGTAAATTAATATAATTCCCAAACATCCTAAAATCATTTTGAATTTTCAGATTTTGACTCAAAAGTTCAGCACAGTTCAAAAGTGGTATGGAGAAATTCACATTTTCAATACAAATTTTGAAGATCTCGGATTTTTTGCTTCCTTGGAATATGTTTATTTCGATTGGCTTGATATTTATTTCAGTGAGAAATTTTTTATTTATATTTTTCTCTTAAATTAAAATTTTTAGATAATGACGATTTGGTTGAGTTTTACTATGCAACATTTTGGATAAGAAACAATACAAATTTGAAAAGTCTGAAAATGCCAAAGCTAAAAACAATTATAGCAAATGTTCTACCGACAGAGTATCATCAACATTCGTAAGTTATATTTTTATTTGGGTGCGCATATCTGAAATTCGACAATTTCAGAATTTATATAAACAAAAATCCCAATCTCTGTCTCACTGAAACTGAACATACGACACTTCGTGAATTAGATCGATCAATAATTGAAAATATTGTATTGTGCACTGATGATCTCCCAAGTATGTTTCTAACATTCTTCAGATAATTTCTATTCAACAATTTTTCAGAAAAATATTGTTATCGAGATTTCTTCACTGGAACCAATTTTCCGCAAGGCTGTCAAATTTTAATGTCTGGAATTTGGATGAGAGATGAAAAGGTTTTATAAAGTTTCAGATAACTTCAAAAATCTGAATTTATTTTCAGAACACATCGTATCAAGAGAGCATAAACCAAGCTTTATCAACTGTTGAAGAAGTTTATGGGCCAATTGTGATATTTCAAACAAATTATACAAATTTATCATTTCCACAATTGACAACTATCAGAAATCAATATTATGACTCACAGAATAGTAAAAAATAACCCCTCGATGTATCTATAATTATTTTTTTATTCATTTTCAGGCTGGCAGTGGCAGGTGCTTATTATTCGAGGAAATAAATTTATGACATCGATCGAATTTCCAAAATTAACAAATTTTCACCATTTTGGTAATCAATATCAAGTAACAGTTTCGAATAACATCAGAATGCCATATTCGGAACAGAATTGTAATTTATATAGGAGAATCCCGTTCTTTTCAGTGACTGATGATTATTATAGCTGTGGTTTGTTTCAGATTTTAGAAATAGGAAAAAAAAACTCTGATTCAAATTTCAGGTTTGGTTCCTATAATCAATGATGGAACATGGGATACTAATTTGATGCTCCAAGCAGCTGAAAAAATAGCATCTATATTTTGCAACACAATTTTAGCAATCTTCATAGCTGTCAAAACATATCAAACAAAAATTGATGTCAATTTCTTTCATTTTGCTCTAACAGCTTTAGTTCTTGTCAATATTGTAGAAGCTCTTTATATAAATCTGAACTACATCGAGGTTGAAGTTAATGGAAACAAGTAATTGACAAAAAATTTTTTTCAGATCTTCAACAAAAACGGTTTCGGTATCCCATTTGGTATCCAGTTTATATATTTCAGTATTAAAAAATCATACCTATCCCAAATTTCAAATGCAATGTATGTTAATCGCTTGTCTCTAGTGATTGTGTGTTCTCTTCATAGATGTCTCCTACTGATAAGGTATGTAAAATGGAAAGATTTAGGAGGTCTAGAAAAAAACTTTTAGTGAATCGCTGGAAAAATATGGACTTGTTCTGTCGACTGGTGTTTTTGTGATTGCAAATATTATGAATATGAGAATGCTTGAGGAAACGGTAAGCCAACAATTTCATGCTCTCAAATTTGGACAACACAAATTTTATGAATCACTACCTTTTTCAAACAAATGTCTCTATTCAAATATAGACATTCTCAAGCACCATAATTTTCAAAGTGCTCTTTGACAGCTAATAATATTTGCTCATGAATAAAATCAAATTTACTTATGGAAACTTCAAATTCAAAAAGGCAAATACTCATTAGATCCTTTACAAAAATTATTGTTCAAAGAAAACGGGACAAAAACCTGAAAACATCTCTTCGATATTGAATCACAAACCAATTTTTCAGACTTACCAATACACATTTATCCTATATCAATTGAACTATGCATGTCTTTTGATCTCTCTGATTTCCGCAATTTATTTGAAAGTTTTTCTTCCAAGATATTATCCGTCATACACTCAAATCATAACCCAACAAAACAATTTATCAATTTTCCTGGTTTTGCAAGCTATGTGGAGTTTTTTGATTCATGGTTTTTCCGATGGTTTGGCTTACACTTTCCAGCAATATACTGCGATTCCAAGGATTGTCAATTATCGTAATTGGTTTATGTATTGGGTGGGTAAAAACCTTTTTCCACATTTTCAAATTCAATTTTTTTCAGTATGGCAGTGCAATTTATCGTTGGCATTATTTGGTTTTTGGTTTCATCACCCTGTAAGTTTCCATCTTCAAAAATTATATTTCTGTTTAATTTATTTTTTTATAGATATTTTATCTCTGATATATTTGTCAAATTCCCAACGCGTGCCAAAATCACATCCGTCTCTCAATCAACAACATCGAGAAGTTAACAATTTTTATTTTTGAAAAAAAAATTGAATGACATGACAAATTGAATAAACAAACTATAAGAACAAATTGGGAGATCAACAACTAAAGTATTTTAAGAGAAAGCTTTGATCGAGTATCTAGGAAAAAATGGGTGAAATTCTGAAATCGACAAGTTCATCGGCACATTTTGTACATTTGGCAAAGTATTTTTAGAGAGAGAGAGGGGGGGGGATTATTTTGTATTGTATTGTAAAAAAAAAGTTGTCACAGTTTAACCGGGAAATGGGAAGGCAACAAATCAAGAAAGCGATAAAAAATAATTGATTAATCAATTGTCACAGGTTTTTGTGTGTTATTTTTGGGTTGGGTTGAATTGTAAGTGAAAAAATTGTATGATTGCTAGAATGTTAGTAAACGAGAAAAAAAGTGAAAAGAACTCGGTTATTTATAAATATGAGGTAGTGAGGTGAACAAAGAAAAAGAAATAGATTGCACAAATAACTAAACTCCAATTTCCAATCTCAGCAAATGTGAACAAATGGAAGCTGAAAATTATTTCATTTTTTTCTTGGGACTGACAATTGGAAAACTTACATTGTAAATCCTATAAACAATGAGATCCAAGCCAGAACAAATGTCTTGGGGTATGTTGAAAACCATCGTTTTTCTTTGTTGGTTTTTCTTGCAAAAAAATAAAGTGCTGACAATGCCCAAAACATGATGAACAAATAACTGCCAGCGATAGCAATGCTGAAATGTTTCGAATTTTTTTATCCAATAAAATTCTTGAAGGAACTTACTGATTTATCCTCACTGGATACATTATAACAAATGGTAGGCCAAATGATAGATTTGTGAAGTAAATTGAGATGCACCATAGAATTGTGATCACCTACAAAGATTGGGGAGTTTTTTTTGACAAAATTTGATCAAGGAGAAGTTTTCTAATTGAGCAAGTGGTCTAGATTTTTTTGCACTTCAGACTTTACTCTTTCACTTCAAAAACTTGGAAAAAACTTATGTTGAAAGCATTCAAAATAAAATCTTTAATTTTCTCAAATTCATAAACTTCACAAAACCCACAGCTCAACAATATGAAATATGTTTTATTGGTAATTGTTAGAGTACTCTTTAACTTCGCAGAAGAATTTCTACATAATTTTCAAATTTTGAACTAAAATTCTATTAGTCCCAAAAGTATTTTTTTTTGGAATTGGCGATCTTTGCTTGTTAAACAAAATCTTCTTCAAGTTCTAATCGATTTTTGGGCTGAAAAAAATTTTGGACTTCTTTTATTTTGGTCTTGTACTTTCTCAAACTTTTTTTTTATTCTTTGATTTTTTAGCTTTTTTTCTGGTGACGCAAATCACACGTCAACTATCAAAAAAGTTTCCAGTTAACTTAACTCACCATATTCTCAAAGCTTCTTTTGGCCTCCTCGTATTCTTCATCGTCACTCTCTTTAACCTCCACAATTGTGTTTTTCATTTTGGTTCTGTAAGAAATCATGTTGATTTATCTCAAACTGAAATTGAATTTAATTTCATTTTATATCCATCCGTTTCAAATCCCATTTTTCGATGAAAAATGTTATCTGTTGCCCTCTTAAACCGCGAATAAAAACATCTTTGCCTATTTTTTTTCCTCGAGACTATACACGAAAGCTATTGAACATCTGGTGGTCGTACCAAAAAATTTTATTGCATTCAGTTTCGTTTTTGGTGAGTTGGTAAGAATTTTATTTCCTTTTTAAGAGTCTAGAAATTTTTTGTTAGTATAATTCCGATTTTCTGCACCGATGAATTTTTCATTCGAACATGAATTTTCCGAATGCTTTCTATTAGTTTTGTTTTTTTTTCGTTCTCAAAATTATTATGAAACAAGGCATGTTTGATATGAATAAAAAATCAATAATTTTTTATACTTTATTATAATTTAGGTAACTTATAATTATCATAGGTTTTTCGAATAAAAGCTTACCTTGCTGTGATAGTTTTCATTTTCTGCTGTTTCTTCTGCTTTTTAGTTCTTGGTCGCACATCAATACCCGAGTCCTGCAAATAAAATAGTTGTAAGTAAAAGTTTAGAATTTTTTTTATTAAATAAACAAATATGAAAAACGTACTTTACTATCTTTTGTACATCCTGTCCCCAATCTTTCTCGAAATGGAGGCATAACCAATGCCCCTGAAACGGAAACCATTGTTGTTTTCAAGTTGAGCGGATTAAAAACTGTTGCGAAATAAAATAAAATAGAAATCAGACGAATAGAATAGACGAGACGTTTTTTTTTCAAGCGTGTAAACTGATATTTGCTTTTGCTAGAGCGAGAGAGAGAATTCGGAACAGAAAAATATTTGGAAATAGAAAATAAAATAAAATCGAAGCGGGTGGCGCTCGCGAGAGGGTGATCATATAAAAAACATTGAGAGCGGCTGGGGGTAGAAATATACGCAAACAACATACATACAGAGAAGACACACATAAATTCAGATGTGTTTTTGTGTTGTTTTGCCTCACAAAAAAATTTCTATTTTGCAACAACAACAAAGAAAAAAGAAGAGAAAAATGAGACGAGTGAGACAGACAGCTGTGACCCTGCGGCGTCTTTTTCGTCATATGAGTTGTCGGATGGTTGCATACACAGTGACGCAAAACTACACACACTCATTTATTCCCCCTTTCTTTCTTGTTGTTTTTTTGTGGTTGCGTTTTTTTGGCTTGCTCTTCATTGTTCTTTGACCATTCTTTTTTTTTTGTAACACATACACACGCACACAGAAAATGAACGATTTTCTGTTCTTTAATTTACTTTTCTATTGAACTTTGTGTTCATTTCGTAGATTCGTTGTGCTGTCATCCTGAAGATATATTGCTATTGTATGCGATTTTATGTCAGTAATGCTTTGTTCAACCGCTTTTTTCAATTTACATTTAAATTTTTTTGAAATATTTCTTCATTGTGCATAGGTTTGCGTAGATTCGAAGAATCTTTCATATTTTTTCTATATTTTTACTTGCGCCGATTCATATTTTTAAATTTAAAAAACTCGCCGGATAAAGGTTAGTATCTTTCAAAATTCCTGTGAATTTTTACTACAAGTCATGAATTTGATAATTATATTGAAGTAGGGTGATTATTGGCTAAACAGGTTAATAAAACTTTTTAATTTCAAGATTAATGAAAAATCTGAAAGATATTCTAAACTGCTCGCGTTGAGAAAAAAATAAATTAGGGTTAAAGGATCTCACTAAATCTCACCAAAAGTCAGAAAATTCATAGGCTCTCGTTTTTTTCATGCTATACATAAAATCTAAATGATAAGTGAGAATTTCAGAAACGCACCTTGGCATTTCCTTTGGGCCACAAGTAATTGAGCAGGTGTGTGGAAACTCAATAATGAAAACACTAACCTCGAATTTTCTCTAGCTAAGATTGAAATTTTCAGCCCTAAAATCTATAGTACTCACCTTTTCAGACGGGTTTGTCTATAAATTCTAATCAACCTCACCTCTCTTCAAGAATATTTCTTATGTTGGAAATCAAAAAGAATCCAACGGAGCGATAGTTTTCTCTCAATTTCCAGATTTTTTCTGAAACGTATCTATTTTACTAGCATATATCAAATATGCCGTTAATTTATATTTGACATAACTTATACCTTCTTCACCCCCTCCTTCTTATCTTTAAGAAAAAATTAGCCGAAAAAAATTTTGTACGTAGGCGATGATTTTCGAGCTGAAACAAGAAATCAAGAAGTATTATTTTTGCTGCTTCCGTCATACACGAATCCTTATTCGCACTTTATGTTCTCTAAGACTTTGCCATAATCTCTCGAAAATCTTTCTATATTCAAATTCTCAACAAGAAAAGTGAAATCATTTTCAAACTAATCCATCATTTGGCAACACACATAATCACGCCTTTTTCCACGCAAAACGTGTGTGTGTTTTTTTCTTCAATTTGATAAATCCTTTTTTCATATTATTTTCATGTGTCTCATATCCGTTCAAGCTACTAACAGGATTATATCATTTTACATCACTGAACTTTGTTTTTTCTCGGAGAATAATACTATCTGATTTTGATTTTGATTTTGCTTTTTCATGGCGCCTACTCCAAAATAACTAAATCTAACATCATTCAAAAAATAAAGAGTTTCACCTGTTTTCATTATTTCACTTTTCCGAAAAACTCTGAAAATAAGTATAAAAAGAAATTACGAATACGATAATTATTCTGTCTTATCATTTCTTCTCATGCTTCCTTTACAAAAAAATCAATAATATGTATAGATATCTGAATATACATATAGTATATATATATACATATATTTGTTGAATTCTTTCTTGCACTTTGTTTTCACATGCTCCTATCTATGAACAACTGTTCTTCATTTATAATGCATGAGTGATTATTTTTGAATGCTTGTGCGTATTGTAAATCTAGAAAAAAAAAGAGATTCAGAGTTACAGTAGTCTTGCTCTCTTTCCAAGGGTATAATTTTTCACCAATTTATTTATTTTTTTCAATTAAAAAAAAACAATTGAAATCTGTCATTCATCCATCCATCCAAAAAAAGGACATCTTGTTTTCCAATCAAAAAAAACCTACAAACCCAATCCAAAATTACATATTCCTCCTTGTCACATGAAATTTTATGTTTTTTTTTCATCTCGGTGGTACCCATCAAATTGAAATATGAGTGACAATTTGAAATTGATTGTAGGTGTGAGCCACAGTGGGGTTGTATAAATTTATGTAGAAGAGCAGACACGACGACGACTACAATTGTGTTCAAAAAATGGAGCGAAAAGGTATTTTTCTCCCCCCTTTTTCTTCATTTTCATTTGATATACATGTATATCTAATGATTTTCTTCTCTAATTTTTCTCAATAATTTTCAAATTTTTAGGCCGAAAACTACCGGGTATGAAGATTCTTATGCCAGATGCGGTTGAAACACCAACCATGAATCTTGAAGACAGATGTAAAATCAAGTTGACAAATGAATCAGAAGAGATTGAAATTGTGGCGACGGATTTGGTTGTGATCGAAGAATTGGGCAAAGGTGGATATGGAATTGTTGAAAAAATGCGACATGTTCATAGCAATCTTATTATGGCTGTTAAGGTTTGTTGTTTTTTCTAATACTTAAATTTAAAAATTAATTTCATTTTTTTTCAGCGAATAAAATCTTCGATGAATGATCAATCTCAAAAACAAATGTTGACAGAATTGGATGCTTGTAAACGAAGTGATTGCTGTCCACAGGTAGGTGTTTTATATATTTTTGAACATGCAGATCGATAAGGAGAGGCGTTAGAGAAGAAAATTAGGGACTTGGAGAACACAAAAACTTCTAGAACTGATGTTTGGAATAGTGCGGAAACGGTGATGACGTAGAGAAAACTTGTAGTCTTACGATAGCATTACATTTTTGCGGCACAGGAATTGGGCTAATCCGGAAAAAAATTAAATAGAATTTCAAAGATGGTTCTATCCAGTCACGTACCATCGGACTATTTAGGATTCATATGAAAAAATGACCTTTCTGAATCAGCCTAGATGTTCGAGTTCCAATCATGAAATTTCCAGACCTTGGAAATTTATGAGGTTCAGAAGTTATATTCTCAATGAAATTTTGCAATCCCATTTTTTGTAGTGGTTGTTCTTTGAACTTTTGTTAGGAAAAAAGTATTCTCCAAGTCTGCACTAAATTTCAAAATGCAATTTTCCAGATGGTCAGATTCTACGGCGCAATGTTTCGTGAAGGAGATGTGTGGATTTGTATGGAAGTAATGGACACGTCACTCGACAAATTCTATCGACAAGCATACAAATTAGGCAAAAAGATACCAGAAGCGTTTATCAGCAAAATGTCGTTGTCAGTCATCGAAGGATTGAATTTCATGAAAGAACAATTGAATTTGATTCATCGCGATGTGAAACCATCGAATATTTTATTGAATAGGCATGGTCAAGTGAAAATTTGCGATTTTGGTATCTCTGGACATTTGACAAATAGTTTAGCAAAGGTGCGTTATACGAGAGAATTTTCATTAAAAAAAAGAAACGATTTCAGACAGTTCAAGCGGGTTGTAAGCCTTATATGCCACCAGAGCGAATTGATGGCGAGACAAAAACTGCATATGATGTTCGAGCTGATGTATGGAGCTTGGGAATAACTATCATTGAAATTGCTACTGGAACACACCCCTACGCAAAATGGAAAACACCATTTGATCAATTGAAACAAGTGGTTCGAGAGCCCCCTCCAAAACTTCCAATGAATGAAGGTTTCAGTGAAGAATGCCAATTATTTGTTCAAAGATGGTGGGTAGTTTGTTTTGCTCATTAAAATTAATTGAACTGGGATTTCACTCAAAATGAAAACGTCACTCAAAAAACAGAAATTAAAAATAGAACTTACTTGCAGCCTCGAAAAGGATTATAACAATCGACCAAAATATCCCGAACTTCTTGCGATGAAATTTATTGAAGCGGCGAGAAATGACAAGCAATTCAGTATGAGTCGATTTATCAATGAGGTAGACAACAAGAAAAAAATGAAATGTGAAATAATTTCTCATCATAATATTTTTATAGATTCTCGACATGTAAAATCTCATCAATCGAACATCAGTTTTCCACGTGTATTGCCAATTGAACAAAATACCTAATCCCAGTTTTTTATCTAGAAATTATTTTGAAATTTTAATATAGTAGGCATCTTTTTTTTGACTATCATTGTGTTCTATTCTATTTCTTTTTTATCTTTTATGCTTCAATTTCAGTTGCTCCCTTTTTAGTCATTCCTATTGATTATTTTGTTTGTTGTCCTAGATCTGTGCCATCGTTTTATTGAACTAAACTGAAGATACATTTCGAATGTGATCAGAAAAAAATAGATTTCCTGAATTATATATATATATATATATTTTATTCTTTTTTCTCATATATTTTTATCTTGCCATTGAGCAATTATTCGATTTTCTTTTATCTCTCCTTTTTTCTCTCCTTTTTTCGCACACGAAATTTTAACATTTCTCATCGACTTTGTTCAAAATCATATCATTTTTTAATGTTTTCTTCTTATTCCTTTCAAGTTCTCATTTGAGGTAGATTTTCCCTGTGTAATAAATGAATAAATAAATAATCTGTGGTTTTTGTTGTTGTCTACACGCTCCCTTTTCTTTTGATTATCGTTTTTTTTTTGTCTTTATCAAAAATATTGTGGTTCTGCGCTCGTAAACAAGCTTCCAAAAAAAAACGAGGCGAGAGGAGAGAAAACACAGATTACGCACACAGGGGCCAAAGAAATAGTAGTGAACAAGAAAGCGAGAACCTGGCGAGATAGTGTGTGTTAGAGATAAAAAGTATGAAGGCGCATTGATTTTTTGCGGCGCTGTGTCTCGGTGGGCGTCCCTTTGCTGATGTGGACGCGTTTCGAATTTTTCATAATTCACAATTGTGGCCTAAATTTTTAGGAGAGCTGTCATTCTTTCCTATTTTCTTTGTCTTGTTCACACGATTCTTCGAATTTTTTTCGATTTTTTTCGAAAATCTTCTCCTAAATTAATATTTTACAGTGAATAACCCTTCAAGTCTTCAATAATGGGAAAGGAAAAGGTCCATATTAACATTGTCGTCATCGGACACGTCGACTCCGGAAAGTCCACCACCACTGGACACTTGATCTACAAGTGCGGAGGAATCGACAAGCGTACCATCGAAAAGTTCGAGAAGGAAGCTCAAGAAGTGAGTTTAATTTCAGCTGGAAAATATTTCGAAATTCAATATAATTTTTTTTTAGATGGGAAAAGGTTCGTTCAAGTACGCCTGGGTTCTTGACAAACTCAAGGCTGAACGTGAACGTGGTATCACCATTGATATCGCTCTCTGGAAGTTCGAAACTTCCAAGTACTACATCACCATTATTGATGCTCCAGGACATCGTGATTTCATCAAGAACATGATCACCGGAACTTCCCAAGCTGATTGCGCCGTCTTGGTCGTCGCTTGCGGTACCGGAGAATTCGAAGCCGGAATCTCCAAGAACGGACAAACCCGTGAACACGCTCTTCTCGCCCAAACTCTTGGTGTCAAGCAATTGATCGTTGCCTGCAACAAGATGGACTCCACCGAGCCACCATTCTCTGAGGCCCGTTTCACCGAAATCACCAACGAAGTCTCCGGATTCATCAAGAAGATCGGATACAATCCAAAGGCTGTTCCATTCGTTCCAATCTCAGGATTCAACGGAGACAACATGCTCGAAGTTTCATCCAACATGCCATGGTTCAAGGGATGGGCTGTTGAACGCAAGGAAGGAAATGCCACCGGAAAGACCCTTCTCGAGGCTTTGGACGCCATCATCCCACCACAACGTCCAACTGACCGACCACTCCGTCTTCCACTCCAAGACGTCTACAAGATCGGAGGTATCGGAACTGTCCCAGTCGGACGTGTCGAAACCGGAGTCATCAAGCCAGGAATGGTCGTCACCTTCGCCCCACAAAACGTCACCACTGAAGTCAAATCCGTCGAAATGCACCACGAATCGCTCCCAGAAGCCGTTCCAGGAGACAACGTCGGATTCAACGTCAAGAACGTTTCCGTCAAGGACATCCGTCGTGGTTCAGTCTGCTCTGACTCGAAACAAGATCCAGCCAAGGAGGCTCGCACCTTCCACGCTCAAGTCATTATCATGAACCATCCAGGACAAATCGCCGCTGGTTACACTCCAGTTCTCGATTGCCACACCGCTCACATCGCTTGCAAATTCAACGAGCTCAAGGAAAAGGTAATTAGAAATCAGAACAACCTCAGAATCAGAGATTTAATTGTTCAATATTTATAGGTCGATCGTCGTACCGGTAAGAAGGTCGAAGATTTCCCAAAATTCTTGAAATCTGGAGATGCCGGAATCGTCGAACTCATCCCAACCAAGCCACTTTGCGTTGAATCGTTCACCGACTACGCTCCACTCGGACGTTTCGCTGTTCGTGACATGAGACAAACCGTCGCTGTCGGAGTTATCAAGTCTGTCGAGAAATCCGATGGATCATCAGGAAAGGTCACCAAGGCCGCCCAAAAGGCCGGAGCCGCTGCAGGAAAGAAGAAGTAATAATTGTGATTCAATGATAACTGTTATTGTATTTATGATTATTACTCCTGAAAATTTATCTGTTTCTGTTACTCCCATCCCACATTTGATTTAATAATTTATATCTGTTTTTCAATCATTTGTGCCCCCTTTTTTTCCTTTCTTCGTTTCATCCAATCCGTTTCTTTTACATACTTTAACCCCCCATCAATTGCTGGTTTCGAACATATTTTTTATATCATACGATCGAACTTGGTTGTTTCTTATCCTTGTTAACAAAAATTAACAAACACCAAGTTTCATTCTACTTGTATCCTGTCTTCCCTTGATCATCACCGTCCCCCCAAAAAAAAATTTTCTTATGTTAGAAAATGTGCAACCTATGCATATTTTTGTCAAAAATGAAAATAATAAAGTGTTGGTAAAAAAAAATTAATCGTTGTTTTTGATCATCAACTTGGAATTTTTTGTTGTAAAACAGCATGGTCTCATTTTACTCGATAAGATAAGAAAGAAAGAAGGCTCTGACCTCGAATGGTTTTTGCTTTTTTTTGTTTCGAAAAGAGCGACAATGTTGAGAGTAAACAAAAATGGTATTGAAGGTCAGATTGTTTGAACAGTGGGACGATGGATTGGGATACTTTTAACTCTCTGTTGATTTTGTTCACGATTTGCACTGTTTTTGTGACAATTGGAAAGAGGGGTTTGCGGTCAAACCATCAATGAGTGTTTTGTTTTGCTTCATTTTACAGACAAATATAGGACAATTTTAGAAACAAATCATTTTGTGTAATATTTCGCAACGTTCCGATTTGCGTTCAAGGTCTATTAGGTGCTTTTCAAAATTTTTGAGAACAGGGGAAAACATTTGAAAATTGTGACACACGGGGAAACGAATCGTGAGATTTTATCAAGAAGAAAAGTTCTCTAAATATTTAGCCAGGGCTGAATTTTCGAGAAATGAAACATATTTTCACGACTATCCAGTTAGTACACCGCTTTTCCTTGTTATTGAAAAAAAATTAATTATATACTTACAGAAACTTGAAAATTTGAAACGTTCCTTCAAAATAATTTGCTGCGCTTGTAAATTTTTTATCACAATCATGTTAAGTTATATTTCGAAACGATGGGTAACAAGATTTATCTTCATTGATTTCGAAATTCCAAAATTCTAAAATACTGATAACATTCTAATCAGAATAATATTAAATTACTTGAACACGTTTTCTTAAAAACGTACGTTTTGTTAAATTTCTTTGATACAGTCATTTTGTGTAATATTTCGAAACGATGGGAAATCAGATTAGGAAATTTTTTGCAAAATGATTGTTTGAAAAGTTGTCTATCTTTATCTGTACTGATTGTGAAATCACAATACTTGAAAAATCTTTCTATCAAATGTTGTTTCGTGTACTCTTCATATTTCAATGAAAAAACAGTTTTTTCTTTGAAATCACATAATCAAAACAAATGAATGCATTGAAAAAACAAACAACTGATTTTTCACGTTTCCAATTTTGCAATAAATGAATCTCGATTTTTATTTGGAAAGCTAAAAACATTCTTCACTTTGTAAATGAAGCAATCAACAAATAATTTTTAACAGTTAACAAATTTGACAAAAAATCAACGAATGAAACACACTGCTCGATCAGAGAAACGAAACGCTTCGAAGTTATGTAGCTTACAAAAAAAAAAAGAATAAAATATTTTCAAAACTAGAATGATATTTATGCCGTCCAATTTGATTCATTGACCTCTTCCATCACTTGTCGAAGGCTAAAAAATTTTGTTTTACAAAATGTATGATCATTTGTGCGAATTTGAATTTAGGATTGTTTTAAAATTCATAAATGATGAATAACATCAGCTTCCTTATACATCAATCTCGAAACTCAAAAAAACATATTATATTTGAAAAGCGGTCCGAATTTCATGAAACTTTTTCGTTCGATTTTGTTGTTTTATTATTTCAATAAAAAAGTGCAATCGGACCTTTTGCAATTCTCCAACTTTTTGGAGCAGCAAATATAACCATAGCGAACAAGAAAACTCACAAGATTAGGATCATGTTGATGATATTCATCATCTTCATCTTCAACTTTTATATTGTCTCTCGTTGGTGTCATTTCTTCAATTTCATATAATTTTTCGTAATTATCGGATTCTCCGCCATCACTAAGTTCTCCTCGATCAGTTGCATCACTATCTGTTGTTGAACTACTGTCTGAAGACTCTTCTTTGTCATTGATAATTCCTGCATCAGTTTCAACTTTATCTGTAACTTCCCCTCGATCAGTAGCATCACTATCTGAGGTTTCATCACTGTCTGTAGATTCGTCTTCTTCACTGCTGTCTTCAGTATCTTCGGCTAGATTTTTCACAGCAGCAGGATTTTCAACCGAATTCGAATTTACTTCCAAACTTCCTATATCATCAGCATCCTGATTTTGTCTTCGAGCATTTCTTCGACGCCTTGGCTCTGGCTGAATAATGTATTTATATCTTAACATAGATCTGAACAAAAACTCACATCTGGGTCTAGAAAAAATTCTGATACATGAGAATTCTGCAAAGAGCTTGTTGGCAATCCTAGAGCAGCTAACTGAGCATTGGTGGCATTTCGGATTGCAGCAATTCTTGATCTTGTTCTAACAGCAATCGGGGATGTGAGAGGATTCCAGTCTTGGAGATTTATCTGAAATCTCGAAACAAATAGATTTAGTATTTGAAAAAAAAACAACTTACAGTTGCAGAAGAGCTTGATCTTGTCAAGAGTTCTTCCGAAGAAGATTTGATATCTTCTTCTTCTTCATCAGAAGACATTTCGAAAATAAAATCGAAAAAGTTTACATAAATTCACTTCACACCTGCTCTTGATGAAAATGACATAAGCTTCGCCAAATTTGCCTATTGTTAAAAAACAAAGAAACGACCTTGGGAAAAGTAGTGCGATGGAGCACGTTGACATTGTTTATTGGAGATTTTTTTCATTTTCGAGTTTTTCATACATATTTGACTTACAATGGAAATGAAAGCAGATTGAAAATTAACTTTTGATAAGACAAGATTTCCAAAAACCGTTTTTGAAGGTTAAAATGATTTCTATGTAATCTTTTTTTTTCCAAAAAAAACCAAGATTTTCAATATGATTTTTTCACCCCTCAAAAAATACACATATTTTTTCAAATGTTAGATCATGAAATAACACAATTTTCATATTATTCTCGAAAAAAACAAAACCCATAACAATTTTTAATAATACATATGAACAGAAAATAATACCTACATAAAATCAAATTTGATCCAAAAGCTGAAAAACAAAATTAGCACCAATAACTGGAATACGATCCATTAAATTTTTCTGGATTACCGGCAAGATCAAGAGGTTTTCTAACGTTTTTGTGCAGATACTTTTTCAACTCTTCTAATTTTCTTGAGAGTCGTTGAACTATTATTGGATTTTGTCGAGCGATATCTTTCGATTCAGTCGGATCACCTGAAATTCAGAATGTATAAAAAAAAAGAGAAAAAAACAAACTTGAAATTCTGAATAATCGCAATCTTGTTCGATCTCCAAATGATTTTCTGTCTGGGTTCCCAAGAATTAACTTGAAATCACCATCCCTGTGAAAAATACTACAATCTTTCCGGAAAATAAAAATTCAAACCTACCGAATAGCAGAACCGTGAACATCAATATTATAGACAAACTGTGATCTACGAATTCTAGCTTTTCCAGTCCTCAAATATTCCCACTGATTTATTCCGTCACCTAGAACACGACTAAAATTATTATGAACCTACAATGAAATTAGAATACCGTAAGATTCTCCGTGATGTCCGCCAATAGCTAGTAGTGTGGCATGCCAATCTACCACATGAAACAACCTGAAACCTCATTTTTTAAAAATTATAATTCAAAAAAGAAACTTCACTCACATATCTCTTGGTCCACCATTTTTGATATATCTCGGAGAATGTAAAAACGTCGTTGTTTTAGTCCCACCTTCCCATAATGTATCCTTTTCACCGCGTAATGGCGCATTCGATGCTCCAAAATCCGCAGTTCCGCCATTCTGAAAATTATTTTTTAGTTGAAACTCTCTTAACGTAAAAAAGGAATAACATCACTGGTAAAGACAATAACAGTGTCTTCATAGAGATTTGCCATTTTCAAATAATCGATAAGTCGACCGATCGCAAAATCCATTGATGTCAGCATTCCTGGAAAAATTCTTTTTTTTTCTGAAATTTTTCATCGAAATTTACCACAATATGTTCTACGATATCGTCCTTTTACACGTGAACAATATTTTTCAAAAACTCTTGGAACTTGAAGTGGTGGATGAACTGCTTGATATGATAGAAACATAAAAAATGGTTTTGACATGTTGTGATTATCTAGAACACTTGCAGCAACATCAGTGAAAAGATCCTAGGAAAAATACATTTGAAGAGAAATTCAAACAGAGTGAAAATTTACTGTAGAGTATACACCATTTTGAGAGAAATCTGGGACACTTTGACCACTGCCAACTTCTTCGAATAGATCAAGACCTTTCACAACTCGCCGTAAATCTCTATGCCACTGATCTGAAAAAAACTTGAATAGGATTTTTTCTATCCTGATGTTTTTTTTAAAATAATATTTTATTCTTTCAGACCACCGTAATAATAACATTTACTGTTTTATGTTCATATGTTCAATCCATCATTTGTTCATATTTGTTCTCCAAAAAACATTGTAACAAATTCTAATAATCAGAATGTGTGTTCTGTGTTTTCAACGCCTTTGTTACCTACATACTTTTAATAGAAAAAGTAAAAAACAATGATCAAATTAACACCTCATATTTTCTGACTTTTTCTATTTCAAAAATAGGAAATACTTCTTTTCTCAAAACAAATTCACCTCGTCATTTTTCAAAATAAAAACAATGATATCAAATTTTGTTGGGTTGTTTTCATATTGCTAAAAATAAAATAATTCATCCCCCAAGATAATGAATGTCCTTTAATCCCACGGTTTTTTGCAAACAACCGAAAACAAACGAAAAAATTAGCTAGCTGATGTTTTTTGATCATGTCGTTTCCGTTTAGAAGGTTTTTGGCTTGGACCAGAAGTGTTTTCACTTACTGATGTTCCATTTTTTCTCACATCAGTTCATAGAACTCACCCGCGCTGTGATTAAAATATCCAGTTTGTGGTCCATAAAACCCGTAAAAATAATCAAATCCACGATTTGTTGGTAAAAATTCCTTTTTGCAATATCCTAAATGCCATTTACCCACTAAATATGTTGAGTAATCCAACGATTTCATATTTTCCGATAAAAACGGAAACATTTCTGGTATTCCGGAAGGCTCCATATGTAGAAACACACCATTCTGAAACAATTTTGTTCATTTCTATGTATGTAGTTTGCTCGTTGAAAACAATTGTACCTGAACTCCGGTTCGAAATGGATAATAACCTGTCATAAATGCACTTCTTGTTCTAGAAAAAAAAAGAAAAACAACGTTTTCGTGTCAATTTTTCATTGTTTTTCACACTTACGGTGTACATAACTGATTGACATATGAATTTGTGAGAAGTGCCGTATTTTTATGAAATGCCAGTTTTCTCAAATTCGGCGTGTGTAGGCTGTAATATTTCCGGGTTTAGGGGGTTGTTGACAGTTTTGTGTTTTTCTTGAATATCAATTTCAATATGAAAATAGGTAATTTATTGTTTTTCCTCGTATATACAGATTATTAAATTTCAATAAATAGTTTTTCTAACTGTCTAGAGCTATATAACCTTGCGTGATCATGTCAAACATCCATTTTTTTCTGAATTTTACTTTTTGTCAAGCTTTTGTTCTTTAGAAATTTGTTCATGAATTATTTTTTTTTTGACTGGCTAACTGAAGTAGTACTATTTTCCAATAACATTCAAAATACTTTTGTTATTATCTGAATCCTGGATTTCAAGTCTTCCTGCTTTAGACATCTTATTAGGAAAAATATCACCAAAGGTCGCAAAATTCTTGAACTTTTACTTTATTTTTGACAAGTCTCATTCTTTACGTTCATGATTTATTATTCACTGACTAAAATAACAATTTTTTTCTCAAGAGCTAAATTTATTTGGAGAAACTAATTCTCACTGGTTTTCTAATTATTTTCCGGATTTTTCCCGATTTTTTGTGGAACACGAGTTCAAAAATTACAGATTTTTTGAACAAAATTTCAGAGGTTTGCGAGAAAAAGTTTCTTGTGTGCATTAAAATCTTCTAAATGCCCCCTTTTTTTTAAATTTTTCAAACTCACGTTTCATCTTTCCAATCCAAATCATTGAATCCTAAATCGTCTGCCATTATGAACAAAATATTTGGAGGTTTTTTCGCATTGTCATGTTTTCGTTTTTCTCCTTCACCAAAACTCAAATTCAATATCAAAGTATATATGAAAAATAGGCATATCATATCAAAGGCAAAATGCCAAAGTGTTCGTGACCTTCACTGAAATTAAAATTGAATGGAGAAAAAACTACAATAAAAAAATGATATGTAGTTAGGAAGGAAGGTGTGTCCGCAAAAATGATCATTTGAAATTGACTGACAGACTGACTGACCATTTCGAAATAAAATACAACAAAAAGAAATCGAAAATTATAATGGAAATTGGGAAAAAAAAAAGAAAAATTAGAAGACGAAGTTCTGTTTCTTTTGTTATGTTTTTATTTGAATCGACGAAGCACTTGTCAATGCTTTCGATTCTTACAGATTTTTTGACAAGTGTTTTAACTTTTTGTTTTTTTTTCCCTCCTCTTTTGTTGTTGTCGTAAAATGTTTTAACAATGACCTTTTTCAGTTAGCTTACTTGGTTACATTAGAAAATTATTTGGAATTGGGGGAGTGAGCGCGTGACCCAAGAAAAGGTCACCGATCATTTAATGACAATAACCAATTATGACTGAAATATACATACTAGCTGAACTTTGTTGTGAAAGTTACTATAAGGGTGAATAACAAATTTTGAGCTCTAAATTGACTAATTAAAACTCAAAGTTTGAGTCAGACATCAAGTTATTTTGGACTTAATTACCCAAGCTGGAAAAAATGCGAGGAGAAATAAAAAAGTTTTCCATCGTGCAATTCTCCGGCTGGCAGGTTTCAATCAAGATTTTGATAGAATATATGTTTCAAAACATCTCCTGTTGTCGAAATCTGCAGAACACAGCGTGCGTTCTGACGTGGTGAATGTCCAATGTGATTTTTCTACCAAATTCTGATTGAAAAATCAGAAATCATATTCCTAATTATTTATATCTTGAAAACATTACACATATTTGATTTCCCTGATCTTCAAAACTCTGAAAACATTTCAAATTTACCAAACCAGCAGAAAAAAATCTCCCACGACATTTCTGTTATTCACACCTACAGTATTCTACTTTCAAACCTATCCATTTTTTATTTTTGCGGTGCACTTTTTTCAAAAAAAAAACTTTGAATTCAACCCAAGGGAAAAAATGTCTCATGCATTTTCGAATTACCCCCAGGTTCATTTCTAATTTTTTGTTCAACGAATTCGAGCTCATTTTGTTCAAAACAAGATACTTAAAAAAGTGGTATAGCTTTACGTTTTCTGAGAAAAAAATTCTGCACACAGTTAAAATTAACTAGCAGCTGCATTTGACATTTTGCAAGTTAGCCAAAAAAACATGTTTCATATTCATATTCTAATTAATGATGTGGTTTTGATGAAAATTACTCATTTTTCATATGTTGCGGTTTGAAATCTCATCAGTGAGGGCGTAATTTGGACTGATTCATATTTTATTAATACACCTCCAGTAACATACAACCACTATAAAAGTTTGGACATTTTTTGATGTGTATGTAATTTATTCCAAGTTTGCGCGGGTGGTTCTAAAAAAATAGAAAAATAAAAATAAACATGAACATTTCCGCTTTCTATTTTTTCTTTGCTATTCTAGACTGAACTTAACTTAACGATCTGTACTTTTGAATGAAAAGAAATTAGCCGAGTAGGAAATTGTTATTCTTTGTCTGGATCTGAAATTTCCAATGTTTTCTAACTTTCAAAAGCTATAATATAGTTGTGACCTTTTCTCATAAGTTCCGTTTTAGTTTTCAGGCACGCCTGAAAATTGTTTGGTTATCTGATCACCTGATTTTGAAGGCTACAACATTTATGGTAGAAAACGCAACATTTTGATCTAAACAAAAAGCATCTGCGTTGTTCTAAAATAGATATGTGGGAGTAAACTTAAGAAATTGATTTCATGAAACTCTAATTTTTGATTTAAATGAATCTCGTGCCTGAATTTTCAGCCAAATCTCAGGCGTTGAAATGTGTTTTGTTATTTTGAAAGTTTTCGGGTTTTTGGTACAAAAACTGCAATCGACTGCCAGAAAACAAACACATGAGACGAAGAATTGGGTTTCTCAGATCTTCATCAGGTTTTGGTTAAATTTGTTCCAAAGGCTACTGAAACCTTTCTCTTGCTTACAAGTCTGATACGAAAAGTCAACTATAATCAATTCATTCATCATCAAAGTTTGAACATTCCAGATGTTTCCAAATGTTTAACTTATTTTATATTTACAGGTTTGATCTGACATGAGAAGTCAAATATCGTTTCAAAATGTTAGCTTGTTAATTAAGTGTGACCTAATTAAATGTCGCAGACTTTTTTTCGAAATAAAAGACTCATTTGAGGATTATTCTCTTTCCTCGAGAGTTGAACTCAATTAGAAACTAATCCATCTTTCAAACCAATTTGTTGCATAAATGTTGCAAAATCAAAACACCATTTTTTTCTAGTGCATCCGTGCAAAATCGCATAATCATTTCCTTATGTTTCATCCATTCCATTCATTCACATTTCTCTGAATAGCAAATGTGACGATTCTATTCAAAACCCAGGTTAGGGCGTATTTCAATAAAGCAATGCACTGCGAAAAAAAAGCACTGGCAACATTTCAAATTCCGTCGTGATTTGATTTATTCAGTATCTAAGCATAAGCAGAGCATATATAAATGAGAGTGTATCTCATTCTATTTTTGATCCACCCTAGCCTTCGTCTAACTAGCAAAGTTGAATATGAGTGATTCATCATCATCAACATCTCTTTTTTTTACGATTTTTTTGATGAGCATGTTTTCTTTTAATATAATAAAAAATTCATTTTATTTTGATCAATTGTGTCACCGAACCGCCCTAATCTTCTTTTTTCCTTTTTTTTATTAACTAGTTTCCAAACGTAAATTATATTTTTCTTCCCCTCATTTTTTGTTCCAAAAGCTTGTGAACTCATTAACCCGTTAATAACTTTTATTCATTTTTGCTCTTTTAGGTTTACCAATTCCTTGGAAAAAACAAGACAAAACGAAAATGCTTCGATTGGGACAATTTGTACTTTTGCTTATCTTGGCTGCTGCCATTTTCTCGATTCCAACCAGCTATTCAAAGAGCAATCCACAATTGTTCAACCTTTTCAAACAAATTCATAACAAGTATGTTAGATCCGTTTAAAAAACTGAAATTTTTCCAATTTTTTTTTCAGAAAAGCAGTTGGAGATGCTCTCCCATACGATCATTCGGCATTTTCGGATAATAATGGATATGGTTTTGACAATGAGCCATTGTTTGTGATTGTTTGAACGAAAATAACATAATTTATTCTTCCATGATTCATTCAAAAATCTAGTTATTTTCTCAAACAAGTTTCATTTTTCAATAAATCCTGTGTTGAAAATATACATTTTTTTGGTTAGATCAAACATTTACAGAAAAATCCCAAGAGAAATTCCGACGACAAAACGAGGAACTTTTGAAGAATGCAACATTTCAAAGAACGCGAATATAAAGAAGTTTTCTTTTTCATGGAAAAAAGAGATATTCACACACTCGTAGATCAAAAATCGAAAAAAGTTTCGGATTTTTTGACAAGGTCAAGTTTTTGAGAGATTTATGAATAAAATATAGAATAGTAAAAATGAAAGATGTCTGGATTTTTTTTAAATGTTGAAAATATGTTTTAGAGAAATTTAGAATTTCCAGCAAAAAGGCTAATTTGAAATTATACTGAATGATTTCAATAACTAAAATATTCCAGCGTTTTTACTGAAAATTTTCGCAATAGTCTCCACTCTCAATCTCTTGAAGCGTTTTTTAGTAAAGTACAATGATCGGAAAAATCCAGAAAAAAATCTAATTGAACACTAAACCTGATGTAACCTGATCCCCATTTCAAATCATGAAAAAAAGTTCACACGTTTGATTTTTTGTCTATTTGTACACAAACTTTGTAACTTGTTCCATTTACCAACAACCTTAAATAAACTGTGAAAAAACTGTTGTCAACTAGAAACCAGTTAAACTTGACAATAGAATCATATTGACACGTGGACAATGATGTTTTAAAGAAAAATGAAACAAAATTGAGAAGATGCGGCAACGCGGAAACGGTAATATGTAATTTGTTTATTTTGTAAGACAATAAATTATAAGAACATAGACAAGAGGCATCAAATGAAACAAAAAAATTCACCCGCAACTTTTTTTGGTCGCTTTGAGCGGCAACTTTTTTCCAAGTTTTGCGTAATTACGGAAACCATTCCTTGTGCTGAACTATTTTCCAGAAGTTTTGCAACCTTGATTTCTGAGAAAAACAGAACTCATTTTTGTTCATAACACAATTTCCATGAAAAACACATTTACACAATTGTAAACAAACATTAATTGACAAAACACTTTTTATATTCAATAAATGCCAAAGAAAGGGAAGCAAAAAAAGTTTTTCGGCATTTGTGCCTGATGTATTATAAAATATCTCTTTTTGAAACTTGAGATGGGATTTAATTGAATTAAGATATGTAAGAGTCCAATGAAACAAAAAATGCCGAACTTCACAGATTTTTGTTGAGATTGTGAAGATATTTGTGTAGAAAGTTTCTGTATAATTTTGATAGATCAAAAATCGTCAACATAATGATGTAATGAATGGCTATTGAACAAATAATGGTTTTCTTCAACGAAAAAAAAAACAACAACAATGAGTTGGGTAACAGAAATTTGGAGAAAATTTTGAGCTGGAATTTTAATACACAATTAGGTTGATTAGCTCATAATGTTTGTCTGTAAACCCTGTGTTGTTTTTGAACACGAGGTTTGGTTATTATAATTCAAGAAACCCTGTACTGGTAAATATTGCTACAATTCTTGTTTGACTAGAACCTTTTGACCTGAACTTCATTATTCAAAAAAATGGCTTTTCCTTACAGAGAAACATCGTCGAGTCTGAATGTTGAATAAGGCTAAGTTAGGCCTGAAAATCAAAATGAACTCAAGTTTGTAAGCCTGAAAACCTCGAGATCTCAAAATTTAGTAAATCAAAAGATCATGTTTTTCATCCGTTTTAGAATGTATTAAATTACCAACAAAAAATTCCAGTTTCTCCATCAACAAACAACGTCTGAAATAAACTTTCCAGAATACCATCTTCTCTTCTAAACTAATATGATGAACAGTCCTAAGTTTTTTTTTCAGATAGATTTCTTATTCTTCTCGAATTTCCCCACCCACCCATTTTTTTACCCAATCAAACATCTGCATTTTTTCACGCAATGATTCATGTATAAACAAAAAGCGTGACAATAGATTCTACTCAAATTCAACAATCGGCGCAAGTGTTAATTATTTTAATACAATACAATACGTGAATCTCGCTGTTTCTTTTCCGCGCGTGTGTGTAAAAAAAGCAGCGACAGTAGCGAAATATACATATGTAAACATGAGAGAGAGAGGCGCACTTTTTTATGGACACGTGTGTTACATACTCCGGTTGTTGTCTGTTCGCTAGAAATAGGGTGGAGCTGCTGCTGCTGTTGCGGGAGGGCGGTAAAGAAAGTTATATAAATTAATGCGGAAATGGTCTTATTGTTCATAAAGGTTCGAGCGATGAAATTCATTTTTTCGGTTTTTCTTCTTGTCACTTTAGTAGTCGAAGGCGCTGTTCCAAGATCTAAACGACAATTTGGCGTAGGTTTGTGTTTTTTTTTCAGATTTTTTCTTGTATACGTTTTTTTTTGGTAGTTAGTATTTTAAAAGGTCTAGGAAACCCTTGTAAAATAATCTTTATCTTACTTCATTTTTCAGTACCTCTCTATTCCTCATGTAACGAATATCTCCAATGTTCCGCACCGGCAGTTTGCGCATCTGGAACTTGTCAATGTGTTCAATCCTACCAACCATCAGGATCTTCATGTGTTCCAGTATCCAATGCCGCTCCAGTCAATGGTGTTTATCAAGTTCCAGCCGGAGGTAAGTAGTTGTTCGCACATTGTTTTGTTAATCCGATTGTTTGCAGTCGCTCCAGCAACATTCCGAACAGTATACACAGAAGCATTGACTGCTTCCGCAGCCGCTCCTGCACCAAGACCAATTTTTGCACAACCTGTTGTTTATTATCCACAAGTAGTTCGAGGACCACAAGTCATTTGTAGTTTACCTCCATGTCAAGAAGCACCAACTACTTCCACCACCGAATTACCAACTCCAGCACCAGAAGTATCAACAACAACCCAACGGTTTGTAAAATATAGCTGAATGCTGACTGAGAATGGTGTGATAAATAGGGCAAATCCTGCATTTTAACAGAGAGGGCATGAAAAAAACTAACTAGAAATCTTCTAACAAAAATATCCCAAACAACATGATTTTCTATCTAGGTTATATGACAGTCCATCAATTGCCTACCCTGGAGAATTCTGTAATGAGCCGACCATTTTCTGCGTTGGTGGAAGTTTCTGCTCAAATGTGAGTTTTTTGGTACGTCCTATGTTGAAAATATTGAAAAAAAAATTAAGATTTGTAGCTTTTTCTAAGATCGATCTATTTTCAAATAATTCAGATCAGATTTATTAAGGGACTTGGGGATAAAGCTCTTGATAATAGAAAAAAAAAGATTCATTTTTTCCTGACAAGAATTACCAAGAAAACTTTGGGAAATCTTGCTGTCTGATTTTTGAGAAAAATCGGGATTGTCCAAAACTGTAAAAAGGCGATTTTTCAGAATATTTGCATTTGCCGACCAGGAGAGGAAGTTGAGAACCAACAATGTGTGCCAATTCCACCAACCACTACCTCAACGACCACAGTTGCACCAACGACTACTACAACCTTACCAACGACTACTACAACTTTACCAACTACGACCACGACCTTACCAACCACAACGACCACAACGACCACACTTGCACCTACAACCACCACAACTTTGCCATCGACCACTACAACCTTACCTACAACAACGACCACTGTAGCAACAACCACCACAACCTTACCTACAACGACGACGACCTTACCCACAACCACGACCACCTTACCTACAACGACGACCACCTTAGCTACAACCACGACGACCTTACCATCGACCACCACAACCTTACCTACAACCACGACGACCTTACCCACAACGACGACCACCTTACCATCGACCACCACTACAGTTCCAAGCACGACAACCACAGTAATCCCAAGCAGAGATGATGGGTGAGACATTTTTCTCATTATGAATTATAGCAGCAATTTTTGAAGCTCGATATTTTTCAGAATGACATATTTTCAAGATATGTTTCTTGTTTTTTGAACTTCTAACTTTCAGATTTCTTATGACTCATCAAAACTATATCGAAAAAGTCCATGAACCAATAATATTTTATTCATAACATTTCTATTCACAAAAAAGTTCATTGTTACTTTTTCATGCATCCTTAATCCCACGAACTTTGATCCCAAGAACCTCTAATTTTTCATTTTCAGATGTAATCCAACAAACTGCAATTGCAATTCAATTGGATGTCAATCAAATCACATAGTTCGAATTAATTTTGTTGTACCTGGCCAATCATGCAATTCAAATACCCAATGTCTTTCTGGATCTTACTGTAGTAATAATGGAGTTTGTAGATGTTCAAGAAGTTTTGAACAACGTGGAACGATGTGCATAAGAAGAAGAAAATAAATCTAAATTAATGTGTTAATTAATTAATTTTCTAATTCTTTTTGTTGATATGTATGTATATATGAAATATTGATCATTGACTTATTAATCTTTTCTTCTTTTCATTATTTTCACAAAAAAAATCATCACGAGGCAATATTCATTATTTTTTGAAAAAAGAAACAAAAAAATTAATTATTAACTTCTTCGAAATCACCAGCATTACTTTCAGAGATAATTGGAACAAGAAGACAAAATATTTCATTTGTTGGGAATACTTCTCCTATCATTCCTGGAATATCAGAAATATAGGTCCAACGATTATAAATATCACATTCTAGGTCAAATTCTGCTATTGATTGCACCAAATTTGTTGTTGCCCAATCAGCACCATTTATTTTTGCCTAAATTGTTATGACTCAAATTTTCAGACAATAATAAACAAAACTCACAAATCCAGAAGTTAGTGGATATTTCGATTTATCTGGAATGATACAACTAACATGTGCTGTTTGACATCCTGCGATTGATTTTTTTGAGCACCTAAAATCCAGTAAGATTTAAGAGAATTTCAAATTATCAAAATATACCTTAACTCCGGTGAAATAATAGTTCTATCAGAATTTGCGGTTGGTGGAGTAAACATGATTTGATTTAATTGACAACCCGTGAATAATGATGCAAAGTCTTTGAGTAATTTATTTTCAGATACGATTTTTGAGGTTTTTTGAACAAATTTGTTGGTTTGCACTTCGATGTTTTTGGTTGTCTCGATAAATACTGGAGGAGTTTCTCTTGGAAGATTTTGAAGAACACGTCGGGGAATTCCTGAGAAATTTATTTTTTTAGACAGAAAATGAAAAAAAAGTTTCAATAAATTTGAAATTGATACTACAAAATCGAAATGAGCTCTGAAAAAACTCAAGAAAAACATTCAGAATTTTGATGATAAATCATTTTATTGTGAAATATTTTTCAATCAAAACCAGAATTGTGAAGTTATGTTATACCTTTATGAAATGATATTCAATTTTCTGAAGACCAAATTTTGTCAAATTTAAACATACCTATACTTTCTTGAGGAATCATTCTTATACACGCAAAAATTTGAGCGAAAAATATACATAAAACCAGGTATATCCCAACAACGTGCGAGATAATCATAGACAGTGAATATAAAATTTGTGACAAAAGATTATTTAAATAAATGATCCAAATCGATTTCTTATCATTCAGTTAGTTCAATGCATACATTTTTCAATATTTTATTGCGCAAAAAATGATTTTTTGAGAAAAAAATTCAATTTATTTTCAAACAATTAATCGACATGAAGTGAAATTAATGGAAGATGGGGGGATTGAAACAAATCAATTCGAAAAATACATTATATCATATTTTTGTTGCGAATTCATTTGATACAAGTATAACAGGGGTGGGGATAGAAAAAAACAAGACGACAAAAAATTCAAAAAAAAAATAGTAAGTTTGAAAAAAATGTACCAGTATAAGATTACAAAATGATATTGAACAACCAAAATTTGGCAAAGAGGAGACTAACAACTAATTGAGTACTTGTAAAAATGACGTAAAATTGAAAGAAATGTCTAAAATGCAGATTTGTGTGATGCACGACTTCGATCACTCAAAACACTATCAGTTCTGTAAAACATAATTGTTTGAAAATTTCAGGGGCCTTTTTTGGTGTTGAAAGTTACCTGGTTCTTGGTTTGTATGATTTACTGCGCGGCCTGAATTCGTGCGTTTCGAAGTCCTCACTCTCTGAAAAAGTTTAAAATTAATTTTGAAATGATTCTTAAAAAAACTTATACAGTTCAAATGAGCTTTGTACCCAAAAAATATTGATTTATTATTTTACCTTGATTCAATGGTTCAAGTTCTCCATAAAACTCGCTTTCTCGTCTCATTCTTTCTTCAATATTCCGTTCAACTTCAATTAATTCCTGCTCCAAAACCTGTACAGATAACCGTTTTATTCCACCATGACCATCTGGAAGCTCTTGTTCTTCTTCGTCCTCTTCATTATCTTCATCTTCTTCATTTTCATTTTCATCATTTCCATTCTCATCTCCCCGATTATTTCTCACATTTTCAATACCTAGAACTGTTCCAGGCTCAGCTTCATCATCATCTGATTTTGTGATCTCATTTTCCATGTTTTCACCTGCAAAAAAGGACTTTTCTTGGAAGGGCAAAGTTAAAAATAACAAACCTGTTGTTTCAATTGGATCTGCATCTCGTTTATTACTTTCTTCCAAATGTTTCATCAAAACTGCAACTACAACATTGACCAAAACAAATTGAGAAATAAGTACGAAAATAACGAAAAAGCAAGGTGCAAGAATCGGATCAACGCAGCAATTTGTTTCACAATGATCTGAAGAATCACAATCATCTCGAAGTGCATCTTTCATAATTCCATTCCAATTATCTCCTGTTGCTATCCGGAATAGAGTCAAAAATGCCATTCCAAAATTTTTGAAATGCGCATGTTCTCCCAAACCATCACATGGGTGATCTTCAGAACATTCCAGTTTTCCAAATAATTCCACACCAAGAGCAGCAAATATGAAGAACAATAAAAAGAAGAGTGATCCAAGATTACCAACTTGCGGCAATGCTTCTCCTACAGTATCCAGCAATGATCGTATACCTTTTGCCATTTTCAGCAGTTTCAGAACTCTTGCGATTCTCAGAACTCTCATAACTCGGATGATTGTTGGGTTGATGGGTAATTCCAGAGCTTCGAATTCTTCAAAAATGATACCAGCAATTGAAAGAATAACAATAAACATATCAAGCCGATTCCATTTTTCAATGAAGAAACGTTTGAAACCAAGAGCAATTAGTTTCATAGCTGCTTCTAATGTGAAAACTGCAGTAAAGAAGTAATTCAGAGCTTTGAGCACATATTTCAGTTCTTTTGGCATCATATAAAACTCCATTGCCATCGAAATAACATTGATACCTAAAAATATTTTTGTTTTTTTTTTCAAAGAAAAAAGAATCTCACCAATAACCGCTGCAATCGCCAGATCAAAATATTTCGAGGTAACAATTCCATGAAGAAAAAGTCTAGTATGACCATAATCATGATAATACGGATAGTTCCGTTCGACTGAAAACATAGATTTAATTGCGGTACCTGCCCACACGATTCGATCTATAAACAAAAGAGAAAATGTTAGTACAAAAACCAAGAAAATAATACCGAAAACCAAAAAATGGTGTCAGCTACATTCACACGAAAACAACTCACTTTTCTTCTGTTTTCCAGCCATACTTTCTTCATATTGTTGTCGTTTGAGTTTTCGTTTCAATCGTTTTTCCTTTTCTTTTTCTCTCATCTCTTTTTCCAATGCTTCTTTACATTTATGGAAATTTTCAACAACGACTCCGACAAACATATTCAATACGAAGAAACCAACCAAAAGCAAAAATGATATGAAATATATCATTCGCCATTCATTGTAATTTTCGATTGGCTGCAAATAAACATTTTGATAACATGTAGAAAAGAGAGAAAGAAAATGTGTCCTCGGTAGTATAGTGGTGAGTATCCGCGTCTGTCACATGCGAGACCCGGGTTCAATTCCCGGCCGGGGAGAAATTTTTTTTTTCAAATATACCTGCTTATCAACGCCAACTGCATCGATTCCTTGATACATAATCGAAACCCAACCATCTTTACTGGATAAAACAAAGAGAGACATCAATGCTTGACCAAGATTATCGAAATTATATCTATGATTCACCCATTTGTTATGTGGATCGCTCAAACAATGTGTTCTGTTTTTTATATCTGAGACGTCAGGTCCAACACAGTGATACATCATACCCTAGAAATAAATAATTTTTGATTTATTTTAAATTTCAGAATTTCTGATCCAGGAATTTTTCAATTTAGATTCATATCTCACCTTAAACAATTGAACACCAAGGATTCCGAAAATGATGAAGAAGGTGCAACAAATCAACACAATATTTCCGATAGGTTTCAAACTTGAGATCAACGTCATAACAACTAATTTTACACCAGGAGCCCGATTGATAACTCGAAGTGGTCGAAGTGCTCGTAACAATCGCAAAACTCGAATAACACCAAAAATCTTGGGCGAAAAATATACATAAAACCAGGTATATCCCAACAACGTGCGAGATAATCATAGACAGTGAATATAAAATATGTGACAAAAGATTATTTAAATAAATGATCCAAATCGATTTCTTATCATTCAGTTAGTTCAATGCATACATTTTTCAATATTTTATTGCGCAAAAAATGATTTTTGAGAAAAAAAATTCAATTTATTTTCAAACAATTAATCGACATGAAGTGAAATTAATGGAAGATGTGGGGATTGAAACAAATCAATTCGAAAAATACATTATATCATATTTTTGTTGCGAATTCATTTGATACAAGTATAACAGGGGTGGGGATAGAAAAAAAACAAGACGACAAAAAATTCAAAAAAAAAATAGTAAGTTTGAAAAAATGTACCAGTATAAGATTACAAAATGATATTGAACAACCAAAATTTGGCAAAGAGGAGACTAACAACTAATTGAGTACTTGTAAAAATGACGTAAAATTGAAAGAAATGTCTAAAATGCAGATTTGTGTGATGCACGACTTCGATCACTCAAAACACTATCAGTTCTGTAAAACATAATTGTTTGAAAATTTCAGGGGCCTTTTTTGGTGTTGAAAGTTACCTGGTTCTTGGTTTGTATGATTTACTGCGCGGCCTGAATTCGTGCGTTTCGAAGTCCTCACTCTCTGAAAAAGTTTAAAATTAATTTTGAAATGATTCTTAAAAAAACTTATACAGTTCAAATGAGCTTTGTACCCAAAAAATATTGATTTATTATTTTACCTTGATTCAATGGTTCAAGTTCTCCATAAAACTCGCTTTCTCGTCTCATTCTTTCTTCAATATTCCGTTCAACTTCAATTAATTCCTGCTCCAAAACCTGTACAGATAACCGTTTTATTCCACCATGACCATCTGGAAGCTCTTGTTCTTCTTCGTCCTCTTCATTATCTTCATCTTCTTCATTTTCATTTTCATCATTTCCATTCTCATCTCCCCGATTATTTCTCACATTTTCAATACCTAGAACTGTTCCAGGCTCAGCTTCATCATCATCTGATTTTGTGATCTCATTTTCCATGTTTTCACCTGCAAAAAAGGACTTTTCTTGGAAGGGCAAAGTTAAAAATAACAAACCTGTTGTTTCAATTGGATCTGCATCTCGTTTATTACTTTCTTCCAAATGTTTCATCAAAACTGCAACTACAACATTGACCAAAACAAATTGAGAAATAAGTACGAAAATAACGAAAAAGCAAGGTGCAAGAATCGGATCAACGCAGCAATTTGTTTCACAATGATCTGAAGAATCACAATCATCTCGAAGTGCATCTTTCATAATTCCATTCCAATTATCTCCTGTTGCTATCCGGAATAGAGTCAAAAATGCCATTCCAAAATTTTTGAAATGCGCATGTTCTCCCAAACCATCACATGGGTGATCTTCAGAACATTCCAGTTTTCCAAATAATTCCACACCAAGAGCAGCAAATATGAAGAACAATAAAAAGAAGAGTGATCCAAGATTACCAACTTGCGGCAATGCTTCTCCTACAGTATCCAGCAATGATCGTATACCTTTTGCCATTTTCAGCAGTTTCAGAACTCTTGCGATTCTCAGAACTCTCATAACTCGGATGATTGTTGGGTTGATGGGTAATTCCAGAGCTTCGAATTCTTCAAAAATGATACCAGCAATTGAAAGAATAACAATAAACATATCAAGCCGATTCCATTTTTCAATGAAGAAACGTTTGAAACCAAGAGCAATTAGTTTCATAGCTGCTTCTAATGTGAAAACTGCAGTAAAGAAGTAATTCAGAGCTTTGAGCACATATTTCAGTTCTTTTGGCATCATATAAAACTCCATTGCCATCGAAATAACATTGATACCTAAAAATATTTTTGTTTTTTTTTTCAAAGAAAAAAGAATCTCACCAATAACCGCTGCAATCGCCAGATCAAAATATTTCGAGGTAACAATTCCATGAAGAAAAAGTCTAGTATGACCATAATCATGATAATACGGATAGTTCCGTTCGACTGAAAACATAGATTTAATTGCGGTACCTGCCCACACGATTCGATCTATAAACAAAAGAGAAAATGTTAGTACAAAAACCAAGAAAATAATACCGAAAACCAAAAAATGGTGTCAGCTACATTCACACGAAAACAACTCACTTTTCTTCTGTTTTCCAGCCATACTTTCTTCATATTGTTGTCGTTTGAGTTTTCGTTTCAATCGTTTTTCCTTTTCTTTTTCTCTCATCTCTTTTTCCAATGCTTCTTTACATTTATGGAAATTTTCAACAACGACTCCGACAAACATATTCAATACGAAGAAACCAACCAAAAGCAAAAATGATATGAAATATATCATTCGCCATTCATTGTAATTTTCGATTGGCTGCAAATAAACATTTTGATAACATGTAGAAAAGAGAGAAAGAAAATGTGTCCTCGGTAGTATAGTGGTGAGTATCCGCGTCTGTCACATGCGAGACCCGGGTTCAATTCCCGGCCGGGGAGAAATTTTTTTTTCAAATATACCTGCTTATCAACGCCAACTGCATCGATTCCTTGATACATAATCGAAACCCAACCATCTTTACTGGATAAAACAAAGAGAGACATCAATGCTTGACCAAGATTATCGAAATTATATCTATGATTCACCCATTTGTTATGTGGATCGCTCAAACAATGTGTTCTGTTTTTTATATCTGAGACGTCAGGTCCAACACAGTGATACATCATACCCTAGAAATAAATAATTTTTGATTTATTTTAAATTTCAGAATTTCTGATCCAGGAATTTTTCAATTTAGATTCATATCTCACCTTAAACAATTGAACACCAAGGATTCCGAAAATGATGAAGAAGGTGCAACAAATCAACACAATATTTCCGATAGGTTTCAAACTTGAGATCAACGTCATAACAACTAATTTTACACCAGGAGCCCGATTGATAACTCGAAGTGGTCGAAGTGCTCGTAACAATCGCAAAACTCGAATAACACCAAAAATCTTGGGCGAATCACCAGTTGCAACAAGTTCGAATAAAACATTGATGAGAGATATCACAACCAGAATTCCATCAAGAATATTCCAACCATCTTTGAAATATGCAGCGTGACCCATGAAACAACCATTTGCAATCACTTTTGCCAACATTTCTCCAGTAAAAATAACCGTGAATACATAACCAGATATTTGCAAAAATCGTCTTTCAAAACTTTGTGGTGGAATTGATGGTCTTTCCATTGCCAAAGTGATACAATTGATACCAATGAAAAACAAAATTGTGTAATCGAACCATTTCTTTTGAGTAAGTTGAAGACATCGAATCCGAATTGGATTCTTGGGTCCAAGAAGAAAAAGAGAGTATTCAGTTCTATTGAACAGACATGTTTTCTTCAAGATTTTTCTTAAAAACGTGTTTTGTTTTGCCTCATTCCGTTTTTCTTCTTCAGCCAACGCTTGTTTCAATTCTTGACTAGCTTCCAAAAACTTTTCTCGAGCATATGTTTCAATCAAAGCTCGACGACCATGAACTGGACAATTTGGATTAAAATGATGACATAATCCACTCCAACTATGAACTCGTTGTCGCTTATATGGAACACCATTTGGAACAGGTAGAACAAGAGAAGCATGTCGATTCAATCTGTTATCTTCTTGTTTCTGAATTGAATACGGTGACGAATTCCTCGGTATTAACCTTCGATCAATTATCGCATCAACATCAGAAGATCGTTTTGTTTCAGGTGATCCATGATAACCAATCGCTAACATTTTTGGAGAATTTGATTCATCAGGTGAAGATGGTTTCTGACAAGAACATTCTGCTGGCAAAACACCGTTGCTAAACGCCGGAGATTGTGATTTTGCAATCAACAATTCTAATTCCCTCTTTCTCTCATCCTCTTCTTCGTGAGCTTTCTTTTTGGCATCTTCCTCTAACTGTCGTTTCTCCTCTTCTTTACTTTCTTGGAAACCTTCAACCAAAATAGCAACCAGAAGATTGAACAAGACATAATTTCCGAAAGTCATTAGCGCCACAAAATATAATGCAGCCCAAGGATTCGTTTGTGCCATTCCATTGAACAATACCATATTCCAATCTTCTTGTGTTAAGATCTAAAAGATTTTTGTTTTTTTTCGAAAAAAAAAATTACAAAATTTCACTCGAAAATCACAACAAAATTCAGAAAGAAAACAACATTGAATACCTGAAATACTGTGACTGTGGCGAATAAAAAGTTATCGAAATTCATCCGATCACACTCGCATTTCCCTTTGTCTATTTCTTTTATCGAACATTGTTTCCCAGTATCCAAATTGTTGCAAAATTTGCATCCGAATAGAACCATTCCAAGTGTGCTGAAACACAACATAACGACCACAAAATAATATCACAATGAAAATCACACCATGCATCTCAAAATCAAACATATTATTACCTGAAACACAGTGATCAGTGCCCAAAGTAGACTGTCGAAATTTTTCCGCTCGCATTTTTTCGGAAAACTTGGATTCGATTCATCTGCTTTGCAAAACTTACAGCCGAATAGATTCATACCAAGAATACTGAAAATGTTAGATTTGGGAAAATATGAATTAGTTGTTATTTAGGGTTGTCAAAATAAATTTCGGAATGAATTATTACCTGAAAATGAAGATGAATAAAACAAGAAGTCCAAAGAAAACAGTGACATTATCCATTGTTCGAAGCATAACAACAAGTTGATATCGAAGAGCTGGCATAAAACGGACAAGTTTCAGAATTCTTAGCAATCGGAATGTTCTCAATACAGATAGACCTCCTTTTCCTTCTTGAAAAAGTTCAAGAACACTGAGAGCCACAATTCCACCATCGAAAAGATTGAAACCATCGGAAAGATATCCGAAGAAACCACTTGCGATGATTTTCAAAATCATTTCAAAAGCGAATAGAGCGGTGAAAAAGATGTTTGAGTATTCCAGAATTGTTGTAAGAACGTCGGGCTGAAAAATATTTTTTGATAAAAACTTTTTTTTTATTATAGCCCGATGATTTGCTCACCTGTTGATGATATTCCACTCCCATACTCAATGTGTTCACCAAAATTGCCACCAAAATGCCTCTTGTAAAATGATCGCAAACAACAAATCTCCGAATCTTGTCACGAAACCATCGCCACTTTGACTTTTTTCGTTTTGCAACAACAACTCCATTATTTTCCCAATCATCATCTTCTTGCTCATTATCACTTTCATCACTGGAATCCGATGTATCATCAACCGATGCTTTTGTATAATGTGAACCATTTCCATTAGAAATTTTGATTTGTGGTTCATCATCAATTTTGACTCGCTTGACTCTTGAATGCTGTGAGTTATTTCGGGATATCGTATGGGTTTCATCGTCCATCTCATTTTTATTGATTTCAGTGATCTCATCATTTTTCGGCTCTTCTGAAAAGTATATTGACTTCTGACTTTTCCGGATCTCTTTTTTAAAAAATTAAAATTAATTTTTGTCAGTAGACAACTCAATTTAGATCTTGGGTAAGGCTTAGCTCAAAATTCATTAAATCTTTAGATGTTTCAAAACCAACCCTCTTCATCCTCAGCTTTCTCCTCGATCCTTGACAATGTTGCCAGATTGTCTAGTTTACTTTTCCTCCTCTCATTTTTTTCCATACTCTTCCTTTCCTTTCTTTGTTCCATATAAGCATTATATTTCTAGAAAAAAAATACACATTATTTTTTCATTTTTTTTCGTTCTTACTCGTTTGGCAGCTCGTTTTGATCTTCGAAATGTGTGTCCAATAAATCGCACAATTGCCGCATATACCGTATCTCCGCCTTCTTCTTTTGATGATGCTCCGCCCATTTCACTACCAGTACATGCTAAAAATAGAAAATGTGAGAAAAAGTTGAAGAAAAAGTGCAACATACATATGGAGTCTCGATTTTGTAAACGTTTCCGTTCTTGTAACATTCTTTCAGTTTCACGACGTTTTGTTTCGGCAAACTGCGTGGCAATTACGACAAGACATAGATTGATCATGAAAAATGCACCAATCTGAAAAAATTAATTTTTTTACAACAAATTTTCAAAATAAATTCAAATTTTGTGTTACTTACAACAATGAGAAGAACAAAATAAATCCAATTCCAAAATGAGTGAGCATCTTGAACATAATACATAATATCAGTCCAACCTTCTAACGATATGACCTAGAAATAAAAATGCGATTTTTCAAGATTATTTTGAAATTTAATTGATTACCAGAAAAATAGCGACCCATGCAAAACCGATATTATCAAAAGAAACTGAACCTTGGAATGGATTTCGTTGCATAACCTGAAATTAAAAATATTTGGAAAATGAAGTACATTGAAATGAGAAGAGTTCAACTAACCTGACATTCGCTGTAATAAATATTCCAATTAATACAAGACTCATTAGTGATTTTGTCAATTTCATCAAGCGTCAAATTGCATTTGATACCATTCAATGTGTATGGCGGCAAATCTTTACAACTGTGTAACCCGTTGGCTTCTTCCCGACTACAAATGTATTCTAATGACGTGTCTTCTGGTATGTAGAATTGTGTGAATTTTGAAGCGCTTAGATGCACGTTTTGTTCAGTTGTTAATTGGAGATACGGAAGTTTGAAGGCACATCGATTTCTAGAAGCTAATAAATGTACATTTACCCTACAGTTCAGAAACTTACCGCAACAAACCCGCCCATAATTGAACACCAACAATACCAAAAATGAAAAACACGAAAAAACATAAAAGCAGCACATTTCCCAACATTGGCAATGTGTCGAGTAACAAATTAACAAGAATCCTCATCGAAGGTATCCGATTAACCGCACGAAGTGGTCGCAAAACTCGAACCGTTCGAATCGCAGTCAAATTAATATTGCCACCCAAATATTCATGTAACACAAATTCAGCGAGACCGGCAAGAACGATGAAGAAATCAAGGCGATTCCAAGTGTCTGATAGATAAGCGGATGGACCAGTGAAACCTAGTGCAACCACTTTTATCACCATTTCGATCACAAAATAGACGAATATGCAATTGTCAATAACAGCCAATGTTTGACAACGAGCATCACAGCTATCTGAATCTATACACGGTCGGTACATCCCTGAAAAAAATTGAAAAATTGTTTTTTTTATGATTCAAAGATAATAATGAAAAATAAAACCAACCCAGTGTAATACAATTAATCATAATCACAGCCATTGTTATCCGATCAAACCACGGACTCATTACCATTTTTAAGGCCCATTTTCTTGGCGGTCTTGCTTGATATAAACATCGTAAAGCTGGCTCGGCAAATCTACAAAAATGTTTTTTTTGATTTTGTGTTTTTCTACAAATTGTTGATGTTAGGTAAAAATAGATCAGAAAATCAAAGATTAGTTGGAAATTATTCCGAGAAAATTGTGAAATTTATTCCGGAATAATTTCATTTTTTCTGGATAATAAATTTTTGTTCACACATATTTTAAGAGTGTGTTCTGGAAAAAAAATTATTTTTTTGAATACTGGAAACTTCCGGAAATATTTTCTATCACAGCGGAGAGACTTTGTAAAATTGGACAAAAAAATTAGGATCTGGAATCAGATTTCTAAAATTTTTATTATCTGAAATGTAATTTCAGAAACAACAATTCCATTTTATTCGATAAATCTAATTTTCCCCTGGAAATTTCACGACCTTCCAAAAATCACATCTAATATCCGAACATTCTAAAATTCAAAGCAAACTCATCAAAAATCACTAGACTCTTCCTTTCAATGACATCATCTATTTATAACACCCCCTTTCCATCTCATTATTTTTTTTAGCAATTCAAACTCACCCCGGATACGGTAGATCAGAACCAGGCTCCTCAATGTGTTCTTCTTCTGGTGCCCACTCAATTTGTGGTCGACTATCCCATCGAGATGGCGAGGCCTCCGACGAGGAGGCCAGCTGAAAATATTTTATGGATTAGTTTATTATTCAAAATTTGAAATTGAAAGTCAACTTACACGTCCGTGTTCTGAGAGCTGCAGAGTTTCTTTGGAGCCTTCAATTGAGCCCAATGCCTGAAAGAAAAGAGAAGAATAAATTTAGTACTAATTGTAAAGTGAGATGAAAAATATCATTTGTAGTTACAAAAATGGTTAGAAAAAATCGTTTTTTTCTGGATTTTTCTTCTAATTTTTTTTGAGAAAAATAGAGGAAAATGAGAAGAATGAACACAAGTGCTTCTTGAAATATCTAACAAGAAAAAAAAATAAAATATACATTCATTTTCATTCAAAAATTATGCATTCATTTTTTTTCAGAACTAAAATAAAATAAGAAGATTGAGATTTCATAACTCTGAAAAAAATGTGAGTATGTGAGGAGAGGCGAAAAAAAGAATCGTTTAACATGCGCATAAGTACGGATTTTTGTTCTTCTGCCTGTTGAAATTTTTAGATTTGTGTGGGAAAACACACTCGCAATTCTAATAAATATATGCTCCAACCTATTTATGTAGCTCTTTTTTTCGAATTGGAGTACGTGTGATTGGTTTTGGAAGAAACAAACAATTATTTTTCCCATTCGTTGTTTTTTCGAATTGCACTCGTGAGAAATATTGAATCACAATAAGATAAAAATTTGATGTGCTATTCAAAATTCAATTTTTTCAACAAAAAAAAATAAAAATAATGTGAAAAACAAGGATTACTGTATTTCAATGCAAACGTTGCAAAATCTCTGATCTACTAAATTTTTTGAAGAATTTTCAAAAAGTTTCGGGAGAATTTCGAAAATTCCACACAACTTCCGGGTTTTCAAAAATCAATACAATTTGAAATTTAGGAAAATGTACTTCACAGTTTCATATTTAAAAAATATTGGGCTGTGATTTTGAGAGAAAATTATGTATATTGGAATCAAAAATCATATGTTCATTATTAAAATATAGAAATCTTCATCAAATTTTGAATAGAAACAGGTAGAGATTTTTTGAAAAATTGAAAATTACAACTCAAAACCCTACTAAAATATTGCTTACGTCTACTAAAAATAAATTTTCTAACAATAGTAGCTAGTAAAATCCCCCCCCCCCTGATAAAATATCATCCATAGCAACAACCTACCTCAAGATCATCATATCTTTTTGTTGTTTGTGATTGTCGTCGATTCAAACTGCTAACCGCCGATGTTCGTCGGCCTAAAACCGATCTTGGACCCCCAGCATATTTAGATAGCGACTGGAAACTGCGCAGTTCAGGAACCGGCTGTCGCAGCATTTTCAAGTGACTGGATCAAAGTGGTGGTTTTGCATTCAGAGGCACAATAATGAATGTAATTGTAATCTGCAAAAATCTAGATTTTTTCAATATTATCAGGATTTACATATCTTTGGGTACTTGAAATAGTAACAAAAATAAGTTAACAAGATTAGATTATATTCTGATGTGACGCAACAAAAATCAAAGAGCATGAAAAAATCCTTGTTTCAAAATATTTGGATAAAAAAAGTGTGGAAAGGAAAGAAAAAAGAAATTGTGTGTATGAAAAACCAGAAGCGGAAGAAATTAGACGATTTCGTTTGGTTGGTTGGTTGGTTGGGAGCTTTTTTGAGAAGCGAGATATTTTCATAATATTCAAGAATCGGAGCAAACGAAAAAAAAAAACTGAAGATTATCAAAAAATAAAAATAATTCATCAATCAAAACATGTTTGCTGCTGTTATGTTATGGATTAAATTGGAAGAGACGTATGGATGAGAAAAATTTGTTAATCCGATGTTGATTATTTTTATTTTTCATTATATGTAACATACGATTTTTAGTCAATCAAACATATGGTTTGAATCGAAATCAAAACAATTTGGTGGAAGAATTGAGCAAAAAAATATTGTGATAAGTGAATGAATGAATGAGAAAAACATAACTCGTGAGAAAAATTGATAAGTGGGAAGGACTTGGAGGATAATTGAAGGGTCTAGAAAACTTTGCTAGAAGAGTTCAAAGTAGACAGATGTTGTGAATTTATAAATTTCAATTTTAGAAAACTGTTGTCAAAATATCTTATAAAATTGATGAGCAGTTTAGAGACTTCAGCGATTAATGGTTCAATGAGACCAAAATATCATTTTTGAGAAAGAATTCTTGAAACTTAGGGTCTATTGCTAGAAAAAATGGAAGAAAATCAAAATCAGAACAGCATAGTTGAAATGAGATTGCATTTATTGATTGATAAAAAACTTTATGAATTTTCAATTTGAATTTTTACAGTAAAAAGGTCTCTAGAAATGTCTAGTATTAAAATATCAAGTCATTTTCATTTTTTTAACCCCTCCATTTTCTACGTCAAAAAGAAGTGTTTGAAAAATGAGCTTCTAAAAACTGCCGCCTACGCAATCTCAAAAAAAATCACTCAAGCCACGAATATTCTGCCTATTACACATGGTAATACGAAAATTGGTGTTTCCTCTCAAAAAAAAAATCTAAATAGAGCAGACGACCTCCCCGGCCCATATAATTTAAGATCGACTCTGAGCGGGCGGTGAGCATCTCACAACCAAAAATTGAAAGAAAAAATGAGTCCGTCCGGCAGAGCAACGACAAAAAAAAACAAAAAAATTAACGAGCTCCTTTTTCTCCGGTCCCTTCTGCTCGCCTTTTCTACTCTTACTACTACTAATGTCTTCATTGGTAGCGTGATGCACCCCACAAAATCTTCAAATCCATCAAGTTCTTTTTTTTTGTTCTCCCCCCAAAATGTTCCTGAACAAAGGAAAAATTGAAAGCACAAAAGACACCAAAAAGTCATTTTTGTTCTAGTCTCATTTTAATTGTTGAAAAGCCAAAAAACATTTGTTTTACTAGTGAAATTGAGTGAAAAGAGCTGAGCTCAGTCATGTTCAAAAACATGCATAAATACAACTTTTTTGATGAGACAAGCTTGTTGATTTGAATTCAATGAAATACGAAAAAAAGAAAAAAAAAACGAGATGCGTTCTTCTATGACAACATAATAAATTATTTCCTTTTTTTGCAGATGAAAAAATGAGGCAGTTTTTGGAATTTATCAAACTTCAAATATTCATGGAACGGGGGAGAGAGTTGAATTTTTGTTGTTTGAGAAAAATATAACCGGAAGATCATCAGAAAAAAATTATTTGAAATCTTGAAAATTTTTTAGACAATGGTGGGTTGAAACAACTTCTGATAATCTAAAAAATCAAATCAAAGATAATGGGCCTATGCAAAATAATATTTTGAAATAAAAAACATAATTTTCCTATGCAGAAAACGTCGAAAAAACAAAATATACAGTTTACTATTTTCGAGTGTAGACAACTGAGAGAGCGCAGACAGAGAAAAATAGTTTCTTGTATTTTTTGTGCGAAAAATCAATTTGTCTGTCTGCGCTCTCTCAATTTTGTGTTGTCTCCACTCGAAAATAGTGAACTGTATATTTTGTTTTTTCGACATTTTTCTGCCTAGGAAAAATATGTTTTTGATGTTTTTTATTACAAAATATGCTTCTAACAGAAAAATTAGGATGAAGATTTTCTTTGATTTTTCAAATTTTCTTTTGTAAAAAACTGTCGAGGATTTTTTTTTGAAACAAATGTATCCATTTCCAGTTTTTGAAAGAACCTAATTATAAAATTATTTTTTCACATTCAGAAATTAGCCCGAGATAATTTTAGACTGTGGTCAGAATTTAGTTTTTCGGATAACCGCCTATGTTGTGAATAATCTAGTTCTGAACCCTACAATTTCCATCTAAAAAATGACGAATTTCGAAATTTTCAAAAATTTCTAAAAATAATTTCTGGTTTCCATATGAATAATTGGTTCAGAATTTTGAGACCCTCGGGAAACTAAATTTTTTTCAAAATAGTGCCTTGCACCTAAAATTTCTCACATTAGAACTGAACCCTGAGGTTTTTGAAGAATAAAAAGTGTTCCTTGAATTTCTTGAAATTTCTGAAAATAATTTCCAATTTATATATGGCTTCTCAAAAAATTGATTTTCCTCTCACTACTTTCTACTCCAAGATTTCCCAAAAAAAACATGACGAAAATTGATCAAACAAATGAGAAAGAGACTTGTGGGAAAGTATCATATGAAAACTGACCGGGCAAATTTCATATGATTTTTTCTTTGAAAAAATAGAAGACAAAAAAACACTGTGAATACAGAATTTCAAAAGAAATTCATTTTTCTTTCGCTTCAGATAGACAAAATAAAGAAGGTGGTGTGGTGTATTCTTTAAGTGAATGAATAGAGGCGAGGGTGGATCTATATTTTTTGGAAGTAAAAAACAATGTCTGCGAAGATTTTTTTTGATGGAAAAGTAAAGAAAAAACGTTTTCTTTGAACTTGCCTGAAGCAAGATCAAGAAAAATTAATCTTGGAATGAAAAGAAGATTTTGTTTGTGAGAAAAACAGATTTGCATGAATGTATACATAAAAAGATGGACAAACAAGGGTGTTTCAGTACATCCGGTGAAAGGTCATGTCTGTGCCCAACATCTTCTCCTTCTTTTAGGATAATCACATACATTTTTGGGGGAGGCGAAATTCGATTAAACTTTTTTTTGTGTTGCTTTTTTTTTGGCTCACATTCACTTGGAAAGAGAAACGAGATCATATGGTAGTTCAGGAAACTATAATTTTGTAAGGATTTGAAATGACTTTTCTTGAGATCTGTTCTACGATTCGTCCAAAAATTAAGAAGCTTCAGAGAAAAAAAAGTTTTTCAATCATGTTTCAGCTATTTTCAAAGCGTGTCCTTTTCAGCAAAAAAAAAAACACTAACCTTGAAAATTGTCTTGTCCTGTTCGAAAATCCGATTGAAGTTGGATTTTTTGTCTGAAAAAAATCTATTAAATTTCAGAGCACAAAAAATATGTAGATGTAGAAGAACAAGAGAAAAAAGATAGATTTCCGGTGCAACAAAAAAAACTTTTGGGGCGAATCTCTCAATGAAAAAAATTGGAGAAGTGTAATATTATCTGCCGGATGACGACCACTCCCTTTTTTTGTTTCTTGAAAAATCTCAAAGCTCATGTGAAACTTTGAGAAGGGCTCAAATTGTAACCCAGAAGGAAGAAAAAAAAACGGACGAAAAAATCGTTGATATGAATAATAAATCAGGTGCAAAAATAAAAGCAAAGTAAGACAACAGTTGTTTCGGTCAAGACGATGTAAAATACTTACTTACACTAAAAAACGGAACTTTTTCCCAGTTTAACATATGTTTCTTTTTCTTTTTTCTTTTATTTCATTTTTGTTGGTTAGAGCAAAAATTAGAGAAAAATATATATTTATTCATAAAAAAATATTTTTTGAACACCTTGGCAACGCTATTGAAAAAAAAAAGTGCACTCGATTTCCACCAACAAAAAAAGAAGAAAGGAATGAATGATATTTTATGAATGAATAAATGAATGAGAAGTTTACTGTTTCTTTTTTTCTTATTTTAGAGAAGGGGAAACAAAATGAATATCATTTTGACGAAAATGAAAAAAATCTCGAATTTCCGGAACATGGAATAAAAATTCTACAAAAGAATATGCGATGATTTTCTCTATTGTTTCAAAATGAAAATAAAATTGAAATAAATTTCATGGATCGGTGAAATCTACAAAACTTCAAGGAAGCGGAATAATGTGTTTTTTTTTGCCGCAATCTTTTGTCCTACCACACAATTTTCCCACACGCGGGATATATTGCAACAGATTGAAATTTGAGCGTTTCGTTTTTTTTGCGTACTTTGCCTTCATGGCAAAAATATGTTTTGTTGAGATTTTCTCAAGAGAATTCACAAAGTGATAAGTGTTCACACATTTGAAAAAAAGAGAGAGAAGAATTTTAAGAGCAAAAACATTGGGATTTTTTTTTGGAATTTTTGAGATTTCACATCATTATGATTGGAAATTGAAATTGAGATCAATTAATTTTCTGAAATTACATTAATGAGTTAATATTCTGAAGAATCGGTATTATCAGAGCAGAGCTGGTTTTTGGATTCTACATCCGAACATTTCAAGTATGATTTCGTTGTTAGAAAATTTGAGCTAAACCATAATTTTCATGATAGTGCTAAAATTCATCCAATGTTCCAAAGATCACTCTACCAAATCCATTCTTACGTCAATTTCACAAAACCATCTGTGAGTTCAACTAAATCAAGAATAATGAAAGTTGATCCCAAAGCCTCGCCCAGTGCTTAAAAAAGAAACAAGAATTGACAAAATGTAATGTGATTCTTCCGAAAAAATTGTTAGTTAGGACAACAACAAAATGTTTTAAAAAGATTCTTAAAAGTAGACACCGTTTTTTCTCTTGTTTTTATTCGTTCTTTTTTTTTCTTCTAAATTGCTCTAGATTTGTTGTTTTTTTTCCTTCAACCAAAGAAAGAAGATAACAACGAATGAAGCAACGAAAAAAAAAACAGAACGAATAAAGAAAGTCCTTTCTGTGGTGGTAGAAAATAGGAACAAGGAGTTGTCAATTGCACAACTGAAAATAATATTTTCAAAAATGAAGTGTTTTACAAAAGTCATAATATTTTAGGTAAATATTTAGAAAATATCATATCAGCTCTTGAAAAAAAAGAAAAACAACGAGAATTCAGAATTTACAGATTTTGTACAAACAAAAAGAGAGATCAAAAAAACAAACAAATAAAATATATTTTTGTTCTTCGCGTGTTATTCAACATTTTGAAATTGCACATTTCAACTTTCAAATGCATTCATTTTTAACGAAACGAACGCGAAAAAACACACACATCAAAAATTCGATCAATTTTTTCATTTTTCAGCAAAAAAAAATGTTCTAACCATGAAAAAAGTTCGCCATGTGTTTTTTGCAATAAAATTTTTTAGTAATCAAAACAGACTGAGTGAGAATCAAAATCAAGATTGATCTTTTTTTTTTGAAATTTATTTAGAATCTCAAAATAAAACTAGAAAATTGAGGAAAGGAATGTCTGTAATAAATCGAAAAAAAAGTAGGCTTGAAAATTTTTGAAAAGAATTTTTTCATATTTCCTGGGAACGCACGAAAACACCATTTAGTCAAGTAAATAATAGTGAACAAACGGACAATAAAATATGGAAAAATAAAAAAAATTGAGAGGGAGGGAGAGAGTGAAAAAAAGCTAAAAATGAAGAATAATAATAAACTCACAACCCCAAAAATCTATTAGTTCATCCATTCAGTTTTTCAAAACAATGTTTGTCTCAAAAAAAACGGTTCAAAATGAAAAAATGAAAAATGTTGAATCAAATGTGTGTGCTAATTGAATTCTGACAAATCTTATTTGATTGCAGTTGTTCTTGCAAGCCAAAAAGGGAAAAAAACGAAAATCAGATTCAATGTAGTATTTTTCTGTGTCTGTTTTTTTTTCAGAGGAACATTGCGTGTAGACTTATTATTTTTCATTTCATCAAGAATAATGACAAACAAGTGCAGACATGTTCAAAGTTCGAACAAATTATTTTTGGTACAGTAGGAGAAGTGAGAGCTCTGTGTTTGTTTTTTTGTCCAGAAAACCCTAGGATTTGAAAATGAGCTCAGAGTTCGAAAATGATCTTGAAAAATATATATTTTATGTTAGGCTTCAATTTTATTCTGTTCGGAATCTGAAAATCGAGAGGTTCTGAGAAAAATTGGATTTCAGAAATCAGAAATGAGGGGCTCATTATTCAGAATTTCAAAGAGGTTCATCAATTTCAGAAGTCCCAAATCCCAAATCGCTTCAAAGAATATAGATCACCCTCTATTCACTGCAAAAAAGTCTTGGACCACCCTGCTTTCTTTTCTCAAAGTTCAAAAAGTCAAAGGTCCCACGAGAATTCGAACGTACAAAGATAGTAAGAAAAAGTAGAATGAATTCATTGAAAAAAGGCACGAATTTTTTGCAAGAAAAAAAAAACAAAACAAATCAAGAAAACGAATCCGTCTCTTTTTCGCGAAAAAAACTGAAATCCTTATTTTTTCCTTGTTCCGTGAAGTGAAGTGAAGTATGTATGAATGAATGTATGGAAAAGATCAACTTGAATTTATGGGTGTTCAAACTTTTTTCAAGTATGAGAAAAAAAAAACATCAGGAAAAGACAAAAAGAAAAATATTTGTTGTCCTTTTGAAGATATTATAAATGTATGTATCAAACAGATGGGTAAAATTGAACAAGTAAGTAGAAGGAGAAGAATAGATAGATGAAAAGCAAGAGGAAAAACGGAAAAGAACTATATAATTCGCATCTTATGACTGTCATGGGAATTCGCCCTCGAGCCATTTTTCGAATGCCTTCAAGAAAAGGCGAGATGTGTGAGTGTTCATCTGAAAATGTAAAAACACGTACGAGAATTGAACCTTGTATGTGTATCTATTTTTTTGTGAAGAAAAAAATATTTTCAAATTCCTTATCACAAATTTGATTTTTTCAAAGAGAATACTGAATTTCAACACCTTCAACTTATTTTGAAATGTTATCCAAAAACTTCGTGGATGGTCTCTCTCGCTTTTTTCCCTCTAACATACATAAATAACATTAGTTAGCCTTTTGATTTCCGCTGGAACATTTTTAGATTCAAATCCAAATAACATTTTTCCGGAACTTTTTTCAGTTCTAAAATAACCTTTAAAAAAGTGCATGTTTTAAAAATGATTGACAAGTTTCAAAACAATAACTAATCAAATTTTCAGAAGAAAACATTTTCGAAAAACATATGAGAGAGAGAGTTCAAAAAAAAGTGCTTAGCTATGTAAAAAAAGATAAAGCAATGATTGATGAGTTGGGTTTATTTTGTGTTGAAATCAGTAGAATCAAAGCACAAAAAGAATCAGGAAATGTTTCCGGTCTAACATAAAACAAAGGTAAAGACAGCAATTTCATCAAAATGTATGGAAAAATGTTGGACAGAGGGTGAACACTCACTCACATGAACAAAACGACTACTTGCCCTGGCGCTGGCCCGACTAACACCCTCGCACCAGTCATAAAAAATGAGAGCACTTTTTTTGTGCCCCATTCTCCGATATATATTTTTTTTTCATTTGGTCTATTTGTTATTCATCTATTTCTGTTCTTCTCTCATTAGAACTGTTGGTGAAGGGATATCTTGTGATTCTGAAGAATCACTTGAATTTTTCATTTTGAATCACAAAAATTGAAGAGCAAAATGAGTACGAGTAACAAAATCGAGTCTGGTTTTGCAAAAACGTTTGTTTTTCGAATCTGTGGGGAATTGATGTTCTTGATAGGTCAGAAAAATATCATTTGCATATTTCTATGAACTTGTCGAGGAGACATGATCTTTTGCAAACAAAAAACAAGGAAAGGAAACAGGGAAAAGTGAAAAGCTGTCAGTTTCAGATAAAAAAATAATTATGATGCTGAAAAGAAACAATGAAGCTTTCAAAAATCGTTTCTAAAAAAACCAGATCTCAGAAAGGTATTTTTTTTATGCGAAGCACTTTAAACAGGTTAAAGTTATACAATGTTAACAAAAATATAACATTGCTCATATTATCAGATTTTTCAAAAATTTAAAACGCATGTAAATCTACCAAAACATCTACAGTAATAAAAATATTGCTCATGTTAGAACAAAGACATCTTGAATCGAAACAATTTAAAAAAAACTCAAAAATCAACCACGTATAAATCTAAAATTTACACAAAACTAGAACATTGCTCATGTTAGCCAGACTAAAATTTCCCTATAAATGTCGAAAATCTATAACGAATATAAGGAATAACATTTTGAAAAACAGAAAAATTAGAGCGGCCGGAAAACGACGACTAAAAAGTGTTCAAAAAATGGAGCAAATATCCGCCAAATAAAAAATATGTAATCGGAATTGAATTTCTGAAAAGATAGGTTTTCCGCTTCCGCCTGAGAAAGATATCATTTCATTTTTTTCATATTTCAAATTGACGAGAGACGACGAAAAAAAATGCATCAGATATATATTTTTGTGGTTGGTTGGTGTGTATATCTTCCCCCTTCCCAAAAAAAAACTTTGAAATTTGTCAAATAATTTATGCTTCTTTTACATAATTTTTTTGTGGGGGGACGGACGAGGGAAAAATATGATGAATCGTTTGATAGCAGGAAATGTGTAGTTGAGAAAGGAGCACACAAATGTGAGCTGTGTATATAAAAAAACATAAACGGAGAAGGGTTGTTGTATTTTGAAGTGAAAAAAACCTGCCAAAATTCTCAAGGGATTTGTTATCTTGAAAAATGAATTTGTTATTCTACAAAGGTATATAAAATATCACTTTTTCAAAGTTCAAAAACCTCGCGGTTTTTTTTCGAAATTCAAAAATTAGCTCAAAATAATAGTGATATCTATCTGCAAGTTTTTCATTACAATATTAATAGAATATTCAATTATATTTACCATGTCTATTTTTTTTCTTTTTCTCATATACCACCAACTCTTCCACAGATTTCTTTCTTTCTATTTTATTTTCTTTTGCTTCTGTCAGATGAAAAATAGTATTTTTGGAAACAATAGAAGACAACCGTGGTTATTTTTTTTTTTGAAAAAAAAAGAAAAAGAAAAAGCCAGAAGGAAGAAAAAAGAAAACAATGAAAATATACTGGAAATGCACTGTTTTGTTGAATATAGAGGTTTTTGAAGAATCAACAGAACGCAAAGAAAATGGAAAGTTGGGGGATGAGGGTTGATCCAAGAAGAAACAACTATAAACATACATTGAGAACAAAAATTATGAAGATCTCTACAAATTTCAAAGTTTCCACGATCTTTGAAATTGAAAACTTCCAATGAGGAACAAAATTAAAATTCAGAATTCCCGGAAGCATTAAACTAATTCGTGCAGCAATTTTTGATTTTTTATGAAATTTTCCTAGAATTGAAAACTTAAAAAAAAGTTTATATACAAATTTGAGACATTCTGTCTTTGAGAAACATGGATACCTAGATTCAATCAGAAAAATAACTGAAAAGATCAAGTAGAAGAATTTTCATTATTTGAAATACTGCGTGAACATCTCAAACACCAAAATCCAAAAAATCAAGATCTCCAAAGTACCCCATCAAAACCAAAATGAAAAACGCTTCAAAAAATTCAAAAAAACTCAACAGTAAATTCTATACTAACTAAAACCCAAACAAAATAACGGTAATTGCTAGTTTTGTTGTTGTCATCTTCTTTTCCAAAAAGAAAACACGAAGAAGAAGAAGAAAAAATTCCAACAATTTTCTTGTCTCTTCAGCATGCCCAAACTCTAATATTCAATAACTTTTTTCTTTTCCTGGGGTATATGCTGACTTTTTTCCGTGTGTCTGGAAGACCAAGAGCAGGTAAAAAAGATTGATACCAGAACATTTTTCGACCAACTATTTTTAGAGTTATGTATGAATGGAACAAAAAAGGTCATTAGTATTAGAAAATGTCCGATTCCGGCACAATTTTTCTATTCTTTTTTTACTTTTCTTACTTCTATTGTTAGATGGGAACTAGAAACAATGAGAAATTTTTCAGAAATCACGGGGATCACCTGTATTATTTTTTTTTAAGAATTTTGGTTCTATTCTTTATCTAACAAAAAGTGAGCCCAGATCTTGTAAATAAAAAAGTGCATAAAGCCATAGGTCATGTTTCACTTTGAAAAAAAAAGAAGAGCAAAAAGAGGCACACGAAATTAGATGACAATAAAATGAAAACAATAAAAAATTGTCGATTGCAAAGAATAAAACATTTTTTTATTATTGTATGTTAAGAAAAATGAGTGAAATTATACAACTCTATAACTTTCTTCGAATTGAAAAGGAGTAAATGAGATCATTAAGAAAAAAAAAGAGCAAAAAAGAAACATTTTTTGAGGAACAAAAGAAACATATATAATTGTTGCCAGACTGGACTTGTGTGTGATTAATTGCGTTTGGGTCTTTTTGATAGATTATTTTGACGGATCATTTTGTTTTATTGTCCGTCCGTCTGGATGAATTTGTTTCAATTACACTGACAAGAAAAAACACATAAAAAATGAATGAGAAGAAATTCTGATATAAGGTAAAAGATTGAAACCATTGATCAAGGTGAAAATGTCAAGGGAACCTTTTAGTTGAAGCAAAATTGAGCTAAGAAAATAATTATCATATTTTTGAACCGGAGAGCAACGAAAATTTTTAGAAAATATAGATTGGGATCGGTAGTTTCATTTTAAAAAATGAAAACGACTTTCGAAAGACTGTTTCATATCTGCATTTTTTCCAACAAAAGCTATCTACCTTCGAAAAGATATTTCTCAAAAATGTTCCGTGGGCTCAAATTTTGTCAAGCCATGATTTTTTCATCAACTAATGCAGACATCAAAAAAAGTGGGAAAAAGTGAAAATGACATCAAAAAAGTGCACCCATCGAAACAGAAATAAATGTTAATGTGAAACAACGCCAAAGCGTCATTGGTTTTTTCCAACACCACATCAAAAAATATATATATGTATCCATCCATTTTTGATAAATGATTATCAAAAATTCAACGTGCTGCGTTTGGTTGGTTGCATGTGAGAAAATCGAGATAAAAATCATTTTTCTCGTTTTCTTGCATTTTTGACAAATTGCTGGATTAACAAAAAATATGCTTGTAGTACTAGTAAAAAATAAATACTTTTGTTTCAATGTCAAGTCAAAAATTTTTCATTCCGAAAAAAAACTTTGTTTCTCTATCCAAAGAGTTTAAAAAATATCAAATTTCGAATTTCAGCGAAAGGAAAAAGAAAGGTCAATGAAATGATGATTGAAAATTTTAGAAGAGTACTTGAAACCAAGAAAATATCTACATACATGCATATAAATAAATATACATAGATACTCAAAATTGTTTGAGCCATAAACATTTTTTGCCATTTTTTCTTGTTGCTGGTAAACGGAGCAAAACGAGTGAGAGACATACAAATTGCGAATAAAACCTGCTTCTACTGACATTCTTTTTATTTTTTCTCTTTTTGGTATCTACATAATATTTTTTTTGGTTATTTTTAGAAGTGAAAAAAAAACAACTTTTTCAAAAACATACATCATTTTTATAAATTCCTCGAAATCATGAAAAACGAGTTTTGGAATCAAAATGAGTTTTGATGATCGAAATGATTAAAACTGAGAATTATGTATGCATGCGAAGGAAAAAGTTCGACCTTGAATTTTAATCATAAACTGCCGTGTTTTGGATTTTAGAGTTCAGAAAATCATATGATTTCATAAAGGGCTAAGCTGGATAATAATTTGACGTTGGAATTTAACAAGTGTCTCATATTTAGAATTATGATACATTTTTTTTTGAAAAGATTTGAAATATATTCAGAATTCTTAGAGAATATATTTGATGAGCCTTAAAAATTGAAAACCTTAATGTTAGTTAGGATAAGTTTTCAAAAATTTTAAATTTTTGAACATTAACATTAACATATCTACCACATTCAAGAAATATAGATTTAGAAAAAAAAATTCACAATCCTCCTAAAAAGTGGTCTGAAACCAAACTGTTAAAAAGTACAGTATGGTTGTCTCTGTCGGGAACACCTCTTTGAAAAATGAAAAAAAAAGTCACAAACCACTTGAAAATGACAAAAATGTTCTTTGCACAATTTCTCATCAGTTCAACCTTTAACAATGTTCGTTCTTCTAACAAGAAACAAAAACCACGTCACCTGAATGCACTTAAATATATGTGGATGTGTTTAGATGTGGAGCAACAGGATGAAGAATGAGAAAAAACAAAAACGAGATTGGGTAATTTCACGATTCAGTAAACTCTTTTCTAAACCACCCTGAACAAAATTGGGAAGCAAATAATCCACAGAAGATGAAAAAGAAAAAAATGAGAAAACTATAGGGGCAAGAAGCACTTAAAAAATGAGTGAGTGAGAAAAAAGATATATATTATCGAGAATAATTAAGTGATAGGTATGTCAATAATAGTTGGTTGGCAATCGTTTTTTTTCTGACTGGCCACTTGAACAATAAGCTTGTGCGCACTTCTCATCAACACAAAAAGTACGGTGTAAAATGATAAGAGCCAACCACTTAGTTTTGCAAATCTGACTACATACAATCATACATATTTTGACAATTTTTCGACCGCTGATCAACAAAAGCTCAAAAATGCCTCCGAACGAATACAATGAGAGAGAAAAAAAAAGAAGAAGAAGAAGATGAAATTGAAATGTGAAATGAAATAAAACGAGGGTGGATGCAACATGTTTAATTGGGGGTGATTTTTTTTTCGATGAAAAAAAAATGATGATGGGCTCAATTTTTTTCGAGCCCAGCTTCCTTGTATTTAACGTCTTGATTTAATGAGATGGGTTTTTTGAGAGCAAAAAGAGAGCACAAAAGTCAAACTAGATCTTTTGGAAAACACATAGATTGGATGTATTTTGAGGCGAAGGTAATTGAGACATGACAAATAGATAATCACTTAACAATATGTGACAAAACGTTGTCTACGTCAACAAAAAATTTGGTAGCTCATTGGGAGGTCGAAGTTTAGAAGTTGTGAATTTTGAAAAACAAGAAACAGAAAGAAAAATGGATTGAAAAATTAAAAGACACAGAAGAACCGTTTCTACATTAACATAAAACGGCGCAGGTAAGTAAGAGAAAAACGCAAAGTTAGAGAAGTAGGCGAGAGAGTGTGGAAAATGAAGAGAGTATTCATGCGAGGAAGGAGACGTATATTCAAATTGATATATTTTGCGGAAGGAAATTATTGATCGAGTCAGGAAAAATGCAGTAGAAATTGTTTTTCGATTATTTTTTTTATCATAAATTTGAAGTAAATCAGTTTAATTTTGTGTTTGTTGAATTTATTTTGATTATTTTTGACGTAATTTAGTTCAATCCAAGATAATTTGAGATCTTCTATACATAAATGATGAACCTTTTTCCAATTTTATAATTTTTATACTTTGTTTGACAGGCTCGTTTTTTGTTCAAAAAGATGAGAACCAAAAATTGTTTACAAAAATAATCTTCTTCAAAGTTTCTGAGAATTGTTCAAAATTTCCATAAATCTTTTGAATCATTGGATAATCTTGAAACACTTTTTGATCAATGATCAGAATTCCACACCATCTCTAAATTTGAACTTCAGAATAACCCCTGACTAATTTCTTTTTATTTTGAAAGATTTCACAAATACTTCACTTTTAGATCATTGATTGACATCACAAAAATGTTGTCAATAAAAGGTCAGTGACATGATTTATGATAGCAATAACCGTGATGTTTGAAATCATTATTCTATTCGGATAAAACGAAACATTTTTGAAAAGATCAAAGAAACAGCGCATTATTTGAAGAACAAGATTAATCATATTTATTTACAAATACTTTACACTGTATGTTATTTTCTGTTAAAATGCTCAACATTTTTTGGAAGAAAAAAAAATATTACTGTCTGGAAAAACTAGGTTAATGCTCATTATCAATAGTGAATTCATCTCGAATGATTTTTGGTGTTTCGCCAATATCACATCTCCAAAATTGAATATAATCGCCTTCAATGACTTTGTTGTCAACAGCCGACTGAACCTAGAATTGTTATAGGTTCAGAATAAATCATTCTATCTCACCTTATATTTGCTAGTGATCACAAGAACATTTCCAGCGTGTTCGATTCGTAGATTGTAGTTCTGAATATTCTGTTTTTATTTATGTTGTTATCAGATGGGATTCAAGGATTTCTTACTTCAGTGCTACTTGGTCCAAGTTTATCATGATAGCTTTTGATAGCCTGGATGATTGCTTTGGAGCCGAAGAATGATTCCTTCCCCTTTTCAAGAAGCACGGCGTTTTCATCGTAAAAGTCGAATAACTGCAAAAATGGATATTGTTTGTGAGTAAACCGAAATTTTCAGAACATCAAAGTTTCTTTTTTGTACCTTCTCATAATTATTTGCAAAAACAGTGTCCGAGTAAACTTTGAACAATTCGGCACCGTATTTGGTCACATCAGTGTTGGCATTGAAAACTTCCATAATTTTTTCGTCCCCTGAAAAATCCATTTTTTTCAAACACTTCCTTTTTGTTTTATAATAAATGAAATAAAATAATACAATTCTTCCTCATACAAAAACATGAAGCAAAGCAAATGTTATGAATATATATGTGGTTAGTCAGCATTCTAACAGGACCTTGATATTACAAAAAAAATGGTTCAAAAAATAAGAGAAGAAAATATGTTTTTTTTTTATTATTATCAACACAACACAACACAAAACTGATGAAATAAGATAAATCATCTCTTTTTAAGGGCAATTGCGAACTTTTGTATGTCAGCAAATAATATTTGCCAATCACTCAAATTTTTTATCAATACTGTTATAACTACTGTTTTTCAACAAACATAAATATATAAAAAAGCTTCCTATGCAATTTCTTATCTTAAATAAATACATAAATCACTATGTATTGAGTTTGGAACCAAAGTATCAACTATCTTACTACAGACAAAAAAGTGTTTTGGGGGTAATGAATAGCCAAAAAACAAAAATTGCAACATACTCTGGCGATCAGAACACAAAATAATGACCTTTTTGTTATCTCGATATAACTGATGCAAAAAAAACTTGTTTATGGTTCGCCTTTGGGATAAGTTATATGGGGAAAACATTTTTGAGACATGCCTTTAGAAAGAATCGCGTGGTTTTGAAAATATATTCCAGAACTTTTCGAAACAATTTATCTGGAAAAAACTAGAAACAAAACGATTTGTTAAGTTTTTTCTCAAAATTTCAATAATATTGTCCAGATACATTTCTCGAAATTCCAAAAAAGTTCATTTGATTTTCAGATCGTCAATCATCACAGACAACGAATCTTAATTCAAACCAAACAAGTACATAAATCTAAAATATAATTTTTTCGGTGTGAAGAAATGAAATTGAAATTGAATAAAACCAACTCATTCATACTCGACCATAAATAACGGCAAGATTTTTTTTTTCATTTTCTCAAATTCAGGGTAAATTATGAAATTGGCTTTGTTCCTTGTTTGAAATGAGATTTTTCCATTTTTTTTGAATAAATTTGTGATTTTTTGTGTTCTGTCAATGTTGGTCCCTCGATTTTTTTCTCAAATTATATTATTTTATCACACGTGTCTCTTTCTTACAAAAATTATAAAAATTGGGATATTTTATGTAAATTTTTATTGTTTTTGATTATAGATTTTCGATGGAATCAATCGAAAAAAATTCTGGTTTTGCTTACGGGAAAATCATTTGAAAACAAAATGAGAGATCTTTTTAAATTTGTCATATTATGTAAATAATCATTTTCGGGTACGAGCTCGGGTCAGATAACTATGTATTATGAATAAACTATTGTTGTTAAAGAGGAAAATCTGGATTACAAATGCAAAAGCTCAGCGAGTTCTCAAATCATAATTATTCCCAATCAAAAATTTTTTCAGCACACTTCTCAGAAAACTTTTTTTTTTCCGAAATATGTTCACCCCCATGCTGAATTAAACATGTCAGAACATTTATAAAATTATATTACTGCCAACCTTTCGTTTCCAATTATTTTCACATTTCATATTCAGTAACAAAAGTGCATTTTTTATACCTTTGTCTAAAAAAATGTGAAAACGCCATAATCACATTATACTAATTAGAAAAAAAGCCAAAATCTTAATGTGCAAATTGCGTGCACTATACGACTTTGGTCGTTCGCATTTTCACATTCCCAAAAAAATCATAAATGATTATAATAATTTGATTTTTGTCTCTACAGTATTCCTATTGTTTTATGTATTATATAATACACATTCATACATACATACATGCATATTTCCGTCATTCAAAACCAAATGTTCTATACACATTTGGCGTGTCGCCTTGTGTCCAAACCAACGTCGCTCACACACACACAAAAACTAGGGCGAAATGAGTCAGAATGCTTTTATTATTATTTTTTTGATGTATATTCTCACAGTTATTCCCGCCCCAAATACGAGCACTAATGTTATTTATGTGATTTTATTGCTTCTGATTATCGAATCGACAATATTCACACTATTAACACACACAGGGAATTCTTATTCTATTTTGTTGGTTTACAATCATATTCTTTTCGGCTTTTTTTGACGATTCGATTCGGAAATTGTGCAGTCAGAATGCACGAATTAGGAAAATAGCATACTGGCCTCATAATTTCTGGATCGCAAATGTCAATCCTTTTCTTCTTCTTACTTATTCGTTCTGCTACGACGTGTTGGATATCCAAAAGGTATTTTACATCGATTGAAATGATTGTAATGCCCTTTCGATATCCGATAAGTTGAAAGTGGATTTTTTGTTGAATCTGAGAGCGGGGAGTACAAGGTAATTAATGATGAAGCCACTTGGTTTGAAAACATCAATAGAAAAGTTCACTGAACCATTCGTTGGAAAAAATCCAACATGCATAGCTTTTTCAAATATAAATACTTAAGAGTTACAGAAAAAATATCTGAAACTCAATTTTCCAAAAAGTGCAAATACGCGTAGAATAACAATATTTTCAGCATTTCTCGATGTATTCAAGCTTTAAGATGTGGCTCGAAATTGAAAAATTCTCATTAACTTTTTTTTAATTAAAGCCAAATTTTTTGTTGGATTTTCACAAACTTCTCTGAATCTGAGTTTTCCCCTATAATTTTTCTCAGAAAAATGGAAAGTTTTTTTGAAAATTCAAAACGCTCACATTCAGTGAAAAGATGTAAATACTAATTTATTGAATCTCATTCATTGACTCTGACGGATATTTATTATTTCTCCAGGTTTTTGGACGAATTTTATTATGATTCAGGAGTATCTTAAAGTTTTAAAACTCTAATAACTCAAAGTAAGCAAATTTTCCAGAATTTTTCTTGTCTAATTATTTTTGAAAATATCTACCTTGAAAATTCATCGAACAGATTCATAAATATCACTGCAGGAGGGAGTGCTCACATTATTTTCCTCGTAAATACCTTATGTTCCATAAAACACTTTGTTCTCCAACAAAAAAGTCACGTTGCAATATTTCTTTTCACTTCCTACAGCAATTGAATCCAGATGTTTTTCCAGCGAGTTGATCAGAATCTGATCGATTCATTCAGTTTTATATGCATCTGATGTGAACAACAAAATAGTAAATTTGTGTTTAACATAGGTAGTGTGTAATTGTGTGTTCTTTTTCTTCATCTATCTGTCACATATTCTTCGACTCGACTCGAATGAAATGATGTCTATTACACACTTCGTTTTTGCTCACCACTCATCTCTTTTCTCTATTCGTTTTGCCTTCTCAACTTACAGATGATCATTTTGAGAATCATTCAAAATGTCCAGAACTATTACTAATCTTGCACCCGATGGAACTCCAAAAGGAAGTCGTGTTTGGGTTGATGGCTGGTAAGTTTTATTTCAAAAATGTTTTGAAAGTGAACATTTTTATTTCATAATTTTAAGCTTCGATATTTTCCAATATGCCAATGCACAATTATCCTTCGCCGCAAAACAATATGGAAAACGATTAATTGTTGGAATTCACAACGATGATGAGGTTTTTTTTTCATTGAAAAATGTTTGCCGAACTTCTAAAATAAAATTCCGAGGTTTTCAGGTTGAGGACAATAAAAATTTGCCAATTTTTTGCGAGGAGGATCGATATAGATTGATGTCTTCTTTGAAATGGGTTGATGAGGTGAGGGGTTCAATGAATCAAATAATTGTTTTGATGAAGAACATGTTTACGAAAAACTGACAGAACCATTTATCTTTAACAGATGTCTAGTATTGATAGTTTCCGGAACATAATTGTTTATTTTATAAACATTTTTTAAAGAAAAGCTTTCAATTTCATTGCGAATCAATTTTTGATTGCGAATCAATTTTTTTTTCGAAATAGTTTAATTTCATCAATCCAAAAAGCATGTCGTTAATTCTGATTTCCTAAAAATCTTCCAGGTTGTTGAAGACGTTCCATTCACCACAACAATTGCCTCTCTCAACCAACTCGATTGTGATTTTTGTCTTATTACAGGTAAACATGCTTTTCTCTAGAAAGTTCTTTCTTACAATAATAATCAAAACATCTGAAAATTTTTTCAGACCCACCTATGACAAATATGGAAGGTGAAAACAGGCAAGCTGATATTGCAAAAACAAATCGACATAAGAAAATTGATATTGTTGGATTGTTAACTGAAAATGTATGGTTTTCTCTGGGTAGCAAAAGAATTTGAAAAAAAACATATTTTTAGGAAGTGATTGGTAGAATTTTCCTACAAAATTCAACTCATCATTTTCATTGGAAATATTTATTCGAAAGAAAATATATTATCGAACAATATGCGATGAAAGATTTTGCGCCATATACAAAAATCCGAACATTTTCGGATAATCAACTTACTGAACTTACTATTGGTAGAAACCCCCAACCAACTGACAAGGTAAACTTTTTTTCCAGTAGAAATGGCAGGTGATATCACAGAAAAGAAAATCTGAAAAGACAGCTGAAAAATCTCCGATGACACATCATAAATGATGCAATAATACATATTACGTTTTTAGATTGTCTACGTGACTGGAGAATTTGACATTTTCAATGTTTCTCATCTATCACTTTTGGAGAATGCCAAGGAATTGGGAAATTATTTGATCGTTGGATTGATTTCAGACGAAGTAAGATGTTTTCAAACGAAATTTTGGAGTTTTTTTTAAGTTATTGAAGGAAAATTGATAAACTTAATCCTGAAAAAAACATTTTGAAAAAAATTTAAAAAAAAAAGTTTTTCATGTTCATTCAATTTTCACTTCACCAAAAAACACTACTGAAAATTATAAATCTTGTAAGATTGAAAATTCAAAAAAAACTGATTTTCTACACTTTGAAACAACAAAAATTGTTCAGGACATCAACAATAATCGTGGCTCTAACTTCCCAATTACAAACTTGTTCGAAAGACTTATCACACTTGCATCAACTCAGGTAAATCAACTTTCAAATTTGAAAATTATTTCAGTTGATTTCAAAGAACTTTGATTTGAACTTTCTAAAAAAAACCACACATTGAAAAATTCAGGTGGTCGATGAAGTAATTGTTAATGTTCCAACATGCATCACAACACAACTTATGAAAATGTTAAATATAAATTTTGTTGTCGAAGGAATTACAAATGAGAATATCGATTACTCGGAAGCAAAAAATATGGGAATTTTTGCAAAAGTTGATTTTGATTCAGAAGAAACCACACAAAATATTGTGGATAGAATTAATTCGCTAAGGTTTGTCACTTCTTTGGTGCAAAAAAAAAAACAAAATGTTTTTTTAGACATGACGCTGATAACGGTGAAATTGAAACGTATCGCGATGTCCCTACAAATAATCAACAATAATTTTTATCTTCCATTCAAAAAATTCGTCACCCTGGATTTCATCAATAAGCCATTAGAATGATATTTTGAATGTTCTCCAGGATGTTTCGATAGTCAAATGTTGTGAATTTGCCATGTTGTGTGTTATCCAATTTAATTAACCCAAAAAAGTATACATGTTTCTCATATGACTTTTTCGTTTTAATACTTCAATTTTTTTTTGGAATTAATGAAGTCTGTTTTTTTTCTTTTGGAAAAGAATGTCATCTCATCTCATTTCTCGCCAAGTTTAGTTTGTGAAATTTTTTTTCTGAAAAAAACACGATACTGTGTGACAGGTGAAAAGTTATTTCGAAGAAGGGTGTGGAAAAACGCCTATCTTGTGTGTTATTTCAATTTTCAGCTGTCTTTCTGGTATAAAAGGCACCGTATTTATCCGAGATTCTCATTTTTCATCTGGTTGTTATGTGCATTTTTTTCCTTTTTTTCTCATTTTTGAATGAAACCAACTAGTTTCTTTATTATATTTATTTTTGTTTGTTACAGGTATAAAAATGATTGGGAGCAAAATGATGGTTATGTTGAGTATTTTAGTGGTTATGACTGTTAACGCTGCTAAACGAAATGCTCAATGTAATAATGTTTGTCAAGGAAAAATGACAGTTGAATGCTGCGAGTGTATTGGATGTAATCAAGGAATGCGATTCGGAAAACGATCAATGTCTTATAATATTCCGTTTGACTTTGATGATGAAATTGGTTAGTTGAAAACTTATAATTTTCAAATATTGAAGGAGTTTTTTTTGGTTTAGTAGTAGCGTCGGAATATGATAATAGTATATTTTGATTCAGCTAATAACAAGTAGAAACGAAAACGACGATTATTTATTTTTTGAAATTTTTTGGAAATTTTTAAAACTTTTTTACTTTTTTCAAAAATAATAATCTGATGGTTTGACAGGTGTTGAAGAAGTGTTAGAAGAACTCGAGAATGAACTTGCCAGCCGACCACATCGTTTGAATGCAAAAAAGCTTCTATGATTCGAAAAAGGTACCCTTGTAGAGTGTTTTCATTTACTGATTTTTTCTTATCTGTGAAGCGAATAAACATTTTTTGTTATTGTTTTTAATCAAATTTTTTCAACAACTATTGTAAATTTCAAATATCTCAATTTTAAGTCGTTTATTACTGTAAAGATTAACAAGAAATGTCAAAACACTTCAAAAATTAGAGTTGGGACTTTCTTTATAATTGTTTTTTTTTTTTCAAAATGTTTTCACAATACATGATCAGAAAACGAAATCACTTTATTCGCACAATTTTTCAATTTGGGCCAATATATGTTTATTCTTCTTTTAAAAAAATTATTTTTTTCTGGCCGTTTTTTTAAACATCATCTATCTGAAACATGCGAAGAAATAACAACAATATTCATATGCCTATATTTTATAAAAAATAATGACAAACATTCATATACGCCTCGTTTTTCATATAAAAGTTGATCATTCTCTGTTTAATTAATCATAAATATGTATTCATTTTCAGCTGTGCCCGTATGCTTGTTGATAGGTAAAAAACATGTCTTAACGCTATATTTTTTCAATAATTTTTAGCTATCCTAAGAAGTAATGCTCAAGAAATAGAAGCTGAAACAATTCTGACAGATACAGGAGTGAATTTGATTACTACGGATACCGAAATAAGTGGAGAAAGTAAGAGAAAAAAAACACATTTTTCACGGAATGTGAAACAGTCGATTGAGTTTAAATTAAGAAAAAACAAGGTTATCAATTACTATAGTCAGTTCTTGAATAAAATGTGGTTAGAATCTAACGGAACCAATTTATCATAAATTTAATATAAAACTGTTTCAGTTACTATTCCATACAAGCTAGTTGGAAGACTGGCGATTGGACTCAAAAACAATGTTAAAACACCGTAGGTTAAGATTTCGAACACTGATCGGTGAAATTGATAAAGTTTTTAGAATACCATGCACAGTTGATTTACCATTCCAATGCAATGGAACTTTGTCAATTTCAGCTGATGGGAAATATTACCTATATTACCAAAGTGAGTCGAACAACAAAATGTTAGACATTTGTCATTTTTAGGATTGAGTGAATTGTATGTCCCCGTTACATCACACAGTTTTTTGGGTTATGAATTCAAATTTGCTGATCCAGCAACCGGAGGAAATACAGGAAATACCAACGCCGAAGTTAGTCCAATGGATTTTTAATTCTCAATTTTTTTCGCAAAGAATAAATGTTTTTATCAATTCACAAGCGAGCATTTTCAACTTATAATCGAGATTTTGATTCCAGTTGTCGGTTTTAGGATGATCGGCTCAGTAAAGTGACTGGATGTTAGACATATGAATTTTCAAAACTTTACGAACAATTATTTTTTATTGACATCTCATTTCTCACAAAAAATATACTGAAGTAAAGAAACAATCACCTTTAGAACTAATTTTATGGAATTGAAAATGTCCCAATGTCAGCGAATAACAAAAATATGCTTTAATTCAAAATATTTAGGGCTGTTAAATTTGTGTGTATAGCTAATAGCCGAACAATATAACCGCTTATTTTTCTATATGATTTCCAATAAAATTAGGTTCTTTTGTTTTAAACGAATTAGAAAAATGTCAGACCCAAAAAAAACGACTCAAATTTTCAGCGCTGATCGGTGAAATTTTCGAATATTTTGAGAAATTAGCATTTTCGGCTACAAATTTAGTTTTCAGAGTTTTACACAGCATTCAACAACAATACATCATAAAATACACGAGTTTTATTATTTGAATTACAATGTTCCACAATATTATACGATAATAAATTTTTCTTTACGTCGCCTGAACAAACGAACCGTCGAGAAATTTTCAGGAGAGGAGAGAAAGCGCGCTCTATCGCACACAATTTTCTCATTGCGCCATCATTTTTTCACTTTTTTCCTCTCTGTCTCTGACCTTTTTCTACTTCTTTTTCCATTTTTTTCTTGACGGGTGCTCGCGTAAAAGAAAGCGCGCCGTGTGTATTTAAATTTCACCGGTCGTCCAATTTTTAGGCAGAGCAACTTATTGTAAAAAAACATAAATGAAGCTGTATTACAAAATTGATTGAACATGAAAACTTTGAAGGATTTCGATATAACTTACGTTCTTCAACAAAACCTCTTCTCTTCATACTCGGTCTTGTAAAATGCGAATCGAGAGAGACAAATATAAAAAGACAGAATTCGCAGTCTGATGGGATAATGCAAAAAAATTGACTTTCTATATATAGAGATGTATACATTCGAATCGGTATCATTTTATTTTTGCGAAAATTCCTTTCGTAATTTCAAAAAAATATTTTTGAATTGAACATTTTCAATAGTAAAAAGAAGAAAACGTGGAAAATTTTGACGGAATCTCCATCGATCTGAAAATTTTCTGTTTCTCTGTGTCTATCTTGATTTGCGTAATATTAAAAATCTAAAAAGGCTTGCATAACTTTTATTTCTGTGGATTATTGTGTGAAATTTATAAAATCTAAAATGTAAAACAAACTTTTGTAAAATTGTTTGATTTTACAAAACTACAAAATTTTAATTCAGTGTGTCTGTCAATTACTATTCACATACATATGTTATTGATTAAAAACTTTATATGATTCATTCATCACTCAATGAGCGTTAAATCTTGATTATTCACAGATATTTTCAATTTCGTACATGTATCTATTTTTAAATATCTCTTTGTAGTATCAGCTTGTAAAGTTGAGCAGCCGTCATTTGTTTTTATTCTGAAATAATATCATTTGGAATCAATTGAGCATTGAATAGATATTTATTAGTTTGATTTTTCGATCGTATGAGAATATTATAATATATTAAAAATACCAAAATCATGGAAAAAACTGAATGGAATGCACTGAATGTTTATTTCCGAACAAAACCCTAACTTCTTACCCATAATACAAACTGAATTCGAATTGTTTTAGATATATACATGTATGCAGAATTTTCCTTTCACATTTTGAGTCAATAATTTTCAATTTTTTATCAGTGTACAGTGGCGTGCATTAGTCATGCACACTCATGTTTTTTTGGTGTAGGAAAGGTGAAAATAGTCGGAATGAGATGAGATTTGGCTAGAATAAGTATATCGGTCCTAGAAATGATATTTTATCAAAATAATAATGATTTTGATATATTGCCACGTGGAAGTTCCATGACTTGCAAAATGATGAAAATCGTAATTTTCACATTTTTCACAAACCGAACTCCAATTTCTTTTTTTGTTGAATATTTGTCAGTTTTTGAGTCAGACACAATATTTTAGCATATTTTAGTCAATTAGGTCCAACAACCGAGTATTTTGATGAAATATAAGATCTTCAGTAATCTCCTGAAATCTATGCCTTCACTGAGACTCGCCATCAATTTTGATCATGGCTGAAGGTATCAAAAATATGTGGTATGATTGACATTTTGGACTCAAATGTTGTCAAACATCATCAAAAACAAGTTTGAAAAGTTTGTTATAAAATGGATTACACAATTTGGAACTCTAGTGAGGCCAATGGAAAATCTTGATTTTTGGCTCTTGAAAAAAATCGAAACTCATGATTTATTTTCCGTAAAAAGAAGTTTTTGACGAAGAATTTTTCGAGAATCTGATGAAACTAATTAAACTTCATCAAAATCAATCCTGATTAACTTTTCTACCCGTGAAAAATATCATTTTATTGAATGGTTTTCAACAAATTCTCTGAGATCTCGAAATGAGAAATTTGTCTGCATACTGGTTCGAGCATAAATTTTTTTGTTACCCACTGAAATTGACTTTGATACGTCTAAAAAACATTTTGACAGCCTATTTCATAATTTCCATCGAGTTTCTATTCAAATTTATGAAAAAACAGAGTTTTTTCAACTTCTCGTTTTCATTCAGCCAAGCTGATTGAGAGTTATTGATCGAAATTCTCACCAAATTACGAGATGTGGTGGAAATCGTTGAGAATCCATGACACCACGGATTTAGGTAAACTGAAGAACCATTTTAAGAACATAAAACCCTACTTTGAAAAATTTTTCGATAATGTATGGATAAAAAATGAGAGAACTGTCAGACAAAAATTGTAACACTTTTCACATAACATGTACTGAAATGAAACCAAATGATCAGTATTCATATGAAGCTTTTCGAACTTGTTTTTGATGATGTTTGACAACATTTGAGTCCATAATATCAATCATACCACATATTTTTGATACCTTCAGCCATGATCAAAATTGATGGCGAGTCTCAGTGAAGGCATAGATTTCAGGAGATTACTGAAGAACTTATATTTCATCAAAATACTCGGTTGTTGGACCTAATTGACTAAAATATGCTAAAATATTGTGTCTGACTCAAAAACTGACAAATATTCAACAAAAAAGAAATTGGAGTTCGGTTTGTGAAAAATGTGAAAATTACGATTTTCATCATTTTGCAAGTCATGGAACTTCCACGTGGCAATATATCAAAATCATTATTATTTTGATAAAATATCATTTCTAGGACCGATATACTTATTCTAGCCAAATCTCACCTCATTCCGACTATTTTCACCTTTCCTACACCAAAAAAACATGAGTGTGCATGACTAATGCACGCCACTGTATATTTAAATCTATCTATATGCGTTAGTAGTCTATATCAATATAAAACTTTAAAAAATCAATGAACTCACTGATACGTTCTCAAATCGGATAACAATGCAATGTCGCCTCGTGTTTTGGGTGCTTCACCAAGTTCTTCGTAGACAGCGAACGACGACTGAAATTGATAATGAATGAATTTGAAAAATGAATAAAAATATTTCTTGAAATGGTAAAAAGTCATCTGTAGTTTTTTGGGGTCAGAAGATCAATCCAGGATGTTTTTCCCAGTGAACCTCTGAGCCGAATTCTGGGCTCTGAAAATGATAATATTGTAGAAATTATAGTCTTTTTTGAAAATTGAAATTAAATAAAATTGACTTCTTGATGCACTTCGCGACTACGGTGATCATTTTATGATGTTTTTTATTCATTTATTCATGAAAATATGTTATTGAAGGAGTTACGAGGCTTTGTATAAACACTATGTTGCTTTTTCAACCTTTGAGAGCTCAACTGAACAATGGGCGATTGAGAAAACATAAAAGTCAGACTGGTATTCTGATTCAAAATGATTCCTACTAAATTGTTGAGTTTTAAATTTTTGATGATAAAAGGTTTCTTCCTAAGCGATATTTGCAAAAATCAACATATCACAACATATCAAAGAGCAATCGGCGAGAATGAGCGATACGTAGAGATAATCTCTGATTCAATAAGAAAACGAATTCCACGTAGTTCACGTTTTTAATGAATAATTTTCATATTTTTTTCGTCGAAAGGTTTAGATTTGCACGTGAAAGTGTCTGTGTCTCCCTCACTCTCACCTATTGCCAATCTCACATGTTGTGGTAGAAGAGATTAATAATTTCAGATTAGGATATCAACATTGAGAACTGACTTTTCCAATAAATAACGGATTCATGTGATATTTAAATAACTCACACCAAATCCAGCAATGCTTGTAAACTCATGGTTACCGCCTGTTGATGCTTTTGTTAGTTTTTCATCATTACTATCTGATGCGGTATGATGCAGATTCAATGTGCTATAATCTCCCGAAAGATACTCAAAATCGCCAATTTTTTCACTTTTTGATGCTTTTCTGAAACAAAACAAATTAGAATAAACAATTGTAACTTCTACAACGTCAATCCTGAAATTAAATATTTCTTGTTATCGATTAGCACAAATTTTTTGGTGTCTAATCCAGTTCCAGGGTAAATCTTTTTGAATATCTTCGCTGTCAGTGGCTGTAATATTTCATAGATCTCGATTGAAAAAATATAGAAAACGTAAAATACTCACTGTTGTTCTAATCAGTTGCGTCACTGTGGATCCAATAGTGATAGAAACTTCAGTACATGCTTTGTTTAAATAAATCATTTGGTTTGTTTTGCTCCCGGTTACTGGTGTAGGACAATTTACATGCTGTGACATACTGTAAAAAACTTTTGAATGAGTGTTATTCAAAAAAATTTTGTAAAAAGAGGAATTGCCTATTATCAAGTAAAAAGCTTCTTAAAGTGTGCTGAGTGCTAGTTAATTTTTCATAGAATGAACTCACGTGAATGTTTGTGCTTGATCAAGAACAACAATGATATTTGAACTGAGCGGAGGACTAATAGGGCCAGGAACTTCTTCAAACACACGGTAAAGAGCCTGCAAATTTTTTTGATTGAAACAATCGATTATTTTATTTTTAAATGTGAATCAGATTTGTGGAGTTAAAAATCGTGAATGATGAAAAATGCCCAAAATATCAAACAAACAAAAATTGTTTTTTTTTATATTGCAAAATTAATTAGCAGGGATTGGCATTTTTCAAGAGAAAAACTATTGAAACATGTGGATGTTTAAACGATGTTTTTTTTAATTTTCATTTGTTTTCACAATGTATTACGTATTTTGATGAAGATTACAGCCTTGCGATGTTCATCCAAATATTTAGCACAAAGCAAGTAATAAATAGTCTACACATTTCTCCTTTTTTAAACAGTGCCTGAAATTAACTCACGCCATTAGGAGCATCTTGAGCAGTGTTCGCGGCTCCTGTTTGTTGTTTTTGAATTTTGAATTTGATCGGCTTTGAATCTTTATCGAATCCAATTCTCACTGTTTTTTCCGCAGTCGGTATTTCTGTAGCACTAGGGGTGAACTTGAACAAGTTTTTCGAGAGTGGTGTTAAAGTGCCAAACGTTAAGAATGGTTTCGAAACTCTGTAAAATGTTTGTCTTGAACAAAGTTGATAAGAAACTAACTTCTCAAGTCCCAAAAATAAATAAGTTTTTGTGTGATCAATGAAGAAGACATTATTGTTTGCAATTATTTGTTGATAATATTTTGGGGCCTGTAAAATTTAGATATTTTTTATAGTTAAGCAGCATTGTAAAACTATTTGAGGGGTATGCATAACTCACCGACGCAACCGATCCTATCAAAAATAAAGTAACAAATACGATGAACCGCATTGTCTTTTTTGAATTAATTTGCTATTTGTCCTGGCTCATTTTATATACCGAATATGTTGACACTTCCATGGCATGTCATCATGAAATTTTCAATGAATCAGTTTTATGTGTTGTTTTCTATTTTATAAAACATTCATTCCATTTTTATTAAACATCATTTGTTTTTGTATTTGGCAAAGCATAAAACATATGTATAATCTTCATTTTTCTAAGGCAATATTCGTCATACCATAGATCAATAAAAATTATATTTACAAGAAGTAATCTTACTCCAACCCCACAAAAATCTCTAACGGTGGCAAGGAGATAACAAGTTACGACAGGTTACAACTTGGTGAGCAAGTTGCTAAATCGTTGTCCGACATCACCTGAGCTTTTCAAGCTTGAATGGTTCTTCTTGATTTTTATGGATTTTTCCTTTAAAACATTTAATTCAAATAAGAACAGTGTTATGTTTTTGTAAATTGGTGCATATGTACAAACGAATTCAAACTTCTCACTTGTCAGTCAAATCTCATACTCAGAGAAAGTTTGAATCCATACGCGTACGATTGCTTCCCAAAATCAGTGCACGGCTATCGCAAAGAAAAATTTGCGAACAGCGAAACTTTGATCGAATAAGACCTAATTTCGCACGTTCCGCAAAATTTTTAACTCGGAAATTCGATTTTTCTGAGTTTTTCGCAGATGGTGTATAAAAAAGATTAATTGTCTCGCGTACGCAATAACGAGAATAGCGCAGCAAGAAGGGCGGAAGTCTACAAAGCTACAGGATTGGGATCGAGGCTGGGTCAATTCTACCTATGATAAATATCAGGGGAACTGAAGCATTTTTATATTTCGAGATTGAATTTCGTGGATGTTTCGCTAAAGTCCTTGTGTCAACTGCTGCTTTTTACATTTAGCGAACAGCGCCGTTCAATCCAGACTTTTTCCAATAAGTCGATTTTTTTTTCATTTATGAAATTCAAATGTTACAATCGAACTGTTTCAACTTTAACTCTAGATTTCTGAAAAAAAATATGTTTGTGGTTTTCAAACATATGATCACAATCCCATTCCAAAAATTGCACAAACACCTGAACATAAATTTTTCCAGTGAAAAATATATAATTTTTCAAAATTATTTAATGTTGAAAATATTGAGGGCGCTCAAATCCTGAAGACCATCCTGAAGAATGCTTTCTGGTGAGCTTGAAAATCATTTTTTAAGATTCTAGGCACTTCCAAAAGTCCCAATTTTTCAAATTTTCCGAAATTTGCGACATCATAATTTATCAGAGACTTGACTATTGCAATTTTTGACGGCAGTGTCGTGATCAGCGGGGCGAAACTATTAGATAACATATATATGTTAACCATCTTCAAATTTGTCGATATTTAAAATTTCCTGAAGCGAGTTATCTTGGTTTTCATTGCCAATTGCAATTCACGAAACGACACGTAATAAATAAATTGAAGAGGAAATTCCTCTTTTTTTTTGAGTTGAGTCTCGCAGCGATTACGTTTCTCTTATGGGCCTATGCAGAATGATATTTTGTAATAAAAAAAAACATTTTTTTTCCTATGCAGAAAAACGTCGAAAAAACAAAATATACAGTTTATCATTTTGAGTAGAGACAACGTGAAATTGAGAGAGTGCAGACAAAAAAAACCCATTTTATGTCTGCGCTCTCTCAATTTCACGTTGTCTTTATTTTGTTTTTTCCAGACCTGTCGTTTTTGGGCGGCCGGGCCGGGCCAGCCCTTCAAAATTCAAAAAATGCGGGCTTTTTCGGCCCTCCGGCCCTTCTTTTTTTATGAGAGGCTGTTTCAGCCCTTTTTTCGGCCCTTCATAATTTTTTGATGACAATTCGGGATTTTTACAAATGGATGATTTTGCTCAAATTTTCTGCATTTGGGCGAATTTCATAAATCAGAATAACTTATATTGGTGTTAGTGCACCAACATTTCTTCGAAGAACTGTTTTGGTGCAGGATCGTAATGGTGAAACACATGAATTTCAATAAATTTTACTTTTATTATCAATCCACCATTAGAAACACGAAATTCGCCAATTTTCTTCCGCCAAAATGCAAAAAATCGAAAGAAACACCATTGAAAAATAGTGCATTTACACAATAAAATTTGTTGGAAAGGCCGGGCTGAGCCAGCCCATTTTCCCTATTTGGGCTGGCTGGCCCGACCCTTCAAATGGCTGGCCCGAGGGCCGCAAATAGCCGCAAAACGACAGGTCTGGTTTTTTCGACGTTTTTCTGCATAGGAAAAAAATGTTTTTTTATGTTTTTTTATTACAAAATATTATTCTGCATAGGCCCATTAACATTTCTCCTCTTTTTTTGTGTTTTTTCCGTGTCTTTTTTTGAATTGCAATGCAAACTTCATTTTTGGTTCAAATGAATTGATCCATATATAATTGATATCTATTTCTGAAATTATAAAGTGGAACCATAGATAAAGTGGAACCATAGTGTTTGTAAAGCCTCTTTTTGTGTGATGTGTTGCTATTGTGATGATGTGATTATGTTATGTGATGTAAAACTGTATCTTGCCGCTTGCTGAGATGTTTTCCGTTATGTATATGCTACTTTCTCCTCAAATTCGCTGATATTCACAGACTCACGAATTTGCAGAAAACGCCTACTCCAAATAATTTCAATCTTTTTTATGCACAAAATGTTTTTCAATTACTTTATTTAAAAATAGCAATGTATTAGGTTTTGAAACTTTATTGGAAAAATCAAATAACGTATGACAAAACATCGTTACCAACTGCGAATATAACCTTGTCTCCGGCAGTTTTTCCATATGCTATAAAACATTCAGTTTGTTTATGTGCACATTGATGAAAATTTTCAAACTCACTTGTATAGAAAAATGCAATAGTGTTCTCTTTATCAAACTCAACTGTCTTGTGTACCAATAAACTTTCGTCATTTGATTTCACATTCAACCTGAACTTTATCTGATTTTTTCTGTTTTACATGTTATGAAAATGTCCCTCTTTTTTGAAACTCACCACTTTCCTTTTGTGAAAGTGTTACTGGGAGGATCAATAAAGAAAGAATATTTCAAAACAATGAGCCCAAACGTATTCACTCCCAATGTGTTATCACTTTGCTCAACTCCGTCAGAATTATAACGTTTTATGGTGACGCGATATGGAATATCTGGAACAGAAATTTTTCAAAATGTATCTTACATGTTACAATCTGAATCTCTCACATTCAGAAATAACAAGAAAAAATTTGTGAGAATATCACATACCTTTGTCTCCAATTCTGACGACTTGTACTTGCTGGGCATTGACATATAGAAGGATAAATGAACACAAAACTATTCTGAACATTTTAATTCAATATAATTTTCTTGCAATTCATTAAATATTTATATATGCTGTATGTTTTATAAAAGTCCCCCGTTTTGTTTTCGATTGTTTTTATGATGAATTTCGATGATTCTTTGAAAAAATTATTCAACAAAAATAATAATTCTGCATAGAAAAATAATAATGTCAAACCGTATATAAAAAAAGATCATTTTTCATCAATAGCTCAGAAGGAAACATTTTCAGCAGTCAGTTTGGATTTTGAAAACCCAATATTAGTATAAATATAAAAAAAAGCTGCCGAAATTAATTTCAAATTTCCAGAATTGGCATGTTCTGAGAATGATTCAATCTATTTCATCAAATTTTTTGGAAAATTGTTCAATTAGTGGAGCTTTTCAATAAGACCTCGGGTCAAATCCAATTTTATTGATGTAAGTAACAGTCGAGTTTTGGTGTGTAGGAATAACATTTTAAACCTGAGATCATGCAAAACCACTTCTGACTTATTCAACAAAAGCTTTATTTCATAAACCTGTTCAAAATCTTTTTGAAGATTGCTTCAAGGTGTTCCAACATGATGACTCTGCTCCCAAATGTCAAAAATCTGCAAACCCCCTTTGATAAACTTCCGTATGGTGTCAAAACAAGGTCCATTATAAGCGGCAGGAAGTCTCCAAAGGTTAACTGCTAGCTGAAACAATATAATTTTTTTCCAAGTTATATTTTGAACCGAAGAAAACATACTCTCATTTTGCAATCACTTTCCCCTCTGTTCTTACAAAGTTCATATTGAATAACACTTGATGAAAGAGCATTCCTGTTATATAAACATTCTTTTCGAACAGCAACAAATTCATTATGCAATGTTGAATCAGTAAAACTGTAATCAGGGCCAGAACCAACTGAAAAATGACAATCATTAGAAAATTTCAACTTTTATTCACTCACCATATGATTCGCCATATGGACCAACACCACCAACACGAACAACCCCATAATAACTCTGGGCCACAATAGCGCCTTCTTGAATTTGCACACAATATTTGAAAATTCTGTCACAATTTTCTTGGTTTTGTTGGTTATTATAACAGTCATCATGTTGTGAGCAACAGTGACTCACTTGTTCAGCTGTAAATTAAAACAACAGTTCAGAAATATTATTTTCGAAATTTACCGGTTTCTTTTTGCAAGAGTAAGTTTACAAAAACTTTTGAAAGTTTGCTTGTTCCACAGAATAACAAATCGTATGTTATATGAGTTGCATCTCTTCCAACGTAAAGAACATTTGAAGATGTGACAGAAAATTCGAGATAGAGAGCGAATATCAGAAATAACACTCTCATTCTTAGTTCTAAAATATTGAGAAGGCTCTTTATATATTATTGGTTTTTGATACTATTCACATTAAGATAATTTTTATTAATTTGATTTCTTCTCATGATTGCGTAGGCAACCAACGTCGTATTTTTTGCAACCAGGGACTGTGTGCGATACTTTTTTTTAGAAACTTCATGATCATAGTTAATGCATTTACAACGAAAACAAACAATTTCTAACTTCGGTTAGGCCACTAAAAAATAACTTTATTCAGAATAGTTAACGAAAAATTTATGAAACCAATTCTTCTGCTCTCGGGTAAGTTGGAGGAACTTGAACTTCTGATGCAAATGAGCTGTTGGTATAGCTCTCAAAATTGAAACTGAACGAATTTTCACGATCCTTCAGGAAGTTGTGGAAACTATAGATTACCTGAAAAATTTAATTGGAAAGAGTATTTCAGTTTTGTCATCCAACCTCTACAAAATAAGCTTGAATCAATCCACCAATACATAAAAACAGAACAAATAATACTGTGAACACCGCCAGATCTGTAAAATTCCTCAATTTCTTTAAAATCTGTTTTTTTGAAAAGCACCTGCATCAAGTTGATCTTGACTTTCGGTTATATCAATGTTTCCTACATTGTTTGCTAGATCTAAAACCATTTTTGATCCAACTGCAATTGAGATGATGAAAGCCAGAAGAATGATCAAGTTTATGAAAATGGATAGAATCTGTTTAAAAAAATTTAATAAAGTTTTTGTTTCAAATGAAAATTATTTTAAACAATACCTGAAAAACTATATAAGGATACAAATAAAGTCGTTTCTCTTTCCAAACTCCATACAATAAACTTCCAAAAACAACAACCGAGAATGCAGTGCTGAAAAAATATAAATTCTTTGATAAGATAAATGTTTTCATTTTTCACCTTGTCAATGTGTAAACTATAACTGTCGAACTTCTGGTGAAGCTGAAAATTATGTTGATAGCAGTGATGATATTGACCAAAACTGCCACTAATCTAGCACCTTTCTGAAAAATGGGGTTTTCGTTTTTTAAAGTTAGATTTCAGGGTAGATAGAGTTTTTTTCAAATTTGATCATGAACTTTTATTTGTTTTCAATTATTGGAGTGAAAAAATGTTTCACACATATATTAAAGGAACACAAACACATACATATCATTTAAAAGGGGACCATTGAAACATAAATATATTGGATTATTTTGAGCTCTGAATAGGAAAAGTTCTAGATTTGTGTTTTTCAAGAGTAATTTTAATAAATTTCAAAACCTTATCAAATAGGGCAAAAAAGGCCTCACTTCGATATTCTTAAAGAATGTGAAAAACATACCTTGATGTGTAAAACACCACAAAAACACTTGTATTTCTTGTCATTTTGATCAAATGGCACCCGATTAGCAGTAGCAGTTGCATTAACCGACATGCCTAGTTCGGAATTGAAATCATCAAAAAAATCAACGTTGATTCCCTCTCTCATATTTGGCGCAAACAAAAAAGTCGTCTATTTGATCAACTGCGTTTGCATATTCAGCTATGAGAGCAGGAAGAAAGCAGCCAACAGAAGAGAAATGAAAAAAAAACGATTTGCAATTTGGCCGCTGGCAAATTTCACACAGTGTATCGACTTTAATATTTTTTTCTGTTGTGAATCAAAAAATTCCGAAGCGAATGGGAAATAAAGGAATGATCGATTTGAATTTTTCATATTTATGAGTTTATTCAATTATGAGAAAAATGCGTTTCAGGATTTCATAACTTTATTCCTGGAAGAATTGTGAAGCAATAAAGAAAAAAAGGTAAAAATTAAAAAATACAATGAAAAAATACAATTTTTTTTTGAATTTCGAGATTGTCTCCAGCATGTTCCGGTCACAATTTGAATTGTCACATTTATCGGCTCGCGTTGTCTAGTACTAGTACAGCCCTGAAAATTAAACATTTTTAAACATGATTTAATTGATTTGACAAAAAATAATACCTTTCTTCAGTAGGGGTCACTCCTATACTCCTTTTTTTATATACATATATTCATTAAAATTTTCAATTTCGTCCGTCGTTCGAGATTGCTTTCATCCTAAAAAAAAGTTTGTTAGAAAAGTTTAAATATTTTAAAGTCAAAACTTTCAAAACTACAACTCACTTCTCTTCAGTAGACGTCACTTCTAGTGGGCCAACCATCTGATGGAACACATAATAATACCGTGTCCTTTTGCATTGGGTTTTCGTGTTTGACGAATGTTTCTTTTCGTCAAACACGCCCATTTTATTTAACGCAGGTCCAATCACTGTCTTGTGCTATAAGGGTTGAGTGCCAAAAAAAATGTTGTGTCTGGCTGGAATAACCAGCCAGACGACAATTGTTGCTTCCTTCAGTAGAGGTCGTGCTTCAATCTCCATCGGTCTTGGGTTTCCCTTCACGTCCATTCACAGTCTTGTGCTATATGGGTTGTGTGCCAAAAAATAGCTCCACATTAGAAAAAATATTTTTTGTCTGTCTGGGATAACCAGCCAGACGATAATTGCTGCTTCCTTCAGTAGAGGTCGTGCTTCAATCTCCATCGGTCTTGGAGTTGCAATCACCATTGGCATTTTGAACGGCATTCTTTCCAATGTTATCAGCAAACTCATCTGAAATCAAATAATATAATTTCTCTACTGATAATTTAAAAAAACATCAACGAGAAAAACATCGCAGTTTATTTACAAAAAATAAATGAAAAATTAAGAAAATTTTGCTTGAAAGGTTGAAATACTGCAAACAAACATCCCCTCAAAGTAATCATTAGTTAACAGAACAAATATGAACACTATGCTTCAAAAAATTAACAAAAATTAACAGAACACGAACAAAAAAAAGAAAAACAGTGTTGCCTCGCATACGTTATCATTAGAGCGAATTTTCCTCATCATCTTTTTTTATGGGCGAGGGGGAGAGATATGTTTTTTTTTCTCGAAAAAAAATTATGCAAGGAGAAATGAATTATTTTCTCATAAAACTGAAACTTCTGATTTTTACTGGAATCAAATTGAAAAAAAAAATATTTTCTAAGTGTGAGGAACACATTTTTGTGAAATATTTCTAGCAGAATATTGAAAATCAGGAAGTAATATGATCTTTCGAAAGTATATTTGAAACGAGAAAAGTTCATGGTTCTGAATTTGAAACTCAAAGTCCTAATAATGGGGAAACTGGCGTTCATCAAATTTTTCCCCGTAAACTTCATCTTGGTTGTTGTTTTTCATTGCAGTAAATGTTCAACTACCGACAACATTCATCAAACCATTCATTTTCAGAACCAAAAAAACACGTATAATTTCCTCTGGGGATAAGATCGATCTTCAATTTCTTCGAACGCGCAAAAAAACCGCATAAAATATTCGAGAAAAATAATGGGCGGTGAATTCAGAAAGAACAAGCGATAATTAGAAATAATTGGCCATGTTTGACTCACACAATTTGCTAACTTTCAAAAGTGCTCTTTCTTTATGTAAAAAAAAGTTCCTGTTTTTTTTCATTTTCTTGTTAGAACATGTGGAATTATGTATTTAAAAATATTTTTTTGTTGTTGAGAAAATAATGCGGAACAGGTGGAAGTTTTTTTTTCATTTTGTTTCGTCACTGAAATATGTTTCATTTATTCCACCGAAATAGTTTTGGCTCTTGAATATGTACATAAATCACTCATAAAAAGTGCATTTTTCATTTTTCTTTCCGCTTTCTTTTTTTTGTGACCTTTAGTTTCAATCGGAACACAGATGGCTTCAATAAATTATCCAAAAACATGTTAATTCTATTATTCATTTATTTCGCGTTTTCAAATCGATTCGCATTTCAAAAATTCCTGAAAAAGAATTATTCATTCTATAAAAAATTAGTTGGGTGGTTGCATGGAAACAGCCAACGGCTCTGTTTTTGTTTTTTTTTGTGCGAATGTCTTGTCTGTTACTTTTTTGAGGAAAGAAAGGAACAAAATCAAACGGCATAATTTCTCAAAACATCTTCTTTTCCTTTTTTTCCGCTACTTTTTCTTTCTTTTTTTCCTCCGCCGTTTTACATGTTTAGTGGGTCGAATATATATGTGCATTTTCTTCAAAAAATGGATGGGCTCGCCATTTTTTCTATCCGGATTATAATATGTTCTTCCTTGATATTGAATTGACGTCAAATTATCCATCATCATAAAAAATGGAAAATAGAAACGAACAAAAACATATTTTTTTGTGATCCGAAGAGTTTTTAAAGTCACTCAGCCATTTATTATTATTTTTTGTTTTTTTTTTTCATTTTATATTTCCTATACATTTTGTGGGCGAAAAGAAAAATGTACATATTCATCATTTTTTGAAGAAATAAACGTTCACTGTTTCATTTATTGATAACAAATCATCTGTGATAACGAATAGGAGCATTATTGATTGTTTTGTTTTTGTGTCTAGAAAAAAATGATTATTTTTTGAAATTGTTTTTCAAGTGTCATTTTCTTTTGAAATTAGTTTTTTTCTTGAGCTTTTGTTTGTGGTTTATTTCAAAGAATTGTAAAGTCGAGAAATTTAATGCTCTTAAAATAAGATAAAAATATTATCACTGTTCAACTTTTCCCATAAAAATTCTTATCTGAAAATTATAGTTTCCATGATTTGTATTTTCTCCAAAAAGCAGAAATCAAACCACTTTTTCTTTGATTCTGAAGTGCTATGTTGTTTTGACAAACCCTCTTCTTTTTTTCACACGTTTCTAGTTTTCATGAAAAAAATGAACTAAAATCTTCAATTTCATTTAGCTCATCCGCCTCAATTTCACATCATTTCAAATGTTTCATTTGCCTTGCGATGGACCATTTGGATGTTTCGATTATTATTCCTATCAAATAATTGCAATTGATGAGGCTCGTAATAATGTCATACAATCTGATATCGATGGCACAAATATAATACGATTTCGATTGCCGAGTCAGCTTAACAATGAACATTTTTGTTGGATTAAAATTTATTACGTAAATGGGTAAGGGATTCATTTTGAAGAAAAAAAAATGGAATTTTTGCAGAGAACAATAATATTTTTTCAGAAGATTCATCTTGGGATTATTAAAAAGCCATGTGGACAAATCCTTTCATCTCATAACAGTTCGATTGAATCATGAAGATGAATCGTGCACAATTATTCGACAAGTTCAAACGGGTATTTCATCACACGGGTTACGAGTTAGTTTCGTTCTGATTTTTTACTTTAATTTTTTCGAACCTTCAAAATTAATTCATTCTTTTTCCAGGTGGAAGCGCATAGATCAATGAGTCAATTTGTTTTTAGTATTTGCAACACAAAAATGATGGCAAAGCGGAAAATTCAGAGAAATTGTGATCGACAATCCTTTATGAAACAATTAAAAGGTGAACAGAACACAAGGAAAAGTGATGAAGATGAAAAAAGTTCGGATAGTTCATCAGCTGGAATCACACCGGAAGATATGCCAAAGAAGAAACATACAGTGAGTGAGGGAAAACCAGATTTTTTAAAATTTGATTTCAAATAAATCAATCAGAAAAATATTCCAGAACATAATGGAAAGTGTGTTGCTTCTGGTGAAAACTGAATCAAATGGTGAAATCATCCCAACAATTTTGTCCACTGGAAGAAGAAGATATGGCATCAAAATGCATAGAACTCGGAGTATCAGACAATTAAATCGAACATTCAGCACAAAATTTATGACAAGATGGCAAACGTTATCACCAATTGATGAAGCTTGTGAACCATTCCTTTGGGGCAATAACGCTTGTGTGATTCCGAAAAATGATACCAGTGTTTTCTATGTAGCTCATACTATTTTAAATCCAAAAAGTGGACTGATTGCATCACTTATGTATAAACTCAGTCATCGTTTCAGGTATATTATTATTATTATTTTTTTTTTTTTTTGAAAAAAAATTGAAGATGAATTTATTTTTAGAACTCATACACCGGTCACTGAGCCAGTGCAAAATAAGATTAGAGGACAAGGGCCGCCGAGTAAACAAATTTGGAGCAATATTGATATTATTCAAGGCTGTCCCACATTTTTGACTATGGTAAGAAAAACACAAAACACAAAAAGAAAAATTTTCAAATTGTAGAACCCAAAAACTATGCGAATCAAAAGATGGCAGATTTTACGAGATAATTTTGGAAAATATGACTGGAAGACGGATGAGATTGATATTGCGGCGCCGGAAGATACAGATAGAATAATGTTCCGGTGCAATGCGGAAAATGTGACACCGCTTGAGTTTACAATTAGATTTCAAAGAAAAAAATCCGATGGTCAATCGACTTTTCATAATATTTCGGTTCCAAGAATTGTTGTGGAAAATGATTGTTAGAAATTGATGGAATGGATTAGTTATAATATTTGATTTGCTTATGAACTTATTGTATTTTGACGTGTATAGATGATTTGATAAATTCATTCTTTTTTCTAAAGCTATAAACTATTTTCCAGAAAAGCCTGTCAAACTCATATGTGAACAATACAATTTTATTATATTAAATCATCTTTGTTTCCATATTCAGAAATCAGGGAATATTTTTTATGCAACAAGAATATATTTATTTATTATTAAAAAATCAATACGAATGAAAACAAACAATTATTGTGATCCACATTCTGGATGATTACTACGGTAATCGCAAAGCCCGCTAGCTTCATTGAAAACCAACGGAGTTGCGCAAGTTCCACCAGTTGCGATTCCATTGTCACAAACAATATAGTGTTCGGAACATTTGGCGAATGCGAAGACAGTGCTAGCTCGGCCAAAACAGAAGTTCACATCAATTCTGAAAATGAAAAAGTAGATCCTGGATTGAGTAATTGAGTAAAAAAAGAAAATTTACGTTGGTGGTGCCTGGGCTGATGGTGGAATTGTGCATTGTTCAATGTCTTGTGGATAGTCGCAGTATTGTTTCTCTTGGGAGAATTTAAGATGGGATGGACATTCGTGCTGAAAACGTTTTTTTCAATTGAAAACTTTATAGCTGAAAATTGGAAAAATTACCTGTCTGATTTTTTCAGAACTACAAGAATAGTATTGAGCAGTACATCCAGTTGAATAATATCCATCAGTTTTTCCAGAACAAGCATTTTCTGGGACATCGACAGCTTTTGCGGTACAAGTAATAACATTTTGAGAATAATCGCAAAGTCCAGTTTGTTCACTGTAGAATAATCCTTCTGTGCAAGAAGCAACAATTGCACTTCCGCTCACACATTGAACATAGTTTCTTGAGCAATATGGAAGAGCATAAATTCCATCAACTTTACCAATGCAAGTGTAAGCAATCGCTGGCGCATTTGTGGTAGTTGGTGCAATTGTTGTTGTTGGAGTTGCTCCACATCCGACGATATTCTTCTTATAATCACATTGCCCATTTTCAGTGTTGTAGAAGAGACCAGCTTGACATTTGAGTTTGGTTGTTTCGAAATTATGGCATTTGTAGAAATATTCATTGCATTCTCCTGAATGATAAGTTCCATCAGCAAGAAGTTCACAGAATGGATCAGAATTTCCAGTTTGAACGATTGGAGCAGCTGTGGTTGTGGTAGAAGTTTGAATGGTTGTGTTTGAAACGACCACTTCTTCTGTTGATACTGGAGCTGGAGTAGTAGAAGTTTTTGTTGTGGTCGAGATGGTTGTTGCTGGAACATCACGGCTTGGGCCACAACCGAGTTGACTTGATGGATAATCGCATTGTCCTTGATATGGATTGAAGACAAGGTTTGATGGACAATCGGTTTTTGTGACCAGACCATTCCAACATTGATAAAAATTTGTTTGACAAGATCCAGATGCATAATTTCCATTTTCAAGGGAAGCACAGGAAAATCTGGAAGACCAAAAAAAGTTAGCGAAAAACTATGAAAGAGAAAATTACTGGATTATTTGATTATCTGATAAACAAAAACTCACGGAATAACATCAGCAGCAGGTGTTGAACTTGCGACGGTTGTTGTTTCAGCTACAGTTGTGGATGGTTGAGTTGTTGGAACTTCGACAGTGGTCGATTCAATTTCCAATTCATCAACAGTTGAAGGTGTTGGTGCTTCAGTCGATGTTGTTGTCTCCAACACTGTTGTGGTTGGTTCAGAAGTTGTTGTGGTTTCCGATGAGCATTTTTTAGAATAATCACAAGTTCTAGTTGCAACACTGTATACCAAATTTGTTGGACAAGTTTGGGTATAAGTTAAACCTCCACTGCATTGAATATATGTTGAAGTGCATGGTGTGATTGTATAAAAACCATCAGTTTGAGATGAGCAATCGAAATCGGGAGCCGATGTGTTTTTTGGTTTGGTTTGAATTCCACCATGATTGAAGATGTTTGGAACTTCTTCTTGGGTTAGTGGAGATCTAGAACTTATACCATTATAGAAATTCAGTTCTGTAAATATCACTACCTGCAAGCTTCTGGATAGGAACAAGCATTGAGTCGTACATCATACAAAAGTTGATCATTACATGGGATAATTGAGGCGATTTGATTTGTGCATGCTGCAAAAGTTGCTCCACAATGTTCAACCTCATAAAATCCATCTTCCTGGAAGTTTTGTTGATTAGAAAACATTTGATTTAAAAAAAAAACTTTACCTTTCCAGTGCAGTTGAAATTGGCTGGAACATCAGCTTGAACATCATTTTGTGAAATTGTTGTAGTTTCAGCTGATCCATAAACGGAAGTTGTGGCCGCTTCAGTGGTTACTGGAGAAGATGTTGTTGTTGTTGATGTGGCAACCACAAGGGTTGCAGTTGATGCAATATAGTTGGTGCAGCTCTCTGGATAGTCACACAAATTTTGCTCGACGTTGTAGACGAGTCCCTGAAAATTTAAAAAGAAAAACTTTAGAATAAACGCAGATAACTCACACTTGGACATTGTTTTTTATACAATTTTCCTTGAGAACATTGGAAAAAATATGGCGAGCAAGTATATTTGCTGATTGTTGCGTTTGGAAGAAGATTACAATCAATTCCATGTTCAATTTGATCGACTTCTTCAGTGCTAACACCTGGTGGAAGTGTAGCAATGAATTGTTTATGAGCTTCTCCAGCATCTTCTTTCAATTGACTTCTCAATGATTTTTCGCAATTTTCAGCATAATCACAACGTTTGATAGAATCACTGAATTGTTGGTTGTATGGACATTTTCTCATGTAACTGATCTCATTTGCACATTGATAATAATTCTCGTTACAAACATTTCGTTGAAGAGCATAGTCACCAGATTCCTTGTTTTTGCAATTGATTCGACTAAAAAAGAAAGATGAAAAGGTTTAAAAGTGAAATTTTTCAAACTTACATAGCTTTTTGACGATTGTTGGTATTTTTTGATGAAGAACTGCACAATGAGATTTTATTTCTGCGTTCGCATCGAGATAAAACGTGATCAAAGTATAAACCGGGTGGACAATTTTGCTCGTATTCAACGCCCTGAAAATCGTTATTTTCATTGGAAACTTCCCATGAATTCACTCACATTAACACATTGAATATATTTCGAATTACAACCGATTGCGTATAATCCATCACCTTGAGAACATTGTTTCAGTGGTCCACCAAGCACACCACCAGCAAGTGCCAAAACCAATATTGAAATGTGCATCTGGAAAATGAAAAAAAAATAGGATGGAAATCGCAATATTGAAAAAATGATCAAATAAGATCAAACAAAATTGAAATCTTGGTTTTATATAAGCGCGTTGTGTAGGCGTTTCAATTTTTAAGATCAAATCAAAAACAAAACAAACCTTGAGATATTTTCCGGAAAATGAAAATGCGAAAAAAAATCAACAAAAGCAAATTGAAAGTTGTTTATGCGTAGTAAAGTTTTTTGACCTGGAATAAATATGAGGTTGGAATCATTAAGAGATTAGCAACTTGATGATGTTTCATGTTTTGTTTTTTATTGTAGTTCTTGCTGAAACTGTGATTTTTGATGAATGGAAAATTGGGGAGAAAAAATTGGGAAGGAAGAATTTGTGGATTTTGTAGGATGACCAAAGAATGAAATTGATGGTAAATGGGGATGTGTTCATCTAAAAGCTTTTTTTTTTCTTCAAAGTGCATTGTTTTCATCATTTTTTAAATGAAATTGAACAATTTATTGAGAATTGAAAAAATGGGATGAACAGAAATACATATTGATTTCTAGAAAAAGTAAATTTTCAAACATGATTCGAAGTTTTTTATATTCAATATTCAAGATCCGAGAATTAATTTTTTTCAAAATAATGACAAAATGAGCTCTTGAAATATAAAAATTACAGCTCTTAATACTTCTGAAATTTTTTGAAATCAGGTTTTCCTTGTCATTTTGATATTCTTCAGTTTGTTTTCCAATAACCACGATCCGAGTTTTGAATTTTGAAAATTTTCATATGAAAATTGATTTTTGTTGACGTGACTAAATAAACTATTATTTGATTTTTTATCATAGAAAATCTCTTTTTAAAAAATCCTGAACGAAAAACAATTTTTTTCAGATAAAATGATATCTCTGGAATTTGCAGGAAGTTCTTCAATCTTGTTTTTTTCTGTGAATCCCTAATTTTGTCAACAAGATTCAAGGTTCTGAAAATAGAAAACCAGGAAAACGATGCAGTGAAGCATAACGTGAACGACCAAAATACAAAAACTTTCTCCCAATTAATGACTATAATGTTGTGCAATCAAAGTTTGCTTCCTCCCTTTCTTCGTTCAAAAAATAGATGGCTTTTCGATTTTCGTCAGGTAGCGCCAAGAAAAATTCACTTCAAATCGAATGAACAACAATTATATGTCTATCTGGTGGGCCTTTGATGCCGGTTCTTTCTCCACAACAAGTACTCAATGATGATGAAGAAGAGGATTTGAAGATTTTCAATCTCTACCACCTTTTCGCATGATCTCACTTTTTTTTCTTCTACTTTCTAATTTTTGCTCAAGCTAACATTTATAGTCAGCAACAAACTGTGTCATATAATTATCTACGTTTTTAAAATTACATTTGTAATTTGTCTTCTTCTCTCTGACGGTGTTCTTCCAATGTCGTAAATAAATTATAATTATTATCGTAGAAGATGATGAGGAAAAATAAAGAAGGCGAAAATACGGGACGGGCAGCGAAAGGCATTTGACGTATGTATACATGTTTTTGTTTCTTTTTTTTGTAACCACATTGCCAATGAAAACATCTCTTCCTCTGTGTATATATGTTTTTTTTTCCACGATTAGTAATACTTACTAATGGTATGAGTGGATGACATAACGATCGTTGTTTTTGACTTATTACTATTACTAATACTATTATTATTATTATTGTTGTCCTGTTTTTTATATGATTCTTTTTTCACTCTTCTCATACACATCAATCTCATTTCATTTATGATATTGGATTCTATGTTTTAGGCGAATGGTGTAATCGGGTGTGAGAAATTGAAATTGAATGGCATTTGTGAAAGGGAAAGTGATGGCTTGAACTTTCATTTGTGGTGTAGTAAAAGGTCATTAGGTTTTGGAACAGGGAAATCATTAAGAAAAGCAATTGAAAATGAGTGATCAAAAATGAAAAATCTGGAAAATTGGAAATGAAAGACTGTAAAATTACCAAAACTTTTTAAAACTTCAGAAGCACAATGATAATTCATATTTTAATTTTCAAACCCCAACTTTTAGGAAACATATTCATCATAACTTTATCCATCGTTACATACATTTAAAAAAACGAAAAGTTTTATGACACTTTTAATAGAAAAATTTTTGCCACAAAAAATTGTTTCAGGGGAAATTTCAAATTCTAAAACAAGATACCGATTAAGGAACACAAAGACTTGTGATGATCTACAAATTTGAAAATTATCAAAAGCAAAAGACTGTGGCGTTTTCTCCGGAGTGCGTTTTATGTTTTCAAAAATTCCATCCCTCCCAAAAACTACTGTAAATATTACTCATTTGCAAAAACAAGATGAATATCTAACTTGGTGTGAATTGAAGAGAATAATAAACCAAAACTACTACTACGTATATGCATTCATCTTGAATCTCATCAGCTTACTAGCACCGATAACGATCATGTTGTCGTTGTTTTTGTTGTTCTTACTGACTTACTTGCCAACAAAAAAGCTTCGAAATACACAAAAGATTATATCTTGAAAATGTATTGCTGAATCTTCTGAATGTATATAAATATACACAGTAATTACTAAACTGTTATTATATCTTTTTTCTGTCATTCAAATGAATCGGAAGGAAGCTTATTATTTTTTTCGCATCTACAGTCCTCATCGAAAAAAAAAGTAGCATATGTAAATCCTCTTTTTTTCTCTCCTTGTATTCATTATATTTGTGGGTGGAGACATTGGTTTCCACTTGTATATATACATATATAAAAGCCTTGTTGACTATATCGTCATTCTTTAATTATTCTACAACACTTGTCGTTTTTATCCGTCTTTTGTTTTTGCATTCAAATGTTTTTCTGATTCATTATTTTAGGGTTTAAAAATATAACTCAACTTGGAGCCATGAACTCGGATGATCCAAAAGTTTTGCAGGAGCATGCAAAATCCTTGAGAAAGTTGGTACAAAAATCGATCACCTAAAAATAATCTGAAATTTTTTCAGGTTTGCCTTTTTCGGTGTGGCAGTTTCTACCGTAGCCACTTTGATTTCTGTAATTTCTGTACCAATTTTATATAGTTTTATGCAGCACATGCAATCTTCGATGCAAGCCGAAGTTGATTTTTGTAAAATGAGATCGGGGAATATTTGGAGAGAACTCACTAAAACACAGGTATTGCTCATATTAAAAAGTTTCTTCAAATATTTTGAATTTTTAAGGTTTTATCTCAAGTTGGAGGTAGTGCTTTGGCTCGTACACGTAGGCAAGCTGGATATTCGACATCGTACACTGGACCACTTGAAAGTGAGTTAGCATAAATCACAATTCAAAAAAATTTATAACAAATCAAATTTCTCTAGGTGCCGTTGAAGCTGCACCACAAGGTGTTGGAGGTGGTGGCGGTGGTTGTTGTGGATGTGGAGTTTCACCACAAGGCCCACCGGGAGTTCCAGGACGAGACGGTGACGATGGAGCTGATGGTCAATCTGGTACGCCAGGAAAAGATGGGCCAGACGGACCAGCTGCTACACCCGCACCAGCACACGAATTCTGCTTTGATTGTCCACCAGGCGCACCGGGACCTGCCGGAGGTGCAGGATCAAAAGGGCCACCAGGAAATCCAGGAGGTGCTGGAACTCCGGGACCAGCCGGAAACAAAGGCCCACCTGGCCCACCAGGACCAGCTGGTGCGCCAGGAAACAATGGAAGTGCTGGAAACCCAGGAACTGCAGGAACTCCTGGAAAAGTTGTGGAAGTACCAGCACCCGCTGGAGCTCCAGGACCAGCTGGTCCACCAGGTCCACCAGGACCGGGAGGAAACCCAGGAAGTCCAGGACAACCAGGAAAAGATGGATCACCAGGAGATGCGGGAGAAAACGGAACTGCCGGATCGCCAGGACAACCAGGAGGGCCAGGACCAGTTGGACCGGATGGTGCCAGAGGGCCAAGTGGAGGTTGCGAACATTGTCCGCCACCAAGAACCGCACCTGGATATTAGACAACAAAACTCAAATAGATATAAATATCTTTGTAATTATTGTGACCCTTATTTACTCGTTTACATTGTCATATCAAAAAGAAAACAGAACAACCCTTTAATTAATGTGATTTGTGATATTTTGACTGTTTTTGGTAATTCATTTTTTAAATTATATTCAATCGACAAGCATAATAAACATTTTCTGATGAAATTTCAATTTTTTCAAAGACTTACCTTTTTCCACACCTCTACAGATACTTGAAACTATGCATTTTTCACAAAGTCTTTTGCATTAATAAATTTAAAACAAAAATACATTTTGATATTTTTTATTCGTGTCAATTCAAATCAGATCAATCAGCAATAAATAAATAGGTATACAAGATCAATAAGTACAAATAATAATAATTATTTTTTTTTGATTTTTTAAAATTTTTCGATTTTTTTGTAATTTTGTTGATTTTTCGATTTTTTTTTTGGAATTTTTCTCATAATTAGTTCATTTCTTCATCTTCTCCTTCATCTCCATCTTCATCCCCATCTCCATCCAACCAATCGGGATCCAATCCGCCCGGACCAAACAATTCATCTTCGCTTGGCTCGATTTCCTCCTCCTCCGGCACACGTATTGGTTCCTCTCTTCTTGTGATGAGAATTGTCATAACATCATGATAAGTACCTTCCATATAGCAGAATTTGAAACTGTTGGCTGACAATCTGTCCAAATGACCGCGGAAATCTCTCATGCTTTGGAAAACGTCAGTTCGCTCGATTTCTGGCAAACCATACAACTCAATATCCCATTTATCGATTTTGGTGAAGTTTTGGATCATAGCCTGTAAATATTATTGTTATATGTGTTTCTAAAATTCACAAGAAATGAAATTTACCTCCATTCTTCCAATATCTTGTTGAAGTTTTCGATATGAGACTCCGACATGCATGTTTTGAATATTTGGATTTGAAGCGAGAAGTTCGAAGAAACATTTGATTGGTCTCAAGATGAAAATGTTCTCGATTTTCGTTGCAGGAACAATGGTTTCCTCGTATTTGACCATTTCCAAAGACAACGATTTTTGGCATTTTGAGTCCAAAAACGACATCAATTCTGGAGTGATTGTTGGTCCACAGTATTTAATGTGTTCAATTTTCCAACTCGAAATGAATTGGCTCATAGCTTCAACATCGTTATAGTCTTCAATTGCAGAAATACGAAGAGTCTTGCAGTTGACATTTGTTAGAATGTTGACCCATTGTTCTTCTGGCAATTCTATGTTAACACCATCTTTGCTTCTTTGAATAACAAATGTTGGTCCAACGATTTTTAATTCGATTTCATCAATAAATGGTCCATCGAAAGTGTTACGGTACCAATTGTAGCATTCATTCATGAATGAGCAAGTGCGACGGAGACGGTTCGCATCTTCGAAGGAAAGCTGAAAATAATTAGAGAATTTATTTTTTTCTGTTAGAAATTCGGTTTGAAAAACCAATCAACTTACACCACAGAAAATCGATTCCATTGTATCAAATGGTACAGAGTGAAGAATTTCCAAAAGACTTCTTGTATCAACAAGTTGTTCTGCTGGTCGTTCATAGATTTGGTAGAATTTTTCCTCGCTCATAATTCTAAGTGTGCAGTAATCTCCAATGTATGATTTGAAAATAGAATATCGAATTGGAGCAACTGAGAGGCGACACAAATGCGAGAAGACTTGTGTCATTATACGACTGTCCATATCTTGTTGATCTTCCGGGCCATTATACAAGTCCATCTCCCAATGATCAAGGTTCGTGATTGATCCAGTGAAAGACTGAAAAATAAATTTCAAATGCATTTTTTTCAAAACTAAATTTACCTGCAAACTATGAGCAAATGTTTCAAACATTGGCCATTCGAGAGAAATATGGAATCCTTCAATCATTCTATTCAAGTTAATGACTTGTGTCATACAAGTTATAGGTTCGGAGATGTACAATTTCTTGATTTTGCTCGCCGTCATTGGATCATTTTTTTCATACTCCTCAACTTCCAAGTTCAATGATTTTGTACACTTCTCATCCAAAAACTCGATCATTTCGCCATTGATTTTGTCTCCAACAAAAGTGATTGTCTCAATTTTCCAGTTTTTCAAAAACTTTCTGAAAACATCAACTGCAATTTCATTCGCTTCGTGGTAAATGAAAAGTTGTTTGCATTCAATATTTGTCAAGACATTGCCATAGTATTGCGATGCTAACACTGGATTATAATAATCGACAACTTTGTCATAATTTCGAACAATGATTTCTGAGTTTGCATTCACAATCAATCCGATGCTGTCACAAATTGGTCCGTCGAGTTGAGGACGGAATTTGTTGTAGAAGTTGTCCATGAGCTTGCAAGATTTACGAAGACTGTTGGAATCTTTGAATGACAGCTGAAAAGATTGTTCTGTATTTCAACGTTTTTTTTTTCAAAAAGTTGTTGAACTTACACAATTGAAGACTGTTCTTATAGCATCCAATGGTGTTTTCTTGACCATAGCCATCAAATCAAATGTTTCGTTGTTTTCCACATCCATATTAGTTTCATGTTCATCACAAATCTCCCGCAATCTCTCAATTGGAACTTGGGAAATATCTAAACCATTATTGAGTTGGTCGATATAGTGTGCTGCTTCTTGGGACAAGTTCGGTCTAGCCTCGTTCAGACCGAACGCAATTGACATTGTGTTACCCAAGGATTCTGGAAAAAATGACTTATTTTCAAAAAAATTACTATAGAAAAAAGTCTGGTGAAAGAGAAGTGCACTTGAAATAATAAATGTCTACCAGCATATCTTTGGTAAATGAGACGTAATCGGATTACACACAAACACATTTTGGTGTTGTTTTTTCTGGCGTATTTTTTATCTTCGCACCTGTTCCTATTATTCTCTACAGATGTTGTTTTACATAACAATAAACAAAAATAAATATGATATATTTGTTCAACCAGATTTAAGAATATGAAATTGAAAGCTCAAACTTAGTGCACTGTGTGCACATATATAAAAAAATGCTAACACACTGCATATCTTTAAAAAATATATACTTCTCTGAGCTGTGCCTGCTAATCTAGACAAAATCAATAAATTGCAGATGGCACTTATAAAGTCGAGAAAAGTATAGTGCGATAATGTGAAACAAAAACTTATTTTACAGCCGAGCTGAGAAAACCCTACTTCTCAGCTCTAACCAACTTCATAGTCATATTTCTCGAGAAAAACGAGGTGTTTTTTAACGAATTTCTCTTCAACTTTTTGAAAAGCACAACGATCGGGAGAATCTATTAAAAGTATTTTTTCAGTACTGAAGTGTCAAATAAAAATTAAAAAAAAAACAAAAAATCTCGAGTTAAATGAATTTGAAAGAGTAGACATATATGTGATGAATAAAACTCTAACACACCGCGAGGCGCCCCTTTATATGCCCTTTTTTCTATGCCTGCTAATCTGGAGAAAAATCGATAAGATGCAGGGATTATGAATAAACTCAAGAAAACGTATAGTGGAATAATGTGTAAACAGAATCTGTCTGAAACTGCGGCTCCTTAAATGCTAAATTTTCAATTTAAAATATTAGACGGATCACCAAGATTGGGAGTATCTTTCTCATTTGATTACTGGAATTGAAAAATTAAAACACATTGGGAATCATCCTGAAAAGACCAGGATTCAAATCTAATTGAGGTGGAGCATGTTCTAGAGACCCGAGAAGATCTGTAGCTGATTTGTTAGAAAGCTCTGACAAAATAAACGAAAAGTATTATCAACGATGAAAAATGTGGCAGCTCGTAAATAGAAAATTAGCGCCGATGAAAAAAATAATTCAATGTTTCTGGGGCGTTGAAAGCGCTGCGTGAGAGCGTTTCGGTTGGATGACGAATCAAAAGAACGGCAACGCAAGTGTTTTCATTTTGATCAAGAAATAATGAGTCGTTTTGAGAGATTTAGACACATGGGAGAGTAGATCAAAAATTTTCATTGATCAATTCCATGAAAATTCAAAATATTTTTGTTTTCCGACCGCAACGCTCTCACGCAGCGCTTTCAATGCCCCAGAAACATTGAATTATTTTTTCATCGGCGCTAATTTTCTATTTACGAACTGCCACATTTTTCATCGTTGATAATACATTAGTTTTCACGTTTTCACGTGTCAATTAAAGTTATATGTAACAAAAAGGTACCCAATTGGTTAGGTGAATTTGAGAAAATACATGAATAAATATTCAGGACTAGAACAGCTATTTTCAATGTGCCTGCAAGAAAAATCGATAAAATGCGAAGATTACTCATAAACTGGAAAACATTCAGGGAAATTATGGTGGGATAATCAATGTGAAACAAAAAGTTCTTTCATGGCTGAAGAAACTCTACTTCTCTGCTCTAACTAACCTTAAATCGTCATATTTATTTCTCAAAAAAAAATCGATTTTTCGTAAAAATTCGATTACACAAATTATCACACAAAAATTTTCATAACAAACGGATAAGATGATATTAGGATATCATTTATTAAAATGAAATTATGCCAAAAAATTCGGCAATCAAAACTATACGAAATTATATTAATTTTAGAAGGAAAGGGCCTAAAAAATGCGCACAAATGTTAGAAAAAATCTATTTTGTTTGAAACGCTCCGCAAACACGCAAACGCATTCAAAAATGGACCAGTGTTGAGCAGGCGTGTTTGTGCAGGTTTTGTGTACTTCTCTCGGAGAAGAATATTTTTTTGTTATTTCGCAATAGCTTTTTTTTCATTGGATCGTATATTGGTGGGAAACGATTGTGAATTATGAATTTTGGAATTGTTAACACAATTAAAATTTAGAAAATGTACAATGTGACAACGATTGAGGAAGATTAGATGTTTTCTGAAAATTTCAGAGCATTTCAAAATATATATTGCAAGAGTGGTGAATTATACATTTACTGGAAAACATTCTAGTTTTGTAGAAAACTTAGAAGAACACAATTCTATGTTAAAACTTTGAAGAAAATCTCACGTGCTCAAGAATTCCTTGGCAACATTTTTAAAGGATTTTTGAAACAAGCGAAACTGGAACTTTTATCACGAAATCTGGAATTATACATTTCAAATTTTCTGAAATCAAAGAAATTCTCTGAAAAAACCAAAACCTTCAATTTTTAGATATGCATCTGAAATTTCCTGTAAAAATATATAAAAACAAAAGTTGTATTTTGAATTTTATTTTCCAAATAATTAATGGGAATACATATAAAAACACACAATTCAAAAAAAATTAGGTAATAATTTCAGAAATTTTAATAAAATTATTTGGGTTTTTGAAGATAAGTTGGAAAATATTTAAAATAATAAAAAAAATACAAACAATAATGGGCAATATTTTTTTGTCATCAAATAATATTTTTTTCTTTTATTTGCCCCTATTTTCTGAATATTATGATTATAAAATAAAATTGTAAAATAAAAAGTAACGTTAACATATAAAGTACCTTAAGAAAAACCATTTTTGGGTTTTGAAAATATTAGGAAATGTTTTTGGTTTTTTGCAATTCAACTTCTAAATATTATGATAATGAAAAAAGACAAAAAGAAAAACTAAATTTGAAGATCATTCGAGAGATGTTACAAAATACAGATACAAAAAGAATTAATGTCTATTCCTCATCTTCGGATGATGAATCGTCATTGGAATCCAAATCTTCCTCTTCTGATTCTTCCTCGTCCACTTCTTCTACTTCGGTATCAGTATCATCATCTTCTTTATTGCGAATATCAATTGTCATGTATGCATGTTCAACATCTTCAACGACAACGCGAATTTTCACCAATGATAATTGCTCAAGGTAAGAGATAAATTGACTTATAACAGCTAGAACTTCGGCATGTTGGTAAAGTGGCACGTCGTATAAATCGATTTCCCAATGAACAAGGCCGTCAATGTTGCCTCCCATATACTGCAAAAAAATTTTATTGAACAAATTGTCACTCAAAAAATTACATACCTTCATTTTAGGAAGAGCTCTTTGCAATGTTGACCATGTGATTCTGACATGCATTTTTGAAATGTTACGATTATGATTAATCATATCAAAGAAGCACGGTGTTTTGCGCAAGATATAAACTTTTTCAAGTTTTCTCGCAACAATTTCAGTACTATCGTGTGTTTCCAAATTCAAAGTCAACGTATCTTGACTCATCTCTTCGAACAATCGAATCTTTTCTGGTGTGATCGATGGTCCAGCATAATGAAGATTGTGAATTGTCCAATGCGAGAAAAATTGACGAAGCCCATCAACAGTCATATCATCCATTCCAATATCAATATTGAGATTTTCGCAAGTTACATTTCTCAAATACTTGTCCCAATCTTCCTCTGGCAAAATCAGTTTTTCCTCCGGTGTCGCGGCGTCGTTCAGAATTTGGATGATGAATTCAGTTTTGATGATCGTGACTAGAACATTACAAATTGGTCCGTTCACAGATCTACGAGATTTTATGTAGAGCTTATCCATCATCGTACAAGTTTGACGAAGATTGTTGGCCTCTCGATAAGTGAGCTGAAAAAAAAACAATATTGGTTTTTTCTATGAGATTTTCGATGAAAACATCTTTCAATAAACTTACACCACTAAAAACCCTTTCTACCACATCTGATGCTGTTCGTTGCATCAATTCGACAAGTTTAAAAGGATCGCCATTCTTCTTTTCTCCCGCGATTTCTTTTTTCACCGCCGCCACAGCATTTCCTTCTCCAATCTCCGAATCGACAAACACAACGAAAGTATCTTCATTTGGCTCGATTTCTTCCAGCTCAACTTCATCATTGACTTGTTCAATGACTTCGGGAGCATCATCCTCACGAACAACTTCAATTGTTGGAAGTTCCAACAATTCTTCAAGGCTCGGAAGCTCGTCCTCAAGCAAATTGTTCGAAGCAGAATTGTTTGCCTCAGCATCTTGAAGTGTTGGAACTTCGTTTTCTTCAACAAGTGAAGGCAATTCGATGATCTCTTCATGATCAAAAGTTGGGACTTCGACGGAAACGGTTGAGACAGCAGCCATTATGACACTGAAAAAAATCACATTTTTTGTTGGTATAATAAAAAAAAGAAATCAGAATTGTCACAAAACTGTATTGATATACGAAACAAAAAGAAAAACAATATGATATTGGAAAAAGAGCACTTTGATAGAAAGAACAATAAAAAAGATACATATTGCTTTTGGGAAACTTTTGACCTCTTACTGTATTCAAGGGCCACGCTATAATTGATAGACAATGGACAACAGGTGCGAAGTTTGTAAAAGTACAACTATTTTTGAATAAAATTGGAGAAATAATGAGAATGAATAATGACAAAAGTTTTCATTCAAAAATACATACGTATATAATTTTTGAGACTCGTTATATTGGAAAAATAGAATTTTCAAGATAATAGGTTACTGTGTCCAATAAAAGTTTAGAAGCCTGATGTATCAAGAAGTACTGTAATTCTATCAGATGGTTTTCATAAATTTTTTTGAAATATGTAATAAAGAAGAAAGGAACACAATGGTGATATGTATATAAAAAAACAAAAAAAAACTGGGCAATGCGGGACAGTTTTTGTATTCTTTTCTAAATGTCGTTGTAATGTTATAAGTGAGAGAAAAGAGCAAAAAGAGAAGTTTTATGAGAAACAATTAGCAGAAAAATACTACAGTACTCCTTAAGGAGAGAGAGAAGAAAGTGCTCACATTTATCGAGTGAACAATAAAGTAATAATGAGCTATTATGATATCGATGGTGAAGAGGGATGCCTTTAGGTTGACCACGCCCACTTTTTTGGCACATTTACTGTTTTAGAGGTGTCATATAATGCACAACAACGGTGTTTTGCAAAGGGACAGTAGTTTTGGGAAGTGCAACAGATGGTGTGTTATGAGAAAATGACATTTTTTCTTCCCAATTATACTAACAACAAAAATCGAGAAATCAAAATATTTGGGGGAAATGACTTGGCAAAACATAAGAATGAATGATTTTTTGGGAAATTTGGAGGTTTTTATAGCAAAAATTGATTCAAAATCCAAGGGCACGCGAATTCCAGGAAAATGAGTTACAATTTCTCACGAATCTAGTTTTTTTTTCTAAATTTTACAATCAGAAACGTAACAATTTCTAGGAAAAAAACATTGCACGCTAGTTGTTTGATTTCATAATTTGAAAAGCGATCACGCAACTACTTGGAAAAATTACGAATTTTCAGTATCGAATTCTATTTTCTGAAAAATATAACAGAAAATATTCAAGTTCATCTGCGCAAAATCATACTGGAGCCTCAAAATGACAATTCAAAAATTAGAAAGTGCAAGGCTTTTTTTACATATAATTTTTTTCTCGTAGTGTGGTCGAGAGTCATCAATGAATGAAAACATAGTTTTCAGTGAACTTGTTCACAAAAACTTTGGAATTTGAATAGCTAAACTATTTTACTATGAACAAATTCTTTCTTTAAACACTGTAGCTCAAACGAAACCTAAAGAAAATTGAATTTTTCTTGACAAAAATTATGCAAAAAATCGGCATTTTTCGTCAAAAGACAAAGGATTTTCCCCAAATATAAATTCTGAAGAAAAACAATTTTTTCAAATTGAAATCGAAAAATTCTTTAAATCTCCTAACCATTTTTCTCAAATATATTTCAAGAATGATTCAAATCAACATAAAACTTGAGAATTTACTTTATTTTTTCCAAGAAAAATTTTTTCCAATTAAACCAGGCTTATTTCGACAATACAATTTTGACTACAAAATCCGTTTCAACGAAAATCTTCCAGTTTTGAAAATTGTTGATATACACGAAATCTTACAAGGGAAAATTTTTCAGTTTCACTTGAATTAGAAAATTTTCTCGATGAAAACGATACAATACAAAGAAGGTTTCAGCTGAATAAATTGAAAAAGAATACATACGGTTAGCTAGCCCCAAACATTATAATGAAGAATAAACTGAACACATGTTGGACCTCCCTTGCTAGGAATTGTGAAAAAAACACACACATCTGGAAGAAAATGTTCCAAAACGTGCTAGCGTGTGATCGCAATGATCTTTTTCCATACAGACACCAAAAACAGATGAAGTCTGGCAAATATCATGAAACATCTGTAGCCACGAGATTTTGATGAAAGAGCGACTAAAAGAAAAATTTCCGCAAAATATGAATGTGTTCCCAGATTGTTTCGAGAGCATATTTCCCATAGAAATTATGGATAATTGTTCATTCAAAATGTGTTTGAATCAAAAGTTAAACTCTCTGGCAGATAGAAGTTCTTCATAATGGTCGAAAAAATTCATTGAATTTTGTTCAGAAAAATAGGAAACTGGAACATTGCTTCCTGAAAATCAATTCTCCAGCTAACAATTTTTCGATCAATTTTTTCGAAAAACCCAGGTAAACAATTTTCAATAAGATTTTCAAAATTTATTTGAAGATAAATATTCAACCTATAACCCGTAAATATTTGTAAAAGGTGACGTCAAATTAAAAACACGATAATCATTTTCATAAATCAAATATAAATATTCCATGATATGTTGATTTGCGCGCATAATTTTTCCAGTTGCTTCTCGAGTCGATGAACCACTCGTACTATGTTTAGTCCGATTTTCTAGAAAAATAAAAATATAATTTTAAGAAACCCAAACTTCGGAAAACTAACGGGTGAGTTGTTTCGTAATCAAGTTAATTGCATCTGGATTAACTCCACTCTTTTTAAATTCATCTATAATATCAAAAATTGTCTGTGATTGTTGTTTTTCAGTTTCTCCAAAATAAAAATATTTGAAAGTGTGCAGATTATTTTTGTTGAATTCACAAAACCATGACATTGGCGCAAAATGTCGATCTTCATAGGTATAATTTTCATAAGAGATGAGTCCTTGAGAATGTTTCAAAAATCGGAAATATTGTTTTTGAAGCACGCATAGCATACTATTTCCACAACCATAACATCGACGTGGAACATATCGAGCTTCACTGAAAATATAAACATGAGATGTATTTGAAACTTTTTAGATTTTCAATAATTCTTATTGGTTTTCTGGAAGCTTTCAACAAAAAGTTCCAATAAACACCTTCTAATCGAGGTTTTGATGTCAAACTTCAAGCAATTTGAAAAAAAAAACTAACTGCAAACATTTATCAACAAACGCTGATAAAAACCTCTCGACAGGATCCCTTATAACAACCCATTTCGTCTCATAAATCGGATTCGCAAAAACATCCGTTGTATGCGAACTATTGCACGTCAAAGATGATAAGCTGAAAATAAAACCGAATTAATTATATTTCCTTTATTGGTATTCTATACCACATACTTTGCCTCAAACTCTGATGTTAGAGAGTGCGCTCGCCTTCTGAATTTGACAGGAGTATTCAGAAAACAAAACAAGTTCAAGAGTATTGTCGACAAGTTTTTTTGTATTCGACACGCGGCTATTTTATATTTTGGAGAACCCTGAAGAAATAAGTGAGTGATTTAATTAAAATTAAAAGTTTTTACCACAAACGTAGATCTGAACGGAATATATGGTGGGATAAACATTGAAAATGTTGCATATCTTGATGAAGTCGATGTTTCAACAGTCTCAACTTCAGTTGTATCTTGGATAGTTGTTGTTACTGTGGTGGTATTTCTAAACAGAAGTTCTTGAAAACTTTTGCATTTTTTTTCAGTTAGCCTAACTCACATTTCTAATGTTACTACCGATTCATTTCTTATTTTTTGACCACTAGACTCTGATGAAATTGTTGAAATATAAAACGAGAAAAAGCAACAGATGGAGATGATTATTAAAAATATTAAAAACCGCCGTTTCATAGTCATTGAATAACATCAGTGAAATGGATTAAACAGACACAAATTACACATCGTTTTTTGTCATGACCAGTTTCAAAATCGCCCTTTTTGCAACAGAGTTCAAAGATGTATTTTTAAATTTGATCTTGTGTTGTTTACAGAATGACAATAATATAGTTTCAGACGATGTTTGATGTTTTGAACGCGTTTTTGAAAAATTGTTTTTGTTTTTGATGTTGAGTTGTGAATCAGCACAGGTTTTCTGACACATAGAGGGGAAGAACTTTGAAAAAAAGTGAAAGATGATCCCAGATTCATTGAATCAGGATTTACAAGATGGTGTAGTTTATTCAAAAAATATCATTTTAGGATTTCCCAAAACATTTCATAAAATCAAAAGTTTAAAAAAAATCCCTCAAAATGTTCTAGATCTAACGGAAATTGTTTCTCTACGCTTCACATAAAAATAAATAATCCGATGAATCCAACATTTTATTTCGAAAATCGGAAAAATGTTTTTAAAAAACATAATTGGCATGGAGACCGTCTGCTTTCCAATGAAATATATTTTCGGAAAAAATCCAGAAATGTACAATTTCAAGATTCGAGCTAGCATTTTGTGAAATTCAAAAAAATTTGAAAATGAGTTCATCTCAAACTCGCAATATATCAAAATTGTTGATTGAGAAGGTTTCACTAAAAATCCATTAATACATTATTGTTGTTTCTTTCCATAGTCCCTTTCCCTCATTTTTCTTATTTTTTCCATGTTTTTCTCTAGTGGTTTCTATGGCTTATAAGATTTCAATAAATTTCGAGATATTTTGTATGTTTCTATTTTTGTGGTTGGCTTCTGGTGGAAGAGAAAAACAACAATCCACTAATGCAACATAAATTAGAATTTTTTTTCGCATTTCATTTTTTTCGGTGAAGAGAGCGAGAGAAAATAAATCTGGATTTTAGTTAGTATTTTCTATTTTCCAGGGAAACATACACATATTTATTTTTGTGTTATGCTCGAGCGATTTCACTAGAATTAGGAAAATGAAAAAAAAAAACACTTTTATTGGTCAACCGGGAGGTGAAAAGGAAATGTAATATTTTTTGATGATCAGAAATCTTTTCAGAAAGTGTTTCATGGGTATAATTTTTCAGATAAATCCTTGGTTTTCTGTCATGAATTTGAAAATAAGATTGTTTATAAATATATCTAATATGTCCAAGTGAAAAATGAAGCGTACCAATATATTTCAAAACAAAAATTCACTGATTTAAGAAGAAAATTGAATTTTCGTAAACCGAATTCCCTCCGTTTCCCTGTTCCAATTGCGATTCGCAAATGAAAAAAAATTCAGCCAATTCTCATTACCCATCTCTTTCAATTCTCACATCATCCATTTAAGAACAAAAAAAAGCGCAAATGAAATGAATTGAATTCAATCGACACGAAAAATAAGGTTCAGTCGGCTTTGTGTGTGCATGTTGAAAAGCTGGGCGGTCTTTTTTTGCTTCTCGTGTGCCGCAGGCGAATTTTAATTAACAAACGTTTGTTTTGAATGAATGAATGAAGGAAAACGGAAAGAAGAAGGCGTCGTTATTTATTCGTTCTTAAATTTTACTCTTTTTTCCTTTTCCTCCTGTCAGTTGAGCTGAAGAATGTTCATTCATTCATTCATTCATTCATTCATTCATTATTCTTGTTCCAAAAAATATTATTTTTATTTTTATTATTCTTATTTATTGTTGTTCTCCTCATTTTCCGTTCGTTCGGTGATGATCAAGTGTTATTTAGTTGTTGTTTTTTTTTTCGATGAGTGAGCAACTATTTTTTTTATTTTTGCAATATATGTATTATACATATTAATATCTTTATAATATAGAAAGGAAGAAAAAAAAAGACAGACATATACATATATAGCGTGTTTGTGTTATGTGTCGTTTTCTGAATAACACAAGAGTTTAATTAATATTTTTTCTCAGTCAGATGAATTGCAAATTCATAAAAAAGAATAGGCATATTATATAGATATTTATTTCTTTTTTTCTTGTTTCTTCTCATTTTTTCATTCTTTTTGTTGTTATTTTGTTGAAAATGACGTTTTTGTACTTTTGAATAGTTTGTGATTGCGTGAGCATTTTTCGGCAGTTTGATTGGAAAATTGTTTTCGTTTATTCTTCTTGGAATCAATGTCTGAAAGCGTGTTTTCTGATTTTTGTGAAAATCCGGAGTTTTTTTTTGATTCTGATTGTGAATATCAGATGTTCTAATTGTGGAAAATTTTCTGAAGTTTCAAATACTTTCTCACATCAGTTCCAATTCTTATTACGACAATTTTTTTTCAAAAAACTGATTTTTCAAAAATATGATATGAAATGTTTCTGGTTGTTTTTTCAAAAAAAAATTAAATTTAGAAGATTCTCAAAATTTTCTCTTTTTTTTAATCATATTTTGGAATAAAAATACATTTAAAAAAATATTTTTTCTACGCAGAAAAATGTCTAAAAAATATATACACAGTTTACTATTTTCGAGTGGAGACAACACGAAATTGAGAGAGTGCAGACAGAGAGAATGGTTATTCGCACAAAAAAATACAAGAAACTATTTTTTTTGTCTGCGCTCTCTCTCAATGTCGTGTTCTCTCCACTCGAAAATAGTAAACTGCATATTTTGTTTTTTCGACATTTTTCTGCATAGGAAAAATATGTTTTTAAATGTTTTTTAATTACAAAATATTATTCTGCATAGGCCCATAAAAAGTTGTGAATTTCTGTAGTTTTTTTTTTGGAATTCTTATTCGATAACCCTCTTTTTAAAAATGTTCTCCGAACCAACATTCTCTGCAAACCAAAAAAAAATAATTCAAAAAACAGAACCCACCGAAAAAAAACAACAAATTTTCTCACAAACCAACCAGCCCCGCTGTATAACCCATTTTCACTACTATATATAAATATGTATATCTATTTGTGTGCGTGTGTAAACGAATCTACGTCTAATCCGCTTTTCCTGGCCTGGCCTGGCGCCATCAAGGAACCCAGAAAAATAGAAGCGAAAAAAAACGTCACCATTTGGAGAAAATTATTCACATTTTCTGGTGACCGACTAGAAAACAAAAAAATAGGAAAAAATGTATCTAGCTTCAACTCATTTGTATTTCAAGAGAAGCTCACTTATTTATTTCTGTATCTATTATTTTTTCTAGAAAAAATAAATATAAAAGGGGAGAAAAGCTAGATAAGGAAACATTTTTTTCATTCTATCAATAAGTGCTCCAAGCGGAAATCTAAAACATTTGATCTCTTCGTTTTTTTTCTTCTTCCCCTTTTTCCTCGTTTTTTTCTTTCTCATTTAGGTTTTTTTTTGCCTTTCTTTCGACTTTTCGCAACTATGTACTTGTTTCTTTTTTTTTGTTTTATTCTATATTTCCCTGATACTCTCTTTTTTTGGAGAGCAGAGAAAATTCCAAAAAAAATTTGTGCCTCATAAAACTTTCAGTTTGTTTGCTTGGTAATTCAAGAGCATATCTTATATATTATATTTTATGGTTTTTCTAGCAAAATTTCTGCAGAAAATGTGATGTTCAGAAATTTTTTGTGAGAAAACCCGGAAGCTAAAGGTTTTTAGGATTTCTTGTTATTCACTGGGGAGATTTAACACTATTTGAACTTTGCAAAAGAGTTGCAGAAAGTCAATAGATTTTTGTTAAATTTTAGAATTCAGGAATTTCATTTTTTATTTTCATTGATAATGTTCTGAAGATAATTTTTTCTTTATAGTGAATTCATTTTTTCAATATCTTGACCTTCTCATTTTTTCTAATTTATCAAAACGTAACTCAACAAAAAAAACGAGATACCGTACCCAAATTTTTATTGGATGTATATTTTTTAATTGAGTTTGCATAGTGAATGAGGAGAAAAGTGCAAAAGTTGAGTTGTTGTTATTTAACATGACCTCAACACGAAACAAGACAAGACAAGACAAGACAAAAAAAACGAAGAAGAAAAAAAAAAAGAAACCAATTTCTCATTGCTCTTTTGTGGTGGTTGTGGTGGTGGTGGTTCTGTTCGAATGACTAGTTTTCCTTTCGAAAAGCTCATCTCTCTCTCTATGTATGTGCATATGTGCTCCGTGTTTTTTCCATGTCCTTTCGTCTCGCCGTCTTCTCACAGTGTTCCCAATGGGAATATAAAACGTGTGCTTGTCCCTGGGTTTTTTTTGGCTTGTTCTTTCTGCCTTTTTGCTTCATTCATTTCTTTTTCGCAAAAAAGAATATTTTTGCTTTTGGCATTCTCAATATGCTTGTCTTTTGCGTTTTGGGAAACGTTTTAATTGAATTCACAAAACTTGAGACAGGCTTGGTCTAAAATTCAATCATTATAAATTTTTTCCTAATAAATTGCTGAAAATTTGAAAAAAAGAACTGATTTCTAGGTTGCATGACTAAATAGATTGTAATTATCTCAAAATCAAAATTTTTTGAATCTTTAAAAAATTCAGTTTCCATTTCTACTAACAAAAATACCGTATTTCAATATCTATATTTATTTTTGGTAACTAATTGGTATTTTTCAATAAAAATATTTTTGTATAAATAATTATTACTTCGAAAATCTCCCCCCAAAAAAAAATCTAAACCTGCCAATTTTTTCACCTGCTTTTCTTTTTCTTCTTCTTCCAAAAAGTCATATACAACTTGTTTTTTATTGAATTCTCCTATTAATTCAATCCTATTCCAAAAATGCACTTTTTTCGTTTTACATCCAATTTTTTGTTCCGCAAAAATGCAGATTTTTAACTAGATAATACGTCATTCTTTTCGAGACGAGATGGATTTATGCATTTCCATTTTCTGTTTGTTTTTCATTTTTCAATTAATGAGTTTTTTTTGTGCTTTCCGGAAAGAGAAGGAACTTTTTATTTAGTTTTTCAAGAATTTATTCGTTTCTTTCGAAATATGACACTCACATTCACATGCTCTTTTGATAATGTCAAGTGGGTGAGATTTTAAATGAAGGGGGGTTTGATGATTTGTGAAACCTTAATTTGGACATTTTTTTCTAAATGCCGATTAAAGAAGGTTATTTATTATAAAAAGAAGTTTCTTCCCATATTTTTTGACACTTCAAGATGAGTTTTTTCAGTGGAATTCAGTCAGGGTTAACCAAGGCTAGGGTTCTCTAACAGAATTCATAATTGTTCTAGTGAAGCGTATACAGGAAATCAAAATTTTTCTCATTAATTTGTAGTTGAATTTTGATCATTTCTTGAGTTGTTGATCAAAACTGAAGAGTTTCTAGTTTCTCAAAGGAATATTTTCCTGCTCTTATTTTTTTCGGAAACTAATTACTGTGAACTATTTTCTGTTCTGTATTCAAGTCAAATATAGATCAACGAATCAAATTTTCTTGTTGACATTTAGCGAACATTTCCAGAAATCAGAACTAATTGTGCTCAAATTATGATTCAGATCATGTCTGAATTTCAACTTGTGGTTTAAGTCAGAGCTATTTCAGAGATCTATTCTATAAAAAACTTCGATTATCCTAAAAATGAAGATCTTCTAATCTCACTAATCTTCTTACAAAACTGATTTTGAAACACTTTGAAATCTTGTCTGATATAAGAGAGATCTGGCCTGATTTCACTGGGATTCGGAACACTTCTGAGATCTTATTCAAAAATAATTGTAATATAGATCTATATGTTTCAATATCTCGATATTCTTCTTCAACTTCATCTTTTTTACTCCTCATTTTCATCTGAAGCTCAGTGAGCCACACACACACAACACACACACTCACATACATACACATGCATATATAGACACACTACGTGTGCTCCCACTTCGATAATAGGTGCACTTTAGGTTACGAATTGAGAAGTGTGTATGTATTGAGTATGAAAGAAGAAGAAGAAGAAGAAAAAGAGAGCCGACCAACCGACCGGAGAGAAGGCCGACCGCACTTTTTTCCCTTCTTCTTCTTCTTGCCCCTGGATCGCTCTCACCAACAAATGTTAATCTTTTTTTTCTCCTTCTTTCCTTTCATTTTTTCCACTTGCCTTTTAAAGGAGCATGAGTGCACCGGGTTTCTTGGCCGTAATTTGGAAAAGGAGGAAGAATGAGAGAGTGAACAAAAATGAAGTAGAAGATGAAGAAGATCTTTGTTTGTTTGTTTATACTGCACGGTGTTTGATGTCATCGACCATTTTGAGGATGACTTTTTGTCTGGATTTTGGCTATTTTTGTGGTTTTGTTGAACTCAGGATTGAAGACATTTGGGGTTTTTGGTTGGATGTGGGATCTTGAAAATGTTAAGATCCTCTGATTTTTGAAGATTCTCACCGATTATCCTCTCATAAGCTGTCTAGTCAATCAAGAACAGTGTAGCATTTGAATCCTGATTTTAATTTTTTGGTCTCCTTCATCATTAAAGGATTCTGAAGCCAAAAAAATATATCAAAAAAAAATTCTCCAATATTTTTGGAAGACCTATATATTTTCGAATTCGTTCATGAGTTCACAAGCAGAATCTTTGTTTTTTTTGAAGATTTTTTGGAGATCAAAATATTTTCGAGCTACAGAAAATTGTTGTGAGGTTTTTGAATTTTTGTGAAATCTCTATTGTTATTTTTACAAATGTAGAGGAACTATAGCGAAGTCCCATTTTTAACTTTAATCTTAAGATTTCTAATTTACGAACTAAATTTTCTATGAATTTGCTCTGGATTTGAACAATTCTGTTTTTTATTGAAAATTCACAGCGTTTTGTTTGTTTCGAAAGTTTCAACTTTGAATATTTTCTTCTAATAGGAAACTTATTTGATTTGTTCTCAAAACTTTGTTTAAAAAATATTTTCTGAACTAAAATTTCCCAAATTTTCAGATTTCTTAACCAGTTAAAAATTCTACAGTACCCCGATCTTTCTTAAAATTTCGCATTTTCATATCAACATATAAGTCTGAATGTTTCATGAAACGATCTAAAATTTTAATGAGTTTGCTGACTCAATGCACTTTCTCTTCTTCTTCCACCAAGGGAATACTTGACTAGAACCCCCCAAAAAAACATACCAAAAACCAAAAAAAGTCGGTGAGGGTTCTATGTATGTATGTGAAACAAAACGATTTTTTTTGAAAAATAATCAAATAGGCCCAATTTTCTCAATTTTCCATTCTAACACCATATTTTATTTTGCTATCCTTTTTAGGACACCCTCCCTTTTTTCTTCGTCTCTTTTCCTTTTTTTGTGGCTTCCTCCCTTTCTCACCCACCCCAGAAACCAATCGCTATGTTATTCAAAGCCTCGATTGCCAAGCTAGTTACATAATTTTATACTTTTGCGGATTAAATATCCATAAGCTTATATACACACTCTTCGCATTTTTTTCCTTTTTTGTTTTTTTTTCTTTCTTTTTTTCTTCCGGTGTGAGTAAGTGCAGATGTTTTTTTTCTACTTTTACTTTTTTCAAGAATCCCCCTTGAGTTCTATGTAGTTTTCTAGTTAGTTTTCCAGACATCACTTCCACTTCCACACCAAAAAAATGGTGACGTGGTGAATAAAAGTTCATCAAGTTAACTGGGATGCACTCATGTCAATTTGACTCCATTTTTCCAGCCAACCATCTTTTCTTCTTCTCCGTTTTTTTTTGACTTTTTTCTGTACATTCACTTATTCAATCAACTAAAAAACGTTTTTTTTTCTGGACATTTTTCTAGTCATGTTTTGTTTGGTGAAAAATTATGTTTCACAGGCGATTACAGATCAGTTTATTATTAGTCTATTATTGACTTATTTTGAAAATAGGTCGAATATAGGCTAATACGGTACCTATTATTAGTCAAAATCGATGGAATTTTCTAAATCTAGCCCAAAATGAGCAAAAGCTGCTTTATGATCAATTTGAAAGTGAGAAATAGGTAATTACATCCATCTAACAATTCTAAACTTCCAGAGATCCCTAAAATTCAGACTTATTTCTGACTAATAAGTTACTAATAATTACTAATAAGCTTGTTATTAGTCAAAAATGAGTCTGAAGTTTAGGGATCTCTGGACCTCTGATTGAACTCTAGAATTGTTAGATGAATGTAATTTCCTATTTCTCACTTTCAAATTGATCATAAAACGGCTTTTGCTAATTTTGGGCTAGATTTCGAAAATTGCATCGATTTTTGACTAATAATATGTACCGTATTAGCCTATAATAAGCCAAAATTGAAAATAAGTCAATAATAGACTAATAATAAACTGATCTGTAATCGCCTGTGTTGATTGAACAAACATGCCTTGAGGCTATATAGTCGTGTTTACCTGGAAGTTTTTGAGATTGAGCAGAAAAACACATGAAGGATATATACTCGAATTTTGAAGATTTTCAAATCTCTGAAATTTTTGTAAAGTAACTAGGACATTTTTTTAGAATTTTCTTTTGAAAAAATCTGGAAAACCTTCATATTTTCTCCAAATTGTGATTTCTGGATTTCTGACCCAAGATTATTCATTTGAAATTTTTCAAATTTCAATTCATAATTTGTTTTTGAATTAGGGTTGTTTGATCGAAAATCTGAAACTCAAGAGTTTTTTTATGTTTTTTATTCAAAATTCCCTGATCCAAAATCACATTAATCATTTTTTTTTTGAAAATCGAACGTTCAACTGTTTTATTTGGTTTTTGAAAATTCTGAAATAATTTATTAATTTTCAGTTAATATTTTAAAAATAACTTCTGAAGATCCTTAATATCACCGATCTACATCTCTCTCAAAGCCTCTGACCAATTTTTAATGTGATAATTCTCATCAAATCGAACAGGAAGTTCATTTATCGAATAGCGAAAAAACCAAAATAGCTTGAGGCAAATCTCATAGGTCATGTGAAATATATTCAAATTATTTTTTCCAAGTACTTATGAGTAATTTGTGAAATGCACTTCAATCATCATAAAAAAAACCATAAACCTTTATTTGTTATGAACAAACCTATTTCAAATTTTTATTTTCATTTTTCGTTCTCTAAACTTGATATTTATTTTTAAAAAAATTATGTATAATTTTTTGCAGGGGACAAAATAAGTATAGGCATATCCTTTTCGTGTCTTTTTCGTCTCTGCTAGTGGTGGAGCAGCGAAAAAACACCAAGCCTATTTTTGGTTTGACAAATTCACACGTCTTGGCCAATTTGTGTGTGTGTCCTGGTAGAAGATAGCGAAAACGAGGAGAAACACAAAAAAGGGAGGAGCACACACAAGAAACAGCAAGCAAGAAAGCAAAAAAAGAAGAAGGAGATTAACTATTTGACAAGGCGACGACGACAACAAACGCATTCACACCACCAACCAACCAAACACAAAAAAACGGGAGGAATATCGGCCATCTCTCCCATAAATTATCAACAACACAACACACACACAACAACAAAAAAACATTTTTCGTCGCCGCTGAAAACCCATCTATTATTATTCGTTTGGCACGTTTTTCGGACGGATTTGGATTTCATCGATTTATCCGCACACCCTCAAACTGCACATCATCGCTATTGTTCTCGTAAGGGAACCTGAATGGCCGCTTTAGGTACAAGGTTAGTCTGTTTGGGAAATTTAGAAATATTGTGAAAAAAAAAAATATAAATCAAGTTTGGAAAGCTGTAATTTCAAATTTTCAAAAAAAAAATCGGAAGTTTGATTAATGGATTTTTTGTAGTATTATTTACGGAGCGAAAATTTATGTTGAAAAATTTTTTGAATTGTCTGAATTTTCAGTGGAAAACACTTTAACTTTTTTGATTTCAGCTTTTTTTTAATAATTAATTTAATGATCAATTTTCTGAATTGAAAAATGAAAATTATTTTGAATTTTCGAGGTTTTTCAATTCATAGAATTCAAAAATTGAACAAATCTGATGTGAGGTGAAAAAAAATGATAAAAATTTTTATTTCAAAAACATCATCAAAATCTGAACCCCTATTTTATTGTTAATATTTTCGATATACTTTGTTATTCCCATTTTTTCGAAAAAAAATGTGGCTATAATCACTTACAGTACTGTTCTCAACGTTTTTCACATCATAATTTTTATTCGAATTTTTCGAAATTTTCCACACATCAGTTTTCACGAGGACTGGAGAAATAATTTTAACAATCAGAGAAAAGTCTTCCTCCTAAATGAAAATCTCCGTGTGACGCGTTCATTTATTGTTGTGACTTATTTTTAGCCCGTTTTTCTGTTTTTTCTCCTTATTCACTGCGATGAAGAAACCTCATTAGCAATAAAATCGGCATTATTATAAGCAAAAAAGAAGTCTATGTATTGAGTCAGTACAAAACATTGGTTTCTATAACAGCACCTTTAAGACTCTCTTCCTATTGTTCGCATTTTTTTTCACATTTTTCGCTAGACTCTAGAAATGGGCGGGATTAAGTGCAAGAGAGACGTGTGAATGAACGAAGAAAAAGAAAGAAAAAAAAATGAATAAATAGAATAGCGTAGCTGAAATTGAAATTGGTTTGGTTTTACAGGTGGCACTGTGGACGACGAGCCCAAACATGTGGCCGCCAGTCGACGTTCGCAGTCTGACGGCCGAATCATTGGCCAGGGCATCGTTGATATTGGCCGTTGATTTATTGTTAGTTGTCACTTCTTTTTTGAATATTACGGTCATTGCTTTCAATCCTGATCTTTATGATGTTTTTGGATGTTATTTGGTGAGTTTTTTTTGAAACGGGATTTTGTTTAAAAAATCAGATTTTTTAATTTCAAAAGAATTCTCATATTCTTGATAAATTGGCTGAAACATTTCTAGATTTTTAAAAATTTTTAAAACAAAAATATACATTTCCAAAAATTAACTGAAAAATCTTGAACTTGCTCCCATTTTCTCGAAATGTCAAGATATTTCATGGAGAAAACTATAAATCAAAAGACTTTTGAAATTAAAAATCTCGTTTTTTATTTGAAAGAAATACAATTCACAAGAAGATTTAGCGATTTTCATTAAATTTAGGTCAAAAAATCCAATTTAAAAAAAACAAAAGAATTGTTCCAGAAAATGAATTTGAAATAATTCTTGATCGAAAATGTTTCAAAGATCTTGTTTTTTATTGAAAATTGGAATCCAATTGTTGAAATTTGAAAATATAGAGTCATTTCCAAAATTTTTCAAAAAAGTTCAACATCAAATCCACCCACACCTATCAAAATATTCCTCAAATGCGCGAATAATTTTTTGTGCTCTATTTGTGATGTGAACTTTACATATACATACTATCAAATTTCAAATAGAAACGAACGTTGAATAGGTCAAACAATTTCAAAACCTACGTCATTGATACTTGTAATCTCCAATTCATTTAATATTACTAATCCAATCACATTTTTCTGATAAATTAATCTCATCGAAACATATATTTTTTTTGTTAATGGGAAAAATAAAAGAAATCTGATATGAAAAACAGAATTTTGTATTAAAACTACAATAAAATTATGATGAGGATTTTAAATAAAATGAAACAAACAAAAATTTGAAATAGGGAATGATAAAATATTTGTGGTTTTTTCCAGATTTCATTATCAGTGGCTGATTTATTGGCAGCTGTATTTGTGATACCATTAAGTATTTATTCGACACTTGAAGGAACATGGCGTATTGGTGGTGATAACTCATATATTTGCAAAGGTGCCGCTTACACACAAATTGCTCTGTTTTGCTCAACAGTCTACACATTTGCATGGATTTGCATTGATAGGTTTGTTTCATTTTCCTTCTTTTATTTTTCCTTCATATAAGAAAAAAAATGACGTAATGTACTTGCTCTTTTTCTCTTTTTTTGCTCTACTTGCTCTTAATTGCCATGCTTCAGTCAGTAAGCATAACCTAACATAACATAACATAACAACAATATATAACTGAAGGAAAAGGAAATGAGTAATGACAACAATGTTGTTTTGTAGTAATATTTATGAATTGCTTGATCTCTACAAATATGGAATTTTAGAGTAGTCTGAAGAGTGTGGAACAAAAAATGAAACAGAAAAGTATCGAAATCGGCGGAAATGTTTAGTGAGCACTTTTTTTTAGGAATGAGAGAGTGAGATTTTAAAAAAGTATAGAGGGATTACTGATCTTTTGGAACAGGAGAATTTTTAATAATTGAAAATATTGGAGAAATGTTTTTAAAACACAAAATTGTGAAGACATCTCAAAGCCTATTATTCAACATTTTCAGAAAATAATCTCTGAAAATTTAGAAAGACTCTAAAAGAAACCCTATTGGAAATCTCACAGAAATCATGGGATCTGAAAATATACCATTCTTTCAAGCATAGTTAAATTTCACAGATCTCCTTACTTCAGCAAATTTCCAAACTTTCTTGAATCAGATCTGATTCGAGTAAAGCCCATCTGTTTTAACTTGCAAAGTTGATTGATTCACGACCAAAGTTTAAGCGGCTTTGCTGAACTTCATTATAGAATACCTTTTTTTCTTTCTTTTTCGGAAATAAGAGAAGATGAACTTTCTTTTTTTGCAAATTAGCTTCATGACGTTCGAAAAACAAACTTTCTATATATTCTTTCTTATTTCGAGGGAAAATATGAAGGGTTGTAAGAAAGTATCATATAAAAAATATTTTCAGATACTCGGCAATGATGAAACCATCTCGATACAATGAACAATCTCTAACACGTTGCAAATGTTGGATTGTTTTCAGTTGGATAACATCAATTTTATTGTGCTGTCCGATTATTGTTGCAAGAATGCAGGTTGTATTTTATTCTGATGCACAATTGTGTGTTCTTGATTATTCAGCAACACCAGCTTATAGGTATTTTTTAACATAAAAATATTTTTGAAATGATCATTAATTTGATATTTTTCAGTGGTATCCTTGCAATTCTTGTGTTTGTTCCAACGCTGGTAATTGTTATCAATACTGGTTGCAAAATTCTAGCAGCAATGCGGAATCCAGATGCGGTAAGATAATAGAATTTTTAATTTTACTAATTGAAAAAAATTCCAGTTAGATGATAGTCAACGAATGATTGTTGAAACGGATCCGAATTTTGTGCAGACCATCTTCCTCTTTGTCACATTTGTCTTATCCTGGCTACCCTTGGTTGGACTGAAAATGTATCAAATATTTGGACCACCATTAAACGATGCTGATCTTTCTATGGTGAGTTTGAGAAAAAACACGTTTCTCTTCTTGGAAGAGGAAAACCTATAAATTAATCATTTTTGAAGTGTGTTCTATGTGTGGGTAGGTGCACTTTTTGCACATTTTTATTTAGGTGTGATTTTTAGAGATTGAAAAAAGATTAGGAAGGGATTGGATTTGAAATATTTGGAAACTAATGAAATATGAAATGAATGACATAATTTGAAAAAAAATCAAAATTGAACCTTGATTTTAGGATTTAAAAAAAAAGATCTTCAAGATAAAACAATTCTGCTACTCAAAAAAAAATCACAATCAATATAGCAAAATCCAAAAATTCTTGAATTTGGAATTCAAAATCTCAAAAATTTCAGGTAACATTCATATTCGTGTGGTTAGCAATTGCTGGACCATGTTGCAAATTCTTGATCTACATGTTCACAAACAATGCTTTCCGTAAATCGCTTGTCTCCTACATTTCGTGCTCATTTTGCTGTTCGAGTCGTAGTCGATACGAATATCATGATATAGGCAACAATTCCTACTTATAACATTATCTTTCCTATTTTTTCCTGTTCCCAACACACTGTTTTTTTTTCTTCATATTTTTACCGTCCCTCAAGCCGGGTTCAACCATTACGCTTCCTATTAAAACACACAGTAGTTTGTATGACACATTTTTGTTTGAAAATGATAAAAATGTGTTCATTTTTGCTTCACTGCATTCTCAGGATTGTTCTTTTTTTTTGTAAAATTTCATCATTTTTTCTGTCTTTTGAATGATGATATTTCTGAAAAAATGGGTTTGAATTTTAGTCCCAAATTTAACATATTTTCAAAATTATTTTTGAATGAAAAATGTACATATTTTTGGTAGGATCTCTATATTTTCTCTATTGCGTCAAAACTTTTTTTCTGTAACTCATTTTTGCTTTGCTCATTTCATTTCCTTTTTTCCATTTTCAGTCCCACTTTTTTTTCATTTTTGGTTTCCTATGTTTTCATTTTTCTCAATAAAAATCAATCAACATTTTATTAAAATTAGATAAAGAGAAAGTTTTCTTTTACAAAAAGAATGATAAATACATGGACTAGTTATGCAGGTTAAATTTGAAAAAAAATGTGCAGAAAATACAGTTGGTTTGTAATTTTAATGTTGTTTAGGTGCCCGTTGATATTTTTTCATTAAAAAAAAAACAAAATAATAATTATTATTTTTGACTATTTGTAGTCGGCGGTGGAACAACTCGCTTGAAAAATGATGGCAATGAAATTCGATTCGAGCAGTTTGAACAGTTCTGAAATTTAGTTCGAAAATAAATCTTCATTTCAGTTAATCCCCCAATTTTCTTTCAAGAATATTAAAAAGTTTATTGACACAACGTGATTTTGATTTGAGGGGAAATGTTTACTTTTTCGGAAGCGACAAAAAATTGAGAGGTGATAATAATTTGACAATTTTGAAAGATATACAAATCAAATGATTTTGATTTGTTTGGGATAACTTTTTTTTACTGACTCACCTGATTATGTGAACAAATATAGTAGCAAAATGCCAAGGAAAGGAAGAAGAGAATGAGAAGTGAAACAATTGTTGACATTAGAACGCAGAATTTGATTGTGTTGAACATTTCACCAGCTGACTGAAATTTGGATGTTGTTTGTGTTTTTCCGGGAGCTTGTGGATTTTAGATAATTTATAAATTTTCTGACATATTAACATTTTTCACGTTACAAATTAGATTTGGATTTGATAACCGATCAAGTCGCGCATTTTATAAAAACCTTTGAAAAATTTTCCACTAGAAAAATAATCACAAAATATTTTTTCAAAAATAATTGTATTAGAACTTTCAAATTAATTTTTAGGTGAAATCTTTGGGGTGCGGTTTAGATGACATCAATTTTATCTGTAATCAAAATAATATTTGATTGAGTATTTTTCAACTGAAACCATATAGTTATTATAAAAAAAAACCTATTGAGTTCTCAATACTAATGCTCAAAAAATATAAACCCAAACTCTTCTGTTGGTCTAAAAACTGAAATTCTATGACAAAAAGATTCATCAACCCTAAAACTATAAAAATCCCTGGTTTATTTTGCTTCTCCCAACAGAATAATTCTGAAGTCATCAACATCTAACATCACAATTTTTTTGAATTTCAAAATGAATCATATTCATTTTATCATCAACCTTATGATTTCCCCTGCAATATCACGATTCCAATTTCTGAACACCGACTCATATTTCATGAGACATACATACATTGGAATGTTTACAAAACAAGAGCTCCTTCTTCTTCTCCAAATCAGGAAAGTTCATTGTCAAGTGTGAACAAAAAGGCATGTTTGTCTACGCTTGATTTTTCCTCTTTTTTCATTTTACGGTTTTCCGTTTCACACAAAATATGAATAAAACAATGTAGTTTTATTTATTTATTTATTTACTCACCCTGGCTGCAAATTGAATATCTTCCATTCCGCAAGCTTTGAAACAAGTATTTCCAAAAATCGAGCTTCCCCCCGAAGTTCCGCCACCAGCACTTGTTGAACCGCTTCCATCGCCAGATGATTCACCACCACCCATCATATTCGAAATACCGTTGATTGTTCGTGAAACGTCGGAAAATAATTGAGGAAGATTGACTTCACGTTCTCCCATATCAAAAATGAATAGAGAAAACTGTTTGTATATGTGACCTAGAAAAAAGAAAAAATTATAAAAATGTATATGCAACACTTGAGATTTGGGAAAAGAAGATATTGTAAATGAATTCATTACCAGATTTATTCCTGGACGAGAGAGAAACGGACAAGTTCAAAAAACTGACAAAGTAAATATTAGAATCAAAAAATTGAAACGTGTCTGTTTCAATTCAAAGTGAAGTGTCCTTTAAAAAACAAAGCAGCAAAAAAACGTATTGGTCAAACAAAAATCTCTGCGTACATTCATTCAAAAGCTTCCGGTCAGAATAGACTAAAAGTATATCCTTCTGGCCTCTCTGCACAGATTTTCTACCTGAAAGAGGAGGGAGGGGTGGAGTTTCTTCATGTCACTTGCTCCTCGGCGAGCATAAAAAAGAGTTGTCCATGTATATATACATCTCAGATTTCTTTCCAAGTTTTATTATTTTTATTATGATGTAAAGAAATCAGGTTTTGCAAGCTCCAAAGACGAGTAACTTAATACGAAGGACTGTCAACAAGAAAAAAAAATGAAATAGAATAAGAACAAGAATCTCTGCGGGGGAGGTTTCGATTGTTTGATAAATCAGTATATAAACTAACCTTACTGGTCAAAATTGGAATAAAAGATCAGGATTGCTTTAGGTATACAAATAAAGTACATACAAACACATGTATGTACAAATGGAGAAACGAACGAACGGGGAGTAAATAACAAATTGTTGTTGTTTTACCCAACAAATGTGTGTGGACCGAAAATGTGTACAATGAAACTTGATAAGTTCAACCAAAAAAAACAAAATGACCGTGGTCTTGAAAATATTTTCGGGAAAATTTTCAGAACAAAATGAGTATATTTGTTTTCTATAAATTTTGAAATATTATACCGTGGAAAAATTTTGTACTGACATTGAAGTTCGGAAAACCAGAGTTCACAGAGATCTTTTGCAATAATCAGTTTGATTTTCATTTTAGAAATACAAAAACTGAACAGTATATTTATCGGAACAAAGATGAAAAATAATAGTGACTAATTAAAAGTTGTGCCCCAAATTTTTCGAAAAATCAAACTTTTAATTTGAATCCTCAATTAATTAAAAATAAAATTTTGAAAAATATTGCTAATTATTCAATTTTTTATATTCTAAGAGAAGTTCAAAAATTTCAAGAAACAAAAAAAATCAAATACAATAATATTTTGACGTTTTGTCCCAGATTCCTAGGAAAATCCAACAAATCCTCAAATAATTATGACAAAAAATCATTCCACATGGGAATATGGAATCACTTTCTCTCACATTCGATGCAAAAAACCAAAAACAACAACACAAACAGAAATAATAATCATAATAAAATGGTCGAGCACAGTTTGTGCTGACCGGAGCTCGCCCGCCTTCTTCCGCAGCTCGCGCGCGCCTCTCAATATTGACCACCACTCTCTGTTCAAGAAGAAGAAGAAGAAAAAATAAAGAAAGAAGAAAGGTTAATCCGAATGTGTGGTCGAGACCTGTGTTGAGGAAGAAAAGGTGCTGTTTTTGAGTCAGGTTAGACAGTGATTATTGTTGTTAATTCGTATGCGGGTTTTTTTGTGTGAAGAAGAAAGTTGATCAGCAACATTGATGTTTAAAAAAGTCAAGATGCGGAATTGGGAGTGACAAATTCTGATGATTTTGCTCGAAAACAATTAACAAGATCGATGATCATTGAAAATAGTGATAATCATGGTCTTGTGAGAATTACTAAACTTGTTTAACAGAGGGATGTTAGGTTTTTAAAAAGAATTCAATAATTTCTTTCCAGGGAGGAATATCATACTCATAAAAATATTTTTTTTTTCAGAAAATATAGCTTCCGGGTATCATGAAACATTGTGAAGAGAACAATTGAACTTTTTGAAGTGTTTGAATGTTTTATTGTTGTTATGAGTTCTGTAAACATTATAAATCTAGAAAAATGCTTCCGAACAGAAAAATATTCCGAATTTCCTGAACTGAAGAACAGCAACTAATAATAGTAATGAATAGTTTATCTGTAAGTCGTGTTGTTTTTTTCTGAAAAAGTTTTTTTCTATTTTCTCAATCAAGATTCGTTAGCTTCGATGACAACATTTTAGAAAAAAAACTTTCAGCAAATTCAACCATGTGTTATTTTTTAAATTGATCAAACACTTTGAGATATTGTAAATTGTGTTTAGTATGGGGTGTTCTAGACAATTCGAAACCCAAACAGTTTTCTGATTCGCTTCAATGAAAAAAATCAAAAAATTAATCCTATCGCTCTTTTCATTCATCTATTGACCAAAAAATCACTTTTTTGGGTTCAGATCGGCTCAAAAATGCTCGTCGCTCTCAAAGATGATCCTCACGACAACAAGACCAAAAAAACAATGAAAAGTTTAGAAAATAGCTATGATACTTAACCCAAACGAAACACTTATCAACGAAAAAGATAAGATGATGTTTCCGCTTTTTCTTCACACAAAATATATATAAATATTCAACATTTGTTGTTTTTACGTAAATCTTTGCTCTGCTCTTCAGATCCTATTCTAAAAGTCGCCAAAAGACAAAATTATTGTTTATTTTTAGTCTTTATTTGTATTTACGAATTTTTTGCTAATGTATGTGACAGCTTATGTTGCAAAAAAAATTTGGTAAATATGTCCATGATTCGATCAAAACCAATTTTTTTTTCTTCAAAACTGTCTAGGCTTCCGGCTGTTCATAGTGTCAAATTGTTGTTTTTTGTTGACTGTAAATAAACCGGAAGAAAATTCGATACGAAGAAACAAACAGGATCACTATTCAAGTTCGGACAATCAATGTTCAGCGTAAACAAAAAATGGTTTCTCGTGAAAACAATATGTGCAGCGAGAAAAAAAACACAGTGACTTTTGTTTGGTCGAGGTGACGAAAAACAGTTAGCCGCGTGAAATCAAACTTTATACACACAGACAAAAAACACATTGGTTTTAAATTGCAATGAATTGTGTTTTGGTAAGACGGGGACAATTAGCAAAGATCAGAGAGTTTGAAAAAAATTTTGGATTTGAAAACAATTAGTGTGAAATTGTCAGAAAGAAAAGTTTATTCAACTAATCACTAGAAAATCATCAATTTGATAATAACAAGTTTCCGAAAAAACATGATATTCTATCATCGATATTATAATTATCTTATAAAAATTAAAAGCAAAAAGGTTTTTGAAATAGAAAAACAACGCGATTTCATAAATGGTGACGAAAACGTTCCCGTAATTCGAGGTTTTTTGTAAGAGCAGCACAAAAATATTAAATCTACTGAAAATTTGTTTTTCAAATTTCGATAAAAATCAAAATTACATCAAGAAAACCTGAAAAATAAGTTTCAAATAATAAAAAAATGGATATGGCAAAAGTTCACTTACAAGAACATCAGAAATTGAAAACTGTGACTGGAAACTTGTCATCATATGTACATCGAACGAACAACTTCCTTCACTCAAAAATTCATGGAAATCATTGGTTCAAGAAAAAACCAACTGAAACACTGGAAGAAAGTTCAAAAAATGGAACAATTTTTCGGTAAAGTTTGATTTAATTTGAGAACAAAATTTGTTCACGATGGTATTTCCAACATTGAAAAACGCGAGTTCATAAAATTTTAAAATTTAATGAACATTTCCAGATGTTTTTGAAAAAAAATTTTAAAAATTTTTAATAGCCAAAATGTTTCATTTCAGATTAATGATCAGATGTTTCGTGATTTTTCAAAAACACATTTCTTGTCTCCAAAGTTTTTTGAAAATATTTTCTACTTCACTCTTTAAATTTGACAAGTTTAGTCCAGCGGGATAACTTTTGAACTCAGCTCCCCCGATTTTCCATTCGAAAATCTTTTGTTTTTCTTCGATGTCTGAAGTTTTCTCTTTCACAATCAATCAATTGAAATCCATTTCCGATGAAACAATTTCAATCAACAATATTTGCACACAAAAGTGTAAATCTTTTCAATTTCCCCTCTCAAAAAAAAAAAAACAAAGAAAACAATATGGCCAAACTTTTTTTTTGCTTTGTTCCTCAAACAAATATACAAATTAGCAATGTTGCTTTGCTTGCATGAGTCAAAAACACGTTGGTTGACATTTTTTTTTGGCCTCGGTCCGCTTTTTTTCTGTGTGGTTACTGTGTTTTATCTTTGCCTCACCTAGACTGGCATACAAACTCCGCCCATTTTTCTCACTTACTATTGTCTTTTTTTTTTGAATGTAAAGTAAAAAAAGAGGGAGAAGGAAACTTTTTTGGAATTTCTATATTTGCATGTTGAATTTCTATGTTGAAAAATTTTTTAATATTTTTCTTGTTTTGGCTGGCAAAACCTATTGACTTTCTGACCTTTGATAATGGTGAGTTATTTGGAATGAGACTTTTTTTTTGAAATTTGGATTGGTTTTTTTGCGGAAAGATCGAGGGTTACTGTAAGAAAATCGAAGAATACAGTAACTTTCGTTTTTTTTTCTACAGGAAATTTGAATTTTTCGAAAAAATCTTATGTTAGGTTCTCAGTGACGAATACACTTGTGATGAATAAGTTCTATTGTTCCACAAAAAAAAGTTCACATGCTTTATTAGAATTTTTATGTGGTAAAAAACCTTTTTTCAGATTACTGTGGATATAATGTGACAAATTGTAAGATTGAAGAGAATATGAATATAACAAATGAATTTTTCAAACAAAAATTACAAGACAGGATTATCAATGTGCGAAGGGTTTTGAATGATCAAGTTTTCAGTTTTAAAGGTGAGAAGAGTCTCTTAAAAACACATCAACGTATGATTTTTTTTCAGAATTTTTTGGTAGAACTCTCCGAAACACACATCTCGATTTGGATTCAATGTTTTCAAGTACATATGGAAGTTTTTATCAGGAAAATGTGCAAATATTGAATGGACTTTTTGAAAGGATACGGAACTTTTCAATGTCATATTCTGAAGCAAGCATGAAACATATTATTGAAACATTTTTTGATGATCTTTTTTTAGTGGTTTTTAGAATCACCAATCCTTTTGTAAGTTTGGAGTTCTCCTTGATTGTTTTTGGTAAATAGAAATAGAGTTTCATGAAAACGAAAAACTTTTCCATCGTGTATGTATTCTAAAACAATAATATTTTCAGCAATCAGTAACCGAGAAAAAGCTAAAATGTATGCAAGAATATTCGCGAGATATTGAAGCATTTGGCGATTATCCACAAAGAATAATAAATCAATTGTCACTTCCATTAACTAATTGGCGACACTTTATTTCTGCCATCGAAACTCTGCACACAATTTTGGAAGGCTACATGAATGTGAGTCACTAATTAATCAATAAACACAACCTTTAATTGAAAGGCAAAAACAAAAAAGTCCGCATTTTTTCGGTCTCTTCTAAAGATTTAAATAACAAATGACTTTCACTTCGACTCAAAATGTCCTTCATTTATGACAAATAAATAAGAAAGCACTTTTTTAAGGACTGAAGTATTTAGGAAATGAAATCATTTCTTTTTTTACAGATAACACTTACTGAACAGTGTCAAAGAGGATTAGCGCGATTAGACGGATGTGCACAATGTGCAAATGTTCAAGTGAAACCTTGTCAGAATTACTGTATCAATATTTTGTCAGGTTGCACTTATCAAATGCTGGAAAGTGAAGAAGTTTGGAAAGAGTCGGCAGGTTTGTTTGAAGTTTTATTCAATTAAAATTCTGAATAGGGCTGAATTTTCATTGAAATGTTTTTCTTTTCAGGGTTACTAATTCAATTGGCCGAGCAATTGAATGGCCAACAAAATCTGGTGTCTTCAATTGATCCGGTTGCAATTTTGATAAGTGAAGCGCTGATGCATTTTCAAGAAAAAAGTGATTATATAACTAACAAGGTGTGGTATTGTTATTAGTTTTTGGATTTTCAAAAAAATACGTAAAAAATCGCGTTTTGATTAAATTACAATCACATTTTTAAAATATATTTGTACTACACAAAAACCAACAATCATTTTCCAGATGATTAGTAGATGTCTCTACAAGGATTCCGAATCTTTCTTATATCGTCGAAAACGTTCAATAGCAAAACCATATCCACCATCTCGAAGAACAATTGATCATCGAATTCTCAACCAAATGTTTGCTGCATTCATAACCAAGGTATTTTTTTTTATTTTTCCGAAAAAAATCCATAAAAATATTTTGCTCCTCCTTGGAAGACAACTTCTTTATCAAAAAATAAATAAGAAGCGGATTAGAACACCTAAGAAGGTTATTTCTCTTTTTTCAGATGGAAAGATTCGATTCGTTATTCGGCAATGTTCCACGGTTTGTGTGTCAAGATGAAGAATGGGGGACCAATGATAAAAGTCAATGTTGGAATGGAACAAGTGTTGGAAATTATAGATATCCTATCGCAAATTTGTCGAATCCTTTTGGAAATCCTGAATATCAGAATAGAAATATATTGACATTCAGAGGTTCGGTTTTTTGATTTGAAAGATTTGACCGAAAATAGAACATGAGAATTTTTCTAGGAAACTATATGGATGAACGACTTCGAATGAAATGGCTGCAATCTCGACTTCAGAATATTGTCATAACAAAACCAATAATTCACCCATTGTCTGTAGAACATATCAATTCAGACGATGAAGATTATGTAAGTAAACTTCGATCCCCAAACATCAAAAATTATCATTTTTTTCAGAATGATTACGAAGTAGAAGGTTCAGCAGATTACCACAACGCCCCTTTGAAATCTCCAGTAACTCGTCAAATTGAAAGAAATCGTATTGAAATTGTCATAGAACCTTTTCCAATAACAAGAAGTTCAACAAAAATCAATCAATATATTATACTTGTCACTTATTTTTTGCTCAACCTTTGATTATATCTGTATATATTCCCAAAATCCCAAAATAAAACAATTGTTCAAAATGTTTGCAGTTTGACAGGGACTCTTTATGAAAGAAAACGCGCCCCATCGCATCTATTTTTCTCTAACTTACACACTATTTCTCTCCCTTTTTTAACACTACTACTAGGTGTTTGTTTTTTTCGTTGTATTTTAGTTTGTTTTTTCAAAATTTATACAGTCCTTGTTTATTCATCGTTATATGGAGGATGAGAATGACGATAATTTGTTATTTCGCACGTTTTCTGAATTAGAGATTGAAGAGGAAATCAAGAAGGAAATTGAGAATCAAAACGATATTCAAAGTATGTTTTTTGTCTGTTGTGCTTATCAAATAAAAATTGTTTGAATGCATGGAAAAGTGACGTTGCATTATTAAATTTCGTATGTACTGAATTCATTTTTCAGATCCTGTTCAACAAAAATCATCAATCTATAGAGAAATATTAGGTCTTATTAGTTGCACGTGTTGCATTATGCTCGTATTATACTCACTTTTTTCAATACTTGGGTGAGTTTTTTTTAATGAAAAAAAAGGGTTTTGATAAAATTTCTATATTTTATTCTAGGTTCTACAATGGGTCAAGAAATTTGATTCAAGCAAAAGCTGCGGCCAAACCATTTTTCGCTGATTTTCATCGTGGATTTATTGATGATAATTTTGATGGAACACTCAGAACTTCAAGGTAGCTAATTTTCTATTAAAAAAATTTTGAAAATACATTGCTCATTTTAGAAAAACATCAATCAACTGTTGAAATGTTCTATTCACCATACAGTATAAATTCCAAGCATTTTCGACGGAAATATTTCGATGTCGCAAAATCGATGCGAATTAATCACCCAGTATGTTTTTTTAATTGTTCAATAAAATTTTGAAATTCAAAAAAAAAATGATTGCAGAAAACTCATCCATATTTCTCCGCTGTAAATTGCTTTGATAGTGGTGGAAAATGTCGGCAGAAATATAAAATTCAAAAATATCCGATTTTGATGGCAACTTCGTATTTGCAGCAAAAATCGATTTATAATGGACCATCAGAGGATAAATATGTGATAAGGTAACTCTAGAAATATTAAAAAAAAATTATCTGAAAAAAATTATGCAGATGGCTGAATCGATTGCAAAACTCAGTTCATCGACTATCGATAGCGGAAGATTTGGTTGAATTGGCAAAACAATACGATTTGATGGTGATTTTGTATGTTGAGATGAGGAATAAAGTTTCACCATATTTCCGGAATTTCACAACGGCTGCCTATCAGTTTTATGATGGAAATCCGAGTGAGTTCTTGCTTCATTGAATCAACCAATTTTTCACATTCAAATTCAAATCATACTATTCCAGACTCGGAATCAACAATTTTCTGTGTTGTCACTGATCCATACATTGCAAAAAGTTATCAAATTCACAGCGAAAACTCGATAGTTTTTGTCAATTCAGGTATATTTTCATCTTATTTTTTTCCAAATCCTTATCCAAAAATCTTATTTTTCAGAATTGAATGTTCTTCTAACTCATGAGAACAAAGCCTGGAGCGTTGAAGAATTGTTAGATGGAGTTCGCCGATATTCTACAGAAGTCAGGAAAAAATCGATAGAAGTTTTAAACCCGGGATGGCAAAATTTGGCGTCGTCCCAACTTGCAGAGGGAATTAATTCAAGCTCGGTTTTGCTGTACCTTACGAAAAATCCATATTATAATAGCGAGATTTATAATATGTTTCGTGAAACTGCCAAGGAATATTTTCACTGCAAAGAAAAACATCTCCTTTCGCCATCAACTTCTGAGGAAAATGTCACAATTCCCCTGGTTGAAGATTGCACAAACGGCGTGAAATCCTATTCATGTGATGTGAGTGTACCTCAAAAAATTTGGAAAAAATTCGAATTTTTTTCAGAGAAACTCCACTTTAAAATTCATAATTGCTGATTCACTCACGGAACCTCAATTAACAACAAAATTCGGCGGTGAACATGTGAGTTATTTTTCGAGATTTAAAAAAAAATTCGTATAAAAAATGTGTTCAGGACATGATTGTTGCTATAAATGGTGATCAAGAAGTGACAAAATTTGTTAGAGGGAATATCAGTAGAGAATCAATAAATTGTCTGATTCGCCAACATCATGAAGCCGCTGACAATCAATTTGTCGTCGAATCTTCTAGTGTTGTACCAATAACATCTGAAATTGAGATTAATGAGCCTATAAATCCAATTGGTGAAGCAAGTGGCTTGAAATTCATTGATGATATTAACAAAGTTATTGGGCCGGAAAAGGTATGGGAAACATTAACAAGAATTTTTTTATAATATTTTTTTCAATCAATTTCAGAACACTGTGGCGCTTTTCACTAGTGGAATTTGGCATAGTTCGTCAGCTTCAACGTTGGCAGTTTTTCATCAGACTGCTGAATATTTTTCGAAGGCTAGTAATTTGGTGGAATTTGTTGTGTGAGTGACTACTTTTGAAAATTGAATAATATAACATTTTCAATCCAAATTATTTCAGCGTTGACGTCACAAGAATGCATGTGCCATACAACTTCAACTTTGACCAGCTTCCCAGAGTTATCGTATGTGCTGCAAAAAAGTAGGGCTTACCACTTCAAAATCACTAATCTTTGAGAAAAAAAATTTGTAGATTAGGTACAAGTTGGTCATATCCAACCGAATTGCCAATAAGTTTTCCAAACTTGGTGAAATTCATAACATCTCGACATTCAATTGAACTTCGAACTCTGCCTTTATTAGCAAATTGTGATTCAAAGTGTCGGAAAAGGTATTTGATTTTTTAAATATGAAATACATAAGTTAATGTAATGTTTTTCCAGAACTCAATGGAAACTTCGATTGGAACGAACACGATTAAAACGATCAATGCGTAGACATGTATCGATAAATCCAAGGTTTGTTCAATATCTGGTTTTCTTGACAGCAGCTTGCTTGATAAATACATACATAAACTACTAGATTTTATCACGTCACTTTTGTTGTAGATCAAACATTAAACTTTTCAGGAATCGGGTCGAACTTGCATATCTGAATCGGGTGCTAAAATTACTATCGTGATTGATGAGTTTTTCGGGTTTTCAAGATTTTTATTCATTTTAATAGCCTTTTTATAAATATTTCTATTGAAACTTTTTTTTGTGTTTATTGAGCAAACTGTTATTGATGTTGTGGAGAAAAAAAAGATAAACACATTGAGAACAGGAAAAATAAACAATAATAGTTGCAAATTGGTGGCGAAACCAAACAAAACTTTTTGTCTTGTTTTGTTTTTTCGAGTGTCTCAATGCAAGGTGCCAAAAAACCAAACACAAACACACACACTAACCAAATTTTTTGCGTCTGACAGCCAGTGTTTTGTTTGCACAAAATCTGGTCAGAGACACATTTAAAAGGCGACGGATTCGAGGCAGAATGGTATCGAGCCAACGAAAAATCAAATGAAACTCGTGATTATTGCTAGCTTTGCTTTAATTGCAGCCGTGAGTCTGTTTCCTTAAGAAACATTTTTATGGAATTGATTTTAGGTATATTCTGAAGATGTTCCTGCTGGTCACACAGTTGTTGCTCAATGTAAATGCAGTGATTTGGAAGAGTGTGGAGTTGAAGTCAAAGCAAAAACTGACAACTGCAAAAAACAGTAGGTTTTTTTCAGAGTTCTGCGATATTTTTTTGAAAATTCAGATAGTAGTTCTGGATGTTTCACAGAAATTTACTCTTTTTTTCAGACCAAAATGTACCGATTTTTTGAAACAAATTGGAGATGCTACCAAAATTATGGCTTGCCTTGATGCTGATCATGTGGTTAGTTTTTTCTCACATAGATTGATGTTTATCGTGATTAAATTTCTGAAAAAAAAAACGTTGTACGGTATTTTTTCTGGTGACAAAATTGGCAAAAATTTTGATTGAGTCTAAACTTAAAAAATAAGTTTGAAATTTTCAGAAACATATTTTTCTGAAATTGATATTCAGGTTTCTTTCATTTGTTTCATATTCAAAATCACATTTCATTAACATTTTCAAAAAAAAAACTATGAAACATCATCTACAATTTTATCAGTCTCAAACAAGTTATTTCTAATCCCTTTTCAACATTCCTAATTTCCCGGTTCATCAATTTCCCTTCCGAAAACTAAAAATCATCACTTTCAACTTTGATGTTTGAACCCATTTATCATCAACATTTGATCGATCATATTCTATTTTGGGTACATTTTATCAATTTGCAGCAAATGATGAAAGTCGAAACCTGTGCCAAGAAGAAGTTGAATGGTGAACTTGGATGCACCAACTCTGAAACTCCAGTCAATATGACAATTCCATTGATACCAGTCATCGAAGTTCCATCACTCGAAGAAGCTGGAGGAGCTCAGCAAGGAGAAGGCGAACAACACGCTCAACCACAACCACCAATGCAACTTTCGCAATATTTGATGTGTATTGATGAATGTGCTCATGATGATATGGATGTTATTCCAGGAAGAAAGAAGAGATCACCAGCTACCTGTGCCTTCAAACTTAAGTATGTTTATTTTTTGTCCCCACATCGTCTTATTACGCGAATTTTCCATTTTTCAAAGATCATAATTTTATCATTATTATTTTTCTTGTTAAGATGTGCTTTGGCTCCACCATCAGAACAAACTCAAAACGCCTACACCGAATGTCAAAAAGAATTGAACTTCGACCCAGTGAAAGGAGCTGCCGATTCTTGCAAATGTCTCAAAGATGCTGGAGTTGCAATGCAATGTTAATTCAAATTTGAAAATCTTGTCTGTAAATATCTGTCATATCACATATTATTATCATAAAATAAACAAATCATCATTTTGTTGATAAAATCACCAAACATGTTTAATTTCCGGTTTTCAATGTCGCGAATCGCTTCGCAATCTAAAAATAGTAGTTCTGTTCTGTTCAGTCCTATCAAACCAAGTATGAAAAGACGAAAGTTGTACCGGGTCACATGAATATATATTGTGTTGGGTTTATGACACAAACAATGTTTTTTTTCGCTTGCATGGGAGAAAATAGGCGGGTATTGCGACATATGGGAGGAAAATCATTGATATACACGTATGAGTGCGTCTGGTCTTACCGATCTTTAAAATTGACTGAGAATTGAGTGGTGAAAGTGTTTTTTGTGTTTTGCTTTTTGTGGAAAGTTTTTGAGATTGTTTTCAGCTTTCAAAACCTTAAGATGCTGGTTTCAAAGTTAACTATATTACTGTCTGAAATACACTAGCCAAGTTGTTTTATTCAAATTTAAATTTAATTGTTGTCCAGATCTTCGTTTGAATCTTCTATCTAAACAATGAAGCAAAGATCAACCTGAAAGTTTCAAAAATTTATAAAAATTGTTCGGTTTCGATTAAAGTACGGTTCAATTAAGTAGTGAATTCAATTGAGGTTGAACTTTGTTTCAATTGTTCCAATTTCCATTTTTGCTTCAAAGATCACTCATAGACCAATGGCTTCGTCGCAGAATTTGATATTTATAATTTTTAAAAACACTTCGTAATAATCCTAATAAGATTTTCAAAAGTTTAATCTCATTTTCACATGAATTCTGCATTGTGAAGCCATATATTTTTTCGAAAATTTTAATTCAATATTTATCTGATCTTTCTATATTTTTTGTTACTTCAAATAAAACGTAACATTTTATTGCAATATCAAACTACAAACATGTTCTTTTGCGATTTCAATTTCATCCTCGTTCTTTTTTGCAAACCATTTTTATTACGAAAAAAAAACGTCGATGATACAGTTTCCCAAATTCCCGTTCTCACAATTATTATTCTATGGCAGTTGTATAGCCAAATTTTTTGCTTGCCAACAAAAATACACACGAATCAAGCTACGCTTTCGTATCCTTGGTGACATGAACATAGCCTTTGAACTTCTTTGGTATGCAACATCGTCATTTCATTTTTGCAAATAACAATATTTGACCGGTGATAAATTGATAATATGTTTGTGAAATTTTGAATTGATTATTTTTCTTTTGAGAGGGAAGAGAGGGAACAATTTGAAGCACTAAAATATACCATAGAGCTTTGAACTTTAAAACATCGGAGCAAAAAGTTTTCTGCTCATCAATTGTTTTTTATTTTCAAATTTTCAGAGAATAGTAAATTTTTGGAGGACGCAATTTACCGAAAACTTTCATTTTCAAAAACATTTGATTCCGAATGACTTTTAAAATCATACAAGATAATGTTTTTCAATTGCTGAACATTTTTTTTTCATGATTTGATGATTTGATTTATTGAAGATATGGTTTGGGCAGTCCTACATGTTTTTTATTTGCCAGTATTGATCTTTTCACATCACTTATCAAAAAACCAAAAATATATAGATCCAGTACGTCATAATCTGCACCAGCAAAACAGTCTCTACATTCACAACTTTTAAAAATATACTTGGTCTACCATTCTTCTCATTGTTCTTATCAATACCTTTTGTAGAACCCAACACCTCTTCCATTTGAATACTATCTCAATTTTCATCAAAAGATTACACTTCGCTCGCAAACTTTGATAATAATCTTTAAAGATACAAAATTTTTTGTGTGTTTCTGCGAAAATGACATTCAAAAAACCGTTTGTCGATTATTATTGAACAATCTAGTTTTTATTGTATTCATATTGAATGATAATAAAGTGGGCGTCGATTTTTTGCATTTGACAAATATTACTGTTTCGAAATTTTTGTCTCGCCTATGATTGAATTGAACTTGTACTTTTTTTGAATTGATCTTTTTTTTTTCATAAAGATCACAGTTTTTTTCGAAAAAAAAGTGGCATTGACGATTTTTAAAATAGAAAGTAAATTGCTTTGTTCATTTGAATTGTTTTCGCTTTTACCCTTTATGATTCCCAGAATAAAAAAGAGATAATCCAATTTTTTAGTGTACTATGGATTTCCTTGAATGGCTGAGCATAGATTATTTACACTTATGAAAATAACTAACTAATGGAAATAGTAAACTTTCGAAATTCCTGATGTTTAAGAAAGTATTAAAAATTAATTGGATCACATTGCTGTTTTCTCATCCCTTTAGTTTTTATCGCTTTGAATGGTAAGAAATTTCTAGCGTTATAATATTTGCCCTAAAAAGAAAATTCTAGAGATCATGTTATCTTTGTTTACAAAAAATAATGATAGATGTCTTTGTTTCATGTGAATTTATAGACATATAAAATTAGAATCATGATAGATTCTTACAGAAAAACGCTGTTTTCTTTTTTTTTCTAAATTTCAAATCCTAATATATAACATTTCATGACGAGAGCTTCATCCAAGTTTTTATGAGCGAGTAGAACTTTGAAAAAAAAATTACAGAACCTGAATAACAATACCTTCTATAAAATATTTATTTCCTGGTTCATACATATAATGTTGACCTTTAAAAGTCTACCATTTCAGAAAACAAACATTATTTTCATGTTATCTTTTCAGAAACTCTCTTTTTTTGCTAAAATCTCATGTGTTTCGTTGATCCGCGTAGGCTTCACACAAATTTCCCAAATGTTTTTTTCTGCACGTCAAATTTCAAATAACACATTTTCCACTGTAAAAAATGAATCTAAAAAAGCTTTTCTCACCACAAAACTCAAACTTCAACCGGAAGAAAATTTTTTGATCATTTCAATGAACCATAAAAGTGCTTTCCAACTAAAATTGAGATTTAGTTTATTTTTTCAAAATGAAAAAGAATTAATTACAAAATTGAGGGTCTTCCCCCGAAAATTGTATGCATATGAATTTATGATTAATACATAGATTATGCGATTTCGTTGTGGGCGTCCTTGATCTTTTCAACGTCGACTTGTTTTGACGTTGATCAATATAATCTTCGTTTGTTTTTTGCAAAAAAAAAAACAAAACAAATTTTGTCACATGTTTGTAGATATGCACTTTGTATTGGGGAATCCCTTTTTGAACTATGTAATATTTGTTTTTCATTCACTTACACATACTTTCAAAAGTAAAAAAAATCGACTTTAGTTGTTTGATATTTGCTCCCATTTTCATTGTGAAAATAGTGAGAGAAATAGAGAAGACAAGACAATGAGTAATTAATAGTACTCTAGGTGCACTCTTTGACTTTTTTCTGTTGATCAATCGATAATTTCTGGGTTCATTCGTCATTCTTTGTTGGTTTTTTGATGTAATACAAGATAAAGTGATGTTTGAAGTCAGTTGAATAGTGCAAATCTGACGTCCTTCTAATTCCAAGAACCCTGTCTCGAAAAATATCGAGAATCTTTTTCAGTTATTTTTATTTCAGTCTGTCGTTACCGTTTTTTTTTCCAATTTTTCTCTATTTCTTTTAATTTTCAAACAACTTAAGATTAAATACAACAAAACGTTGTTATTTGTTTTCAAAATAATTCCTGGTCTGAATAAAAAAATAGACATCAATCAATAGTACACAGCCTGTTTCCCGCATGATAGGATGGCGGGAACAAAAATTAATAGATTGCGAGAAATATGGAGGGCACAGAGAAACATGATTTTTCCGAGTGAGTGTTGCGTTTTCTCTCTGCCATCTCTCTGGTTTTTTCTTCATCTTTTTTATGTCTTGCGATTTGGTTCAGTTGGAATCACACGTTCATAGCACTCATCTCGTACCCCCATGAATATGCCTTTCTCTGTCGCTCTCTTTTCTTCGTCAATCTCTTGCTGGCACATTTTTTTGTTCCAAAAACTGCGCTCTCTTCATTTGTTGTGCTCTTTTTTCTTCTATGTAATTTGCACTCGCCCTTCTTTCCTTATTCTCTTTTTTTCCAGACTTGCTCTCCGTTCAAAGTTTCGCTACGACTTTACGTCATTTTTTATTTGCAACCAGTACAAGTTGCAAATAATTCACCCTATCGCAAACAGTTCATATTTCAACAAACGAAACTGTATAACAAAACTGGAGCCGCTGAAAATTACTCGCATTACGATTATCATCAAATGCCCTATGTTAGTTTTTTTTCAATTAATTCTAAAGTGCACCTTCTTTTGGGAATATTTTTATTTGGGTTTTGATTTTCCGCAACAAAATGTCTAAAATAAAGATCTCCATGTTGCGCAAAATTATTATCAGTTATTGTATTTGCAGCAAGGACAAATCAAATTGATAAGAAAATTGTCAAATTCCGGGTTGAAAAATGAAATATTTACAAGTTCAAAAATGATTCAATTTTTTCAGAATAGTAGTGTGGCAACGAGTATGTACAATACTCGGAGATCCGCATACTTGAATGCATGTAGCACATCGGAAACAATCACATCACAACGAAATCATTTGGCTTCATGGTCACAGGATGATGATTATATTCCAACATCGTGTGGTTCAAACAATTCACCGCTACAATATCATTCTGCAAAAGGAAGGTCTTCTTCACCAATAGGTTTGTGTTTTTTTGGAGAACAGAAAAAATAACGATGCTAATTTAGATCAAAATTATGAGACTAGGGAGAAAAAATCGTCTAGAAAACGAGCGAATACAACATCAAGTGGTAGTGGAGAGAATAAAAGGACTGCGAACAAGGTAATTAAAAAAAATTAAAAAAATTGAAACAGTGAAATTGTATTGTCTCACAAAACATCTGAAAGATTATGAGTTTTTGGTTTTCTAGGCCATATTCTTTTTCTTCCAAGGATCGAAACATTTTTTAATTCACATATTTTTTAATACTTTTTTAAATTCACACAATCTTGTAAAGCATAAAAAACCAAAATTGAACTTTTGAAATCCCTTGAAAACAAAAAAATATTCTAGATCTGTCGAGTCTGTGGGGATAAAGCGTTCAGCTACAACTTCAACGTCATCACTTGTGAATCTTGCAAAGCGTTTTTCAGAAGAAATGCCAACAAAGTAATTTTAATTTCTCATTTTTAATTAACTCAACCATAGAGCAAAAATTATTTTTTTAGGAAAAGGAAATCCGTTGTCCTTTTAATGAACGATGCGAAATCAATACAGTATCTCGTCGGTTTTGTCAAAGATGTCGGCTTGCCAAATGCTTTAACGTTGGAATGAAAAAAGAATGGATTATGTCAGATGAAGCACGATTAGAAAAGAAACAACGTGTCGAGGAAAATCGAGAGAGACGGTTACAGGATGCTTTGAATCGAGCAATGGAAGAAGACTCGATTGATAGTGAAGAGCAAAGTTTGGATGAAGCACCTGAACCACAAATGAATCAACAGAATATGCAGGATGAATCGATGCTTCCTTCAATGCAACAACAAATGAATCAGAATCAAAACCAAAATCAGAATCAAAACCAGAATCAACAATATCAAATGAAAGATGATTCGAAGCAAAATGCAATGTTTTCACAGAACAATGACTTCTCGAATCACGCATAGTAAGTTATTTTGAAATTTAATTTTGGGATTCGGAAGTTTTAATAATGGAGAACTTCTAAGCTTTAAATTCATCACAAAAATTGTACTTTTTTTAAATGCCCTTTCAAGCCCGTACAAAAGCCTTAATAATCTGAATTTGATAAATCCCTATCTGAATTTAGCCCCCCAAAAGTATTTTGAATGAAAAGTGCATTTATAGAATCCACATGAGGTCTACATCAGTTGTACTTTCTATAGCTGGCTAGACATAATTTGTATTCTAATTTCTTGAGTTGTTGGAATCGTTGATCTCTGATTAAAGATATCCCGTTTCAGTGATTTTGCTGGAATGACCTCGCACACATCAACTTCTCAACTATATCACCCGCACCAAATGGTTGATCCGATCCCAACCACTGGCGCTTCGTCGACTGCAGATGTTAGCGCAACAACAACATCAATGCCAACGATGGATATTGATCCAACCACAACTATGACAAGCAACGGATTTATGCCGCCATCGTTGGCTCGAATGGATCAATCTGGTCTCATTCCACCGGTTGAAGTTGAGCAAACTTTGTTGAATGTTCAGGCTCAAGCTCAACTTGCTGCACAGGTTCAACACGTTCAGGCTGCCATTAATCATCAGCAACAACAGGTATATTCTGTTTTCTCTGTGTTGCTTTTGAATTAGTCTTTATTTTAGCTTGCCGCTGCTGTAGTCGCTCAACAAGTTGTCGCTCAAATGGGTGTTCCGCCAGTTCCAGCTACTAACAATCTACCCCCACCAATCATCCCACCAACACCTGCTCTTCAGCAAAATCTCAATCCGATGACACCAATCGCTCCTCAAATTATTCAACCACCGACTGGAAATGTTGTTATGAATCAGATCAATCAACAGAACTCTGATATGATTACAATACCCAAAGAAGTTTTGTTGAAGCTGATTCAGAGCAATTCAATAAGATCAATGAGTTGCAGTTGTAGTTGTGCGTGTGGAAGATATCCGCCAGGATCGAATATTGTTGAAGAAGTCACCAAAGATTTGTTGAATGGTGGAAGTTCGAATAGCAGTTCAGCAGATCCACAAAAAGAGGAAACACGATTAGAAACCGCAGAAGATATGCAAAGAAATGGATTGTTACCTTCAGATGATAGTAGTGTACAATGGCTAAATAGTGCAGCATTGAATATTGATCCGTCCTATATGGAAGATTCTTGCTCGTCGCGACGTGACTCGGTTTTCATTCCTCTACTTGAAAACGGTGCTTATTACACCAAAGTCACAATATTTATCCCCAATTTAGATTTATTTTCAGCATTGTCGGATCCGGTGCCTCCAGAATTCACCGATCTTGAAAAGGAAAAATTAAGTGAGGTGAATGCACTTGCGAATCAATGGATGAATGATGGATTGGATAGTTTTTCACTTCTCGAACTTCACAAAGATCGCGGTGTTCGTCTTATTACAAACGGTTTGAGAATAATCACAAGTTTTGATTCACTTCCCAGAGAGGATAAAAAACTGCTGGTTTATCGTAAGTTTGGATGAATGATTTGAAAAAATCAATTTTTATTTATTTTTTTTTCAGAACGTCTTCACGCATATTGTGTGGTCAAATGGATTCAACATAATGAAAGTATGAGTTTGGAAGGCATAAAATCTGATTTAGCTCATAAATTGACAAGGTAGGCATTTTTATATGAAAAATATCATATCATCTTCCACTCTTTGAAATTTTTCTGGAAAAAAATAATGATTTCCTGAATCGAAAACTAACTGGAATCCTGATATTCATTTTGATTTTCAGAATATTGGAACACGACGCGATGAATCTCCGAGTTCAGCCAAGTGTTTTCAATACTTTGGCAGTTATCTTGTTATATCATGTTGATGAACAATCCGATCTTGCTGACACAGTTCAAGGGGATCGTGATGAATATATGAAATTGTTGCAAAAGTGAGTATTCTTATTCCCTTTTTATTTTTTTTTCTAATTTTCAATATAAAAATTTTTCAGAGTAGTTGCGATGAATAGTATGAGAGATGATGAATTTTCCCAACTCCTCGAAATTGTTCCAGATGTTCTTAGTGCAGCAGCATATCTTTGTGAACTGACTGGTGGTCTACAAGAATACTTTTTAGATACATTGTTTTAAGATTCTTTTGTTTTCGTTCTGTATATACTTATATAGTTAGTTATATTTACCCACCCACATGACATTGTATAATCGGTTGTTTTTTATTTTTTCAGATATTCTGATATCCTTATGGTTTCTTCTAGATTTCTATAAAACAATAATTAGAGTATGTGACTAATTAAAACTCTTTTTCAACTGGTCGGTTGTGATACAAATTTTGATAATATAATCTAATATAATAATTTATTGTTTGAAAATCGCTGAAATCCTTTCATTGTTTTACTCCAAACTTGGTTACGTGTCTTTTCTCGCCAACACTGAAATTCCATTTTTCTTCACTCTTTCTCTGTCTATCTATCTTTCTCAAAATATTTCGTTCCACAGAAGCTAGTCTCATTATTTGTTGGTTTTTGTTTTATGTTAAAACTTGTGAACATTTGATTTTATCATATTGATAATGATTTATTAATCAAAGAATATCAATAAAGATTTGGTACAAAATTTGCTTATGAAATCTTTGAAAATCATGGGAACAAGAGAAATTCGAGAATTGACTTACATCAGAATCGATTTTTTTTTTTGAAAATCTGGAATTGGTTTTCTCTTTAACACTGATTGTATATCAAATAGAAAATGAAAAAATCGCGAGAAATAAAATTAAATTTGAACAAAATCCTTTCGGTTTTTTTTTCTTGTGGTTTACAAATTTCGAAATTGCCTCTACTTCACGGTATTTCACTACACATATAATGTTTTGCATTTTTGAGACCTGACACATTTTCAGACACATTCTCAAACTTCATTCTTACATTTTTTGGATTATTCCAAATCTGTTACTTTTTACTTTTTCTCAATAAAAAAAATTCCACAAAAATCGAAATTTTGTTTTTCGTGTATAGAATCAAAAAAATTTCAACTGGGTTCTCGAAAGATGTTAAGAACGAGAGTTACAATCAAATTCATAGAAAATTTCAAGTTTTTCGTTCAAAAAATGACTCGTGGCAAAATCAGGAACGGTTTCTAATTTTGCCATGACGTCATCGAACAATTTTTCAAAAAAAAATTTTCTTGTTTTTTTAACAGTGTTAAAAAAATAAATTTTCTAGAAATTCGCTCAGCCTGCGCCTGAGCCTAAGGTAATCATAATTTTTAACACTGTTAAAAACAGAAAAATTGACAGAACATTTTCCCGACTTTATTGTTACTTCTAGGTGATTTACTAAGCCTAAGCCTGAGAGGAAGTGTCATTTAGGTCCCAACTCATCGATTTCATTTTTACATTTTTGGATTATTCCAAATCTGTTACTTTTTTTGTTGACTGTATACACGAAAATCAAAATTTTTGAATTTTTGTCAGCTACCCGCTCAAATCGAAATTTTCATTCGGGCGGGTATTTTTGTCAGAAATTTCAAAAAATTCAACAAAAACCGAAATTTTGATTTTCGTTGAAAAAATTCAACAAAAACCGAAATTTTGATTTTCGTTGAAGCAATTCAAAAAAAATTAAATTTTCGTTTGAAGACATGACCGTCTCCAAACAAAAATCTCGGTTTGGAGACATGACTTTTTCTCAATAATTTCATTTCTGGATGAAATTCTGAATTTTCTTTTTTTTAATAGTGTTAAAAATTGTCTGTCAATTTTACTGTTTTTAACATTGTTAAAAATTTTCTTTCAATTTTTTTTAGCTTCAAAGTTGCTTCTGGGTGGCTTACTAAGCCTAAGCCTAAGGTGCTTTACTAATCTCAGAAATTGAGACGAGAAATTGAGAATTTTTTGATTATTGGTATATACATATCAGATTCAAATTTTTATTAATCAAAAAAAATATCAGGAAAAATGATACAAGAAAATTTGTTCATAAGAAATAAAAAAAACACAGAAAAAACACGAGTTTTCAAAAATGGCACTAGCGGTCATCGGACTTCAAATAATCACTTTTTGTTCTTTGGCTTATCTGGCGAATCTTCGTGATTTTGAATCAGTTTTTCGAGGCTTCCGAGCGATTCTTTCAAAATAGTTGATACTTTTTCTTGGGCATTCGAAAGAGCATTTTCATCCGGTTGGACCTCATTTGTATAGTAAACCTGAAACAAAAAAACATTTTTAGATTGTTTTTTTTCTCAAAAAAAAAAACACTAACATCTTTCTCGCTCCCAAATTTTCCACTCAAAGCGGAATACACTTCTACTGTGTTCCTTTTAACATTTGGAATCGATTTGACTATTCTTTTTTGACCATCAATATCTTCCATATAGCGTTCCATAAATGCATTGGTAATTTTACCGGGGCGGGCTGAAAAATGACCATTTTTCTCAAGTTCCTTGTTCAATGAAACTCACGATTTCTTGGATCCAATAAATATTCATTTAATCTTGTCAACCAATTAACATTGATGATTGTGTCCGGCAAATGTGTTTCATACAATCCTTTGGCAAAATTGCTTCGACAAAATTCAATCTTAAGAAATTTCGGTATTCGTTAAAATGAATTTTGATCAACCCTACCCAATCATCCGTTTTGTTCAGATCTGCACCGTCTCTGAATCGTTTAATTTCTTCATTAAAAAGTGCTGCATGACATGTAATGCATTTGTCTAAAGTTTTGATCATCGGATCACCTCCAGCACTGAAAAAATAAATTAATTTTCCTATAAATTTTTCTCTGGAAAACTTACATTTCGTGAATGTGCTCGAAGAAAGGTTGGGAAACTTCAACAACATCGTCTTCAACATTTATGATGCTAGCATCCAAAAACCCGTGTTCACATAAAATTGCACGATTGTTGATTTTTTGAAACTCTCCACGACGAACTCCTAGCCACCAGTTCTTTGAAACATAGCACTGTAAAACAACAAACTTATTTTGAATTCAACTATCAAAAGTTTTACCTTGGGTTCCAAGAAACCATCCAACTTGGATTTCTTTGTCAACCAGTCACTTTTATGTGCATTTTCATAATCTTTTTTGATAAAAAGTAGAACATATGCCCGTTTTTTGGCTGCTTCAATATCATCAACTCGACGAACATTTGAATCGTCATATTCGAACCATTGCTTGGTTTCCGGATTATAACAATATGCAATATAATGTCCGCAATCTGATCCAGAACCTTCGTGAGTGATAAAACCGGTGAGATTATAACTAACATCACCAACACTTGAATAGTTTGATAAATCAAGTCCTTCCGATGGAAAAATGATGGGGCTTACAATCTGCGAAAAAAAATTTGAATTTCACTTAACTAACAAAAATTTTCAAGAATACCTTGGAACTGCCGACTTGATCGTGTTTGAAACGTTTCAAGTGAACACACAAAACATTTGGAAGTTGGGAGAGTTTGAGCGTTTTCACAGCATCAACATGTTTTTCACACTGATCACATCTATATTGATTATCACCATCCAAATTCGTAGTTTGGAAAAAATCCTCCAAACAATTGCCAATATCAACTTCACGAGTCGTAGTTACCAAAACTGATCCAAGTTTTCCACCGTCTTTTGATGTTTCCTAAATTTAAAAATTTAAAAATATTCATTATTGAATTCCAGCTTACATTTCCATTCATATCTTTTGAATCATACACAAAACATTTGTAGATCAAAGACAATGATAGATCGGTGAACTGCTCAGAAACTCCAGAAATATTGTGACACTCTGAGCATGTGATTACACTCTCCATTTGCCCATTGAATAAGTCAGTAATCACTGATTGTGATTCAGCAGATGTGGATTGTTGAAGTTCCTCGCTAATCGTATCAATAATGGCTTTCATGAATTCTTGCGAATCATGTTGTTGATATTGGTGAAAGTTCAGAGTCTTTCCTCTGATTATCTGAAACAAATCAAGATATTTTAGGAGATGGTTGGGAAAACAGAAAACTCACATCAAGAATATCACATGGGTCCATTGATGAATAGCGATTCTCACTATATACAATTTTGACCAAACGAGCAAAACATTCCGTCAAAAATTGAGATTCTATCTTGACATCACTTGAAGCACTCTATAAGTTAATTAAATTTGAATTAATTTTTCAAGAGAAAAAACTTACATAGTCTCTGAAAAAAGAACCAAAAGGGCCACAATGAATCAACAATTGTAGAGCAGCATTTGCATAACATGTGTTTCCAGTGTTTAGAAGACCAGTTGTTCCGATAGGGAACAGTTTTTTATCATAGGAATATGCTCCGTCGTGTTTAGATAACTGAAAGCAATTTAATGCCTTGAGAGGTTTCAGAATCTTCTTTTTCATTCCGCAGAAATTTAAGTCAAACATGTGGACTGTTGAATATTGTTCAGTAGCAACAACACATGAACTAGTGTGTTTTATTTTAAATAACATCTGGACTACTGCTGTCCAAAGAAAGTATGCACAAAGCGGGTTTTTTAAAAGGAAACATTTGTATAGAAGTTTGTTTTAATGAGAAGCTTCACAAAAGAAAGAAACACATCTGCACAAAGTTATTCAAAACTTTTTTGACAATATTTATAGGTATCTTACATTAAATGTTTTATGAATATTTTCTACCACAGGAAAACTACAAAATTTTTTGAACTCACTGTTTTTCCGCGCATATCAAGAAGATCTTTGATTTGTATTGTTTTTCGGCAAGAGGAGCAAGCAATAATTTGTTTAGGAATGTGAATAAGTAATCGGTGACCAAAGTGTTTGAAGTGAGGTTTGATATGTTCATTGTCTGCGCAAAAACAATTCTTTGCAGAGTTGGCACATTTTCTTTCGGCGCAAATGAAAACCGCTGGCGACATACATGTGACACAGCTCAACTGGAAAAAAGTACAATTATACATATTTTTGGGAAATTATCTAGATATTTTGGTAAAAAATTGATAGTACAACACTAGAATTCTATTTAGAAAAATGCCTTAGATTAGAAATTATGTGAAAACACAGTTGCTTACTTCAAGAACATAGGTGTTTTAATTAAAAGTTCAAAGATTGGCCCTCTTCCGGGCTCCAAATCTTGTGCATTAACAGGGAAAATAATAGAAAAATAAATTAAAGATTTATTTGAGTCATAAATTACTGTGATACGTTAATGGAAAATAAAACCCCAGTAATGCACTTCAATTCTATTCAAAAATTATTGATTTTTACTTCTGTAACCAACAATCTAGTGAATTTTCTCTATTTTCAGTTTATTTTGAGAAAGTTTTTAACCAACCCAGCTTTTCTAGACATCGCCCAAAAACCTCACACTTCTAAAAAATACAGAGCACGATTTCAGTCTACGTTATTCAGACATCCTGGGTGGTCTCTCTTTCATCAAATATTAAAATAAGTTTTTTTTAATTAACTCACCATTTGATAATTGAGACATTTGAGAATAGCATAGCTGTCGATCGATTTGAGATGTACACAAATATCAGGTCTCATTTTCTCATTCACTGGTTCAATTTGTTCAATCTCTGCTGGTGGCATGCCTTTTCCTCGTCGTTTAATACTCGGTTTTTTGAAATTGTCGTCATCGGTGTTCTTCATCCTGTTTGACATATCTGAATTTGGGATTGGTTTTTTTTCAATAAAAAACGAAAACGAATAAAACGAACGAGCAGAACGAATAAAAGAAAAATTATACGTTTTAAAATTGCTAACACATAAAACAAATGTATATAGTCGATTTTTGTAGCTAGAAAAATATTGATTTTCACATGAACAGCAGAGGACAGCACGCCTACGATGTTTTTTTTTATTCTTGCAAAAGAGTTTGACACCGTTTGTATATCGATGAAATGGAATGAAATGAGAAAATGGAACAAAGAACTGATAGTTTATTCTGATTGTGATTGTGACAGAAAAAAACAAAAAGGAAAGAATATATATTTTATCAAGTTCAAGATAATAAGTCTACAATGCCCTTTATAAAACTGAACAACTCGATATGTTTTCCAACGAAAATAACCGTTTTTCTCATTTTTATTCGAAAAACACAGTTTTATTCAATAAATACAGTGTTATGAATAAGTCATCAATAATTTTTTTTAGGAAATTTTCAAAAAAGGAACACCTAACAAGAAAAAGAAGGCCTCACAAGCCGTGTCGAATTGAAAAATAAATTAATAACGAAAAACTGAAAGATGATTTGCAAGTAAATGATAAGAACGAGAGAATAAAAACATTCAAGAGAGAAGAAAAATGAGAGAAAATTTCAAACAAAATGGAGAACCAACAACGATACTCCGCAAAGACACGCACAATAAACAAGAGGCATATTCTTCCCATTCTTTTTTTTTCGTTCGGTACCTACTAATTTTCCCCTTTTCTGGCGTTGTGGCTTTGGTTCTTTTTCAATTTTTATTATGTTTTTAGAATTGCTAGTCCTAATTATATATGTTTATGTGAAATTTGTTTTGAGAGTTAAAAAATTAAGCTAAATTCATTGTCGACGCATGAAAAATGAGCGTGAAACTTTCAATAATATGTTTTTTTTCAGCCAAAATGTTGGGTAGAAAAGTCGTCGCAACGTGTCTCCGCAGCGGTGTTCCATGCGTCTCTTCCGCAACACAAAATCGTCAATCTCACACTATTTGGTATCCAGATGCTAAATTCGAACGACAATTCAAGGTAATTTACTTGTTTTTTGTGCTCAAGTTATTCAAAAACCCAATCCAAACTAAATTCTTGTTTATTTTAGACCGGTGGAACATTAGGAAAACTCTGGTTGTCGGAACGTGTCTCGGAGTTCGATGAGCAAATCGGTTTGGACAAACTGGAAAAGTTGGCCTACTCTGAGCCAGTGATGAGTGACTCGTACACTGGAAAACACAGAGAAAAGAACTTGGAAAACATGATTTTGAATTTCGGACCACAACATCCAGCCGCTCACGGAGTATTGCGTTTGGTTTTGAAACTTGAAGGAGAGGTTATCATCAAGGCTATCCCACATATTGGTCTTCTTCATCGTGCGACTGAGAAACTTATTGAGCATAAGACTTTCACACAGGTGAGATTTTGTTTCTAGAAGATTCAGAAAAAATGAATAAACTAAAATATTCCAGTATTTTCTTGATATTTGAAATTAATTTCATTATTTCCAAATGAAAAAAATTCAGATGAAACTATACATAGTCAAAACAAAAAAAAACGAATAAAAATTGTATATTTATTTGCAGGCTCTTCCATATTTCGATCGTCTTGACTACGTCTCTATGATGTGTAATGAGCAAGCTTGGTCATTGGCTGTCGAAAAATTGCTTGGTATTGATATTCCACCAAGAGCCAAATACATTAGAAGTATGTTGTTTATCATTTGAAATTTAAAAAATCAAACACAAATGTTTTTTTTTAGCATTGATGGGTGAATTGACACGTATCCAAAATCATATCATGGGTATCACCACTCACGCTCTTGATATCGGAGCGATGACACCGTTCTTCTGGATGTTCGAAGAGCGTGAGAAGCTTTTCGAATTCTCCGAACGTGTTTCGGGTGCTCGTATGCACGCCAATTATGTTCGCCCTGGTGGTGTTGCATGGGATCTTCCAATCGGTTTGATGGATGATATTTATGATTGGGCTGTCAAATTCCCAGCACGTATTGATGAATTGGAAGATATGTTGACTGAGAATCGAATCTGGAAAGCAAGAACTATTGATATTGGTGAGTATTGATTGTTTTATTCAGTTTTGTAAAAAAAAATAAACAAAATTGTTGAAAACTTGGATAATCTTCAGTTTGAAAAATCAATATTTTAAAATCTTGCAGGACTCGTTTCGGCTGCCGATGCTTTGAACTGGGGTTTCAGTGGAGTTATGGTTCGTGGATCAGGAATCAAACAAGACGTCAGAAAGACCCAACCATATGATGCTTATGACCAAGTTGAATTCGACGTACCAATTGGAACCAAAGGAGACTGTTATGACCGATATTTGTGTCGTGTTGAAGAAATGAGACAATCATTGAAGATCATCCTTCAATGTTTGAATAAAATGCCAGCTGGTGAAATCAAGGTTGATGATCATAAAGTTGTGCCACCAAAACGTGGTGAAATGAAAGAGAACATGGAATCGCTTATTCATCACTTCAAATTCTTCACAGAAGGTTTCCAAGTGCCACCAGGAGCATCATATGTTCCAATTGAAGCTCCAAAGGGAGAATTTGGTGTGTATTTGGTCGCAGATGGAACAAGTAAACCATACAGGTATGATAATCGAAAGTTTATCTGAACTTCTATAATGTAATTTTTTTGCAGATGCTTTATTCGTGCTCCAGGATTCCCACATTTGGCCGCCATTCACGATGTGTGTTATATGGCTTTGGTTGCTGATGTTGTCGCTGTCATTGGAACTATGGATATTGTGTTCGGAGAAGTTGATCGATAAATTATCGATGATTCAATTTATTTTTATTATTTGTAGATGATATTATTGTTTTATGATAGATTGGCGACGTTTTGTAAAGAAATACACGATTCAAAATTTTTTTTGTGTTTTGGCAGATGAAATATTGATATCAGGTTTCTGGATCGAACTTGCAGGATGGTTTAGCTCTCGCTCTCAAAAACTCTGTAATTCTTTATGACTGCTGGAATTTTGAAGCGAATTTATTCTGTTTTGAATTCGTTCCAAATCAAAAAAAAATTATTCAAAAATTTATTAAATCAGAAAACCAACTCTATTCAAAAAAAAACAAATCAAAAAACTGATTAATTGAGGAATGACAATACGCGTTGATGTGGCTGAACTTCAGGATGCCATAATTGCAAAACTAAAACAAGTCGGAAAGCCGAAGATGAAGCACCATCAAATTGAAGTTCATGTTCAAACGAATCATCAAACACGATGAATTTTCCCGATCTCCAACCTCTTGTTTCATTTCCGACTCGTATTCTAGCTTCTGAAGGTGAAACTAAACCTAAATGAGCTTGAAGATGATAATTTGTTGGTCCACAATGTGGTAGAATTTGTCCGCCAGACGACAACACTGATAAGTACATTTCAGATTTGCTTGCGTTTGTGGAAGATGTGAATTCTTGAAGGATGAGGCAGGTTTGTGGCAGTTTTTCACAATTTGCTTTCACAAATTGACCTTCTGACATGATTGGGAAGAATTTCCATTGTCCATCGATGACTAATTGTTGATTATGATCTAACCAACAATCACCAGATTCTCGTAATACTTCCATACTTTCTTGTCGAACAGTAGCCCATTGTCTTTCAATTCCCTGAACATTTTCAATGTGTTTAAAAATGTTTTTATAAAAAACATGTGAATTTACCTTTAAGAACTTGGAATATGGAGTTTGATCAACACTCCACCAAGGTCGAGCTGTCAGTCCATCAATATTATACAAACTTCTTTGTTGAGCCGTCATGAAAACTCCCATTTGTGCAGCTTTTTGGTAAACTGCATCGGCCTAAAAATATTAAAGATTGAGAGAGAGCAAAACATCACACAAACCTCTGTCTTTTTACCAAGAGTTGTCAAACCGTGTCCAAGTTGATAGAAGAACTTTGGATCCTTGATCTCATCATTAGCCAATTTCAAACTCTTCCGCATTAAAGCAACACCTTGTTCAATTTTATCATCATGTGCCTTTAGAATATAACCATAATAAGCGAGTGCGACAACATTGTTTTGATCCCTAGCTAACACATTTCGCAAAATACTTCTAGCATCTTCATATCTTTTCATCATCACAAAAGTGATAGCAAAATCCGTTTGTAAATCCAGCTCTTCCGGGAATCTAAATTTTTTTTTAAATAATAGCTGTTTCAAAAAAAACCTGTGAGAATTTGGAACACACCTGTCAATATAGAGTCTATGAGCATTGAGTGTTCTATGAAGAAGTCCGCGGAATCTGGTTCTTTCAATCAATTTTTGAGCAGCTTGCTTGAAAAGTGCTTCAGGTGTTGCTGGATTTTGTAGAATCTTCTCGTAAATCGCGATAGCTCTATCACGATCAATCTCATTTGCCTCAATTTCACCGCGAATGTCATATGCTCTTGCTTTTCCGAAAAAGGCTCTAGTAGAAGCTGGATAAACTGTGATAACATGATCAAACAAATCAATAGCTTCTTCATATCGATGCTGAAATTTCAGATTTTTTTTGAATTTTGTCTGTAAGATTTCTCAACAAAAAAGTTAAATTGAGCATTCTGTTAAACATTGAACATAGAATATAAGTAAGAGCGCATTCAATAAATCCATTATTCAAAAAAAAACGATTTATCCGATCCGATGCAAGAAAAAATCAATCTGGATGACTAGACAATTCTACGAAACAAAAAAAGGAGAAAAAAAGAAGAAAGATTTAATTGTATAGAACCTCTGAATACGAGCACCCGCAAACATGGCACAGAAAAAACGTATCGACAAATCACCGTTTGCCAGTTTTGACAAGTTTTCGACTCGACGATGGTTTCTTTACCTTCTCAACAAGACTGTCGGCACGATCCAAAATGTTGCGGAAACCGATTTCTTCTTTGGTTGTGATTGCGTGACGTTTGTATGATGAACTACTTGCTCTGTAACAAACACTGACTGAAAATTCAACAGAACTGGAATGTGATAAGGTATGCTTTTGAATTTTTTTGGAATTTTTAAGGAAATAAATGTGTTCTACCAAAATTAGATATAAAAAACTTACTTGTCAGTGACTTTGTGCTCCAGATCATCATCTTCGTCGTCTTCATCTTGATTCTTGTTATCTTCCTCTTCATCATCGTCGTCGTCTTCATCGTCATCTTCGTCATCGTCAAATTCATCTTCCAACATGCAATCAATCACCGATTTTCCAGTCTTTCTTTTTTTCAACAGAAGTGATTTTCGTGGCTTGACAGAATCATAACCTGGACAATCTCGATGAATACATTCTTTGTTTGCCGACTTTTTAGGACTTCGATTTTGTTTTCGAAGACGTTTAGCATCTTTTGGTGAAACAGTTTTGTCTTCGTCATCATCGTCGTCTTCATCGTCCTCATCGTCGTCTTCAGAATTTGCAGAATCTTCTTTCTTATCATTATTTGATTTTTTCTGATTTTTTTCATCCTCTTCATTATCATCATCTTCATCGTCGTCGTCGTCTGTTTCATCTTCGTCGCCTTTGTCATTATTGTTGTTCTGAAAAACACTTATGGACTATGTATGTAAATTTTATTACAAAAAAGTGCCAACTATAGTGCCCTGTATTCTGATTTTAATAAAATATTTTCTAACATGAGTTACAAACTCTCAAAAACGCGATTTTCAGAAAATTCTCAACTTTCGGCTCATTTTTTTGCTCTATAGGGAGTCGCTCAGCAAAAACTGAAAACAGAATCTTTCTCATCTCATGTGAGTTGAGAATTTCCTGAAAATCGCGTTTTTGAGAGCTCGTAACTCTGTTAGAAAATAATTTATCAAAGTTTTGAAAAAATCCATGAGCCTGAGCCCAAATTAAAAAAAAGAGCCTAGATTTTCTAAAATTTGATAGATTTTTGTTTTCTAAACTTTTATAGATCAAGAAAACGGTGAATAAAATTTGTTGGTTTTTTATACATCCCTTGGTTGATCGAAATATCATTTTTAGTTGAATTTCAATTTTATAAATTTAAGGAGGATTCAAGAGAGCAAACTTAAAAAAACGGTGAAATTTGTCTACCTTTCTGGATTTGGAATCATTTTCCTCGTTATCCTCTTCATCGTCTTCATCATCGTCGTCTTCATCCTCTTCTTCTTCTTCTTTCACTTGCTCATACTTTTTATGTTTATGCTCCTCTTTATTCTTCTGTTGATGTTGTTGTTGACGACCTTGTTTTCTTACAGGTTCTGGAGCTTTTGGAGTCTCATCTTCATCATCATCGTCGTCATCCTCTTCTTCTTCTTCAACTTTTACTGGTTTCTTAATTCTCTTTGCAGCTTGTTGTTTTTGCTCTTTAATTTTTTGTCTTCTAGTTGGCACATGTTGCTCATCTTCATCTGATTTGGTTTCCATCAGTCGATCAGTGATTTTCTTTCTCAATCCAGCAAATAATCTTCCACCAAGTGAATGATCTTGTGTCTCTTCTTCTTCTTCATCGTCATCTTAAATTATTTCCATTTTATTCAAATTGTAAATACTTCAATGAAAATATAGTTGTGCTGATTTACTTACCATCATCTTGGGGTGGTGCTGGTTTTTGAGCTTGCTGGGATGGCGCATTTTTTCGAGTTGCTGGTGGCTCGTGGCTGAAAATTATTGAATAAAATTTCAGATACTTGTTTTTTTCATAAAAACTTACTTATCATCGTCGTCGTCGTCATCTTCTACGCTCGGAACATTATGATAGTTATTATCTTCATCATTATCGTATCCTCGATGTGAATGAACATCAGAATAGCGTAGATTTTTATCCGAAAAAATTGTGTATAAACTAGAGCATAAAAATACAAATACTAATAATACTATCCATGTTCTAGCACCGCCTTTTGTAACACTGTAGTCGACTTTTGGTACGGGAGTTAGAGCAACTGTCATAACAGGATTGACACCAGCTGAAAAAATGAAATTATTTGATTCTGGTATAATTTTTGAGGAATGATTTTTGCCCTCTAGATCTCCGCTCTAATTTTATTTTTTTATATGTAATCAATGATTAATGATCAGTGGCTGGATTCAAAAAAGTAGAAGGCAGACATATTCAATATGTGGTTCAACAGGAAATTGCTGAATTTTTTTGTTTTTCTGATATTTTCAGGGTGAATCATTTTGTCTATGATTGAAAAAGGTTATATTTTGAAAAATTGAAACTAATATTTCAAAAAAATTTTGAAAGCTGAAATAATTATTAGCAAACCACCTAACAAATAAATTCCATAAAAGTTACCATAAACATCAATCAAATTTGCCTGAGTTGTAGAATTTAGACAAAGTGCATTGTGAAACATTTTTTCTGCACATTGAAATATAAAAAAACGGCTCAAATGTTTATTTTATTTCAAAAGTTTACTTATCCCGATATCTTATTTGCTCCGTTTTGTTTTCATGTCAGTAAACGAAATATTGGTCTCAAAGGAATATTTTGCTGTTTTTTTCTAATGTAAGATCAAAGAATTTTCTTAACAAAAATTATTTAAAAAAACAGAGGAACTCACACATAGATGCTTCATAATTAGCATAAAATTCGGAAAAATTTGATACACTTTCTCTATTACTAAATCTTTTCGATAATCGATTATATGAATTGAGTTGTCGTTGCTCATCGCCATAATTAATATGTCTTAATCTCACACATCCATAAGGTGATTCATTATTTCTAACATATTGCGATGATTGTTGTGAATGACTAGTAAACATAGAAAAAAAGTGTATCAAACAGAAAAAATATATAAACTGAATAAGTTAGAATAAAATTTAACAATAGAGAAAAGGAGCCGACGCGATTTTGAGTACTTTTTGGACAACGAAAAAAGAGTGCGCGCTGTGCTCAATAGTTTTGATATCTTTTTTCTTGCCTTCTTTTTTGTGTGTGTGTGTGTTTGTTTGAGCGTTTTTTGAGAGTGTGAGAGTGTTATTTTTTCATTGAGCTACGGATTTATATGAAAGATGCGTCAAATTTTTTTATTTTCAAACTGTTATTTTATCAAGTGTGGGAGGTTGATATTTGTGGTTAGACCGCTCTCGATCTTTGATTGATCTATGAAACAATTTCAACTTTTTATTGGATTGATTTTCTGATAAATTTAAAAGCTTGAATTATTTATGTAGTGATTCTTTGGATTTGCTGGAAGATAATCTCTTTTTCGATAAACGATAACTTCCATGTAGGGATTATTCGTTTCAAAGAACGGTCGCGAGAATTTTTAAGATTTGTTATTATGGTTACTGATAAAAATAAGGGATAAGCTCATTAAAATACAATTATTCTTGAGAAAAATTCTAGAATTGTGGTTGAAGATACTCTGTTTTCCAACGTTTTCAGCGAGGGTTTGTCACTTTTTTTATCGAGGAAAAAAATAACGAGCATTTTGAAGCTGTTATGAATTTCAAAAAAGTTTTTTATGTCTTTAAAAAAATCCCAGAAACAGTCAAGATTTAACTTTGCCAGCAGTAAAAAAACAAATTCCAGAAGAAATAAAAAATCACAGAATCTTTGAAATAGGGAAAGATACACGAAATAATAATTTTTTCAAATGAAAATTACTGCCATACCGAATCAATGTCTCACAATCAGAAAAAAAAAGAATTTTCAAAAAAGATAATCCAAAAATCAAACACCATTTCCCTTACCCTACCAAACTAACCTGTTGAAGCTTGCCTTCTGAAAACTGGATTAGCACTTCCATTTGCAGTTGCCATTTTGTTTGGAATAAATCAAAAAATTCAATAATCAATAGTAGCAATATTTATTATCTCTCATCAGATTTTTGTTTCCTCGTTGTTGTTTTCTTATTTTTTCTTTCACTTTTGTCGTTGTTGTTTTTTAACTCAAGCTCAAACTTCTTCTGCTTTCTGATTTTCTTTTCTTTCGTTCACTCGTTTGCTTTTTCGTTTTGATATATCTTCAAAGGTATTTCGGTCTCTCTGAAAAGAGACCTACCTGTTGTTTTTATTTCGATCGATCTGAAAAAAGTGAAAATAAAATGAAATAGCAAAGCAATTCAAATTAAAATATCTCGCTCTCGTTTTTTTGGGTCTGAAAAACATCTGGATTTTCAGCTGAAAGTGTAAAAACATGTGAAAAATTATTCAAAGGAGAACGAAAAAAAAATGAAAAATCAGTGACAAGAAAACAAATCAAGATTTGGTCAAGTGTTTGTTTAACTTCGAGTGATATGATAACTCAAATTCTGGTTAAAAATTCACAAATTATGTCATCGCAATTTTGAATCATTAATCTTAACCGGAACAGAAAAAAAAAACCTGTCAAAAATATTGAACACAACAACAAATAACAGCGAGAAAACAGAAGAAAAAACCGATTTTTGGCACAACATTTTTTTCTCGAAAAAAGTATCTCATTCATCTCTTCGTTTCTCCTGCTCCAGTTGACTTTACACCCACCAATTGCCATTCAATTTCAATCAATAATTTCATCTTCTTCTCGTTTTCGTTTTCTTCTACATTTTGCAAAAATTTATGAACGTGAACATGTTCCGTTGAGAAATCGCGGGATTTTCGAAAATCATCATTTTTACTGATCTGAAAAGATCAAGATTTCGGAAATATCGAAAAGCTCGAGAAAAGTTTTCTTTGTGACGTCTTTATGATGTCAATGTGATGAGATTAATGTGAAGCCTGGAAAATTCAGTAAATCGCAAGATGAGCTTTGTGTCAAGAAGATCAGACTGTGTGGGATAAGATGGATTTGAGAAGTCTCAATGTTATAAAGAAAAATCTGATGAAGCTTTTTTGAATTTGAAATTTTGGGGATAAAACATCATTTTTATTTCAGAAGTTTCAGATTAAAAAAAAGTTGTATTACAAAAGTTGTTACAAAGCCTTCTAGATAGACACGACTTCAAGATATTTATAGAATTCGAAAAAAAAATTTCCTGTTCTGAAAGTTGACACAAACTGAAATAGTTGTACTATAAAAAAACTATTGAAGTTGAAATTCTTGTTCAGGTTTAAGATTTTTTGTTTTTTTTTTAATTTGAATATTTTTGTTCAAAAAATTGTTAATTACACTAATGTTTGACGTTCAGAGTCATATAATGTTCGAAAAACTGAAACATTTTTGGAAAATAAGATTTGCTTTTTCTAATTTTTGTGTTTCATTCAAATTAACAGAACCTAAATTGTTTTTTGATGAAATTTTCAGAACCAGTTTCAGGTTTCACTTTTTCAGCACTGAAAATTCCAAAACGTTCCTTTCTTCATGCTCGATCCAACTTTGAACCCAATTTGAAAAATAACCACACAGCTACCAAACTTTATTTAAATGAAATAAATAAACTCAACTAAATCTTTACGCATTATGATAATTTAATAAATTACAAATACACAAACTGGACTTTTTGTTGTTAAAATCAATTTAAAAAAAGTTGGAAGACAATAAATTAAGGGTATTTGAAAAAAAAAGAAATTGGGGGCGACCTAAATGCACTAAATTATTCAAGGGATGGGGGTATTGCTTATGTTTAATTTACAAAATATTGAATCTCGAAAAAAAAATAAATATATATTTGTGTGTATTGTAGGAAAGGGTACCATTGTAATATTGTAAAAATCACCGCTGATGAAAAGAATGAACACAGTTGGAGGAAAGGAAACAAAATTGACACCTATACAATTCTCAAAAAAAGTGTTTTGGGCTGGCTCAATATATATGTATTATTTGATGTTGGTGGTGGTGGTAATAAAAAATTTGATCAAATGCCTAAATAGAAATCACCGAGACATATATAAATTGTACACAATTTTTCTACAATATGACATTAAAAGGAGAATGGGGGCGATAGAGGTGAAATTGGGAAAAAATAGGGGGGGGGGTAGATTGAAAGAAAAAAATAGATAAAATTACAGAATGATAGATTTTGAGCCTTGAGAAATTGAAAAATTTAGAAAGGTCTTGCTGGAACTTGAGGACGTGCTGGCACTGGTGGTTGGCCATTATTTGGTGTTGGTGCTCTTCTGAAAAATATGAATTTTTTAGAGATGAACATCAAAACCCGATATCCAACTATTTATCATGCCGGAAAATCATTTAACGATTTTTAAATACATTTTTCGACCAATAAATAAACTAATTAAAATAAGCTGAAAATTATAACGTCTAATACGACACAACATTGAAAAGGGAAACTGTTTTTTTTTGTTGAAGAAAAAAAGAAATGAAAAAATTTGTAAATCAAATAGATAATAGACCTCACAACATGCATTTCTTTGGAAAACGCAACCAACCTTTTTCAGTGGATCATTTTACAATATACAAACTTATCTAGGTGGCGCCATATTTGGTGGTGGTCCACCAGGTCCCGGACGTCTAGATTTTAATTAATTAATTTTCTGCACTACACAATTGTTTTCATCAGGAAAAAAAACATTAGAGAGAAGTATAAAGAAATAGTGTGTGTGTTTTTTGTTGGATCATATCAAATTTTTTTTTTCAAGAAGAAAAACTCACGATGGAACCAATGGTGGATACATACCACCTGGTGCACCTGGTGGGGGACGCATTCCTGGTGGCGGTGGTCCTCCCGGTCCTGGGCGTGGCGGCATTGGCGCGGCACGTCCGCCCGGTGGCGCTGGGGCAGCACGTGGAATTGGAGATGGGCCAGAAGCAGCTGGGCGATAATCAGTTGGTAATGGGGGTGGAACATCGCCGAGGGTGCTCATATTAACCTGAAATTTGAATTGTTTTTTAATCAACAAAAAACTAAAATTCTTACCTCAGAAATGATTTTCAATGCTTCCTTGCACGCATGATACATTCTGAGCATTTCCTCACGTTTTTGAGCCTCGAGTTGCGATTCCTCCATCAACGAATCAGTATCTCCACATTGATAAAGATGTGCCAACAATTCTTCGCGCATAAATTCGCTGACTTGATTGACGACCAAATGCATAACAGCTTTTGGAACAAGATCCTTGATGGTTTTTGTGATAATACGCATATAAGAGTCAACCAAATTACGAATTGTTTCGACTTGTCGTTCGAGTTGTGGATCCATTGATGATTCATCAACTTCTGGCATATTCTCATCTTCTGGTGCCTTTTGTTTTTCTGGATAAACACCGGCTCGAAGGAATGATGCTTTCCAAGCATCCAATTCGTCCAAATTATTACATCCCAATTCCAATTGTTTGTAGTCTTTGTAGATATTCCTGCTAATAAAATTAATTAATAAATTTTTCTATGAGATGGTAGAAATCGGAACGGAACTCGTGCTATTCGTGTGCATGCTTTCTGACTAATCTATTCAACGAATACAACATCTTTTTCAAAAAAAATAATAAAAGTGTCTTACAAATTCTAGGAGAAGCAAAATAAACTACACCCACTTCCTGAAATTATTCCAAAATAATATAAAAATGAAAAAAAGCATGCCTAACGTGAGATGGTAGAGAGAAACGCAACTTACTTTCCATCCGGGTAGAACAAGGCAAACTTGTGTTGACGAGACATGAAACCACTTTCAATATCACGAAGGCGAATTCCATCGAGCGGCAACATGTACTTCTTCTCCTTCTCCTCATCATCTTTGTACCAGCTCAAACTATCGGACATCAAAACGAACCAGCAATCTTTGGAGCCACGAACAAATGAGATGTTGGACACAGACAGCCAGCCTTTGCGAATCACCTGATTTCCGAGATTCTTTTTGGCCGATTGTCCTTGTGAGGCTTTTGCTTCGGCGCTGGAAAAAATTGAAGTATTTTTGGAAACTTTGGTTTCCAAAAGGCTCTTGAACTCACTTGCTGAAACCAATGAAATCTTCATGATTGGTATTCATATAGGCAAGTTCATAATCGACGATCAAAGCAATTTGAGTCTTGGCAATTTGTTCACGTTCACGCATACTTGATACAACAATTCTTTCAAGTTCATCTCGAAGTCTTGGATATCTTGACATCTGAAACAAAAAATTTACATAAACATTATTTTGTTTCAAAAAGATAAAACTCACTGTTTCGGCACATTGTCTGATGACGTTAGCCATCTCATTGACAACCAAATCAACACATTTGAGCGATGGCTCCTTCAGACGAGCAATTTGTTTCTTGGCGATTGCTTCGAAAGCCATATCTGGAGTGAAAAGACCAACACGAATACCATGAATATTTCGGATTGCAAATTGAATTTCTTTTCGCATTTCTTTCTCGTCGATTTCCATTTTCACAATTTCGAATGGGAATCTTTCGTGGAACAAACGATTGATTCGAGCACCACCGCTGAGCTCATTTGTTGAGACGAGTTTTGCCGACGAACCTTCAATCGATCTTTCAATATCTGCATTGAATTGTTGAACCATTTGAAGAAGTGCTTTTGTTTTTCTTCCTGGATCATTTGGCTGATAATTCTTGTATTCAGCAACATCTTTCTCCATGGCAAACATTTTCTTTTGCAAACTGTCACGCAAAGTTGGCAAAGTATCACGAATGTGATTTGTAAGTTGTTGATTAAGAGTATGTTGAAGATAACTTGTTCCCAAACGATCAGCCATATGACGGTATGCTGGATGTGACAGGAAGAATTTTCGTTCAGCATCAAGAGCTGCGCGAATATCTTTTCTACCAACAATATCCTTTTGTCCACGATTAACAACACCAACATAACCACGACGAAGTGTGAACAATTTATTCTCCAAGATTTCACGTGCATCAGTTCCTTCGTCCATGAGATCAAGTTTTGTGAGAACACCAATAGTTCTCAATCCTTGAGGATCAACTTCTTTGGCCAATTTGAGCGCATCTGATGTTGCCAAATCACTGTTTGCTGGTGTTACTGCCAAAATCAAGCATGTTTCTCTGCTGATAAATGTCAACAACATGTCTCGAATTTGTTGTTCAATATCAGCTGGCTGATCTCCGACTGGAACTTTGGTCAAACCAGGCAAATCAATGAGTGTCAAATTGAGAACATTTGGAGAGAAGACACGCAAGTTGATTGGATGTGGAGAGATTCCTTTGTTTTGTCCAGTCACACGATCTGTTTCATCTTCAATTTCTTTGCGAACTGCTTCAAAATCTGTGAATCGATGTCCTTTCTTGTGCAAAAATTCGGCATATTCTGAAAACAATCATTTTATTTCTCCCCAAAAACATTGAAAAAATCTAACCATTTCTATCTTGAATCAGCTGAAGAATGAGTGGTCTTCTTGTGACAATTCCAGATCCTCTTGGAAGAAAATCTTTTCCAACGAAATTCTCCAAAACCGACGATTTTCCTGCAGACTGTCCACCAACTACTGCGATTTGCGGCAATTCAAAACTGACATTTGTTCCAAGTTGGGAAAATGCATCCTGAACACGGTTGATCACCGGGATCAGTGCTTGCATTCCCTGGTTCTGCCAAGCCATGATGAATGTACAATATCTGAAAATAATTAAAATATTCAGAAAAAAACAACAACAACAACACGAAAAAATATGCGGAGCGATGAAAAGAGATAGAGTGTTTGTGTTAGAATTTGTATGAGGAATGAGAGATGAAGGAAAAGTTGGAGAGGGAAAAGATGTGGAAAAAACGATTGACCATCGATGAGTCAGCATATATAGAGAGAAAAAGACAACATAGTCATCAAACACATGTATAAGATGGTTTATTATTGTTGTACACCAAAATGACGCCAATCATATTGTTTTAGAGATAGTTTAAATGAAAATATGGGTGACTTTTGGAATAATTGGGCAAAATTTATAAAGCGGTGCGTTTTTATTTCCCAACTATCAAAAACAAACACGTTTATCGATTCGTTTGTCAGCTGATCATGAATATTTTTTATTATATTGAATAAACAATCTAGACTAAATTAGCCCTTAACATGGCCTTAGCATTGGCAGAATAACTCTTACTAGCAAATACAGAAGTTAACCTAACAAAATTCATCTTTTCATAAAAATTAAGAATTTTAGAAATCTTTAAATTTCCTATATCAATCTACTTCCAACTCACTAAAAATCAAACGAGAAGTGCAGAAAAATAATGATGAATTATCAAAAACAAAACAAAAAAAAATAAGCGAAAGCGAGAACTCGAAAAAAATACACAAGCGAGTGAAGGAATGAGAGGGAAGCGAACACTGTCTGTCTGCATGCAATATAATTGACGCAAAGTTGCACACATTTGGCGCTAGACAAAGGGAAATGGAAAATATTCACAACAGTTTTTGGTGGGAAATAGAATGGAATGAAGATATTTTAAAATGGGAGTGTGATTGTTTTGGAAGGCTAAGGGAAAATGTGATTTATGGAGAAGAATACGTAGGGTTCCTGCAAAAGTTGAGTTGGTTTTAGGTTATTTTTCCTTTTCACTTTAGAGCAAACTTTTTTTAAAATTATAATTGTGTTATCTTGATTCCAAAAATAGTTTCTATAAGGATTTCAGACTTCTTTTAAAGACAATAATAACTAGACAACGGAAAATTGAATTGGTGGAGATTTGCACAATAATTTTCTGGTATTTTCAAAGAGAAATTATTATTTAAAAAAAATGAAATGAGAGTTAGCTGTAAAAAATTATGAAAGAAAACTTATTATGAGTTCATAAGTGCAAGCGAGACAAAGAAAATTAGAAAATTATGCAAACACTTGATATTTTCATCGGAAATCAATCATGATATTTATGAATCGAGAGAAAAGTTTAAAAGATTTGTACTGTGATTTTTTATACGATTGATCTAGATTTTACTTTGAATAAGGTATGACAACTTGAAAAGGGATTTCAGAAATATAAAGTTTTCAGACTATTTTTTGTTGCAGTGTTAAAAGACTTGTGATTTTCGAAATCGTTTTCTGAAATTGAAATTTTGTGCACAATTCATTTTTCAATATTCAAGTTATTCAATCAATAATCTAATTAACTACGAAGGAGCCATTCAGAACTCAGAATTTATCATAATCAGCTGTTGAATAACTACCAAATTTCAGTTTAAAAAGCGGAAATTTTTTCGGAATCTCGAGATTTCTCCATTTCTCGAAATGAAAACGAGAAATGTATGTGAATGTAAAAAATCTGGAAAATGAGAAGAGCAAAAAAAATGCAGCAAGAAAAAGGAGAGCCGTTTTTCGATTAGTCGATATGCTTGCTCAGCTCTTTCTCTCCCTTCTTTTGGCATTTTTGTGTGTGTGTGTGTGTGTGGAGCTTTTTTTTGCGCACTGAAAAAAAGAAGAAAAAAGTAGAAGAAAACGACGATGTTGAGAAAAAGGAAGAAAAAAAGAAGTAAGGCGGGGATGAAAAAGTAGTAGTTGAGCAGCTTTTGGGGGCCTCTTTTTTGCTTTCCCCTCTACTTTTTTTCACTTGCGCGCATATTGACAGCCAAAAGAGAAAAAAGACAAAAAACCAACAATTTCTTCATGCAATCTCTGAAGGAAGGGAAGAAATTCCGAAAGAAAATATTGTTTTCTTTTTCGAATTCACATGAATTATGCCTCTCTCTATGTCTTTTTTTGGTTTTTTTTGACATGAATGTGACACCGAAGAAAAATGGAATATTTTAGCTTGAAAATGAGAAAAGGAATGTCTCAAAAATGGGTTTTTGTTGATTTTTTTTTTTTGGAAAGAGAAAACATGTGAGCCTTTGATTGAATTTCACAAGTTTGTCAACGTTACAAAAACAACTATATATGTATTTAGCTGGGTGTCGGATTTATTTCGAATGAAACAAAAAACATACAGTGGAAAATTTGTTGCGAGATTTTTTTATATGTATGAATATTCGAGAAGTGGAGTTTCTTGAAAGGGTTATCTGATTCAGAAAAAAAGATCTTTGAAACAAATACGTACATTTTAGTAGTTCCACATTTTGTTCTGGAGAATTCAAGCTTTCAATAAAAAACGCAAAACTCGGGAAAAAAATTAATATTTTTGAGATGCCTGCAAAATTAATAAACATTTTACAGCAACTAATTCTTGTTTGAAAAGATCAGGCGACTTGAATAACTACGACAAAGTTCAGAACACCAAAAATCACACTTGAAAAAAAGTTCATTTTTAAAATTTAAAACATATTATTCTATCAAAGAAGCACTAAAAATTCAGTGAAGGCTTTTTTGAAATGAAAAACTTTTCAGAAGTTTTCATCAAACTTTAAAATTCTGTGTTTATCTCATGAATGAAACAAATCGAGATTCAAAATAAAACAACAAAAACTATCTGGAAACACATAAAACAAATCAATCAATACGCCCATGATATCTAATTGCAGTAAATATATCAATTTACATTATTCTAAACAAAAAATCCACAAAAAACACTGAACACATTCATTTTCATTTCATCTCATTTCATTTCCCGAAAATGTCATCAGAATAAAATGTCATTAAAGATTATAGACGCGTTCAACGCAAATTGAAAAGCAGAAAAAAAGAATAAATTAAATGGAGGGAAAATGAGAATATAGTGAGTAGAATTGTGGGTGAGTTTACAGAGGGTGAAAAAAGGATCAGTTTACACATACATAGAAATGTTTGGTTTTGTTGGCTTTATACATTTTTCAAATGAATCAACCAAAAAAATACATTCTAGATTCGGACAAATTTTTCAGAAAAAAGCTTTGATTTAAAATTCATGAATTCATATTTCCTTCATTTTTTCTTTGTTGGAAATCGATTGGGAAAAAAAAAGAAAAACATTTTGAGTTGTAGATGTGCTCAAAACCAGCCTCCGCGCAGAGGGAATTCAATAGTTCACACACCACGTTTTTTTCTTTTCTTCTTTCTTCTCTTTTTTTTCATTTCCTATATTTTTCAGAACGAAAAATATTGAAAAGAGAACAAAAACAAGGTTAATTATAGGATTATATCGATTCATTTTCAAATAAAATAAAATAATGAAAATGTATACTAAAAACATGTTTCCAAATTTTGGAATTCCCATAGGCCCAATTTGAAAATAAAAATAAATACATATTTATACAACATTGTGAGAAAGACAGCATGTGTATCAATTTTTGAGATGTTTTTTCTTGACAAGTGTTATGAATACGGAAGTTAGGAAATGTTCAAAGATAAACTATGGAACATTTCGAAATAACTGAATGATAGAGACAATAACAAAACTATGACTAATGAAAATGAATCGAGGAAAAAATGGAAGTTGGACGAATCAAGAAAAAAAAGAAGATCATAAATAATTCGCATTCATCTAGAATATTTTTAAATGGATCCTATTTTCCAATTTTTCGAAAATAATATACTTTTTTCACAAATACTGAACGTCGATGATAATATAAACATATAGAAAAGGTCATATAAATATATTAAAGTTCACTTTTCCTTTTGAAATATAAACGTTTAGGCAAAAAAAAGATTCATATTGGGTCAAATTATATGTCTTTTTCAGAAACCTTTTAAAAGTAGACAGAAACTTGTTGATCCAATTTTTAAAAACCTACAAAAGAATATCCAAAATCATAATTTACTGGAAAATGAACATTTTCCCTTTAAATTTATCATACAAACTAAAAAATCGAACTTTCGTAACTTTTTTGTGAGCTCCTTTTTCTTTCTCACAGACCCACCCTTTCACTCATATTGGAAATGAGTGAAACTTTGTGAGCAACGAGAAAAACTCACAGGGACGAAAAACAAATAGAGAAGAAAGTGTGCTCTATTGAGAAAAATGGAAGAATGTCAATATTTAGAGGAATTAACTTTTTTGGAGGAAAAGGGCATGTTTTCGGTGTTTTATTTGGAAAATAATTTATAAATTCTATATAGAGAAACAAGAAAAATAAAAAGAGATCTGAATTTGAATATTCTTATTTTAAAAAAAACTTTTTGATTTGAAAATTGCGAAAAAGTCAAGAATTTCAACATATAAAAATAGTGTCAAGAAATGTTCTACATAGAAATAGTGTCATGTTTGCTGAAAGGATTTTTTATGAAACACTCAAGGTTGAGTGTTTTCAATTCGAGAAACAATTGGATTGATTTGATTTGCATAAGATCTTGCTGCCTGATTATTTTAGAATCTTTCATTTGCTAGTATTGGATACGTTGATACAACACCAAACGACAAAATAACAAAACCTGATCCAAAAATTGATATGATTTGGATACAGTAATAAATAAATGCTTCACGTATGGAAAAATATCAATTTCAGACGGAAATCATGAATTTTGGCTTGAAAAAGAAGGATTTGTAAAACTGGAAAATTTTCCAGTTTTGCAAACTCCCTCAATGTGAATGGACTCCCTCAATAGGGAAAAACGAAAAGATATTATATGTATATTCGACACTCTCAAAGAAGAGGAGAATTTTTCTGGAAAGAATCATAAAAAATTACGAAATATTTGATTTATCAAATGAGTCATGATATCCAAAAAAAAAACTTGTCGATGGAATTTTGTAAAACAAATAAACATTCATTTTATTTTTGATTTGAGAAAAACTGTTATTATTTTTATCACATCGAAAGATTTTATTTGAACATTTTACAATTTAATGTGTAACTATTTATTAATTTCAAACCATTTCGACGCCTTACTTTATATAAAAGTGTTTCTTTTTAAAATATATCAATCATCTTTGTGAATTCCGCATAATGCGATGTCCAAAGTAAAAAATATAGCAAAAATGCGAGAATATATCGTCCAAAGCTCGTCTTATATTCAAAATACAGAACAGAGTAATAGTGTGTACATTCGAGAGACGCAGACACGAAACAAAGAAATAGTGTGTATATTCGAGAGACGCAGACAGCTAGACTTTGGACGATATATTTTCGCATTTTTGTTATATTGTTCACTTTGGACACCGCATTAGACCCAGGAAGGTTTAGGTGAAATGTTTTAAATTTTTGGAGTCTCTTTTTTGACTTTTTACTGTTTATCCCTGACACTGTTTTTCTCCCTTGGCTACCTTTTCCATCCCTTTGCTAACGGTAAAAATAAAACACCGATTATAATGAAAATTAGGCTGAACCTGAAATTTTCATTCGTATGGACTTTTATTTGTTGGTAGCGTTCTTTTCTACGATTTACCAGATCAATTCATCAATTTGTGGACCCTGCTGAACACTTTCTCATATCAAACAAGTTTCTTCAAAAAATAATTTCAGCTAGGTATACTCTGAATTTTGAGCGGAAAAAAAACTTCTCACGTTATTATTTCTGATTACACATGAAAATTTCTTCAAGTTGCTCTATCCAGTGAAACATTAAAATCTTTTTTTTTTCATAAAAATATTTCAAAAACAAACTCCACCATCTTTTTTTTCAAATAAATTCAAAAACTGTCAAATTTCATGTCTCCTCAAAACATTCTTATGACATTTATCTAGTACTTGGTTATTCCAAAATCCTTGGAGACAATTTTTAGTAAGCCGCAAAAAACGACAAAAAATGCATGTTAAAATATCTTTGCTCCAAATCAACCCCATGTCAAACATAAATTTTCGAGTTGTTTTTTTTGCTGTGTTTTTCTTCATCTTTTCCTTTTTTTTTCTGCTTTCTTATGCTTTCTTATCCCATCGACGACAAATGTCGACCGACAAATTATTATAAATTGCTGCCCGAAGCAACAAATTGTTCATTCATTCATTCAGTTAGTAGTTTTTCTTTGTTCTCTGTCAGAAAAAATGTACTTTTTTTGAGAAACATAAATAGTTAGTGTCCAACCTACACGGTTTTTTGTGGTTGTTAGAAACATTTTTTTAATTGAATTTTTTATGCATGTGTAATTCGATTTGACACAAAAAAGTGTGAGGTATTTTTTCCTTTTTTTCCATTTCTCTTTTTTTGCTATTCTTTGAACTGATTTTAGAAGAGCAATTCAATTGTCTTTTTTCTCTGATTTCTGTCACTCTCGATTTTTTCTGCTTGATTAATTTTTCATGAGGAATACATAGAAGACATCGATTAATTATTTTCTGCGTTTTTTTTCAAGAAAAAAATAGTTTCTATACAAATTTAATCAAAAAAAAACTTTGAGAAAAGAAATTTCCTTATAGAAAATTGTTTACGAAAGTAAAGTAAACACAGGAAGAGATCCTGAAAAAAACTAATTACTATTTGATATCCTATGCTTTTCAATGTGTGCAAAAATAACAAATCTGTATAGTTTCATTATTTTTGGTTTTTGAGCAAAAATAAATTTTGGATTTAGAATAAAATTAGAAAATATCTATTTCTTGTAAATTATTTTTCATTATCAACTAAATCGTTTCAAAAAGTTCAATCTGTTTCTAAGATCCCGTTTTCTAATTACAATTTCCAATTCTACGTTCGTTGATGTGTGAAAAATAACAAATCTGTATAGTTTCATAAATATTTTATTATAAACCAAATAATCCCCTTTCGACTACTTTTAATAACTTACACTTTTCCACCAACAATGAAAAAAAAAGTTATTTTAAGAATAAGCCATGTATATTTCTCAATAGTATGTATATTTGTATTCTTGGCTCATCAGACAAAATTCAATTTATTCATTTTCTTTTCTTTTTATTCTTTTCTTTTCAATTTTTGATTAAATTTGTGATACTCAACACATTTCATCATCACCAATTTTTTGTCTCCCCAAACATTTTCTTTCTCTTTCCCTTTTTTTTCTCTCGCATTTTTCAATGACATTGGCAATGGGTTGCAATGTGCAGGGATGGCCGAGCGGTCTAAGGCGCCAGACTCAAGCGTGCAATTCGCTTGCCTCGTGAGTTCGAGGTACACTGGGTGTTCTGGTACTCGTATGGGTGCGTGGGTTCGAATCCCACTTCCTGCAGAAAACTTTTTGACTTTTTTTTTTCTTATTTTTGGCTCTCGATTGTATTGAAAATGCATTCATAAATAATAAACTTTTTTACAGAAAAGGGTCAAAACGAAACACAAAACATTTGGAACCAATTTGATGGTGAGTTTTTTTTTGGGCCTATGACATCTGGAATACATTACATTTGGTTCCAGTTGAGTGAAAGTGTAAGAAGAACGTTTAAAAATTAATTATTCATGAAATAATTGCCTAGCAACTAGATGTTGAAAAAGGTGGGATTTTTTATGAGAATTTCTTGGATGGCTGACTGGGATTTTTGAATTTCTAATGAGTGCATTGAATATTTAAACATCAGGATGTGAAAAAGAGAGAATGAAGGGGTCTTTTGAAGTTTTCGGAATAAAAAATCAGAGCTAGAGTTTTAGAATGTGAAGTTTTATTGAATTGATTGAAAATGTGTGTTCTACTTTTTTTCTCAAGTTCTAGATAAGTCTTAAATTTCCAAAGAACAAGCTACTCGCAATTTTCAATCATAACTTCCAATGTAATCTGAATCTTTAAAAATATCAATTTTTCGATATTTTTTCATCAAAAGTTAGAAAAAAATATTTATTTGATGAAAAATTGTTTTAAAAAAATTTAGAAAAAAATTTAGAGAAAACCAACTTGGTTGGCCCTGAGAATAAGAAATCTTCCGAATTTGAAATCAAGATTTTTTCATTCGCATCCAAACACACAAAACCTATATCCACCCCTTTTCATGCTTCTCCAAAATTTTTCAAAACAAAATTTCATATGTTATTATCCATTTGGCCCGTCATTTAAGTTGGTGCTCTACTCATTTTCGTTCATTTCATTCTTCTTCTTTTCATTTTCCTTCTTCTCGTTTCTTCATCATCTCAAATGACATGTCCATCCATCGTTTTTCTATCCTTCTATCCATCTACTACTACTCCACTACTACATCTTTTCTTCATCGATTCTCTTTCTCTATTTCTCTCAATTCTCCTTCAGATATTTATTTATAAACATAAAAAGATACCTATTTTTTTCTGACTGAATACAGATCTATCTTATCCTTTAGTTAGTCTTTTTAGTTAGTTTACATATTCTTTCTCTTCTGTTAGTTTTTTTTTTCGGTCCATCATCCTTTTTCTTCCAGTTTTTTTCTGGCTCTTTTTTTTGCCTCTTTTTTTTCTTCTCGAAAAAAGATTCTATGCATTTTCATATGGTGTTGGATTTCTTTTTCTGCTTTTTTCTTTTTTTCTCTCGGTTTTTTTGGCTGTTACGTATTTCCAGCGACTAATTATTGATATTTCCTGTTTGTTTTTTTTGTGCCTCGAAAAGGATTAATTTTTGAACTTTTTTTTGGAGCAAAAACGGTAATCTTCAGAATTTTTTTTTTCCATACGTGATATCCCAAATTGTACAAAAACACAATTTTATTGACCCATAATATTTTTGACTACTCATATATTTTGAATAGGCCCTTAATTTATTTTATTCATTCATTGTCAAGTGGTAGATTATTTCATATTTATGCACATATTTTCTCGTATTTTTAATTTCGGGTCCGTTATGCTCAAATATTTATTCATAATAAAACAAATTTTTGAATAAACTAGAAAATCTGGCACAAATTTGTGTAAGAAGAAAATTGGGCTGAAATTGAGCTTTTTTCGGAAAAAAATTGAGGATCATATTTCAGTTTTAATGCTGATTTTCAAATAAATTGAAAAACCTTTTTAGGAGCTTCAGATTTTCAAATTTCTATTTTATATGAAAAAAAAGCTCCTGGATTTTTTTTTCAAAATTTTGATTTCGATAAATTTAATTTATGTTTCAAAAATTGTGTTTGTTTAACTTACACTAGGTTACACGCTAAAAAATAGGGTCAGAAAAATGTGAAAATTTTGTCTGGTCATTCCGAATATTATAAATTTTGAAATTAGCATTCTTCAAATTAATTCAATTTTTTTCAAGTATCAGGTTATTTTTCCAGTATATAACTTTCACTTGCACATTTACAATTTGTTAAAAATTCCGAAACTTATATTCGTTGATCCTTTTAGCCACCTCTTTTCCATTTTCGGTAATTAATTCCCAAAAAGCCAACTCATTTTCATCTTCAAAATGAGAAGAAGCACAAAAATTCGAGTGGTCTCTTGAGTACTCTTCTCACATGGCAACCGAAAGGATTTTCTTTTTTTTTTCGGCTATTCAAAATGAAAATAAATCTTTTGATGTTATTAATGGGTAGGATTTCGTTTGAATTTGACCTTTTGTTATGTTTTTCGAAAAAGCTGATTTTCTGTATTTTTCCCCCATGAAAATAAATTCTCATCGAAAAAAAACATGTTGTTTTTCTGTTTTTTCTTCAATTTTCTTTCTTTCATCGTATTTTTTTCTTGAAATAAGTATAGCGCCCCTCTTTTCAGTCTATAATAGGTCTGTGCGGGTTTTTTGAGACATAAATAAAGCAAGCAGAAAAAAAATGAAACTGCCGCACAAGCTGTTTATGCTCTTCTTATTCTTTGAGAAAAGAAGAAGTATAGCAGAAGAAGAAGAAGAAGCTGTGGCTTTTTTCGGGAAACATTTTGTGTCCCAACACAATGCAAACTTGCTCTCACATATTTTATATATAAACATTTTCCAATCTTGTTTTTTCCTCTTTTCTGGAATAATTCATTGGTGATTGTTTTGTTGTAGATTTCGTGATTGAAAATGAAAAAAAAACTGTGGAAATTCTCATTTTAAATACTGACAAAAAATATTTCAAAGGGAATAATTGTTTTTCAAAATTTCAAACAAAACTACCTGATAAGTTTTATTTTTTTTACAAAAATAAATTTCAGAAGTTTGAAAAAATTTCACAATTTCAAAGATCTGAACACAAAAAAGTAGAATTTTTCAATTTTTTCGTCTAAAGAAAAATTATATTAAAATATCCTGTGTAATTGTCTTTATTTAAAACATTTTCAAATGAAAACATTTCGTTGCAGAAAAAAACAGCAAATCTGAAATTTCTACATTTCTCAAAGCTCTCTTTTTCCAATGATCAGATTTCAAACAACAAAGCTTCAAAACTAGAAAATAGTTTTTCCCCTATTTCCTCAAAACCCTCACATATTTCAGTGTTTTTCCCCTTTCCAAATCTAATAGTTCCATCTTCTTTTCTCTCTATATTTTTTCTAATGTTTTTTATCTGAAACTACTTCCAATAAATCAAACAAAAATTGATGTTCAAAAAAAACCCTTTTCCTTCTAAAAACCTCCCATATTGTTAACGAGCATCTCAAAAAAGTTTTTATTTCATTTTTCTCTGCGGAATGCGAATGAGAAAAATGGTTTATTAGGCACCATCCAGATGTTTCTCATTTTCTCACATACACACACACCATAGGAAATGAATTCTGAAGCACTCTGGTTTTTACTACTCAACTGCGGACCACTACCCCCTCCCCTTGTTGTTGTTGTTGTTATTTTGAAGACGCCCCAAAAAAATAATTCCCTTCTTCTTTTTTTCTTCTGCTTTTTCTCTCTTCTGGTGGCCTCTCTTTCGCTCCTTTAGCGGACCAGCACAAAACACCGGAAATAAATTGTTGAATGGTCGACAAATTTTTCGTTCGTGTAGCGCTTCCGTAAATACATCAATGAAAAAACACAAACACACGTTTTTTCAGAGATACAATATTCCACCAAGCACTGGGTTGCGCGGATTTTTAGCCACCTACCTGTTGGCAACGGCGTGGGTGGTCCAGGCTGCCACGCGCAATGATTATCATTATAGAGAGGTTAGTTTTACTGGAATTTGTGTTTAGAGAGAGTTTTTCGAAATTGTTACCCTGGAAAGAGAAAAGTACTTAACTTTACAAGATTTTTTGAATCTCCCAATAAATCTTTAAGGATTTTATGGACTGAATTTTCAGAAATTTCACAATTAAAATATTCAGTTTTTCCTAATTTTTCAGGAAGCCATTGAAAATCGATTAGTTTGCCTCGGAAAACTAACAGACTTCGCCGCTTGCCAATGTGATCCATCAAATGGCGATTATTCCTGTATAAATGCACAATTTGTCGATACAAATGTTTTTCTAGATATTGCCACAAATTATGAGTAAGTTTTCCCAAAAAATTTCACTCCCACTTCACAATAAAATGTTTTCAGCTACATCAAATCTGTCACATTTCATGGCAACAATTTTCAAGATCTTCCTCTTCTTCCATTATTTGGCTCAGGAGTTCAGAAAAATTTGATTAAGCTCAACCTTTCGGCAAATTATATTGGTAGGTTTTTGTTTATGGGTTGCGGTCGGCGGGGAACATGCACATTTCCTTATTTCTTTACTACTACTATTATTTGTCCTTCATTAGGCATGTTTGTGAGCAAAGAAAAATTGAGAGGGTGACTCAATTCGATAGGGGGAAATGGGATATTTGAAACGTTTTTGGAAATTTTAGACCAAAAATTGGATTGGGAAGAAATTGAAAGTGCAGGTGAAAAACAAGCTAAATTAATTTGTAAACTAGAGATCGGAATTTCGAATAATTTATTGGAAAAATAAAATATAGGGATATCAGTTCTAACAAATGCAATTTTCGTGAACCCATTTTTTTGGAATTCAGAAGTTTCATCGCGTGGCTCAGATGTTCTGAAGTTTTTTGATTTTTTGAGGCCAATTCTAATCCGCGTTCAAAAATTTGAATATTATTGCAAACTCCCCCATGCCCACCACGTTCTAGAACAAAATATCTCCAATCTTAAAACACGTCAATTCCATTTCCCTCAATTAATTCTTACAAAGTTTTACACTTTACACATTCCCTCATAAAATTACATCAGCATTTTTCCACATTTTTTAATCTTCTCATTTTTCCAGTAAATCTAAACAGCAATGCTCTTCGAAGTATGCCAAATCTGCAAATCTTGGACATTTCCAACAATGAAATTGTTTTCAAACCATCCGATGTCGATTTTCTCACTCACACTCCACAATTAACCGAGGTAAAACAACGGGACAATGATCAGGCACATTTTTTTTCGAAATGAAAAAAAAACAGGTTTTTTGATCTGGTTTAGTGTTCGGATAAGTATGTAAATTCAATAATCAAAACACAATTTTTTTGTGATAGAGAATATGGAAATGATAGTTTGATTTTTGAACTCATTTTTGTATGCTTAAAGTTTTCTTTATCAGTGTGTCAATCAGACAAAAATTGTCAAACTACATATTTTTATTAATAATACATTTGCTTTACAAAGATAACAATGTTTGAACGATCAACATCATGAGTGAGCAATTTATTTCCTCGTGAAAATATCGCAAAGATCAAAATTACAAAAAAGGAAACCTAAGAAATAAATAATCAAATTTCCAGCTTTACATGCGCCGTGCATTCACTGTCACCGTGAATCAAACATATCAATTCGAATTGATGCTCGAAATGTTCAGACTTGCAAAATTGGAGCATCTTAAGGTAGGCTAATCCCTTTATCTTGCTTGAGCAAAGTAACATCACAGATCATAATTTTTGTCACCTCATTTTCCACTTTTTTCCAAAAAAAGTTTTTATCAAAATGCCCTAAACACCTTAACTTTATTTTTTGAATGATCGCGTTTTTATTCAACACACATCATTGTAGTTTATGCAATTTTAATCCTTTCCGATTTATCATGAGAATTGGAACTGAACTCAATTGATTTTTGAACACAATAAAAATGGGCAAAAACCTATAATCCGCCTCCCACAACTTGAAATAATGATGTCATTTTTGTTTCACATCTGGATCAACATATATTAACAGATAGATAAACTTTAGTTGTTTGTTGCGAATACAGAGAGGATTTAGAGAAAAATGGTAGCGTTGGTTGTTTTAATTATTGTTATTGTGCAACAAAGAGCCCATGGTACCGAAAAAGATTAACATCTTCAAAGTTACGTAATTGATGATTTTGCGGATAGTTCTAGACAAAAACAGATTGAATTAAAGATTGAATATTTTGAAAATCTATTGGTAGATCAAAGAATCAATCGGATTTTTTTTTGAAGCTGGTTTCAAAAATTCAAAAATTAATTTTTAGGCAAAAGAAAACATTAAAAAAATCAAAAATTTACCATTTAGCCAAATTTTTGATTAAAAAATTTTTAGTTTTTAATTTTAAAAAAATTACCGACATTTCTAAAAAATTATAATGAAAATTTCCAGATCCTCGACTTATCTTATAACTACATTCACACTGCACCATTTCAACTCGCTTGTCCATTTCCATCCCTTCAAACTCTCGACCTACGACAAAACTTTTTGAAAACATTCGAAGTCAATGAAACATGTATCAAAAATATTGGAACCATCAATTTGTCACGTAACAAATTCAATGTATTATCAACTGATTTTTGTAAACTTGGTGACAAAATGCTGGACAATTCATTGATTTTGAAAAATCAATTTTATTGTGATTGTAATAGTGAGAAATATTTAGCATGGATTCAGAAATCTAACAAGGTAAGGTGTTTTTTTTTTCTATTTTTAGTGAAATCTAGTTTGGTAGAAAAGGTTTTCAAGTCTAATAATAGTAAGAAAAATAAAAATGACGTGATGTTGTTTCATATGATTTTCCCTCGTGTTTCAAAAATTATTCAATTTTCTCTCGCCTTTTCCTCTCAAAAATAATATTCAAAAGATCATCGAGATCATTCTGTACAATTTTTATTGAGCAAAACGAATCGTTTAAAACCAACCGATTCTGTGGCGGGCGGCGGGTAGAGATTAAAAATAATGATCGCCTAAAACTTGTATGCAGTTTGGACATGATGTTTACACATTTTTATATATATGAAAAACAATCGAAAGTGATTCCATTTATTTTTTTTTTCATAGTATAATTTTTTGCAAATTTGACAGTTCTTTTCTTCACCTTCACTAACAAATATTTTGAATATTATCAGTACAGATTAGAAAGTGTGAATGCTCATAAATTCTGGAATTTGTATATGATAACGAAAAAATTTGACATCATTATTCACCAAAAAACTGTAAAAAATCATAAAATTTGCAGATTAGAGACAAGCAAAATTTGACATGTGAACGAGCGAGCCCAGCATCGATGGCAAAAAAATCAATAATCGAAATATCACTCAAAAATTTGACATGTGAACCATTATCCTCAACGTCTTTATCGTCTCAAAAAATGCCAAATCTTCTGATAAATTGTATGATTGCCTCAATTATTTTCCTCTTGCCAACAATTCTGTTTTGATATTATTTTCAAATGTTTGATTTTTAAAACTCAACAATTTTACCTAGTTTTTCGTGTTTCAAATTGCATTGACCGGTATTTGCTTAATAAATGAATGAATAAATATTGAACATTTTAAAAGAAAAATATTTATTTTATTTTATTTTTCAAACAAATTTTCAAACAAAATATATATAAAAACATGATGATAAAGCTTACAATATATGCTCGCAAAATATGATATTTACCAGTTATTATGTGAAAAATCAACACTATTGGTTCTATTTTTCATTAATGACTTTTGAGGTATCAAGGGGAAAACTAAACTAGTTTTTGATTTGATTTATTTTGTGTTTTTTCTATCATATTGTATTCCAAAATATTAAAAATGTGAGCAAAAATTTGGAACAAAAACAATTAAATTGATATATATTCCTGAGATGTACAAAAAAAATTTAGAAAATTTGAAATTGAAAAATTCAAAATAAGAAATTGAAAATAAACAAATAAAATAGTTAAAAATAGAAAATACATTCGAAAAATAACCGTAACAAGATGAATATCATAAATTTTTGTATATTGCGAATCAATTCGGCTAGATTAGATTTGATTTTGAACTGTGACTTGATGATGATCCCTTTCTTTCAATATTATTATTAGAAGTAGTATTAAATTTAAATTGCATTCATTTTTGGCTCAACGAGCTCTTTGATGGCAGTTTGGATGTCAGTATACACGCGACATTGACGACGTTTTGCCATGTCCTGAAAATGCGACAAAAAATGATTTAAAATTCAATTTTTTCATTAAGCTGACCTTTAAATAGCAAAACGCGATCTGGTAACAATCGTTTCGTCGACGACGTGCGGCTCTAGTTTGCTCGATTTCATCACCATTATTTTCCTCTGGACATTCAAGAAATTGCGATGTTGGTGGAACACAAACAGTGCCTTCCCAGTTTGTATGCCCTAAGATATAGGCAATCTGCAAACAACACAAATTTGTTATTGTGAATGAGAAATTGTTTACTATTTTTTTTGCAAAAAAACAAAGTTGAAACATCAAATGATAACATAAAACACACCTCAACCATGCCCGACAAAAATGTTTGTGTTGTTGGAATATAGTAGAAGAACTTTTTATGATGATGTAACCAGGTTCTCAAACAATTCATTCGAGTATCAATATTGAAATTAGGCATCGCCAAGGCGTACGAGTAGGGTGTTCCTTTGCCACTGAAAATGATATTGGGTAATTGTGGGGTAATTTAATTACGATTTTTTCCCACAATTTTTCACACACACTATCACAACATTTTACATATACTCACTCTAAAACCGGTGCAGCGAGTTCTTGAACCCAGCTATTGTCATCCAATGCGCTTGAGCAAAGCTCAATCACCGAACAATCAATGTTGATTTTTGGCTCTCTGAAACCCCCACTCAAATTTGCTCTGTATTTTCAAAAGATCCCAAGAATCTTTTCTTCAAAACTCACTGTTTTTTGATGAATGATTGTGGAATAACAAATGAAGATGAGCCATCTTCTTCCATCAGTTTTTCGAAATTTTGATTTGATCTACGACGCACTTTGGAAACGGCGCTAATTGTCTCATTCACACTTGTTGTAGTGATTGTCATTCTTGGCGATGGAATTGCAGGTGTAGAATTGTACAGAACTGCGGATGAATCAGCAATCATACGAGGATAACGACGGCGAAGATTACGAACTCGCGAAACCACTGCGAAGATCAAGATGTTTATGAAGATGATTGGAACCAGAAGATATAATAATGGAATTGTTGGGAAGACAAAAGATGCAGTAATAAGTGCAACAGCATCAGCCATTCCGGTTAGAACAGTTTTTGTTGCATAGGTTCGGCATGTTTTGAATGTGGTTTCAGCGACATTCCGAACGTTGTGAGCGATGCGTCTTCCGCGAATTTGCAAATATGGAACTCGCGATTTGTTTGATTTCATAGCCTCTCGAAAACTTTGTCGACCAATCATCTCTTCTTCAATAAATTCCAATGCGTCGGGAATTGTATGCAACATTGGAACACTGTGACTTTCCAAAATTCGATCAAGAAGTTGACAAGTTCTATTACGATCTGGTAGATCGTCCGGATGCGCCTTTTCAGCCCATTCAGTTTTTCCCAAAAACACGACGACAAGTTTGGGTGATTTCCTAGCAGCAAAGTAAGCGATTTCGAGAAAACTGGTCGCATTAACTGTAGCCGGATCAATGACAAACAGAAAAAGAGAGGAACTCTGAAATAAAATGTAAACAATGATTGATAAACACAAGATGTTACCTCTTTTGCGATCGACTCTTCATAAATCATATTTTCACTCCAACAACTTCTTTGAGGATCGTAATAAGTAATTCCACGTTTTTTCAAAAATGGAATAACTGATTGTCGTCTCCAGACAGTTGTACCACATGATCCACCAAGGAAAACATCATAAGTTTCTCTTGAGCTTGTTGGTTTTTCATCCGTTGGATCAGTTGGTTTAGGAGGATTACATACACAATTACCAGCCACCTTACATTCTTCTCCATTTCTAAAGAGATTAGATTAAGTTAATGGAAAATGGAGAAAGTTCGGAAATAACGTCATTTAGACGTTTTTAAAAATGTTCTTTAAATGTTCAAAATAACACAAAATGGAATTAGAATGAATGTTGTTATCAAATTAATTTGATTGAATGAGAAAATGTTTTCAATCATTCGAAAAAAGTGTATTTTGTTGATTACCTGCAACATGTTGGAGTTCTTGCTTGCCCTTCGATAAATGTTGAACTTTTCCGACTTCCTTTTTTGTCCACACATTTTTCGGCATTCTCTTCACTGCAAAAATATTTGAATTATTTCAAAAAATATGGATATCATTCAAATTTCTCTTCACTACCTTACGCTAATTTCTCTTGGCGCTGAACATCTAGTCATTTTAATTGTAATTGTTGCTATTTCTTTGGAATAATTGCTTTGGTTTATGATCTAGAAAATGTCTATCTCAAAAAATTTTGAAAACGGTTTAGAGAGAGAGAGAGGAACAATTCGAAAAATGCAAAAAAATAAAAATAAAAATAGAGAAAAGGAGAAGGTTCAAGAAGTGATGAATAAAAATACAAGATGATCATTTTCCGCTTGATTAGTTTGAAGAGACTTGATTTTTGTTTCTCTTTATGACTAAACAATACAAAAATGACGTGTGTATCAACACATGTTTAGTTCCAAAAAACACGTCAACTGTTTTTTTCTAAAGTTGCACCCAAATAAATATGTACCTAACAGAAAAACATGCCCGCTCGGCCAGCATAATAATATAATATATAATGACTGATGATCTTCCGATCCAATATACAGATTCGAGACACACAACAAGCCACGCCCACTTTTTTTTAATGCCTGCCTGCCCATAATATTTAGTGGGTGGGGCGAAAAATTGGAAAATAAAATAAAATGAAATAAAATGGAACTATATTGTTCGTGATCTTTACTGTCAAATAAAAAAAACAGTTTTACTGTAAAATCTCTGTGTGGGACAGAAAACAAGTCAAAGTGGAAATTTCTGACTGGCTGTTGAAAAATAGAACAATTGTGGCTGAAAGTGTGTATGTTCTTTCTGTTCACGTGAAATAAGGTTATTGAATCAGGTGATGTTTAAAGAAGCAGCGATAGAAAAACAATGAATGAATGGATTGAGAATGAATCGAACACAGAACGAAAAATAAGAAAAATTGACAAAATTTGTGTGCGTCTCTATCATCACAAATAAAAGAGCGTGTTATCAGCGGTTGCCTCTTACATACCGTATATTTTTTTCGCACCTTTTTTTCTGGTATATTTTTATCAGGCTTATTTTGCTCGTGACATTTATTTCGAGAAGCAACCCGCTAAAAAAAGTGACGAATATTCTGGGGAATAAAGAAAACTGCCTAATAATTAGTTCTCACGTGTAATCTGATTTGCATAACATTTTTCATAAAAAAACAATAAATGAGTGACGTTTATGGGTTTTTTCTCGGTATATTTTCTCACGCGACACAAATACAAATAAAGAGCCTTGAGCCAGCCACACCCAAGGTTGTAAAAGGTCAGAAATCATTTGCGGATTACCGTACTCTTCATCATCATCCTCTCATTTTTTTTGGTGAGTTGATTTGAAAAAGAGAGATTTGATATTTATTTAATATCTAAGACAAGAGGATTAAACAAAGAATTGATGTGAGGCAGAAAAAAATTTGACTCGCAAATAGCATATATATGTATGTATACAACATATATATGTCAAAAAAAAATCGAGAGCATTTATTTATATATTTAGAACAGGTGATGTTCCAAAATGACACGCCCCTCCCCCTATTTCCTGCCTGTGAAAAAAAAGCGAATAAGGATCATGGTATCGTATTAGGAAAAAATAAATATTGACTACACAATTTTTTCGATACTTTTTTACCATATTTGTACAACTTCTTTACTTATTGATGTTACTGTATATCGGATTGTCGTCATAAGTAAAAAAAAATAGAGATGAGCAAAAAAATACACAGAAAATAACAGACTGAGCGGCGTTTTTATATATTTTTTACACTAATTAAAATAGTGTTCCCGCCCGGAGTTGTACAATTAACGGAAATGACAAAAACGTTTTTTTATTTTATGTTAAAAAAGAAATATAAAACTAATGATGCGAGGTTAGTTTACGTAATTTTGGCCAGAAACACGCCAGACAGATAGCGTGTGAAAATTGCTGCAATTAGGAACAGTTACCATATGTCTACTATAAAACATAGTGTTATGTAATTGATGTCTGCTAACAGATAATGTATACAGAAATTTCAAAACAATGACATAAGTCTAAATGAATCAAACCTCAAAAAAGATTAGAGCAAAAAAAAAAGTAAATAAAGGTTTTATTTTTCCAAAAATCACATTTTGTCGTCACCGGGGGGTTGATTTAAAAATAATATCCGCTCAAGAAGAAAAAAAAAGTAAAACTTGAATAGATTAAAAATGACGACGAAATGAGCAGGTGTAAAAGTTGTAGGTGGATCGATTTCAAAGAATTTTGTTTTTGTTTTGTTTTTTTTTCGAGAAGATTCTTGATCGAGCGGTGTTTGTTTTAATAATGAAAAAAAAGGAATCAAAATATAAAATAATGAGACACAAAACATTTTTTTTGCAAAAACATTTTGTCTTTGGATTAAAAATATAATTTTTTTTGTCTTTGTTTGTCTGATTTCGATAGGAGCCGAGGAAAAGCTGTTTACAATCGTTGTCAAGCAATTTGACAACTGAAAATGACAGCTGAAGAAGTGAAAGAAAAAAAAAGAAATGAAAAATAAAGTACAACCCGCGGCGGATTTTCATTTTATATATCTAATTCGTCTAATGATGTCGTTAGGTTTTTTGTGGTCTCGTCATTTTGAGCCCACCTACTACGATTTTATTTTTGAACATGGCTGATGCACAAAAAGCCTATTTTTGGAGTTTTTAAGGATACATTAAAATGAGAATGACGAATAAAAGGGTAATAGTGAGTGGGTTCTTATGATGCAGTTTTTTGCATTCTGCAGAAGAAAGCACAGAAAAAAATGATTTGGGAGGGGTCATTTTTTTGATAGTGTTACAATCAAGAGTTCGAAGATTGGACACTGGACAAATATTGTTTGAAAAGAAAATTGAGGGCAAAGTTTTCGCCGGAAATGTTTGATTTCAAATCTTGAAGTCTTAAAGGTTGAAAATGAGAAAATTTCGTGCAAAACGTCTCGTTTTCACATTATCAAAAAATGAGAGCAAAGTCTTAATATTTTTCACCGGAAATGTTTCAACAAAATTTCAAATTCTCCGAAATTAAGAGTCGAAAAAAGTGTTTCATGAAAAATATCACGTGTTTCAAAATTATCATAATCGAATAGAAATTGAGAGCAATGTTTCGGAATTCATTCTTCAAAACAGGGATTTGAATTTGGTAGAAATTAGAAATAGTTCTCGGTGTAAATATGAACTGTTTTTGAACCAGAAAACACTTTAGGGAACAAATTGTAAAAATAATTTTGGTTCAAAATTTCATAAAATTTCAGTTTCATTTTAAGATCAAAGTTCTGAACCTCGAAGAACTTGAGCTTTCTTTCTCATAATAAAAAATAATTGAGCATACATTTTCAGATAAATAATTGGTTTCTAGAAAAGAATTCTGAATTCTTGTGATTGAAAATAAATTGTGAGAAAAAATTGGATTTACCAGAAAACGATTATTTTTAAATGATGTCAAGTTTTGGCGTTCAAAAATTCAATAATTATGCATTCTCACGATAACAAATTGTGAGAAAGCTTTTATATACCAGAAAACAATTATTTTGGTTTCGTACATGAAAGTTTGGTCTCCAAAAACAATGGAATTCAGAAATTTATATGTTTTTTCTAATTTTGAGTATTGAAAATTACGTGAAGAAAGTTTCAGGATTGTTTGGATATCTACGGAAATACACTCTCTTCAAAATGTTAATTTGGAAAATTAAAAATAATCTGTTATCAACAAAAAATATTTACAAATACACAGCACTCACAAAAATCAGAAAATAAAATTGAGACAAACGAAAAACAGAAATCAGATGCACCTCAAAAAACAAAATAATCAACCAATCTAAAAAACAATTTTTCAGTTCCAACTGCACGAAAAACCTGGCTTTTATAGAATATTTTTCAGTTGCATTCCAGAAACCAATTAGCCTAACCCACCCACTATTATATACAGTTTTTCTTATTTTTCTCCTATTTTTCACCTGAATTCAACACACATCATTTTATTTTTCTCAAAAATCTCATTAATCCCCACCCAAATCGCATGATCTACTTTTTTGAGCCAATTTTGATCCGAATTGAGCTGGCTTTGCTGAAGCTGAAGAGCTTCAACAAGAGAAAAACATGAAATCATTAGAAGAATATGCTAATATATGTATAAGATTTTCATTTCCTCAATTAGTATTCAGCATTTTTTTTAGCTACAGTATTACTTACCTAGTTGATGCACACAGCTGCGAAGTGAAGGAAACTATATTCATATCGTTTGAATCCACACTCGAAGCATCTTCTGCAAAAAAATTATTGAAATTATTTTGATTCGAATTACACTTTAAATTTTTTATCATTGGATGACGAATTAGACAAAAGTGCATTTGGCACATTCAAAAAAAGTTTTGAAAAATGAAAAAATGAATTAATTCTTTTCTTTGTGGCTTGTTGTGTTGGTAACATGAGAATGAGAAGGAAAAAATAAATGGAGAAATGATGTCATCTCATCATTATTTGAAAATGAAACTGAAAATGAAAAGATTTGCCCCATTGAAATGAGGCGCAAAAAAAGAGATTCATTTTAATGATTTGTGTTTTTGAAAATCTAGTAGGAAAAAGATGAATAATATTTTATAAGCCACGTGATTACAGGAAAAACGGCAAATTTCCGGTGTAGGCGTTCAGTATTTCCTACCAAATTAGTATCTCAAGAATTTACATAAGAGAAAAAAATGAAGAAGAAAAAAATGAGGGAGGGAGTGAGGGAGATATTCAAATATAAAGATTTAAAAGGGATTACTAAACATAATACCTTGAAAAGCATATTAAAAAGAACGCAAAAATTCAAAGAAATGATAGAGATGGGATAAATAGCAATGAGCTAGAAGTCGAAATAACAGAAAACGAGAGAGAGGGAAAAAACAGAGAGTATATGAATATGTGTAGACCCTGAAGGCATTTGGCAACAAATAATGACGTCAGATGACATCAACGAAAAAAAAGAAGCATGAAACTAGAGAAGGAGGAAAAAAAGTATGTAAAAGACGGCAAAAAAAACGGACCTCACTAGTCGTTGAAGGTCCTTGCTTTTTCACTAGTTTTGTGTGATAGAAACGCAGACATACATGATCATTATAAAAATAGTATTAGAGATGTGGAGGGAAATGCATAGAAAAAAAGTTGTGAGAAATGCCGCTGGATAAATTAGGTGGAATAAAAGAAACTAGAGACTCGTTTGTTGCCAAACATTTTTGTCTTGTTTTGATTATTTTCTGAATTGAAAGTTATTTGAAAATCAAAAGTAGAGGATTGGGGAAAAGCAGATCAAAGAATAATCTTTTTTGAAGTTGTGCTTCTGAATCGAGAAGTATTTGTTTTTTTAAGATCTTAAGAATTTCTAGTAAATATGTAACACAGAAAAGCATTTCTATGTTTTTTCAGAAACTTTTGGCTGACAAAAATTCAAAAACTTCAACGAATTGAATTTTTTAGAGATTTGAAAATAATAATTTCTGAGAAAATAATTTTCCATAATATGTATTTTCATAATTTTTTCATCGAGTACTGTGATGATATTCTGAAGGCTATGTCGTTTTCCACTTGAGATTTGGAAGCTCAGAATTCTTTGCCAAAATTTCATGAAAAATCTAGAAACCGAAAAAAGGTTCACATCCTAACATAAAATAATTCTTATCAAATTCAGTCAAAACATTCAGTAATCAACAAAAAACAGCTGTTATTTTTGATCTCAACCAAATTTTTTACATAATCAAAACAACTGATGTCATTTCATTTCATTCCTTTTGAATCCCTTGAAATATGAGAAGTTGTTATTAGAAGAAAAAGAAATAAAACAGAAATGAGATGGAGCTCCCCCGCTTCCATAAATATCGCGCAAAAACTTTTTTTGCTTCTTTGCAACAAAAATGACGTGATTTTATTTTATTTTTTTTCTAAAGCTAAACTGAACGAAAAACGGAAGCTGGCGAAAATCGAGGCATTATTCAATTATCTACTAGAAAAAAGCAGCGGAGAAAGGTTGGGAACAAGCAAAAATGAGATATATTTATGGTTGTTTTTGTTTGTTGTTGTTGTTTTGTTTTGTTTTCTGTGTTGAAGCTTGCCTACTATCAAACCAAAAAAATTGTGTTTACTTGAGAAGAAAACACAAAAAAAACAAAAAAAAAGCATCAAAGTGCGCGTTACTGACAAATACTGAAATATTGATGAGGATATGTTACAATCTGAGAAAAAGCCAAGACAAGACAAGAATTCAACTTTGTGAACCACGTCATGTATTATTTGAAACTTTTTGAATGGTTAATCACACACTCATAATTTACATATTCTAACATCATTTGGTATTCTATTGAGAGAGGAAAATATGACTGGAAAATCATACGGTTTTGAGATAAAAAAATGAGCTAGGATGAATAAGTGGTTATGAACATTTTTCAATCCGATTTTGTTTACAAAGCCGATCAAGATTTTGTCTAAATACATCATAAAAACCAAGGTTTATAGAAAAAAGACTAACTAAAATTTGAAAATCTTTGATTTTTCTTATATCCGCTAAAATTTAAATTATTACAGCCTAAATGTTCAACAAATCCTAATGTAAGCTCAAGATTTTATAAATAACACACCGTGTTCATCAAGTTCCCAGGTGACATACTTAATTATATCAGATTCACAATAACTTTTTCATTTTCTAGAGAAAAAAATAAGAGCACAAAGAACACTGATTTTTTTGAGAGCTAGTCTGCGATAAAAATCTTTCCGGCTAAATCTTTGATCCTTCAAAGAAAATAAAACAAAAGGTTCACATGAAAAAACCATGAATTTTTTCTAGGAAAAGGAAAAATAAGTTTTTGAGGGATTTTGTGAAAAGAATCGAACCAAGGTGGAAAGTTTCGTTGGTAACCAAGTAATGATTTGAAAACCATAGTTGGTCAACGTTTTTTATTTTTGAGAAAAAGCATGACTTTCAAAAGTTGTTGGAAAAAACTATGAATTTTTGAATATACTTTTTAGCAGGCTTAGGAAAATGTTTTCAAAGAAGTTAAGAATTGTTGAAGTTTTCAAAAACCTGCAAAAAATTTATAAAGCTCATTTTTCAAACGTTGAATCACTATTGAAAAAAGAAAGTGACCGAAATTTTTGCTGGTTTCAATCTAATAATTTTTTTTTGAAAATCCGGTCTACGTAATCAAAAAGCTCGCTTTTAAAGCTCATTAGAACACAAAGAACTCCGATTATCCAATAAGAAAATCTTTTCAACTAAATCTCTGTCACTTCAGAAAATCTGTCATATAAGATTATCCCAGGGTGGCTAATGAGAAAATCCAAATTTTCTCAAAATTCTATAATCCCAAAACTTGTTTCCAAATTTTTACTTCCTCGTTAATTAAGACAAAAGAATCAAAACATCAAATAAAAAACAATTTGATTTGATTTTTAAACTTTTTTTCATTATTTCATTAGTTAAAAATAGCGAGAATAAATGTTTTTGTTTGCTTTTTTTCCTAAACAAAAGTGACGTTTCTAACAGACACAAAAAATAATAATTGAAAAAGAAAGCGATTCCGGAAAATCAAAATTTTCCAGGGTTTCTATGATAATCCTATAGATTATTGCTAAACTTTCAACTTTCCACCTATACATAAAACATTAAAACAAACTCACTATCAGACATCTGAATAGAATAAAAACACACACTATTAGTTAGTCAAATATTACTAGAATGATACATGAAAAAATTGAGATGAATGAGTTTGGAGAATAATAAATTGGCAGAGAGCAAAAAAGAAATATAGAAAAAAATAATTACTTGTGAATTTTGAAACCTCCCCCCACCCCTATGACACGTTTCCGGTATTTTTTCTGTTCAATGAACCGAACTGGAGGGTCAACTAAATATTGTTTATTTTGCCATTTAGGGGAGCTTAGGTTTATTAGCCTCATTTAATGGAAAATGTCAATTTTGCTAGAAGTAATTATAAAGGCTGCAAAATTCTGGAATTTTAAAATTTTGAGAGATATTGATTGAGCCAATTGTTCTGATACTTTTTTCATTTTTTTGAAATGTGATCACTCTGGGCCAGATATCCCTGGCCTGATTGTTTCGGTCCAAATAAAAAATAATAATTGCAGGTTCGTAGCCTACAGATTCATAACATCTCTAGTGTTTTTTTCCTGCAAAACGTCTGCAATTTTTGATCCAAAAAGTTTTCCAGTGAATCAATTTTTCAGAGTGTTTTTTTTTTCAGAAAAATCAAAAATAACGAGAAAATGTTGTTTTAGTACCCTCTGAAACTTGTATCTTTTTGTTGTTATTTTCTCAGAAAAATATAATGATATCATATTTTCTCGAACACACGAGAAGAATATCATATAATGAATAATTCATGATGAAAAATAAGTTCAATAGGCATTAATTATAAATACCTCATGACGTTTCAACACTTTTTTTTGGCTTTTTTTCCAATTCTGGTGGTCTCATTGTCAAATGAAAAAAATGACGTGCTTATTCATTTTTAGACAGACAAAAGGAAAACGTATAGAACGTGGGAATTATTACTGCTATTATTATTATTTTTATGTATATGATATGGAAAATGGAAATTAGTCTACAAAAACGTGTGAAAATGTAGATAAACATATTTGATTTAGCAAAATTCAGGGATTATATAATTGTTGTTTGTCGTAAAGCGTTTATTAAAAATGAGATTTGCAAAGCTTTTCATTGCAAAAGAAGTTTATTGAGTGGAACTGCAACTATGGTTACTTTCAAAGATTCTTAATTTCTTTTTCATTTTTATTTTTGAAAAAGTATGAATTTGGCAGAAATATTATTACGCTTCGATGGAAATTGATGTAACTCGGAACAAAAATTTTCAAAAAAAAAATGAACCTGATCTCGAAAAATGTCCAAAATAGCGTAAATATTTGCTTTTTTAAACCGAATTCAGTACAAATTGAGAAATTACTGGGGGTCATTTTGAAATATTTATGGTTTTTTATGAAATATATTTATCAAGTGAAATAGAATTAATGATTGCCCTAACTTTGAGATTCTGAAAATCTTACAACTTGTTCGTACTTTATGAATAGAGTACACAAGAACTTTAACTTCCTGTTATGGAAAATCCTCTTCAATGAGGATTTTGGATTTCTTTTGAAAAAATTAAAGGGAAAATCAGAAAAAAGATTTTGAAATTTTAATTTTAAAATTTTGTGTATTGATTTCTACAAATTCCAATACTTTGAATTAACAGCTCTGTCACATGATATGACATTTAACAGGCTTGACATTCAATAAGTTCAAACATGAATAAGAGATCCTATAATTATTGTTGAAAAATCTTGTTAACGTTAACCTTCAAATTAAAAAATTTTAATCATTCGTGAAAAATTTTCAAGCTATATGTTCATCTTTCTAGAAAAATTATCACGTAAAAACTTTTTTTCTGTAAAAATATGAAAGTTCTGAATTCTCAACTACATTTATGCTGAAATACACAATAAAAAACCAATTTTCAGAAATCCCTGACCTACCATCAAAATTCAGAACACGCTTCATTTTTAGTTCGATGTTCTGAACAATTAAACGATATTGAAACAACGTGATATCAAGTTTAAAATCTCCAAAGAATGCTTAGTTCCAAGTGGAAAAATAGATCTTCATAGATTTTCATGATTTTGAAAAACGTTACAAGATAACATCTAACTTAAATCTGTCACATTTCAGAGAAATCCCATCAAAAACCATGTTTTTTGTGGAAGATCAAGTTGATCTCATGATCTTTCTCCCCCGCGTTCTGGATTTTTGGAGTAATTTGATTCAAAATTGATAAAAATAAGATTGCGTGTGAAAAAAAATGAAAAATATTCTGACGTTTGTTATTTTTGAAAGTTGTTTTTCATCCTGAAAAGTTCAACCCACCTTGTTCAGCTTCTTTCAATTTTTCATACATAAATTGATGATCAATGGCAATAATTGTTGACATTATCTGGAATTAGCCGATTTCATTATAAATCCTCTCAACTCATGTGATAAAAAAGAAAAAAAAAATATATATGTAGAAAAAAGAAGAAAAAGTGCAAGTGCTCTTCAGGTAATTACTACTCCTAGATTTCACACAAAAATTCCAGTTACCATGACGAATATCACATAAAAATTGGATGTTATAGATGTTAAATCAAATTGTTTGTAGTTTAACAAAACAGTGAATCGAGAGAAAATTAAAAGAATAATATGAACTGATTGACATTTGATAATAAAAATGAGCAATTAATGGGTATTTATCAATCAAGGTTTCATTCTTCTTCTAGGAAACATTGTGACGTTTATATAGGAACAATTTTTGATCGAAGACTGTGAACAAAGGCAAATGTTATCATATGATGCTAAATAAAACATTTTCTCATTAAAGTTTCCTATCATGAGTCCTATTCTGTTCAAGTTTCAAAATACGAAAAGTTCTTTTTTGTCACATCTATTTTGAGCAAAGAACTGTTATTACATCATTTCCAGAAAATTTCCAACATAAAAAATCTATGCAACTTGGTTGTAATTAAATATGAGGCAAGCAAGAGCTAGAAATTGAATACGTCTTGGTCTAAGGTTTTTTGCGTGTCGTTTGTGGAGCAAGGAAAAAAGTTAAAAATATTCATGTATGGGTGTGTATCAAATGAGCCTCTATGACATCACTGTTTTTCGGAAATTGATACATGTATGCATTTGTTTGTTAATTCTAACAAGGCTAGACTGCAAATAAGATGAATATTTGAGCTTAAACAAGGGAACATTCTCTATTTTACTTGGATTTTTGTTTGGATAAAAACAACTTGGAGCAACTCTTACCAATCCCAATAATGAACGCACAACAATTTTACAGAAAAAAAGTTTCTGATAGTAAAGAATATTTGCATATAGTATTCACATAAGTTCAGATAATTACTCTGAATAATATTTCTCAAAAGCTTGATTGAAAATTGAATGAACACCTGCCTAATGAGTTTTTATCGGAAAAAGTTTCAAATTAGCTTCTAGGTTTATCAAAAAATATAAAATATTTTCTGAAATTGAAATCTCCTCCTTCATTCTTCGAAAATGTCAAAACTGATGTTTAGAATTAAGCTTACAACCGGATCATGTTCAGCTGATCAAAACCTACAGGAAATATGTTTTGGTTTTCCAGTAGATTTCTCATATAAAAATAAAGTGAAACTTTAAACAAAATTGAAAAATTCATACTACAAAAGAAATAAAAACAAAAAAAACTGGAATCAACATGCGCATCGTTCCAGAATTTGTCGTGGAATTTTTTTTGATCCACAAAATATGCGATTTTTTTGATGTTTTATCTGATTTTTCGAAAAATCTAGTTGTTTTTCTGGATCACACAGATTATTTCGCAAAGATTTCAATACACTTTGATACATATTTTACGTCTGAAAAAAAGATCTCTGAAACTGAAAAAAAACAAAACAAGATGCTAAATTATTATTTTTTATTGGGTGAAAAAATAAAAAGTTTTTCAGAAAAACCAGAAAACATCTAAAACATTGAGAAAGAAAAAAAACATATTAAAGTCGATAGAAATCCACAATTCAATAAGCTCCGACAAATTAATTTTGTTTCAAGAAAAAAATGAAATTGGTGAAGGGGGATTCGTCAAGAAATGACACAGGGAAGATGAAGAAATTTAATAAGAGACAAGAAAATATATAAATATTTATACACGTTTAAGAATTAATTTTATCTTTTTTCATTTTAAAACGATATTTGTTTCAAAAAGTAAACTCTAGTTTTCGGATCAAATGTTGTTTTAGCTGGGTGGTTTTGAAAATGCAATGAACCTGTCGAAAAATTCCCAGATAATGGGATACTATTTATATATATATATTTGAATATATTTTGGAATTAAATTTTGAAAGAAAAAATAAAATAGATTTTGAAAAACGAGGACAACCCGTAGGAAAAGAAAATCCACTGGTCTGATCTTTAAGTCAAGAACAGTCCGCCTCACAAAAGCCAAGAAAAAGAAAAATGAAAAAAGAAGAGAAAAGAAAAGAGGAAACATGATCAGAAATACTGAAGAAACAAAATTGTGTGTGCATTTTTGTGATGAGAATTGATAATTTTTCAGAAAAATCTAGATGAGTCTCTCTTCTTTTGCAATATGTGACATTGGCATCGCGTAGGCAGCCGATAGATTGTGCTCTTCTCGAGCTGGATTGTATTTTCCGTGCAGTTTTCGTGATTGACGAATGTATCGGAGGATGAATAGACTTGTCGCCAACAATAGTAATCCAAGCACTGCAAAAAACAATTAGAAATGAATTTGAAGATGAAAAAATTTTTCTGAAAACTTGAAACGGGATCTTGATTGTGTTCAGAAAAATTAAAACCAATAATTTCAAAAGATTATTTTTCTTCAAAAGAATTCCGCAAGTTTAGAGTTTTTGAGAAACCGTTTTTCTTGAAATTCTCTAGGTTTCTGGGAACTTCATAATCAAAACTCACCAATCAATGCAATAATGGCAATAATCCAACTTGCAGCGGCACTGGATTGTTTTCCATTATGAGTATGATGAATAACATCCGAAGGTGTTGATAATTCAACATTGTTTTTGTTTGGTACAACTTCATTTGATGCTGAAATATATTTTTTTGATTTTAAAGATTTCAAAAAAAGGTCACCTGTAGTCAACTCGTCGCTTTCTTCAACTGGATTGATAACATTTTCAGTGCTAGTTTCAATTTCTTCATGTTCCTCTTCCTGTTCTTCTTCTGGCATTGGTGTTGGTTGTGTTGTGCTCGATGTCATCCAGAATGGCAAACTTGTTTTAGTTGTCTCAACTTCCATTTCTTCTTCCTCTTCTTCATCGGTCACTTCTTGTTGAGTTGTTTCGATTTCTCTTTCAGTTGTTGTAGTTGGAGCTTGTGTTGTTGTTGTTGTAGTTGTGCTAACTGTTGTGGATGGTGTTGTTGGAATTGTCGATGGAACTGTTTCTTCAGATTCTTCAACTTCTTCCTCTTCTGTTGTGGTAACAATTGTTGTTGAGGCAAGTTCTTGAGATGTCGAGACTTCTTCATCAGTTGTCATTGTGCTTGGTGTTGGGAATGTTTCTGATGTTTCTTCATCTCCAACTTCTTCCTCCTCCTCTTCTTCTTCAGCCGCATCTGGTACAACTGGCGAGACAAATTTGACTTTTGGAGTTTCTTCGGTTGCTTCTTCAGATGTTGTTTCAAATTCGATTGTTGTTGTGGTTTCAGGGGTTTGTGGGAAGACAAATGTGGTTTGGGTTGGGATCTGGAAATTTTGTAATATTGTATTTTGTTTTGGATTTTTTTTTAGATGATTTCTCTCAAAATTTCAGATATTTTCAATTTTCAAAATCTCAAAAATGAAAAAATCTAACCTTATTCTCAACAGTTGGTTGTTGGGAAGTCCATCCACGTTCTCCAGCGGTAATAATATGTTGTTGGAATGGTGGTGGAAGTGTTGTGCTCATTGTAATTTCTACCGGTCTCATTGGCTCGCGAGTGACAGTAAATCCAACTGAAATTTGTTATATATTCATTTTTGACAGCTTAAAATGTATCTTACCAGTTTGTCCACCCTCAGTTTGCACATTTTGTTGTTGTTGTTGTGTAGTTTCAACATTGGGTGTGGTCAAAGTTGTTTGTCCTACAAAAAAATGATCAAAAGATACAATAATTTTCTTATCAAATCAAAATCAAACCGATTGGAAGTTTGGAGATTTCCAAAACTGGGAATGATGGAGTAACAGCCGCAGTTGGAGCGTGAAGTTGCATACAATCAACAAATTCTGAAAATATTTCTTATTGATTAATTGAGCAGTTAATTAATCGGGTTTTACTAACGTCCGTTAACTGGATGTGGGCATAAACAATCATAAGTTCCATTGACTAATGTCGAACTCTCCAATTTATCCATATTCTCATCCAAAACACATTTTGCATTTGGTCCAAACATTGAACAAGCAGCATCCCTGAAAATTATCTATTTTGTTTTGTTGTTCCTCTTTAATGTCACGATTCCTTCTCGATTTTCACCTATTTTCCATCGTCTTTTTAACCGATAATCAGTCTAATTAATCCGATCATCTCTCCAGAAAGAAGAAAAAAACAGACCGTCGGCCGCGCCCTATTCTTAGAAGCAGCAGCATTTCGAAACACATACACACACACAACAAAAACTTTTTTTTCTTCTTTCTGGTGTGGTGTCGAAATGAGAAAACAAACAGAAAAGTGACCGTCTTCTTCATTTTTCTTCACGAAATGTTTGCATATATTTTTCTCTGGGTGCTCGCGAGAAATGAGCATTTGCTTGCTCGCCTTTTTTTGTTATGCGCCGAACGGAGAATTAGCACAAAAACCTAATGTTTGAAATGAAATGAATATTAGATCATGATGAATTATGTTGAAAAGGGAGAGTTGAATTTCAGTGGAATAAATCAAAAAATCTAGAGTTTGCTCAAATTATGTGAAAATATTTTTGAATAAAACAATACTTTGAGAGCAAGCAGAATGAAAAATGTTGAGAAAAAATTGTTCTAAAAAATATCAAAGAATCATTTCCTCAAAAATTCTTCCCTTCTTTCAATTTCAAAGTTCTAGTTCCTATTCCAAATAAAAAATCTTTGATCTACAATCTCAAAAATTCCAAAATTATCATCTCTTATGACCACTCGAAAAAGAATACAAATTCCAAAAGTCGTGTGTGGATTGTCAAAATCTCGACGCGTCTTCCTCTCCCCCCTCTCCAATGGATACAAACAAAAGTGACCAGGCAAGGCTCAAGCGCACGCACACACACACAATTTTTTGACAGTTCAGTTCAAATAAGAAAATTAAAACAAATAATTATACTAATGCGTGAGCTCTATTTTCTGTGACACTTAACCTACCCAAGGCATACGTCGAGAACATTACAATTGGCGCCAGTGAAGCCTTGTCGACATTCGCATTCCGGTTGACCGTTTTTCATCAAGCATTGACCGTTCGAACATTCTGGTGTGCATTTTGGACCCGTCGATTCGATTTCGGCAGTCTGTAAACAAGTCTTGTTTGTTTGTTGTTTTCTATTCAAAAACTTGGTGTAAATTATGCATAGCATATAATGCACAAACACAAAAATTGAAACACGAATAAATATGAAGTTTAAAGAAAGAAAAAAACACGAACCGATTCACATAACAATCCACTGAAACTTGGCGGGCATTCACAATAAGCGATGCCACCATTCGATCGACAAACTCCGCCATTTTGACACGGCACTGAAGAGCAAACGTCGCTTTCACAACGATCACCACTGAAACCGTTTCGACACAAACAAGTCGGTTTACCGTCTTGCGCAACTAGACAAGTTCCATTATTGAGACAATCGTGTCCAGCACATGGTGAAGGTGAAAGTGTCCATTGGGTGGTTGGCGCTTCTTCGATTCCCTTGAAAATTGGGAATTGCGGTGTATTGGCAAGCATATCAACATCCTCATTCTCTGCAAAAACGATTGTATTGTTATACTCAACACTTCAAATTTCTATGGACTTATTTTCAAGATCAATTGAATCAAGTTTAATGTGCTCACCATTTTCAGAGTCTTCATTGGTCGCGGCACCTTCGAGGTATGGGCAAGAGCAGTTGAGTGAAATAGCAGTGAATGAATTGCGTGATAAATGTGGCGGACATCCAACTGGTTGCTCATTTTGAACAGTCATTTCTCGAAGGCAAGCAGGTCCCGATGCTGTAAAAATCGATGAGCTCTCCCAGGTTAGCCCCCCTGAACCCTGCTTTAGAGAAAAAAAAATCAAATCCCTTTTTCAAAAACGAACATCCAAACAAACATTCTAGAAATCCTCCCCAATGTAACAAAAAGCAGCGACAATGCCCTATCAAATATCCATTCATCCTTGCGAGCTCTCGCCGCAAGAACAAGAAAAAAACCAAAAACTTTTTTTGCCGTTTTTCTTGTTTTGCATTACACAGTGTTTATTTATAAATACATATGAATACAAATAATATGAAATCAAATCTGGCTTTGATCTATTCATCTAACATGATTTTTTTGTTGGAGATTTGCTCACCTGATTGAATTCGAACCGAAAATGTTCGTGGATTACTGGTTGGTGGGAATTGCACATTTATTGGTTGTGGTTGATCGAATCGACATTCGAGTCCATTGCTTGATAATTGCCATTGGAATCTTTGCCATCGTTGTGTCTGATTTCCGTCTGAAAATTTTTTTTCAACTTCCTAATAGCTCGATTGGAAAACTTCAAAACATACCATGTGGCGCAACACATTGTCCTAATGTAACACCAGTTGAACTGTCAACAACTGACAGTAATACAGTAGGCATACCAGACAGCGATCTAGAAAATTTTATATTTTTTTATGATAAATATAAAGATGCCCCCTGAACAGAGATGGCCCCTTATTTTTGTTTTATTCAAATTCTTAGGTAAGTAAGTGACCCCTCTCTTTTCTCCCAAAATATTTCTATATAAACAAAAGCCAATGTGCAACTTTTTATGTTTATATTATTATTGAGGTCATTTGAGTAATCCAAGCCGCCTCTTCCTGACTGACTGACCAACACAAATGCCAAAAGCTAGAGTTACTTTTCATTTCCTCTAAATTTTACACCTGCCCCCCTATATGCGTTCCATTTTGGCTAATCTTTCAAATCTATTTTCTCTCTTTTTAGTACTGCTTGCTAGCTTCAAGGCCATTATCACACTTTCGATTATGTGACGTACTAACCTAAGAAATTGATATGCGCCTGTCCATGGTAAACTCGACTCATCCAAAATCCACACGGCATTTCCGTGCGATGGATTTGTGAAATAAAACATATCATCATCAATGGTTTGTGCAAAACTAACTCCGATCGAAAGCCCTGGAATTGAAATAAAAATGAAAAATTTCAGAATTTGTTAGAAAAACTTACCAAATATTAACAAAAACCTCCACATCTTTATTAAATATTATTTATAATTGATTAGATTAGATAATTTGCAATATTTGCAACACCTTGAAAAATTAAAATTCTCAAAAATGAAGGCGTTGATAGGTATTCGTGTCAATCTGGAAAAATGAATGATATTTGTTTTTTACATTTTTATTATCAAGTAAAACAATCACATGAAACGGTGAAGGAAAGACAGATCAAAACGATTGATTAACAACTATTAACAAGACCGCAAATAAAGATCAATGATGATGAGAAAATTGAAATGAAATGTGAAGAATTGAGAAAAAACAAGGAGGTTTTTTTTTGTATAAAAACAGAAGTCAAAACCAGATTTTGTTAAGAAGTAAAAAAAAAATAATTCATGAGAAAAAATCGAGAAATTTGAAAAAAAGGACAATAAATAAATGAGCTAATAAAAAAATGATGAAAATTCAGGTTAGGTAACAACGAAAAACAATCTTAATAGATTTAAAGGGAGGTATTAAAAAATTTATTATTCTTATTGTTTGATGAACAATGAAATACAACAACAGGACGAAGAAAAACAACACACACACATACAAAAAATGAAATTTACCTCTTGCGGGCGCAAAATCGTGTGCGAGTGCGCGCACGCGGAGAAAAAGAGGTGGAGACACATACACACACAAAACGGAAGGATTTTCTATGATGATGATGATGATGAAGGGTTGGAGGCAACCGCACAGCCAGAAAAAAAAGGTCGGAGGGCGGGCACAAATAAATAAGCGACGCGGACGGAGCTCGCGGAGACCGAGAGCAACAATATTTTGACATACTATTGTTGATGATAAACTTGATCTTGATTATTATCATTTCGGGAGGGAGGTCTTATTTAATTCGAAAAACAAAGAGCATTAAAACAAAAATATTAATTATGAAAATGAAAAAGCCTCTAAAATCTTAAGCTACTCCCCTTGTACAAAAATCCCAGGCTATTAAGGGGTTCATTTCTTAATCAAGTGTGATAACTCAAAGTGGTGTTAAAAAATGATCAATCATTTTTACACAAAGCATTCGCCAAAAAACATCGCCGGATATCTAGTGTCAAAAAATATGAAGAGACAAATAAATCATTTGTTAAAAATGTTGCAAAGAAAGATTAGAAATGAAATCAATGAGAGAAATAAGAGATTTATTAGCCAACACCACAAATATTCCGAAATTGAAAATATGTATGTTTCTTCTACAAAACATATAAAAATCAAATCGAAATGAATGAAAAAGAGAGAGATAGAGAAAAAAGAATAAGAAATAAGATGATTGGTTCTGGTATGTATTAGATTATTCAACCGAACATGCTAAATTGTACCGAAGGACAACTTCAAATCGCAGAAAAAAACAACAACAAAAACAGTAAACTCAATCAAGTGTGAAAAAAGACAGTTGTCGGTAGGTAAATATTATTTCCTTGTGAGCCTAAAAACCAACACAATAAAAAACAATAAAGTTTTGGGAAAAAGTATCATCTTTCTACACATTTTTTTCGACAATTCGTTTAAAAATGTATAAACAAAAAACAATAAATAATTGTGATTGTTTATAAAAAAAATACCACCACCCATTGTTTAGAATAAGAATCCGGCAATTTTTATGTTAGTCAAGTGAAGTGATAAGTCAGACACTTGTGAACAAATTTTTTTTAGTCATCCAAAATAAAATAAGAGCTTATGAGGAATGAGGCAAAACAAGGTAAACAGTCAGCCAGGTTCAACTTTTTTCTCGTTCCTCTCATTCCTTTTTCGAGGAAGAGGCTTGTTGAATTGCGCGCACCCCCAAAAATAGATTGTTCCTTCCTCGGATATGTATTTGAACATGTTAGAGAGCAAAAAAAAGAGAACAAGGCTTTTTCTGACCACTTATCAATTCGAAAACAACGGGGGGAAACACACAAGAAGAAAAACATAGGGCTCGCCGGGACAAATTTCGAGCATTGAGACTTAACAAATCAAGTTTTTTTTCTCGTTTTGATTTGATTTGATTTAGTGTGGGCAATGAAATGACGAGGAACAATATTTATGTTTTTAATATTTGATCAACATTTTTTCGAGTTGAGCAAAACACGGTTCGAGTGGTTCTTGAAGTATGATTCATGAAACATCCTGGTAGAGGAAATGGACAATGCAATTGCACTGTGGGTGATGTTTTGAAAAGTGTGAAAAAATAAATGAAACAGGATGGAATGGGTTGAAGTTTGATTTTTGAAGTTTGTGGGAAGCATAAAATGTTGCATCTGGGAAAAAAACTTGGAAGGGGTTCAGGTTGAAAGTTTTGTACAGAAAATTATTTTAGTTGCAAAAATTAGGAATGTTTTCAGTGTTGAGATCAGTCACTATTATTTTTCTAGATGAAACTTCCATGAAAAACCAAACTACTCTGAACAATTCTAACTTCAATAGAAAAATTAATAGACCTTGAGAATAGTGTAGTTTCAAAAAATCAAGTGTTTTTTGATTTACAAAAATTAAGACTAGAACAAAAAATTAATTGAAGAATGAATTTTTCTTTACGAAATTTGAAAAGATAATAATTTTCAGAAAGAATTATTGGTTTCTCAAAATCCTGAACTTGCTAATTCAAAATAAAATGCAAAGTTTTTCAAATTAATTTTCAGAAACAGCATAATTTCAAAAACTACTTATTTTCCCATACAGATTAAATTAGTTTCAATTATTTTGAAATAATTAAAATCCGCGAGAAAATTAAAAACATGCCAATAAAAAATTGAACGCATGTAGTTCTCTCAAAAAAATTCCGGAATTTCACCCTTCATTATGTAAATCTAAATCTGCTTTTCCGATCTCTATTACACCACTTAATTTTAATAAGACAATAATTCAGCTTCAGCTTCGGCTTCAACTTTAGCTTGTTCAAAACAAAACAACGCGAAAAAAAATCAATATAATTATCCACTTCATAAATACCACAAAACACCTAATAAAACATACCGCCGAACATCAAAAACTGTGGAAAAAACTGACGGATTCGAATAAATATAAAACTAGAAAAAATGTGGAACTATGGAGAAAATAGAAAGTTTGAGATTTTTGGGGATTAGTGAGTGAATGAGTGAAAATATAAATGGTCAGAAGTTTTGTGTAAACATGCGTTTTCGGAACGGATGTTCAATTGTCACGAAGAGTTAGTTATTAGGAAGAATTGGGATTTTCAGATGTTTCAGCTAGGAGAGTGAGAAATAGAATTAGAATCAGGTCAAAATTAAATGTATAAATGTAAGAAGAAAAAAAACAATAACAAGAAAAAGAGATGAGAAAAAGAGAGGAAGAGTAATCATCTGCCAATTTGAATTTCAAGGTAAAATGTTGAGGCAATTTGAACACCTCTTCAAACAATTAATACAGATGTTTGATTCTGAATATATATAATAAATTGAATAAAATCAAGTAGTTATGTATGTAGATTAAGTTTTGTCTCAAGCTTAAACTAGTCATGAAAAGAAAATCAAAGGAAATTGAAACTTTTCCTGAAGCGAACAAATAAACAATGTTAAGCTTGGCTTATTCATCATAAATATTTGTATCAAATGTTTTTTGTTATTCAAAACGTCACAGCTTTTGAAAAAAAAACACTGTATTACTCAACACACCAAACACAACAAAAAAAGTGATTGATCGATAAATCTGTTCCGCTAAAACAGTCAACCATGAAAAAAATTGCCAACCGACATACACAGATGTTTTCTGAGGATTTTTTCAAAAAAAAAACCACCAGAGAGATTAAATGAAAAAAAGATGTGAGGGGTAGGTAAAATAAGAAAATAAGATATGTAGTATAATATATTGTTTAGAAGAACGCGGTTAATAGTAATTAGAGATGAACGGGTTCTGAAGAGACGGAGAGACATGCAAAACTGCTGGTATTTGAACCGTGTCATCTTTTCTTTTTACCTTTGCGGTGAAAAAAAAGGACCTTTCTTTTTTCTCGACTTATTGGAACATGGGAATGTTTTGCAGTACTTGATCTTGAACTTTTTTATATCCTACGGATAAAACAAAATCTAATTTTCTGACTTTTGAAAGTAAAACTAGGCTTCGGTGCTTTTTTGAGGATGTAGGCTTCAGAATCAAAACATCGAGATTGTACCAAAATATTTCTGTACTTTTATCAAATACAAAATAAGGAAATTAAAAATGAGATAAATTTTTTGATCTATCCAAAGGTTTAGAATGTTTGAAGATTGTTTCTTCATGAAATAAAAATAAATTTTTCAAATAGTAACTAATAAGCAACTTTATCCAAAGTTTGAAGTATTTATAGCTTCTCCCCGATAAGATCAAAATTAGGTAAACAAGTTTGATTTGCATAAATGATAGTTCTACTTTCCCAAACTTTTCCTAGATAATTTCAACAAAAAAACAGAAACATAAAAACACTTACCAAAAAAAAAATAAAAGTCGAAGAAACAGTAGAGGAAGATGAAACTCAAAATGATATGATCTTACATAGTAGACAGGTGTCAAAAGTGGTCATTTAGTATCATTTATTTGATTAGTGTTGACCACTCACGGAATAAAATAACTTTTTGACATTTGCGATTAAATAAATATGAGAAAAAGGTAAATTAATTATTATAAATAATATATATATATTGGTTTGTGACAAAACCAGAGATATCACGAGTTTCGAAATGGGTTGGGTTGTGAGAAAGAATCGGAAGATGTACATTATTTTTGAGGAGGAAAGGGAGAAACCCACTAAAAAGCGTGTTATCTAAAAACAATCTAACCTCGAAAAACCACTAATTATGTTGAGGTCCACACAACGTTTAATCCAATCCACGTTCCCTTTTCCTCCTATTTTTCACCTACTCAATTTTATACGAATAATTAAGAGCGGTTTCTAAAGATAAAAAAAACAAATCAAAACAGAACAGAATGGTTAATAAAAATAAGTAAAGTGACGCGTATTTTTGGGAAGAGAAAAGAGTATATGGTCATTAACAAAAAGAATGGGATGTGCTAGTTTTATTGTGAGAGTTTACCGAAAATGGTGAGAATATGGGAAAATTAGGGAAGGGAGACTGGAAATTGAGAGGAGAAAGAACGGGTAATTTAAGAAATTTAAAATATTTTATTAGAAGACGTCACAGAATTTTACGCTTTGAAAATTCCGAAAAACACGTTGAATTCTCATTTTCGTGTGATTTTCTAGTAATTTCATTTTTTTAGGAATATCAGAAAACCACAAATAGAAATTATCAGATAAGAAGTTAGAAGGAATTTTTAAAAAATTATAACAATTTGACATTATTTTCAGATACAACATTAAACTAGATCATTGAAGGGAAGTTTCTAAAAACCCTGAATTTGAAAATAATAAAAAATCTACAATAGTATTTTTTCGAACTATTCCAGTTAAAACTCGAAAACTTATCAAATTAAAAACAATTCTCGAAAATTGGAAATGAAGAACTCCAGATGAAAATCGTGATAACTTCACGAAAGTTTCAGAACTCAAAAGTTATGAAATCAAAAAAAGTTGTGCCAGAATTGAAACACCCTTTTCACGAAAGAAAAAATAAAAGCAATTTTGAAGAAAACGGGAGTAATTCTGTTGCAATCCAGATCATTGTATTTTCAAAACGGATTGCACAAAAACAGAGTTCTCAAAAATACATAACTTCATAAACAGCCTATGAAAATTTTCAGAGAAGTCAAAGAAAAACAGAAGATTTCCCAAAAATCATCAAAAAAAATCTGCATAACTCAAGAAGGATTACAAAAAAGCGACGCCAATACCATCTAGAACAAATAATAACACTTTTTGAACACACACAACGTTACCGCCGCTGCTAACAAGAAAAAGGGACGAGGTGAGAAAGTGCGCTCTATTGTACACGACCCTGCATAGAGCGTGTGTATTTGTGTGTTGGCCACTTTTCAAATATTTTATAACCATCTCATTAAACATGAGAATTCTATCATTTATTTATTTTTGTTTGTTATCATTTTGTGAATAAGAATTCCAGAAATTCAATTTGAGATTTTTTTGTTAAAATAATAACATTCCACATTTGAAATTATTGATTTATTGTCAAAATGTTCCACGTCAGCGTATCTATCTTTGTTTGTTTTTCTCCAAATATAAATCCAATTTTCTTTTCATTTCAGGTAGAAAAACCGTTAAAAATGTGGGTGAAATGTGCGTTGGCATTGGTGTTATGCGCCACAGTTTATGGACAAGCTCACTTGAAATATACAAAGGAGATGAATGATCCAGAATATGTTCAAGAACATGTTCACACTCAAGGACACGGACATTCTCACGGTGGGCACGGACACGCACACGACGCTGACGGTGGTTGCCCACACGCAAAAGCTGCAGCTGCTGCAGCTGCTGCTCAAGCTCAAGCTCACGGACATTCTCACGATGAAGCTGAACACGGGCATGCTCACAATCACGGACATTCTCACGAAGAAGCTGAACACGGGCATTCTCACGGTGGTCACGGGCACGCACACGACGCTGACGGTGGTTGCCCACACGCTAAAGCTGCTGCCAAGGCTGCTGCTCAAGCTCAAGCTCACGGACATTCACATGCTTCCAAACAAACTGCTGAGGAATATCAATTCACTGGGTGAGTATATTTTATTATTTCAGCCACCTAACTTTATAATTTTTCAGAGCTCTCTCATTTTTGAACGATCCAAAGACACGTCTCTGGGCTTACGCTATCTCATCAACACTTTTGATCTCTGCCGCCCCATGCTTCATCCTTTTCTTCATTCCAATTCAAGCCAACACCTCCGAATCTGGTCCACTTCTCAAAGTTCTTCTCGCTTTTGGTTCTGGCGGACTTCTCGGAGACGCTTTTCTTCATTTGATTCCACACGCTACACCAGCTGGAGATAATCACGGCCATTCGCATAGTCACGGACATTCTCACGGGGGAGCTGGTGGGCATTCACACGGACCACATGATATGAGTGTTGGTGGATGGGTTCTCGGAGGTGAGCACTGTTTTTTTTCCAAATGAAAAAACATTATTTGAAATTTTTCAGGTATCATCGCATTCTTGACTGTTGAAAAATTGGTTAGAATTCTTCGCGGAGGAGAAGGTCATTCTCACGGGCATTCACATGGTGGAAAGAAGGAAGAGAAAAAGAGTGATGATAAGAAAAAGGTCGAGAAGAAATGCGAAGAGAACATCAAAGTTACCGCTTACTTGAACTTGGCTGCTGATTTTGCCCACAATTTTACCGATGGTTTGGCCATTGGTGCATCTTTTATTGCTGGAACTACTGTTGGAATTGGTAAGATATTTTTTTTGTCATAATTGAGAATCAGAATTATTGATTGAAACTTCTTTGGAACTTTTTCAAATGACCATATACCAAAATCTTTCAATAGCCCCAAACAATTCAACAATTTCCAGTTACCATGGTCACTGTCTTGGTTCACGAAGTCCCACACGAGATCGGAGATTTTGCCATTCTCATCCAATCTGGTTACTCAAAGAAGAAAGCGATGCTCATTCAACTCGTCACAGCTCTCGGAGCACTTTCTGGATGCGTAATTTCTCTTCTTGCTGCCGATGCCGATGCTCTCGCTGACGCTGCTGCTAGTTCCTGGGTTCTCCCATTCACTGCTGGTGGTTTTATTTACATCGCCACCGTTTCTGTGATTCCAGAACTCTTGGAAAATAGCTCTCTAGTCCAAACTATCAAAGAAATTTTCGCACTTTTGACTGGTATCTTCTTGATGTATTTGATTGCGATGTATGAATAATATAATATGTGAACTTTGTGATTCAACGAATGTTTTGTTTTGTTTTTTTTATTTTTAAAGAAAGCCCAAAGTATTGCGTTTCATTTATTGATTATTTATTTGATCTTCATTGTTGTTTTTATTTATTGATTTTGATAAAGGTGTTGGGTTATCAGAACATTGCAGGAAGAAATGACCATTTTCACGTCGAGCTTTTCTAGAAATTATAGAGGGTGAATTGAGCCAAAAATGGATAAATCTCACCGTAAAACAGTATATTGATGAATGATTTTCTCCGCTGGACATGCTTGAATCTGTAAAAAGAGTTTTTTTTTTTGAAAATTCAAAAGTTGATACTATAAACTCAAAAAATGTTCACAATATAAAAAATAATATTATCAACCTCAAAAATTACTTTGCAACAATATTTTATTTACTGTGACTTGATCAAATAATTCATATCGTTCATTTTTAGTTCAAATTATGAACATTTTGTTTTTCAATTATGAAATTGAAAATGAAAATATCAAATATTTCGAATAAAAATCTAATATTTTATAGGATTTCTTGAAAACACAATTTTTATTTGACTACATGAAACATTTTTTGATCTGCCAATTTTCGACCCGCTAACCGTTTTCTCTCGTTTCCCAAAAGTTGGCGCGTTGTACAAATTGCGATACGTCGTCTCCATTTCAATTGGCACCGCTTGCCTGCAAATTTTATATTTTTTCTATTTTTTTATGATCTCCATCAAAAAACTCTTGCGTAGGTGTTATTTGATTTTGTCTTCTTGATAAAAGTGTTCTTCTAACTGGCGCTTGATCAAAAGCAACATATTGACTTCGATGTGTTGTTTCCGAATAAAATGGGATTTTTTGTTTCCACTTCCTTTTTTTCAATTGAATCCACTTTTCTAAAAAATAAAAAAAGAGCCGTGTATTTGACAGTTGAAAATGTCATTAACACTTACTTTTCTTTAACCGCCGGGATTTTCCAAGTGTACGTTGATGCATTTGTTGTGTTTCCATAAAATGGAATAACTGGTTTTTCGATCTCTTCAGGCTCATATAAATATGGCTCACTTTCCTCGTCCTCGTTATCATAATCATATAAACTTTCTGGATATGTTTCGTCTGAAATCTCTTCGAAAATAATTTTTTGTTTTTTCTAACTCACCATTCATTGCAGGAGTATGCGAATCTTTTTGTTGTTTTTTGTTTGCTTCATATTAGGAGGACCTACAGAATGTGGAAAGGTAACCTTGGTGATGTTAGAAACTTCTACTATACGAATTTTTTATAGATTGTGGCAGATCTTGAGAAAACCAATATAACTGTCAAATGGTTTACTAGCTTTGAAAATCAGGCAGTTGAATTTTCAATATGGTATGGATTTCCAACCCCAGCTGTTATTTTTATTGGATTTTCGGACCATGGTGATGTCAATAATACAGATGGTATCTTGTTTTATCCAAAATATGAGAAAGTTGAGGTAAATTTTATTTTTTTTTCCCTATGTATTTGAAAAAATTGTTCAATTTTTTCCAGGATGTTTGGATTGATCGGAATTATCATTTGCAATCTGATTGGTCCCAAGACATCAATGTTCTTCGCGTAACCCGTTCTCATTTTGTTTTCCGCCGCAAACTTGTGACATGTGATCCGAAAGATTATGCATTCCAAGCTGGAACAACAGAATTCCTTGTTGCTGCAAATTGGAAGAGTGAGAGAGTTGGAAATATGCAAAGCAATGATTGGAAATGGGATAAGAAATTTGATTTGGTTGTTGAGAAACAAGAATCAAGAACTATCCAAGAAGAGACGATTGGCGAAGAAGTAGATTCAAAAGTTGTTTTGGTCAACTCAAATAGTAAAGAGCCGGTGAGTTAATATCACTTAAAAAAATATAAATTACTAGCATCTGACTAGGTTAAATTATTTTAACAAATATTATTCATTGACACATTTTTTGATAATCAAACTCAAACTTTCTTCCTATTTGAACCGGTGGAATGATCTATGTCTGTGAAAATTATTTTGATGAACTCTTGTTTTCCGATCTGTTAATTTCCGTTTGTACTAATTGCTTTCACAAAACCAGGACTGCATTAAAACATAGATTAGCATTTCATGAGATATATGATATCATTCCATAAATCTGAAATTACAAAAATTAGAACAAACTTTCTTGCATAGTTACCTTTGATGGCCGCTTTGTATTCTGTAATAACATACATAACGATACATGAGTCAATAGCTGGATACAAATAAAATAGACAGAAGATATTTGTTGAAGTAACACTCAATTTGATACCAATAAATGGTGCATAAATAATAAGCAATACAGGTAAGAAAATGAATAATGTAGGAATTGTTACTTGAAGAATAAGAGTTCTAAAAAGTTGGCGATGTAGTTTATAAAGAGCTGAAGAGTATTTGAATTTTTGCTTGTTGAGTTTCCGATGAATTTTGATACCGCAGAATATTATAATATAGTTTTGAAAAAACTGAAAACACATATTAGTTTTGTTCGTGTAAAAAGAAAAATTACCATGACCAATGTGATGATAATTGTAAAACAGATACCGTCCCATCTATATTTTGTATCATAAATGATAAATGAAAACGCAGCTATCTCATCAATAATAACACCGTAGTAATTCATGAAATCGTAATTCGTGTAGTCTCTCGTGAAATCATCAATGTCTCCAAGTAATGTGAGAACTACAAAACATATAATTCCAAAAAATAGAACATATATTAACCAAAAAGTCAATTTTTTTCCTTGAAAATAGAACAATTGCTCGGGTTTTGCGACAGAGAAATAACGGTGAATAAACATGACGGCTAACATAGATGTTGAAGATACAAAGATGCTGCCAGAAGTTACAAGGACATATCTGATAATATTGATTGGAATGTAGGATGATCGTGTCAGTGTAAAATATATAAATCCAGATTGAAACGAATGTATCATCTTGAAGTCAATTTTTATGTATTTCATGACTAGGTTTTTTCAAACTCACTGGAGAGATTAGGAAACCAGTAACGTCGTAAGAAATACCCAACATCGAAAAAATAATGATCAAGTATTTATACATTCCAAACTTCTTATTGATATACCATATGGTTAGAACGATCAATAATACATTGATGAATGTGGTGAACAAGAAACTAGTCAATGAGATATATCGATACACATTGAGAAAAATTGAATTCATTTTAATTTTTTAAAATCTTGAGAAGATCACAGGTGGAAGAATTGACACTGCTAATGTAATCTGAAATTATTACATAAATCACACAAAAATCATTATCAAAGACCAAATAAAAGGAAAATATAGAAATATTTTTTATATTAAAAAAGGAAATTAGAACTATTGTACTACAAGATAGTACTTTTATTTATCAAAATTATGGACTGTCTGATATTATTGCATTAAATTAGTGAAAATAATAGATTAACCGGTTCAGAAAATCCACCGGTTCAGAAAAACAGAAAAGTTTTCATTTTTCCTTCTCGCTAATGAATCCCAAGACAATAAGAACAATCGATTTCTCAAATATGTCTGACAAGTACATAAATTGTGCTCTGATTTCAGTTGAGAACATTCTAACTTTTAAAAAACCATGTTAGCGAAATTCAAATTTTTTCAAAAAAAAAAGTCATCGGGGGTCAGACATTATCACAATGTTTTAACAACTACCAAAGGTTTCAGAAATCAGAAAACCAATCAAGAGAATGTTAAACAAAATACAGCTTTCAATTATTTTATTGATTTCAAAACAATTGTTGTTTGATTTTCTAGTGTGTACCAAAACCAAGAGTTCGCTTCCATCGAAGAACAATTCTCAAAGGATTTTAAAAACAATGTGACATCAACCTGCTAATTTTCAAAAATAAAAATAAACCGTTTTCAGCTTCCTGGAGTCGAAACAACCTACAAATGCATAATCCGTCGGATGCCTTTCAGCACTCAAAAACGCAAGTTTCACATTATTCGAATGGAACCATTTGTCGCAAAAGGAAATGAGCATCTAGTTCATCATATGGAAGTGTTCTTGTGCCGTGACGAAGTCGAAGAATGGAATGGCGATTGTAATGATCCACAAAAACCCAAAAAATCATCCACTTGCAGTCACGTTATTGCGGCGTGGGCGATGGGTGAAGGAGTAAGAGAATAATACGCTTGAGAAAAAAAACTATTTTTCAATTTTGCAGCCAATCGTTTATCCATCTGAAGCTGGATTACCATTTGGTGGAAATGGTCAAGATGAATATGTGATGGTTGAGATTCATTACAATAATGTGGAAAAATTGACTGGTGTTATGGATAATTCGGGATTTCAATTTACAGTTACTGAAAATCTCCGAAAATATGATGCTGCTATTATGGAACTTGGTTTAATTTACTCTGATGCAAATTCAATCCCACCTGGTCAAAAAGCGTTTCCGATTAGTGGATATTGCCCATCGCAATGTACAAGATTTGTAAGCTAGATCACTAATTTATAGTTTCCGATACAATTGATTTTCCAGTTACCAGAAGGTGGAATCAATATTTTTGGAAGCCAATTGCATGCGCATCTTACGGGAAGAAAATTGTGGACCAGCCATTATAGAAATGGTAAGTGGTCAAGATGAAGATACATATACATGAGTTTTGATATTAGGCGTGAAGATTGGTGAGATCAATCGAGATGATCATTATTCTCCACATTGGCAACATCTTCAAGAAATTAAACCATACATTAATGTTCAACCAGTAAGTTTATTAAGGAAAACAAATTTTAAAAATCGATCCTTCAATTTTTTTGCCGGATTTATGAAATCGAAAGATCAAAAATATTAGCTTTTGTGGATCTTCGTAGTTTTTTGAAATCCCCTGAAGTAAATTTGAAATTTTGACAAAATAATAAAACCCTGGTTCACTATCCTTTTTATCCAGGGTGATGTTTTAACAACAACTTGTGTTTACGACACCAGAAAACGTGACAAAATGACACTTGGCGGTTATGGAATCGCAGATGAAATGTGTGTCAATTACATTTATTATTACCCCGCGTCAAATGTTGAAGTTTGCAAATCGGCCATCTCAAATACCACACTTCGTCAATATTTTAGACAAAGGTTTTAGACATTTTTTCTTTCACAGAAGTTTAAAAAATCTCCAAATTTTTATTAGATATCAAGAAACAAATCCATCGACTCCAATCTCACAATTGTATGCAAATGTTGATTGGACTCCATCAAGAGCAGAAGAGCTTTTCAATTTGTATTCTGTCGGAAATTTGAAGATGGATTGTTTGCAATCGCATGGTGATCGATTCCCATTCATTTCTGATGACAAGGTACATATTTCTTATATGAGAATTTTTCATATAAAAACAATTCATTTTTTTTTCAGAGACAAAGTTGGAACAACATGGCGAAACCAAGATTCCACAGTAATCCAACTGTTGAGACTCGCGATCCATATGAGTGTCCAGCTATGAATGACCTGGTCAATTTTGATTGAATTTCCAAATGTTCGTTGTCATAAATAATTTAACAGTATTGTTGTGTATCAATTTTCATCATTTGCCAAAATTTTCATCAAAAGTGATTTATAATCTTTATCAAGAACTCAGAAACACGAGGGAGTACAAAAAATGAAAAACAAAAGTGCAATTACCAAAACAACCGTTCAAATAACACTTCGGTATCAGCATTTTATATAGTATACTAAATCATTCCAGAATTCTGTAAATTGTGAAAATTTATTCATTTTTGTCACGTTGCCATACCTTTCAATGCCGATTTGTACTCTGTTATAACATACATAACGATAAAGGAGTCAATAGCTGGATACAAATAGAATAACCAAAACACATTTGTTGATAGCACAGTCAAGTTAACACCAATCAATGGTGCATAAAGGATGAGAAAAACTGGGATGAAAATGAATAATGTAGGAATTGTTACTTGAAGAACAAGAGTTTTGAAAAATTGTTGATGCAATTTATAAAGCGCTGATGAGTAACGATGTTTTTGATTGTAGAGTTTAGCGCGAATTTTCAAACCACAAAAAAATATTATCAAATTTTGAACAATCTAAAATTTGAGTTTGATCAGATTTGGGAAAATGTGAAGTTACCATAGTTAATGTGATGAATATTATGAAACAAATACTTTTCCATCGATATTTTGTGTCATAATATATAAATGTGAAAGCTGCAATATCATCAATAAAAACACCATAGTAATTGCTCAAATCGTTATTAGTGTATTCTCTGGTAACATCATCAATGTTTACGAATTGAAGCACAATTATGTAACAAATCACTCCAAAAAATAAAGTATATAACAGCCACAAAGTTAGTCTTTTTCCTTGAAAATGGAATAACTGTTCAGGCTTTACAATAGAAAAATAACGATGTATGAACATAACCGCCAACATACATGATATTGATAAAAACATACTTCCCGACAAATTCAAACCCAAACGAATATATTGAGTAGGTATAATATTAGAATGTGTTAGAGTGAAAAAAATGAATCCGGAAGAAAAAGAATACAACATCTTGAAAATAACAAATGTTACCTCATTCAACATTTTTCAAACTTACTGGAGAAATGAGAAAACCGGTAGTGTCATAAACAATTCCAAAAACCGAAAAAATGACAATAAGATATTTGTAAGTTCCAAGTTTTCTTTTCACGTACCATAGTGTTAAAATGATTAATAACAAGTTGATAAATGTAGTGAAAAGAAAAATAAATATTGAACCATATCGATGGATATTGAGAAATATTGAGGGCATTTTAATTACATTTTCAAATTATAAAGATTGAAAACAAATCAAAAACGAACTTTTGTTATGAAAAATAAAATCAGAAGCCTCAATTTATATGGGTTAAGAATTCCCCCGAGTGATACTAGTCTACCGGTAAAGGTCTCATGAAATCATGAACTCTCTGGTCAGGAACGTTCTCGTAACGCATAGATCTGTGGTTCTGAATCAAACATCAAATCATACTGCTTTTCAGTATTCGAAAATCAATTAATTAGCTGTATTTTGAAATACAATTGAAACTTTTATAAATAAAACTTTATTGGAATTTTAAGTATCATCACAGGCAAGCATTGTCTCACTGTAAACAAAAACAAAAATAAGTAATTCAAAAAATAAAAATTCTAATCTCTAACTATAATTGGCACTCTATGCCATGCATTATGAATCAAACCGCGAACATTCCAAATGCCTGATGCAGTTTCTGGTTGAGTATTATATGATCGATCAACGGCTTTAGCAATAATATTAAATTCTTTAACATTCGGCGGGATTTTCACTTCCGCTTTGAAAAGTGTCCAAGCATACATGTGCTCTAAATCTTGTCTTTTCTCTTGTTCCATTTCGCAACTATGCCAAGTTTCACCATTATCAGCACTGATTTCAATCCGAATAATACCACGGCCACCGCCACTCCAAGCATAACCCGAAATTTCCACAAATCCGTCATCTGAAAAAAATTTTCAGACTAAATTTTTTTTATTCGTGTTTTTGTATTTTGAAAATTGTTTTAAAAATCTTACCACGATCAATTTTTGTGTTTGGCGCCGGTGAGCAAATAGCACACTGTACCGGGTATTCTTGAATCGAAGGCACAGTATCCCACTTGAGTTCATCACCAAGATTAACAGCTGGTGAAAATGCTCGATAATCTTTTTGTTGCCAATGACTATCGCTTTCTTTTTCGCTAACAATTATTTTTCTCAACCATTTCACTTGTCTTGCTCCAACGTTTCCAGGAACAATTGCTCGAAGAGGAGCTCCGTGATCTCTTGGAATTTCTACACCATTCATCAGATATGCAATTATCACTTCATCTCCTCGCGCCTTTTCCATTGGAATTGATGCGCCATAAGGGGTTCCTAGAAATAAAAAGCATCATATTTCAAAACAGAATTTAATTAAACCAACCTGTTGGATCAACATCAGCTCCTTCAAAATGAACATGTTTAATTTTATCATCAAAAACATCAATTCCAGCATCAGCCAAAATATCGCAAAGTCTAACACCCGTCCATTCGGCATTACTAATTGCAGTTCCTTCCCACATCAACCCTTGAACTTTTTTGTATTGATTCATATCAGCTCGTCGATTTCCAGCACATTGGATAACCGAACCGATTGTGTAGGATTTGAATTTCTTTTTCAATTGATCAACACTCAAATCAATTGTTTTCCCGTTTAAAGTCTCAATTGTCAAGCGATGATCATTAGTTTTGATCTGCAAGAAATCTATTGTTTTTGAGAATTTCTCCACAAACATACATCAGGAACTGGCAAATGGTTTCGCACAAAGAATAATTCATTAGGTGTATAAAATTTGTCAGTGATAAGAGATGGCGGGGTTTCAGCGTTGAACGGCTTCGCGTTACGAACAAGGAGGGCTGGATGACGCGGTGGATCATTTGAGAATGCATCCGGTTCCGCCTGAAACATTCACAATTACAGTAGGTTTAGAAGGGAGATTTTTGGACATAAAGAAAAAAAAATTGAGTGAAGAACTCACAAAATCTGGTAATTCATCTGGCTAGAAAAATTTTATTTGGGAGTTTTCTCTTTTCATATACAGTGCTGGCCAAAATTCTATTTAAAATGAGTTTTTTCTGGAAAACACCTTAAAATTGGTGAATTTTCACCCAAAAACTTGAATAGGTTATTTTTCACGACGATTATGATGGTACCTACCAATTTTATAGATAACATTTGATTTATTGATGTGTTCCAGGCTCAAGATCGTAATGAGCGAAAATAATAGATTTTGACTTTCGGGAAAACCTTGAACAATTTTTCACGGTTTCCGTTTTGAAACCATGTTTGGGTTATTTTTCAAGTAGAAGAGCGTTCAGACTTTCGAATCCGACCTCAAATTCAAAATAATCTTGATTCCGAAGTGCACACCAATGACTTCAGTGAAATCATTACAGAATGTTTATAACAGTATTTTGCTGCTTTTGCAGTGACGTATTGAAGTCAGAAACTGTTCAAAATTTATTTATCGGTCATTTCAAACATCATGAAATAAAATCCGAACAAAAACTAGAACTTTCGAGCTGATTTGGACATTGATGGATTCAGATGTTCATCTAGAACATCAGATCTCAACATCGTAGACCGTCAAAAGTGGCAATTCGATTAAGAAATAATTAGCCCAGATAGTCTCGAACGTGATCACAAATGTTAAAAACACTCAGAAGACAGAAATTTAGATCTGCAACTATTATTATTCAGATGTTTCAATCTTACACTGTTTTCCCTTATAAAAATGACTTGTACCACGAAATTCAAGAGAAAGATGTTGTAGTTCATCAAATGTGAATTCAAAGATATTAATATTAATTCACAACATGAGTTGACCATCTAGAGATAAAATTATAACTGTGGTTTTGCAGTATTGATGGTCTACGATGTTGAGATCTGATGTTCTAGATGAACATCTGAATCCATCAATGTCCAAATCAGCCCGAAAGTGCTAGTTTTTGTTCGGATTTTATCTCATGATGTTTGAAATGACCGATAAAGAAATTTTGAACAATTTCTGACTTCAATACGTCACTGCAAAAGCAGCAAAATACTGTTATAAACATTCTGTAATGATCTCACTGAAGTCATTGGTGTGCACTTCGGAATCAAGATTATTTTGAATTTGAGGTCGGATTCGAAAGTCTGAACGCTCTTCTACTTGAAAAATAACCCAAACATGGTTTCAAAACGAAAACCGTGAAAAATTGTTCAAGGTTTTCCCGAAAGTCAAAATCTATTATTTTCGCTCATTACGATCTTGAGCCTGGAACACATCAATAAATCAAATGTTATCTATAAAATTGGTAGGTACCATCATAATCGTCGTGAAAAATAACCTATTCAAGTTTTTGGGTGAAAATTCACCATTTTTAAAGTGTTTTCCAGCAAAAACTCATTTTAAATAGAATTTTGGCCAGCACTGTACCCACCTTTGGAACATCTTTAATATCCAGTCTTCCAATTCTATAACCTTCCAATATCTCCAAAACTTCTGCAGTTTTATGCTGCGAATACAATGCCCAGAACGGATCAACCGCAGCTCCAGCAGCAAGTAGAATTTTGTCACCACCAGGATGCATCGCCACAAAATCTGTCACATCATAAACACCCTGAATATATTTCAATTAGACGTTTTTTTCAGGAAATTGTAGCTTACATCTTTGTAAGTGACCCAAATTCTTTCTGCATCTTTTCCATGTTTTTTAACATCTTCTTGTTTGAAAAGTGGCAGTTTAGAAACATCAATTTTTGGTTGCTCAGCATGCTCTAATTTTGCTTTTCTAATAAGTTCGAAGAATCCAAGGGCTGATGCAGCAACAGCAATTGAGCCAGTATATACCTCATTTCTAGCTGAAAATATTTCCAGATTTGATTTTTTTCTGAAAATTTTGACTTACAATAGCTACTATCTTCTGTACTACTTCCACCATAAAATCGTTGCTGTCGTCGTCTGTTGAAATATTTTCCAAAAAACTACACTTTTTCTGAACATTCTGAAATTTGACCCCTATGTTTTCGTTAATAATTTATCAATCATGCAAATATGGTTCAATGAACTTGTTATCAATGATTTGAAGTGCGAAAATTGTCGAAAAATATTAAAAATAGATTTATAACTTTTTTGATAGAGAAAAATGAAAAAAACTAACGAAAAAATATACACTGACAAGAAACATTTTGAAAAATAAACCCGACTAAGAAAGTAAGAATAGAAAAAAGTAAACATCAAATAAATTTCTCAAAAAAGAAAAAAAAAACACAATACCCAAAATGTGTTTTAATGTGTACAATTAAAACCTAAAATCTATGTGGAATAAAATAAAATCGCATCAAAAATCAATTGTTGTCACGTGTATTTTCCAAACAACTATTACATATATTTCAAGGAAAAATGGGTGAAAAAGGAGAGAAGAAAACGAAAAAGAGAGGAAACCGAGAAAAAAAGAAAAATTGATCATAGTTCGATAAAACAGGCCTATTTTACTCTACAAAATGTGTCCTTCTTCTATATATGGAAAACATAGAAATCGATTAGTTCATCAATTCTGAAAGGATGCTTGCGAAAGCAGCATGAACAACATCAGGAGATGATACAAAACTGACACGACTTTCGTCTGGAACGATTTTTCGAACCATGTCTTTCAATTTTTCATCGGCGTCAACAAACAATGCACGAACTCTCTGAAAATGTTTTTTTTATTTTAAAGGTGGAGTCTGAACAAAAATTAAGTTATGCGTATTTGCAAGAGAATTTTCAAATTAGTTGAATCCCTAAAGGATTTTTTCTGGAAGTTTCTCAAACGTTAGTTAAGAATTTTAAAAAAAAGTTCGAGGGGGAGACAGACTTTTGAATTGAAACTGATTCAAATAAGTCGACCTATCAACAAATTTCAGTATTTAGATTCACAAACCTCTGGATTTTCATCAGCTGCGGTTTTCAACATTGGAACATCACTTGCTGTATCGCCAGCAACACATACATTTCCTTTTTTCAACGAATCTTTCAATGAATCGACTAATGATTTGACACCATCACCTTTGTTCCAAACAGCACCTGGAAATATTTAAAATCATATATTTTTTCATTCTAAAAAATTCGAACTGAGTATTAGTAATCGATTTAGAAATTTAGATTTAATATTTTTTTCAATTTTTTGAATCTCACCGCAATGAAAATCAAAACAAAATTCAAATTCATTGAGTTTATTTACAAAAATCTCGAAAAATCTTACCTGATGAATGCACACAGACTTCAATTTCTAGTGGCGAGCAATTTTCCAAAACCAAATATTGATTATTTGGATCAACTCTATGAATGCGTTCCTTCACCGCATCAATATATCTAGTCGACAAATCTTTGGGAACATGTCCAAAAACAGTTTGAACACCAAGTGTCAATCGATCAACTTTTCTTTGAATTCCACTTCCAACAAGTGCAAATTGCACGAAATCTCCTTCATGAAGTATCTCATCAAGTTCATCATACAATTGTCCAATCGCAACACTTCCCTCTTCTGGAACCCCATCATCATGAACCACACGTTTTCCAGCCAACCACCATTCACGACCCCAAGAACCACTGAACAACACGGGACCATCAATCGGAAGAGCGGTGAGGTCTAGAATTCCTGGTCTTCTTAATGGTCCCGCGGTGAGAACTGCAAATATTCTTGTGAAAACTCGAGCAAATTGACCCATAACCACAGCACTATAAACTGGCTGAACATTTGTGGCATATTGTGAACAATAATCTTTCATTGTTCCATCCCAATCGGTAATAAATAATGGCTTAACACCATCAGTTTGGCTTGTATCAATCAAATTCAACAAAAATCTGGAAGAGAAAAAATAATGGGGGAATTTCAAGATAATCTTACTTTTTACACTCGGCCATCTCTTCATAAAACTTTTCCGGTCCAGCTGGAAAAAATGATGCTAGAATTGCTGGAAGATCAACTTGATGAAGGCGAGTCGAAAGATTGAAAGTTTCGTCGGTTTCGAGTAATCGTCTCAAAAATTCTTCATCTTTCTAGAAATAATTATAGCTGCCTTTAATATTTCTCCAGAATTTTTATATTTTGGTCTATATATTTTCCGAAAAAAAGGTTACCTTAAGACCTCTGATCTCATCCTGAATATTGATCGAAAAAGTGGTACCTCTTGATGCAATTTCTCTAATCTCGTCTTGTGTTCGATCATCACACATTTCCAATAAAGTGTTGCCAACAATTTTGATCTTATTTATATCTACATGTCCCGAATTCAAAATATCACTTGTCACATTTTTTCTAGCCTCTTGCATCTATAAATTATCTTTTTTCATTTTTTTAACCAATTTCTCTGATAACCAAAACAAAAAAACTCACTTCATATAAACATTCTTTGAACTCTTCTACTGATTGTGCGTGGTTTTGCGCAACTGTCATTGTGTTTCTGAAAAAATAAAAATAAAAAACAAATTGATTATTAGAAATATGTATTATTTTTATTTTGAAATAAAATAAAAAATATATAGTAAAAAAGTCTAATCAATATCACCCCCCAAAAAGACTGGAAAAATTGAGAGAAAAGAAAAAAGTGGGAGGGACAGAGGGTGATAAGAAATAGAATAAACACGTCGAGGGTCAACCACGTGACTCAATAATCATATTATTACTGGTTTTAACATTGTTTAAGGAACACTTTTGGTTGGGAAGGGAAAATGGGTGTCCGAAATTTGCCCTTAAAATATCGATGACGTTTATTTCTCACAAAGAAAGTTAGAATTGAATTGTTTTTTTTTTTCTAATAAAATATTTTCGGGGTTTTTTGCCTACGATTTTTCGGAAAATTGAGATTTTGAAGTCTGTTTTTTATTCGGAAAAGAAAGATAAATTTAGTAAATTTATTGTTTTCGGAACCCTTTTCCTCAAAATTTATTCACATTTTTTGCATATTTTAGACCGTCCTGGATTAATTGTTTTTTCTGAAACTGTACAATTCATTCCTAATAATTTTATAATCCCACTGAAAACTATAAGATAACATTTTTCTTGGACAGAACCTCGAAGGTCGATAAATTTTTCTATTGATAAAAAAAACAAACATACTGTTGAGTTGGTCCAAATAAAATAGCTAGATGTAGAAAAACGTGCACTATCGAAACGCAACGAAACAGAATTTTTATCGAACCAGGAAAACCTGCTGCGGTCATTGCAACAGGTGGTAATAGAGAGCAAAAGGCAATTCCCATCCTTTTCTTCTTCAATTTTTAGTGGTAAAAGAACGGGAATATTTTTTTTGATATATAGGAAAAATAATACAATCTTTGACAATTATAGATAAAATGATCCGATTCATTTTTATAGTACAGACATTCATTACACATACATGTGACTTGACAGACTGATTATCACAACCAGAATAAGAATCAGAATCAATCCCCACTCATGGTCTTTTGATTATTCTCCCCTTATTTTGAAAAAAAACTTACTCTGGACTGGTTGGCAAAGGCCAACAATTAAAGTTAACCAATTTTGATTCTTCTTCACTATTGTACAAATTTCGAATCAATATTCGACAGTTTGTTTGATTCTCTGAAAAAAATAACGTGAAAATATGAAAAATAAATGAACATATATATCAAAAACGAGGTGTCCAAAGATTATAAATTGAGGGTGACATAATCCGACCACGCGATGATACAAATCATCAACAAAATCTGGTTTGAATAGAAAACACTAACAAAATTCATGAACTTCATAGAAAAAATAACCCGAGATAAAAAATAATAAAAATTTGATTCAATTCCTCGAAAAATCAATTGGCGGGGAACAGAAAACGAAAAAGCAGCGGAAAAAAAACAACACTCAACAAGAAAACGAAACGAGTGTGTTATTTGTGCCAAAAAACGCGTCAACAGATGCACAAAAAAAGCGCCAGTCTTTTCCGTATGACGTAAACATGTTTGTCCCTGACACATTTCTCTCTTTTTCTCATCCCCTCTCATAAAACAAAGATATATCCAATTCTCTCGCGTTTTCTTGTGAGAAAACTTGGAATGAATTGAATGTGAGATAAAAAACAATGAAAAAAAGATACATTTATTATTAAAGTGATAAAAACTGAGATCGATATAAAATATGAAGAAAAAAACAGAGTAAATATTTTGTCTAACATTTGAGAGCTTCTAAAAGTTTTGCCTCTTTTTTATCGAAAAACACATTTTTCTCGTTTCCTGCGATTGCCAGAAGAACGTTTCTGAAACAAATAAACAATTTTCAAAAGTATCATCATGGAGAAAACTCACTTAACAACTGGTGTATATCTTCCACTAACCAATGTTTCAGCACCAACAGTTCTGAAATATTTTCAACTTATGTTAATGATTTAGAATTTTGGACAAACCTCAAAGCTTCGGCTTGCTTTTCCACGTCGTCAAATGAAAATCCATCAGTAACAACAACCACCTATAAAAGATTGAATTTTGAGGAAGTTTTTTTCAGTTAAGTTACCTGAACTTTTCTGCCTTTTTGTAAAACATATTGAGTTGTTACAGATATCGCAGCTCCTGTTGCAGTCACACCTCGCAAATATCTTGCTTCTGAAAAAATCGTTGTTTTATCAATATTTGTAAAGTTCTAGATCAGGAAAAAACTGTGATGATAGATTTCTGGAACCACTTTCAGATAAAAAATGAAAACTATTCCCGAGAAAACCAGTTCTATTTTATCTAAAACTGGAACAATAATTCACAGTTGTTCTTGATTTCTGAAACAAAAAAAAAACATTCTAGAAATTTTCAAAGAAATCACGGAATTGTCTGAAAATTGCAATATTTTACAGAAACTCACTCTTTAGACGATCCAAAAACTGTACACTATTTGGTTTTGTTGGCAGCGGAACCACAATTTTTTGACGCTGCCGACCAGAATATGTTATCAATGACCACTGAAATTTCCAAAAATTATTTTGCAAATTTCAAAACAAAAAAAAATCCCCTCACATTTCTTGGATGTTCCATGTTAATTTTTTGAACAATCTCTTCAATATACCGTTTCTGCTTCTCATACTGTTGAACAACATTTCCGCTCGAATCCAACAGGAATAAAATGTCACCACAATCTACAAACAAATCATCATTATTATATTTTTTCTCTCCTTTTCTCTATACATCAGAAAAGGTTTGTTTGTGTGTGTGTGAGAATGAGACGAAGGGAAATTATGTGTGTTCGTCTCGTGCAGCGATGTCCGAGTGGTTAAGGAGATAGACTTGAAATCTATTGGGCATTGCCCGCGTAGGTTCGAACCCTGCTCGCTGCGAAGAATCTTTTTTGATTTTTTTTAGATGATGGGCATTCAAGCTGTTCTAAATCTTTTGCATAAGGCCCTAATGCAGACTTGTAAGCTTCTTTAACGGCCATAAAAAATAATTGTGATTGAACGTCGCTGTTCACATCTTAACCTCGAACATTGGTCTAACAGCGTTTCAGCGAATTACAGTATGAGTCATAGTTAAAGGTTTTTTCTAATTTTTTTGTTACTTTGTTTGATGAAGCTTTGTGATAAATAGTCGAAGATTAGCGGTTTTGAATTTTTCGAGAAAGAGAGAAATTCTTTAAAATACTTACCTTTTTCTGGTGCACGAGCTATTGATTGCTTAGGTGAAGGTGTAGTTGGTGCAATTGTGGTGCTTTGGGTTACTGTAGAAACTGCAAATGGTGTGGTACGTGTGGTTTCAGAGGAGATTGTTGAAGCTTCAGTTTTTATTTCTGTAGATTTTAGTGTAGTTGATGTTGATTCTGGAGAAATGGTTTGCTCAGTTGATACTTTTTCAAAAATTGTCGTTGTTGAAGCTTCTGTTGTAGGTTTGGACTCAGCTTTTGTTGTTGAAACTTCTGGTGTAGTTTTAGGAGCTTCTGTTGAAGTTATGGTCATTGTTGTCGTCGTTGAAGCTTCGCTTATCGTTGTTATGATACTTTGAGTTGTCACCAAAGTTGTTGTATTTTCAATCGGAGCATCTAAAGTCAACTCATTTGATTTCAAAAATCCTTCATTTATTGGCTCATCTCCACTTCCTGATCCTTCTCCAATACTTGAAACAATATCCTGTGTCTCTTTCAAGTTCTCGATTTTTGTGATATCTTCGAAATGAGAAGATAAAATTGTCAAAATTCCATTATCATTTTCATCTGGAAGTACGGGCTCTTTCACTAAATTTGTAGCGGTTACAGAAACAATCATTGATTCATCCTCAATGTTTTCAGTGGAATTTGCTGACGAGTTTGATGAAATCATAATTGAATGTGGACTTGGAGCTGGTGGATGAGGTCCGGTTGTTGTAATATTTTCAACTGGCGGTATTGATCCAGGTGGCATTGGTAACGAATTTGTTGGTGAGGCTACTGTAGTTGTTGGAAGACCGGCCTGCGGAGGACGAGCGGTACGGAATGATTCCACGTTTGCTCCCGGCATTTTCCAGGGTGGCATAACTGTTGGAAGATTATTGGGATACCAACGTTCTGCATTGAATGATTCTGGTGGAATGGCTCCAGGAGCACTGAAGCCTGAAAAATTAGAGTTTTTTCTGGATAATTAAAAAATAATTTTTCTTATTTATTGTACAAAAATTTAAAAGTTGAATATTCATACCTTGAATGCATATTATCGTCAATAAAAAGTGAAATAGGAGATGTATAATCATATTCGTCTGCAAAAGTACAAGATATATCTACATTTCAAAAAAAAAAGACACGAAATTAATGAGGTAGAACGAGTGTGAGAAAATGGTAAATGCTGTTGACCCCAAAACAAAACAACATATTTGGACAAATTTCAGCTAATCATACAGGCTTTTACTAGAAAAAATTAATTGGTTTAAATTCATTCGATCATCAGCAAAAAATTTGGTATGAATCGATCATTAGTAAAAGTATTAACATGACATTTATTGAATTGAAGAAAAAAAAATCAAATGATTCATTCAAAAGAATAGGAGGGATGTTATGTTATGTTAAAAGTAATGGTTTGTTGCGTAATAGGAATTTGGTACGATTCTCTCATTTTTTCTGTGGATGGCGGTTTTCTACGATCAAAGGTAGGTAGAGCTTGATTATCAAAAGGAGAAGCGATAAGAACAGGAACATGACAATAAATGGATATAGAAATAAAAAGAAGACGTTTTGGAAAAACAAAACGAGAAACAAAACAAGATGCCACCTTTTGATAAGCTTGGATTACGTTATCAAACCTTTTATTCTTGCTATGGCTATGTTACATTTTTCTTTGGGTGTGGTTTTTTTTCGAAGTTTCATAACAATTGTTCTCCTCTTATTAGTAAATAAATAAATAAATAGTAAATCAGATTAATAAATGAATACATAAACTATAATGCAAAAGCGAAGAGAAAGTCAAGTTCAAGATCACTTGAGAATTTCGTAAAACTATATGATTCTTGGTTTTTTTCTATTTTACAAAAACTGTTCCAGGAAATTATTTTTTTTCGTCAAAAAAAACAATAAAATGAACAAGCTACTGACCATTACAACATTTGTCAATCACAAAAAATCTCAAGAACTTATATCCGGAGCCGACAAAAAACAATCAACACAAATACACTTGACTGTACTTATTAGCTGTCTATTATTTCAAAGAAGAACATTTTGCATAGTGAAAACTGTAGATTGAAATCAGTGTTATTGTTTTGTTCTTTTGTTTTATGAGAAACAGTTGAGTAATGGGTTTTAGAGAATTTTATGTGGAATTGGAATCATAAAGTTCTGGAATTTTCGAAAATCTGAAAAAAATCGGTATTTTGAAGGGTCAATCATTCAATGTGTAATGTAATGTAAAATCAAATTTTGCTTTTCGGAAAAAAATATGGATTCGCAGTAAATGAATTCATAGTGAATGAATTTGAATATTTCAAGTAACTTAAAAATAGCATATTTATTAATCCGAAAATCAAAATAGTTCATAAAACCTCAACACAAATCTAAAATTCTTCACTCAAGAAACAGTGCAAGTTTTTGAGTTTTTCTGAGTCACTTTGGTGCTGGTATCATCATTATATCCCTCACGAAGTTCACTGTAACCATCAATGCTATTACAATTCTCATCTGAAATTATATTTAATTAATATTTTGTAATTTTTTTTTAGAATCACCTCTCTTCCGATCAATAATCTCCCAAACAGATCTTTTATAACTTCTTTGCAAGAAATACGTATTCATCTCTCCTTTTCCTTTAATTTGGACTTTTCCTCGAGGTTCGAATTCAAATCTACCCGTTTTCTCGGCACATCTGGAAAAAATAAATGTTTTTTTTTCAAAATCAGGTACAAAAACCTGATAAAAATTTTACCTTTTTGCATTTTCAGAGCAATGAATTCTTCCAATTGGACTATGACTTTCCATTCTGGATGCAGTATTAACAGTGTCTCCAAACAGACAGTATCTTGGCATTTTTGCGCCGACAACCCCGGCGACAACAGGTCCAGAGTGAATACCAGCTCTGATATGAAGAGGTTGGTTTCCAATAGGATCGCAAACAGTTCTGGCTTCCATAACCATTCCAAGAGCAAGATGACAGATAACTTCACAATGATCTTCAACAACTTCAGGAATTCCACCAACAGACATATAACTGTCACCAACTGTCTCTACTTTATATGCTTTTTGAATCCCAATCAATCTATCAAATTTTGTAAAAAGCTCATTTAATAGATGAACAATATCTCGTGGTTGACACATTGGAACAATTTGTTGAAAAGTTGGAACATCTGTGAACATCACAGTAGCCTCTTCGTATTCTCCTGTAATTCAAGATTTTCAAAATGTGCGTCATTTCTATGTATACTTACTGGCATCAACGCTTAATCCTTGCTTTAATTGCTGAGCCACAGAAGCTGGTAACATTTCTTTAAGAAGTGCATCAGTCTTTCCTTTCTCAACTTCTAAATCTTTTGCCATGTTTTCAAGTTGTTCATTATTTGCTTCAAGTTGAAGATTCATTTCTACATCTGAAAGCCGCTGTTGATTAAGCAGAATCAGATCGCGAGTCGCGTCATGTAAAGGCATTGCTGTTAGTCGAAGTCCATATTGAAGTAGTTCAGGAACAGATGTGACATATGGAGAGCAGAGATACATTATATGATTTCCCGATGACATAAGCATCATTTGACCTTTCAGTTTGAGATGTTGACTTTGACTCAAAGGAGTTGTTGTACCATCAATCTCATCCATCATATTTCTGTAAACAGTTTGTTCTCTAAAACTTATGATAAATTCGGCTAACTTACCCATCAACGGTCTGACTTGCTCTTTTGGTAACGTTTCTTTGAAATTCCATCGGTGTTGTTTTTACCTAAAAAAAATGTTTCTTTTGAACGCTGTATTCGATTTCTCATTGTTGAAAACAAACCTGCAAAACGAAAACGGCATTAATAAAATTACAAATACTATCAAAGTCCAACGGAATCTGTGGTCTTGTGACTTCAAAAATTCGCATTAATGGTGTTCCAACATTCAATAAATCTCGAGGAATGTGATTGCTGAAAATAAATACATTTTTTCCCAAGTCAATTTCTCAAATTGATGAAACTTACTATAACTCTCTTCCAACTTGCACAATCTTGCAATCTTGATCAACAACCATATGATATGGAAATGTTGTGATGAAATCTGTATGAGTCAATCGAATTTTATAGTTATTGCTGTGTTGGATTACTGTAGTTCCCAATGCTACCTCATTTGATTGATTTGAATTTGCTGTCTGAAATTGAAAAAAAAACATAGTTTTGAAGCTTCTATTAAAAAAAAATGTTGTACCTTGATAAGAAAAATAACATGTTCCTCAATACGTTCACCAGTTGCCATTTGAACACTTCGTTGTGTTCTGCCTAAAAATGAATATTTTGATTTTTAATAATAAATAGGATAAGTTTTTTTATTAGGTACCTGTGATTGAAAGTGCAACATCCAATTTGAAAACTCGTTTTGCAGCTTCTCTTATAACTCCTTTTACAATAGGATACAAACCAGGTCTTCCGGTGTAATAATGAAGAGTGATTGTGCCATCAGGGTTATCTTCACATCTACAAACAAAAAAAGTTATGAAAACTCTGTCAGAATTATTTCTTGAATCTACCTGAAAGATGGACCACGAAGATTGGCTTTGTAAACCACATGATCGATGAAATAGTGAAGAGAATCCAAGTTATCTAAGAAGCCCTGAAATAAAAAGAATATCATAATGTTTAAAAGGATTACGGTATGAACCTTTAGGTTTGGACTCATTGAACGGATAAGATCATCCCATCCAGTCTCCATAGTATACTGAATTAAAAAGCAACCATACATTTCCCATACTTGTTCTCTTGTGACTTCTGAAAACGGTAAAATGTTGTAAGAACAAACAAATGTGCTACTCACTCAGAATTACGCTAACTGCGTCGACTATTGTGTAAGTATCATGATCGGAATAATAATGATTGATGATATTTTCTTTTCCGGATTCAAAGCCAGCGCGTTCCCTTAAATGTTTTTTTTTACATATTTAAAAGTTAATTCAAAAATTCTCACAAAACTTTCAGCCAAAATGCTTCCCCATAGGTGCGTATCATGAGCTGTCGAATACTTTCATGGATAAAACCAAACTGAAATTTGAAAAAAATGGATTTTAAAGAAAATTGTGAAAAATTACCATTTTTCAAGCAGCGTCGTGTTGAGAAATAAACAAGGTAAATAAAATGTATGAAAAGTAATAGTAATGGGGAGCACAGAAAAAGCTGGATGTAGAGACTACTCTCATAAAATATTTAAACACACGCAACACACCGGCTTAGATACGGGGAGTTATTAAACTTCGACTCATTTTCGTGTTTAAATGTCATCAAAAACTTTCCTTCTTCCATATTTATTTTTATACGTATACATAAATGTATATGATATATATGTACACATATGATTTTTGGAATTGGGAGGAGAAGAGCCTTGAGATGAGATGAGAAAGAAAACATGTTTCGAAATTGGGGGAAGTCATATGACGCGCTCAGGCTATAAATTGTTGAATGTTGAAGCAGTTTGAAATAATTTTTGAAAAAGGGAAGTAGAAGGTCTTGAATGATGTATTCGTTCTTTAGAAGTAAGAATAAAAATTGTCCAAAAAAAAAATAAAAACAAGGTATTCATAAATATTTCATGGAATGACTATTTTCCATTGAACATTAACAAATTCCAAAATGTTAACTTTATGTGTTACTTCAATTTTATTCCCATTTCATTTTGTACAGAACATTTCCAAATATTCTCGAAACCGTCACTAACACTAATAGGTATACGGTATACAAAAAACCATTTCCCAAAAGTGCTGCCGCATCGCACCATTATTTTTAGAGCGTGTCCACCTGGCGTGGCCAACAGCTCATTGTGTGTGGAACAATTATTTATTGCCAGAAATTCTATTGAGAAAATAAATCTGAAACCTATGGAAATGGAAGTTATACAAATTGAGGAAGAAAAAGAAGAAGAAGAACGTCAAATCGAACAATCATCACACGGAATGTTGATTGGCACAAAAGTGAGTTTTTTTTCACAAAATCTAGAATGAAGATGTGATTTATGAACTCTAAAATTTCAGAACTTTTTCATGAAGCTGTTTGGCATTGATAGAGAACCTCATATTAAAAAATTGCCCAACGAAGTGCTCGCAGTTATTTTTTCAAAGGTGAGTGCATTTTGGTTGCGAGAATCTCTTTCCAAAAAAGTTTCGAAATTCAAAATGTTCTTGTTTTTCAGCTCGAACACAAAGATATTCAACAATTACGATTATCGGCAAGATTTTTAGCCAATGCTTATAAATTAGAACGATGGAGAATTCCTGGCCCAACACAAAAAGTCACAATGACTTAAAGAAATAATATACTTGAATTGTGCATTATTTCTGGTGAGAAAAATACTCACACACAGATTCCTTTGGAACAATGGAGATTCATTTTCAAAAATGCAGAATGCCAAGAGCTAAGCATTTTCACAGATCAAGATATTCCAATGAACATTATGAAGCAAGTGTTTTGCTGTACATTTATTGAATTTGTTACATATAAAGGAACTTCAATAAATCAAAATATTATTGATTGTATTTCTACATACGTAACCAAATTTTTTTCAATAGAAGTTCGTGATTGGGATTCGCAAATAATTGGATCCCCAAAAATAACAAGACTCGAAATAGGTTTTCTATCAAATCTTGATGATGTTGTTAGGACAATGATGGTTACTAGTCGTATTTTTGTAACAATGGATAAGGAAGTTTTTGAAAATACATTGGAAGCACTGGAGGTAAATTTTTTTTGAATTATTTTTTTTCAATGGGGACTTTCCTTTTTTCAGAAACTGAAACAAAATACTCAATGTATTCCTCATTGGAGTTTTCATTTTATAATAAATCCAAACGTTCTAGAACTCGAATCAATGGAAAGAAAATTGAAAAATGTAGTATCTAAAATTTATGGGACTTCTGTCAAATACAAACGTTGTTTGGAAAGATGCACAAGGAATTACGTATTTTGCGTTGTGGACCATCAATACGATTTTTCAGGATCAAATTATGTTTCTGTCAACGATAGAGATCATCCTCCTACTATGAAGGAAATGATTATTGCATGTTTTCTCACAGCTATAATGTTGATTTTCATTCACTTTTCACGTCAGATTATATATGATTCTTGAAATTGTCACTTGTTCAACGATTTGAACTTCCTCATCTTTTTACATGTATACTATTTTCTCAACTAGATTATTTCTGTTTTTTACAAGAAAGTTGTGGCTATCAAAACTCATTTCTTCCAGCGGTTGTTTTGTGTTAAAATGTATTTTTCTGTTTTCTAAATGTTGTATTTTTTCTTGAATATAATTGGAAAATAAAACTTTTTTTGATGAAAAATAGATTTAGCTCGATAGTTTTGATGTAAAATTGAAAATTAATCAACAGAAAACATTGAAAAATATAAATATTTGATCTGACAATGAGTTCAAGAATGTTAGGAACTCTTTTTTCTCAGAAGAGACAAGAAATCATAAAATACTCACATTCCTAAGGCTTTCCACGTACAAAGTGAAACAATTATACTCACTTCAATTACATGGAAGATAATAAAAAGCACTGTATACGAAGGCTTTTGAAGTTTGCGAAGCCTTTTATTTGACAAAAAAAACCCCGCTAACTCTTTTTTCTTATTCAATACTTCAAAAGAGTTACCCTCTTTTGTCATATTCACTAATTTTTTTCTCCTAAAATTTTTTTCTATGGGCACTTTTTTTCTGAATAGTGTCGGCATCTTTGTCCCCTCATAATATTATTGTTGCAATGTTTTCAAAAAAAAGTCAATAAAAAGGAAAAAATGAGACACATGTCATTTTCAATACTGTAGCAGAACGAAGAATACATCTGTTCATTTCTCTAAAATGTTCTCCTACGAAACCTCTCTTCGCGAAAAAAATCGAAGGCTTTTGGCTAACAGGTAGAGTTTTTGAAGTTTGAAAATGAATAACTGATATCATTTTTGTAGCCGTGAAAGAAGACGAGTTCACACTTTGAATGACATGTATCAACAGCTTCTCAGTTTGTTACCTCCTGCGGCAAAACGAATCAAACTTTCAAGAGTTCAGATTTTGAGGTATGTTGTTGGACTTTTTCAAGAATCGTTTTATTATTTTAGTTTGAAAGATGGTTTTCGTTAAAAATTTTTTTAAATAATAAAATTTTAATAAAATAATTTATGTTTCCAGAGAGGCAATCAACTATATAAACAGTCTCCGAGCATATTTAATGCTGGAAAATATTGAAGGAATCAGTGCTGAAGTCCTATTCCCACACGCATTCAGTCGTCGAATCTACGACAATCGTTTGCAAAGTTATCGAAGAATATTCATCCCATCTGAAGATTTCATCCAACATTCCACTCCAATCGACAATAACCAATAGCAATTCTAGTTTTTATTGTAATCTAATCCTGTTAAAAATCCAACTGAAATTACATTTTATTTGAAAAAAAAAGTTAAAAATCAAACGACGTATTATTTATTCTTTCATCAAAACAACAATGTAGACAGTCAGTCAGTCAGTCAGTCAAATTAATTATTAAATAACAAACAATGTAGGTGATTTGATTGGTGGGTGGGAAAATAAGAAAAAAAAAGGAGAAAGTGCGAATTTAGAATGACTCTTAAAACGATGAGAAAAACAGACATGTCTCTCGTTTCTTGTTACGATATTTTTTGTCTCTTTTGTCTAAATTTTCAGGTGAAGAACAACATCTCTCGTTTTTTTTTCTTTTTGATGATTGACTATTTTTACGCAATCAAATGGACATTTGTCAATCAGTTTGTTTTTATTTTTTGAAATGTTCGAATTGGATTGTTTTTGATGTTTTATGGAACAAAAAATTAATCATTTTTTGATTTTTTTTTAAGTATTATATCATGATATTCTGAAATGTGATTTACAGTTGACTTTATTGGTGTGAGCTTTCTAACTGAAAAATGGAAAACTTATTTGATAGTTTTTGAAGTGGTGCTGTATTAAGCTTCGAAATAAGTTTTAAGAAACTTGTATACCTGAATGAATAGACTTAAATCTGAATTGTACGTTTCATTTTATCAATGTTATTCTCACCTACAAGATTGTGTCAAGTCATAAAAAATGCGGAAACAGTAAAAATGGTTTGACCTCGTAGTTTTGTCTTGAAGATCTTTTCAACAAAGTTTTTTGATTTTTGAAAAAATCATTCAAATTCAACCTTCGTATATTTTCTTATGGCACATTTATTTTCCCATGGCAATTATATTTTCAAGCAATTTCAGAATATTTCAAAAGTTTATTTTTCTTTCACAAAATATTATATTTTGAATATACGTCTCTTTCCTCTCATTGTAGCTCTCTACATTTTCCACACTCTCTCACCTTGTACTCTAGTTCTCTAACTCCCCCTCTTCTCTCCATGCTTTCATTTATTTTATTTTATAATCACCTTAAGATTTCCTTATTGTTATTTTTCCCATTTGTTTTCTAACTTTTCAAAATATTCTTCCACTTTATTCATACCAAAACAAGTTATGAAAATTAAAGGTTTCATTTTTCAGTCAAATCAAATTATACCTTTCCAAAAACCTATCTATTTTCCTTCCCCACAGAAACAATCCGCCAAAAAGACCAGTAACGAAAAATTCTTCTAAAATTTGATATCAATTTGTCTACGTTGTTTTGATCTATGATTGTTTGCTGTTTCGAAATTTATCTTTTCATGTATTTCATTTTCACCAGTCACCTTTGATGTTTTTATTTTTTCTCAAGAAAAATAGATGATTAGGATAATTAGGATTTTTTTCTTTTAAAGGTAAAGGTATTCGCTGAATCGAATTGATATTTGATTCAATGTGATTTGATTTGATTCAATTTGTTTCCTTTTTTGTATCGTTGTTGTTGTTTCAAAGAAACACAAAACTAACTAACTTATCTTTTTGTTTCAGATGAGAACATTGATTCTTTTCACCTGTTTTATTCATGTGATCGCACAGAATTCTCCAGATGAGAGAAGTAAAAATGAAATTGCGAATATTGAATCACATCATCACCATCATCGGAAACCTCATCATCAGAAAACGCATCGCAAAAAACAACCAGTGTAAGTACTTTTTTCAAAATAATCTGCTCATAGTCAGTTTCTCTGAAAAAAATTCGAGGAAATAATTTGTCTGAAATTTCTAAACTTTTGAATAAAATATCTTTATCCTAATGTAAGTTTCGAAATAATTCTTGAACATGTGTGATGGTACCTAAATTATACCTATTATTTTTCCTGATTCTGGAATTTTCAGATGTGTGAATGGTAAAGCTGTTGATGGAATTTGTCAATGTGAACTTGATTTCATTGGAGATCACTGTGAGAAAAAGAAACATTGCGAATCATTTCGAAGATTTCGAAATGGTTCTTGTCCAGATTGTTTGAAAGGTTTCACGGGAGATTTTTGTGAAAAAATTATTTGTGATCACGGAGAACGAAAAAATGTAAGTTTAACTTTTTTTCTCAAAAAAAAAAAGAAACAACTTTGTTTTCAGCACGACACTGAATGTTTATGTCATGAGCCGTTTTCTGGAATTCATTGTGATCAACTTGAAACTAAGAAAATTTATAGTTATTATAATCGTAAAGTGTTTTTACTTGGACCCCTTGGTGCTATCTCTTTGATACCAATGTGTTTGCTTTATATGGGTTGTGAATATTTTGCGAAAAAAAGACAAGTTAGTTTTTATCTTCCTAATTTCACTTTTGTTTTTCTAGTCACAAACACTATATTTTTCAGGTTAAACGTGTCGGTCTCATGATGGAAGGGCAGAATATAAATGTAAAAAATCAAACGCTGGAGAGATTATTGAAAAATCTGTGACTTATAGTCATTTTTTTTGTTTAATAAATGAATGAATAAATAATAACAATATCGATATGTTTTCCTTTTTGTTATCAGCAACATCAGCATTATTTCAGTTTTTCATATTATTTTTTCATGATTTGAAAAAATGAGGTTTTTCTATTTATAATTTTCTATTCATTTTTGCCACTATTGAGAGTTTACAAATAATAAATACAAAATTGGGTAAACTACGAGGAATTACGGAATATTCAAGCGATGGAAATTCAAAGCATATTTTTAAGGTTGGTGAGACGTATTTGATCAAGTGGATCTAATGCGGTGTCCAAAGTAAAAAAATATAACAAAAAATGCGAAAATACATCGTCCAAAGTCTAGCTGTCTGCGTCTCTCGAATATATACACTCTTTCTCTGTTTCGTGTCTTGCGTCTCTCGATTATACACACTATTTCTTTGCTCTGTATTTTGAATATAAGACGAGCTTTGGACGATATATTGCCGCATTTTTTTGCTATATTTTTTACTTTGGACATCGCATTATGGTTTTAGAAAATACCATTTGCAAAACCACCGATTGGAAAACTACGTTTTGAGCTTCCACAAAAAACTGAACCTTGGAAAGGTATAAAAGATGCCTCGAAATATAGGTGAGTTATAGAAAACTTCTAAATTTTCGTGGCATTTTCTTCGCGAAGTTTAAAAATTATTTGAAAAAACAAAAGGCCTAAACAAAATTTCTAACCAACTTTTTTTAGCGCTGCTTGCATATCTGACCCATCCGCCAGTTCTACAATACAAAAGAAAATGGATGAAGATTGCTTATACCTAAATATTTTCACGAGTCAAAGATGTTTGGTAAACTCAATCTGTCTATCTCATTCATCTCAAAAATGTTTCTTCAGGAATCTTCAAATTGCTCAGTTATTGTTTATTATCACGGCGGAGGTTTCAATATGGATTCAGCTGTCATGTTTCCTGATAAATTCATATTAGAAAGATATGTTTCAGAAGATATTGTTTTTGCGATTCCCGCTTACCGTTTGGGAGTTTTTGGTCTTTTCAATATTGGCGATGAGAATTTGGTTGCTGATAATCTTGCACTGTTTGGCAAGTTTGCTCTTGATTTTCTAATAGTATTGTGGCACAATTTTCAGATTCTCAGCTTGCTCTTCATTTTATTCATGACAATATTAACAGTTTTGGTGGTGATCCGAATAAAGTTACTCTTATGGGACATTCTTCTGGAGCAACATTAGTTGGATTATTTGCATTCTCAAAGTAATTATTTTCAAATAACTCTCAAAATGAGTGTGTTTTTTTTCCAGATTGATAGATCCGAACAAAGTTTTATTCCAAAAAATATATTTCATTCAGTGGATCTTTGAATTTATCAAGAAGAGAACTATTGGAACAAACATCATTTGAAATTGCATCGGATGTTGGGTGCTCAAATATGACAAAATCTGAGATTTTAGAATGTATGAGAAAAATTAACCCATATAAATTATTGAAATCGCAATCGAAAATCGAAAAAGAGAAAGGACATATTATGCAAGGAATTTTGCGCGGTTTGCCAATAATGCAAAAAGAAGAAAAATATGAAATATTTCTTCAAAATGTGACAGCTCGAGACGCTTTATATGGTACTACGGAATATGAATTTGGAAAAATGCCAGACAGTAATGAAAATCCTGCACTTGCTGGTGCACCATTGGATTTTGAAAATCCTTATGAAGTTGCTGCTCACTTTAATGATTTGAAAAGAAATAATTCGGATTGGTTTTCAAGTGATACACAAGAGGTTTTTGTATCTGCAGCAATTTATTCAGCCGCAAATACCGATGCAGGAGGAACAACTTATTTATATGAAACTCGACAAGATGTGAGCTATCATATTTCTGATATGCAATTTATTATTGGTATTCATAAAGATGACAAATTGACACTTGGACAACAAGTTCTTGATTCTGTCTATTCGAAATTTCTTGTGAATTTCACCAAAATCGGTACACCCAATGACTGTAAGTTATTCACAAGGAAAACTTTTTGTTTAGCAACATCGAAATTCAGATTGGAAACCTTTGAATACTTCTCAAATGAATTATCTCGTTTTGGAATATGATTTCAGTAAGAGTATTCTTCCCTCCATGGATACCAATTATCATGAAGATATTGTTGATTTCTGGAAAATCAATATGACTTCCTATGATAGAGAAATATCAAAACTGGTTCGTTTTTCATTTCGAAAAATAATGATAAAAATTTGGATTTCAGAAAAAATTCGCGACAAAGACTCCATTCTACCCAGGGCCTGTTATTTTGGAACCAACAACAGAATTATATTTTTCAATAGAAAACACAACAAATGTTTTTGAAGGAACTACAATTTCAACTGTTTTGAAAGAAGGAACAACATTCATTTTAACTCAATGGTGGTTTTATGTTCTTGTACTTCTTGTGATTTTGATCATTCTTCTTGGATGTTATTACTGTTGTCGGAATCGATCAGAAGAACAGCTGCCGTTAATTTCATGAATATAATGTGAAAAATTTTACATAAAGAATCGTCAAATGAAAAAAAATTACAATATAGGTTCGTTTTATGTGAGGAAGGATTAGAGTGAAAAAATCATTTCTGGATGATAGGTTAACAAAATCATGAAATCTTTTATTCATTCACTAAAAAAAAACGAAGAGTACATATTTGCAAAAAAAACCGTTGCAAATAATGATCAAAAATTATTATTATTTATCAGAATAAAAAAAGTATATGTAGTTGAATAAGCCTTATCAATAAATAAAAAGAAACATTTTGTTTATAATTGCCAGTTTCATAACGATTGAATTGATGCATATAATAATTATAATTGCATTCCTAATTTATCCGTGTATTTGTGATCCAATTGTAAGAACAAGTTATGGTGCATTGAAAGGTTTGACAATTGAAAGAGAAGATGGAAATCATTATCACACTTTTAAAAGTGTACCATTTATGAAGCCGCCATTAGATGATTTACGATTTGAACTTCCACAAAAACCAGATCCTTGGAAAAATATCAGAGATGCCTCAAATTATAGGTTAGTTGTTCACAAAAAAAAAAGAATCTTATATTTTTTTTATTCAGCCCAGCTTGTTTAACCCCAACTGAACGAATAGAAAAAATTCCTCAAAATATGAGTGAAGATTGTTTGTATGTTAACATTTTCACATCTGAAAAATGTATGAGAACTTCGGATTGCAATGTTATAATCTATTATCATGGAGGAGGTATAAATCTCGATTCAGCAATAATGTTCCCTGATGATTTTATTTTGGAAAAATATGTGAAAGAAGGTTAGTTTTATTGTTATTTTATATCTTATATTGAAAATTTCAGATATTGTATTTGCAATTCCTGCGTATCGTTTGGGAGTATTTGGATTGTATAATTTTGGAGACGAGAAGATCACTCATCAGAATCTTGCGTTTCATGGTTTGTTTTGAAATATTCATCAAAATAATAGAACTCAGAAAAGCAAATTTTAGACTGTATTATGGCATTGCACTTTTTACACAATGAAATTTCTAATTTTGGAGGTGATCCTGAAAAGGTGACCATAATGGGACATTCTGCTGGAGCGAATATTGTTCTACAGTTGGCAACAAGCAGGTGGAAAAATTCTCAAATTAAATAAAAATAAAATTTTTTCAGATTAGTTGATCCCGATCGGAAATTGTTCAGGCGAACGATTGCTTTGAGTATTGTACCAGGTTTCAATATTCCTGAATTGTTTTATCATAATGTTCATGAAATTACAAAGAGAAGCGGAGTAAGTATAATTTTTTTTTGTGATTCTTTCAGCTGATCTTTATAGTGTGATAACTCAACAAACATTTCTGTCAAACTTGAGTGTATGAAAAAGAAAGATTTCAACGATTTGCTGAATGTTCAAAAACAACTGGAAAAAGAGGGATTGAAATTGTGGAATTTTCTTAATGGTCCACCATTCATGGAGATAAATGGAAACATTTCAAAGTTTATTGAGAATTCTGTACCGCGAGAATATTTATTTGGATGTACAAAACTCGAATATGGTTTCAAATCATATATGTTAACTAATCCATCTGCAACCGGAAGATTCTGGAATTTTGAAAACCCAATAGAAGTTGGCAAATATTTTGATGATCTTCAAGCTCAAAATAATTCTACAATGTTCAACACAGGAGCTCAATCTACATTTGTGAGCATGATTTTATATGGAAAAGCAATTATTGAGAATGGTGGAAAGGTCTACTTTTTTCAATCAGAGTGAATTTGAAATTTTATATCAAAATTTTGATTTTTTTTTTGAATTTCAGCCAAGAACCGCATTCTAATCATGTTTCCGATATGCAATATTTTATTGGTTTCCATCGTGAGAAATATCATACGCCTGATATGGATATACTAACTACTTTCTACAGTAAAATGTTGGCTAACTTCACCAAATACGGGAATCCATCACCGGGTTAGTTCATTGAAGAAAACAAAGATGCTGATCACATTCTTTTTCAGTTTGGGACCCACTTGATCTATCACGAATGAATTATTATTCGGTTTTAGTTGATACAAAAAATGATATTTGGCCAAGTATGAAAGAAAATTTTCATGAAAACGAGTATAATTTGTGGAAGTATAACATCTCGGCATTTGACAGATATGTCAGTGAACAGGTATGTTTTCAATTCTAAATTTCAACAAAAAATCTCCTTTTTTCAGAAAGCCCGTAGACTAGATTTTTCGTTACTTGAAAAAAATAATATTCCCAATGACAAATCTTCAGCGCCAACAATAATATTTCTATCAGTTTGTGGTTTGGCTTTTTCAGTATATTTTATGGTTTTAATTGCGAAGAAGAAAACTAGAAACGACTACATTTTACTGGAATAAAGGCTTTATTGATTTGGTTTTAAAAAATTTTAAAATGTGATATTTTATCGCCTAAAAATTACAATAAAGTGCAGAACCATGGTTGCTTGAAAAATATATCAGAATGGAATTGACCTTATCAAATAATGAACAGAAACAAAATTTGTTTGTTTTGACCCTTGTCAGTCGTTTTACAAATGTATATAGTTTTATTCATATTTTTTATTTATCCTTGTTTGTGTGATCCAATTGCGAGAACAAGTTATGGTGCATTGAAAGGTTTGACAATTCAACAAGAGGATGGAAATCATTATCACACTTTTAAAAGTGTACCATTTATGAAGCCGCCGTTAGATGATTTACGATTTGAACTTCCACAAAAACCAGATCCTTGGAAAAATATTAGAGATGCCTCAAATTATAGGTTAGTTGTTCACAAAAAAATGTATCTTATCTTTTTTATTCAGCCCAGCTTGTTTGACTTCAACTGATCGTGTTGAAAAAATTCCTCAAAATATGAGTGAAGATTGTTTGTATCTCAATATTTTCACATCTGAAAAATGTATGGAAAATTCGGATTGTTCGGTTATTATTTATTATCATGGAGGTGGTATAAGTTTGGATTCTGCTATTATGTTTCCCGATGAATTTATTCTAGAACGATATGTGAAACAAGGTGAATTGCTTTTTTTTTAAACTCATTGTTTTCATGTTCATGGTGAATTATTAGAAAAAATAATTTTAAAAATGATTTTTTCTGAACAGTTTTATTTATTTTGTTTTTTCTTTAGAAATAATTTCAGATATTGTATTTGCAATTCCTGCATATCGTTTGGGAATATTTGGATTGTATAATTTTGGAGACGAAAAGATCACTCATCAAAACCTTGCATTTCATGGTTTTTTCCGTTTGTTATTTTCATTTGGTCAAAAATAATTATTTTCAGACTGTCTGATGTCGTTACATTTTATACATAATGAAGTTTCAAATTTTGGAGGTGATCCTACAAAAGTGACAATTATGGGACATTCTGCTGGAGCATTTATTGTTTCTACAATGGCAATCAGCCGGTGATTCATTCTTGAGTATAAAATAACAAATCTTATTTTTCAGATCAGTGGATCCTGATAGAAAGTTGTTTAGGAGGCTTATATCTTTAAGTATGATACCATATTTTGATGAGTCAGAATTGTTTTATCATAATATTCATGAAATTACAAAGAGGAGTGGAGTAGGTTTTTTTTTAATATGGAAACAGTGTTTTAGTTTTTCAGTGCGATAATTCGACAAGTTTTGTTGTCAAACTTGATTGTATGAAAAGAAAAGATTATCATGACTTACTTATAATTCAACGACAGATGGAGAAAGAAAATTTGAAGATTTGGGGTTTTTTGAATGGTCCACCGTTTATGGAGAAGAATGGGAATCTAACTGAATTAATTGAGAATGCAGTACCGCGAGAAGTTATTTTTGGATGTACAAAAAATGAATGGGGTTATAAAACGTATAGCATAGTCAATCCATCCGTGCCAGGGAAATTCATGAGCTTCGAAAATCCATTTGAAGTTGGCAATTATTTTGATGATCTTCAAGCTCAAAATAATTCCACAATGTTCTCAACTGACTCTCAAACCACTTTTGTTGGAATCAGTTTGTATGGAAAATCAATTGTTAAAAATGGAGGAAAAGTGTATATTTTTCAATCAGAGTGAGATGAATTTCAGAATATTTTTTATTAATTTTTTTTTCAGTCAAGAACCAGGTTCCAACCATGTTTCCGATATGCAATATTTTATTGGTTTTCATCGTGAAAAAAATCATACCTCTGATATGGATATTGTGGACTCTTTCTACAGTCAAATGCTGGTCAATTTTACCAAATATGGAAATCCATCACCCGGTTAGTGTTTCATGGTGATGAAAACTCTTTAATTTTCTGAAATTACAGTTTGGGAGCCATTGAATATCTCGAGAATGAATTATTATTCTGTTCAAGTCGATACTGAAAATGATATTTGGCCAAGTATGAAAGAAAATTTTCATGAAAATGAATATAATTTATGGATGTGTAATATAACAGCTTTTGACAAATATGTCAGTGAACAGGTGAACATTTTAGATGATTTGCAAAAATTAAAGAATGTTTGTTTCAGAAATCCCGAAAATTGGATTTCTTGTTAACAGAAAATAATGAACTTCTCAATGAAAATACTTCGGTGACAACAATAATATTTTTGTCAACTTGTGGTTTGTTAATTTCCGTCCTTGTTATGATATTCATTGTTAGGAAGAAATCCAGAAATGATTATGTTTTGTTGAAATGAAGTTTGATTTTTATTCGGTGAACCGATCAAAATCAGTTCATCTCAGTACAGTACAAAGTCAGTACAAACTACAAACATCTAATGATCCAGGAAGTGTTATTCGAAAAACTGATTAAAAACTTATCAAAATGGTAAAAAATATGTGTAGTCAATTCAATCTTATCAAAAAGTAATAGGGTAAGAAAAGTTGTTTGTATTGACCTTTTTCATGGTTTTGGTTGAAAAATGTATATAGTTCTATTCTCATTTTTCATTTATCCGTGTATTTGTGATCCAATTGTGAGAACAAGTTATGGCGCACTGAAAGGTTTGACAATTCAACAAGAGGGTGGAAATCATTATCATACTTTCAAAAGTGTACCATTTATGAAGCCGCCGTTAGATGATTTACGATTTGAACTTCCACAAAAACCAGATCCTTGGAAACATATTAGAGATGCCTCAAATTATAGGTTAGTTGTTCACAAAAAAAATGAACCTTATCTTTTTTATTCAGCCCAGCTTGTTTGACTTCAACTGATCGTCTCGAGAAAATTCCTCAAAATATGAGTGAGGACTGTTTGTATCTCAATATTTTCACATCCGAAAAATGTTTGAGAACTTCGGATTGCAATGTTATAATCTATTATCATGGAGGTGGTGTAAGTTTGGATTCAGCTATTATGTTTTCCGATGAATTTATTCTAGAACGATATGTGAAACAAGGTAAGATTCAGTTGATTTTTAAGTATGTCATCTTTGGATAAAACTTGATGGTTTTCTTTTAGACATTCATTCTTTGATGATGAAAAAAATGTCTTTTCTATTTATCAAGAAATCAACGACGTCTTTTTTTGTATAACTGAATAATTTCACTTTTATCTCAAATAAAACATTTCAGATATTGTATTTGCAATTCCTGCTTATCGTTTGGGAATATTTGGATTGTATAATTTTGGAGACGAAAAGATCACACATCAAAATCTTGCATTTCATGGTTTTGTTTCCGTTTGTTTTTATATGGTCAAAAATATTGATTTTCAGACTGTCTCATGTCGCTACATTTTATACATAATGAAGTTTTGAATTTTGGAGGTGATCCTGCAAAAGTGACAATAATGGGACATTCTGCTGGAGCGAATATTGTTTCAACAATGGCACTTAGCCGGTGAATTATTCTTCAAAATCAAATAAGAAATTTTATTTTTCAGTTCAGTAGATCCTGATCGCAAACTTTTCAAACGAGTGATAGCTATGAGTATGGTACCATATTTTGATATCCCAGAATTGTTTTATTATAATGTTCATGAAATTACAAGGAGAAATGGAGTTGGGTTTTTTAAATTAAGAAATAATATTTATTTTAATTTTTTGCAGTGTGATAATTCTACGAACCTTGCTTTCAAACTTAATTGTATGAAACGAAAAGGCTATCATGACTTGCTTATGAGTCAGAGGGAAATGGAAAACGAGGGATTGAGATTTTGGAATTTTTTGAATGGTCCACCGTTTATGGAGAAGAATGGGAATATATCAAAACTAATCGAGAACGCAGTACCTCGAGAAATTATCTTTGGATGTACAAAAAAAGAATGGGGTTATAAAAGTCATACTAATATCAATCCATCTGCAGCTGGGAACTTTATGAGTTTTGAAAATCTATTGGAAGTTGCTGAATATTTCGATGATCTTCAAGCTCAAAATAATTCTACAATGTTTTCTATAGAATCTCAAACTACATTTGTTAGCATAGCTTCATATGGAAAAGCGATAGTCGAAAACGGAGGAAAAGTCTTCATTTTTCAAACAGAGTGAATTGAAAAATCCGTCCATTTCTTTCTAGAAATTTATCAATTTTTTTTTCAGTCAAGAACCAGGTTCTAATCATGTTTCCGATATGCAATATTTTATTGGTTTTCATCGTGAAAAAAATCATACCTCTGATATGGATATTGTGGACTCTTTTTACAGCCAAATGATGGTCAATTTTACCAAATATGGAAATCCATCACCCGGTTAGTTTTTCATGGTGAATGAAAATTCTCAAATTCACTGAAATTACAGTTTGGGAGCCATTGAATATCTCAAGAATGAATTATTATTCTGTTCAAGTCGATACTGAAAATGATATTTGGCCAAGTATGAAAGAAAATTTTCATGAAAACGAATATAAATTGTGGATGTATAATATAACAGCTTTTGACAAATATGTCAGTGAACAGGTAATATTTCAACTAAGTTCCGTTCTAACATAATTCGGTTATTTCAGAAATCCCACCGTCTAGAATTTTCACTGAAAGAAAACTTTGAAATTCCTACTGGAAAAACTCCAGTCACATCTATTGTATTTTTATCGGTTTGTGGTTTGGCCTTTTCAGTTTATGTTGTATTTTTTATTGTGAAAAAACAGTCCAGAAATGATTACATTTTGCTGCAATGAAATTAAATTGATTTTTTGTTTTTTATTACCCCTGCAAAGATCGAGATAAAATTTATTGAAAAGTACACAAAAATAAATACATACATGTGGCCCTAATGAGGGCCGTTGGGTTCGGTTCAAAGATGCTTTTAATTTGGAATAGTTTATTCCTTGTCTCCAGCGGTTTTCTTTGGCAAAAGAACAGCTTGAATGTTTGGCAAAACACCTCCTTGAGCAATAGTGACACCAGACAAAAGTTTGTTCAATTCTTCGTCATTTCTGACAGCCAATTGCAAATGTCTTGGGTTGATACGACTTTTCTTGTTATCTCTTGCAGCATTTCCAGCCAATTCAAGAACTTCAGCAGCCAAATATTCAAGAACAGCAGCCAAATAAACTGGTGCTCCAGCTCCAACTCGGCGAGCATAGTTTCCTCTGCGAAGAATACGGTGAAGACGACCAACTGGGAATTGAAGTCCGGCTCTTGAAGAGCGCGATTTTGCTTTTCCTCCGGTCTTGGCTTTGCCTCCTTTTCCACGTCCAGACATTTTTAGTAAGATTGATTTATAACTGTTAAAAACAGAATAACAAATATTATTCAATGTGTTTTTATATATTTGTGTGCGGAATAGGCGGAGTTACCATTACGCGGGGACACATAAGCTTGTATTATTTTCATTTTTGTGTGGTTGTTGGACAAACAGTTCTACCACCTTGCGGGGACACTTTTCACAAAAATGTGTGTAGTCTAAACCCCGCCCATTCCGCGTTTGATATAAAACCAAACAGTTTTGAGATGTTTCTTCATACTTGTTCACAAGTTTTCTATCAATCATGCCACCAAAGCCATCAGCCAAAGGAGCCAAGAAAGCCGCCAAAACCCAAAAGCCAAAGGGTGAAAAGAAGAGACACCACAAGAGAAAGGAATCTTACTCTGTCTACATCTACCGTGTTCTCAAACAAGTTCACCCAGACACTGGAGTCTCATCAAAAGCAATGTCAATCATGAACTCATTCGTCAATGATGTTTTCGAAAGAATTGCTGCTGAAGCATCCAAATTGGCTCACTACAACAAAAGATCAACAATTTCATCCCGCGAAATTCAAACTGCCGTTCGATTGATTCTTCCAGGAGAATTGGCCAAACACGCTGTTTCAGAAGGAACCAAGGCTGTCACCAAATATACTTCATCCAAGTAAATTTGTTTGATTGAAAAAGTATTCCACCGAACCCAACGGCCCTCTTTAGGGCCACATATATTTTTTATTTCTACCTTTTTAATAAATGATAAAATAAACATTATTCTTAATTTCGTTTGTTTTTATTTGATATTTCAGGAAAAAATAAAATTTCCAGACATGAAATGAGTCATTTCATAAACGATAAATATTCATAAGAAATCAATATTTTTATGTGTTTATTGTTTCTCGGAGTTTGTTTATATCAAAACAATTGAAAGTGGCTTGTAATTCTGTTGTCAGGATTATGAAAGGCGTCGATGTTGAAATTTTGATGATTATTAGAAAAGGTATTCAGAAAACTCATGACCATTGAAGTTTAATAAAAAATTCAAAATATATGAGCAGTTTAGTATGAATCTACACAAACATCACAATTGATTGTAAACACTGTCATGATATGAATTTGAAAAAAAACAAGAAAAATCTATTATGGTACTCTGATTAGTCAATGATATCTATTTATTAACGATGGTCGAAAATTGTGGAAATCTGGATAATTGATAGAACAAACTGTTAGAATTTCAGCATATTTTTGTCAATCATCATTAATTACTTTTGAGCTTTGGCACAAATCCAACACTTTCAAAACAGCTGGATAACGCTACTAAAACATCTGTTAGCTTTGTTTGATGATGTAACAAAGAGGGGGCGATACGAGAAGAAGGTGTTAATGTAGTGTTTGATTCAGAAATGACGTCACAATAAAAGCAATTACAGTATCGCTACTTTTTGTATGTACGGTGATCTTTTGATTTATAATACAGCTGGAATAAGTTGTGAAATACTGTTTCTTCGTGAAAAAATGAGTCCGAAACTGTGCGTCAATACTAACAATGAACAACTAATTATGAACAAGCCTAAAATTTGTATTTTTACTGATTTCAGAAAGACTTCGGCTTTATCATATACAGAAAATCTTATGTAACTTCGGAACTTCTGAAATCTTGAAATCTGAAAAACAATGATAAAAACCATCGCATCATTTATTTGGAACAATATTCAAAAACCAAAATACAAATCAAACAAAAATATACATATTTTATCAAAAGTGTACAAGAAAAACTCATTTGTGGCCCTAAAGAGGGCCGTTGGATTCGGGTATTGTTTCAAACATCAGCTCAACAAAGATCATTTTTCAACCTTATGCGCGTTCTCCACGGATACGGCGAGCGAGTTGAATATCTTTTGGCATAATGGTGACGCGTTTGGCGTGGATGGCACACAAGTTGGTGTCTTCGAAAAGTCCAACCAAGTATGCTTCAGCCGCTTCTTGAAGAGCCATAACAGCAGAGGATTGGAATCTCAAATCGGTTTTGAAATCTTGAGCGATTTCTCTCACCAATCGTTGGAACGGCAATTTGCGAAGCAATAATTCAGTCGATTTTTGGTAGCGACGAATTTCACGAAGAGCAACAGTTCCTGGACGATATCTGTGTGGTTTTTTGACTCCTCCGGTTGCTGGCGCAGATTTACGAGCAGCCTTGGTGGCCAATTGTTTTCGTGGAGCCTTTCCTCCAGTTGATTTACGAGCAGTTTGCTTGGTACGAGCCATTGTAAGTTTGACGAATTTATCGATAAAAACTGATCACATTCACCGCTTTTATACCAAAAATAAAGGGCGGGACTTATTAATGAATAAACTAGGTCAACATCGATATCTGAATTCATCAGGGTGTCCCCGCGCGAGGGTAAGCTTAGCCCCTCCCACAAGACTATATAAAGCAACATATTTGACCATTTCTTCACCGCATTTTTGCATCAACAAATCAAATCAAATCATGTCTGGACGTGGAAAAGGAGGAAAAGGACTCGGCAAAGGAGGAGCCAAACGCCATCGCAAAGTTCTTCGTGATAACATTCAAGGAATCACCAAACCAGCGATTCGCAGATTGGCCCGACGAGGTGGAGTCAAACGTATCTCTGGATTAATTTATGAAGAAACTCGAGGAGTTCTCAAGGTTTTCCTTGAGAATGTTATCCGGGATGCTGTTACTTATTGTGAACATGCCAAGAGAAAGACTGTCACTGCTATGGATGTCGTCTACGCTTTGAAAAGACAAGGACGCACACTTTATGGATTTGGCGGATAATTTTTTGTCTTTCATGTTTTTTCTGTGAATTCCGAACCCAACGGCTCTCTTTAGAGCCACAAATTATTTTTTCTTTTGGGTAAAATAAACGATATTCGAATAAATATTCATTTCATATATAAAATCATCATGTATCGATTAATTTTTTGGGTGGACGTCGAGCTCGTTCGCTTCTTTTTAGAGTTTCGACAACTTGTTTTGAAACCAGCTTGCGTTGAGATCCAGCCGGTTTGCTTTTATTTGGAGTTTCGACAACTTTCTTTGAAACCGGCTTAGGTTGAGATCCTTCTAGTTTTGCCTTCTCAGCTGAAAAAAAATCAATTTTTTAAAGGTGGCAATTAAATATAAAATGTGTGAAGTGCATAAAATCTACTACAAATTTGCTCAAAGGTTTTGTAGGGTCTTACAGAGTTTATCAAATAAAGAACATACCTTGAGCCTTCATCATTTTCTTATGAGCTGTTGGAACAATTCCCGGGAATTGAGGGCATTCGAAATCTCTTTTTTCCAAACGTTTGCTGATTTCCTTCACAACTTTTCCAATGTTTTTGAAACTGTTGTGTATTTCGCGCTGCTCTTCTTGCTCGATCTTCTTCTCTGATGATAGAGATGGAGAATATCTTCGAGTTGTTTTTCTATTTCGTGTCCCAACACTGGCAACTTCTATTTTCTTCTCCACCTTTTTTGGCTTAGCCAGTGAATTCTTCGGACGCCCAGCTCGTTTCTTTGTTGATGCGGAAGAACTTGGCTTATCGGCATTGAGATCATTTTTGCGGTTTAACAAGTTCATTTTTCTGGAATAAAACAATGATTTTCAATTATTAAAAATGAGAAAAACAAAATCGATACGGAAAGAAACACAAAAATTGAACGAGCCTCAATAAAATAGCCGCGAAAAAAAAAACAAAAAAGGGGAAACCGCAAATGCGCCAGCATACAAACACACTAAATGTGTCAGCTGCATAGGAGAGGGCTCCATTTGAGATTGTTTTTTTTCTTAATTGCAAGTTTGCGATTCAATTTCAGAATCTGGTTGTGTCATGTGTATTTTTTATCAGAGGAAAATGAATCATCGGAAAAACACACTATTGATTGAATCTACTTTTTTTGTAGGAAATCATCGATGGAAACGATTAGAATCAAAAACTTTCAGTAAAAGTTTCTGAATATTGAGAGAGTACACTAGGAATTAGCATACTAAAATTTGAAATATATAAAGCAAACCTGTAATTATGAATTATTTTCACAGAATTAATATCATGAGATAGAGGCCTATTATTAAAATATTTATTCGAACAGAAATACACAAAATAAATACATATATGTGGCCCTAATGAGGGCCGTTGGGTTCGGTTCAACGATGTTTTTAATTTGGAATAGTTTATTCCTTGTCTCCAGCGGTCTTCTTTGGCAAAAGAACAGCTTGAATGTTTGGCAAAACACCTCCTTGAGCAATAGTGACACCAGACAAAAGTTTGTTCAATTCTTCGTCATTTCTGACAGCCAATTGCAAATGTCTTGGGTTGATACGGCTTTTCTTGTTATCTCTTGCAGCATTTCCAGCCAATTCGAGAACTTCAGCTGCCAAATATTCAAGAACGGCAGCCAAGTAAACTGGTGCTCCAGCTCCAACACGGCGAGCATAGTTTCCTTTGCGAAGAATACGGTGAAGACGACCAACTGGGAATTGGAGTCCGGCTCTTGAAGAGCGCGATTTGGCTTTTCCTCCGGTCTTGGCTTTGCCTCCTTTTCCACGTCCAGACATTTTTAGTAAGATTGATTTGTAACTGTTAAAAACAGAATAACAAATATTATTTGATGTGTTTTTATATATTTGTGTGCGGAATAGGCGGAGTTACCATTACGCGGGGACACATACGCTTGTGTTTTTTTTTTAATTTCTGTGTTGTTGTTGGACAAACAGTTCTACCACCTCGCGGGGACACTTCTCAAAAAATGTGTGTGGTCTATACCCCGCCCATTCCGTGTTTGATATAAAACCAAACAATTGTGAGATGTTTCTTCATACTTGTTCACAAGTTTTCGATCAATCATGCCACCAAAGCCATCTGCCAAAGGAGCCAAGAAAGCCGCCAAAACCCAAAAGCCAAAGGGTGAAAAGAAGAGACACCACAAGAGAAAGGAATCTTACTCTGTATACATCTACCGTGTTCTCAAACAAGTTCACCCAGACACTGGAGTTTCATCAAAAGCAATGTCAATTATGAACTCATTCGTCAATGATGTTTTCGAAAGAATTGCTGCTGAAGCATCCAAATTGGCTCACTACAACAAAAGATCAACAATTTCATCCCGCGAAATTCAAACTGCCGTTCGATTGATTCTTCCAGGAGAATTGGCCAAACACGCTGTTTCAGAAGGAACCAAGGCTGTCACCAAATATACTTCATCCAAGTAAATTTGTTTGATTGAAAAAGTATCCACACCGAACCCAACGGCCCTCTTTAGGGCCACATATATTCTTTAATTTCGTTTTTTAATAAAATAAATATTTTTAATTTTATTCGATGAGTTATGAAAAGAATAAAATTTCCTTTTTCGCGGCTGTCTCTGGTAAAACACATTTTTGCAAAATCGCGTGACGGTCAAGTTGGTGTTATTGGGGGGAATTCAACAAATTTGATAACCCAACAACTCCGGACCGGCGCAAATGAAGAAATGTGTCTTCTAGTTATATATACTTGGCAAACAACGCGACCGACATCTGCCAGGCTACTCGCTATTATTCGCATGCAGAGATATTTCGCAATACTTCCAGACACAAATAAAAAAGATGTTACTGCTGTTTGTTGTCGTAAAATTGTGCTTATGGAACGATATTCCGCTATTAAAAATGTTAACAAAGTATTGTCAGATTAATTTGGTTCATTTCAAAACATTGTATTTTTACAGAACTTGTCAGAAATTTAAAGAAAACCTCAATTTTCCAAAAAATTGTTATATCATAGTTTTGATGCGATTACATGTTTTCACAAATTGCTTGGTAGTTTCAATCTTCTCGGAAATATAAATATGGATTTGAAAATTACTGAAAATCTTTATATTACAATCAATTCAAAAACATGTTCTAAAACTTACGTTTAGTTGCATTCCGATAACTTTTGATAATGAATATGGTTGGTAATGGATCAACAGCTGGAAATACGGAAAATGCAACAGATGCAATACCGCTGATAAGCCCTAAATTTATATTGAATACTGTTGATAGTAATACTATTGAAGCTGGGATATGAAGTAGAACGAATGGGATTATTGTCTGCACAACAAGAGCATAGAAAAATTGTAGTTGTATGTTTCGGTATTCGTCGGAAATGTTTGATGTGTTCAGTTTTTCATGCATCAACTTATAACAATGAGCTCCGAAATATATGGTAGGGATTCCCGAAAATATCTAGAAAAAAATACATTTTTTATACCAGAAAACTTTTGAAAATCAATAGACTTCAGTCGTGTCAAACTCACCAAAATGATATTCATTAAAACCACAGCTTGTACCGATTCTGTTTGAAACATTCTATCTTGAACAGTTGTTGTTTTGAAAAATAAACAAAGATATGTGATATTTTCTTTTGCAAACCCGATAGAGTTTAAATATGGTTCTATTTGATTCAATTTATAATCATGAGGAGCGTTTAGAATATGAGTGACTCCACCAAACATAAATCCGAATATCAATGGAATACAAAGCCACAGAAATATATGTCTCGATGAAAATGATTCCAATAATTTGTTTTTCGATAACACAAAATATCGATAAATGAACAAAACTGGGAAAAGTCCCAAAGATACTCCAAACATCCCACAATAAAATGAGATCAAAATAGTTGAAACATCAAATGAGAAATATCTATTGTTTTTATTTGTATACAGAACCAAAATGGAGTCAAACAAAAATGAGCTCTGGAAATGAAAAATCAAAATTTTTTTAAGTTGTTATAAAATTGAAAAACTTACAGGAACCATAATAATATCCAGAATAGCAAAAACTAATTCGACAATTGATGTATAAATCAAAAGAACTTTGTAGGATCCCATAAACTTTGTTGACTTGAAAATAATTAGTAGAATTAGATATGTATTGATGAAAATAGAGAACACTGATATGGAAACTTGAATTGAATGTTGAACAGAGATCCATTTAACATTAAACTCCATATGAACTGGAAAAATGAACTTTAATAATGAAATTATTAAGAACAGTACATGGTAAATCGACGAAAATCATTAAATTAATTTGATGAAAATTGTTTGGATAAAATTTTTTCTGTTAATAAAAGATCTTTGGATTTACATATGAAAACAAAACAAAATTAAAAAAGCAAAAACCAATTTCTACCTTTTTTAAAATTTAAAAATACAAAAAAAAGATTTTCCATTTCATTTTTTGATAAAAAAACTTGAAATTTTTCATGAATTCAATTGTAATTCGTGTGATTTACCTCTCACGAGTACATTTAATACAAAAAAATAATTAACTAAGTTTTTTTTTCGAAAAATTGATCGATGACGTCATCCATGGCAAAATTAGGAAGCCTTCCTAATTTTGCCACGAATCATTTTTTGATAAAACAACTTGAAGTTTTTCATTAATTCAATTGTAATTCGTGTGTTCAATATCTTACGAGTACATTCAATTCAAAAAAATAATTAAATAAGTTTTTTTCGAAAAATTGATCGATGACGTCATCCATGGCAAAATTAGGAAGCCTTCCTAATTTTGCCACGAATCATTTTTTGATCGAAAAACTTGAAATTTTTCATTAATTCAATTGTAATTCGTGTGTTCAACATCTTACGAGTACATTTAATTTAAAAAAATAATTAAATAAATTTTTTTCGAAAAATTGATCGATGACGTCATCCATGGCAAAATTAGGAAGCCTTCCTAATTTTGCCACGAATCATTTTTTGATCGAAAAACTTGAAATTTTTCATTAATTCAATTGTAATTCGTGTGTTCAACATCTTACGAGTACATTTAATTTAAAAAAATAATTAAATAAATTTTTTTTTCGAAAAATTGATCGATGACGTTAAAATCGGCCCGAATTTTTTCAAACAAAAAAATCGGCCCGAGTTTTTTTTGTTGTTTTTTTGTTGGATGAAAAAAAATCGGCATGAGTTTTTTTTGTGTTGGATGAAAAAAAATTACAGATGTTTTGAACCACAATTCAGACAAAATATTAATTTTCCAAAAATAATGAAAAATTATCTGAAAATTTTGAAACAGTGAAGTTTTCGAATGTTTTTTATTTCCTCAATAAATTCACAACTCCCCCAACATCAAAATGAACTAACTTGTCTGGTTCCCTGCGAAGTTGTTGACCTCTTTGAATGTCCTGTCCAAACGAAACATCTTCTTTCACGGAAGCCTGAAACTTCTACATTCATTTTCTCAAATTTTTCGCCTATTTTTAAACTTACACCAGAAAATTACATTTGTGGATTTGATGGGACTCCTTCATTCTGTGACGGTTTTCTCTTAAAAAAAAGAATATTAAAAAATGTACCCACTAATAACACTTTCTGCGATGAAGAAAGCCACTCAAAAACCAGAAAAAAAGCAAAAAAAACGTTCAATCAATAGTTTCTTTTTAAATAAAAAATACATATCTTTCTCTCTCTCTCTCTCTCTCTAACCCTCTCCCCATTTCCCACACTCTCTCGTCTAGCCTGCACAAAAAAACACGCTAAACAACGCGCACGCGGAGTATCGTTGTTTTGCTTTTATTTTTTTCCCCACGACATTGTTATTTTTTGCTTTTTTTCTGGTTTTTGAGTGGTTTTTTTTCAGTGCAGGAAGTGTTTCTTATTTTTTTAGAGACAACCATCACAGAATGCAGGAGTCCCATCAATTCCACATTTGTTATTTTCTGATGTGAGTTTAAGAATAGGCGAAAATTTTGAGAACATGAATGTAGAAGTTTCAGGCTTCCGAAAAAGAAGATGTTTCGTTTGAACAGGATATTCGAAGAGATCAACAACTTCTCACGGAACGGGCGGCCAGTCAAGTTAGTTTATTTTGAAGTTTGGGCGGGGGGGGGGGCAAAACTAACAGTTGAGATTAGAGCACAAAAAATATTAAAAATTCACTGTTTCAAAATTTCTAGAATAAGTTTTGAAAACCTTAGAGAGTGGTCTTACTGCGTTTTGTTGTATAAAAATTTTGGAAAATATTTTGAGCCAAACAATTTTTGACGGGCAAAGTCTATGTGGCACTTTTTCTAGAAGGTCTTCCAGATTTACAAATTTTTGAAGAAAAAAAGTTGATCAATAAAATATAATATTCTTTAGACAGTACTTAATAAATGCCCTACAAATGAATTTAAATCATTTTAAGCCTAAAAACTTGAAATTTGGCTTGTTAATGATGGATTTGTAAAACTGGAAGGTCTTCCAGATTTACAAACTTTTGACCAAAAAAAAAGTTGATCAAAAAATTATAATTTTCTTTAGACAGTACTTAATAAATGCTCAACAAATGAATTTAAATCATTTTAAGCCTAAAAACTTGAAATTTGGTTCGATAATTATGGATTTGTAAAACTGGAAGGTCTTCCAGATTCACAAATTTTTGACCAAAAAAAAGTTGATCAAAAAAATATAATTTTCTTTAGACAGTACTTAATAAATGCCCTACAAATGAATTTAAATCATTTTAAGCCTAAAAACTTGAAATTTGGTTCGATAATTATGGATTTGTAAAACTGGAAGAGCTTCCAGATTTACAAATTTTTGACCAAAAAAAAGTTGATCAAAAAAATATAATTTTCTTTAGACATTACTTAATAAATGCTCAACAAATGAATTTCAATCATTTTAAGCCTAAAAACTTGAAATTTGGTTCGATAATTATGGATTTGTAAAACTGGAAGCTCTTCCAGATTCACAAATTTTTGACCAAAAAAAAAAAGTTGATCAAAAAATTATAATTTTCTTTAGACAGTGCTCAATAAATGCTCAACAAATGACTATATGAATGAATAACTGAATGAAAACTAAATGAATAACTTTTTTTTCAAAAATTGATCGATGACGTCATCCATGGCAAAATTAGGAAGACTTCCTGATTTTGCCACGAGTCATTTTTTGATAAAAAACTCGAAATTTTTCATGAAGTCAATTGTAATTCTTATTCTTAAAAAATCTCGGGCCGATTTTTTTTTTACATTTTTGGATTATTCCAAATCTGAAAAAAAATTTCGAGTTTTTTATCAAAAAATGACTCGTGGCAAAATCAGGAAGTCTTCCTAATTTTGCCATGGATGACGTCATCGATCAATTTTTGAAAAAAAAGTTATTCATTTAGTTTTCATTCAGTTATTCATTCATATAGTAAGAAAAAAGTTACAAATTTGGAATGATCCAAAAATGTTAAAAAAAAATCGGCCCGAGTTTTTCAAAAAAAAAATCGGCCCGAGTTTTTCAAAAGAAAAGTTACAGATTTGGAATAATCCAAAAATGTAAAAAAAAATCGGCCCGAGTTTTTCAAAAAAAAATCGGCCCGAGTTTTTCAAAAAAAAATCGGCCCGAGTTTTTCAAAAAAAAAATCGGCCCGAGTTTTTCAAAAAAAAATCGGCCCGAGTTTTTCAAGAAAAATCGGCCCGAGTTTTTCAAAAAAAAATCGGCCCGAGTTTTTCAAAAAAAAATCTGCCCGAGTTTTTCAAAAAAAAATCGGCCCGAGTTTTTCAAGAAAAATCGGCCCGAGTTTTTCAAAAAAAAATCGGCCCGAGATTTTTCAAAAAAGTTACAGATTTGGAATAATCCAAAAAATGTAAAAAAAAAATCGGCCCGAGTTTTTCAAAAAAAAAGTTACAGATTTGGAATAATCCAAAAATGTAAAAAAATCGGCCCGAGTTTTTCAAAAAAAAAAGTTACAGATTTGGAATAATCCAAAAATGTAAAAAAAAAATCGGCCCGAGTTTTTCAAAAAAAAGTTACAGATTTGGAATAATCCAAAAATGTAAAAAAAAATCGGCCCGAGTTTTTCAAAAAAAATCGGCCCGAGTTTTTCAAAAAAAAATCGGCCCGAGTTTTTCAAAAAAAAATCGGCCCGAGTTTTTCAAGAAAAATCGGCCCGAGTTTTTCAAAAAAAAATCTGCCCGAGTTTTTCAAAAAAAAATCGGCCCGAGTTTTTCAAGAAAAATCGGCCCGAGTTTTTCAAAAAAAAATCGGCCCGAGATTTTTCAAAAAAAGTTACAGATTTGGAATAATCCAAAAATGTAAAAAAAAAATCGGCCCGAGTTTTTCAAAAAAAAGTTACAGATTTGGAATAATCCAAAAATGTAAAAAAAAATCGGCCCGAGTTTTTCAAAAAAAAATCGGCCCGAGTTTTTCAAAAAAAAATCGGCCCGAGTTTTTCAAAAAAAAAATCGGCCCGAGTTTTTCAAAAAAATCTGCCCGAGTTTTTCAAGAAAAATCGGCCCGAGTTTTTCAAGAAAAATCGGCCCGAGTTTTTCAAAAAATCTGCCCGAGTTTTTCAAAAAAAAATCGGCCCGAGTTTTTCAAGAAAAATCGGCCCGAGTTTTTCAAAAAAAAATCGGCCCGAGATTTTTCAAAAAAAAGTTACAGATTTGGAATAATCCAAAAATGTAAAAAAAAAATCGGCCCGAGTTTTTCAAAAAAAAGTTACAGATTTGGAATAATCCAAAAATGTAAAAAAAAAATCGGCCCGAGTTTTTCAAAAAAAAGTTACAGATTTGGAATAATCCAAAAATGTAAAAAAAAATCGGCCCGAGTTTTTCAAAAAAAAAAGTTACAGATTTGGAATAATCCAAAAATGTAAAAAAAAATCGGCCCGAGTTTTTCAAAAAAATCGGCCCGAGTTTTTCAAAAAAATCGGCCCGAGTTTTTCAAAAAAAAATCGGCCCGAGTTTTCAAGAAAAATCGGCCCGAGTTTTTCAAAAAAATCTGCCCGAGTTTTTCAAAAAAAAATCGGCCCGAGATTTTTCAAAAAAAAGTTACAGATTTGGAATAATCCAAAAATGTAAAAAAAATCGGCCCGAGTTTTTCAAAAAAAAGTTACAGATTTGGAA